CAAAAACATCAATCGCGACACTACTGCTTGTGTGATCGATTAGCCATGCTGTCTCCACTGTTTGCTCGGGCTTTGATAGACTTACAGCGTCCCCGCTATTGCCATTGTTAGCTATTGGTCATGAAGACAGTTGCCACTATAGGAAAGGTTTGCTCACAGCTTCAGCGGCCGAAGCCAAACAGTCTCCGCAGCCAGGCCTCGAAGGACCTGACTGCGGCTCTGATGCCGACAAAGGCGCGGCGGAAGTCGAAGCCTATAACTTTTCAGTTACTAGAACCATAGTAAACCTCGTGAGAGGTCACTCACGCCACGGCGGCAGCGGAGCTGCGAGAGCAGCACTCGCGCTCTCGAGGATCGGAGCTCTGTGTATGGTTAGCCAATCTCGCGATCTCGTATCAACTCCGTCGTCACAACTCCTCCAAGCTTGTACGCAGCAGGTTCTCGCTGACTTACGCAGAGTATGGGTTGCCCCCGGCCACGGGCGACGGCCTGCGACCCTCCCTGCCCGGAGGAGGGCGAGGGGGAGGCCGGTCGGCGCGGAGAAGAGGGCGTGGGAGGCGGTCTGGAGACCGCGGACGGCCGCGAGTGTTGACCATCGTTTTGGTGTTGAGAGAGGAGGAAAACTGGTCAGCAGTAGGATATACATCTAGGCAACTCACCTGCGGGTGAAGGCGGCTGGCAGAACGTGGGACGAAGGAGGGACATGAGAGCTTTGGGTAGAAGGCGCTGAGTACTACTAGGCTACACTGTCGCTGATACTCACTAGAAGTGCTTACATCTGTAGACCTACAAATCAATTACAGAATAGAGGAGCAGTAAGCTTCGAACAGAATGGGACGTATTGAGAGCATGCGTGAAACAGATCGAGGGCTTGTTTGTCCGAGGCGCTATCTGGCGAACGAAAGACTTCAATACCGTGACTGCAGCCTGAGTCAGGACGTCAAGCACGAAATCACGAGAGCTTCGGGCATCGTGTAGCGCAGCCGTCCAGAAAGCAGCTGCAAGCTCGCGGCACGCTCGCAGATAAGTACATCATCAGGTGGAAAACTGCTTTACCACATCAATAACAACAGCAAGAAAGCCCAGCTTGAGCCTCTGGCGCAAACCGCTGTTAGAGAGGTACGCAATGGCAGTGACGGCACCAGAAGACCAACAACATCAACAACAACAGCGAACAAGGCTCTTCTTCAAGCAGTTGACAGCGTCAACAAACTGAACGAAAAGAAAGTGGGTTCACCCGAAGATGAACTTGTAATAAAGAAAACAAAAATTGTTCCGCCATGGACCCCGGAGGGAGCATGCCGCATCAAACGCGCTGTGCAATGCGCCCGATGCGTGTTCCGAGGGCCTTCTTGATCGCCCAAGGTCCGCGAAGTTACCGTCCTCTCACCTGAGGAAAGAGAAAGAGTGACGGAGATTGGGCGGCTTATATAGACCTGGGGTGCCAAGAAGCCTGCCAAGAGGCGAACAGTCATGTGACGTGCCAGTTGCTGGGTGACGGTCACGTTGCGAGGTGAGGCACCAGGCGCCGGTACCACGGAAATGGTCGGGAATTTGAGGCACCCTCCAGTATGTGTGCCGATACAAGGGCCTCAGAACATTGTCTCACGCTCAATGGCACGACTTTTGCCCGGCTTCGTGCTTGGAGGGTGAGCTCCTCTTTTGCCCATGGCACTCTCCAGTATTGCTGCTTAAGCTAGACATTGAGCAACCTGTCCATCGCAGATTCAGTTTGGTGATTGTCTTGAAGCACTCAAAAGCCCCGAGCAAGTCAATATTCGTCACTGGAAACGCCTGCAGCATCACGCTCGAAGCCGAGATATCTCCCGCCGCAACAAAGATGCTCTCACCGAGACCCCCGCACCGAACGTCTATCAGAACACCGTGCGAATTGACGACACAAGTGTGTCGGGGTCGAGGATGTCGCCCCAAGAGGAGCTCTATACAAGCCGGCTGTGTCGAGACGTGTATGCGACGAGCATGTATTTCGAGGTCAGCAAGGACTGTAGGGCACACCGCTGGTCGTCACAAAGCCGAGAGCATGTGCATCTGGAAGCAATCAAGTAGTGGGAGCAAGAGGGATACCATGGCTTGTGCAAGAAGGAAGTAGGGCTGCAGAAAGTGCAGGGAAAGTCAATATGCGCGGTCATCCTCAGTTAGATATGGGAATCTGCATTTGCTGAACTTTGTTTCATGTTTCGCCTCCATTATGCATGTTGCAGTGATGTAATCCTTGTCTAATCCTCAACCAAGATCGTCTCTGCCTTCGCCCCCAAGTCCCGCTGCAGGAAGAACTTTACCCTACATTTCCATAACACATGCCGTTGTGCTGTCTTCCTGACCAATATCGAGAGTATCCGTGGAAACGTGAGGTTGTGTGCGTAGTTCGAGCTCGTGGCAAAAGTACGTTCGCCGTGAATGGGCTTCGAGTGGCAGATTTCGTCGGAAAGGAATCTCGTAGCGGGCGGGTAGCTTCTTGTCTGACAGACCGTGGCCCAGTGATGGTGTTCTGCTATTCAGTCGTGCGGTACAAGAGGGCGTTTGGCTCGAGGCGTTCGAAACGCACGCGCCAGATGTGGTGGACGAAGAGGGCGGCGACGACAGCGAGCTCCAGTGGGAGAAGCCATGCTGGCGGATCTTCAAGTAGAAATTTCATGAGAAATCGATGTAAACAGTTGAGTCAGAGGTTGGGGTGGTAGTATCGTGGCTATGGAGGTGGAATTGCAGGCGCTCAAGGTTTGTTTATGTAGCGGGTGAGAGCGACGACGCGCTGGAGAGGTCCACTTCAGCTTTCGGCGTGCAAGCATAGCATCACATATGACAGTCACTCACACAAAGCTGGATACAGTGAGAGCAAGTCAAGGTACAAGGCGGACCTTAATGCACGAGGACGTTGACCATCTGACCACAGTACACAAGGCTTCTTCCTTAAGACACCAGCAGCGCTGATGAGCTCAATGAAAAAGAGTCGAACTCCGAAGAGCGAAGGGAAAGTAAAAATTGGCCGGATGGGGGATAACCAAAAACCCAGCTGTCGCATTGGGCCGAGGCTGACAGGGGCTTCTATGATCACCACACTGACCCACGGCAGGGTAGCCAAGCGGGTACTCAGCATGAAGAAGAAAAGAAGGAGAGAAGAGGGGAAAAGCAGCTTTGTATAGGCGGGCGCGCGCCAGTGCACGTGACAACGACTGCCTCCTTTAGCGCTCGTCGCCCAGGTGAATAGATCAGTGATCTCGGGCGGCACAGCCGACGGCCGAGGAGCGCGGAAACTTCTGGATCAGTGGCCGCGTCCTTCACTTCAGGTCGGCGCCTCGCACGTGATCACTGATCCGAGGCGCCTGGGGTGTATATAAAGCGCCGCCGCCTCCAGTCTCTCGCTCTTCACCCCTCACACCTCCCTCTGTCATTCGGCACCACCGAGGAGGATTGGCAATGGTTTCTTTTGTTGGCGAGTCCGCTGGTGACGGTTGTGGGTTAGTCAGGCGCTCAAGAGCAGCGAGATCGCCTCCATTGCACGTTGGAGGCTGGTCGAGTTTGGACCTTCGGGTCCACTGGCATAATTTTTTTCGTCTTTGCTCGCCTTCGGGTTTGCTTCCTCATCTTTTTCATTGAGTGCCTTCGACGATGTCGAGGCCTTGAGGAAGAAGTGCCTACCATTCAGTACTCCCTGGGCAAGATCTGGCGGACTCAATGCGAACCTTTCTATTGTATCATATCCTTGGTGAGCCGTATCACAACTGTGAGCGCGAGATTGGAGACCTACGTCAGTGTCGCGCCTCGCCTTCGCGTTACGCTCGTTCTGCTTCTCGACAACAAAACAAACCTCGAGATATACCAACCGCGTGTCAACCGCATATCATACCGCCACTGTACAGAGTGTATCCTGTCTGTACTCTTGGAGAGCCCTCCGCGTGCACAGCTCAATCCACAATATCTAGCTACCCATTGTCGCCGGTATACTCGGTCTGCCCGCCCCCCTCCAGCAGCGGCTGACCTTGCTAAGCAGATTCTGTTCCATAACCCAGTTACCTCGTCCTTCCGGGCAGTCCGCCACCTCTCCTGCCTCCCTTCCCCCTCGCCTTGTGCGTACCTCTGCGCTTGCGACCAAAGAACGCTACCGACAGTTTGCCGCAAAGCGCCCTCCACAAATCTCCCTCTACACTCGTGTCTAGCGCACAAGCAAGAGAAGGAGCCACCAGAATCTATACCTGCAGTACTCTCTGTTCGATAAACGTGCAGAAATCGCCAGTGTCGCAACATGTTCAATCGAATTAAAGACAATGTGGAGGCCGTGCTTCAATTTCTCGTGGTCTGGCTACGTGTCTTGCGCCCACATTTCAACTGAGCATCTTTTACGCCACCGCTTGTGGGGAGGCTTTTGGGGTTCGGGATACACGATGCACGGGTTCATGTTCGTGCTGAAAGCTTGGGATATATCGAAGGCAAATGGCGATAGACAGGTGAGGGTATCGGAAGGTCACGAGATCGAAACGACTGAAACGGGGAGGTTACTTCTTTCTAGAGTCAGGGCAAGCCGGGTGTTCCTTCGTGGATGACTTTAATCTCTGGGCATGGGCGAGATAGCTCAGGGTGCTGAACAGATCGATGAAGTACACCAGCATAGAGTCGTAGTAGAATGCATTGCGCCCAAGTTCATTGCTCAAATCTACCGTGAAGAGCGTAATAAGTTGACTTTCACAGTGCCGCACTGTTCACGCCTGCCGCTTGATATCGCCATACTGTGAAGCCAGTTCACGGCGCGCACTTCAACTTCTCCTTCACCACCCCAATTCGCCCGCCAATTCCACCCTCGTATCAACCCCTCCGCCCTGTCCAGTTCCGTTCTGCAATTCCTCGCCAGTCTCGACCACCACTACCCAAACAGTAAGGAACTCACTTCCCTCTCGAAGGCCGCGACCAATCTGACACCCACACGCAGACAGCCCTTCTCAGAAACCCTATCCAGAACTACCCACCTTAGCATTCCCAAAGCCGCAATGTGCCACCGCCAGCACACCGTCCACGGTTGCGCCCACACTTTCACGACGTTCCACCCCTGCGCCGAGAAGGAAGACGAGAACACCTGCTCCATCGGCACCATGGAGCTCGAGCGCACGGAGAACAAGTTCTGCTTTGCCTGCGAGGAGGCCGTCGCCGCTGTGAGTATATCCCCTGAATAGAATCTAGCAGTACGAGAAACATAAAGGACTGACGCTGGTACAGCGCGCGAACCAGGTGTCGGCTCCAGAGGTGGACAAGCCACAGAGCTCGAACGTCGTGAAGGCGAAGCAGAAGGAGGTGGGCGCGGACAAGAAGGCCTGGTTAGAGCAATTGGCGGCCGCCGCGAAGGTCGAGAAACCGGAGGCGACCATCAAGCCTCGTTGACGCTGAAGTGGTAAGTACTGGACTTCTCTTAGGACGTCGGGGAACTGGAGCTAACCAAGGTTCAGCGTTGACGTAGACGCGGGTATGAGCATAACGGTTATGCTTCTCTGGACACGCTTTGTATGGTGACGGACCGCTGCACTGCTACAACATGATCAACACAGCTAGGACGTTGATATAGACTGAGCTGTCGATTATCAGATATCTCTTGATAGATTGAGTTGAGTTACATCTAGCTTTGTGTTTCTTTTGTACGTGATTGATATCTCGTGTTCATCCTTCCATACCATGCAGTGATATATTCCCATGCATACATACCCACCCTGTGCTAGTAGAAGAGCCGTCGAGCACGAGATTGCTAGAACTTCCCAAAGTCATACTCCTTCCACTCCTCCCTATCCCGCTCCGTACTCCTCGCTCTCGGTGTGATACTTGTTGGTGCCTCAAAGATTGCCGCGAACTCCCCGTCCATTTCGAGCGGCGCGGCCAGACCCTCAGACTGTCCGGGCACAGGCTCCCTCACACTTCGACCCCTGCTCATCAAGCTATTCGCATCCTCGTCTTCCCGCTCCACAACGATGCTCAACGTGTTCACTCGCTTTTTATTCACCATGCCAGCTATGCTCGTTCTTCTACCACCATCTCGGAAGAAGACAGGGGACAGGGGTGAGACCGGGCTTTCGGACATCATGACGTCTCTGCGACTGTGTCTTCGGCTGTTGCGGGGTGTTGCGGACCAGCTTCGGCGCCGGGAAGGTGTAAAAAGCGCTTCAGGAATGCCACTATGGCGGCGGGACGGCGATCGTAGAACGGAGTCAGGGACGTTGGCGGCGGCTTTGGCAAGGGCTAGTTGGCGCTTGAGACGGCGGATGTAGAGAGACAAAGCAATGAAGATGGTGGAGGCCACGAAAAGGACGGAGATGGAAATACCAGCTTTAGCGCCATCGGAGAGGCCACGGTCAGAAACGGGTACGGGAAGGGACGTGTGGGTGGGTGTGGGTGTGGAAGTCGAGGTTCGGAGTGGAGACTGGGACATCGTTGTAGCAGAGACAGAGGCAGCGGCGGTCTGGGTTGCGGATGAGCTGGATGAGGGGTCGGAAGGTGAGTCGTCCGAGGGCGGTGGTGGAGCTGGCGTCGATTTTGCTCTCGTTGTCGAGGCCATGGACAACAATGGCGGAGAAAGTGTGGTTGCTGCTGCTTCTGTAGAAGGTGCCCTGGACGAGGCGGTAGCGTAGCCCGCTGCTGTAGATGCTGAGCTCGCTGATGTCGACGCTGGGCTGCCGGGGATGCTTGGATTGATGCCTACTCCCTGACAAGCCGCTGCAACCTTTTCCTTCGCATCCTCTTGATCCGACCTGCTACATGCCGCTTCTACGCACGCTTCCGCCTTGCCCAGGATGTTCCCAGCCGAGCAGTGACATTTCAGGTCTATCTCTAGCGCACAACCATCGTCTGGGAGCGTTTGCAAATAGCATGATAGCGCGCAGTTTGGTATCAATAGGCTTGAGAGAGGGCCGGCACGGCGCGGCGGATGTGGTGAGTGCGGTCGCGGAGGCTGTTGTAATTGGAATGGATCGAATGGAATTGAGGGTCGCTCAGGTGGTGATGGTATGAGATGCGGTACTGAACTAACGGATTCAATGAATGCGGAAAAGAGAAGAATTGCGTCTGGCATGCGCATGGTCAAGTTCTGGGTCGCTGAGCTCTTCGATAGATGCGCCGGCGCAAGACATGGGCGCTGCCTCAGTCACGATGTTGACAGCCTGCGTAGCTTCCGTATGTTGGCGCTTCCTTCTCTTCTAAGTACCAGACGATGCAGTAGCTCCAAAGCGCGCCTGCCCCCGAATCAGTCAGTCGCCCAGAAGATGTGCAGGCGCGAAGCAGTCGCGTCCAGCTTCTTTCCCAAAATGCATTCTTCCAAAGTCAGATCCGGTCGCTTCGCATCGCGATCTCCCCCACGCCCTGTCCATCGAACGCATTTAGCAGCAGTGACGTCTCGTTTTAGCTCGCATTGTGCCGGTTCGGGACGAAATTGTCCCACAAGTGTATCGCGTTTAGCATGACCTCGCTTCCTGAGACGGCTAGCTTGCCAGCGCGTATCAAGCTGCCATTTGTCCAAGTTTCTACGCTGAGCCAATCAGAAGCGTGGCAGGGGTATGGAGCGCTTGGGTGATGTGCCTCGAGGCAGTGGGTGTTTGGTGAACGTAGTGGGATGGTCCTGGAGTATCAAGTGGTCCGGAATGACAGGTAGGGAAGGTCGCGCGGGAGATTTGGAATGATGTAAGGCCAAGGAAGATAATAACAGAGTAAGCGTCTGCTCGGGGGACAGGTGATGCGTTGGTGGGAGCGAGCGCTGGCGAAAGAGGCTCGCGAGTTTGTGATCCATCGAGCGTGCCGGTCCTCAAGCAACACTGCACATTCGAGATGGGAAAATTCCAAAGCGTCGTAGAAATAAAGGGACAAGCTGTATGTGATCATATGTGCGAAACGGAAGCCTCAGAAGTATCTACGAGCTTCAAAAGAGCTGTTGACCGCCTAAACTGTCCTATGTAGTGTTGAACAGCGCGTACAAAACTGTGTATATGTTCCCCGAAAACCCATGCTTTTGTTTCCATTTTATAGTCGTATCGTGGCCTTCATCTATTCTTGTGCGTGAATAAAAGAGAGCGTCCAGTCCGGCTAGCCGCACGTTCGAGTCGAGATCCAATCATCAAGCCATATATGCGTCCATCGTTCAAATCGTATACAAGAAGTAAAGTAAGAGTTCGCCAGTCGTGCCCGCTTTCAACCATGTGCTGGCACGTCTTGAAAGTAGTCGCCAGGGTCCAATGTCCGACCTGGGGTAATCATACCTTCCGACTCTTCATCGCGTACCGCAAGCTTTCCCACATCAGGATACAACTCATCCACGTCTACCGGCCCATCCTCGCCAAACGCAAACTCGTTGATCAGACTGGCCTTCTCCCAATCCTCAAGAGAGTTCCAGCTATCGCCTTCTTCGAGCGACTCTTCGTCATCCTCCCATAGGTCTTGCTCGATACCGCTGAGGAACTCCCACGTCGAAGCTAGAATCTCTTGGGTGGGCAGAAAGTAATTGAGGGACTCATTGTCCTCGCCGCTGAAGTCGCCCCACGCTTCGAGGATTTCTAGGCGAGGGAAGTGGATAAGGAGGGGATGTGCCCAGGAGCGCACGAGGTCCTCTTCTGTAGTGGGGTCGACGATGGAGGTTGAGTGCGAGGAGACAGAGTTCGTGAAAGAGTCGGGTACCGGTGCGAGTGCGGTGTCTGGGCGAGCCAAGGCAAGATGGGTGAGCTTCGGGAAAAGAACAGAGATGTGTTGCTGATCTAGCAATTCGGGCACAAACGTACTGTCGCTTACTAGAATCTGCGGTACGGCACCAGGGACTGAAATTCTATCAAGTTGAAAGGCGACTTTCAATCTTAAAACCTCAAGCTCTGGACAATGCCGGCCTAAGCTTTGAAGTGCTGTCGTTTGCAAAGCTGACGCAGTCGTGGGTTGCAGCTTCAAACTTAGGTTACGCAGGTACGGAAGTGACTTGCAGAAGCTATCAAAGTCTTCGCTCGATATCGACGAGCCGTCGATCGCTGATGGCTCGGTAGCTAGAAGATTGACGTCCTCCAATTTCGGGCATGTCTTCCCAAGTCTACCAAGAGCAGATCCGGATAATCTTGGAAGCAGGATAGAAGATGGGAAATCATCGGCCAAAGAGCTAATGCCGACCTTGAGAATCCGCAGTGAAGGGCAGTGGGACAGCTCGGCTATCATATCCTCGAGGATGCCAAAGTCGGAAGGCTGATGGGGTGAGATTGGTGCTCTTGCGATGTCTATTTGTAATTCTTCAATTGTCCGTAGATGTATGGGAAGTGCCAGCGCAACCTCGGGGTAGCACATTATGAAGCACCGTGTGAGAGACGCAAAGGGAAACGGTAGGGCATTTGGTCCCGAAAGAAGCGGGATCAGAGCGACACCGGGATCAAGATCAATCTGCAGACTCTCTAGTCCTTGCCGTTGACTCAATCGCGTAAACAAAGCATCCTTGTCCATGAGATTGAGGGACTTGACTTCGATGGCTTTGATTGAGGGGCATGCATCTAGATATTGATACAGGACGCTGACGTGCACAGGATCTTCGTCCAGAATTGTATCGGGCCCAATACGTATGCTGCTCAGATTCTTGCATGGATTCTTCTCACGTCAGTTTCCATGTGCGAAGGTGGGGAGTAGTACTGACGAAGAGAGTTGGGAGGATGGTGTCAGTAAAGTACTTGGATCCTCCGCTTTGGTACCCTGACAGTTCCACATGCTCAAGTCCGGCATGTAGCATGCTAATGTACGGTGAACCATATCGCTGCAGGTCGACTTCAAGTTCCAAGCTCTTCAAATTGGGCCATGCCAAGCCTGTCAGATAATCCAAAGTCTCCACGGATCCTGGTGGTGGACTTAGCGAGAAGACATAATGGACCTTGTTGGCGTAGTATTGCCTTCGCTCCAAGGGCATGTGCTTCAAAGATGGAAGGTGCGGGTAGCGTCTCCTTCAGGAAGTACATGTTAGTAGAGCAAGGCAAGTCAGCTCACATCACCAACCAAAGGATAGAGGTGCCCTCATCTGCCCACAACTTGTTGACTAGGATTGTGGGCACCAAAGTGGGTCGGAACTCGAGGAACTCAACCGGCTGATCCGGCCCATACTGCCGTCTATCTTTATACTTCATATTGGAAAGATGAAGGAGAATCGTGGAAAGAATGTGGCCATCCGCCAATGCCCGTGCCGCGGAGGCAGCCATGTCGATGGTGGAAGGCGCGTGCTAGACGGCGCAGGAAAATGAAAACCGAAGGAATGATCAAGAGATGATACACATAGGTCAAAAGCGACCGCAGTTGCGGCAGTAGATAGAAGGAAAGGCGAATATGTCATCTAGGCGACATGGCAGAACCTGAACATGGCGATATGTACGCAATGCGAGCAGGGGGTTTAGCCGCGGCGATTGGCAGGGATGCATGGGGACAGTGGGCCTGTCATAGTGCCCGCGCGGCCTCGAATGCGAGATATTCGACCATGGATGAGATGCAAACTAGACCTTGCGAAGATAGAGAGCACAAAGGATGTTGTCCGACCCTGAGAGATCGTCCCATGCGGGTGCATTAGCCAGGGACACGCTTTCCAACGCTTAGATAACGTCCGTCACACAGCTCTGCCCCTCGTTGCGGACGAGCATCGGACGGCACAAGCAACATCAGCACCATCAGCATCTCGCAGGATGCCCCCATTCATGGCATCTGTCTGTGCCAGTATGCGCGACAGCGTGGAGACAGCGGAGATAGCGATTCAGCGCACATAGTGATCGTTGTCGGACTAACCTACGAAGGTACCAGTCGTCTCGAGTTGAGGGATTCAAATAGCGCTTACCTCCACCAATTGACAAGACCAGATCAATTCCTCCTACATTCGACGCCCTCGCAAGATGGTGCACCTCATCTTGACCGGGGCCACTGGGCTCGTCGGCTCGGGCGTGCTACAGCAGATGCTCGCCAACGACGCTGTCTCGCGCATCTCCATCTTAAGCAGACGGCCCGTGAAAATGGCAGAGGGCGAAGCTAAAGCGAAAGTCATCATACACAAGGATTTCATGACCTACGATCAGACGCTGCTGGACGAGCTCAAGGATGCGCAGGGCTGTGTGTGGGCGCTGGGCGTCTCGCAGAATGACGTTGACAAGGCGTTGGTTATTCCTACTCCACTCATCCCGTGCAAGAAAGCTAATTGTTCCTGTAGTCAATACTTCGAGATAACGCACGAGTACCCCCTCGCCGCCGCACAAGCGTTCGCAAAGCTGCATCCGAACTCGCCGTTCACATTCGTTTTCGTATCCGCCGAAGGCGCCACTCACAACCCGGGCATGTTCACAGCCATGTTCGGGCGCGTCAAGGGACAGGTTGAGAAGTCCATGTTTGACTTCTACAAGGCGACACCGAACTTCAAGCTTTATACGGTGCGACCAGCCGGAGTGGATTGGCGGGATCACCCGGAGATACATCCATTCATGCCCAGTCAGCCGTTGTGGAAGAAGGCGCTGATGGCCCCGATTGATGCGGTGTACAAGCCCATGATCACGCCGACAAAGCCGATGGGTAGGATATACACGGAGCTGGCGATGAGCAAAGGGGAACCGCTGGAGGGAAAGGACACACAGATGGAAGGGAGGCTTTTGCCAAATATTGCTTTCAGGCGAATGGCAGGGCTGTAGACTTCACTGCGCTGATGTCTTGGAAAGTTGCTGTTTACTCGAGGCGTTGCATACTGTGCGACTCGTATGTATTCTGTAGCACCTCTGATAGATACTCGTAACGTAGCGAGTTAAAGAGGCTCGTGTCATACCTGTAGAAACAAGACATTGATGTCCGCTATTTTGGTGATAACATTCCTCCCTTTCCCCACGGAACTTTTCCCACGGCATGGCACACGTGCGAACGCTCACCGTGCGCGGCGGTGGATGACGGTATGACGCTAGCAGGAACCAGGGTCGCGTCCAGCCAGAAAGTCCCGCGACGCGTCAAGCTCCAGCCCACCGTTTCCTTCCTCTGCACCACCGACCCGCACATTCGTTTTTTTTTTCGCCCAGTGTTCGCCAGTGGCACCCTCACTAATAGTCACACACCCACCGCGACGCAAAACGACGCGAAATGCACGAAGACCCGCTCCCCTCATCGGCGCACGCGACCAATCTGGACTCGCCTCTTCTCGACCCGCGATATTCCGCCCTCAAATCCAGCAGTCCACCGCCTCTCTTCTCAGAAAATGATTCGCTTGATACCGCCGATGTGACGAACTACGAGTCACCAAGGGACAAGAGAAAGCGCGCTGGTACATGGTGGCAGACCGGCCCGAGAGGCGCGCCGAAGAGGAGGCAGTTCAACCGCAACTTTGACTCCGGTGTCTACATGATGAGCGATGACTCCGAAGCATCCGCACCTGCGAGTTCTGCAATTTCGTATCTCGGCTTCGACAGCACTTCCGACATACCCTCCGATCCACCAGCGCCGGAGTCTTTAGAGCATTCGGATGAGGGCATCGAGCCCACGACCAAGTCCACGAGCGCTTGGGAAGCCCGGATCTCTCGGGTGATCCAACAAGGCCTCGACTCCAACGAGATGCACTACAACCTCCAAAGCTACTATATACAGGACGATGAGCTACACCAGCTCGGCATGCTTAATCAGATCGTTACCGTTCCTCCAGGTATCGACGTTGATGTCCCTGCCGAAGGTCAATATCGGTCCATGATCCCCGAGATACATGTGAATCTATCGTTAAATGAACTTTCCCGCCTTTCGCCTACCTTGTTCAATCTTCAATACCTGACTAGCCTTACCTTACGCCACAACGCCATCGAGGCAATTCCTCCTCAGATCAAAGAGCTCACAAATCTGAAAACCCTTGATCTCTGCTACAATTTGATACATACACTACCTTGCGAATTGCTTTCGTTATGTACTTCGCAGGGTCAAGGCAGCTTGATGCGCTTAGAGTTGGCGGGAAATCCACTCTATGAGTTCAACAACACCGGTCAGACTGCATATCTCAATGTAGCGTTGGCAATGGCCAGGTCCAAATCACCTACTGAAGTGCTCTCTACCCTTGCTCAAAGAGAGCCAAAAGTTTCGGCCATGATGCTGAGATGTACGGAACTGGAGTGGAGCGAATTTGAAGGACACCACCTTTACACCCCTCCAAGCGTGAAGGTCGACGATGTCAGCCTTGTTCAAGACACGCTCTTCCTCATTCACAGGACCACGGCTTCGTACTACGACCACACGGGTCGGCTTCTGAAAGGCTCTCCTGCGCTTCCAATGCGAGAACAACCGGATCAAAATTGTGATACGTCTCCTTCTGCATCCCAATCAGCAATTCTGACGCACACTTCGCTCGGCGCCGTTGGCATTCCCGATATTTGGTTCGATCGGCCTTCGTCCTTTCGAGTCCCTTCGCTAGCTACGCTCTCCCTGGTCAAAGCGTATAACACCGAGCCAGACCGCGTTCGTGAAGAAGTCGACTATTACGTGGGCGGCAGTATTCCTGGTGGCGTTGAAGCTACTCTTGCAAAAGCAGAAGAAAACGATGCTTCGATGTTTAAGCCACTTCGCAGCTGCCATTGCTGCGGTAGAGACTACATCGTACCGAGAGCAGAATGGATTGAGGGTTGGTTCTTCCAGCAGCAGATACTTCCGATCAAGGTGGCGGTTTGTTCTTGGGCATGCGTACCAGATATTATTGCGAAGAGACCAGAGCCATGGAAGTGGACGGACATTCCAGAAAGATTGTGACGGAGCAACAGGCGGCCCTGGTATGACTTGAATTGATCCATACAGAAACGCCTTGTTGAATTATCTATCTGCCAACTCCTCTTCCATCATCCTCAACAACGCTCTCGTGTTCTCGCTCACCGCCTCCGCCTCATTGACCTTGAATCCTACCCACGGCTTCGCAACACTAGGTTTACATCCACAAACACATTCCTTACTCCCGAAACCCCACCGCATTCTCTTCACACCAATTACCTTTGCCCGCCAAGTAAGCCCACAGTCTTGACATACGGATACATACGGCAGTCCCCTTCCTGCCACCTTCCGATCATGTTTGTCACGAGAACGGAAGCTGCCTTCGGCCGCCCAGCGGTGAAGGGTTGCTGTATGTGCGCAGAAGAGACAGTACACATGCGCGCAGTACTCGCACTTCAGCACGCCCAAAGGATGCTCCCCTTCAATCACCATTACATCGTTTCTAAATTGACAGCAGTGGCATGTCCAGACCGCGGAGGCGTCGCCCCGCAATTCTCTTATGATCATTCGCAGAGACGTATTCAACTTGGCGTGGTGTTCGCGTTGGAGTGCCTTGATCTCTTTGGCTACCTGCGCAGTGGCCTGCTCGTGGGTGGTGGGGCGGTGGTGGATGAAGAGGAAGTGGAAGATGCGGTAGATGAGGGGCATGATGATATTTGGGTTGCCGCGTTTGAAAGAGACGGTGCGTTTGAGGGGCGGTGTTGTATGGCTTTGTTCTACAGAAAGCCACATGGTGGAGGGGAAATTCCCGGTGTATATGGAGGATAGACGTTGTGAAAGTACTATGAGGGGGTATGTGCTTGATTCGTACGGTGAGAGGGTGCTCTGTTGGCGTGTTGTGGATTCGTGGGAGTGAAATCTGACCACCCAGATGATTGATAGGCGCATGAATTCTCGGGACGAGGTCATTACATTGAAGCCGCGGGTATTTACGGCTGGAAGACTGTGATTCAAATCAGGTTTGTCTTCCAGTCGAGATGTTCTACCACAAGGCAGAGACATGTCCAACTTCGCCATGAAACAGCAAAGCATAGGCAATTGCTGGCACTGTCTTTCGAAAGGTCAAACATGTGAGTTCTTTATGGATGTCGCAGATCTACGGATGACTCAAAAGTCAAGTTCTTGCATAAAATCAGCACTTCTCTCCACTTCCAGTCCAGCATGCGAACTTTCGAATCCGTCGCCCTGCGATCTCTTCAATGCGCGGCAAACATCACACTATTACCTCGCGACGGCTCCGCACCACCTTCTGCTTCTCTTGCTTCAAGTTCTTCCCGAGCATCAAGGAGCGACCATTGGCCAAATGCTCACCCGGATTCGGACCTGTTTGCTTGACCCAGGTCTATGCAGAGGAGCCTCCACCTTACGAACGGGTAGACTGTTAGGCTGGTGGCGCCCATAATGCATTTCGATGACTGCCACCGCCATCGTCAATGTTCAATGCTTCCACTGTAGAGCAACAGGCTCGAGCATTGTACACTATCATTGACCGACTATCGCCCCACTCAGTATATAATCAACATCTTCTCCACTTGGGTTTCAGCAACACAAGATATACGCTGTGAAGAACAATTATATTTGAAAAACTACAACGCAAATGTCGACTTCTCAAGCAAACAACTATTTCGGTCATGATCAGCTGGAACACGCAGAGCGTGTTCACCCAGGCTGCACTCCCGAAGGGCACTTCCTGTGCTGCCGCAGGGAGTGCTCCACCGTAAACGCTATCTTCCTATATAAGGGGCCAAGCCCCTTCAAGAAGCTCCAGTGCTCAGGCTGTGATCACATCATGTGCAAGAGCTGCACCCACACCGAGATTATTCAGCCCGGTGGTGATGAGCTTTGGGAGACCGTCGAAGATATACGCGATCCCCATTGCTGGGATGTTCGGGTTGCTCGTTACCGTGGTGAACCTAAGGTGTTCGAAATGTGCGAGTCCTGTGGGCTGACTTACCGGGCTCAGACGCCATTCGGGCATGAGAAGGTCTTTGGATCGACGACCGTTCGTTTCAGGGGTCTTTTCATGCATCTCAAGAACTCTTGCATTTGCGGTCAGCCGGTCATGTTGACCTGGCCACGCATGCACATCAACCTGACGGACGACAACCGCCCTTTCGGCCCGGATGGTGTTGCGCCTAAGAAGGGTCGGCTCCGGGCTCTTTCACGCTCTCTGTTCTATATACTTAGGAAGAACAGCGAGTAGACTGTCGATACTAGGGCGACCCCGCGATCTTCTAGGTGTAGAACATTTTCTATAGTCCCAAGTTGTGCCGGAAGAAATAAGTAACTCCATAGTAAGTTTGAGCACTCGATGGCTTATATGCCAACAATAGTTGACATAATGAATCAGATCAACCCCTCGCACACATCTTGTATAGTAAGTGACCTTCCATCTTCCCATTGCAATCGCTGACCCGTCGTGCACCTTGTAGTATCATCTTACACCGAACCCACCGCCTGGAAAGCTCCGTTCGAATCAAGTAACCCAACATGAAGAGCTACATTGTGCGTTCACAAACCAACACATTGTGGTTGCACTTCGCGGTCTCACCTGACGTAATACATTCACGACACGCCAAATTCTTGGAGCGACCAACGCCTTATATAGAACTTTCCTAGTATGGTAATTCCAACTCAAAAAAAAGACAACTCTGAGTTACAACTCAGACAACTTAAGAAAGGATCCAGCACTCGTCGGAGAAAACATTTTCTCAAATCATACCCAAGTTAGACAGCAAGATGGCTTCTAGCAAGTATACAAATCAGATGATGACAGCGCAGCGCGTTGTCAATCTGACACACAAAAATTGGACTCCTGAGCACGCTGGCGTGCCTCATGGAAGCATCGGTGTCTACGGCTGCTGTCAGCGCGGTTGTGGTCGCCTCAACAACCTGGTACTCCATCATGGAGAGTACCTCTTCAAGCACCTCAAGTGCGACTGCGGCCATGTCATGTGTCAGTATTGCTGCTCAGAGGTCGTTCAATTTGATGTCAACAAGGAGCTTCGCGTGGAACCCGTCAAGGTTCCCGTTCCCGCAACTGAGCCTCCGTACTTCTCGGTGTGCCCGGGTTGCGGACTCACTTATCGAGCGAAGGCAAAAAACTCGATGGGCGTCTTCAATTCGCCAATGGCGACCTTGACGTTCAAGTCTTGGGGGACGCCATGCGATTACTGCAGCTGCACGGTGAGCTCCCAGTGGCCTCGGGTCACTCTTTAGGCTACCGAGTATGGTGCTTCTGCTCAGCCTTCAGTCGTGCACCCGGAGCCTAGCCTCCTCCGCACTGCTACTGCAAAGGTGCGGGATGCTGCCCGGCGTAAGCCGAGCTTGCGCCAGTCTGTCACTGGTAGCTTAAAGGCTGTTGCTCGATTCATGGCTAGTCGCACATCTACCAAGGAGCGCGGTGAGACCTTTCTTGAGCCAAGTTCAAGCCCTCGAAACGTGCCTGAAGCGTCTCGTAAGCGTCGTCGTATGGACCGGGATCACAACATTCCCTATGAATGGAAGGTTGTGGAGTACGACGGAGATCGCGAGGTGTATACCTACCGCGATGAGAATGGCAAACATCTCCGTACTCATCCGGGCAATCGGTACGGGCCATTCATCCATCTTGACTAGGATTTAAGTTCGGAAAGCCATCAAAATGCAAGTAGAGGGAGAGTTCTATAGTAGTGCGCGGGCTATTACTTTTATTCATGAAGTTACTAATAAATTTTCATAACTTTTTCGTGTTCGCCTTACACACTGCACTTGTCACCTTACATGAACAACGTTTATGGTACTCTAGGTTCGCTCAGTGTGATCGATACATACTTTGCAAATTTCCGATTCTTCTGCTAAGGTCTCATTCTAATTTTGACTTTCTGATAAGCTCCTGCCTAACTGAACTTTAGAGCACATTATTCTACTTTCATGCTGTGTATGACATGGATCTCTCGATGGACCCTTGTCACATGTCGATGCGCCTATACCGAGCGCCTGTTAAGAGAAAAAGCATCGCCTATGATATCATTCAACGGTCAACACAGCTCGGACCCATGGCTTCGTCACCTACGCGTGTAAAACTGAGAATGGTAGGTGCCAACACGACTCATGGCCACTGTCGTTTCAGCCCAAACCTTAGGGCATTGATAATCTAGGGTGATGAAGCCTTTCCAACGATCCCTTCCCCCACGCATCCTTTTACTCACAACTTCGCGATGCAGGTGGAAAGTTCCGTAGGCTCGGCTGTTGGTTAAGACCGGAAGGAACTCCTACTCGCTCGACTGGGGTCTCTGATATGAAATTTGGGAACGTCCCCGTCCGGGTTCGCTTAAGCCGGGGAATCTACTCCTAAACCAGCACACTAGTTTGAGGTCGGAGTGCTCGTGCTTTTAAATTCAGCTCACAGATTGGTCGTCACGGTTTTTACCCCTGCAGTAGGTCGCGCATATTGGGCCGCATCAAGGAAGCCATGAGCCGTCGCACGGGATCCATTCGTATCTAGCGGGACATCCCTCTCACTAAAAGTCGTTCAGGCCGCCGCATGCGGGCACTAAACTTTTTCGCTTCCTCTGCCCACTGTCGGTACCAAAGAATCGCACAGTAAGGCGCGACTACAGATGGCTCCAGGACTCTTTTGCGTTTGGTCGGAACCCGACCCTGATACTTTCGTGGAAGTCAACACGGAGGACAAGACTTTCAGCGATGCGATCTCCAAACTGCCCGGTGTCACGCTCGGTACGCAAGTCAAGCTCATGAAACGACAAGTGAATGAATACCCATTCAGTCACGAGATTCCTTTCTTGACTATGTACGACCTGGAAGACGTGGATTACCGGAACGATGAAGCCTTCAAAGAAGCAGCAAAGGCAGCCGAAAGCCGAGGAGAGAAGGCTTGCAAGCCCCGCATCTACGAGGAGTTCTATCGACGAGAGGTGGAAGGTTGCCAAGAAAGTAAAAATCCCTGACCCGTGTAACACGCAGTGAACATGGCTGAGCTAGCTCGTAGTACATCCGCGCCTAGGCGACAACATTAGCATAGTGACTTGCGAGGCACCTCCACCGGCGCAGAAGGAAGGGTTCTGGAAATGGCAGAAAGAGGTCTTTACACCAAGCTTCTTGGAAGGGCCTACTTTTCTGCGCGCCAGGATCCTCAAAGAAGTAGGAGGAGAAGCAAGAACGGAACGAGTAATGCCATCTGCACCATACCTGTGGATCTTTGAATGGGAAGACGACGAATTACCCTGGATCGAGTTGACGGGCGCTGCGCAATCAGCAGAATGGGTCAAGTACATTGAGGGAGGTGTGATTTTCCAAGGCATGTGTTATTATGCGAAGAGGTACACCGAGAGGTTTGAGATGACATTGAGCCCTGGGAATACGGATTACGAGAACGACGGAAACTCAAGTATAGACTCTCGCAGCATCATCAGCTTTGACGGGGATGAGACGATTGAGAAATAGAGAGACGATCTTCTGCAGAATGCGTGTAAGAATGGTTTGGTGTTCTTCGAATTTGATAGTCTCCGTATGTTTGAAGCAAGAAACCTTGTTACGCGGTAATGAAGCTGCTCAAGCTGTGCGCTCCTTACGCCTTCAGATTGAATTTGTTGATGTTGCCATGCACTGCCCGCAAAGTACTCCGACAATGACGAAGGATGTTCAAATACCCGGTCAGCATGAAGCTGCATTCACCGACAATATCCAGACAATTCAACTAGAACATAGCAAAGTCGCAGAAGATTCTTCTGGTAGAGCGAGTATTGAGCAGTCGAACTAAAGGTCGGTATCTCATAAAACGAAGCTACACGGGCCCGTTGCGTTGGTAGGAACGCAGTAACGCTAGCTTAAGGAGAACCTACCGCCTACGACTAATAGAGATGTAAGTCTCTACTAATGTAAAGCCTACGAGGTCCATCTCAATTTTGTGAAGACAATGGCGATGTTCAATAATGCACAATGTACGCTGAGACAGACTCACAACAGTAATCAGAGTAAGACACTTTGTGCAAGCACGAGACAAGTTTTTCCCGCTCATATATAACCAAACAAGTCACTTCGCGGTGCACCCTATCGAGCACACACCATCCAGCAACATGCCGTACCATGACTTATCACTCATGCGAAGCTTGGTCGTACAGCAGCGCGACAAGCTCAAAACGCAAGTAAAAAGTCTCCTCAAACGCCGTGACCGTCCTCTTGATCTGCCTCCTACAGAGCCCGATCACAATGCTCCACCACCCAGCCACTGGATGGGCTTCTGGATCTGCAACAACTGCAACGCATGGGCTTACCCAGAGTACCACCGCGGTGCGCATCCCTTCGGCTACCTACGTTGCCGCAACCCAGACTGCAGGACGGTCATCACCCCCAATGCAACGACTTCCCGAGCACTACATCGCGTCATTATACCAAAGCCAATACGAGACTTCGTACCCGTCGAACGTCTTACTGGCACACACCGAGAGCAGATCCCCTACTTTGCTGTCTGTCCGTGTGGTCTGACGCACCGCGCCAGAATCTTTGAACAGAGCTTGTATAAGAAGTGGAAGCACTTCCAGCGTGTTCGACGGGACGAGCCTGTGCTAGAGAAGTTGCGCCGGTTTATGAAGCACAAGGACGACGGCGAGGTTACACTCATCGAGTTCGAGCATATGCAGTGCAACAAGTGCTATAGACGGTATGATGCGTATCGCTGGCAGCACTTTGTCATTCACCACGATGGTGTGTTTCAAATCGATGGGCGTGACGACCATGGCCGTTGGGCAGAAATCCGTCATAAGGAGTAGTGGAAGCGTTTTGGCCATCTGCCACGGATGGCATTGCGATTCTAACGAAGTAATATTGTCGTCTCAGCAGATGTCCTAAGTATATTGACATCGTCTATTCGCTATTTCTTCTCGAGTTCTACATACGGCTTTCCTGCCATGCATCATTATTTAAGTACATTACAAAAATTGGGTATCCTGCGAAAATCAAAAACCTTCCCATGCCATGCTGCTCATTATTCCCTGAATATGCTGATTTCCAAATTGGCATATGCCAACGCTAAGTTTTGTCTCTCACAGTAGACCGACAATGAAGGCTCCGAAGATGAACAGCAGCGCACTCGACTGAACGCTCAAGGCCCTCGATCCAGCACCTTTCTGAGACGCCGTCTCTGCAGGCTGTCCTGTGTTTGTTGGGTAAGCCGCAGCACTCGCTTCGGTCTGATTCGGCCAACCCAGGACAGTCGTCGTTCCATGAAGAAATACGGTTTGCCCAATCGTGGCTGATGTGCTACCACTGATGACGTACGCGGGTACCACGGTCTCTTTCCCATTGATTGTAGTCGTGATGGAAGTGAAAACTACATCCGCCGTGGGAGTAGAGAGTACCGTCGCCGTCCCATCGATAGTGACAATTTGCCCAATCGTTGCTGTTGTGCTTCCGCTGATGATATATACAGGGACCAGGGTTTCTTTTCCATCGATCGTGGTCATGATCGAAGTATACACCGCATCAGCGGTTGGTAGTGCCGTGACCTGGCCGTCGAGGGTGATCGTCTGTCCGGGAAATGCAGTGATGCTTCCGCTGATTATGAAGGCCGTAACGTGAGTCTCTATGCCGAATAGAGTGGTGGGGATCTCAGTTGCGAAGGGCGCCGGTGCCGCAAGAACGGTAGGTTGACCATCTATGGTAAGCGTTTGGCCGATTGTAGCAGTCGAAGTGCCGCTGATAATGAAAGCGGGTGCGGAGGTAGCGACGCCGTTGATGGTAGTGGGAACGAATGCGAAGATCGCTGTTGGGGCTGCCAGGACTGAGGTCTGCCCATCGAAAGTCACGGTTTGACCAATTGTCGCAAATGAGGAGGGGCCCGGAAAGATGAAGACTGGGATCGCGGTTGGGCGGCCATTGATCGTCGCAGGTACAAAAGTGAAGACAGGACTTATAGGGGTCGCCGCTGGGCGTCCTCCAGGATTGTTCACGACAGGAATAGGATTACCGGCCCCGTTAGTGTTCGTCGGCGGCTGACCAACCCCATTTTCGTTGCCCGGCGATGGAGCTGGTTGTCCTCCGTTGTTGCCACCTGTAGTTGCTGCCTGGCCATCTCCAGTGTGAGGGGTGCTAGGAACATTCACACGGGTAGAACTAGGCTGAACAGTAGGTCGTGGGTCCCATGGTGGCATACTGGATACGATGTTTGGGATATTTGGGATGTTTGGGATCTGGATCGATGTGGATTTTGGACCTGGTGTTGTCGATGGTCTCCTAAAAGTTGGAGTAACACTGATTTCGCCATGTGCTGAATCTGGATGTTGTGATGGCTCCTGCGTTGGATCCTGCGTTGGCTCAAAGATGTTGGGCGGGTCCGTGGTCGTTATACCATCCTCCCATCCTGTCACAGAACTTTCCGGATGAATGAATCCAGGGTTGACCAAGCTTGTGGCAAATGTCGCAGTAGCCAGAACAAACTTCGCTGTGGAGATGTCTAGGGGAGCGGGCTTCCCCTGCACCGATGTACAGTATGCGAATGCGGACTCAGAAGGGAAGGCTTGATCGAACCACTTCTTCTCGGGAAGTTCTTGAAGGGCAATCCAGACTGGTACGTAGTCCGTACCTTCAGGATCATTCTTGTCCGGAACGATATCCGTAGGTTGGGGATAGAGCGGATGCGGTGTCACCTCCCCCAAATGCCAGCTCTTCTGTCGAAGTAGCACATACTGACACTGAATTCTCGTCATGAGTAGGTACGATCCCTTGCCAGTGATACGCTGCTGGATAGTCTACCCACGGCGTCGGATATGCAAATATCGTGGGCACCTCGCCATCAGAAAGAGTGATGGTAGCTTCAACAGTTTTGGTACCGCCTTCATCTACACCTTGCTGATAGAGTGTGTAGAATTTCGGCAAATCCTCGTTATAATACGTGTCCGTGAAGGTATAGGTGGTATTCCTCTGGGTCAAAGTCGAGATAGTAACGGTGCCCACTGTAACGGTTTCGGTGAAAACAACCTGATCTTCTCGCGCCCACGAAAGTCCAAACAGTTCCGGATAGCGCACGTCGCATGACGCCTCGCAAGTCGACGCGGAATTGGTCGGTGTAGGGCTCGGCGCTGTTGTCGCATTGGTGACAGGGAATGATGTAGGTACAGGCACGATTCCAATCCCCACTCCTGTTCGTTATTTAGCCGGATTGCCCCTATGAAGGAAACGGTTTCGTTGCCTACTTTGAGGGGCCGCGCGCGCCACTGCCGCAAGCGCGACCGTGAACACTCCAAGGATGCGGTCCTTCGACATTGCGATTGAGCACTTGAGCGCAGCGCAGTGACGTTGCAGCACTCGTATCAACAGTAGCGAGCGTGAGGAAACGAACTAAACATTGCAAAGACGTTTCGAGCGAAAGATGGCGTTTTGAGGAGAGTCATTGAAATGGACCGGTCTATAGGATTGGCAGGCGGACGGCAGGCTAGCCAGCTCGACCTCGTATTCCGCCTCAGCTCCCATGCACAAGGTATTGGCGTTGCGAGGCGGCAGCCACATGCAGGCCTTGCAGTGCCTATTGTCGACTTTGATACGAAGCGTCGTCATTCCGCTTTGCTGCCATAGACTGCGCATTCTTGTGATTTGGTGTAACTCCTGAGCATGCGAATATCTCCTTCGAACATCGTGACTTCGGCAATGTCCAAGACTTCAAGCGAAGCGCACAGATCTGGCTCGTACGAAAGGGGGTACCTGACCCGCAAATGGAGCAGGGGTGGACCTGACTTGATGTTATGTCGGGGGTGTTTTGATAGGGGAAAGAGACAGAATCGCAGCGTTCAGTGGAGTGATATACGGAAAGAAAATGATGCATTTCGACGTTGGGGTCAGTACTACCTAGGTACATATGTGTACAGCGCTGTTCAGAGAGTTCAGGATGGAGCATCGATCGGTACGAGTGTGCGTCACCACGGAGATGTGTCATTAATGTCGAATGCGGCCCAGCTCAAAGAACCTACGGTATTCTCACTGGAACGGCCGCGGCCAGCGATTTGTGAGGTGTTTCTCGGTGCAATGTGGGTGGGTGCCGGCGCCGTCAAGAACGATCCGCCGAGGGAACTGCGGGCCTTTGTGGCTTTCGCATGGCTTTCGCGTGGCTGTGGCGGTGCACCGGATAATCTGGAGTCCCCTCCAACGCGGGGGGCAACTCCATCGTGTCACAACTGCAATATCGGCCAAATTGCACCCGCAGTCCAAAACCTGGGTCACGTCGCTTGATGACGGGGAAACCTGGTTCCGCCGACTGCACATGCGTGTGTGCCTTCGCATTCAGCTTCACAGGATCACGGCCCGCTAGTGACTTGAGGTTCCCCTTTCGTATTGCAGCTGGTGCGCAGGCACATCGCCATGCAGCTCATCTATGTACAATTGAATTTGCAGCAGGACTTTCCCACAATGCCCCGGTTTAGGGATGCTATTCCAGATTGCTATAAGCAAACAATGGAACCATAACACGACGTGAATATAGGGCCGGGATCCGTACCGACGCTACGACTTGTATATTACTTCCACGTACTCAAGCACAACCAAGCACAGGTCCGAGCTGTGCAAGCGCTGGATCTACGCGCTCGGACTTGGAGCTTAATTCATCGTGAAGCTTCAGTGTTGACCCTACTACAGGCATTATTGGTCTTGCGGATATGCCGAATACCCCAAGATGCTCCGTACGCTTGCCCTGTCGTGCGTCGGGAATACACGTCCAGAGTCCAAAGAGCTAGATCCATTGCCGATACCTCGTACCCACGGCATCTAGATTTTACACTTGACGGCACGCGAGTCTCCAGCGGGTCCAATTCAGGTCGAATGTTCTACGGGCACGTGGACCAATATAGGACGACCTCAGTAGCGGGCTGCATGTCAAGGTCATGAGCAGCTCCTGAGCGGGTCTCTCGATATGTACCCCGGATATTCCACCAGTCAACAATGCGGGCCGTTGTACTTGACTACCGAGGAACCAACCCCAACCGGAGCTACACCCACACAGGAAGGCTTCGAGATGCCTTCGAGCTCTTCTTCATGCAGTACAACCCGGTCACGTACACCAGCACCCACGATGCCCCTGAAGAGCCTCAAGATCTGCGGGATCTCGTCCCGACCCTGGCCATGTTTTTCATATACACGTCTCCTACGCGTCCCTGACGTCCACTGACCTAGAGAAATAGATTGACGTTATCTCCGAAAGAGGTATGATAAGGATTTTTGACCAGGAATTTCACGGAGGACAGCTGGAAGCGAGTACTCGGTAGCGGATCGACGGTTCGAAGTGGCTGGTGTCAATTTACAGACCGCGTACAACGACAAGGCGGTACAGACGCGACTTGAGACTGAGCGCGATGTAGCTGCGAAGTATAAAAGGTAGTGATTCAGGATATTTGAAGACTACGCTCCTCAGTCAATCTCACGCATCAGCTTCAGCACCTCATCATGTTCTCGAAGGCTAGTGTTCTCTCTTCTCTTTTTGCGGCAGGTGTGTCCGCCCAGCAGGTCGGCACCCTGACCACAGAGACTCACCCTTCTCTGCCAATTCAGTCTTGCTCGGCCTCTGGATCCTGCTCGACCATCTCGACCTCGGTCACTCTCGATGCTAACTGGCGTTGGTTGCACTCCACGAAGAGCGCGGACAATTGCTACAATGGCAACGCCTGGAATACAACCTTCTGCCCTGACAACGTGTCCTGTGCCGCAAACTGCGCTCTCGATGGTGCCGACTACACTAGCACATATGGTGTCACTGCTGCGAGCAGTGCTCTTACGCTCAAGTTCGTGACTCAGGGCACGTACAGCACGAACATCGGTTCCAGACTCTACTTGATGGCCTCGGACTCCAAGTACTACATGTTCAAGCTTCTCAACAAGGAGTTCACCGTATGTATAACGAAATGGCGAAGACAGTGAATCAATAACTGACCATCCACAGTTTGACGTCGATGTGTCGCAGCTGCCATGCGGTTTGAACGGTGCTTTGTATCTGGTTGAGATGGACGAAGATGGTGGTCTTGCCAAGTACACTGGCAACAAGGCCGGCGCAAAGTACGGTACGGGATACTGCGACACGCAGTGCCCTCACGACATCAAGTTCATCGCTGGTGAGGTAAGTGGCAAATTGTCTACTCTTTGTATCTTCCATGTTTCTTGCACTAGACTTCGAGACTAACAGCTTTCAGGCGAACTCTGAAGGCTGGACCCCTAGCGACAACGATGTCAACGCCGGTGCCGGTACATACGGAGCTTGCTGCAACGAGATGGACGTGAGTATCTCAGACCCCATCAACCCATAAAGAGGTTGCTAACCACCTACTTCTAGATCTGGGAGGCCAACTCGATCTCCGCTGCCTACACTCCCCACGTCTGCAGCAATAACGGCCTTCTCCGCTGCTCTGGTACCGAGTGCGGTGATGGCGACGAACGCTACAGCGGTGTTTGCGACAAGGACGGCTGCGACTTCAACAGCTACCGCCAGGGCAATACCTCCTTCTACGGCCCCGGTATGACTGTCGACACCAAGTCCAAGTTCACTGTCGTCACCCAGTTCGTCACCAGCGACGGCACCGACACCGGCAAGCTCACCGAGATCCGCCGCAAGTACGTCCAGAACGGCAAGGTCATCGACAACAGCGTTAGCAAGATCTCCGGAGTCACCGGAAACAGCATCACAGACTCGTACTGCAACGCCCAGAAGACCGCCTTCGGTGACAACAACAGCTTCGAGGAGCTCGGTGGACTCAATGCTATGGGCGGTGCTATCGGCCGCGGCATGGTTCTCGCCCTCTCTGTCTGGGATGACCACGCCGTTAATATGCTCTGGCTCGATTCCACCTACCCTACCGACAAGAGCGCCTCTACTCCTGGTGTTGCCCGCGGTACCTGCGCTATCACCTCTGGTGTCCCTGCAGACGTCGAGAAGAACAGCCCCAACTCCCAGGTCATCTACAGCAACATCAAGATTGGTGCTATTGGATCGACCTTCGGCTCTGGCTCTGGTACCACTCCATCTGGCACCTCTAGCGCTGCTGCTTCTTCTACTCCTACTTCTGGTACTGGTACTGGTGCGCCGCTGTACGGACAGTGCGGTGGTTCGGGCTGGACCGGCGCGACGACCTGCGTGTCCGGCACCTGCAAGTCGCAGAGCCAGTGGTACTCTCAGTGTCTCCCGTAGATGGGTCAACGATGGAGAGGTCTTTGTATGTAAAGTTCGTCGAGGATAGTCTAGGGGCGGGATGGGCTGCTAGATTGACTGTGATTCTTGTAGATAACGCTCGCTTTAGCATAGAGTAGGGATACATGTATCTAGAATGTATGGCTAAGCACAGTGGACATGTTCAAGCAAACAGTAATTGCATTGTACTACCTAGCTATGTAATGAGCTTGTCTTAGCTTCGCCAAAGGCTACTAAACCCCAGCGGTACGTTGAACCGCAAGCTCTTTGCTGGGGGCTACTTGCTTTCCAGGGAGAAGAGGCCATTCCCTTTTACAGGTCCGGCGAGAAGCCCTCTTAGTGCCGACCCTAAAGGATCAGCACCGTTTCAGCGCCTTGAGCGAGAACTTCTTGAAGCCCGAAGGCTTGTTCTGCTCGGGGAGAGGGTCGATGGGGAGGTCGTTGCCGGCGGGAAGGGGAGCTTGGTCGTCTCCGACTTCTGCCTTCACGTAGTACCAGAGCAACTCGTCGCCCTGGACCACGGTCAGAGCAAGACAGCCGTGCTGGTCGAGCGCCCAGCCAGCTTCCTTGCGGCCGACGAACTGCGGAAAGAAGCCACCCGGGTTGGCGGCGTTGTCGATGTCGTCGAGCTTTGGCCAGTTCTCGACGTCGTGCTGGAGCTTTGCAGCGAAGGCAAAGCCGAAGAGGGACATGAGGGCGAGGTCGGCCGCCTCGCGGAAAGCGAAATCGCCAGGGAGCTTGACGTGCTTCGAAGAAGCCGTACCGTGCCAGAGGGTGAATTTGTGCCGATCGTCCTTGGACGGCGGCCTGTCGCGAGGGCCCGTCTCGGCGTAATGCACGCTTTCCATGCGCTCGTGCAGGCGGGAGAGGGAGAAGGTGACCTTTTCGACGAGGTCGGCGGGAAATGCCTGCGTCGGCAGGTCTTTTGCGAGCAAGGGCTTTACGCCCGCGGAGGCATCACCAGCGATGGCCGAGAAGGACATCTTCTTGGAGCGAGGTTGGTGAGATTTGCAGAAGGAGACGTTGGGTGCGAAAGGTGGTGTTTTGCAAGAGGAAATGAGCTTCGTGGGCGGAGGTGAGTGAGTCGCAGGGCAAGAGCAAAACAACGACACACCCAGGTGAATCACCGTCCTTTTCTCCCGTTCACAAAGCTACCCTGTGCATTGCTCTTCACTTCCAAAGTTCCGCATGCTGTACGCCCCTTAGGTATTGTTGGATCTAGTCGATGGAGAACATATGGAGGCATCCTGAGCCATTCATATATGTGAGGAGCAGATGTTTGCCTATACTTCTTGATGTCTGGTGAGTATCGTAATGGATGTATTATATATGTCTGTTTGTTGAACCCATGCCTGAGCATGTATAGACGGAACAACGATAGGCTGAGTGTGCGTATACGGAAGCACCCGGGTTCATAACCTGTTGGATCTAGTTAATAGAGAACATATAAGGGCGTCCTGAGCCGTTTATATGAGTGAGGAGCAGATATTTGCCTATGATTGCTGGTGTCTGGTGATCAAGCAGTCCAACAGGTATAGAATGCTAAGAACAACTTCACTGTAGCGACTCTGCTCACGTAAAACCCAAAGCCCCGGGGCCTACATCGACTGTTCTTGCAACTTCTAACCAAGCCTATCCCGGCATCGTTGTCCCTATGCTGCTATCTCTTTAACAGTTGCAAAGTTTGTGACATTTCGACAGCGTTTTCGCCGTTCTGATATACATCCTTCTCAGCACATCGCACTGTACAATTGCATTTCCAGACGTAAGGGATAACTGGAATCACGATAGTGTCCGCCTTTGCTAGTATATGCTATCTCTTCACAGCCCATGGCCAACGAACGTGACCAGTCAAGCAAATGAATGCCACCGGTGCAGGCTCAAATATTGATTCTTTCAACCATGTCCTTGACCTTGCGGGTTTCCCCAGCAATGTCACTGGCCTCAATTGTCGTCACAGCTGCGGCAATTACCTGCCTTCTAATCCCAAAGCCCTTCCCAGTGGAATGACGCTTGGTACGTGTGCATAGAGAACGTGCTTATCCTCGAAGAGAAGTGGGAGGTGTAGTAGGATCGCGAGTGGATTGGTATCGGCGGCAAGTAGATAAACTCGGCCATGCCGCGGTTGAGGGACTTCCTAGCTGGAGAAAAGTCACTTGGCGAGCTTAACCTACAGAAGAGGATGAGGAAATGTACCTTCATTCGCACCTGTGCGCAGCTGTCTGAGGTGGGTGGCGCGTTCGGCAAGCACTTGAGATCAAACAATTACGCGGCGAACACCTCATTTGCAACAGGTCATGCTGCCGGTATTCTGTCATGCTGGGCAAGTAGACAGTAGACTCGGTCATCGGTGGAACGAGGTTTCGGTGAGCTTTCGAAGGAATGGAAAGACGCGGATGCTGTGTCCGATGTACGCCAAAACGTTGGGTTCACTGCAAAGCTCGCCCGAAGGTTCCTAGGAGGATTAGCATGCATACGAGTATTTGGAGTTTGAACGTACAGTGCTAAGCTCGCCCAGAGCAAAGGCGGTGGTTTGGAGGGTGCTGGTAACGATGTGGGTGCGACGAAGCGGGACAACCACTGTTTGGCCGCATGGCTTGGCACGAGGCCACAGGTACACGATCCCAACGTGTCAGTCCAGCCCATGGTCTAGCCCACAATACACCTTTGGAATCAGTCGTCAGAACGTTCACTCAGTTCCAATACAAGGCTTCGACACCATTCGAGCTTCGAGCATCGCAAGATTCATTTGTGCAAAGCGCTTGCGCCGCAATATGGATGCATGCAAAGTGGCCTACATCACGAAGGAATGCATGGAACTGCATCTGGCCCACACTTCTGGTTCATCGTAACGATAACAGGTGAAAGTGTATCGCCTTGGTCGCGGGCATAAATGCATGCACGCTTATCCGCTGATATCCTGTGCAACCACAACAACGAGCGTTGAGGGATATGTTTAGCGTAAGAGTCGTCGTTCGCTTGCCGATGGCATATGGCGGTCAATGACGAGCCAGCATGTCCTGCTGTCCACTGGGCCGTTTAGCTCCGTGAACATCGATCGATGAAGCTATTCACAGCGGCAGTGGGGCAGCAATTGGGTAGCAGCCGCGCTACTGGTGGATCTCGGTGGCTTGGGTGATGTCAGGGCAAAATTCTGGTGCGCTGGGGTCGCGGCCGTTAGCGCAGCATTGGGGTTGGGTTTATTACTTAATGAGCCATTTCCATACACCGCGGCGAGGATCGCACGTTCAGGTGAAAATTAGGACCCGACCTGTCCTCCTTCGCAATACCTCCATCATCTGCACCCACTAGCTTCCGGCACTTCACCCCGACGTGACTGCCGTTTATTGCTCAACACTCGCTTCCAGCGACAGCCTTTGGTCATAGCAAAGGCAACCCCTCCAATACGGCCTCGGCCAGCTTCCTCTTCGACCTTCAAGTTGTATCTGCTCGACCTTCACCACACACGTTCAACAACATACCTCCTCCGGTTGCAGACTACTAAAGCCGACCTCGAGCGCGCGTTGTTTCCTCCCGAGGCCAACCGAACCCCAGAATCGCACTCTCAGCTGCCGCATAGCAGTCTCTCTGTGGTTCTTCCTCTCGGAGAGGAAGAGTCGAGGAGACCTCGCCCACAAGCCAGTCTCGGCTTCACACCCTTCAAACCCCCTTAACACGCCCCGGCGCCCTTCAGACAACCAAATCTACACTTATAGCATATTTCTCCGGACCGAACATCCAGGGAATGGCACCTTCCGCAATCACACCCACCGAAGAATATAAGTTTACACACGAAGACTACAAGTCTATCGAACCTGCTCTTGGTAGGCTCGATAATCATGGCGTCCTGCTTGGCAAACAGTTGAAAGGGGAGGCTTTGAAGAGCCGTGTTGAGGCTGTTGATCCTGATACCTGCGATGTTGGTGACGAAGATGCCTTCTTCGTCGCTGACTTGGGCGAGGTCTACCGCCAGCACCTTCGCTGGAAGAAGAACTTGGGCCGTGTCAAGCCCCATTATGGTGAGTTCCCTTCCCTCTGTCATCACTACGTAGCACGGTACTGACGTCGCCCCAGCGGTCAAGTGCAACCCTGACCCCCAGGTCCTTCGCCTCCTGTCCGAGCTGGGCCTAGGCTTCGACTGCGCTTCCAAGAATGAGATTGAGACGGTCCTGAAGATGGGTGTTGATCCCTCTCGCGTCATATATGCTCAGCCATGCAAGACGAAGGGCTACCTCCGCTATGCCACCAATGCCGGAGTCAAGCAGATGACTTTCGACAACGCCGACGAGCTCTACAAGACCAAACAGATCGCTCCTGATGCCGAGCTCTACCTCCGCATCCTGACCGACGATTCTGCTAGCTTGTGCCGCCTGAGCCAGAAATTCGGTGCCTCCATGGACACCACGGGCGAGCTTCTTGAGCTTGCGAAGAAGCTTGAGCTCAACGTCGTGGGCGTGGCTTTCCACGTTGGCTCTGGAGCCTCTGACCCGAAGGCATTCATCAAGGCCGTTCAAGACGCGCGATTCGTCTTCGACCAAGCCGCTGCCCTAGGCTTCAACATGCACACCCTCGATGTCGGCGGCGGCTTCACCGGAGACAAGACCTTTGAGCCTATGGCCGCAGTCCTCTCCGCCTCCCTGGACGAGTACTTCCCGCCGCACGTCCGTATCATTGGCGAGCCAGGCCGCTACTTCGTGTCCACGGCGTTCACCCTCGCGTGCCACGTTATTGCGCGCCGCACCGTTGCCGACGCCACGCTCGGTACCACGTCCTACATGCTTTACATGAACGATGGCGTCTACGGCAACTTCTCGAGCATCATCTTCGACCATCAGCACCCTGTGCCGCGCGTGCTGAAGAACGGAAACGACATCTTGTACGATGCTCGTCGCTCGGGCTACGATACGCCGTCCATGGTCGAGTACTCGATCTGGGGTCCGACTTGCGATGGCATCGATGTCATCTCGTCCTCGTGCACATTCCCAGAGATCCTGGATGTTAATGACTGGCTGTACTTCGAGGATATGGGGGCCTACACGAAGTGCTCTGCGACCCGCTTCAATGGCTTCACCGATAACCACGATGTGGTGTACGTGTGCAGCGAGCCGGGTGCTAGCGCTCTGCTGGGTCTTTGAAGCTGAGAGGAGAGGATGACGATGGGCTTTACTCTGAGCATGTTGTAGATGAAGGAAAGGAGGAGTATCGCAGCGTTAGCTTGTGCATATTGTATCTATGCTCAGCGTCAGCAAACACCAAAAGTACTTTGATAGACTGTTATAGAATTTTCACTGTTTCCACGAAAATCAGTCCATTTCCTATACTCTTTGCTGTACGTGTTCAATGCAAGTTCGAATTCCCATATCTCTGCCGTATTCTGGATCACATCTACCCTCGGAAGTGGGCAAATAAAACCATAGTCGATTCTCACGTTCTAGTATTGGTAGCCCAACTAGTGTACATTTTCGACTCGAAGTTGATCTGGTATTGAAACATGCGTAGCACATAATGATATGTAAGATGAACACACTCATGGGTACACAGTCATGATGCTGTGAGCTCCGAAGCTTTGGAATTATATCTCTCTCTACATGCTCACGGTAAAGCCATGCCCTCACCTCCGAGAGTACTTATCGTCCTTGGTCTTACTCCTCCCATCATCTTTCTCATCATACGCATATTCACGCCTCTTCCTCCGCCTGTCTTCTGAGTCCCTACTCCGGCTCCTTTCCCTCTCACGACGCTTCTCCCTCCGATCTTTGCTATCAACGCTTCTCTCTCTACGATCCCGCTCTCGCCGCTTCTCTCGTCGGTCGCTATCGTAGGGGCTACGGCTTCGGTCTCTGCCGCTGTCTTTCTCGCGCCGCTTCTCCCGTCTGCGATCATCGTAGTCATCTTCTCGGTACTTCTTGTCTCGTCGGCGGTCACGGTCCGAGTCCTCATATTCTGAGTACTTCTTCTCCCTTCGGCGATCGCGGTCACGGTCTGAGTACTCATCGTCGCGTTCCTTCCTCTTGTCGTCCCGGCGGCTCTTGTCCGTCCTCCGTTCGCTGCCATAGTCGTCGTGTCTCCGTTCCCTCTCCTTTCTCTCCCTCCGCTTTTCGTGTCTCCGCTCGGCTTCCTCATCATCGTCGCCTACAAACGTGCTGTTCTTCGCCGCCTTCGCATCGGCATCCTTCTGCTTCGCCAGCCGTTCTTTGAGCTCCTCCTCGGTGATCATCTCGCCCGTGTGCTTGTTTCGTAGCGTAACAGGATTGTACTTTATCGCATCCTTCTTTCCGAACTTCTTCGGCTTACCCCACTCGCCCAATTCGACGCCCACCGCAGCTTCCGGCTTCGCACCGATTCCAAGAAGCGCGGGTCGCCTCTTAATCTCTTTGGGTTTCTCGACCGGCTTCTTGTCTTTGCTCAGCGACTCGCCATCTTTCCAGCCCATGCCACGGAGGAGAGCTGCGCCAAAACCCTCGATGGGTGTGGCTTCGTATGCAGCGAGGTCGGGCGCATCGGGGGCTTCGAGCATGTCGTTTTCGAAAGCCTCTTCTTCGGAAATAGGGATTACGGTTTGGTCCGTCGATTTGCCATTCACGAGGGCTTCGAAGGCTTCGGCCTGGAGTTTCTCCTCCTCAGTGCGGCTGTCTTCTGGTTTCACATCACCATCGACATCCATAGGCTCCGGTTGTTCTTCTCCGTCTGGTGTATCCTTCTTGTCGAACGTAGTCAATCCAAAAGCCATCTTCGGCTGCTCCAACTGCGCCATATTATCGCCATGGCCGGTCTCTGTAGGCGGAGCGCTCGTGCGCGCATGTTGTCGTTTCTGCGCCGCCTCGCGCCAATCGCGATTTGGCAATGCGGGAATGACACGGGGACCTTTCGGTTGTTCCTTCTTGTTTGCGTCCACGGCGCCGCCTTCTGCTGCGTCCCAGCCGGTGATTGCTTCCTTCGCGTTCGTGATTTCGGGCTCGTCGTCGTCGAGAGCTAGGCGTCTTCGCTTTTGGGGCTGCACGGGGGAAGCTTTGAACCCGGATTTGCCTTTTGCGCCGGCGAGCGACAATTTGAACCCGCCGGTGGCCATGGTGCGGGAGGAGGCTTTGAGCGCGGGAGCTTTACGAAGCTTGCATGAAGCAGTGTGGGTGACTAGGGTCCAAAGCAAACATGCAAAAGCTATCACAGTCCGAGAACACAATGCAGGAAGAGGAAGCGAGCTGGGGTCGAAGTGAGAGAAGTGAATGCTCTGCGAAAGGTGGAGTCGTGATCTCAAAAGTTCACGCCAATGACATCGCGCTTGGCGTTTATCGAAGGCGGCAACAACCACGTCCACGCGTGCGCCATGGTCACATGCAAATTGTCACGTGCGCAGCAACTCGCCCGGGTGGGCCCCGGGCCCGGCTTCAGGAGCTGTCTACGGTCCAATATACAGAAAATGTCTACATGAGGGTCTGTAGGTGCGAACGATACCTAATCAAGCATTCCGAGGCGCAAAACGGTCATCAAGCCCTGGACTGCAAGTCATCTTAGTCTAAGCTGGGAGCCGTACCTTCCTACTTACATCAACCTCCACCTGCTTACCTCTCATCAACTTCGCTGCATGTCTCGTCCATTTCCGACCGGTCTAAGCTCAACTGCCGTTGCACGCAAAGATCAGGTCACAAAATGTTCCGCTTCAGCGCACGTTCGCTTCATCGCACCGCAAACGGCAAGGTGCAACTCACTTGGGGGCGGCTGAGGGCCAGCTCGTACCAGCTCGTACTTGGAATACGAGGCCATGCATCTTCGTACTTTTAAGGGCCGACTTTGGGCCCTCCTTACCGTTCAGTTTCCACTCTGTAACAGCTCTCAGTCAGGCACTCCAACTTTCGTCAACTTTCGTCCTCTTTCTTGCCTTCGTGATACCTTTCTTCAAGATACCCATTGTGCGCTTCAGTGATATTTACTTGCTTCTTCCTTTCGTCTCAGCCTTGTCTCGTCCCTTCATTATTTGTGCACGAATTCAAAATATCACGATTTAGTGCATCACGGTTACTACAAACTACGCGATACGTAGTGGTCCAAGCCGACGTCGAAGTACAGCTTTTTGTCAATAATTCACGCTACCAAAAGAGCCACACTTCGACATGGATATCACTGCTCCCCCACCACCCTACACAATGCAATCACAGCAACTACCTACGCCTACTCCAGCGCCGATGCAAAATGCTTTCGGACAAGCACCTCCAGAGAACCAGATGTATGGGCAATACCAACCGCAACAACCGCAGAATTACTTTCAATCTCCTCAAGCTTTTTCCGCACAGCAGCCCGTACAACAATCGACGATTCAACAACCTCTTCAGTACTCTCATAATATGACCTCTCAACAACAGCAGCAAGTCCAGCAAATCATCCAGAATTTACCTCCTGAAAAGGTACAGCTGTATCAGCAGCAAGCTCAGCAGATGATGAGCCCGCAGCAAGCTATGAGTCCTTCGGCCTTCCAACAACCGCAGCAAATACTCCCGCAGTCACAGCCCTTCCAGCAACCTCAGAGGCCGCACTACACCACCACTGCGCCTTCCGGGCTCTTCGGCCCCAAACACTCCTCTCATAACGATACCACAAGCCCAAAAGATGAGCAGAAAACAGACGGCGTGAAGCGTTTCTTCGGCGACACGCTCCTTGGCCGTGTAGCCCGGTCCTCCGTCCAGACCGTCACCACCACAATGAAGATGCCAAAATCATTATCTCCATGGGGCGACAACAACCCCGTCACTCTCCCAAATGTACGCTACCGCGACGCTGTCCTCTTCACGACCTTCGCATTTGTCGGTGCGCCCATAGTAGACGGAATCGCGGACGGCGTGACTTCTGCATTCGGCGTTGACAGCTTTATTTCGGAGATCGTGTCCTCGGGCGCTGATACCATTGTCGGTTCAACAGTGGTAAAGTATGGCATCTTCCAGATCGTTGAGCAAGCCATCGACCAAGGCATCATCGAGCACATGCTGCCTGAAGAGGAGAAGATGCTCGTTACGACTGGAGTAAAGAGCTTGCAAGTCGGCATCAAGCATAAAATGATGGGCGTAGATGCAGATTTGCGTTTCGTAGGTATATACCCTAGCCGCGATCCTCAAGCCTGCGAAAAAGGATGGTTTTGTCCGTATATCTTTGCGTCTGCAAGAACGCCGTCTATACCAAGATCCAACGACTTCGGCATTTGTCAGTTCTTTGGCCCCTTTTTGAGTGGTAAGTAACCTCCCTTCCCTCCTTCATGGCCAGCAAGAATGGAAAGACAGAATGTACGATGCTAATGATGTAGGCGACTACCTCCTGGCTCACAAACTCCTTGCCGAATCCGCAAACACTCTCGCGCTCTGCGATCCGAATCCACAAGTCGACATCGGTACAAATCGCCTCGTCATCCTCTTCACAGGCATCGCGCCCTACCGCGCAAACATGTGGTCAACATCACGGCGTCCAGGATGTGGTAAGTCACCTCCCTATTTCCACTTTACTCAACAAGCTACTCAGCATGCCATTCACTTTTCATATCCCTACTCAAGCAGTTCCATCTCCCCATCCTGACCTCCCCCCTAGGCACGATAGTATTCCACCTCCCGACCGGCTGCCCTGCCCTCGTCCTCCCCGTAACGTCCCGCGCTCCCATCTGCGCCTGGTCCCCCTGGACGCTCTCCCAAATGCGCGCCTACCAAGCCTCCATCGACCCCGCTACGAACCCAGCGACGGGCGGCTACCATCCAGCGTGGCAGCATGAGCAGATCTGCGAGTACCTCGATACCATCATCAGCGTGCCGCATTTCAAGGAGACGATACGAGAGAAGTATGTTGAAGTGCTGGGGAGGATGGTCAGTGTGATAATCAATGGGGCGTTGTACTTGGATAAGTGTAGACCGGTGTTGGGGAAATTAGATCCAGAGAGGGCGGGAATTGTGATGTTTAGGTATTGAGGTGGTTAAGGGGAAGAGGCTTCTGACGTGGGACGGACAGAAATGGTGTTTGCAACGCTTGTTCTACGAAGAAGGGAGTCTGGATGACATGCTGAGATGGGTTTCTGCTGGTACAGAGGCAGAGGCAGAGGCCAAATTGATCAGGAGAACTTCTACCCTCGGATGATCATGATCTTGCTTGTATCTTCTTGCGCAACGCCGTGTGATGAGCAAAGCCGACTATTTCAGTACCTCCAAAGGTAATGTTCTGTATTCCAAAGGAGAAGCCTCCCCCGAATAACGACAGAACCTCGTTTATCAATTAGATCAGCAATATCACCCATTCTATTCACAAGATCTCAAAATCAACTCATGCATATACACATCTCAAATTACGGACATTACAAAGTAGTCTAGTAATACACAGTGAATGAATCTCCCTTCTTCCCAATTGGATATCAACGCTAAATGCAGAACCCCCAACGCCTGACCGCGTGCGATCATGATGGTCATCGAAACATGCCCCATGCGTATATACAAACAAAAGAAAGGACACCATCAACTCATTAAAGTCTATGGTCTTGCACAAGTCTACACCTTTCGAACCAGTCCTAGAAGTTCCTCGACGGCAAAGGCGCTGGCTCAGCGGGCTTAGGGTTGTGTGTAGGGCCACTGTTGCCGTTCGTATAGCCATTGGTGTATCCGTTGGTGTGGCCATTCGTGTAGCCATTGCCATTTGTAGCATACCCATTGCGGTCGGTGTACCCATTCGTGCCGTTGGCATATCCATTCGTGTTTCCACGGAAGTACTGTGTGCCATCTGCCGCGCCATCACCCAATCCACCCTGCTCAGCCATATCCATTTCCGTCTCCCTGCTCTGATGGTGCTTCGACCTGACCGCGGGCATGAAGTCGATGAAGAAGCTGAGCACGTAGAAGAAGAAAATGAACGCGATAGTCCACTCTAGCACTGCCGCCGCGTTCCATTTCTTCTGGTTCTGCGTAACACCAAACGCGATTGCGAGCGCAACCTCGAGGAGGATGAAGGACAGCTTGATCCAGAAGCTATAGCGCAAGATGGATTGCTCGCGGAAGTGAATGCCCAGCCGTTGATATTCCCAGCAGATGAAGATGGCTGATATGATGTAGCCAGCGAGAAAGAGGACGAGGAAGCCGTCGTGGAGGTGAGGGTGTCGCAGGGTGTCGAAGATGGAGAGGAGGATGAGGCCCGCTGCGCCGGCAATGGATGCGATGATTGATATGATGCTATAGAGCTTCTGCCAAATGGACGTGTTGGGCGCGAGCTTGCCGGTATGTCGCAGCCAGCGCTCGAAGATGAAGGCGAGGTCGAGGGATACGACAGTTACCGCGGACATGGCGATGAAGAGGGGTTTGAGGCCTTGCGCGCCGACATCTGCGATTGCGCATCATGTTAGTATGCGAAGAATTGTAATACTGGGGCAAAGACTGTCTACGCACCAGAGATGTAGGCGATGCGCTGGCTTGGGTCCATGGACGAGTAGTGCGGCGACCCTTGCGACGTCCATGTTGTCAACATGGCAATCAACATAGCCAGCCATACTAAAGATGAGAAGATGGGCACGGCCCAGTAGGAGATGAACCACATTATGGTGGAATGATGTGTAAGGCGCGATGGCGGACTGATTCGCTAACGATGCAATGCGGGTTGCGTGGAAGGTTTCGGAAGGCGCCTCTTTCACGCGGTTGGAAATTGGAAGTTGCAGTTGTGGCACGCGACCATACGGATGCTAGGAAGTAAAACAAAGCACTACCCTGGAAAACGTTCAATCCAAATTCTCGTAACGCGCGCGATCCTATGTGGGTGGGTAAATAGAGGCGAGAAGACAAGAGCAACTATCGCATTATCATTTCGTCAAGATTCTAGCAGCTAATGATGTCACAAAGAGTTTTATTAACCGCCAAGGCCGCAGACTTCCGCGGTGGATGGTTGAGCAGTGGGGCAGAGACAGTGCTCCACGTCACTACCGAGGAGGCGAACTCATGGCTCTGACAAAAGAGTGCATGAAACCTCGCACGAGGTAAAAAGTGATCGGCCATGGACAAGATTCGGAGGCGGAGAAGATGTGCGGGAGATCTGATGGGATGCGAGGCTTGCGGCTGTGGCTTTCTAGAGTTTCGGTGACTAAGCTGGGGGTGCCTCTCGGAACGCGCATGAGATCCTGATCCGAATGCTCTGCTGACTTGCATCATGGTCGTTGACTTACTTCCTTTCTGGATGATCAGGAGTAACCGCCAGTTGTGAACGATGACGAAGAGCCAGGTTTACAACGAAGGATCCCAAAGCGCGCGCCTTGACGCGTCCAGGGTTGTTTCGTCCGGACGAAAGACTCGATCTCTTATCTCGGTTCGAAGCAGGACATTTACCAGAGATGAGATGCAACATCTTCGCCCTCACGTAAGGCGCTTCGATATTCCAGTCGTCTGTGAACATTGCTAGGGAGATCACGAGAGCTGGCCAAATGTCCATGTGCTGTTTCACTTCAGAAGCTGTGGGGATTCGCGGCTGATATAGCTGGCATTGTCCACAATAACACTCCGAGCGGTTATTGCGCGCATGAACAGCTGGTTTCGGCAGGAGGCACAAGGTCAAACCTGAGGCAGCTATCGGAGCAGCGTTCCCTGGTATCGAGGCGGTCAATGAATCTTTAGGTGGAGCACGACTTCTGTGGAGCTACATGCGTAAATTGAGAAGATCGAGATTTGTCTCAGGTGAGGATGCGAGAGCGATAAATCGCATCGGAGATTACGACAGACGACACGGCAAGCCGCCGATGAAACTTCGCGATGTCGGTCACCATCTCGCTATGTGCCATTCAGAGGAACAATTGGTACATCTCCACGACGGTGGAATTAGACAGCGGGTCGCCTCGTGCGGCGGAGTGATGGATCGCGCAAGCTGCACGTCTATGAATGTGATGCAACACTGAGATTGCGCGCGCGGTCCTGTGCCAGGTGCAGCAGGCGGAGTCTTGATATAGCAGCGGTATCCTATAACATCCTCGGGCGACCAGCCGAGTGCGATCGAGCGAAGAGCGCAGATCGTAGTGCAGCGAACAACGTGAAAGCCAAAAGCCGTTGTGAACCAGGCTCCGAAGGGCCTCTGCACTATAGACGAGGCCAGCGTGCTCTCGAAACTGGGCCACGACAGTCGACGCGGCGTCTGCACTTGGTGCGATCGTCCGTCGCACTACCTGAATCGTTCTGATCCTCCGCTAGGATCAAGGCCCGGGCCATGCATGCGCTCGCCAACCGAAGCCTTTGAGCTTCGAAGTGCCGGCGACCTCCTCCGCTGATTGGTGAATATGCTCTCAGATTCGACGACCCGGTACGTGCATGGTTGGGGGTTTCACTTCGACACCTCTTCCAAGTTTGTTGTTTACCGCGGACGCTCCTCATGAGAGCTCCACCTGGGCTAGTTAGCTGCGGACTTGTAATCGTAGGGTCAAGACGGTGTGGGACCATTTTAACCACCCGAGCGCCTCCATGGGAAGAGAGACACTCAGTCTACCCTGTCGGAGTGACACCGTGAAGCTGTTGTGCCTTCCTTGGTCTTCCGCCCCAGCCTTCACGTCCGGTTTCGTAGCTTCCTTAGGCATAATCTCGGGTGAGTGCGTCGATAGCAGCTTCCCCGCCTTCGTGCAGCTTCTTACCCAGCTTAGGTTTGCCCACCACGTGTTCGATGTCTGCCATTTGATCTTCACTGGGCCTTGCTGCTCCTCGAATACTTTCCCAACAAGTTCCACGACATGGGAAACGCACAGAGCCATGGCCAGCCGCATAATAGGCTGGTGAAGCCGAAGACGAACAGGAACTCGCCTTCCATCGTTCCAGACAATGACCTCCATGTGGATTCACCCGTCTCTCTCTCCTCCAGATACGCCAACCTGAGCGCACAGGACCGGCAGCAGATCAAATCGCAGTTGCTGTCTCCTGTACAGACGGACTTTGGGTACCGGAATTCGTTCGACGGAGAAGATATCTGGGGAGACTTGGACGTGCAGAAGCGACTTTCCTCGCGGTCAAACTCGCTGTCGTGCTTTGGGGGCAAGGCAGGGCCTACCGCAAGGCTCTCTAGCTTACCTGCCTCAAAGGTCTCGCTAGTGCAGAGCAGTCAAGCCGTAGATATAGAAACGGCGATCTCCATCCTTCAAGAGGTCCAGAAGAGTGCGACGCCTGAGGACATTGCAGCATTGCGTAAGCCTAAGCGAATATCTCCTAGTACATTTTCAGTGCTAACATGAGCTTCATAGAGCAAGCACTGGCGCCGTATGCTCCCAGTCCATCTCCTCGTCCCACCAGCGCCGCCGAACCAGGCCTCAGCCGCCGCACTTCGGTCGTAAACCGCTCGACCTCCTCCCTTACTCGGCGACGTTCTCTCCTTGCCACACCAGGTCTTGCAACTCGCAACTCGCCGGTCGAGAGCAACAGGCGAACGTGGAACTCTTGGAGAAGACCCCAGCTAGACGCGCAAGAGGAGGCGAAATGGCAACGCCAGGATATGGTGGAAAACTCCCCACTGACGCGGATAGCTGCGATGGATCTGGCTGAAGAAGGGCGAGAATCTCCCATACCGCGAGCTCAGACACCTGCCGATATGGAATATTCACACATTGGAACTCTTAAGCTCGGGTCATTAAGAATTGCCAATGGGGAGCCGTCGCCGGCTGCCAGTGCAAAGTTGAATTGGTACACGTCACAAACGACATCGCAAGGAGAAGACTACTTCTCCTCGGATGCTCTGGATAGTCCGATAATGATGAAGTCTACCAGAAAGCGCCGCCACATCAGAAGCAAGTCTGCACTGCAACCTCCCACGCCTCCACTTCATCGAAATCTACGTGTATCGGATGACGCTCGGAGGGCAAAGACTACCTCGCGCTACCTCACGCCGCCGAAGCCTGAAACCCCAAAACATCCGCGCCAGCAGCATCATCAACAGTGCCAACCGTTAATACCGCATAATGGAGAGATAGATATGGAGCCGGAGCCTCTCAGACGGCTTCGCGTCATGAACAAGAGTCAGGATACCCTTGCCACTATGCTCGATTCACAGCCTGGCATACCCGATGATCTCTCGGAAGTTCCTCAACATATGGCTGCTGCAGATCTTGACGAGGGCTTTGCTTCGGACGAAGGCGAATCGTATCGGGAAGAGGCTATACGCATACTGGACGGTACTATATTCAGCGAACCTGTTGAGGCCTCCAGTGCGCATGAAGCAGTTGTTCCTCGTGCTAACTCGACGCCGAAGCAACAGCGAGAGGTAGAAGCTCGACCACCACCTCAGAAGGCTGATTCGGGATATTCGTCCGGTGGAAGTTTCGAGGCCAAGCACCGTGAAGCTTGGACGCCGGGTACGATCCCAAGAGTTTCCAAGAAGCCTTCAATGGTGACTGACTTACGTCAAAGCGAGAATGGACCTCAAAAGATTGCCGTTGCCAGTTTGTACACGTTCGAGCAGATGCTACAAGGTTCAACTTCAGAAGACTCCCTGCCACCCGCTCCAACAGATGAGCACATGATGCCTCACACTATACATCGATATCGTTCTCAGGAGGACATCAAAGAAACGGCTTTGCCCCTGGATTGGCACATCGATGATCTTTCGCTAGGCGTGAAAGCACCTAAAACGCCTTCTACGCCCACGTCTTTCATTTCTCACTTTTCCCTGGATAGTAGGACTTCGACGCAAAAACGACTGCAAAAAAGAAATCCTTCATTTCAAGAGCTGCCGGTGGTTCAGTCATGCGATCCTATACCAGAGGGATCAATCCCAAGCATACCCGCCGATGTCAGGAAACAGTTCGTTAGGCGTCTTTCCGAAGCGCCAGGCATGGACTGCTTGACACATACGTACCCCACGAAGAACCATGTAAACCTTGATGAACCGGAGGCCGAGACTGAATTACCTGCTCTTGAACCAATCAAATTTCCATCGCCTCCAGCCACCCCTGAGCCTGAATCGCGCGGTCGAGACCGTAAGCGTCCAGACACGGAACGTTCATCATCTCTTCGCGGACTTCGACGAAGCCTCTCCCTCTTCCGGCGGAAAACGAAGGAGTCTAAAGAGGAAGAACAGCCGCCGTTACCAAATGAGCCCATGCTCCTTCACATTGGAACCATAGCTGCTTCACTTGGTCGTTCTCCTTACGATATTGCCTTGCCCACTGCCCACCAGAAGAGAACATCTTCACCGACCCATCCCTATCAGCTCGGTAATGCGATGCCACGGGCAAAGTCCATGCTGAATATGGACGCCCAGACAGCCGCAAAACTTGCTCGTCTTCGCAGCAAGGATCGCGCATCCGTGCGGCCTGGAATGCCTTCCAGGCCCAAGAGCTACTACTCTGAAAGGGAGGCCATGGGCGACGCAGACATCTACCGAAGACACAGCTTCTACGGTCGTGCGCCTCCGATGCCCACGATACCGAGTATCGGAGAATTGGCCGTGACGAGTCGTCAACATGAGCAGCAGACCCAGACCCAGACAGAGCCTGAAGTGCCTGAGGTTCCTGAAATCCCGCAACCCACTCCAGCGAATTCTGGGCGTAAGATCCGTGCTCGGAGCACAGGTCGCGGCCGTGTGGTGTCTCCATTGATCGAGAAGTACGACAAGAACGGCCAGCGTCCTAACGACGTTGAACGGCAGTCGAGATCCCGCACCATGGGCAACGACGTAACGTATCACGCTGCACTGCAAGACAGCCGTGCCTACAGCATGGGAAACGATGCTGTCACCCGGCGCCACAACAAAGTCAACCATCCTGACTGGGGTTGATGTCGCGCTTTCCTAACACAGGTTACACACATAATGTTCGACCTTTTGACTTTCTGTGCTTGTTTTTACGCAATATACCATCTGCGCACCGTCGCATGCAATGTTTTTCTCTGTATGTTTTCTTCGGGCATTTCTATTGGTCGTATGCATTAGGGTCTAGGGCATTTGCATCATATATATACACATGAGGAACTGGCACCTTAATGGACTGGGAATGGAAACGAACAGGTACATATGGGAATACATAGAGCTTCGGCTCAATTGAACTATAATAAGCATGATCTGTGCGACTTGCTTGTGTGAAATGTGTTAGGCTACAAACATGCAAACCTCATTTATGATATCAAGATACGCCCAGCAGGTCGATGTCCTCGTGTGATGGCAGGCTCGCCTGAAGCGTTGCTACTTGCGCGCCGTATAGAGTGTTAAGTGTACTCTCGTGATGGGATACATGTAAACGCATGTCAGGTGGTTTGGTGTGTGAGGTGTCGTTGATTGCAATGGCGCTCATCGTAATACTATGGAGCTCGAGGCTAGCACAGGTCATTTTGCGACATAATACTAGCTTACTGACGCCATGTCTCGGTGATCGAGGCGTAGAGTACAGCTCGGTCAATGATATAAGGTCAGTTTTACGTGGCGAAGAGCAGGCCTTGGTGTTGCAGCACATTGCGTTGAAGCCTAAATGTTCAAGCGTAGTGATAGTGAGATTGGTGCGTTCTTGAGTTTACAATGTACATCTGAGCTTGTCTGCTTTAGTGCGCATGATTCTGAGCCGGGAGAGAAGAATAGTGGAGTAGAAGGAGTGGATAATCCGATCACGGTGGTTGCGAGGTAGGTGTCGGGGGACGGAAGGAGCGGAGATGGCGCACGAGGTCCATAGCATAAGGGACCTCAAAAAGTAACAGCAAGCGAGCAAAAGACAGTAGCTGGCCAAGGAGAGTGCCCATCGGGCCAAAGTAAGTGCATAGCATCTACAGTAAATGAGTGGCGGCTGCCAAAAAGTAGCAAAAGAACATAGGAGCACATTGCCTATGAGAAACCCAGTTGTAGAGGAGTTTACTTTTGTCGAAGTGTATTGAAAGCAACGCAAGTCGAACTGACGTACCTTGTTTTAGTCTGACACTTTTGGTGAACCGAAGTCCACGGCGGCCGGTCAGGCACCGCTAGGCTACCCCCTTTCGGACAGGTTTATTGATGAAAGAAGGTGTTTTCCAGGGAGTTATATACTACAAGAAAAGGCAGTCTTTGTAGAGTTGTAGGGCTATTTTGAAGTTGTGGTGGTGATTGAGGTGAGGGGACGTGTAAACAGAGGGGTCCGGGTGAGGCAGGTACACCAAGCACCGAGCATTCATCTGCAACACCAAATGTGGGTGGCTTCACCTCCTCGCTTAAGTCCTCGACTATCTCTTTGCTAGGCCGGCTTTTCTTGCTGCACCCTCTACTCCCCCGAGATCTCTACCTCACTGTCAGCAGGCATGATGTAGACGCCATACGCAGCTCGCCGACCGTTGTAACCTACCGCTCCATACGCGCTCACTACGCGCCGCTCACGCCTATACTGTTTTCTACTACCTCTTGTTGCAGCAAGCCCTCCTCTTCCCACTTGAAGATTTCTTCAGATCCTCTATATCCCCGCCGAGGCACGCAATGAACACCAAAAGAAGCACGCCGCCAGCCGCAGGCCCGAACCCGCAGGCTGCATGTCGTCTTCAACGCGCTTCTCCCCTCGCTGCTATGTCTTTACTCGGCTCCTTTTTTCAACAGCGAGTGACCCTTAAGAATACCGCCTCGCTGACTGCAGGGACTCCAGATGACCGCCGCATGCCGATGCCAGACATCGCACACGGTCCCAGCTATCTCTTTCTCGTCCCAGCTGTTCTACAATATTTCATGGCAATCTCTAGAGGTTCGGGTCCCCGGCAGCAGATGCAGGATCGTCGCGCATCAATAAAGACTCACACCAGGGGCCCAGGTCCAGGTCCAGGACCAGCTGCTGGATGTCAACGGCTCAGGGGACGGACTACTAGGACGCCGGAAAAACATATAGGCTGGCACTGTTAAGCTACCTCGCAGGAGGGCACATGGAAGATGGAGAGTGTGATATTGCAGTTGGTCTTCCGGCAGACTTCCCCGAGCACATGGCGTTGCTGACATGGTACATGGATGTTGTTGAGCAACCTTCCCAGGAAAGAACCATCCGACCGCCGTCCCGCCGATTTCCCCGCGCCGCCGAACCTAGAACCCGAACCTCAACCTGAGCCTCGTCCACCAACCCAAGCCCAGGCCAGGGGCTGGAACCGCCTACAATCGATGCATTTCACGAAGGCTTCCCAAAGCGGCACTTTGGCTGAAGGGAAACATGGATACAACGGCAAAGGAGGCGCTGGAACACAGGGGTTGGGCTGGCGCGTTGGCCGACCGGTGGATTTGAAAATGGTCTGGAGTGCCAATTCCGCCGCCATGTTCAACAGCCTACTTAAAACTGCCGTTTTGGGCAGTTTGGTGGCGCTTGACCGGCGGAATGGACGGTCGTCCTCCGGCGTATCACCAACTTTTCCGCGATACAATGAGGCTGATGGAATTGACAACGTAGGCACGGAAGATGCAAGAGCGATAGGATGACATCGGCTGTTCGATCTCAATTCACATATTCTAAGGCTGTGCACCTGCCGTCTAGCAGGTTCGTGAACAAGCAAGAGTCCATCCCCACTCTTGATGGAATCTGCAGCGGTCTCTTTTGCAGCATGTGTTGCACCCAGAGTTGTCTGTCCCAGTACAAATTTTTTCTGACAACTAATTATGAGGAGGATCGCAAACAATGTTTCGTAAAGATCCCTGATCAGACTCCGAACCAAGTCAACGAAAGACAAAAGCACCAATGCGTGTTTAAGTAGCTACTCTTGAGAACCATCGTTAGCATAGCCCTGGCATTTCGTATTACAACTGAGTGCGGTAGGTAAGTTTGAGCAGACTCCGGTATGCCGAACACTGGTGCCGAACACTGACGTAAATCCTTCTCAACGGCAACGGTAGGCGAAGAATGACGGATGCTACACGCTAGAAAAATTACGTATGGGCAGTAAGCATGCAATAATATGCAGCACTGCAATGGTAGACGAATACTTTATTAGATGTCTTACTGCAACGTACTACAACTGAGCTATCATATATCCGCAGCATAACCTCTGATCAAAGTGCGAAAAATGGACGAATGGAGTGTTGGCATGTTTACTCCGATAAGTCCGCCTCGGCGTGGAGTGTGGGGAGAAGCCGCGAGCCTTTTGCGCTAACCCCATCACCGCCGAGGCACAGAGCTGCTCACCGAGGCTCCCCCAATCCCCGCAATCATGTCTGTGGCGCACCCCATGCCTTGGTATTTCTTCTTTCTCTCTCGTTTCTACCCTCCTTGACCGCAAAAGCTAATTGCTCTGCGATTATCGCTCAACCTACCATGCCTACAAACTCCAGCTACCCAGAGGCACCCATCCCAGATGTCGATCTTTGGGGGTTCTTGTTCGAGCGCAAAGATAAGCCATTTTCGGATGACAAAGGTACTTGATGCTGCCAGTATCGATTATGAGTATCGCGCTGACAACAGTACAGTAATCTATGTTGATCCTCACACAAACCGATCCTACACCTACGCCCAAGTCAAAGCGACTGCAATCGAGTTCGGCCAGGGCCTCAAGGCACTATGGGACTGGCAGAAAGGCGACGTTCTCGCGCTGTACACAACAAATTGTATCGACACACCGGCGATAACATGGGGCACCCACTGGGCGGGAGGAGTGCTCAGCCCTGCGAACCCAGCGTACACGGTCGATGAGCTCGCATTCCAGCTGAAGGATGCTGGCGCAAAGGCTATAGTCACGCAGATGGCTTTCATCAAGAATGCACAGGAGGCTGCGACCAAGGTCGGCATACCACTAGACCATGTCATCGTAATGGGAGATGAGCGCGACCCGACCTACAGGGTCAAGCATTTCACCAGCATAAGAAAGACGGCAGGGTCAGCGAGATACCGTAGGACGAAGGCGAAACCAGACCAGGATCTCGCTTTTTTGGTGTACTCTTCCGGAACGACGGGACATCCTAAGGGAGTAATGTTAACGCACAGAAACATTGTGGCCAATACGATGATGATCAAGGTGGCAGAGGGAGGAAAGCTGAGCTCGACAGGTGGACCTGGTGGAGACGGTGATAAGATTCTGGCTTTCTTGCCGTTCTTTCATATCTACGGTATGTGCTTTGCATTATACACTTCATTTAATTCGTCTGACTAACGATGACAGGCCTTACCTGCTTGATACATCAGAGCATGTACTCCGGCTTTCAACTCGTAGTCATGCCGCGATTCGATCTCGAAGACTTCTGCAAGATCGTCCAGGAGCGCAAAGTCACCTTCTTGTACGTCGTCCCACCCATCGTGGTCCTTCTCGCAAAGAGTCCCGTGGTCTCCAAGTATGATCTCAGCACGGTACGAATGATGAACTCGGGCGCTGCGCCTTTGACCAAGGAGCTAGTCGAGGCAGTGTACAACCGCTTGAAGATTCCGATAAAACAAGGTTACGGACTGTCAGAGACGAGTCCTACTACACATACGCAACCGTGGGAAACATGGAATACACAGATTGGCTCAGTTGGCACGCTCTTGCCCTATCAAGAAGCGAAGTACATGTCTCCGGAGGAAAAGGAGCTCAAGCCTGGTGAAGTGGGAGAGCTGTGGATCAAGGGTCCTAATGTCTTTAAGGGCTACCTCAACAACCCTGAGGGAACTGCCAACGCTCTGACGCCCGATGGGTACTTCAAGACCGGCGATGTCGGCTACCAAGACGCTGATGGCAACTTCTACATCACGGACCGCATCAAGGAACTCATTAAGTACAAAGGCTTTCAAGTTGCTCCTGCAGAATTGGAAGGCATACTACTGTCTCACCCTTCCATCAACGACGTTGCAGTCATTGGTGTATATGAAAAGGAGGAGGCAACCGAGCTACCGAGGGCATATGTTGTGCCCAAAGACGGTCTGGGTCGGACAGACGATGAAAAGAAGGCGATCGTTGACTGGCTGGGTAAGAGAGTGGCGGGTCATAAGAGACTAAGAGGCGGTGTCAGGTGGTTAGATGAGATCCCGAAGAGCGCTAGCGGGAAGATTTTGAGGAGGGTGTTGAAGGTAAAGGCACAGGAAGAGGAACAGGGTCCGAAGGCGAAGCTTTAAGTAAGAGACCAGCTATATACCAATCTAAGAACAATAACCACACTGCAGTCCTTTTCTCCAATCTGAATACTTTCTTATCACCCCCACCGTCTGCTTGCGGCATCTGCATCAAGTGAGATAAACTTGATTGATCTCGTCAATGGACCACGGTCGCCGTGCGCAACTCCTTGAGCGAATCCGCAAAGAGTTCTCTGCCTCTCAATTCCCCACCCACTCAACTGACCCAAAAGCTGCCACTATGCCACCCAAGAGACGCGTCATTGACGTCGACGTGGATGATTCTGATATCATCGAGATCCATTCGACATCACTCACAGCCCCGCGTCCGCCCAAGAACCCCAGGACCATGCCGCCAGGCGCAAACTCGGTTCAAGGCTCAAGTGCTCCTAGGCCTGCATCCGGCGTCGCTACTCCTGCGTTCCCCAACAAGTTCTTCACACTCAGCATCGGTACAAATTCGACAGCCAGCCTATTCTTTCCCGATCGCACCCTCGCGACCATCGCTGAACTCCGCCAGCTTGAGATCCACGCCGTTATGGAGGCTTTCCAGACCAATGTCCCCATCAATCCACACTATCGATACACTATGACATCCGACACCGCCGTCGGCTCAGCCACAGACTTCTCCTCTCTCCCGGTCGGACAGAGCACACCGTCACTAAGCTTTGCAAACGCCCGTCTGCTCCACCAATTTCTGGCTAGGAATTCTCGACTTGCTGAGAAGAATGAGAAGCCCAAATTCGTCCTGTTAGCGCCTATTAAGGGAGTCAAGAATCCAAAGTTCGCTCATCTGCATGCCGTGAGGTATGATGAGGTGGGGTGTGGGTTCGATGAGGATAATTGTCTCAGTCTATTTGTGTCGGAATTGGTGGAGGGTGAGAGGCACACCAAGGTACTATATGTGGAGAGGACGAAAGTGGAGGTGATCAAGGAGGCGAAAGTGCCCACAGTGGTGGAGGGTGTCAAGGCGGAGGGAGGGAGTTGAGAGATGGTACCGAGGTTGGGACAATTGGTAGATTGAGTGGTGTTTGTGGCGTTTAACTTGAGATTGGTTGTCAGCCCTCTTGATGGCGTCAATATGGGTTGGATGGTTCTCATACCTGGGACGCCAGGTCTGTGAGCGGGCACTCGTTGGGCAGCTGAGCCAGGAAGGCTAGGCACTGATGTCTATCGATTTATCAATATGAATAGAGTCACCTACAGTTGCGAACCATAATCCTTGTATGTGAGCCTCTACTCTATAACTCTGAGAACCGTGATACACCAAAGCAGATAAGAATATGATGTAGTGTCTCAATTAAATGAGAACACAGATAGCAATCGAATCCGATGTCCTAGTTGTTGTGAAGTTTGATGTTGGTGGAAGCGTCCCTACTCGTGTACTATGGGTGAAGTGGAGACAGGTGAAGCAAACCATGGTAAGCCCACCTTTACTGTACCTTCCCAACAGAACGACAACGTGGCACACGTGTGCCACACGTGTAAAATGAGTACTTCCACCTTTCTTTCCCATCCAGCAGTATCCCATGCCAGATCTCGAAAATGTCTTCCGAAAGAGAGCAGCTGCCGTCGCCCCCTCCGCCGCCGAAGATATTGAAGGAACTCCACGAATACTTTCCTCTTCCTCTAGCACCTTGTCCTCTTCCTACTGGAACCTCTAGACCTAATCCTATCCCTTTCAATCCTCTTCCTGATAGAATTCCTACTCTCCCTTCGATAGCTCTTCCGGGAAGATGTGGTGAATGCGGCCACCTCCACCTTGGCTTCTGCAGTGATCTGTGGAAGTACAAGGGCTGCCTAGGACCGCCATGGGATTTCTGTACGGATCACAATCTGAGTACCCAGGATCGGCAGCGTGACGAAGTTGCAAGACATGAAGCGTACCAGGTCAACGGCCGTATGGAACTTCGGCCTCATACTGCAAATATACAAAATCCAGATCCTGCTTCATGCCCACAGGCGACCGAAGACGTCTTGAATCCGCCGTGCAGTGGCACTTTACCGCGGTTACCGGAGCCACCACAGCGGAGACGCAGCAGAAGTGCCGCGTGGGTTGGTGCAAGTCCTCCTCCCCCTCCTCCTCTTTATTTGATTGATCTATCACTATTCAAACCTCTTACTGCTACCCCCATCCGACAAAACAGTAGCTTCGGCGACGAAAGCTATGCGGAGAGACTGGTTGACTTCAAATCCAATGGTATGAATCCAAGGCGAATTGACCGACCCTACAACAGCGAGCCCATCCACGCCAACGATGAAGAATTTCCGCTCCATGCCCCGAGCCCAAGAAAGTCCTCGCTACCGAAGGTCCTCAACTTCGAACTCACCGAAGACCTAAGTTCATATCCCGCCAAAATCCGCCAAGCGCTCGAGAATTCAGCATACATAGGCGCACAAGATTACTCACCAAGCGGCGGAACAGCTGAATACGAGCTGGTCCAAGAGGACTGGCTCAAAGAAAAGGCAAAGCTAGAGAGCGAAAAGTTGGTGGGCACCTTTAGGAGTCGGCATACGGCGAACACTGAGGCAGCGAAGATGTTCCTCCATCGGTTCTGGGTGCAGGTTATGGACCACCAGCAGTTCTACGAAGCTTATATAGGAAAGTCGGGTATATTGACGTTGAATATTGAGACCGAGGACGCGCAGGGTAGGAAAAGGTGGGGGAGCGTGTTCGTGCGCAGGAAGGGTAGTCCGGGCACGGGTCAATTCGGGGGTGGATGGGTCAATGCCCCGTTGATGGCAAATGCGTCAACAGCCCCTTGAGGGTGAGGACCAAGGTAGATGTGATAGCGGAATAGATGGTGTGTAGATGAGCTTGTGGTAGATACATTTAGTGTCTTCCAAAAACGAGAGCCTCTGGTCATGGATGCCCTGGAATCGCAAGGCCTACTATACATCGACAAGCTGTTGCTTGAACGATGCAGCTTGCGCTGGCAAGTTGCCCATGGCCTACCTCCAACCATGTCGCCTGGAAGCCCCGTAGCACGAACAATGCCAGCTTTTGCATGTCTTCATACAACTCTCTCCAGTTCGCGCGCGCCCTCCTACTGCATCTTCTTCGCACCATCCTCCTTGACCCCAATCCCGAGCAAAAAAGCTACTCTCAACCCCATGGGCACAATCAAACTCCCCACAGCAACCCAATCCTCCGCCCTCCACATTACCGGACTCATCGTCCCATCCCTCCTCATGACATCAAACCCAGCCCACAGATGCACCGTATCGCACACCAATATGCCTAGCACAATTGCCTTCCACACGCGGATGTCCTTCGCGATGCGCAGCACGACGGCCTGGTTGAACGCGAAGAGCGTGTAGGTGGCCGCGAGCTGGTTGTAGATGATCTGGGAGTCGGCGTGGTAGGAGAGGTAAGGCGAGAAGGTGGAGAGGAAGAGCGAGGGAAAGAAGAGGCAGAGGATGGAGCCGTTGAAGGCCATGACGGGTTCGACGTAGAGGAGGAGGGCGCGGTAGGCGAGGGGGATGCGCGCGAAGAATGGGTCGGTTTCCGCCATGGCGGACCTAGTGTTGCTTTTTCTTGTTCGGGTTCGGTGTGGTACAATGGCGTTGCTCGGAATGGCTTTGTGCGGATGTGGGTGGTGGATGCGGGAGGCGCGGAGGCGGGATTGGGTGCGTGCAGTTGTGGGGAAGCCACCGAGGCTGGCGCTCTGGCCTGAGGCACGCAAGGTCCAAACCCAACTCTGCCGGCGAAAACCTTCAACTGCACATTGCTTTCCACGTGGGCACGTTCACTCGACTGCTCGTGTGCTGTGCTGCACGCCTTGAATCAGCCGCAGACCCTCATGCATGACGCTGCTGGCTTGCCTGTCCACAGAGACCCTCCCTTCGCCCACCCTTCCACCCTCATTCCGTCCATAGCGTGCTAGTATTTCTCTCGCGATCAATTCACTGGTGGGTTCTTTTCCTCAGCGTTCGACACTTTTTCACTTTTAACTGCCGGAAGAGGCAGTTTAGAAAGGACCATGGGTGCAGCGAAATGTAGACGATGCCGTGCGAATCATACGGTGCGGTGAAGCGGGTAGTGCTGCTTAGTGTGAGTGATGGTGAGTGTCCATGTGCTTCTAGAACTGGGCGAGACCATTCAAAGCCCTCGAAAACAACATGAAACGGGCGTACATCGGCGGAATTTTGATAGAGAGCTCTCTCAAGGACATGCCGGTACCTCGATGCCGCACCTATAGGAGGAGACCCGAGTAAGGACACGAGCTCAACTACTTTGGGATGTTGCCAAGCAATGCTGTATGCGGTCCATATTCTAGATATTGGAGCTGTCTGTCTGGCTCTGTCAAAAGTCGTTTATTGCGCTTGCGTGAGCGTAAAAAATTACTGCAGGTTTTGCCTATTGTGGTACGCATCACCGGAGCTACACGCAAGCTACGGGCTTCGCGGCGCTCAAACGACAGAATATGCCAGAACCAATTGCTGCTGGGGCCGCAGGTGGGGTCATTCTTGGACAGTTTGACGAGAATATTCCGCGGCTGCGCTGGGTGCACGTACATAGTAGGAGGTGCTGGAGAGAAATACTATGGTACGTAGGGTGCGCGTAATTAGAAGCCCTATGGTCCATTATCGGCAGGGAAGAAGGGAAGAGTCGATGGAAATAACGTATCGATCACACTGTATAATATATGCGCAATACCATAGTGCTGACTTGCAAATCGGCGTGCAAAGAGTGTCTCGTACAGTTGATGGTCCAACGCACGAATCTCTCCAGACTCAGCTACAAAACTCGGCAAGAGGAATCCTCTTCGAAGGAGAAGGGCTGTGATGTACGCCACGGTGGAAGAGTGGTGCCAGATAATGCAGGCAGCCCGGGCAGCCCGATTTTCTGCAGCAGTCCGCCCGCGCATCGCATTTTGCCTGCAGGCGATGGCATTCTGACGAAATCCCATCACGACACGTGCATTGATGTGAAGCAGCCGAGCGTACCTTACGCTGTTCTCTCTAGCGGCATGTCAACCCATCCACCAGGGATTATAAGGTTAGCTGCAGTGGGATGATTCCCTGTCCAGTGAGCGTGAAACTTTCGTCATAGGGGTGAGGGACCGGTCTGCTAACGGATATCGCTACCAAGGTCGCACTCTTGGTCACAATGGTTTCAGCTGTTGTTGAGGCAGCGTGTAAGATTGATGCTATAGTGACCTCGTAATGGACTGTGCCTTCGTAAGAGCGTGAAACAGTAAGACTGTGCCATTGTGGGGGCCCGAGCTGCCCTGTGCCTGGCCGTAGATACGTCATATCGATGGGCGCGGTGCAAGACAGAAAGAACAGGAACCCTCGTCGCACCCAACGATCCTCGCACGCGAAACCAAGGAAGTTGCCGGGTCAGCTTATTGCTCCAGCTGCGTATAAAGCGTGTGGCTTGCCGTCTTCCGCGTTGGCACAGCCAAGCAGGGGTTTGCAAGCCGTGTTCTTGCTGGACCAGAGAGCTACGTTTACCGCAACGTGACGCTAGCTGTCGACCTCACAGGAAACTTTTTTTACCATCGCGATCCCACTCCACTCTTTCCCCCGTCACCGCCGCCCACTTCGGGTCAACACCCCTCAACACCCCTCCACACTCCTCCCACACCTACAAAAACCTCCCGCATTGATAACACTCCTATCGCCATCGGGCACCAACGCCAACTGGCCGCCCACCATGTCCAACTTCCACGCGGCTCTGTAAGTAACCCCGCGGTGCAGTATCACCGTCTGCCTCAGCTTCTGCAGCTGCGTGAGAGAATTGTGAAGAGCTACTGGCTAACTTGCGCAGGTTCCTACCCTATACGGCGGACTTTGAGAAGCCTCAACAGTCCCAAGCCGCGAGCCCCGTCCCAACCATACCTGTCTCCGATCTGACTCGCAAGAACTCGATCGGCAGCCATGAGGATGCTCAGAAGGGCAGTCTTCTCCGGGACAACGCGCCCGCGGGCATCACCCTTCCTAAGACTCCAGCCGCTATGCTCGCACAAGAGGATTACTTCACTCCTACGCAGCCAAGCGCCACAGCCCACTTCCTCAGGCCGAACGACACCAAGACTTTAGTGCGCAGTGATGCCCACGTTCCCGAGTGGGGAGCGGGCGGCATGTTCTTCAACCAGCCCCGTTCCCGAGCTCTCCGTCCAGCAGACAACGTGCTAGAGTACCAAAAGAACGAGGAACGTAAGCAACACCAGCGTGAGCAGTCGCGGGAGCGGGCTCGGTCGCTATACCAGACGAACTCGGGTAACAAGAAGAGCGATCCCCGTTGGGAGCAGAACTACAGGATAGTGCCTGCAATCCAAGGCAACGGTGGTCTCACCAATGCTGTCCGCGCAGCAGACAATGCGGGAAGCACACAGGATGTTATTCACGTTGGTCTCATAGGATTCCCGACCGACGACATCGACGAAAGCAAGAAGAAAGAAATATACGAGAAGCTCGAGGAGGAGCATGACGCCCTTGCCGTGTACGTAAACAACAAGGACTACGATGGACACTACGCACACTATTGCAAGACGATTCTGTGGCCCGTCTTTCACTACGTCATCCCCGATCACCCCAAGAGCAAGGCTTTCTTGGATCACTCATGGAAGTTCTATGAAAATGTGAACCAGGCGTTTGCGGACAAGATTGTCAAGAACTACAAGCGTGGTGATACCATCTGGGTCCATGACTACCACCTCTGCCTTGTACCGGCGATGGTTAGGGAGAAGCTTCCCGACGCGAAGATCGGCTTCTTCCTCCATACCGCGTTCCCTTCCTCGGAGGTCTTTCGCTGTTTGGCAGCCCGTACGCAGCTGCTCGAGGGCATGCTCGGTGCCAACCTTGTCGCGTTCCAAACTCCTGAATACGCGTACCATTTCCTCCAGACTTGTAGCCGTATCCTTGCAGTCGAGGCCGTTGATGATGGCGTCCAGCTTGAGAATCGCTTCGTCAACGTCTTCGCCTCGCCCATAGGCATAGATCCCCAGAAACTTGCACAAGGTCGGGACGAGAAGGAGGTCCAAGACTGGATCAAGACCCTGACGGAGCGTTACCAAGGCAAGCACGTCATTGTTGCCCGCGACAAGTTGGACAGCATCCGCGGAGTGCGGCAGAAGCTTCTGTCTTTCGAAGTCTTCCTAAAGAAGAACCCTGAATGGAGGGACAAGGTTAGTAGTACTCATAGTTGGATCTAGAGAAGTCGCTCACTGGTATTGTAGGTTGTCTTGATACAGGTTGCTACATCGACACGGGAAGATCCAGAGCTGGCTACTACCGTCTCTGAGATTGTCACGCGTATCGACGCTCAGTACTCCACTCTGTCTCATAACCCGCTCGTGTTTCTCAGGCAGGATATCTCCTTCCATCAATACCTCGCTCTGTGCTCCATCGCAGACGCCATGGTCATCACCAGTCTTCGTGAGGGCATGAATCTGAGTGCGCACGAGTTCATCATCTGCCAGGACGGTGCTTACAGCAACAAGAAGCATAGTCCACTCATCCTCAGCGAGTTTACTGGCAGCTCTTCGATATTCGATGGCGCTGAGCTTGCGGTTAATCCTTGGCACTACCAGGGCATTGCTGATGCTTTCAAGGTGGCTTTGGAGATGAGCGAAGACGAGAAAGCTACGCGTTACCACAAGCTGCGCAGCAACGTGTTGCATCACACGGGCGAGTACTGGGTGAGAAATTTGACGGAGAAGCTGAACGCCGTCTTCGAAGAGCAGTTCCGCCGTGACACCATGTCCATTCCTCGTTTGTCCGCATCAAATCTGATCAAGGACTATGAGTTGACCTCCAACCGCTTGTTCATTCTCGACTATGAGGGAACTCTTGCCAACTATGGGTCTGTCAATAACACTGTCATTACGAACGTTGATAAGGTCATCGACATCCTCAGCGACATTCTTAACGACAAGAGGAATACGGTCTATGTCATGAGTGGGCGCACCGTCGAGGAACTCGAGTTAGCGTTCAACCGCCTCCCTAACCTCGGCCTCATCGCCGAGAACGGTTGCTTCGTGCGCGAAGGTGGCTCAGATGAGTGGGTGCAATTTCCCGACGAGGACAAGACCCAGGCATGGAAAAAGGCTATCAAGGATATCCTCCAATACTACGTTGAGCGTGTCGAGGGTAGCTGGGTCGAAGAACGTCAGTGCTCGCTCATCTTCCACTATGAGAGCGCGACCGACACTGCCAGTCGCCAAGCTGGTGAGTGTGCGAACCAGATCAATGATGCCTCTGCGTCCCAGCGCGTGAGGGCCATTCCCACCAAGGACTCCGTCATCATTGAGCCGGCCGATTACGACAAGGCAACTGCTGCGCAACACATCCTCGACAAATATCCCCCATCCGATCGTCCGGACTTCTTGTTCATCGCTGGCAACGACCGCGATGACGAGATCGTCTTCAAATGGGCCTCGGAGCTCAGGGAGAATTCGACTGTGCGTTGTGTGAACACCGTCACCGTAGGCGAGAGGAACTCGCTCGCTTCATCGACACTTCCTACTGGCACAACTGGTAAGCATTATTTGGCTCCGATACGATCAAGCTAACTAACAATATTTACAGGCCTTCTCGGCGTTCTTACCAAGCTCTCCAAGGTCAAGACCGACCACTCTTGAAATACTTTTCCGAACGTACATACGGCGGCGCCCTCTACTGCTATCCTCCCGAGGCGAAGTTAGGGGCGTCCGCTTAGATTGTCTCACGACCGGCGTCAAGCCACGTTCTTGTTTCTCTTCCTCTTTTCGAGGGATTTGCACGATACCACTTCACGAGGTTTATGAATGAGTGCACGGATTTGATGGTTAAGGCATAGCGTGCATGGACGAAGTACCCCAAGGCGAGCATAGTCATTGGGTCTAATTGATATGGGATATGGATGGGTGGATGGCTTTGTGTGGTATCGCTTCGCTGCGGCTTTTCGACTCCACCTCTAGTTTCTCCTTGCTCGGAGACCGATAGTAGCTTGTCCAATTCATCGATGACATTACAACACCCTGCCCCTTCCACTCATCGCGATGTTTCTCAAAACTCTTTCATGATCTTCTCATCCCCTACCCTCTGAGTGAACCCCACTTCCCTCCTGCGTATCCTCCACACCCCACTCGCGCCCTGCACGCCCTCGTAATCCCCGCCCGGCCCTACCTCCTGCACCTCAAGCTCATCTACATACCGCCCATACGCTTGCAGCACCTTCCCCTCGTGCGGCCCTTGGCCGAAGTGGCATCCAACGAAGTAAGTAACTGCTGTCGCGGATTTCCCTGATGGGGAATTCTTATTAGGCTGGAAGGTTACACTGCACGTGGTGAGGGAGTGATGTGTGCGTATAGGCCCAAGTCTATTCTTGATTGCGTCTGCGACGGCGTCTGCACCTTTGAGCCCACGGTTGAAGGGGTAGTCTGCTTGCACGTCGGGGACGAAGACTTTTTGCAGGAGAGACCAGTTTTTTGTGTCGAGGGCTTCGCAGTAGCGGGCGAGGACGTTCTGGATGGCGAGGTGGTCGAGGGGGTTTACGGGGGTGGCCATGTTGTGGATTTCCTGGCTGGAAGAGGTAATGGTGAGTTGACTTTGGGTAGAGCGCGAAGACAAGGCGATGAAGCGAGTGAAATTACTGGGAAGATATTATGATGAGGTGTGGCTTTGTGCCAGAGAGAGATGTCGGGTTCCGAGTCGGAGGTGGAGTCGGAACCCCACGCCCACCCGCAACACGGTATGTTTTTACCTGAGCCATCTGTGGTTTACCAGATTGAATAATCGTGGAAAAGCGTGGGCTCCTCGTGCCTTTATGCCGTCACGCCACAGATCTGGTACACGCGCCGCTTCCGAACCATTCTATTACAAATGAACTACGATTAAGAAAAACTAGTCTCGCTTATTAGAAAGCAGTACGTGCAACAAGCCTATACACATGAACATAGGAGATGCGGGTATCTCATAGTGAGCGATCCTATATCAGTATGTGTCCCTGCTCATTCCTCCTTCCCTTTCCTTCCCAAGACGCGCCAGCTCTGGCGAAACCTAAGCTGCGGGTCTGCGCTCCGATTACCAGAAGATGCGAAAAGAAATATAAACGCCGTACCAGAAGAAGAAACGCACAGATGGACTGTGGTGTTTTAAGAATTTGATGGACCTTGCTGGGTCGTGCCGGCGGTTTCTTCTCCGTTGGACTGGGCAACGCCTTCTGCTTGCGACGCATCGTCATGTCTTGCAGGATGATCCTTGCTTCTCCAACCCTCGCGGTTGTTGCTGGGCTTGTAGTCTTTCGCATGCATCTTCATAGCATCCCCCTTCCCGGCCATGAGTCCTTGGACCTGGTGTCTGAAATGCGGCTCCCTACTGTCCTGATCCTCGAGCCTCTCCAGATCTTCTATGTCGCTCGAGCTCATGCTACTGCTTCGGCTGATCTGTTTGTACACGATGTGATCGCCCTCAACCTTCTTGCGCTCGCGTTGTTCTTTCTTCATCTTATCCATCTTATCGGCGTCGGCCTGGCAGTCTAGCGTGAGGACATGCAGGCCAGGAAAGTTCGACTCGAAGAAAGACTTGAGCTGGGGAAGGAGTTGAGCGTTGGGGCGATAGGTTCCGGAGTCGTTGTCAATGATCAGCTCGTAATATGACGGGTCCTTGACAGGTTGGTCTTTTGGAGGGCCACCCGAGATTTCGTCGGGAGGATGTGATTCATTGTGGCCGCCTTCCTCGGGAGGTTTGTTCTGCGGATGCTTAAGCCGCCGGATGAAGAACTCGCCTGAAAAGGCAATGTAGGCGGCAACATCCGAGTGCATAGTATGCTTTGACAACATGTCGATGCCGAACTCCTTGCCGGTCTCGGTGAAGCGGAAAAGGCCGTCTAGTGTGAGAACATATGTGAAGATGCGCCCTCCTTGGTCGTGGTGTACAAGTTCCAGGAACTTCTGTGTGAATTCTTTGCAGGGTTCTGGGAAGGACTCGAATGCAGTCTCGCGATCGAAGTTGTAAACGCGGGTGTGTTGATGGTGCAATGCTTTCGAGAGAATATACCCACGGAAGCCTTTCGCAGTAAACATGGCCTTGACAAAGGGCTTGAACTCGACGTAGCGATGATACATCGCTTCGGGGGTCGGTCCGCGCAGCTGCATCTGGTTCGCCTGGAAGTTATAGCGCTCTGGCTTCTTCTTCTTCTTCTTCTTTTCGGACGCCGCACTGCTCGAACCTTCTTCGTTGGGTGACTTCTGCCCTAAGAGACGACCTAACAGCGGCGAGTAATGCCGTATCCAGTACTGCGGTCCCACGGTATAGACTCGGCCGCCATTTTCATCTTGGGTGCGGCCTAGTACTTCCACGCTCACGAACATCTCGCCGTGCATGTGCTCGGCTTTGTTGAAGCACACAGCCAAAGCGCGTAGCAAGTAGGCCCTCTTGCTTGCCATCCGCTTCTTGATCGGATAGGACTGCTCACGTATACCACTCCAGTCCTCGTTCAACGAGTCCACTACGACGTGCACATTGCCCAAGCGGTCGTCGTGATCTGCCGGATCTTCGTCGTATATACGGCACTTCAATCTGAAGCCCGACGCGGGGACATTGGCTATTATCCATTCTGCGTTCCAAACAGGGTCCGTCTCTTGGCGGATCGTTGGCGTGCGCCGTTGAAGCGGCGGGTCTTCCTTGTGGCGCGTCGGTAGCGAGGTGTGGAGTTCGGCGATAACGTAGGGGTCGGCGGAGAGGGTATTGATGTCGGCGAGAGGGAGGTTCGTTGCGCGGTGCAGTGTGATCTTGACGGTGTAGCCGGGCGGAGCGCGCGGTATAGGCGTATCATCGAAGCCACCGGCTGGCCCCTTCTTGCTCGAATCTGTCCGCGCCTTCTCCTTCAGTGGCGCCAGTGGGTTCTTCTCGTCCTGATTCTCCGATGTCCCAGGCGCATTGCCGTTAGGCGGTGCGCCATTGGCGGACCCGTTGTGCGGTGCATCCGTCTTCTCTGACATTGTTGCGCTGCAGCGGAGGAGGGTCGGAAGGGCTCGATAGAGACTATCCGGTACTTGCACTGCGATAAGATCGCGCAACAGTGCAGGCGTTGCTCAAGTGCGGCGCAGTGTCGTGAAGAGCCACAGGTGGCTGCGCAAGAAGCGAACGGGTGGAGGCAGCGTTCGAGTGCGGGCAAGCTGCAGAGGGCCAAAACAAGGCACAGCTGAGATGATCCCGAATCAAGCCGTGCCGAGGGTTCGGCTAGTACATGATAAGCATTGTCAAGCAACGGCCAAGCACGGGAAACGCGCGTGGCTGGAAGCGGACCATGGTCCGGTGTGGGCGCTCAGAAGTGGCAGCGGAGCCGCATGCGGCGCCGTTCAGTTGGCTGATTTGTTGGAGCGTATACAGACCCTGTAGGTGGCTGGCGAAACATCCAAGTTGAGGCTGAAAACGCCGGCACTTCACATCGGGATGACGTTTTATAGCACCGCCAACCCTGCTGTTGTATGGTGCGTCCTAGCTTACTGGGGGAGGCTGCTGTAAATCTCTGACAATCCGACGTCTAGCTTCATGATGATTGACAAAGTAGGACACTTCCGCCGGTCCATCCCTCCGTGGGATGACTGGGACTGCCTGTAACTGAGCTCTGATCATATAGCCTAGGGTAACTCAACGTCGTAGAATCATGCCCATATCTCACGATGGTATTGTGATTTTTACTGCGTGATTGACTTCATAGGCCCGGTTTCTTGCTCATCACTCTCCTACTTGTCCGTCGTGAAGCTGCCCTCGTACTTGTCATCATCATCATAAAGATCCTCATCATAAAGACCATCAGGATCATCATCCTCCTCATCATCCGACATCTCGGTGTCGGTATCATCATCCATGTCGGTATCCTCCTCCGTGTCTGATAGGGCTTGCTTCAGTGGGGCCTGGTTCATCAACAACCTCTCCCTGATTCTAAAATACTTCTGCTCATCAAACTCAAGCTTGTCCCACGCATTGACGGCTGACTTGTAAAGGTACCTCCACCTCAAGCCCTTGGTCTCTGTCTTGCCCACGCAATGGGTTGCCAGACACTCCAATCCGGGGGTGTCGATGAGTTGCTGGAAGCTGAAAACCGACAGCGACGTCGCGAAGCATGGATCGTCGTAAGCCCTCCCGCTGAAGGTAAGTTTCAAGAAGTTTGCCTGAAGCAACCGTTAGCACTGTCACAAGAGATTGAAGCGACAGCGGGATCTGCTCACGAGGTTTTTATAGCCCTTGACGAAGAACACGAAGTCGCCACCTTCGTCGAAGAAGCCAGTGATGCAGACGAGAGCAATGCGGTGGGACTTGTCGAGTAGACCGGAGATGTCTTCCTTGGAACGGTGATTGACAAGCGGGACAAGGCTCCACTCGTAGGCAAGCTTTTCGAAGAGCTTGTGCTTGGGGTCGCATCCACTATAGCAATCAGTGCCCTGCAGTCGAGGCAGAAGACTATGAAAGCCACTTACGTCCAGAAGATGATCTTCGACTTGGATTTGAGGAGCGCGTCCATGGTGCACTCAAGTCCATATGTTAGCGCGTCAGATCCCTTCACGGTAATGGTATCCTTGGTGATCTTGCTCACTGGCGCAGGCATATCGCCGTAGTCTTCGGGCCTTGTTATTGACATCGTCGCGTACAAAGGAGGCAGTACGTACGAGCAAGAGCTGCGTGCCTGGTGGAGGCTGCGCAGCGTTGGCGGAACTAAAGAGCGTGAGCGGGAAAGCGTTGCCACGGCGCCGGTATTGGTGCCTGAAGTGCGTCCAAGGAACAGTTGAAGACGGCGGCGGCGGCGTGAAGTGAGCGTTTCTGAGAGGGGAAGGCAGACGCTTGTTGACGAACAGTGAAGACTCCCCCCAACGCTTTGGGAAGGCACTGGCAGGCAACGTTCTCTCCGTTCCTGCTCTTGTCTGACAGCCGTGGCAGCGAGTAGTTCCACCAAAATATGCGAGTCGCCATGTCCTAGAAGAAGGAAAGCATCCCGCTACTGAAGACGCTGGATGTTGAAGCTCGGTACCAGCGTTCAGCGAGCTTTCCTTTGGTGGCCTAAGTGACCGATCGCCCTTCTGGGCTTCCAAACTTCTATGCCTACAAGTTCTTCTCCTGCGCATATTCTAGCCGTGCTTTGGGTTTCCTTCCTACAGTTTTCGAGGTATCGGCACAGCGCAGTGTTCGTTCGCCATTTCGCCATCTCTCGCTTTGGTGGGTTACAATTGAACCAGCTCTTCCAGTATTCAAGAATATACCACTTGCAATGCCGAGCCTATCTGCACGCTCTTCTGCGCAGAGTGATGTGTTGATGTTCCCATCCTTTCACCCAACTGGTGATTCACCTTCCGCAGTCCCCTCGCTTTGAAGACAGCGAAGGCAAGGGCAAAGTACCACTTTGACCAACGATCTTACTTCTTCTTCTGTGCAATTCCAATGGACAGCGCGATTTGGGCCTTCTTGGCTGACCGCGGTTGGCCTACGCGTCGCAGTTGGTCTTCGTTCTACCATCAGGCTGCCAATACGGCGGATGCCTCAATCAGTACCGATCGCACTCCGACTCCGACTGTAAGTTTCATGATACAGCGCTGTTTCAGAGCAAAGCGACGGCCGCGCGAGAAACGTGTTTTGTATGCAGGATTCAGGGACAACCTTGTGGGAGATCACGACCGCGAGGAGCGGAACTATCGTTTCGTCTACGCGTCGAGGACGAGGACATTTGGATCATCACAAAGACAAGGCTGACCATACTACATCAGGCCATCGTCGGGTTTGAGAGTGCGCGCCAAGTGACCAGGATGGGACCGTCCAAGTGGCTCGCGAAACGTAAACGGAGTCCGCCCCGACCTGTCAAAAACGGCGGGGACGGCGCATCTGCAACCCCTCTGCCGAACGATGAACAACTGTCATCACTTCCCAACATGCCGAAGGCTCTACCCGCTGTGGGGCTAGCAGCTTGCGCCCTGCAGCTCGTCGACTTTGCGACCAAGATCCTCATCAGTGGTCACGAGTTTTACCAACCGAGAGTTGGCTCAGGCGTCGACAATGCCCACCTTTTACGTGCGGTAACGCACGAGCTCTATCGACTAACCGAAGCGCTCAACAAGCGCAGGTCAAAGAAGATATACAACGAGAAAAGGAGTGGGAAGTTGGAAGATGCGACGCAGCTGCTGCTGAGGCTCAGCGAATCCACCCAAGAAGTCATAGTTCAATTGATTGACGGCCTCAACCAAGCGCAAGCGAAATGTGTAGGAGGCGAATCGACATGGACGAATCTCCGGGAGCCATTGATGACAGTATGGACCAAGGGGGCGATCACGACCCAGAAGAAGAAGCTGCAATTGCAGCGGAAAGAGATAGACATGGCGCTGCTGCGCGCATTGAAGTGTGTTGGAGCTCTCAACATGTGTTGTACTTGCATACGTGTACTGATTGATATTCAGGGCTTACATTGACCAATCATCCGAGAAAGGGCTTTCCATGATCAGCTTGGAACACACGCAAGCGTACCACCAGGAAGCATGGCAGCACGAGGCTATAGAAGCCATCAGCACCAACGATTGGAAGGCAAAAAACAAAAAGCACGTCGAGGAATTTGCGAAGCTCGTGGACAACTTGGTTCTCGCTGAAATTGAAGCGCGCTTTCGAGATCTGACCTTTGCGAACCTGCATTTTCCGGAACAGGATGACCGGTTGCACAGCATCAGCAAACCCAATGAAGACAGTTTCCAGTGGATATGGAACTCACGACAGCAAGGGAAAGGAAGTTTCCCAGTTTGGCTAGGAGACACGAGTGGCCAGAATGTCTTCTGGCTGACAGGTACGCGAAGTTCATACCACGAAGACGAACGTCAGCTGATTCGCGAGACAGGAAAGCCAGGCTCTGGCAAAAGCACGCTGATGAAATATCTCTTCCGAAACGAAGAACTATTTCCATTTCTAGAGCGATGGTCAGGCCACTCACCAGGTATACTGACGGGTTTCTTCCTGTGGAACTGCGGCACAGATCTGCAGAAGACCACCATGGGTCTACTGCGCACGCTACTCTACGAAGCTCTCCAGGACATGATATTCGGTCCTCTAGACGAAGATCCAAGCATCGTGCAACGCATTTTTGCGGAACGTTGGAAACAGTTCTCTTCGTACGGCGGCGGCATTCACAAGTTCAGCCTCTCCGAGCTGCGAACCGCGTTTGACCTTATGCTTTCCGACACGACTAAAAAGTTCCTGCTTATGATTGATGGCCTCGATGAATTGGACGATGACCCTACCAACGCGCTCACTGTTCTGATCAGTGCCTCCAACCGTGAGAATGTCAAAGTCTGCATATCCAGTCGTCCCTCGGTGATCTACCAAGCAACATTCAAGGACTGGCCTAGCTTGGAACTCAACAAATGGACGAGGAAGGGGATTCAGGACTACGTCTTGTATGCATTCGATCAGAATGACACCATGTTCAACATCCCTGCTGAAAAGTCAGACGGTACCGAGGAACGTGCCATCATCAACACACTCATTGATAAAGCATCGGGCGTATTCTTGTGGGCGTCTTTGGCTACCGAATTCCTGATTCAGAGCACCAAGGAGTCAGACGATGTCTCCACAATCAAATGGCGGGTCAATGCTCTACCACAAGAGCTTGAGGCATTGTTGATATACATGTTCGACAACCTCGACGCCCAGCATTTCGCCCAGGCCGCACGCCTCTTCCGTCTCGTAGATGCCCACGGGTACCCCTCTCTCCTTCCCCTCACCAGCGCCGTCGATACCGACACGCGGTCCGCTCTTGAAGCAGACACGCGCCCGCTGACGGTCGGCGAAGTCCTCACACGCACCGAAAAGATGCGCAACGTCCTCGTCTTCAAATGCAAAAATCTGGTCTCCATCTTCGAAGCTGTCCCCGCCGACTCGCCACGCACATCCGTTGAAGTCGCCAATTTCGCGCACTACAAAGTAAACTACGCGCACCGCTGTATCCGCGACTTCCTCCGCAGCTACGAGATGCGCTCGCGAATAGCAACAGCGACGAATTACGAGGCCTTCGTCGAGGACGAGTACTGGGCAAATGCGCACCTATGGTCGCTCAAGACGCTACAGCCCCGCGACGGAAAGCTACTGATCTGGGATACGCTCGCGGATTGCATCGAGCATGCGCTCCGCCTGGAAAGCAACGACGGACGCGTCCGCCTCACCTATCTCGACGAAGTCAATGCCACATTGGCGGAGCACCTCATCAACCCCGCGACTCCCGTCCAGAGCATGGATCTCCCGCCCGGCGCAATGGTGAACTCTTTCGGCGACATCTCCGTCTTACTAAATCTCGGAAATTACCTGACCATCAAGGCGCGTTCGGCGGACAAGAAGGACTTGAGACACGCGATAGAGTACGCCAAAGACGTGCGCAAGAGACTGGATGCAGGCGGCTTAGATATGTTCCTGGGTAAGAGAGGCAAGCTTAGGGAATCCTACGAGAAGGTTGACACGGATCTGGCGAGTTTGCTTGAGTATCATACGAAAAGCTCGTTGAAGCTGGGCAGCCCGAAGATCACGAGGGATATGCCGGAATGGGTGTAGGAAAAAATACGGACTGGTCAGATCGGAAGAGCATTTGCAGGCGTTTAAGCGGTGATACCAATTATCGATCGTTGATCTTCTGGGAGATGGCATTGCGTGAGGATTTGGAGGGTCAGTGGTCGGCACATATGGGTAGTTTGAGAGTAACCTTCTTGCATAAATTTGACGCCAATAAGCCTTACTTGTTCCTGGCATCCAGTTGTTGGTTCAGCGAGGTGTCTGGGAGTGTTGATTATGTAGTGAATCAATATCAATTTGAGATGTTGAATGCTCAGATGACTTGATGCCTTCGTCCGAGGTTCGGAGACAGGGAATCGGAGGAAGAAGTTATGAAGAAGTGAAGATCCGGTCTCGAGTCGGTCGTGCGAGTAGCAGCAGTACCCTCTAAAGCGGAAACTCTGTTTCGTGAGAGAGGCAGTGTACAACATATATCTTGGGGTAAATCACTCCACAACACCTCCGCACAGTCTCAACCTGGTACCATGTCGCCGACTCACGGATGTACCCGTTAGCCTGTTCTGCTTTCATGTTTCCTATTGAGTAATTGGTATGCTCGGCACGCTTTCCGAGTTGTCGTCGGATGTGGGCCGTCGGATCTACAGACAGGGGCAAGCGAATCTCCATCGTAATTGATCATCTTACGCCATATTAGTGTAACAGCCACAGCGGCAGCATGTATCTGAGCTTCATCTGAATGTGGTTGTCTTCGCCTACCACCCCATATGACCTGCCCTGCATCTGCAAACTCTAATATCGGATTTACGTAAGGTAGCGAAATTAGGATCTTTGATGAATACGAGTATATCGCGACCGTACACAGAAGTTATGAAGGGCAGTGAGAAATGTTGTAGATTATGTATGTATTGTATCGCTTCGTACCTGAGCTTTACCATCCGCCTCTCAGCATTGTCGTGGACTTTGTACTCCGCTCATCCCCATCACGGACACTATTCACCTCAACCTGCACCGCAACCGTCCTCACGATGCCATCCTCAGGCACCCTGAAGTTTATCCCACTATCACTGCTGCTGCTCGAATGCACGCTTGCATTTCCCGAACGCGCCGCTTCTGGGGTTTTGGCATCGCGTTTGTGATCAGGTAAAGGGTCTTCCCGGACCGTCGACGTGATGTGGCTTTTGAAGTTCTTGCTGCCGCCGAGTGTGGTTCCCCGGAAGGTGCCGGTTTTTGTGGAGGGTAATTCGGTGCCTTGGGAGGGGTTGGATGAGGAGTCGTGCTCGTGGGGTTTGTCGGTGCGGTCGCGCTTGCGGACGACCTTGGAGATAAGGTCGGACATGCAGAGCTCGATGTTGAGCTTGACGATGTAGGATAGGGGGTGGAATTGGACGTAGCTATTCTCGCGTTAGCATTCTCCTCCCAATGGATGACCAAGCTCTGAAAAGACAGCTTACACCAGGTCATTCGGCAAGCTCATCATCCCGATGATCAAGAGATCCATGCTGATGCTGATAGTGCTGATCCCTACGTTAAACCGCCACAGCTCCTCATATTTCTTCAATCCCGCATCTACAAGCCGCACTTTTACCAGGTAGAGGAAGTAGGCGTTGAGTCCGGCGTCGATGATCAGGTAGATGACTTTTTCGACGCGATCCCAGATATTGTTGAGCTTGACCCATGTTGGAGAAACGTTCATGCGGGCTGGAATCCAGATGCAGTACACACTGATGTTCAAAAGCAGGATGCCTAGGAAAAGGCCGAGTCTGAGGCGGCGTCCGTCGCTGCGGGAAGGCAGGATCAGGGAGATACGATTTGCGATGATTTGCAACAGGAGCTGAAGTTGGATTGACCAGAGGGTGACTTGGACGAAGAAGTACCAGAGCCTAGGTTGTTGGTTAGGCGTAGGTGAAAGAGGATCTCGACCGGAATACTGACGTGGATGGAAGATCTCCACGAACCCATAGCCAACTCAAAATAGCCATAGCAAGGCACACAACAATTTCAACCCATATCATGAAGACATAAGGACTGAACTTGTTGTGTTTCCTGCGTAGAACGGACAACGTTTGCTTTCCAGCCTTGCTGATAGTGAGCGTCGCGAATCCGAGAGTGAAGCCAAAGCAAATGGTGGGGACATCCATCAGCGAGGCTCTAATGTGGGCCGACATGGTGAAAACGAAGGTACAGGATCTGCCCCGTCCTGTTCGAAGTGAACAATGACAGGATGGAGCTGGAATCAAGTCTTAGTCAAAGCAGAAGACGAGATCCTTATACTCTCGACAGATGAACATGGACTCCTGGACCCTCACAGGCCGAATCCATGGTACACTCCATGATCGACTACACCGTCTATGAAGATTTCGTCTAGTTTGCGGTGCAGGTACCTGCCAAAATAAGGCGTATGGTATTTCCGCTTCCCCATGCTACGACCTCCTTTCCTTGATGGTGTCAAAAGGGTTTAAAGCATGACCACAGTCTCGTGTATGCAGCTGAGTTACTCGGATGGCTCCGTGAGAATCTACTAAGGGAGCGACGGATCCACGCAAGGTTTTGCTAATCGGTGGGGAGATTGAAGCACAAGCGAATGGCAATGGGTATAGCGAGTCATAGGCTGAGGCGTCCCGTATACCTTACGGGACTTGTTGCTGGCCTCGGGCCGAATCCGTGCTACTACTGAACGTTTGACAGCACAGTTACAGCGGTGTGGTTTCACAGGTGCCATATCTGACACCAAATGACCGCAATAGCCGCATGTGATTGGATGTCTGGTATCTCGTCGCTCAAATTCTCATCTGTTGATACGTCGAGAATGATGTAGGTTTGGGGAGATCGCATGTTCTCCTAGCTAGTCGGAGCATCGAAGAAACGATGTTCGACCCGTCGCTCTTGAGGGCCTTTCACAAGTCGTATCTTCTAGGTCATACAAGTTTCCCAGAAGTAGAGTCGTAGACTCTAATACAGCACGTCCGCTTTACGAGAGGGAAATATCATTGCAACGGCCCGTTCTTCAACGCTAGGCCAGTTGGCTTGTCATGTCTCCCCTTAAGCCGTTCGGCGACTTGGAGAAAGTTGATGAGCGGTCCCCTTTTTGTCAGATGCCGCTGAGTCGACAGTCAAATATCACCAAGAGTAGGCATGTGAAGCGAGCTTTCGTCGCTACCGTGACTTTGACCATGTCAGCTTCCCGCGGAGACGGAAAGTGTATGCATTGGATATTCTGGGGTAACACGCAATGAAACGACGTGCCCCATGTGTCTAGAAAACCTTCGGGATCTACGTTCGACCCGGTGGAGGGTCATCCCACGTTCCGTTTGGCCACCAAGTGCCTGCCCGTGTAAAATCGCTGTACGTAATTCCACCGAATGGCTGATAATTCACAAATCCAAATCTAAAGTACTCGGGATGGTCAAGTGCCTGTCTCGTCCAAGTGAAATTGTTGTCGCCGTCTTTGTGGAAGCCACGGAAGCGCTCGACATCGTTGACTAATACGCTGACGCCTTCATACCCGCGCGCCAAACCTTCCCATGCGAAGGTGATGCTCGTAGAGTTGATGACAGGTTCTAAGATTGAGACTAGGCCAGTGCCCAGCTGCGCGTCGCCTCTCAGGGCTGCTGCGGTTTGCAAGATGGATGCGAAACCCCAGCGCGCAACTCCATTAATAAAGAGCCCAACAAGAAGGCCCTGGCAAAGCAGGCTAATGCGCGTTTGTGTAGCTGTTCCAGGTAGCAAGAGGAGCCCGAGGATATAGTGGTGTATCCGCAAGTTCTCCGACGGTACTGCTAAGAGTATAAGCAAGCAAAAAGCGAGGACTGCATAGATGCCCAGGTATCGCGGTAATCGACCCTCGACCCTGAAGCACCAAGCTTGGTAAAGAACTACAGCAACCAGTATCAAGATTATGATCACCAGTGCTGTGATGGCACCAGGTTGTTGCTTGAGATCATGCCCTGTGAGGCGCGAAATAGGGATCATGTCCAAAGTGAGACTGTTCAACGCTCCCACCCATAGAGCGCCAACCCACAGGACAGTCTTCTCGTATTGCGCGTTGAGATGCGTGAGAGTTTTGCGAACGCTGACTTGGTAGATGATGACAGCAATGAAAGCAGCTGGAAGGAAGTTTGCAAGAGCCGTGGATCCTAGAGACGGGTAGTCTGAGTACGACGGAGGATCAGAGGCCATGGCAACCTGCCAAAAAGTGATGACGAATACGGGGCCAAAGAAAGTAAGAGGATGTGTAGTGAAGAGTGAGAACACTGCTGTAAAGATAGTAGACAACGTGAGAAGGTCCCACCTGGGATCTCGGCATTTCGCTGAATCGCTCAGGATTTGCGCGCTCTGGTTGAAGTCAAATGACATGGGGAACGAAGAGTTGAACCCTACACTTGTAAGTCCATTCTGCGAATGAGAGCCATAAGTTGTCTTTTCTCCGAGCAAATTGACCACCCCGCAGCCTCCCGAGGTGTCTGTCAAAACGCCGGCCTGAATCGCAGCTCCGCAGATGAACGAGTCGCCACGATATACCAGCTCGTTGCCTTCTGATTCTTCTGGTGCACCACCGACAATGAGAGGACGGTATACGATCGATGCGTCGCCAATCGCGTATGGATTCAGTACTTGGACACCGGCGCAATCGGCGGGACACGAAAACGCGAAACTTGAATCGTCGAAGGGGAGGCAATTTACGCCCTCGAGGCCACAGCTTTGAGCACCAGGCCTGCACAATACCCGTTAGCCTTGTTTGAGGCGCAGGTCTCATTCGAACTTACCAGAGTCTAGCTGTACATGAAAGCCGGACGGGAGCACCAAGACCTCCATTGTCTCTAGGAAGACTGTCCTTGCTGAGTATGACGCCGAATATTACTAGCCATAGCATAAATGCGCATACAAAGATGCAGAACCGCGCAATTGTAGGAAGGCGCGCAAAGTGGCGGATATGGAATGTTTGTATGCGCTCGAATATCGGTGCGATGCGATTGGGCTTTGGAGATTCTGGCCCGCGAAACCACTGAGCAATCTTGCGCGTACGAGAAGCGATCGGCGCTGGGATTTTGCTCTTGACTTTCTTCCAGTTGGGGGAATCCTGCCACCGCTTGGAGTCGCGACCACTATGGTTCTGCGCCGTCCGAGAGAAATTGGAGTCTGAAGAGTTCATCTCTATATCGGCGTGTGGCTCTTTCGAAGAGTGCGTATGCGGCGGAACGCTCGCAGGCTCGATGTCTAGCACCATGGTGGGCCTTGGGAGGGGTTTATTCTCGAGAGACTATGGAGTACCGCTGCGACTGTCGGTCGTTCGCGATTGAGGAATACGGAGCCGACATAGCAATGGGAGTGTAAGATGCTAAGTGGGGAGTGTGAAGGTTAAAGAGCGTGAAAGTGCATGGTAGATATCACTGCGGATGACACCTCGATGTTTCGACTTGCGCGTCCTGGCGCCAAGGGTGTCCACGTGATGCTCCAAGGAAGGAGCCACAGGCGATACTCGGGGCCAGACGACATCCATTTCTACGAAAACTCACGACTATGGAGTCTCTTACTAGGGCTCCATTCTCCGGCGAAATCCCATACAAAGAGCAAGTGACTGCCATAGTGAGTCGTCCTGATGTGGGTGGTCATCCTGCTGACTCTTTTTGGCATCGATAGGCCGCGTGGCAGGCCAGATAGCGCACCTTGGCTGCGAGACCTTGCAACGGATGGGAACGATGCAAGCCACATCTCGCACTTTCCGCATCGGATGTGAAAGCGCTTCTGACAGGCATAGAAAGCGAGAGACTATCGAAGTGATGCATCAAGAGGCGAGAATACGGACGCATATTCGCCAAGCGACTGCTGAGCACCCTTTCAGCTCATGCAGGTAAGATATCACGAAAAAAGAGCATGGGGGCAAGCATATCGAGATCAGTGGATGGGTATTATTAGGTAAACCGAGCCACATAGGGCTTCTATCTACAAGTCCTGTAATTCCTACTCTCACGGAGCCGCGAACCGGCGAGGTTCACGATGCATCCAGAGCGCCCGAAACGGAGGATTACGCCAGAAAATGCTCAAGGTCCCATACCAAACAAGGTCGATCTATCAACATGCCGGGCAAGGTCGCTAATTAGAAGTCGGAAGCCGAGCTCGAGGTGGTTATTGTCGTGTGTCGCGTGTTGGTGGAAGCAGTGATGAAACTGTTTAGATCATCTGGAGCGGTGTTAGGGATGAATCAGCAGGGGCGAGTGATGGCTAAGCTTACCAAAGCAGCGGCACCAGCACCGAGGAGGACAGCCATGGCAGGGCCGTTAGCGATGCCAGCACCCTCGAAAGGAGCGGTGCTGGAGGGGGCAGCAGAGCCGGAGGCAGAGGCAGTTCCGGAGGGAGCAGCAGTGCCGGTGGCGGAGGTGCCGTTGGAGTAGGTGTACTGGGCCGAGGCGGCGGCGGCGAAGGCAGCGATGATGATGGAGAACTGCATGTTGAAGGTGTTGGTTGTTTGGGTTTTGGTGGTTTGGGTAATTAAGTAGTGTTGGGTGAACGAAAGTACTGGTTGATACTGAGCGACAGTGGTAGACTTGTGTTTATAGCTGAGACTGGCGATAGATAAGAAGGCTGCGAGCTTCCAGCTCTTTCTTATACGGGAGCTCGCCACGCGCACGCACCGCCGGGTGAAGACCCGCTTATCTGGACAGCCCCCAACATTCACCCAAACAGAGACCCAACCACTTTCCTGTTTCCCTGCACATTAGCGATGGTGCGACTAAGCCAGGACCCGCGGTATCCACAAGCACCGGACACCCAACCACTCGTGTGCGCTCTGGCTCCAAGATGGCCACGCAAAGCGGTGGAGCCGTAGCCTGGCTGAGAGCTGCTGCCAGGGCGACGGCCAAAAGCGAGCAATCCGGTCACGCTCAGCACACCCACACGACACCCACATCATGCGCGTCCCAGCCACAGTCGAGCCACACACCCTCGTCGCCGTGTCCGGTGATTCGTGCGAATCTCGGTTGCATGCCTCCCAGGATGAGAAAATAGACCAGCAGTGGCTCCTCCTACGTCACCCCCAGCACTGGTGCGATAAGAAATTTATCGATAACCCCGGTCTAGAGTGGCCGGCCAGGGCGGAGAGTTTACTGGTATGTTGTTGAGCGCCCTCGCCGCCGCACTCGAAAGCCTTGGCTGGCGGCCGGACCGGCACTCGGAGTACAACCCTCTACCCCAAACAGGATTGTGCACCATTTGTCTCACGGCGGAATGCATGGCTTTCGACGGTTCGTGGCGTCCTGACCACTCACTGGCCGCCGACTGTTCCAGTCCTCCTCCTGGACGAGGCTCCGCTTTTCACACCGGCTGTTTTCCCACGGGGAGGCATTTTCAATAATTGACGCGTATGCAAGTTGATTCTTTCATTAAGCGCCCAGAGTGATCGCCAGGGGAGCTGCCAAGGCGGGAGCTATTGCAATTTGAACAGCGATCGCATCATCCGCTCATCTCGGTCTTCATTGGCGGGATGCCTTCCAACGCTCGCCGGCGAAGCTCGAGCAAACGGTAGGCTTGCCCTTGCTCCGTACAAGAGACCGGGCAACTGCTTCACTGTGTCCCAAATGAGGCTCGCTCCACGATTTGATGTCTTTTGGTTTGCGATAAATTTAGGAAGACCAAGAGACGGAAGTTTAATGGATGTTTCAGTTCGGCCGCGCTCGGCGGGAGCCTCACGAAGCTTCGCGAAACCGGGATTCAACATCTCGAATGACGCTCCTCCCGACAGAAAATAGTCGCCATTTTCCAAGACCAAGTTTCCCCATGATTACACGGCACGCGATCTCCGGGGGCGTACAGTAGGACAGCTTCCCGCATTCTGGACATTTTACTGCGAGGTCAATATCGAGCCGTTGCCAATTTCTCAGCCGACACTGGAACACCGATCAGTCTTGCGGTCGCCCAATAGAATTCGTCTAGTTGTTGTCTTTGTAGATGGGATCTAGCGTCCGCATACTGACAAAGAGTCTGCTCTAGTTCCGCGTTATCGCTCAGCACTTTCGCCTCCCCATCTCCCGTCCACTGACGCCCGGTTGTATTGCGGCTTGCCAAGAACGATTGCGCGATACCCTAAGCTTGCACACACGGCAGGACGAGACGCGCTCCGGCTGCTGGAGAAACACCACGTTGACGTACCACCCCAGGTTTCGTCCTCGCAACGCGCAGTACCATAAGGCACGGTGCCATGTTTTCTACCACATGGTCTACCCGAGGGACACTATGATGCAAGAACTAGTCTCCTCAAGGGCTAGAGGCCCGCAACGGCACGAAATACTGCTTTGACTGGCATGTTCCGTCTGCGCAGCAGGAAAATAGCCTCCCCAGGCTCAAGTACGCAGAAATACGGTGCACTGAACTTCAGTCCCCCATGGGAGAATTGCGTCAGTGTACATACTAAGCCTAAGCCGTACATTCGGTCACATCCATGTAGAGTAGGAACAATGCCGCCTGGCCAGGCTTCGCACGCTCCTGTCATGCGTGCTAACTGTAAGAGCATAATGCACGGAAGTACGGCAGAGGACAACGAAGTTCCAAGGAAATGTCCAAGTTTACCATGACCGTGGCGGTTGGTCACTCGTTTGGACATCTAATAAGCTTTCAATGTGGCTGACATTTCGGAAAGAAGCATCGTATTCTCAACTTAACTATGTCTGCATTGCAAGCCCAGCACAACAACGTGACACCGCCGCAAGGACGCTAAAATTGCTGAGAATCTCTCATCCCGCTTCATTACAGTACAGCCTCGTACACCGGTTGAACCAGACACATGCTGAGTTATTCTACACTAATTATGATGCAAAGAAAAACACACTCCGAATGTCGGTTCCAAAATACTCCAATCTCGAGCTTCTGGAAACAGACGATGGACTCATGCTCCCGTCTCTCATCTTCTCCGGGTCCAAGCCGTAACGACTGCGCCTAACTAGGCTATTTAACATCCAGATATACAGCAAAAGAACTCCCCGCGCTCCTCCTACCGGCCTATTTATCGCTTCGTATACACATGCAAATAGCACTGGCCCAGCTGCCACTCCGTGCCGCGCACCATCCTCGACAACGCCCACCTGAGCTTAATCAAGCTCACAAGTACAATCCCTTTGATACGAGACGCAAGACCCGATAAATCATGGACTCGCACATACTAGATACCGCTCTTACGTTATTCAAATTTAAGAGGTCACCAACCGGTTCCATGAGGGCCACACGTGAATATGTTTCGAGGGAGGTACACAAGAGCAACATCAGCAGAGCACGATTCATTACCCTGGGGGATATTCGCGGCAAACTAGACGTATACTCGCCGTCGAAGGATTCTAGCTCTCCATCTGCGACCGCCGTCCGTGCGAAGGCTTCTAGATTCGTCTTAGATTCGTCTGACGCGTCCGCCGCGTAGCCCCCTTTCACATCAACATATTCAGAGATCAGTCGGTGCGAACGGGAAGGCGCTGGGTTTCAGAGCATGGGCCCAACGCGTTCGCAGGCGTTCAGCACCAGGAGTGGCAGTAGAGCATCTGCTCGCTGGCCTAGGCAAATAGAGCCCAGTTTTTCCACTCCTTCCTGCACGGGGCTGCCGCAGTGCTGCTAGGGGTGGTCTGGCTTACGACGTCGATGAGGCGGTTTCGATGCGCAATCTGTGGGGTATATGTGTTAGAGGGGGATTGAGGTATTTGACTTGGAGCAGTTGATGTCGTCGCCGCATGCCCAGGGTAACTGGTCACAAATATTCTGGCTTCCAACTGGGCTTCCGCAAAGGCTCAAAGTCAATCGTCCAAGAAGGAAGTGATTTCTGCGCACCACTGGCGCCAGCTTGATCTGACCTGTCACGTGGCCGTGGCCAGGCCACAGTCCGGCTCACTGGGGGATGCTTAAACATCCTGCGGAAAAGCGACACGTGCGAAGTTCGCGGAACCTCTTATACCCGCAACATGTAGTACATGTCAACATCAAGCTCCTTCAGATACGTAGGTTGCATAGAAAACATGGAGAATAAAAGCGTCGCGTTCGGCTCCAAAGCCATAATGCTTCGATGATGATCGGAGAGCTAGAACAGTCAATCACGTTTAATGAAAAGCTTTCATCGTGTAATTCCTCACTCCCAGTTTCGCAAACTTCTCTCTAAAAGCATCCTGTTTTCCTTCATGTCATGCATGGACGTAAGTGTCTGCATTCCATATCGCCGACGTGAACGACTTGGTCACAGCTCTAGAGATGCTTCTGGGTGGGCCTGCTGCCACAGACATCTCCTCGAAGAGCAATATGGCTGTTGCTAGAAAAGCCCCTCCTGCTGAGTTTTCACCTCGATACAGGGTGGTTTGGGAAGTGGAGATTATTACTCATCGTGACGAGAGTCACAAGCCTAGTCATCAGAGTCCAACTGGCTAGAACAGACAACCACCACCCAATATCACTTCCGACGCAATATGCTTTCATTACAAAGACTATAGCACCACCACGCAAGGAGCCACAATTTTCACCTTACATAAGTAGTGCATTATTGATAGGGAAACATCATAATGTTACTATGACTATCTACCACACCTCCTTACAGATATCCTCCGTTGTGACAGAACCTTACAGATACTCTAGATGAGGGGAAGATGAGATAAATAATAAGAAGTAATGATAACGACAGAGGGAATATAACCTCAGCACGCGAACTCAGTCCATTGGTGGTGAGTGGCTGCTTCTTGTTGCACGTCGTGCATGTGTATTCGATCGAATTTAGTGATGTGAGAGCACTACGGAGGAAATATTACTTCCATCGTTGTTTCTGTTGCTGACTGCCACGCTGAAGTAGCTGGAAGCCAGGCCAGGAAGGGGTACGGTAGAGACGACAGACCCGGAAGACGGGAATAGATGTAATCGAGAGATTCATCGCTGACAATGTTGGCGGGCCAAGACGGAAACCGATAGGGGAGGAGCACCTGCATGCCAATAACGGCGGCTGAGAAGTTCCGTAACTGCTGTCCTCCCTCAACAATATCAGAGTCGGTATCGTCTTGCTGATTACCCTCGACGACCGCTTGTCGCTGAAAGGATCTATCTGGGTGTCCGGGCAGGAGTGTGTCTTGCTGTGACTGCTCACCTCCACCCTGGCGTTTGTCGCAATATACCGTAGATTTCTCTGTGGATTGCGAAGTCTCCGAAACCTCTTATATATAAAGACCGGTATTTCGACACGGTGTCCTCGGCCAATAAATCGTACTTCATAGCTGCCCCCGGCCAGCATGTCTCTTGACCCCACTCAAGTCCTCGCAAGAGTGTGCATGCGGGTATAAACCGCTTCGGACCAGACCCTTTCGATCGCGGAGGAGTGCGGTGATGCCATTGGGTGCAAGGAGCGAAGGTAGTCCGAAGCACACGACGCGAACCACTGTAATGTCAGGATCCTTTCTCGTCATATAGATGCACCGTAAACCCTGTCCTCATTTCGAGGCGAAAGACCCTGGTTCCAGCCCGGAAAAAAGGGAGATGAGACGGGGCGTCGTCGAACCTTCGATTACAGACCAGGCAATCGAATAGGTGGCACGGAACATCATCAGACTGTGTTGTCGTTGGAGGTGTTGGGTTCGCCGAGAACAACATGGAGGGAGAAGCGAGGTCAGGCACTGTAAAATTGTCTCTTTCTCTGTGTTGTGGCTACTACTACACCAGGCCAGAGAACGCCTGCTGTCTGTCCCATATCGTATCAAATGCCAGGGGAGTTTCCACTATATACTTCAGCCGTTCGGTGTATATGGATATATATAGAAGAATGCTCAACTGCCACTTTCACTTCAGCCAAAGCTTCGTTCAGGCTTCCCACTGTCGAGGGGGATGAGGCTACAGAAATGGGTGAACACAGAGGTGCTGATGATGCGGTTGAGGGGTCCGGATGGTCCATTCTTTTAAGAGAGCTGAGCGTGGTGAGGCGTGAAGACTTCCAGTGTTGAATCGAAGTTGTGAACATGTCTGCGGAGGCCTCAAACGGAGCGTGGCTGAGCCAAAGTTAGGTGGCGATTGAACAGGGGAGCTTCCCATCAGGTCCCTTATATCCCCGTCGAAGTCATCCGCCACGGTTGACACGTCGCCAACGCCGATGCTGACAGCGTTGTCTCCTGGCCCGGCCAGGATCTCGGCTGGCTTTCCGGGAGGAATGGAGGCGCACTCATCGAGGCGAGCCCAAGTTGACTGCTTGCATTTGTTACAATCTGCTGCACCCTGAGATCTTGCGCTGCGTCCCAGCTCATGTTGAAACCGTTTCTGATGATAGCTTTTACTACCCGATACCCGCGGGATTTCGATCCCTCTACACCTTCAACTGGGACCTATACATGCGTGAAAGCTCTCATCATCTGCCCTATCGTCGTCGACGAGTTGAGATGGCGCGTGGTGGAATAGGTGGAGATGTCGCGTGTTGGAATAGGTGGAGATGTCGCGTGGTGGAATAGGTGCGGGTGGCGATGGACAAGATATGAGTGCGCTTTGTACGGAAAAAGGGAATTCTGTGTACTGCGTCACTGTTGTAGGTGATATATAGAGAGACAATGCCGCCAGGCAACATGGTTGTCGAAGTTGGTGGAGTAGTATATAAAGTTGGATCTTGTTGAAAAACGACGGTGTATATACGGCCCGGCTCCCCACCACACACAACATAAGATTTGAGGAAGCTGTATGCGGTGAGGAAGCGGATGTCTTTCTCCAGCCAGCGTCGCGCACCTTGATCTTATAGACTCGGACTTGACGCCATAATGTTCAACGAATGGAGAAATGCTGTTTGCTGGATCTCGCTTGCCCGAGGTCGAGGTGGGGCTGTCAAGCAAACAATCAGGCCGGTCTGTTGATTGTAGTGGGTTGTGGGTGATGCGAACTTGTGAACAAACAGGGGAATCACGGGATGAATGAAGGAACCCACCCGCTTCCCAGCACAAGATCAGCATACAATCGAGTGAGGCCCGAAGAAAACTCCAGATTGGGAATTTCCGTAACGGGGAGTTGGCCGATTGTAGCGGTTGTTTGTGGCGTGCCGAACATAGAGGAAAGTTTGATGTTTGTCTCATGGCTGCCAATCGCATGCTTGCGGAGGAAAACGCGAGCATCAAGCTCGGCTACGCTCCTTGGAATTCGAGCCCCGACTCTCGATTTAGCGTATCATAGCGTATGGATGGATGAGGATTGCTGCGAAGGAAGGCTTAGACGGATAGTTTTTCCGGTCTTCATGCCTGTTGTGTAACGTTAGCAGAGGGTCAATCAGTCAGAATTGTTCAAGTTCGCATTATGCCTAGAGGGCTTTTAGTGTTGTTGGACCGCTGCGAGCGATTTCAGAAAACACGATGGACATCGCGAATTTATCAAATGATAGAAATCCCTGCTAATGCACCACGCCTCATCTACCACTTCTCCAAACTCGTCCTGATATCAATCTCATTCGTAAAAGCCCGCTTACTCTGCGTATGCAAACTCCAATACGTCTCTGCGATATCATCTGGGTTGATCTTCTGCTCAGCCGGCAAGTTCTTGCGATAGTCGTCCCTTCCCGGGATATCAATTGGACCATCGATATTCGCCCACGCCACATGCACACCTTGAGGAGCAAATTCTTTCGCGATAGACGCCGCGAGAGCCCGTTTTGCAAAGTTGGAACTGGCGAAGGTAGCCATAAGTGCATTCGCCTTTATGCCGGCGGTGGCACCGGTGAAGATCAGTGTCGGTGGATGTTGAGCTGACGAATCTTTGGCGTGTTTGAGCAGGAACGGGAGAACGTGCTGCGAGAAGAGGAATCCTCCTTTCCTAGAGGCATGATCAGTGAGTGAAACATACAGCTATTGATTTGATAGCTTTGCAGACTGTACATACTGGCTCACTTCCCACCCGGACGTGAATTCCTTCTCGGTAAGCTCCAAGAAAGGTTTGCGGACGAAGCCACCAGCGGCATTGAACACAGCCGCGGCGGCTGCTGCTCCTGGAAACGCTTTCTCAATCTGCTGAAAAGCAGAGGTCAGGCTTTCTGCATTCGACACGTCCGCACTGATGCCGATGGCCTTGCCTCCTTGATCGTTGATTTCTTTCGCAAGATTCTCGAATTTGTCGGCACCCCGGGCTAGGAGCACAACCGGGTAAGCTTTGGCAAATCGCCGGGCGACTGATGCACCCGTTCCAGGTCCTACACCTGCGACTACGACGAAGGGCTGAGCTGTCATGGCCAAAGATGTTGGATCCAAAAGAAAATAAGTGATTACAGGATTTTTGAAGTTTCTAGTATATGTTCAGCAGAGGAGGAAATTTCGAAGATTATATGTAACATCAAATATTTGCTTGCTTTGCGTGGGATTATATATGCTGTGTCTTGAGGTCGATGGCGCAACTGCGGGGGTAATCGATCAATTACTAATCTAAGTGGTAATCGGACCCTTGGAATGGCGAGATTCAAAGCAAAGCACTAAGGTATCGCAACGAGGACATCCGAGATGAGCTTGATGGGATTGTGTTACTGTAATTGCGACGGATCCTGATAGTCATATAGGTACCACGGCGCTTCACACCTTCGTCCCCGCCCTTGCCTTTCCACATTTTCATGCATTATTCTTGCTGTCGTATCCGGCATCGATTTCCTCGTGCCCTCATAGAGCATTGCTTTCTGAATGTAAATTTCGTACTCTTCAGTTAGATGAATCCCTTTTTCAAATGAACGCTTTCTATGCGTTATCGGAAGAGATGTATGTGACTGTTATCCGGGTCAACAAGAGGATGCATGTAGGCTCGAACATCATGCTTACCGTTGTTGCCTCGGACGAAAGCATCGCCCCAGCTTCGGACGAGCTTGCCATCGGACCACTCCTTGCACCGCTCAAGCGCGATGTTCATGTACCCATCAACCGACTGAAGATCACCTGGCAGCCATGTTAGTCGTTACGTTCCCACCAGGTTTCGCCAAACGAATGTGGCTCTCAAAAGTATGAACGTGGACCAATAGAGAGATGAACGAGATGACCGCGCCGACTCTGTTCAATTTGATGGCAATAGTACTCCAGCGACAGAAGAAGTAGAGGTTGCAAAAGCGAAGGACGAATAAACAGAGAGAGATAAATGCTAGGCCAGCACTTTTGCGCTTGGTACAGTTGCAATGTTCATGTCCTGCTATGTTGATTGCCAAGGTGGTACCAACTGAAGGGAACTTGAATACGCAAGCTAAAAGAACAAGCAACTTACCCTTGTAGACTATACCCGAGTTCAGCTTCACCGTCACTGGTGCGCCGATGATCTCGCTGAGGAAGCCAGAGGGGTCACGGGAAGTGTCTGCAGCAGCGGTCTCGGGGCTATCGCCGTTGGTCGCCATATCTGTGGAGTGAAGGTGTAGGAAGTGGGGCTGGGAAAGTCAGTGTACGCTTTCAAAAATTGCAGGAACACTGAAAAGTATACGTACAATGATCTATCGCTGCACAGGCGGTAACGTGACGTCGAGAGCTGCGCGTTGATGCTCTAGCTACGAATAGAAGTGCGGGTGAGAGAAGACGGAAACCTGAGCGCACAGACCACCTACTTTCCCCGAATCGCGGAAAGCGTGACCTCGCGTTTCTCAGCCCTACAAGCCCCCGCTCCGAATCCCGTTTTGGAACACTTGCACTCCCATACGTGAAGAGCTACGCCCATGCTTGTTAGATGACGGACTCGACCAACGGCGCCGCCGCGCCGCCGAAGAAGCGCTCGTTCGGCTTCAAGAAAGCAGCATGGCAGACTGCGCCCAAGAACGACGCGCAGGACCTGTTCAGCCATTCGAACGAGTTCCAGGATATTGTCGCCGAGGAAGAAAAGCGCAGGACTGAGCAGAAGAAGGCGGAGGAGGCACAGAAGCGGAAAGTTGAGAAGGAGCGAGAACTCAAGAAGAGGAAGTTATCGGTTGAGCGTGACGAGGGAGTGCGGGCGAGATGCTCACCAAGGGGCCATAGGGTGGCCCGCAAAGGGTGTGTGTATTATTAGGAGGTATGGCATGTAGCAGGACTGACTGGCGAACAGGCGAAGCAAGACGCCAATGTCCCCTACTCGTCGCGACTCCACTTCGACCCTCGCGACACGCTACGATTCTCTCACTAAGTCATCGAGCAGCTCTGTGGGCGCGGCAAATAAGTCTGAAGTCATAGATCTGGATGAAACCGACGATGAGGACGATTTCCCGCACAATCCGTCCCCTAGCCCGCGAACAATACCAATACACTCGCGACAAGAGATTCGACGAGAGTCCTCAGAAGAGGTTGAGGAGGTAGATAGCCCGCATATCGCTGCCCTCAGGGCGCAAATGCGAGCAAAATCTGCTGCCAAATCTCCAGACAGCGAACAGATACCCGCAGTATCGTCTAGCTCTCAAACCGCGAAGCCTTCAGCCATCGTCCAGCTACTCATCATCTCAGAGATTCCTGACACGAAGCCTTTGATGGTTAAAATCAGGACAACCGATGCTCTTGCAAAGCCCAAGGAAGCCTGGTGCAAAAAAACAAGGCTTCACGCCCGATAAAACGCGCGCAGTATTTATGACATGGAAAGGTCGACGAATCCTCGACTCGACCAGGATACAACGGCTAGGTATCCGCGTAGACAATGGCTTCGTGACCGTCGAAGGAGACCCTACCATCTACGATGATGACAACTTGCCGAAGATCCACGTAGATGCATGGACAGAAGAGATCTTCAAGGCACGGAAGGAGGCTGACGCTTTGGAGACCGCGAGAGCCGCTGAGGCTGCAAACTCTGTCGAGGAGCTGGACACGGAGCCCGAGCCCGAACCTCAAACTCATCAGATAAAATTGGTTCTAAAGGCGAAGGGCATGGATGACTTTAAAATCAAGGTTCATGCGGTATGTACTCTCAATCTTACCACTTGCACCCGCTCAGCTGTGGTACGAAACTGACCCAAACAACAGCACACTGAGATTGGCCACCTTGCAAACGCGTACAAGAACGGGATGAAAATACCGCAATCGCAACCTGTTACGCTCATGTTCGATGGCGATCGGCTGAAGCCCATGGACACTGTGGCGGACGCGGACATTGACGATATGGACGTTATTGAGGTGCACTTCAAGTGACGGGACGAGATTCTACATTACCTCGACTCGTTTCAAAGAAACACACGCATCATGGCCCATGGTCTGCACGACCTAAAAGACCCTTGTGGTAGCGACACACTCCTACATATGGCTGGGCATTCTAAGTTACCATACCTTGGCGAATTTTGACGATTGAGAGCAATGGCGTTGGTGGCTTTGGACGGTTTATGGATATCCAATGCAGTTTAGGCAATGCTTTACGATCTTGGGTCGTCATTAGGCGAAGAACTTGTGCCGGATCTCTGGGTAGCTGTAACCTACTCTAATGAGGCATCGTACCGTGGAAATGTACTCTCTTTATATGCCAATATAAACTCGCGAGCTCGACAAATCCCATACCAAATTTGCGATGCTCATCCCGAATCCACGTTAGCGCTCGCGAATTTAAGCTTAAATTTAAGCCGCCCTTAGCTCCCTCTACCCCACCAAAAATTTATTGTACATCCCACCTCAAGCCTCGTGCACTTCTATCTTTCCTCACTACACCTCCACTCTCTCCCGTAACTCGCACGTCTCTACCGCTTTTCCTTCAATCGCCACTGAAATGAAGCTCCTCACCCTCAACTTCCTAACCTGCGCCATCAAAACGTGCAAAACCTCCCCCTCCTCCTTCCCCCTCCACCCGCGCGACGCAGAGCTGGAAATCCTCGAGACGGACATCAACCTCCCCTTTTTGAAGAATATCTTGCCCAGGCTGATGTGGGATGAATTACGAACCATAACATCTGAGGTATGTATACCTCATCCATTGCCCCAAACGTATATACGGGAGGCGGATGCTAATGGTATTGTAGCTCGGACTTCCGGAATTACCGCCCGCGGCGCCGACGCGCGAGGACCTCGTCGAACCCGGTGCACAAGCTGCGGAGGGAGAAGAGGTGGAAGAACAACCGAGTCAGACGGCTAAGGATTTACACAGGGTGCTGCTGGAGACGACGGTCAAGGAGGGGAAGCTTGCGTGTGGGAACTGTGGGCACGAGTATAAGGTTATGGAGGGGGTGCCGAACTTTTTGCTGCCGGGGCATTTGGTTTAGAGAGTCAGAGATGGAGAACGAGGAGTGCATGGGAGAGAAGAGAAGGCGGATTGGAAGGTTGGTGGATTCGATGGATGGAAGATCGAGTGGAGGGCACTCGAAGACGTCGCATGGAGATGGAGGACGATATGATACCCTTTTACAGCATAGATCCTGGAGTTATGGTTCGTTGGACGGTTTCAGTTGGACAAGTAAAAGTTATGGAATTCTGGGCAAGACTCACATATCCAAACTCATAACCCGCACATCGCCAATATGATCCTCCAACTCTCCACGTGGCCCACTACATCTCCCACAAACCCGAAACGACCCGCGCCTGACTGCTCCCACACGACCGGGCACGTGAACGGCCCTCCGTCATCGCCCATGTTCATCACATCGTCAGCCGAGACATACAGCTGACTTCGTGGTCTGACGCCAGTCAGAAACATCGCTGTCGGGAAATATATATGGTCCAGTCTATCCCGCCACCCGCGTGACATGGCTGGCAACACAGTTCCCATCCTGCACGCCATCGCGCTTTTAACAGGTCCAGCTCTCCACGTCCGCCCAAGGCCCCGGAATAAATCGTTCATCTGATCTACCGGGGTCCTACCAAATTCCGATGCTAGAACAAGGATCCCGCCTTTGAACACATAGAGTCGAAGCCACAGGAACGCTTCAACCGTCAATCTGCGGTCTTTGCGGAAAATTCCTGCGTCTGTGATAAGTATCACTTTCGGTACCAGATCCATGTTGTAGTCCAGCCTGGCCAGGGACCACAGCAGTCCATCTACATCAGTGGCCTGCCCGAACTGTATATGTTCCGCCGACGTCAGAGTCCAATGTCTGTAGAAAGCGTCTGAAGTGGGGTCCCTATCGTGCCAGACAACGAGGATGTTCTGGTTTGAAGCTGCATCTGGGATTGCGGGTAGACGACGCGGAAGTAGTTTTTCCGGGTCCGTTGTACCCCACTCTTGTGAAGAGGTGTGTTCTGCGAAGTAACCTGAACGGATCGAGGCATCGTCGGGAGACTGCGGTGCGGCGAACAAGTCTTCATTGAGTCTATCCTCCGGAGTGTGTGAACAGATCGTTTGACATTTGATTCGTAGTGAATCCATAAGTCGACTAAGGTATTGTAGAAGATACCCATCGTTAGACATGGTGCCTGAGAGTGGCAAGAAAGACATTGGGAGTGTATTGAACGAAAGAGGGTTTCTCATGATTCAGTGATACACTCTACATATGTAGTATTATATCGTGTCATTTGCAGACTCTGGTTGTATGAGAGTAGCGTGTCTTTGTTGGGTGTTTCTGTAGTGTCGTTGAGGTCCTCGATTTCAGGTGATATGTCATTGGAAGCTGACTACAGTACTAAGTCAAAGGTTCCAGTACAACATAGATTATCTTAGTATAACTCAACGTACTGAACAACTGCATTGGCCGGGATAATTCATTGGATGGGAAGCTTGGCGTATCTAGCGTACCTGACCTAGCCGTGAGGTTCTGGTAGGAGTGACCTTGGTGTTGGTATCCTATAAGCATCTTGGGAAAAGCCTCTCGCGGACAGGGAGAAATGACATGAACAAGAGTCTTAGTCGAAGGAGCAGTGGTTCCTTTTGGGGCGTCTTCGAAACAGCACCGATTGTGGGAGAGTGGAGGATTAGAAGCAACGGCAGAAGGACTGTGAGCGGCGAAGTGTCTAGGTGAGTCAAAGGAATGTTAGCAGGAGAGAGTAGCGGTGCGGTTACCGAAGGTAGATCCGTGTTGGAGGGAGCGTGAGCCGGAAAGAAAGTATGTCAAGGAGTGAATAGGATAATGAGCACTGCATATACTGACTTGTAGTATGTCCCAAGAATTGTCCACGATTACAAGCCTATTGTAGTGTGATGTGAATTGCAGATCGTCCATGCGTACTTGGTATCTAATTCATCGCCGCGCCAGAACGCCGCCCAATGCCTATACTTTTGGGATGACACACACCGCGCAATGCTGTGTATCCATCAAGAGCCCACTGGCCTATTTATCTGCACCTTCTTATCTTCGCCCACACTGACGATACCCACTTCCTTGTCCCACCGCACACCAAACACCTTGACATCTTCCCCATGACTATGCGACGGACGCCCTTTCGCGCTGTCCCTGTATATGGTATACATGCTCTCACCAACTTGGCCTTCACCCTGTACTTCCGATTGTCGTACACTGCGCACATCCCAAATCTGCACAGTACCGTCGTGTGAGCCAGACAGCAGGCTGTAGTCCGAGGTCGGATCAACGTCGAGCGAGACGACCGCGTTCTTGTGGCCCCTGAGTGTCATCACGCTGATTTGTGTGGCTGAAGCGCGAGGGTCAATGAGGGTGATGTGCCGTGCTGATGTTCCTGTTGCAAGGAGATTGAGCTTGGGTAGCGCGCCGAGGGAAAGAAGTGAGTGGCCAGTTGATCGTGTGTCCACGCATGTAGAAGTCGGTAGATCCCATGTCTTCAGGCTGTGATCATGCGATGCCGAGTAGGCAACGGTCGCGTCGTCGGGCTTGAAGACAACACTGGAGACGGGCGATGCATGACCAGAGAGTTTGATCAGGGGGCCACGCGCAGAGACAGTCTTGTCAGGTTTCGATAGTTTTTGTCGCTTGTTTGAGGCCGCATTAGAAGACGGTAGGAGTTCTGTAGGAGGAGATGGGTTCTCCTTTGCATTCGAGGAGAAAACGGAGATCGTAGTGTCCGCAGAAGCGGAAAGGATGCGGTTCGAGGGTCCGTGAACGGCAACGTCTTCGACTCCCCAGCGGTGGCTGAAGAGCTCCACGCTCGGTGTAATGGTCCTTGTATCTTCATCGTACTTGTACATGCGTACAACGTTGTCCATGCCTGCTGCCACAATCTTTTTGTCCGATATCCATTTCGCGCTCTTCAAGCTGGTTATCCGTCCACCATTGTTCGGTGCTTCTGACGTTGCGAGCACGTTGCCTGACATGTCCCACACCCGTACCAGCCCATCGTAACTCGCGCTCAATATCCGCTCCTGTCTACTCTGGACATTGCCCCCAGACCATACTCCTGACGCCGAAGACGCGGAGAGAACGTCGACCGCAGATACCCAGTCGTCGTGCTCAAAGCTTGTTACGTTGAGCGGTGGAACGAGGGCGCGGGTGTACTCAACATCCAGTGTTGTTTCAGCCGATATACCATTATTGGTGAGGAACTCGTCGATGGTGGTTCGTAGGAATTGGCCATTTATGAGGATGTCGAAGGGTATCGCTTTGTCGTCGGGGCGAAGAAGGCTGTTTACAAGGGCCGAGAGCTGGGGGCGCTTGAGAGCTGAGGCACGTCAGTATATTATAAATAGCTCTATTATACCGCGCCAGAAGATACGAAGCCGACAGCACAAGCACCGGATCTGGTACTGCGCAGCGCATGCGCAAGCACAACGAACTGGTATGTACTTACTGGTCTGTACAAGGAGAGGCCCTGGTTCTTGCGCAAGCTGGATAGACGGATCGCGGGTGCTCAACCGCACGGGTACTTTGACTTCTGGCTTGGGATCCATTGCGGCGGCGTGGTGTGAAGTGTGCGCGGTGAAGCTCTTCCAAAAATTTAGAACGGTACCTCGAAATTTTCCAATTGGGCTTAGCGCGGGACAGTCGGCATCTGCAACCTCCGATGATGCTCCGTTCATCATCATCCCTCACTCAAAAGGCGTTACGGACTTCATGTACAGATCATACAAGACTCATCTTCATGAATTAAAACTACAATGCAACTAAGGAATATGATTCTTTGTCGTAAGTCATGAATTGGTACCATTTATTCGCCTCGCTCTGCTGCTACGCTATCATTTCCGCATTTTCAGTGATCTACCTCAGCTCGAACGTCTCATACTCTGCACCAGCTACCGCATTGCACTGCCTCCGAAAATCCTGAGCGGAACCGCTGTACCGCGCTATGATACGTTTCTGCTTCCCGGCAACGTTCTTGTTCACGCCAGTGAGCCACGAATCCACCTCGTTACTCAAGAGACCTTGGCCGAGCTCGTGGACGTGATCGGTCCATTTTTGTACCTTGACGAGTCAACGAAATTCCCATCATTCGCGGTAATGGAACTTACACTATCTTCTTTGGGTTCAATGTACAACTTTTCATGAGTATGTAAGTACTCAATGCACTCCGCTATCCAGCCCACAGCATATTCGATGCTGGCTGGAATGTTGCCGTACGCCTGATGAGGCCCCATCGACATGAATATATTGGGAAAGCGTCGCACTGTGATACCGAGATAGGTTCGTGGTCCGTCCTTCCATTCGTCGAGCAACCGGTGCCCGTCGATGCCACGGATGTCAATTGCGTCGAAAGCACCGGTTACTTCCTCGAATTAGTCATTGAAGACTCAAAGAACTGTAAGATACTTGCTTGCTGAGAAACCCGTGGCATAGATCAACATGTCGAGAGGAATATTCTCTTGTGATGTCTGCACCGAATGCTCTTTGATCCGGTCAATAGGCGTCTCCAGCAGATCGACAAGGCGTACGTTCGGTCGATTGAAAGCTTCGTAGAAGTTTGTCTCCATCGGGAGACGTCTGAGCCCAAAGCCTGTACATTGTCAATCAGGTTTTCTCTGTTATGTCTATCGCAGAGCTACCGTAGGTCTTGGGTATCAGTTTATCCGCAGTCCAGGGATCATGCACACGCTGCCTGATCTTCTTCGCCACAAATTCACTCACGAGTGCGTTCGCTTGTCGATCTCTGAGCGTCTCTTTGTAGTTCGATGCCCAAAATCCGAACCCGGGTTGTGCGTACAAGTACTCCCAGAAGGCTTCCCGTTCTTCAGGAGTATCATCCCAAATCGATTTGTCGCCGTCCGCATGGAGAAAACTGAGTCTAGCGGAATTGATCTTCTTGAGTGTCTCGGGATATGCGGCTCGGATTTTATCCATTCCTTCTTTGTCGATGAGGGAGTTGTGCAGTGGAATTGCCTGTCCGGGTGAGACGGGTTTCATACAGTACAGATTGGGATATACTGACCCAATTAGGAGTACGCTGGAACACTGTCAAGCTCTTCGCTGTCTTCGCAATCTCAGGGGTCATTTGAATTGCCGTGGCACCCACACCGATGATTCCTACATTCTTCCCTTCGAATCCTACGTGCTTACTCGGCCACCTTGAGGTATGGAAAGCTTGGCCCTTGAAATCCTCCACTCCCGGAATGTTTGGCAATGTTGGATCACTCAACAACCCGATACCTGTAATAAGAAATCGCGTAGTGTACTCCCTCTGACTATCATCTGTGAGCTTCCAAAACCCTCCGTCTTTCTGCCAATGCGCGCTCTTCACACGTGTATCGAATTGCATACTTTTCCACAGCTCATACTTGTCGCAGATGAATTGGATATACCGTTCTGTTTCTTCTTGCGGGGCGAAGTGCTCGCTCCAATTCCACTCGTCGAGGACTTCTTTGCACCAGAAGAAGTTGTAGCTGTAGGATTCGCAATCAAATCTACAGCCGGGGTAGCGATCTGGGTTCTGTCAAATGGAAGCAGAAGAATCAGCGCCGAGGAAACTGACTCCAGTACCATGTTCCTCCAACCGAAGAGCCTGCTTCGAGAACCTTGACTTTGAGGTTTAGCTGCTGCATTCGGTAGCATGCGTAGCAACCTGAGAGCCCGGCTCCGATGATGAGCACATCGTAGTCGGGTTGCGGGACGTCTAGTGAGCCCATGGTCGCAGCTCGTATTGTTGTGAGGTCTTGTGAAACGCACGATTATTTCAAGACAAAAATACTGCAACTCAGGTTGTGAAACGGTCGCTAAACGTGGCCAGAGCTGCGTTCGTCTCCGTTCAACAAGTTTGTTGTATCAGTTGCAGTCGGCGCGATTAGCGCCACACATTGAAGGTGATACCCAGAGATAACCGTCGTCCAAACAAATCCGTCTCCGGCGACAAGGATCCATTACCAACGACTGATGGCTCAACAATTACTCACCGCGGCTATGCATAGAACCATTTACGATCTGGAGGGCGAGAGGCAGATGGCGAGCTTGAACAGCCTAACATTCTAGACAGAATGGACGGCAGGCTCCTAAGATGAAGTGACCTTCGAGATCTTAAAAGGAGTCATCATCTTAATCTGCTAATTTTTCAGGATAGTGAGCACAATCTTTATGTGCCACGATCCGGATAGTCGTCAACTGCACCGTTGGCCCATTGTTGAAAAGGTCACGATGATCCATATCAGGCATGTGTGGCAAGACAGATACCTTAGCAAAAGTCTCTTGTTATGGAGAGAGCCAATTCCAAGCTTGGGAAATCAAGCCCCCGAATCACGCAACAAATGGAAGATGGGAAGCAGTGAAGCCCCGCACCTCTCCGAAAAAGCCGTCCACGTGATCTCTACTAGGGCACTGCATCTGGTCTAGCGCTACTATAGGTACTCCACCTTGGGAACATCCCACCTTGCATGATCAGTTCGGTGATCGTGAGTATTTTCTCAACAAATTTAAGAGTATCCTCTGTCATCTCAAGCTAGATTTCATTGTTTCCACTGAAGCTTGATCAATTGCTCTGAGTCTACGTCATCAACTTCAACCTTTCCTTTTCCCAAAAGACCCAAACCGATACCCAAAACCCGATCAAAGCGCGTATACTGCCAGCGGTGGTCCTTCACTATGCTACAGGGATGCACGCTAAAGAACACCCTTAACAAAAATGGAGAATCATCTTTGGGTTTATGGCAGACATTGCCAGGCGCGAATGTCTCACGAACATTAGCCCGCGCAGGAGTTGATTGGGTTCTCGTTGACTGCGAACATGGGAATATAGACGGTATGTGATCTCTTGCGTGCATGTCTTAGTCGAATCAACTGAAGCACATGCTCACAACATCTCAGATGCTGCCATGCACGACGCTGTTCCGGCAATCGCAGCTTGCGGTGTCAGTCCAATTGTGAGGCTACCGGACATGCAAGGGTGGATGATTAAACGTAGGAGCTCCTGACTGTCTGAATATTCATCAGTTTGCTGATCCCACCAGGCGCTCTTGATGCTGGAGCTCATGGTGTAAGAAGCCTAAAGCGGGAAACAGGCTTATGATACTGATCCCTTCCAAGGTCCTCATTCCGCTTCTTCGGACGGCAGATGAAGCCAAACAGATTGTTGCAGCTGCAAAGTTTCCACCACTTGGACGAAGAGGCCTTGGATCGCCCTTCGCAATGGAACGCTTCAACCCCGTCCCGACGATGACGGAGTACCTCCAGCAAGCTAACGACTCTCTGTTGACCATGGTACAGATTGAAACGCAAGAAGCTGTCGATAATGTCGAAGAAATTGCAGCCGTGCCTGGTATTGATCTTCTATTCGTCGGTCCCTTTGATCTGGGAAACAATATAGGTCACCCTATCCTGGACGGTGTCATGAAGCCTGAGTTAGAAGAGGCCGTGGAAAAAGTGCTTGAGGCGACGCACAAGGCTGGAAAGAAAGCTGGGTTCTTTGCGAGTAGTCCTGAGCAGGCGAAGAAGTACGCTGATAAAGGCTTTGATATGGTGTCTGCTGCTCTGGACACTACACTTCTGCAGGCTTCTTTGGCTACATCTTTGAGTATTGCTAGAGGGAAGGCCCCACCGAAATCGGGTGGAAGGTATTAGCTGGCCAGCGTTGACATTAAAGGGTTGTTCTGTGAACTATTCAGAACCTATTGGAATTATTGCATTGGGATAGATTCAACAAGACTAGAGCCGGGCCTCTCACGCTCGAAAAGTGATCAAGGAGTCTCAAGCCAATTTTTTGTTCTACTCCGTCTCCGCATCATTTCAGAACACAAAAAATTCTCACCTTTGCCACCCCCATCATAATACATACCAGCTAGCGCACAGAATTTGACTCTGCGTAGATCTGCCCCTAAATTTTAATCGAGCCTTATGCACACCCCATCGCCTCCTGCGCCTCCAACAGCCTCAAATAAACACCTGCATCCACCTGTCAGCCAAACTTACCTACCATCTTGCTCCATTTCAATCGTACTCACCTGCAGCTCTCCACCCACGATCAACAACTTCAAACGCTTCCTTGAAAAACTTCACAACCTCTTCTTCGTTTCCACTCCTTTGCTTTACCCTCAGATGTACAGCACACACCTGGTACGCAAAAAAGCAACCCCACGGTGACATCACCTCCGGTGGGCGACTCGTGAGAGGGCATATAGACTCGGTGAAGTTCGGAAGGTGAAGGCGCTCTGTGACAAGTTTGCATACGGCGAGGGCGCGGGAGAGACGCTCGGGAGATACGGAAGCGCTGGGCACCGATGTGCCGGCGAGGCGGAAGGTTGGGGTGTAGAGGGCGACGAGGGCGCTGGGAGTGGTCAGTTCGTTTTTATGGGAGTCAAGCTGTGTTCTTAGGACAGTGTGGGTCTAGGATCGTGGCTGGGATTACAGAGCTCCAAATACCTGAATATGAACGTAATCTGATCGTAATCCGGCTGGTCTACGTTGAGTGCCGCTAGGAGTATCGAGTGAAGCGTTCTGTCCAGCTGCAGCCCGACATCATCTTCCAGACTGGGGTCGTTTGTAATGTGTGTGAGGACTTGGCCTAGAAGCCGTGCGGCTTGACAGAGGAGTGCAAACTTAGACATGTGAGATGTCATTGGGGAGGATAGGGTTGCCGGACGATCGGAAGCTACGATCTGAGAAAGCTATGAGCAGGAAGATACAAACAAGGCAATAGAATGGTCATACACCATTGTCCCATGCGGCATCATCTGCAGGGAGAAGGTCGTCGAGCGCTGGATCAGGCGTTGCGAAAGGGCGGCCTGGACAACCTATGTTCACAAAACTGGTGTAGACTCTTTAGCATTTGCAGTGTGACAGTACTTCAGCACGATAGAGCTCACCGATCAACTATAACGATCGCCCACCAAGCCCTCCTCCTCTCCTCTACCTCTACCATCGTGGTCGCTTTTCGGGCACTCGCTCCCTTGACATTGAGGCCAAGCGCATAGGCATACCTCGCGCACGCACCGACCGTGAGGTAGGCAGCGGGGTAGATAGCATGACCAATCTCATACAACGCGAGAAGAATACCAGCCTGTAGTATTGGGACAGAGAAGACACTGGATGCCTCTAGTTGATGATGATAACGCTTCGTGATATGATAGAGTAGCGTGCGAACGCTCTGCGGGCTAGTAGGTGGCAGTGTTGTTACAAGTTTCTGAGCTAGAAAGAGTAGGGCAAGATCTAGATGGGCAGTGAAAGGCTGCCGCATGTGAATGTCGTAGAATCTTTTCTTAGATATGAACGGCATCCATGTGTGTATATTGGCGAAGTATTTCTCGCTCGTGAGACGTACTCCTTCCACAGTTCCGATAAGATCCAGAACTTCAGGCGGTATTCTCACTGTTGCTGGTGAGGTATCGTATTGCCCGTGTTGCAAGAGCTCTGGGTCCATGAACAGCATGGTTGGGTAATCGATAGATACCTCATGTGTGTCATTAGCATCAGGAGTAGGATCACCCCAGAGCTGATCGGCATTGGAACGGGTTTGATCCATTCCCGCGTAGCTGCACCCCAGCCTCTTTCTAGGCGAGGATAAGTCAACAGTGGAGCTGCGGGTAGTCTGCGGCCGCAGCTTACCTGACACAATGCGAGCACTGTGGGAGCATCTTGTCGCACTTTCTCTTACGGACCTTACAGTTGGCGCATACTTGCCGGGCATGACGGCCAGAGTCACTATTGGGCGTCTGCATAAGGCGTGGTTTTGTTGTTTCGTGTGCAGATTGATGTTTTGGAACGAGATGTTCGACGCATATGCGGAAGCGTGGATGTGTGAGCGGCCGCAGTGTGGTGGGTTGTCTGCGGATTTCGGCGGATCAAAGCCGCAGAACTGCGGGTTTCCTGCGGCCGGAGACCTACCATTAGCAATTCTTGGTCCCACTTTCCTATCAACGACCTCACAACACTAACTCTGTCAATGAAAAGCGTCCGTTTTGACTCGTCCGTTCCATGATCGCAGGTTGAAGCGAAATGATTGTCATGACTCTGCGAACGTGGGTATGAATGTTTCTGCCTTGCGAACAAGGACTGACGGGCACATATAAACTTGGACCTACCTGCCCATTTTTAATTACACGCCTACTTCCTCTACCTCCCAGGTCTGAAGAACAGAACTAGTATACACTATGGGAAGATACACGGCTGTTCATGCGAACCCAAACGGCGTTGGTGACGCCCGCCGTAAGTGTCTACCCAAACATCTTTAGCGTTCCTGTTCACTGACCAGACTACGTGAACTAGCAACCGCTCTTCAGATCATCCAAGACGAAGGCCTCGAAGGCAAGCTTGCGGGCAAAGTCATCGTCCTAACGGGAGCCACCTCAGGCATTGGTCTAGAAACTGCTCGCGCCCTCTCCGCAACAGGCGCAACACTGCTTCTCACCGCCCGCGACCGCAAGAAAGCCGAAGAATCCCTCGCCGGCATCCTAGAACCAGGCCGCGTCTCCCTGATCGACATGGACAACGCCAGCTTCTCCAGCACCCGCGCCGCAGCCCAACAAATCCTCTCCCAATCCCACGGCAAAGTAAACATCTTCATCGCCAACGCCGGCATCATGGGCCTCCCCGAGCTCAAGTTGACAGAAGACGGCCACGAGTCCCATTTCGCCGTGAACCACCTAAGCCACTTCCTGCTTTTCCACCTGCTCAAAGATGCACTGCTCGCCGCCTCAACACCAGACTTTAACTCGCGCGCTGTCTTCGTATCATCGTCTGCCCATCGCGGTGGCCGACTACCACCCAGCGACGACTACTCCTTCCAGAAGACCCCGTACAAGCACGAAACCGCGTACGCCAACTCGAAGCTCGCTAACATCTACACAGCTAGTTATGTAGACCGGCACTACGGGTCCCGCGGGTTGCACGCTACGTCGCTTCATCCTGGAGGTATCCTGACCAACATCGCGAGATACTCAGATCCAGCGGTCATCGAGGCGATCAAGAGCATACCGCATCTGATCCCGTTGTTTAAGAATGCTGAACAGGGGGCGGCGACGACGGTGGTTGCTGCTGTGGGAAAGGAGTGGGAGGGTAAGGGGGAAGTACTTGGAGGATTGTGAGGAGGCGAGCAAAGGGGAGGATGATGGGGATGTTTTCAAGTTGGGATATACGAGTTGGACGTATGATGAGGGGGAGGAGGAGAGGCTGTGGAGGGATTCGCTCAAGTTGGTGGGAGTCGAGGATGTGTAAGTATATTGATGCGGTTCACAGTGACCGATATAGAAACTAGATCAAAGCAGTCGTCGACCCGGTCGCGTTTCGTTCTTGAAAGTGCGAATTTCGTTACATTTTCAGGCAATATACCTGCATTGCCCCGTGCTCGTTCAGCAGCGGTTGGACTTTCCCATTAGCATACAAGTGAAGACTGTAATACTCCATGAACTACCACGGGGAAGAGGTCAAAGACCATTCACAGCCAAGGTGTGGATGTTGCCATGATTATCGTATATATCGTTGTGACCGTCGTGCGTGTTTCATCTCACCGACTCTTGCGAATGACTAACCCGCTTTCATCATGTACTTGGAACCTCCAGAAACGACCAGTCGGACCAGCCACCCTACTCGCTGTCCGCCCACGAACCTGGTAGCCGTTCGGGTAGCGCCACCTCGCCCTTCTCCGTCTCCGGCTCCGGCGTCGCCCCCTCGACATCACTATTGATTCCACTTTCCGCTCCACTAACGCCTCTCTCCTGCTCTGCCTCCTTCTCCTCCTCTTTTTCTTCCTCCACCTCCCAATCATCCGCCACTTCCACCACCTTCTTCCTCCTCGGCAAACTCAGCACCGCAAACCCGCTCTTCGTCCCCAACGGCGCGTTCTGCGGTGCCTGACGCTTCGGCATACCTTTGGCGACTTGACTCCATCCCGCGCCGGGCGCGTCGTCGCTCTCTCTGCGTTGCACATTGAGCGAGGCGTCTGTACGGACGAGTTGTAGTTTGCCGATGGATTCCGATGACAGGGTGACCGAGAGGGCGGGCTTGATGGACTCGAGCATGGACTGGATCTCGCGCTCGGGGACGTTGACACGGGCAGCGATGGGAGGCTTGAGGGAGACTTCTTCGGATGGGAGGAAGGCGACTTCGAGCTCGAGGGGGTAGGAGGTCTTGGGCATGGTACTTCTGAGGACCGTTGTGATCTCTTCGATTGTAAGAGCGAAGCGTGGGCTGGTGATGAGGAAGCCATTATACGGATCTGCTGTCTGAATTTTCTTGACTTGAGCGACAGGGGTGTAAGTGGTAGCTGTAGCTGTTCGAGCTGTTGTGGCTGCCGTTGCACGCTCGCGCTGTCGGATACGAACACAGTCGGCCAACGTCTTCATTGGAGCCATCACGAAGCGCGGTGTCTTGAACAGGGCGACGTGGCGGTGTGGCTCAGGATCCATGCTCTCTGTATCCAGGCCAAAGTCTTCTGCAAGCGAGTGGACGAAAGCACGTTGCTGGCTTTGCATGGGCTTGAATCGCATACGCTTCTCTTCTGGGTTTGCCGCAAACAGCCGTAGTATCTTCTCCTGAGCGGCTGCCCATGTAGAATTACGTTGATACATGTTGAGGGTGTCGGCCGAGTAGGGGACATGATCATCCAGACGATCAGGATCGATGTGTAGTGCTGCAGCGAAAAGCTGGTTGCGCTGTAACCGCGCGCATTCATCATCGCACTTGAGAGTCTTCTTGAGATTGCCCTCGCCATTCTTCGAGGCATTGCATTTCGCTTCCTGCTTGATCCGCTGGCATTCGCAGGTGATTAAGATCTTGTGAGTGCATGCTTTCTCCTCCTTACAAGTCATGGGAAAGTGACACGGAGCCATACACGGATGACAGCATACACTCAGCTCCTTACCACAGGCTTGCGCACATGGCTCTTCGCAACCCCCTGGACGATGACATTGCTTCCGGCAGCGATGAGAGCCGCACCTCAACTGCTGCCCACAGACTTCCGCGCATCTCACTTCGTTCAGATGGCATGGTTGGTTCTTGAGGGTGTTCTTCCCGCAAAGGCAGGATTTGGTGGTAAGAAACGGGCAGATCGGGCAATTTTCATCGTCTCCATGGCAGTTATGCGGTACCTGTGGATGACCGCAATCCTTTGATCGTTCGCAGTCGTATCGGCAAGGCGGAGGCTGCGTACCACACGGTAGAGGTGGTTGTAGTACGGTACGGCCGCAATTACAACTAATCTCTTCAAAGATAGCATCGCGGCATGTCCCACACTGTCCCTTGTGGCACAATTCCTGACATCGATGATCCGGGTTACCGCATCTCAATTGACGACCGCAAGGGCGGGTGCAGATATGCTCTGCTTCAAAGCCCTCATCGGGATGGGGACGACGTGCAGAGTCGATGGGTCGGTGCTTCCGGCGCTGAGATTGCCGCTCGCCCGCTTTACGCTCACCAGAGCAACAACGTTCTCCGCATTCATGACGCCCACAGTTCAGCGATATCCGGCATATCCTCATGCAGTGAGGTGGCTCTTCAACGCCCTGGTGACAGACCGTGGTCGAGGTTGTGCGTCCGCAACGACAGTTAATGCTGACAGTTTGCAGACACGGTGGACACTTTCCTTGGTGACACCGCTTCTCACATGTGTGCCCACAGTTGAGTGTGGTCCCGCACGGTCTTGAGCAATTCGATATGGGGTCCTCGCAGGAAGACCGCGGGCTCTCTGAAATTTCACGTAGAGGTGTCTTGCCGCAAGGACAATGCGAAACGACATCAGGCGAGCGTGGACAATGGGCTGGTTGGGTATCCTGTCTGTGGCACTCTTTGCGACAAGAGTGTTTACCACAGTCAAACGGTCTCTTGCAGAGGTTAGGACATTCGAAGATGCCCACCCAGCGCTCGACGGTCAATGAGCCATCGTCAGCCAGATGCAATAAGCTGCTATCCCTCTCTTGGTTGCGCTCACAGCACAAGATGTCCTTTTCTTCCTGTCCACAGTAGCACCTCGCCGGAATGCGTACCTCACATGCGCCGCAAGGTCCATCGTGACATGGCTGGGGACATGTATGCTCTCCACACGGCATTAATTGTCCGCAGACAGTGCCGCAACTCCAGCCGCTCTCGTAATCCGTGTCTAAGCAACGGCGCGTAACCGAGCTCTTGCCACAGAAACAATGTTGCGTAGGTCCCATCAACGTGCAAGGAGCGCAGGGTCCAGCGTGGCAGGTCGTTGAGCACGGATGCGGGCACTTCTTGGGTAGCACACGCGGTCGAGCACATGTCTGACCACATGAGAATGGTGGAAGACCAGGGAGCGACTTAGGATCCGATTCCTTCTCACACCAACATGATGGGACCCTCGGCAGCTCGTCTTTTGGATAGTTGCAGCCTGGGCACCGCCATTGTCTCGGCGGGGGTATCTCGCCTTCGGGTGCTTGCTGTCGCGCGGCTACTGAGCCTTCGTTGGTGGACCACTTCTTGATGCAGCTCAGGTGGAATACCATCCAACACGTTCTACATGACCATATGCCCTTTGTTGTCCTCCTGACTTCCTCTGTGCATATCGCGCATTCATAGTGCCCATTGTCTATGTCCTCGTGTGTACGAGTGGCAATATCGGGGGCGATCGATTTTGGGCCTTGTGGTTTCTTATCGCGCGGTGGTCGTCGTGTTCGCTGGGGAGCCATAGGTCTTCCGGGAGTGAACTCTGGCGCATCTGCTTGTAATCCAGGCGTCTGCGCGGGAGGGTCATTCTCATGCGCGGCTGACAGCTGTGCTATCGCTCGTGGAGGCGCTCTTGGATGATGGGGACCGCCTCTTCCTCTCCGGACCTGTGAGCGAGGTTCTATGGGCGCTCCAGATTCCTGATCTCTGCTCCCTGGCGCTGGTTGCCCACGTCCTCGCCCGCGCCCTCTTCCTCTACCACCTCTTCCTCCTCGTGCGGCAGGTGCCTGTGATCCCGGCACTTGCCCCGACTCTTGTTGCTGTAGATCCGCGACCTGGCCGTTTGCGTGTCGATTTCGATTGCGAGGACGGCGTTGGCGCTGTTCGTTATTCTCCGAAGGCCTTCCAGTACCTGCCACGGCACCACTGGCGGCCGACATGCTGTTCTCAATTAAGTGCTGATTGAAGCTGTACGGGCAACCCAATGTGGATATATCGACTTGAAGGCAGACAATCAAAGGGGCCCTTTGCGCGTATGTGTCCTGAGTTCAAGGAAAAGAACCCAGGCTGTAAGTTCAGTATTATTCCTGACGTGAAGGTGTCTGGTAAAGAATGTGGGAGAGCTGCAAAGGCGGGCGAATTAGTGGCAATCGAGCAGTTAGTGAATAGCAAAGGATATACCCGGTGCCTGAACTAGCGCCTGCCACGGACGGAACTTCTGTATGACTCAAAATGAGTCCCGTTCCTTCGTTGCGGCTCTGGGTGGCGCAGGACCGCAGGCAAGTGCGTGCATGCAATAATTTTGGTCCCTCCAAGCGCGTCATAGCCAGCTCCAGCCTCTCGGCAAAACCCCGGCCAGATTGGCTCGACTACGCGCAGCTGTCGCATCAACCTCACAGCATCCACCACAGCTCCATCTACGCCATGGCCAAGTCAATAATCGGCGCACTCGCGCTGGCCTCGCTGCCGTCTGCCCTTGCTTTCCGCAACACGTCGCCCTACTTCCTCTTCTCCACCGCCGAGTGCGTACCAGAGGCCCCCCGAACCACATATCTAGGCTAACAAGTCCAGCTTGAACATCCCCTCTGACGATGCCGACGTCGCCCGCGCCAATGTTGTCGTCGACCAGATGGCCTCGGCACTCGAAGGATGCCCTACGAAGACGTATTTCGTCGTGCGACAGAACGGTGTCTCCTCCGCCGACTTCAGCGATGCAAGCCGGTCCGCACCGCGATTAGCCAGCTACCTGAGCGGCAAGAGCGAATATGTGAAGAGCACTTTAGTTGTGCCAGAGGTCATTGAAGAAAACTTCACGGCGCAGGGAATCTCGAAGTACCTTGAAAGCAAATGCGGGGCCGAAGTGTTGCGAGAAGACCAGACCCCATCCCACAGCGACAAGCAGCGCGTTGTACAAGTGTCGTTCGCTGCGCCCTCTGTAGACAGAGACCTTCGACCGACTGAACTAGAGCAGAGGGGTAAGTGGATACGGTGCGATGGTACAGAGCTTCAGATTAACTCTCCTTAGATAACGACCTCCAGCAGCTCATCTCGAAACTCGCTGATTTCGAGGACTTCACCGTCATCTACACCTCCACTCCTCATACCAAGTTCCATTCGGAACACCCACCGTACGAGATGGAGACCCCCTTCGGTGGCGAAGTACAAATGGAGCTGAAGCGTGACCTCTCCGCCCACAAGCGCGCTCTCAACGGCAAAGCCGGCCTCTTCGAGAAGTACCAGTACTTCACGCCGGGACTTTTCATGGGTTTCTCCGCCATGGTCCCGCTTTTCCTTATCATCGTGGTCGGTGTCAAGGCTCTTTTGAGCCTGGAAGTTTCGTATTTCGCATTCAGCAAAGAGATGGGCCCGGCTGCTCAGCGACAGCAGAAGTAGACGGAGTAACAAGGGCAAGTGTACATTCTGTATCAAGTATGAGAGCATTGGCACGGGCGTTGTACAGGATTGTTTTGTAGCGGACTCGGTATATCAACCTATTGGGCTTCACCTCGTCTTCCTCACGTTTTCCACTGCGTTCTCGTAGTATCCTGCGAGGACGATTACGAGTACCTCAGTCGGTGTCAATTGCGGTGCATGGTACGACAAGCCCGGCGGAAATGGCGTAGCCTGGAACAAAAAACTACTAACCTCCAGCCAGCTGTCGCCAGCACCCAACATTCTCCACCCACCTCTGGCCTACACCGACCCCTTTCCACTTACACATTCCCCCGCCACAGTTTGCGATGTGCAAAACTATGGTAAACCCGTTAGCCCCGCATTCACCTCGCTAATCGTTGTACGACCCTCTGATTGGCGCCCCAATGTCAGAATGATAAATTGGGGGTGTCAGAATTGCACTTCGCTCTTGATATATCAAGCCTGTAAGTAACAACAGTAGTGGTATAACTCAGTAAGTCCACACACAATATTATCAATTCGAAACAATGGCAGCGAAGCAGAAGGTATTGCTACTCGGTGCACATGGCGAGACGGGCGGCGATATCCTGAATGGCTTGCTTGAGGACGGGGGTTTTGTAAGTTTATTCATTTATTTATTTATTTATTTACTACACTGGAGTTGACTCGGGTACGTTGCATGTGTGTTGGAGCACTCTTCTAACCCGTAGTCCCAGGAGATCTCCTGCCTCGTGCAGCCCTCCTCCGCCGAGAAGCCAGCTGTGGAAGCGCTGCAGGCACGCGGCCTTCCCATCGTCGTCGCTGACATCTCAGGCGACGTCGAGGAGCTTGCGAAGACGCTGCAGGGCTTCGATACGGTGATCAGTGCTATCCACGCGCTGCACATTCTGGCTCAGATCCCGCTCGTCGACGCTGCGGCTAAGGCGGGGGTGAAGAGGTTTGTGCCGTGTGATTTTGCAGTCACGATGCCGCCGGGTGTGTCGAAGCTGAGGGATGAGAAGGAGGTCGTGCATCAGCGGATTTGTAAGTGTTGGTTCCTTTTTGTGGCATGGATGGGAAGTAGGGGTGCAGAACCAAGTTGATGCAGACGCATCGTGGCCTGTGTAGCCCCAGGATGCACTTTCACCATCTTCTTTCCACTCGGCGTAGTTTTGATCCAGCTGGTGTTACCAAAAAGCGGCGTACTAACATCGTACCTCATAGGGCAGGCCCACCTCCCCTACACTTTCATCGACGTCGGCTACTGGCACCAGCTCTCCTGGTTCCGCGTCCCCAGCGGGCGCCTCGATTACGCCCTGACCTTCGACACGCCCGAAGTCTTTGGTGACGGTACGTGAAGCCCGGTTACCTGGAACATACAGTATCTCGTCAAGATGTGGTACTTTGCGTTACCCCAGGATTCGCAACGATGTACCCAAACTTTTGATCCAGCACTGTAGATCCAAGATACCAATCCCTCCTTTCGAAACCTACACTAACTTCAAACCCACACACCCAGGCAATACACGCACCCTCCTCTCCGACAAACGCGACATGGGCCGCTTCGTCGCCCGCATCATCAAAGACCCCCGCACGCTAAACCACAGCGTAATCGCCTGGAGCGACGAAATCACCCAGAAAGAAATCATCCACCTGATCGAATCCAAAACAGGTGAAACCGTCTCCGTCTCCACCGTTTCGCCTCAGCAACTCGAGGTAGCAATTGCAGCCGCGGAGGAGACGCTGAAAACCGATCCTGAAAACTTGCGTGCCTGGGTGCAGCGCTCGGGCGCGCATTATAACCGCGCGAAGTGGATTCGTGCAGATGGGACGCTGGAGAATGCGAAGTATTTGGGGTATTTGGATGCGAGGGAGTTGTATCCGGACTTCAAGCCGGTTACCTTTGAGAAGTATATTGATGAGCTGGTTGCTGGGGAGGCGAAGAGGCCGTATAACGAGACGGTGTTTCAGGCGTTGATGGGGACGAAAGGGGACGGGGAGGAGAGACTCGTTCTGAGGACTGGGTAATCGCTACGCTACGCGTAGCTCATCATATTGGCAACGCGGAACACGAACCATGAGAGTATCTCGACGTATCCTACGCTTCGTGTTTACAGAGGGAAGCATAGACTACAATCCGCGTGATGATGCTCTTGTGGTGGAGGTACTGACGCAACTTCATCTGAGTTGCGTGTTTGATGGCATTCTAGCTATTGTACGTGAATGAATGCGTAGGTAACGCTTTGGGAATTTCTGATCTTATGGATCTACCCACAAGTCCGCCTTCTCAATTCCGTCCCAAATCTCACTGCTACCATATCGAAAGAACAGCAAGCAGGTGCAAGTAGGTGTACGACGCCTGGTCAGTCTGTACGGTAAACTAAGCCGCGCCTGTGATTAGGGAGGCAGAACAAGACAAAGATGGGAAGGGAAGGGGGAACGTAGAGAAGGTACGGCGACGATGATCCGAGCGTGGGGAACAGACGGCGGGAGAAGAGAGCACAGAGTGCGAGGGAATAGAGATCCGGGTGCGTAAAAAAGGAAAGGAAAGGAAAATCGGGCTTAGTCACGAGGTTTGCAGCTAGCCAGCAAGAAGAGGACTCGGGGCAAAGGAAGGGAAGGGAAGGGAAGGGAGCACCTTGACAAACTCGGTGGGTGGAGAGAAATTGCATGTGTCGAAGGAAGGAAGTAGCATCGAGAAAGCAGGTACCGTACCGTAGCAGCGCAGCATACACCTAGACTAGCATCGAGCTACCTTCACAGACAACACAACACTCAATCTGACACTTCAAACTTCGCTCTCAATTACCTATCAAACGCTCTCTCCCCTTGCCCGCGCTTCCACCCGCGCGCGCCTAAATACCTCATCTCATCTCATCGCTTTCCTCACCCACCCCTCTACCCAGTCTACCTTTGCATCGACAAATAGATAAAATGATACACTATAACACACTCGCGCCTTCAAAAGGGCACGCTCAGAACACGACGAGCCAAACCCCGCCCGCCCCCAGAAAACCCAGCCGTCGCCCTCGAGCTTTTCGCCCTGTGATGAATACCCTTTTCCCTTCCAACGCTGGTATGATGATGTGCAATGGCAAGAACAAAGCAAAGCAAAGCAAAGAAGAAAAAACGCCGGATGCATGCAAGTCAGGCGCTGAGGCTGCGCGTCAAGGCAGCCGAAGCCAAGCGGGTCATCGATCGAAGAGAGCAGATGCAAAAGATAATGTTGAAGCAGCGCAGTATGGTGAAGGCACTGTTGATCGAGATGTTGAAAATGTGCGGTGAGATGAGTACAAGGTAGGCTGGCAGTGAGATGGCTGGCTTAGTTAAGGAAGCCTTTGCAGCCGATGGAGCCGCAGAGGCAGGGGATACGGTCCGTGGCATCGAGTTCGCGTTCGAACTTGTAGTCGTAGGTGAGCTCTTCGTCTGCGTGCTGTTAGTATCTGTGCGTGAATGGGAGCAGATAGAGGTGCAGAACATACCTTGACCAATGTCTCGTAGAGCATAGATGACGATTCGCTTCGTGCCTTCGACGCGGATGATCTTGGCTGTGCAGTTTGGCGTACAGCTGTGGTTGATGAAACGCGCAATGCCGCCCATCTTTGTCGCATCGATGACTGTGTCCTCGTCGATGCGGAACAAATAGCTGGAACCCACACCCTGCTGGTCGTAGCGAGCCTCTCGCAGATCTGCCACGCGCTGCCGCACCTTCTCACCAACATACTCAATGATCATGTCGTTGGCGATGATGTTCTCCTGGGCATACAGTCCCCAGTTGTGAATAGCAGATCGGTCAAACTTGACGAGCTTCTTCCGCTTCTTAAGCTGATTGAAGCGCAGGGCGTCGCCTTCCGCACCGGTCATGTTCTTAGAGATGCTGATGTCGTTCACCAAACGACGGTTGTTCGCACGGTTGGCGCGGGAATTCACTGTTGTAGATGTTTTTGCCCCGCCAGTCGAAAACCTGAAGCCTTCGACGACTATGTTTGTACGCTCCTCTTGCTGCGCTTGGCGCTGCCGTTCTTCCCGTTCCTGCACGACACGGAGGCGGTGGGGCAGGTACTTCGACTTCTCAACCTCTTTGATTTTGTCCACGCCTTCGGTCCTGGCGGAACCCGTCTTGTTCGGGACGTAGTATCCGTTGATCTTGGTCTCCGATCGAGAGACGCCCTCTTCGCCTGGCCGGTTGAGATGTTTGATCGACTTCTGCTTCCAAGCCCAAGAGTTTGCATCGCCGATGTTGGCGGGAACGACCTTGTCTAAGGCAGCCTTGAGCAGTAGCAAGTCCTCTTCGTCCTTGACCAAGTGCTGCCAGCCATCAATATCCATGACCACACTAAGATCATCTTCAACGGTACGTCGTGGTTCGACAGCGGACACTCCGTAGTAGACACCGTCGCGCTCCTCTTCTGGCGTTTCTTCCAGTTCAGGTTCCGGAACGGCAGGCTCGGTTTCGGCGATGTCAGGGAGAACGGTATCTTCCTCAGCAGGCTCGACAACTTCAGAGACCGCGACTTGCGCAGCTTTGGCTTCCTCCTCCAACTGCTTCTTAGTCTTCTTCTTGGGCTTCGCAGCAACGCCCTTCTTCTTAGTTGCCTTGACCGGTTCAACCACTTCTGTAGTCTTAATAGGCTTGGCAGCCTCGTCGTCGTCCTGTGTGATGATGACTTCTGGCTCGAACTTCTCCTCGAGGTTGGTTTCCACGCCGAAGATAGCGTCCGCTTCCTGTTCGATCTTCCGTAATCGCTTGAAGCCTCTTAGGGCCTTGTCCGCCTTCTTCCAGATAGGCGAGGAGCGAGGAAGGATTGCGAGCACCTGCTCGAGCTCCTTCTCCGCCATCTGTTCGGGATCTTTGTGAATACAGTGCGCGAGTAAACTGCGGGCGTGGCTGTCATCCATCATCTCCTCGTCACTATCATCCAAGCCCCAACCAGCTTCAACTCGTCGTCGTTTGAAGCGTCGACTTCTAGCAGAATCTTCTTCTTCGTCGTCTTCTTCGATATCTGAGGTTGCAGCACGGCTGATGGGTCGGCTCTCCTGCTCTTCGGTGCCGCGGTTGATAGAGCTTCGTCCTTCGTCATCCGACTCATCCATGTCCATTTCCAGCAGCTTCTGGTATGGGTTCCTGTGCACTTGTTGACGCGGCTTGTGGGTTGCTTTTCTACGCTCATCGACAAACACATCAACTGGTCTGAGTGGTTTTCTGCCACCCCGGTCGCGATTGTGGTCACGTGGGCCAAGTGCTTTTCGGCCACCACGCCCTCTAAGCGCAGCAGTCCGACCCTTGGGCACCAGTGCCGAAGCCTCCATAGAAGGAAGCAACATTGACGATGGTCGAATTGTCTCTTCCTTAACATGTGGATCTGCAACATCGAGCTTCCGTCTCTTTTCAACATGTCGTTCGGGAGCCATGAGCTTCAGCAGTTGTGGCCCTGCGATTCGGGTTTTCACTTCGCCCACCAGCTTCTCCTGTAGCTCTTGCTTCAAAATCTCCAAAGCAGCAACAACCGGGTCCAAAGCTTGCGCTCGCTGTTGCTTCTCATACTCCAGATCTTCGGCCTCTTCATGCGCTACTCTATCCTCTTCGGCTTTTCGTTTCTTCTGTGCCACGACGCGTTCCGGGCTCGGGCTTCGTTCGTAGTTAGGGTCGCCATATTGGTTGCATTCCATGTTCATAACGTAGGTGAATAGCGGTGTCATGTGGAACTGCTTATAGCACCTCACGGTCTCGTCTTCGCCCCATTTCGACTCCTCGAAAACCACGTAATAGCCCGTTTGGTCGCACCGTACCTCCTGCATCCGGAAGGCCTTTAAACGTTTCCTCAGATGTTCAATCGTTGTGCTAAGAACTGGTACGTATTGATGTGCGATGAAAATATAGGGTCTCCGCTTCAACTTTGGTTTTATCGGCTCCCTCTCGATTAGGTGTGAAAGTTGCGCCTTTCGAGACAGCGTTTCACGGGGCGGAGGTGCGAGACGGATGCCTTTTCCGGAGGGACCCTTAGGGACGTTTGCTGGCAAATCAAAACTTGCAGTTGCGGTAGGCGTCGCTGGCGTAGCGGTTGCGGACTTCACAGCTTGAGCTGCCTTTCGCTTATCCTCTTCTTTCTTCAAAATCATATGGACCAAACGTTTGGCGCGCAAGCCCTCTCGGTCGCGAACTACACGAACACGCTGCATTCCGATGCGCTCGTTGTTGCCCTTCTCCTCTGCCTTCTTCGCAGACTCTGAAGCTTTCACGGGCTGGCCACCCCTTGGCGCTGGGCCATCTCGAAATTTCACCAAACATATTCCGAGTGGGCTACCAGTCATTGGGTGGACCTTGTTGTTGATAGACTCAACCTCACCGAAAGACGAACCAAAAGCGCGGAGCTGCGAATCGGTGGTCAATTGGTCAAAACCACTGATGACGATTTGTGTGGCAGGCCCGGGCCCGCATGAGGTCCTCTCGTCGAAAGAGTACGGCTTGAGGGTCCTGGGTGCAATGCGCAGCTTAGATTTTGGGGACGTGCTGCCTGGGGCAGTCTTCATGCGATATTGGCCAACAGCATACCCCCGCGATGACCAGACGCGGGTCTGGCATCTCAGATGGATCGTCCTGCAACACAAGTCACGTTAGCCTTAGCGTCGCAGGACGACCCATCTCTGGGGTATGTGTATAACCATCAACGTACCAGTTGTTTTATCGGTATATATTTCGGTTTGTACTTTTGTTTCTCTTTCCGATCCAGCTTGGGGTCTAAGTGGGGATCGTAGAGCCTCTTCGAGCCCAGGATCCCATCTGCTGGCCATATCGATTTCCTCGTCTCTGGCGGCGTGTGCACGGGCGTTATGGTATCGGCACCATTTCTTATGGAGGCGCTTGACGGCGCATTGCGTGAGGAAGCAGTCGCGTGCATCGTCTCATTCGGAGGCTTCGCAGACCGCGGACTAGGCAGCTTGCCAGGCGGAGACGAGTCTGAGCTCGTCAAGGGTGTGAGGGCGTGTAATGAAGCGGTGCGACCAGGATACGACATGGTGCCAGAGACTGAAAACACCGACGAGGCGACGCTAGAGGCAGAGGTATCAGAACGAGAGCCTGTTAGCAGTTCGCTGCGGCGCGCGCCATGGCTGCTGAGTGTATATGTGTTTTTCTCCTGTGTCGTAACTTCTTCCCGGGCCATCTAGGTCCCCTCTCCCCAACTGCGTCGCGCCGACGGACGGCTGAGTCCACGCAGAACACGTGTGCCCGTTGCGCTGACTTGCCTTCGCCCTCGCTGTTGTCAATGTGATGGTATATCAGTGTTATAGGTTCGAGCGCAGAGGCGCGCGAAATGAGCTGGCAGGGCTATTCAGCGATGTTGCGCGCCCCATCAACGTATGGTTGTGATATGGGTGGCCGTTGCTGCAGGAGCGTGGCCGGGGGGTGCCTCGAAGCTGGCCTCGCGGCGGTCAGGATGAGGAAAACGCGCGCTGGACGCGGTGAGATGCGTGTCGGGCTGCTGGCGGCAAAGCAGGCGTTCGGGAGCCGCGCAAAGAAGAGAAATGGGAAGGGATGCTGAGGCGCTGCAGTCGGCGGCGAACAGCACGCACGAACAGAGCTCGGGGTGGTGATGCGGGCGGTTGGAATGCCGTGGTGAAAGAGATGAGGTCGTGAGTGCCAAGCATCGATTTGCAAGGAACACTGAGAAAGGGGAGGCGCGACTGTCAGAACCAGTCTTGCTGGCGCGCAACGCCTAACATGTAACAACCACCCACCCGCCCGCGGAAATGCTGCAGCCAAGGCCTCCTGTACACTGCGGGCCTCTGGCCCTCTCGTCAGCTAGCTCAGACGACGTCCCTTTACCCTGAGCGTCTCGTCAGCCTGCAGCGCGCTGCAAGGTGTTCATCTGCATGCCCCAGCCGCAACGTCATGCCGACCTTTCGCTTCCCGCCTCCCGCGCCTGCGCCCGAACCCCATCGTCGCACAGAATACCTCGACGAACAGCCATTGTCGCGACTATCCGCTCGCGAGCAATCGCTATATGTGATATGCAAACTGATTGATAGTTACATGCATGTAGGAGTCCACGTGGGCGCAGCGACGATCCAGGCCAGGCCCTCCCGAGAGGGGCACACGACAACCCGACTTGCTCTCGGAAAGCGCATAAAGGGGGGTATGATCCTTGACATGCATACGTGCCTATAGACACTTTGAACTACCGACATTTTCATGTTCGGACAGCGTTTTGGGGCATCGCGACGCTGTGACTAGATGCGCGGGGTCATTTTGGGGAGTGTAGGACGCAACGGCGGAAGCGGAATGTCTGCTTGCATACGGTGCCTGCGACCAGTTGCAAGTACCGCCAGTTCTGTACTTGGGCAGCGTGTTGGAACCTGTCATCTTAGACACAGGATCCCGTAGCCGTTAGAAGCGGTCCTAAAAGCCATTGTATGACTGAACGAGAACAGCTTATGCATCTTTCCGCTATGCTGTCATATCTTATTGCTTTTTCGCCTTCTACCGCTAGACTTGCAATCTCATTTTGGTATCCTTCGTGTCTAGTCGACATACTTCCCGTCCAGCCACCCCTTCCTCTTAACACCCAGCTCCACCGCCGCGCTCCCCCAATCCTCTCCATGATTATGTCCCTCCTTCCCACTGCTCCCTCCAATCCCCGCCCTCTGCAGCCCCTGCTCATCGCTCAACAACGTCAATAGCCCAAATATCAACGGCACGTTGTTATCCAATTGGACCCTCATAAGCCCGTGGCTCACCGCATCCGCAATGTACTCGAAGTGCATAGTCTCGCCCTTGATAAGCACACCAATGGCAATGATGGCGTCGAACGGCGATTGCAGGGTCGAGGACGTCGGTTTGGAAGTGGGTTCGGTGGAAAGGTCAGAAACGGAGCCGAGGAGGTCGGCGGCGGCACCGATGACGCTCGTGGAAGAGGACTGGACTTGCGACGCGGAGTGGAGTCTGAGGGTTTTTAGCCGCGATACGGGTATGGGCCTCCCTTCAAGGAAGCAAGGTATCTCGAACGAAAGAGAGAGGATCAAATGCAAGGAAGATAGTTTCAGACGTACTGCTTCACAGCATACGGCAGCTCGTAGCTCCCTGGAACGCTCTGCAGGATGATGTTCTCGTCCTTGACGCCCGCGGCCTTCAACGACTTCTTCGTCCCCTCGAGCAGCGCATCGATAATCTTCGTGTTCCACCGCGCGTGTATGATACCAATCCTCAAACCAGATCCTGATACATATCAGCTATAAGCTCCTGCTAGCTTCGCGAAGCTCAGAAGCTCCAGACACGCGGTGGGCTGTCCGAGCACCAACGTCTGAACGCGGGGTGGGGTTCTTGCGTACCATCGTAAGTCTTTGCCTCACCGGGTCCCTTGAGCGTCGTCATCGTGGTGTTCCGGGTATATGTCAAGGGTGGTGGAAGTGGGAGAGCGAGAAGGACAGTTGTCAAGCGTAAGTGGTGAGTCCACGGGTGGTGCGGGAATGCAGGAACAGACAGGAACACCCCACCAAGACCCAACGCCGCCCCCGCGCACTCGACAGGGATCACCTGCATTGCGACATCAGCCAAGCGTTCCACCAAGCTCTGCGTCCATCTCACAGACTCACTCTGCGCGACACAGGGTATGACGAACTACCGAGAGTTACACCGGAATGTCTGATACAATTGCGGACTGTATCAAAAAGGGCTAGTTGCATTGGGGACATGTTAGTACAAGTGGTCGCTATGTCGTAGATCCAGGATTGTAGTGGTGAGAAGATCTCTCATTTGTCCAATCACGTTTTTGCAAAGAACATGATAGTATGTTATACGTGATTCATATTCCGATCTGCTATATCGCCCAATGGCAAGCCTGCAACTAAGAGCTCGTACATCATATCGCAAATCTTCCTTCCATCCAAGCGAGACAGCTTTTTACTCATATAATCGTGCATTCAACCCAGACAGATCAGTTAGTTCCCAGACGCAGCCAGCCAGGGTGTGCAGCCTCTAATTACGCCAATACCAATGTGTTCATAACAATCATGCTCTACTCCACGGTGACAGACTTGGCCAAGTTACGGGGCATGTCAACGTTGACGCCCTCGGCAACCGCCATCCAGTAGGACATGAGCTGCAGAGGAATGACGTTGATGAGACCCTGAAGGCAGTCGACCTGCTGGGGCACCTCGATCTTGTCGGTCTTGTCAGCGGGGAACTCGGGGTCGTTCTCGTTGCAAATGATGATGGGTCGGCCGGCACGGGCAATGACCTGTTGGTAGGCGTTCAATGACTTGGCGAAAATGCCGTCGCGGGTGAGGATCATGACGATGGGGAGGTTCTCGTCAACGAGAGCAAGCACACCGTGCTTGAGCTCACCAGACATGACAGCCTCGCAATGAAGGTAGGAGATTTCCTTGATCTTCAAGGCACCCTCAAGGGCAGTGGCGTGCTGAGAGCCACGGCCGAGGAGCAGCAGAGACTTCTGGTCCTTGAACCTCTGGCAGAGCTGCTTGATGGGCTGGTCGAGCTTGAGCACCTCCTTGAACTGGTCGGAGATCTTGGTGAGACCGTCGATGATCTCCTCGCGCCTCTTCTGCTTGGAGGCACGGTCCTCAGAGAGGGAAAGAGCGAACATGACCATGCAGACGAACTGCGAGGTGTAGGCCTTGGTGGAGGCAACACCGATTTCGGGACCGGCGTTGATGTGGACACCGCAGTGGGTGAGGAGGGAGATGGAGGAACCGACAGAGTTGACGATACCGACAGTGAGGGCACCGCGCTCCAAGCAGTAACGGAGAGCCATCAGTGAGTCAGCAGTCTCACCAGACTGTGAGACGAACACGCAGGTGTCGTCACGGAAGACGGGTGCGGAGCGGTCCAAGAAGTCAGACGCAAGCTCGACGGCGATCGGGATCTCAGTGAGCTCCTCGAAGATACCACGAACAGCCATGCAAGAGTGGTACGAGGTACCGCAGGCAATGAATATGATCCTGCGGCATCGCCTGATGGTTGTGATGTACTGGCGGAGACCACCAAGGGTGACGGTCTTGTTCTCCGCATCGAGACGTCCACGCATGGCGTTGACAACGGACTCGGGCTGCTCGAAGATCTCCTTCTGCATGAAGTGGTCGAAGCGGCCCTTCATGATCTCCTGAAGCTCGATCTCGAGAGTCTGGATGGCACGGACGTTTGAGGCACCGTCCTCCTTGGTGAGACGGTGGATGTTGAGGGAACCCTCGTGGATGTGGGCAATGTCGTCATCCTCGAGGTAGAGGACCTTCTTGGTGTGCTCAACAATGGAGGAGGGGTCGGAGGAGAGGAAGAACTCGGTGGGCATGGGGACACCATCCTCGGAAAGGAAAGCGCGCGACTGCGAGCGGTGGAGGAGCGACTTGTCTGGGGGAGCAAGCAGGCTGTTTGCGTTCTTCAAAGCAACGTTCTGCGAGGCACGCTCAGCAGGGAGAGCAGCCTCATCCTGGTACTCAACATCGACAAAGTCAACCTTCATCTTCTTCTGTGTCCGCACACCAACGACGAGGGGCGAACCCTTACGGGCAGCGACGACCTCGTGGGGGAAGTGCACCGACTTCATGAGCAGACCGAAGGCGCCCTGGAGCTCCTTGATGACGGTCTTCGCCAGCTGGACGAAGCTGAGCTCCGGGTGCTCATCGTAGATGTATTTGGCGAGCTTGGCGATGGCCTCGGTATCGGTCTCGGTCTCAAACCTGAAACCCTTGCCCTCGAGCAGCACCTTCAACTCCTTGTAGTTTGTGATGATACCGTTGTGGACAATCGAGAACTCCCAGTTGGGGTCGGACCTAGAGGGACGCGTGTTAGCGCTGCGCACAATATATGACGGAAGTCGGGGCGAGAAGGGCTGCCGATCAACGGACCAGCGGTTTCAGCAGGCGGGCGAACTCGGGTCTAGGGGTACAGAGTGGATAGTACCACATACCTGTGCGGGTGGCAGTTGACGCGCGAGGGGGGGCCGTGGGTGGCCCATCGGGTGTGTGCAATACCGGCGTGCGAGTCGAAGACCTTGGACTGGTCGAAGCCGCTCTCCTCGACGAGCTTCTTGAGGGCGGCGACCTTGCCGACCTCCTTGACGGCAAAGACCTCGTTCTTCTTGTCACCGTCAATGGCGAGACCGGCGGAGTCGTAGCCGCGGTATTCTAGACGCTGGAGGCCTGCAATGGTGGTGTTAGTGGGGCATGCTCACGAGCTGAAGCTGAGGAACGAGCGGCGGCGGGGGGCACTTGCCATTGACGAGTGTGTTGAGAATGTACTTCCGGTCCTTCTCCACCAGGTAGTTGATGTAGCCAAAGATTCCGCTGTGCAGTCCACCGTCAGCTACGATTTCCGTTTGCGGCCAGCTGTGTGCTGCTGGCGGCGCGGCGGGGCAGCTAGCTTACCACATAGTGCTACTGGGAAACGATTGTGTAGGGTATCAAGCGGGAAAGATTGTATAGGACGAAGGCTCAAGCGATTGGGTTGCGCAGAGCTGGTAGGGTGCGCTGGGGTGCAGTGGGGAGGGGAGAGGAGCAAAAGAGCGGTGTTGATTGTTTCTCTTTATAGTGGTGGGCCAAGCAGCGCTCTCTCTCCACATAAACGCTTTTCGCTTTTCAGCTGCTAGTCGGGCCCGCCCCTGCACCGGTGGCGTCGCCTCAAACTGGTCGACCATGCTCCAATATTGCCCTCCCGCCGTGTCCACGGCGACGGTGACACTGCGGGCTCTCGCCGTAGCCTCAGCCGTCCCCTATTCCGCCGTTTCGTCATATCGTGGGAGGATGCCGGTCGATGGGGGCCCTCAAGGGCGCGAGGCCAATGGCCTGCGCCTCAGGCATGGCCAGTGCCTGATCGACGCTATCGCTTTGATCAGGGCCCTGGGGCGCAGTGTTGCAAGAATAGCAACGCTAGCCATCGGCCTCATTGATTTTCTCCATTGAATGCTCCATTGAATTTCTCCATGCTGCTGCAAAAGTTGTCTCCTCCGAGTTCGATATTCCCAAGCTCCGTTGGCGTCGGGCGCTGTGGCTAGTGCTTGCCTGTCTCTCCTGCTTACGGGCAAGCTGCTATTCCTGCACTGCGCTGCACGCCGCGCCAGGGACCTCAACACCATGCACCCCTCGCAATCGTCGTCAGCAGCATCCCTAACCTAGCCGCCAATCAATCGATACTGTGCACCCTGCTGGCACCCGCCCACGTCTGCGGCGTCCGCACGGGTTGCTCTTCACGCTCATGCTCCCACCATGGCTTTGGCTCCGGCAGACGTGTCGTGGCGACGCGGTACTCTCTCCACTTAGACGGCTCCACCACCAGACCACGGCTCCACCTGCTGCCACAGAGCAACATGTGCGATCCAGCCCGCCGAGCCAAGCTTGCCGTTGCTATCAGACGGTGAGCAACGACTCGCACGTGTACACGCAGACCACGACGCTGGAGTAGCGGACCCCATTCGCACCCGGCCTATCGCGCCCTGCAGCAGCCAAACGTGAGCTTGTCTCAGCCGCAACGGCGTCCACTCGTGCCAGTTCGCACAAAATGCACCAAACCATGCGCCTAGATCAACCTCCAAAAGCTACCCCGTGTCCCTGCGCTGGCTCGACCACGCCTCAGAAGACCCTATACACCGCTCAACCCTTTTCCCCTTTGACAGCTCGAATTTCCTGTATGGCGCTTCAGCCTTCGAATCGAGCTTCTAGCCTTCCCATCTCGGCGTTCCGCTTTGGGCCGTCGAGCAGGGCCGTCTTTCGGCCTCAGATCCATCCAAGCTGACTGTGCTTTTCCTCGCTGTTCGTTCCAGCGACCGTATCTACTGTGTAAGGTTCGCCCCACGGGGGTTTCAGATCCCGCTGTTCTCCATTGGTGCCGGTTCTCGTCGCATCTGTGCTTATGGCACTGCTGACAAGCGATTATGGGCCACTTGGGCATGAGGCCGTGGTCGTTCATAAGACTTCGTCCGGAGCGCGCGAAGGCGGCTCTTGCCATGCGAAAGTTTTCCCTTCCCGGATCGTGACTTCCTCACTAGCTTCTGCATATGCTGTCTCAACGTGCATCATGGACTGAAAGTGATAAAGTATTGAGGTGCAAGAGTGGTGCATCACTAGCGCGGCTAGAACTGCCCATAAACACTGGCAAGGAAGCTCCTGCCGAACACATCCAGAGGCCCCTGCCTCAATAACGATCACGACTTCCTTGTTAGCTTTTGTGTAGCAACGTGCATTCTGGACCCTGAAAAGCACCATGATCGATTTCATTGTGTCGTCTGTGGCTGACGCTAGTGACAATCGCGAGTAACGCCTGTACACTCAGTATACTCAAGTATATTGCGCATACTAAACAATCTATCCTGATCCCCTCCGGACTCCATATCAAGCACGCTTGAATTTTGCAAAGTACTTCCCAATGCGCCACGATCCGCTCCTTTACTATTGGACTGCCTTCTCCCACTTCAAAAGATATAAACCTCTAAATGCATACGCCTTGTTCATTCTAATGCTGGAAAACGCGCCTCTCAATGCACCCCCTTCCCCTCCCCCTCACAGGTTCATCGTCACAGTCATACTGTTACTATGCACCAACAAACACGGCGGCAAGCCCTGACACAGCACCTCCAAATCACTGATGTACTTCACGCTCTCCGCCTCGCTCTCGCTCGTGCCCTCCACGGGACTCGGCAGCGTCGTGAACACTACCGCCGTGTCGTCCGAGTGCTGACGGATCAACTCGTTGAGGATGAGATGCTGGGCTCGGCACGGGAGGTCGTTGAAGGAGAGGGGGATGGCTTGGTGGAGGGGGTAGCCTGAGGCTTGTGGCTGCGGGGCTACGGCTGGTGGGAGGGTTGAGCGAGGTGGTGTAGAGGATGAGGGTGAGCTGGGCTGCGAGGATGCCATGGCGGAGGCGATGGGGTCTTTCTTTCGGGCGGCGGACGGCGAGGGAGTGTCGACGAACATGATGGAGGGTCCGGCGGTCTCTTCGGGGGCGACGGCTGTTCTTGGGGTTGGCTTGGACGTGAACTTCGGGAGGGATTGGTGTCGAATTGGTGGCGGCCGTACGTTGACAGGCTGGGTTCGTGGAGAAGATGTGCGTCTGTTAAATGAATTCTCATCCAATTTGCTCGTCGTTGGTAGTGCCGTATCGGAAGTCGTGGCATCAGGATGTGGCCTTAACGGGGTCACTGAGTCTGCCGTGGGGCGTTCCTCCTGAGATGGTGCCTTCCAGAGAGCTTTCCTATTAGGCAATGAGTATACGCATAGTGCAGGTTGTGTAGACTCGGTAAACTTACCGTATACCAAGCTTTTGGGTGATGAATGGAAGGCCTCTGACTGCAGTCGTGGTCGGAGCCCGTTGTAGCAGACCTGATGGACGGCCTTCGTCATCACTGTCAGAAGCGTCCAAGTCATACTCATCAAGGTCATTGCTCATCCCGACAGAACTTCCAGTATCAACAGCTTCTTCCTCGTACTTAACATCGTCCCCATCGGACGAGCTCGTAGATTGCTCGCTGTCGCTGTTTGACAGTAGCTCCGCGGGCAACCGCTGCGCACGGATACCAATGGTGGCACCAGTCCTACCAACGTCGCTCACAGAGGCCTTCCGCTTCGCGCGACGTAGTAGCTTCTTCAGCTCCGCGAACCGCTTCGGTTTCGATTCCTTTCTCCCGTGTTGGAATGACGAAGTCGGCCAATTAACAACAGCCTCTAACAGATCGTCGACCTGAGCCAGTTCTTGGCTGGCGGTGAAACTTTGTGGCTTTCGTAGTCCCTGGATGTCTCTCCACCACGCTTCATCCTCCAAGGTATCGTCAACATCTTGCGCAGCTTCCGCGAAATCGCTATCATTCTTGCCGTTGACAATGACCTCGTACATCTTAAGACTACCACTCGCTAGCCAGAACACGAGTACCTCTGCCTCAATGCGTAGGTTCTTCAGGAGAGTGGTTACCCGCCCACGTTCTTCCTCGACATCAGTTTCGTACTCAACAAACACGGCGACTCGGAGTTTGTATGTCCGCTTCCACGACGGCACCGTGTGCAAGATACACCCGAGCTGAAGGATGAGAGTATACGTGTCAAAATTCGTGGTAAGGACGTTCTTTCTGGAAGGATCATCGCCTGCGGTAGCAATTTCTGCCGACATCTGAATGGGCCACAGGTCAATATATTTCTTGGTCGGCTCAGCTTCCTCGTCATCCGCCAGCCTGAGTGTACTTAACAGTTGCCGTCCCTTCGTAGGCTTCGGTGTCGGCACCTCCAGTTCTTGGAAACCCTTTGCAAGGGCCACGTTGATCTGGAGGCGTAGTACGAGATCCTCCACGATCGTGACATAGTTTTGGATTCCTATAGAGTTTTCGGGTTTCATAGCATCAGTCGGTAGTATTCTAAATAGCTCATCCGTGGTTTGGTTTTGCCTGGCAAGGGCCTGGATGGCTTGCCGAGACAAGGGACGATTCGCGGCCTTGCTAACAGGCCGCGATGGCTGCGGCGAGGGGATATCGATAAGTGGCTTGGACCTGAGCAAGTGCGTATGGAGTCAGTCAAAGTCAAGAAAGTGAGGGTTGAATGTAGTCTAATAGGTCCTACAATGTCCAAATTTAGAAGTTCCGGGGTCATACGTACTGGCGGAGTTCACCCAAATTGTAGAAACCCATGACAACGACATTGGGCCTCATGCCACCGAGACCAGCACTTAGCACCAGATTCCTTGCACCCCACTCGACCATGGGCGATATGGTAATATTTACGAATGCCTTGATCTTCGAAAAGTCGATGTATTTAGTCCACGACTGCTGTTGTCGGCGTGCTTCAGGTACAGCTGCACCAAAGTCTTGTGAGATAATGACATGACCGAGCACGAAGAGACCTCCTTTCTTTAACGAATTGCAAAATTGGATGAGCTTGTACTGTCGTCTTGGGTCGTTAACCAGCAGCAGGATTTGGGGTCTCCAGAACTTGACGTGCTCCTGCCGTAGTCGGAGTAGGTACTTCCGCACCTGGTGGTAAATTAAACTTTGCGAGACATCTCCCCAGGGTTTCGGAGGCGTCGTATAGTGAATGAGTAAGAAAACGACTATCAACAAGGCAACACATCCCGACGCATACACGCCGTCCACGAAGAACATGGTTGCGCCGGAGACGATTGCACCGGTAGCCGCCGTCTGCCAGTTGAAGAATTGGAAGGATGGGCGGAAATTCGGCGCACTCCCGATCTTCAGGGCGAACGTTGCCAGATTCGTGACCAGGAACGTCATCAGATACTGTATAGTGAAGTCAGGCTAGCATAATGATCTCGCGGGAGTAACGTACAGTCATGGTAACGAAAGAAGCGATCTGGTTGATATCCGCGAGCATAGTAAGTTGAGCCAACAGATAGGTAATCATAATAGCGTAGGTTGGATCGTCGGATTTTGCTGTGCCCTGGCCGAAGATCGAGAGGCCGGGGAGGAGGTGATCGCGAGCAAGTGCTTGTAGTAGCTTCGCTGAGCCGATGACACCCATCAGAACCGAGAACGATGACGTTGCAAACTCGCCCAAAAGGATAACGATGCCGGAGATGTTGGTCAGCTGTATAACATTGGTGTTGTTGATGAACGATTCACGCGTGATTGTCGCAGCCATGGACAAAATCACGACTGTATAGAACACAAACGTCAAACCCAGGCCATAGAGAGTGCCCTTCGGAATAGCCTTGGATGGATGCTTGAGATCTCTTTGATAAGTTAGCAAAATGGCATAAATCGGGAGGTCGACATTACCCGGACATGCTAGCACCACTTTGAGAAGTTAGCAGAATGGCGCAGATTGGGAGGTCGACTTTACTGACGCAAAAATACCGCTACACGCGGGAAATAAGATACCAAAGAGACTACTCCAACTTTCATGGTGACGCTTGTCTTGACTTCCAGCAGCACCTCTTGTAAAATGTGGGAATAGATTTTGTCGGAGAGTCTGCAAGCTCAGGCCAGTAAACTCAACACCTTCTCTAGCATCTGAGAAAGGATCGCGAATCAGAGCCGAAAGCGGGATGCTGATAATGGCGACGATTAAGAGGAACAGCAAGCCATTGCTGCATCGCGCAAAGAGGCCGCTACCAGCGAGGCAGATAAAGGTGCAGAGTACCAAGACGATGGTAGCCCACAAGAACTGCCATCTGAAGCCTTCCAGCATCAAAGGAAACCAGCTGCCAGTCTCAACACCGAAGTTCTCTATGAAACAGTCTATGAGACCGACGGCGTTCATGCTCGTGTTGAAAACTAGACCCAGGTAGAACACAATTCCTATTGAGCCGCCAAACTCAGGTCCTAATGATCGCGAAATCAGGTAATAGGCACCTCCGCCCCGAACGGTGCCATTCGTTGCGATCGCTGAGATCGAGAAGACCGTGATCAGGTCTATGGCATAGCAAGCGACGAGCATGCCTACTTTGTGTTAGCGGCTGATTAAATCATGATGATGACCTTGACTGACCCAGCATTCCTACTACACCGGCTTGGCCTAGGAGGAACCCAAACCTTAGGAACATAAGAATAGAGAGAACATTAAGCGTAGTGGGGACGAATACACCAGCAAAGGTCCCAAGCTTGCTAGTACCACCAACCGGTCGGGGGAAAGCACCTGGTCTAGGTTTCGCGGCATCCGTTCCTGCATTGTGTTTGCCTTCCGGTGGTTTGGAGCTATTCTTGGGAGATGTTGAGCGTAGCAGGCGCAAAGGCGCAGAGAACCAGTCACGCATGGACTCGAGTGCATGATCCCTCTCTTGGGGGTTTTCAGTCTGTCCATCTCTTGCAAGCAGCGGCGTTTCTTCTCCAGGCGACGGTGCTGGTAGTATGGAACCCCGTCTGTTCAGTCTCTCTGAATGGTCAGTGGCTGTACGAGTTGCAAAGCTCGAGTGGGATCTCGGCGGCATCCGCCTACGGGCAGGTGCATCTTCGGTCATGGTCGCACGCCCTGTGCCATGTCCAGGTCACGGGCTGTGGTGCAGGTCCAAGCGTCTAGACAGGGTTCGTTCCAGGAAAGTAGTAGTAATGGATTCTTCACGGCTCCGAAATGTGAGGGAATTGAGATGTTTCGGCTCGCTGATGAGGCATCTGAAGTAACCTGAGCAACAGGATTGAGGCGGTACAGCTGTAGCAATTGGCAAAGACGTCAGTGAGGTATTGTGCAGTTGCTGCCAGGGTAGCGCGGCCTGGCGAGGTTTAATGCTGCAGGGCCCAGCATGTGACCACCCCACGCGCGTGGGGCTTTTCAAGGTTTCCTCGCGACCCCCAGCAAATGAGGTCAGCCGCGGCATAACTGGGCAGGCCGATACTCACGCACAGCTGGCACCGAGCCGTCTTGTTCACCTTCCTCCACTCTACACCCATGGCGGAATATACCTTATAACGCAAACAGCACCTTATTAGAGGCAAAATCTGCACCCCGATAGCTCGTTTGGACTCGAGCCAATCCGCTCGTTACACGAAGATATCTCAAGCGTCCGCAACGCGATTGAAGCAGCTGCACCAGGCACGAACACTACGAACGAACGCTTCTTCCTGCCGAGCATGGCGAACGATGGTTCCGAACCGACGAAGCCGCTGGCCGTTCCTTCTTCGTCGCGCGCCTCTGAGCGTAGCTCGCCCTCCGCTTCCGTTCAACGCGAACAGTCAACAGCTCGACTCGGTTCTCCCGTACCTTCTTCTGTTCCGGTCGGTTCTGTGCCAGTACAGCAGATCCCCACGCCAGCTCAACTCGCGTCCGAAGAGCCATCGACCAACCAGACACCGCTCCCTGGGCGTGAGGAAGGCCAGTCATCGCTACCGGGGCCTGGCGAGTCAGCTCTATCATCAGCTCTAAAAGAGTCTTTCGGCAGGAGCCCACCACGATTTGGCACGCCGCCGATACGACCGCTGTCGCCTGCACAGGAAACCACCGCGCGCGATACCCTCAGCCAGTATGGCTCCTATGATGCGCGGAGTCGATCTCCGGGCGCGCCCTACGAGGACCCCGAGATCATTCGCCGTCACTTGGCAGGCCCTCAGAAACCGTCCATTTCGAACCTATCAGCTAGATATGGCTCACCCAGTAGATCGCATGCAGGATTTGGAGCAGACGCAGACGACGTCAGCAGGGGTAGACGAGGGTCCTCGGATGAGGAAGAGGGCTTTGACAGTCTGCAACTGCAGGGCGGGGATATTACACGGCAGATTTATAGGTGGTCAGCACAGCAGGAAGAGGAGCAACGGCAGAAGATGAAGCGCAGCCAGAGCTTCTCAGCAGATCATGCTCGAGCTAAAGAGCCTCTGTTGGACATCAACTCGATCAATCAGCCTGGTGGTTTCCGACGCAACTTCATTCGCAGGGCTGCCGACCAATCACCAGCACCAGGGCCTTCGGGTTATGGTACCGTCACCCAGAAACCGCAGCCTGTTGTCTTCACGAACAACTTCCTCGAGTTCTTGACATTGTATGGACACTTCGCTGGTGAATCGCTAGAAGAGGATGATGAGATTTTGGGTCCGGACGAGTACTTCTCTTCTGATGCCCTGACATCTGGAGAGCACACTGAGGACGAACGAGAATTTGGGGAGAACAGTGCCTTACTTACACCAGGCAAGAGGCGGAAACGCAGAACGAAGGTGGCAGGAAAGGGAAGTCCCACGGGTGCCGCTATGCTGCTGCTCAAGAGTTTCGTCGGTACTGGTGTTCTCTTCCTCCCGCGAGCCTTCCTGAACGGAGGCATGCTCTTCTCCAACGTGGTGCTCCTCAGTGTGGCTGCACTCTCCTACTTCTGCTTCGTCCTATTGGTCAACACTCGCCTTGCCGTGGAGCACTCCTTCGGTGACATGGGACTACACATCTATGGAAAATGGATGCGCAACCTGATCAACTTCTCGCTCGTCATCTCGCAGCTAGGATTCTCATCCGCATACACCGTTTTCGTGGCAGAGAATATGCAAGCCTTTGTGCTCGCCGTGTCAGATTGCAAAACGCATATTAGCATAGGACTCATGATCCTTCTGCAGATGGTCATCTTCCTGCCACTTTCGCTATACCGCAACATCAATCACATTCAAAAACTCGCCCTTGTCGCCGATCTCTTCATTGTCCTGGGACTTGTATATTTGTATTACTTCGACATTTTCACCATCGTTGATCAAGGCGGAATTTCAGACATTGCCAACTTCAACAAGAACGACTGGACACTGTTCATCGGAACCGCAATCTTCACGTTTGAAGGCATAGGGCTCATTATTCCCGTCCAGAGCGGTATGAAGAATCCGAAAAAGTTCCCCAAAGTGCTCGGCATGGTTATGATCGTCATCACCGTCATCTTCATCAGCATGGGTGCGCTCTCCTATGCGGCTTTCGGCTCGAAGACAAAGACTGTCATTATCCTGAACATGCCTCAAGACAATAAGTTCGTCAACGGTGTCCAGTTCATTTACTCTCTCGCTATCCTCCTCTCGACGCCGCTGCAGTTGTACCCAGCCATCGAGATCACGAGCCAGCAGCTCTTCAGCAGGACCGGAAAGTACAACCCATACGTCAAGTGGAAGAAGAACTTTTTCCGCTTTTTCATGGTCGGCGTCTGCGCGCTCCTCGCTTGGGTGGGTGCAAATGACTTGGACAAGTTCGTTGCGCTCGTGGGGAGCTTTGCGTGTATCCCGCTGGTTTACATCTATCCGGTAAGTTATACCCCATCGCAATCACAATGCATGTGCTAATGCTGTATACAGCCTATGCTTCACTACCGCGCCGTTGCACGTACCACTACTGCGCGTGTTCTTGATGTCCTGGTCGGCATCGTCGGCCTCGTTAGCATGGCGTATACGACTGCGCTTACGATCAATAGCTGGGTACACGGTGGTAGTACAAAGGCTCCGGGATATTGTGACGAAAGAATGCCTTGAAGCCGTTTTCCCTCATTGTAATTTCCATTGGTCATTCCTCGTTGTATAGTTCTGTCGAGAGTACTTTAGCGATAGCATGAGTTGTCCGTGTCTGCATAGCTCTTGAGACGCTGCGCCTTTTTATTTCTCGATTGTAGATGAGAATGGGTTCGTGCATATGGGTAGATGGGGAAGGGACTTGTCGAGATGAAGGTCCATAGAAAAGCTAGGGCTCGCGCCTCGGCATAGTGTTTTGCAGAATCCATACAGCATTGATGCAGATTGAGCATTGCGGTATACCTGCGCAGGTCGCGACGAGAAGATAGCATCGTAGGCATGGAGCACAGACAGAAGAAATGGCACCGTGGCCTCATAGTGTGCAGCTCCAAGCAAATAGAATTGTGGTATATAACGCATAACACTAGTCGCTACCCTCGCTGCTCGACTCGTCGTCTTTCTCCACAGGTATTGCTTCCTCGTCTTCCTCCGCATCCGGCGTACCCGTCATAACGAAAGATTTCAAGCACGTGATACGCGTGCCTGTCGTGTACGTTCCTAGCAAGCGCCCAACCTGCTGCGCTGTGAATCCCGACCCCTTCTCCGACTCCGCAGGTGTCTTCAACTCGTCTGTGCGAAGTAGCCACAACCTGACCGTGCCGTCGCTGCTCCCGGAGATGACCAGGAAGGAAGCCTCAGACAGCCGCAGAAGATCGAAGTCTTTTACTCGGCCTGAGAAGCCTGCTGCGGGGCCGCCGATGGCAGCAACGAGATTGCTCTGCGGGATCTCATCCTCCTTCTCGGCGTCCGCTGCAGGTTCAGTCGTGGAGTTTGTATCGTAGAACATTATGCGGCCGTCCTCTGTGGAAACGAGTAGGATGCCTGGGTGTGTGTCCGAGGGCAGGTAGCGCATCTGGTGAATTTTTGTCCGTGGTGTAGGGGTGATCTTCGCCTTCGCCTTCATGTCGAGACTGAAGACCACGACGCCGCGTTCGAACGCGACGGCGAGCTCCTCGCCCTCGGTGTCCCAGACAACTTTGCGGCCTTCTCCGCTGCCAAAACGGCCCTCGCCAACGGAGGCGAGGATGTCGCGACTGAACTGCAACACGCCGGCTTTGTTTCCGGTGATGAGGTTCCAAAGACGCATGCATTTCTCGCCCTTGCCCACGGTGACCATGAGCTTGTTGCTGGGATGCACGGCGAAGTCATTGACACCTGCGGGGACTTCGCCGGGAGCTGCGGTGTCGCCTGAGGGCCGGCCTTGGGCTTTCGGTATGGGTGCTTTGATGGTGGATAACGGTGCCCAGTCGCGCGTCCGGGTGATGGTGATGGTGCTGTCCTCGGAGGAACTCAGAAGCTTGGCCCTGGAGGGGAAGTGTAGGGCGGTGACGCTGGAAGAGTGGTGCAGCAGGGCGCCGAGCTCCTTGTTCCTGGAGTTCTCCGATATTGAAGTGCCATGGAATGATGGAAGTTGAGGTTTAGATTTAGAAGGTGCGGGCGGGGCTGTAGATATCGTGTAGAGGTTGATTCGCTCATCGGTGCTGCCAGTGGCCAGGACTACCTTGGAAGATTCATCCGTCGGGGGTGTCAGCGCAAGGCAGCGGATCGCTGAAGTGTGTGCGTTGAACAGGAAGGTGTCGGCAAAGTTAACCTTGGGTTGATCTTGCTCGACGGCGTCATCATCCTGTCCCGTGATCAGGGCCTGGGGTATCGCTGCGGTGAAGCCGTGCAAAACTCTTTCGTATGAGCCGGTGACGATCTGAACAGTGGTGGTGTCATTGGTTTCCCCGGCTGTTGTGATTGTTGTTGCCTTGTTCTTTGCGCCTGCCTGGTCGTCTACTGCGGCTTCCTTGCTTCTGCGTGCTGGTGCTGGAGACTCTATCTGTACTGTTTTTTTCGAGGTCGAGGCAGCGACTTCTTTCCCACTCTTCAGAGCCTTCGCCGGCTGGGCCCTGTCTGCGATCTCTCTCTTTCTTTTTGCCATTCTGAAGTTGGCTGTGTACACTTGACGTTGCTCGACGCGTTCAGCAGCAACACGAAATTTTGAGAAGCTGCAGGACGCTACTGCACGCTAGACAGGGGTCGGGAGCTTATCGACGGTTACCACGTGACCTACCGCCGCCCGCGGACTGATCCTCCTTTCCTCACCATCGCGCGCGAGCCCGTTCGCCCATCAGCCCAAGTACTGCCCTCGACATATCCATCAACGCCCACCTCGCCAACACCCGAAAATCCATCACATTGGCGGCACTCGTGGAAAACGGATGTCGGCCACCGATTGTCGGTCTTCATATGTCCCTCGACAGCCTTCGTGATGCGTATTTCCGGGAGAAAACGAATGAGATTGCGTAAGTAACTTGCGAATTTAACATCAAATCGCGAATTTCCCGTGTCGCATAGCTCTTGCAGCCCCCAAAAATCGCTCCGATTTGATTAATATACCTTGGTTGTGCTGATAATTGCCCATATAGACAATGCGCGGCTTCGTTGAAGCGCAAGCTGCGCGAGCTTTATGGGACTACCGCGCTTCTGAACGCGGGTCACCCGCTCCAGGCCCAACACTTGGCCCTCAACGATGAACCAGACGAGGACGAGGCCCGTTTTCTGGACGAAAACGACATAACTAAGTAAGCTACACTTTCCTTTTCCATTCCATAATGTTTTTGAATTACTTGTCGTTGTCGTCGCCGCGATATTGATGTTGGCGCATTCCACTAACGGCCCATGCAGACGACGACGCTTTAATGATGCAACTCTGCCACCTCCTCTTCCTCTCACATCACCGTTCCAGTCATCTACCGGCCCGGATTTATCTTTTACATCCAAGTCGTCACCAGCTACCGCCGTCGGTCCAAGCCTGGAGGAGCAGCTGCGCGCCGCATCTGCATCGCCGTCTGTTGCCACACAGCGGCCGCCCCCGACGGAGGAACCAGGCGAAACCGAACCATCCGCCGTCGCGAAGCCTGCATCAATTCCATCAGGTGTTGAGGCACCTCACGCTGCCGCATCCCCAGGCGACGCGACTGCTGTCGATGAGGCTTCCGGTGAACTGCAGCAGGCACCTCCAGTAACAGAGACACCCGTTACTCAAGACTCAAGAGAAGCGAACATCGTCGCGGACGCACCAGCTGTTGACCTGCGAGATGCCATACCACCGTCTACCGAGGAAGAGGACGCACTACCAGAGGACGGATTGGTGAATGGGCGAACGCCAAAGCCGCCTAAAGCACCGCAAGTTGTACACCTACCACCTCAAGAAGTACAGGAGGCGAAGTTGAAAGAGAGAGCGCGGAGGCTAGAGAAGGCAGCAGAAAAGGAACGTAAAGAGGAGGAGAGATTAGCATTGCCGAATGGCAACGTACCGGCGGATCTGGCATCGTCACCATCATCCACTGTTGGACCGTACTCGCAAGCGACGCCACACCCTCAACATCACTCTCCCGACACCAGTCCAGAAACCGAGTCGTTCCGTGAGCGAAGGCAGTCGCTTATCGAGGCAGGCCTAGTGGATCCTGTGGCGGAACAGGCCAAAGAAGAGCATGAGCGCGCGTTACAGGAACAGATGCGCCTGGCAAGGGAGTCTGCTCGTGCAGAGAGTACCGCGGAGGATGACGTTGAAAGACAGATCGAAGATGAGCAGGCTATCCGCTTGGCACGTGATGGAAAAGCACGATTGAGCGAGTCAGAGAGCGCTCCTCCTGTCGGACCGGATGCTCTAAGTGATCACGCCAGAGATGTCGTTCGCGAAATCGAAGCTGAAGAGGCGGAAACGGCTGTTGAGCAACCTGCGGCCGACTCACTACCGACACCTACCACGACTGCTCCTGAACCCTCAACGGCGGAACCTGAGATATCGGATAGTGCGGAAGAGCATCGGCCACGCTCCTCATTAGGCCAAGATCATCCGACTCCACCTGCAGACAATGATGTGGAGATGGACGAAGCACCTGTTTCTGTAAAAGAGCAACTGGCCCCTTCTACCTCCCCTCGACCCGAACGTATGACAACACGAGTCTCATCCGGCGCCCTGCAGCAAAAGTCCATCGCTCAGATCATCGAAGAGCGTGCAGAGAAATCGCCTGCAAAGGTTGTTCTTACACCACGTTCGAGCAACACGTCGCTGACTACAAGCCCTGCGCGGCCCTTGAAGGAGCAAAAGCGCAAAGAAGTATCTACTGTCATCTTTGCTAAGCCCGATTTGAACCGGGCAGCGAAGGCGCTGCAATTGTATAATGAGGATTACGCATCTCTTCAGGGCGCATCACAAGACTCTAGCAGGGATTATCTGCAAGGTCTATTCAATTACCAGGCTCATCACCCGCCTCGGTCATCACCTCTTATGGATCTGGTCACTTCTGCGCGGAAAACTGTGTCAACGGCTGGGGTTCTTGCTACTATTCGAGAGGCCCATGACTACAAGATTCTCAAGAGGGTTTACCAGCTGCAAAACGCGAATCGGTGGTCCCTTCGGCAGTTGAAGAAGTCTGCTGAACCCGAGCGACCTATTACCCATCAGGATCATCTACTTGCCGAGATGAAATGGATGCAAACTGACTTCAAGGAGGAGAGGAGCTGGAAAAAATCTCTTGCTGCTACTTTCGCTGGATGGTGCGCGGATTATGTGAACAGCACGCCCGAAGAACAAACGTCATTACGAATCAAAGCTCGTATCCCGAAGTCGAATGCAGCAGACCAAGACATGGACGATGCACCCACTCCGGATCTGGTTCACTCTGGTGCGGACGCGGAAAGCGAGTCTTTCGCAGACGACGAAGAACTATTGTCTCCGCTATGTTCCAATCCACCCGCTACGCTCTTCTCTTTGGGATTCAACGATGTCGTCATGAAGATTGACCGAACACCAGCTAGCGACGCGATGCTCCACGAACTTCCTCTATACGAGCCGATACTGGAAGGCGCAAGCGACGTTACACCTTTGTCTTTCGTGGATCCTCCTCTCGCCCCTGTATCTAAATTTGTCTGCGGTAAACTTGTGTCGCAAGTAAGGGGTCCTCCGAGAAAGCGCAGCCGCTACGAATATGAGTCAGAGGATGAGCCAGCTACTCCACCAAGTAGATCTGGAACCTCGGCCGAACATTCTATGCCCTCTACCCCTGGACGAAGGCTGTTCCACCGGAATGATCTGCCACCAGAGATGAGTGATGTAGCCTTGTTCCACCCCGAGAACAGGCATATCCGCGATCGACTCCAAGCTTCTCACCAATTCAGGCCGCCTACTGAGTTCCCGATGCCGTCAGTGTCTTTCTTCGAGAACCGGCAATCGTCACAGTGGCTATGGGAAGAGGATCAGAAGCTACGTGCCTTGGTAAAGGAGTATACTTTCAACTGGTCATTGGTCGCACAGCAGCTTGCTTTGCCTTCAATGCTCGTAGCTGGATCCGGTCGACGAACGCCTTGGGAATGCTTCGAGCGTTGGGTGCAACTTGAAGGGCTGCCCTCAGAGATGTCTAAGACGCAGTACTTCAGGACGTATCAGAGCCGCCTTGAGCAAGCGCAAAGGACCGTTGCCGCTCAACATCAAGCACAGCAACAGCTCATCCAGCAGCAGCAACAAAGTGGCCAGAATATTCCAGCTCAGACACCCCGAAGGCGGACAAACCAACCCATTCGAGTTGAGAGACGGAGAGAAAACAGGCATCTTGCCATCATCGACGGAATGCGAAAGCTGGCTCGGAAGCGCGAGTCTATCGCGCACAAGCAAGCCGAATCGGCGAAAGCAGCCGCACTACGTAAAGCGCAAGAACCCATACAGCCAAAGACCAACGTGCATACTCCTCAAGAGTTCTCGCGCCTTAAGTGGGAACGTGAACAACGGATCAAGCAGAAGCTTCTTGAGCAACAGCAACAAGAGATGCACGCAAGAGTACGTATGAATGTTTCTTCAATGTGTGTGTGGCTAATAGCACGTAGCAAATGGCGCAGCGGACAGCGCAGATGCAGGCACAAGGCTTGGCCAACGGCTCCGGTCAACAACAACGGATGGGAACGCCTGGTTCCAACCCCAACCTTACTCCACAGATGGCGAACGCTGCTCAGCAAGGTTCAAACCCAGCTGCTAATGCTGCTATGGCGGCTCGGGCACAGCAGAACCAGATGCAACAGGGCTTTCCCAATGCCAACATGAACGGCGGAATGTCGATGGGCAACACAGGTGTTCCACAAGCGCAGATGCAGGCCAATATGTCCAATGCTCAGCGGATGGGTCCTCCGAATCAGGCTCAGATGGCGGCCATGCAAAGAGGCCAATATCCCAATGCTAACCAGCAACACCAGTTCCAGCTCCAACAACAGCAGATCAACATGGCTAGTAATCTCACCCAGAACATGGGAATGAACAACATGCCGAACGCGAACATGATGGCGTCCATGGCAGGCCAGAACATGAACGGGAACATGACCCCTACAATGAATGGCATGTCGAGCAACGCCGGATCTCCTCGCATCAATCAGGCCTCTCCCAACATGCAGACTGCTGCTCGCCCATTGTCTAGTGGACACATGCCGCAATTATTGCAAATCCAAAACAATCTAAAGGTACAGCATCCGGAATGGTCCCAAGAACAGGTCCAGAAAATGGCGTCTGATCATCTTGCCCGGTTCCTAACGAAACAACGCGCACAGGCAATGAATGCAGCCGCAGGCTCCCCCGGCATGGCCCATTCTCCCCAGATCGGCAATAACATGTACGTTCAAAATGGCAATATGGGTGCCAACAGCCCAAACCAGGGTGCGGTCCACGCCTATCAGCAGCAGCTTGTTCGCCAGCAGCAAATGATGAGCCAGCAGAGAGCGCAGGCAGGTAGCCCCGGTATCAATGCCGCCAGACCTTCGAGCAGGAGTGCAACGCCGCAGAATCCGCAGCTGCAACAGAGCCCGGGTGTTCAACAAGCCCAAACGTAGAAACGAAGCGAAAACTCCTAGCACAGTGATGCTGCCGGACAGGCATCGCTTCACGTACGACTTCGAACTGTACATGTTTATTTAATGAATCCCTTTTCAATTCTGTCTACCGCGAGCATAACGAGCGATGCGCGCACTCGGGGACACAGGAGGCTCGGTTGTTACGGATAAGAGCATGGTGTTTGGCGTCCGGTGCGTAATGTCACCACGACTTGGTTGGGCAGTGGAATAGAGTCGACAGGGTCGGTATGAGATCAGACACCCTGAATAGCTTATGGGAAACCTCGACCATAGAAGTCGAGACAATCAACTATTTTAGCGCCCTTGCTTAAACAGCCCGAGGCTCAATCCTCCTTTTGTGGTTTTTTCCGCTATGTGATACTTCCAGCAGCCAATACTGTACACTAGCCGCCACATTGGGTCCAACGTTGGAGTCTAACCACTGGACTCGTAAAGTAACATCCACGTTGAAACCATGTTGTGAGATTCACACATCTGCACTTCTCCCATACAACTCCTTCTCTTCAATCATTCTCGACGCTAGGTTGGTGTTGCGACTGATACGCCACGTACTTTGCTAACTTCAATAGGTATAAAACCGCCGTTGCATATTGGTGCATCGATCAGAAGAGCATAGCTTCGGACTCACCGAAGTATGCTATAATTGAGCACATGGCCATAAGTGCCAGGCCAATTGAGACGGCATTACACGATCAGCTTCAAGAACGGACAAACAGAATTCACTGGTTGGTTAGTATACGTGTATATTCAATCAAATTATTGAAAATAAAAATCTTCTGAAACTCAGCGAACTTGGAGCATATTCACTTTCACGGCATCGATCTAGATTCGTAATAGATGCAGTTGAGATCGATATCCGCGATAGCCCTCACCGTAGTACAAACCCGCCAAAGTAGAAAGGTGCGTGATTTCGAGCTGCATTCTTTGCGTTCATGCTACACGACATTCCCCCGCCTCCACACGGTGCGCATGGGAACGCCGATCCCTTGCTGAATAGATCCTGTTATATGAATTCCAGGTGCGTCCTCCACCTCGTGTAGCCCGATGATTCGCATCAGCGATACCAAAATCATCTACAAATGTCTTTCATGCCTCAATTCATACCGTGTCGAAGCAAATTTTCGTATTGAGAGCTTCACATACAACGCCATCAATGTCCCTGTCGTCCGCAAGATTGGGACATCGTAGCTCCCCCAGTTTAGCTGGTTCAATTACGACATTTTAGTGCCACATCTGTTGCTGGCCCATTTACCTGGGCTAAACAACTATGGGCCCATTTGCTCAGACCCAAGATACATCGCCATCCTGGGCCAATATAGACCGTGTCAGACGCCAACAGGCAATCGTCACCTCGATTCTACTTGTGTTTATGATAATCTTACTGGCCAATCGCATCTATGTGAAGATATGGCTGGTGCGGCAATGCCGCTGGGACGACGGTATATAGCTTGAACCTCGATATCGAACACCATCTGATCCTGACTTCACAGGCACCCTGACCATAGCCGTGATAGGCACCCTAATATTATACTCGACCACACTCTGGATTTCTACCCACGGGAATCTCAACAGAGACGTACACGGTAACAACATCATGGTCCTCGAAGCGCTCACAGACGACGCATTTATCATCCCAGCCTTCGTTTTACTCACTGTCTTACCGGTCACGTACGGTTTCCTCAAAGCAACCTTCTTCATTCTCTACCTCCAGCTGTTCTACCAGCTCCGATGGATGCGCATCGGCGCCACAGTCGGGCTTTCCGTCAACGTTGCGACCTACACAGCGTTCACGATTGCGACGCTGTATCTCTCCATCGTGCGTAACATAGTCGTGTACGGGATGGTCGCTATTCCCATCTCCGCTTTCGGACTCGCTTCCGACATCACAATCCTCCTTCTGCCTATCATCGCTGTCGCCAACCTGAAGGTCACCAGGAGGAAGAAGTTCGGCGCTATGCTGATCTTCCTTTCAGGCCTGATGTACGTGGGCTGGTCTTGCATTCACTATCTAGGCGAAGACTAACGCATACCAGGGCATGTGTCTGCTCGGCTGTAGCGTTGTATTTCCGAACGAGGAAGGGTACGACGGAGAATGTTATATACCTACTATTTGCGACGAACATCGCCATGTGAGTCAGCCAGCCGCAAAGGAACCGGTTGGCTTGTAGAACGCTAACGCGCTACAGAACGTGCGAGCTGATGATAGGCGCCATGTGTGCCTGCATGCCCTCGTTGGCATATACGTACAGGAACGGGCAAGCTTTCCAGGGCATCCGGGATAGATTGTCAAAGCTGATGCCGCCGATCTTTCTTCGCGGACGCCCTGCGACCCTGCCGACGATAAGGCATGCCGCGAGCGACGAGGATCTGAGCCCTGTTCTGCGGAAGTCGAGCTCGCCTTCGACAAAGTCATTCGAAGACATCGAGCTGGTGGACTTCTATCGAGGCGTTAGTGTTCATGCTGGCTGAGCGTCTTTACGTGGACTGATGATGAAGCATGATCATGCGTTGTCTGCAGTGGAGTCCGCACGATTGGTCGGTCTACCTACAGTAACTCTTCGAGTACTGGCATAGGCTCGAATATGGTAATGGGTATGACGAGATGTCTACGTCTTGATAGCATTTAACAGCGCTTTCAAGATTGGCTTGATAAGGAGCTATTCAACAGGAGCAAGCCTCCAGATCGTTGTAGCGTCGGAGAAAGACGCAAAGAAATTAACCGTTCGACAGAGGCTCCACGTGGCTAGCATGCAGTGGTTCTCCACAACAAACAGATAATTGCACGTCACCGCCGGTTCCGGTTCCGGTGCGGTCCCGGTCCCGGTCCGATACGCATTCTCCCATTACCGGCTCCAGTCGTTGCATGCACACCAGGTCGAGCCCCAGCCGCATCTTGCCATCGCCGAGATTCCCGCTGGCCCTGATTGTTCTCAGGATCCAAACTCCAGTTGCGAGAACAGCGCCTAAGTTTCTGCAGGACCGGTTTTCCTGGGTAGATCTTATAGAATGACGTGCTATGTAGAAGCTCCTGAAGCGACTTCTCTAGTCATTGTGTATTGCTTTCCACTGTCTCTCGTTCGGATGTCTTACGGATACAGTATGCTATAATCGGTGTCGCGCGTCAGTACAACAATGGGTATCATCGTTACAAACCAAGCACAACAAAGTGCATCAATCCACCTGATCCGTTTCAACACTTCTTCCTTAACACCCACCCATACTTCCAAATCCTCGCCCCTGTACACAAACACCATCCCACAAAACTGCTCGCTCCAGCCCAACAAATCGTCGTCGTATAATCACTCGCCTTCAGAATAGCCCCGCTCAACGGCCCTCCCACTAACGCGCTAAACCCAATCACCGTCATCGCCATGCCCAGCCTCGTCCCCGTCTTCGTGATATCATGCGATAGCGACATGATCGCCGTGGAGAAGAGAGACTGAAATGCCGCAGCAAAGATGCCGTAGAACGCGATAAACGTGTAATAAGTGGAGATCGAGTTGACTCCGAGCCAACAAAAGAGGATTACGGTTGCAAAGAAGGTGCAGAGTGAGAACATATTGAGGGGCCCAAGGTAGTGGTCGCAGACGAAGCCAGGGAGGATGCGGAAGGGAAGCCCGACGCCGTTGAGGATGATGACGAGGTTGAGAGACTGCGTGTATGGCATGCCGAGCTCGTCGCGGGCGAAGGAAGCGACCTGTGTATGTGTTAATCGGATATATTCCAGTTGTACCAGATCAGAGGCAGTGCTTACATAGTAAAACACAAAGTAGATTGCCGGCATCAAGAAGCAGACGCCCAGGACGAACAGAATATACGGCACATCCCTAAAAGAGTCTGGATCCCAAAGCGGGCCACTCTTTCTCGGAGGAAGGCGCGGCTTGGAAAGTGCGATGACTATGGACAAGCAGGCCACATTGATGAATCCAAGCACTCTTACAGTCCAGCCGAATCCTACTTGGGGGAGGAGCTGCCGCACCACAGTCGGATAGATCATGCCACCCACTGAATTGCCTACAGTCACGAGTCCAATAGCGAAGCCACGGCGTTTCGCGAAGTATGTGGCCACCAAGCTCATGACAGGCATGAAGAATGTTCCACCTCCAAGCCCGGTACAGATTCCTTGTGTTAATAATAGTTGCCAGTAGTTCTTGGCTCCACTCATGGTAAATATCCCGAGGATTTGAATAGCAATGCCAAGCGTCACCGTAGGGCGAAACCACCCAGCGTCAAAAGCGCGTCCACTGAAGATACCGACGACGAACAACAAACATGCTTGCGTGGATCCGATCCAGGAAATCGTCGAGTTGGGCTCAGGCAGTATAGCTGCGTAATACGTTTGAACTGCGGCAAAATTAGTCAACTCACTCTAAAAGGAGGCCAAAATGATCAAGACTTACAAGCGCCAAAGGAGTTTACGAAACCCCATGTATTTGTGACGGCAAGCCAGGCGCAGAAGACCTGTGTCCATGCACGAAGGCCACCATCAGGAGGTGGACCAGGATTTGTTATCGAGTGGGTGGTGAGGTGCGACGATACTCGTGCCAGTGCGTTGGATGTTGCTGATTTCGTTCTGGTCAAGGGATTGCCTTGCCCTTGTATCGGTAAGAAAGTATGGTCTGGTGTTGGTGTCCGATCTGGTAACTCGGCCTTTTCTATATTGGAGTCCATCTTTTGATCAATGACGAGACGCAACGCTAAGCTATACAAGATATCCCATGCAATGAATGTTCTCGTTGTTGTTCACAGACGTTTCTTGAGAACTGCGAACCGCAAAACCCTGAGTAAAATGTTGAGTCATTAAAGATGGGGATCGCGCCCTATGTGTATGCAGTATAGATCATCTAGTGCACCACCGGGTCAAAAGCGACCTGCCGACTACGCCGAACTTGAGGGGGTCGCCGAAAGGAGTTCAAAGCCGACCCTGCTAGACTTTTATGCCGTTCATCGGAGAGAATGGCGATGCGGAGTTCTAAGCGAACGCTACAAGGGTAACTATCAAATGTGGATGGCTAGCGTCGGCTGCGTGTGGGGACATCCGAACGGTGAACGGAGATAAATAGTTGAACTTCACGCAGATAGCGCGCACAATATCCTTTATGATGCACGCCAGGACACTGGACATCTGGTCATCAACCGCGAAGTTGACTCGGCCCAGAAAATCGAGATGTGTAGCAGCGCCGTGGTATATGCCAAAAAACAGCCACTTCTACCAGATCGTAGTCCTGCTAGCTAGCGGAGCTTTTCGCAACTCATAAGTCGCCAGCCTTCATGCCACTGTCCCAAGCGGCTTCGATCCAGCGGGCAACACACCTCGAAGCACATAGGCCAGATCACGCTCATGATGAACCGCTGTGCCATAGATCCACCTCTCTTCGCTCTTTTTCCAATACCTGTTTGGTAGGTATGCCTCCAGCAAATGGTAATTGTCGCGATGATAAGGAAACTCCAAGCTTAACGGCCCCGGTTTCGATAGGAAGGCATCTGTACCACGAGCAGCATCTTCGTCTGTCATCTCGACGTGCTTGCGCTTATTGCCCTTATTCTTGGACTGCCTTCTGATTGCCTGTATGGTGCTGTCGAGATGCATCTCGAGTATTCGTGCATGCCAGAGTGGGTTCTGCAGAGCGGTGCGGACGACTTGTGCATTCCGACGCACCAGCTCTCGGTTCCACTCAGGTGTCGTACCTCGTGGTATCATAGGCAGCGGTTCGCCCGTGTCAAGGTGCGTCTGCCAATGCGCAAAATCAAGCGCCACACAGAGGTTATTCCAAGCCAGGATGCAGGAAAGGCATGTGCATACGAAATGCTGGTCCGGCGGTTGCAAGTGTTGATAGGGCTTGCGATGGATACCAAGAAACTCCTGTCGTCGTTCGTCCACCAGCAAAGGGCGCGCGGAAGCATCTATCTCGGTGAGAAGCTTTGGTAGGACGAGGCATTGGGCGAGAAGCGTGTAACGCTGCTGAATGATGGCGTTACCGATGACGTTCGAGTTGGCATCGACGAGAGAACGGAAGCGGCGATTGGTATGACTGAAGTTCAGGACATCTCCTGGTTGCAGATACGTAAGAGATTCAATGATCAGCTCAGTGGGCAGTTTCGTAAGACTAATGATGGCATCGCGTTTGCGGTCCCGCTTTACCCTCTGCTTCTTCTGGCGCTCGGTGCGCTTGGAGCGTAGCTGTAATGCAGCTGTCTTGTCATCGAGAGGTTCTTCGTCGTCGCTATCGTGGGCTATATGGCGTGGCATTTTGGGCGCTGTTGTGGTCACAGAAAGGGCGGCGGGGGCGATGATGCATCCCGAAATATGGTGTAGTCAGCAACCAATCGGAGGTAAGTGATCTCCGGGATCCTGGCATTGAGAAGGGGGCGCCAGAATCCTTTTCACATGATGACATGCGTCTGATCGTCTAATCGTCTAATCGGACGTAATAAAAAATTAGATAGCAGCGACTCGATCCCCCAAAGGTCAACTACGACGCTTGATCAAAATGTGTAGCACCAGCAATGTGACTGCATACGTCGACTTGAATTGACAAATCAAAGAGATGCAGTAGGAATCAACGCCACTATTGGCTATCGTCATATGGAGATGAGTATTCCTGCTTACGATGTATGGCGATGTCGTGCTTCGAGAAGAATGCAGAATTAGGCCGGGGATAAAACTACACGTGATCTTGGCTTAATATGATTGGTCAAATTGCAAGCCAACTGTGGCGTCATGGTCATTTCTAATCATGACCTTACACATCCGGCCCGACCTAGTCGCGGAACGCCGCCGCATATAAGTATACTCAGAGTCGGAGTCCGAACTTCAAGTCCATCCAGATATAAGTTCATGTCTTCAAAGCTCCAGCGTCTTCTTCGTCCAGCCCAATCAGCCAATTTGCATACAAGCGCCAGAACGATGACAACAGCACAATTCATCCACATCGACCCAACCTCCTTCACAGGGAAGCCATGGGCTAAAGTCGATGGCCCTGGATGGTCCTACAAGCAAAATCCTCACCAGCGCGAAGTGATCAGCCTAATAGGACAGGAAGACAAGTTCAACACCGACAATGCGGGCTTCGCGGTCTACAAGTCGCCCGCCAAGGAGAAGTTATTTGAAGATGACAGCACAGTCAGAAACTCTTACTATCCCGAAGTAGAGTCTATGCTCCGCTCGAAACTGCCTGGAATCAAGAAGGTCGTCATGTTCGATCACACGATCCGTCGTCGCAAGAAGGACGCACCGCGCCAGCCTGTCCAACAAGTCCATGTAGACCAAACGCCAGGTGCTGCCGCCGCACGTGTCCGTCGCCATTTGCCAAAGGAGGAAGCAGAAGAATTGTTGAAGGGTCGCTACCAGATTATCAATGTATGGAGACCAATCGAGAATCCCGCGTCGGACACGCCTCTTGCAGTAGTCGACTGGCGCAGCACCGAGCCTTCGGATTTCGTTCCTGTGGACCTTCTCTACCCTAAGACCTCCATCAACGCTGACGGGGATGCTCGCGGAAAAGAAGTCCTGCCTGATGCTGAATCTTCGACATCAACTGAAGGCTACGAAATTTTCGGCGAGACACTCTCGGTTGCACCAAACGACAAGCACAAGTTTTACTACATGAAAGACATGTCTCCGGAGGAGGTGATGCTCCTGAAGTGCTACGATTCACGGGGTGACGGCGAGCCGGGTGGGAAGAAGGGAACGGCCCTCAGGGTCGCACATACGGCCTTTACGGATCCAAACACTCCGGCTGATGCACCTGGTCGCCAGAGCATTGAGGTTAGATGCTTGGTGTTTTACGAGTAGGATCTTAAAAACTGTAGTGGGATTCAATTTGAAAGTATATGGTATGATAGCGTTTGAGTCAGAGGTACGCACTATTTAATTTACGAATGCATGAAAAGTCTATTCTAGTACGACATAATGGTTACACACGTACGCTCTCGAGTCATTTACATGCATTTTGAGTCATTTCGTAAACGCTCGGAGAGATGCAGAAGCGCGCTCAATCTCATTCGTTCTTGCCCAATTCGTAATGTTCACCTTTCACCTCAACTCGCGTTTGCTGGTTGTTTACCCAGTCCATGTGTCAACAGCATCTCTCCGTCGCACTATTTACACCTCAAGTCGCGCTCGCATAGCAATACTTCATGATATCTGAACGCCATGGCCTTGGGCGGGTATAAGCGCGTCGCGCTCGCGGCGTTTCTTGGGCGGAAGCGTGCACAAGAGCGAGATAAACCACGACAACCCCAGGAACAGATTGTCAACCGCACCCAACCCAGCTCGGATCCAGATCCTGAACAAGCGAAACAGGACGAAGCAGCACACACGAAGGTCAAGTCTCGCGCTGCTATTCTGCACGAGAAAGAGAAGCGACGGCGAAAGAAAGCGAATCAACGGCAACGCGAGAAGGAGCAGTCACGGATTCACCGCCAAGAACGGTGTCTCAATCGCCCCCAATCAGGCTCGAAGGTAGCTCGCGAACAGATCAAATCAGAAGAAGCGGTAATCACGAATGTACCATCTTGCACTGCGCACTCGCACAAGAAGGAGAAGCAGCAGCGGTCTAATTCAGAGGAGCAGAGGCTCAAGGACTCAGAACCGTCGAGCGAAGAGAAGCAGCGACTTCAAAACGAAGAGAATAAACGACTGAAGAAGCTGAAGAAGCGGCAAAAGCGTAGGAAAAGGATAGATCGGCAGACTGAAGAGCTCCAAGAGCAGTCCTTCGGGACCACAGAAGATCCTAGCAATGTGCCGGAAGGGGCAGCGCATGGTTCTCCAGAAGTCGGTGACTTTGCGGACAGCCATAATTCTTCGGATCGTGTTGAGGAAGTTGACGAAGGTGCGAAGTACGACCTCGCCGTGAAGTTCCGGTGGGTAAAGCTGAAAAACGACATTCCGGAGCCCATCCAGGATAACTTCTTCGACTCCGCCTTCGAGGACGACCATCAGCTGCGGAGCAAGGAGCTCAAGTCAAGGCAAGAAGAATTCGATGCCCCGAAAGAGCCATATCCTCAGCCACACCGGAGCCCAGCTCACGAAGAACAACCGCGAACGCCTACACGCTCTCCTCCGATCCAAGAGCCCGTAACCCCAAATCAACCGATAAGGACTCCGGACGTCCTGGTAGTCACGCCCAGCAGACGACGCCCCAGTCCGCAGCTCGAATACATTGTCTCACCGAAGTCATCTGCGCTTCTTCAGGCCGCAGCCAACATGCTCGTCACCCTCAAATCCCGTACGGCACGCCTGAACGCGCAAATAGCCGCTTTCAACACGCAACTGCTCGGTTTACAAACCAAGCAACCGTCGCCATCGAAAAGGAAGTTGGATGATGACTCGACATCCAAGGCGAAGATCCTAAGAAAGATACTCCGCGCGATGGAGAAACACTCGAATCAGGTATTCATGATGGAGTTTGCTCTGCGAGATCTGGTTGACGAAGGAGACGAAGACTTGCCGAAATCTCTGAGGGAGACAGAGGTGGAGTTTGCAAAGTTGGTCAAGACCTATGAGGGCAGGATGCACAAGCTTATGCGAAAGTTGTGCCCGGAGGCGCTGGAGATGACGTTGAAGGAGGCTGATGATGGGTTGGATAAGAATATGTAGGATGTCGTAGCGCGAGGTACATAAGCAAGTTTGGATTTCGCCAAAATGAGTAAGATAGATTGAAGTCAGCTCACCTGCCCCAATGTTACAGGAATAAACGAAAAGATTACCACGTATATGGCAGTGTTGAGTTTCAGACATAGGTCTGAAACTCCACGACTTTGAGATATGCTGTAGCCGCCCACCTCTTTTAATCAAATTTCTGCTATTAGAGTTCATGACGGTATGTGCATTTGCGAATTTCCCTGTCTTTCGGAAGGGAAAAAAGATTGAAGACGATATAATGTTCGCATATATGACATGACAATAGCCGCTTATGCAGACTCTATGCGCTGCATTTCTGTCAAAAAATTGATCCTACGTCTCGACTTATACAATCCTGCAGCCATATGTAGCGTAGCGGTGTGCCTGTTTATACGGGCAGTGGAAGCACCTCATGGGCGTGTAGTTTCCTGTATAGGTATCAAATAGACAGAAGATAATCGAAAATAGATAAACATACAGCAACAGAGAGCGCCATTACGAAGTAAACTCATACTACCATCCAACAACAGCTGGAAAAAAAGAGGACAAAAAGACAAAAAGAACAGTGAGGCAGTCCCCCAGTCGGAATCGAACGCCCGCGCTCAATCCCCGAGGTCTCGGGTCATAAAGTCCCTAAGGCAACCGGTAGGGCCAACCCAAAGTTCAGCGCAAGGTACTAATCCCGCCCATCGAGGGGCTAGGCTTTGTACGAGAATTCTTCTGAATAAATAAATATATATACCCACAGAATTCTTGGTGGTGAGCGAGTGAGTGTTTGCGGTGCGTGCGCGCCTGCCTTCTTTGTCGAACGCAAGCACTCACTCACTTCGACTGTGGCCCTTACACCTAGGCCCAATTGGTACTCACCTCTTGCATATGCATTCTCTACGATCTGAGCACTCTCTCTCTAGGCGCAAGGATCGCTTACCATAGTTCACATCTGATCGCACTCATGATACTCAGGATAGACTACTTGCTCACAATATATCCGGAAGACTTGATCGAATGAATGGCGATCAGGAGCGCGAAAGTAATCGTAGTCGACTTACTTCATGTCTGCAGATCGGGTCATTGAAGAGACACCCGTTGGTCAGCGCCATGAACATGCGAAAACCAAAAACCGACGAGGTCGCGGACATGTGCAGCACGACCGCCGTTCGAAAATGAACTTCAGCCAAAGACGATGTCTACGTTTTTGGGCGTCCAGACTTTTCCACGTGCTCTCACTCACCATAATGAGACAAAGTGCGGTTCGAAACAACGACTTCCTTGGCTTCTAGCTATGCAAGCGGTACATCCATCCCTTTATTGCAGACGAACTTAGGCAGACTATAGTAACGTCGAGCGTCAATCCGCTATCCCCATGTGGCATGAGTGAATTATTGATTCAAATTATTGTACGCATCCTAAGTTCATCGAACGCTAGACATATCAAGATGGACGTTTTCTTCCCCCACTACTCCGATGTCATGCCAAATGTACTTTTAGAACCAAAATTTGACAAGCCTTTACAATCCAAATGAACCTACCATGGTGACTTGCTTCACAGCGACAGCAATTAGTAGTAATATCCTAGTCGTACAGCCTGCCTTACAGATGCCACCAGAAACAGGCAACAACGCAATTGAGAGACATGGCTGTAGTAGTTGGGCAACTAACTTGCGCTTGGATGTAAGTTCCTTCCCTCGACATGTGAAACAAAGAAGTTGTCTTGAGGGCTCGTGGTTTGCACTAGCAATTTTGCAGTGCAGCCTATGTTAGATTAATCCCTGTCACATGGCGAGCTTACCCTTTAGACTATGAAACGCACTATAACAGTCCATTGAATCTGAACTATTATGGTGTTGTTTAGGCACACTAAGATAATATATTCTGTTTTTCGTCACACAAATTGTGTGAAATAAGCATAGAAAATGACCGTTCAGCAGTTTTGTATTTCTATACTGTAATAGCTAGCTCGCTAAGAGGTCCTGTTAGCAGCGGAGAGGTTGGGCGAATTGAAGCTTAGGAATAGCGTTCCAACATCCTTAACATCAACTCGATACCATCAACTCAACACCATCAACTCGATACCATCAACTCAACACCATCAACTCAACACCATCAACTCAACACCATCAACTCAACACCATCAACTCAACACCATCAACTCAACACCATCAACTCAACACCATCAACTCAACACCATCAACTCAACACCATCAACTCAACACCATCAACTCAACACCATCAACTCAACACCATCAACTCATGATTGATAGCTGTTCGTTGGGACTAAGAATTGCAGTGCAATTCGGCATATGGTCAAAGTAACCCTCATTTATATGCAGGGTTTGGTTGATGGCTTTTCGTTGGGGCTAAGAATTGCAGTGCAATTCGGCATATGGTCAAAGTAACCCTTATTTATATGCAGGGTTTTGATTGATGGCTGTTCGTTGGGGCTAAGAATTGCAGTGCAACTCGCTTCGCATCCGAGGCTCACCTTTTTCATGCGCAAAGTGAGGCGAGCTATAGGACGAACAGCAGTCGGATACGGTCATCTCCACCAATAAAGGGTAGGATGATGGCTGTTCGTTGAGGCTAATATTGCAGTGCAGGAACATGTGTTCTTGTCCACTGCGAATAAGCATGCGGGTGAAGCGTGGTGATTGGTAGTCTGCGCTGCTGCCTAAAATCAGGCGCATATACAAGGCATGCTTGAGGCAGCTGAAAGCTCGGGATCTTCGTATTGGGTCACCACCGATGCGTAGGCAAACGAAACCTTGGTATGACTTGTCCTACAAAGCGTCTTTAATTCGTAAGTTCAACACGACATCCTCGCCTAAGATCGTAGTGGTTCAAATTGTATTTGTCTGTGCTAAGATGTTGCGCATTGCATATGTTCAGGCCAAGTGTCATGTGTCGACTTGCATATCAATTATGCCAACAAGGCTGACAAGAGGTTACTATACATTACAGCCAGAGTTTTCAACGATCAAGAGATGTATGTGTCACTCTCATAACTGAAACCTATGGGATCGAGATGCTCAGTAAGAGCTAGAGTCATCATATACAACATACACGGACGTTCCCCACTAGACACAGTTAGGACGCTCGGAGACCCGCTCTCTTAAGCCTATGAAGAATTAAAATGTCTTATGGAGGACCGCAGGCAAAGCAGTTCGCGTGTCGTCATAAACACTCAAGAAAGAAAACATGTAACAGACGCACGCCATGCCAGAGCCATAACAGAATAAACGCAACGTAAATTAGAATCGCTGCGTACCCTAATTCAGATAGGACGCAATGCTGTTCTATCATATTCGAAACTTCCGGCAAGGTGCGAAAAAACAAGGTGCGGAAAAAAAAGCAAAAAAGATAGAACAGTAGGCTCCTGTCCGCCCGCGGGATCGAACCGCCACAAGAGTCAGGCAGGATCACCTAAAGTTCAGATATAATACACGTAGGCAACCAACCCGCCATTTGACATAAGACTAGGTATCGTGCAAAGTTAACCTTAACAACTATAATATATATACCCGGAGAAGTCCTGTCCCTTAGTGAGTGAGTGTATGTGCGAGTGTTTACGCGGCGCGTGCGCGCCTGCCTTTCTTGTCGAACACAGCTATTCACCTCCGCTATGGCTTTCCAACTTCAGCTATTCGAAGATCGGCTCTTGCTGCTTAGGTCATCACGAAAGTTGAGGCGCAGTAAGCGTTTCTCATTTCCTACCATCTTTGAAGTGAGGCTGCTCGCCCAGTAAATTATCGGGGAATGTGAATGACCACACAAAAGCCATTTCAGGCGCGACACAACCTGAGTATTTGAGTACATTATCAAATCTCTGTGTCTCACTAAGACGATTAGAATCGCATGAACTGCGGAGGCGAACACCAAGACCATGAATGGAAGATGAAGATCATTGAGGGCTCTATTGAAATCAGAGACCTCTCAAGAGGGCATAGCCCAAAGCTCACTTGGCTGCATTTACAACGCCTAGACAAGACTCAATTTGCATACCCGGGTATCATTCCACGACCCATAACGCCAATGACAAGCCAATCCCTGAAAGCCTAGCCCCGCCATCACATCTCCTTCAGCCCTTTGAGAAACTCTGAGTCCATCCTAACTCGGTCCCTCATGCGCATCGAAGGTAGGTAATGCGTGTAGTACCAGACGATACCCTGCAAGAAATCGTGCGCGAAGTCCGGGTGCCAGAATTGTTGATGCAAGAATGAGGCTCCCTCAATTGCATTAGGAATGACTCTGTCGTGAATGAAGATTGCGGAGGAGAAGATAATCTTGCGGAGGAGTATGTTCTTCTCACAGTTGGGCTTTCGATGGTATGCGTTATCCATGGCTTCAATCCACTCGGTCATGTCGTACTCCATCGATATGAGCCGCTCACGAAGTGCAGCCGTGGTGAGCCGCTTGAGGAAATCGTCGTCGAGTGCATATGATGCATCATGAAGGTGGATGAGTGACACAAGCCCAGACATGGTTCCCGTGTAATCTTTATAGAGCGGCGCATCTTCGGGGGACGAGATAGCTTTCTTGATGATCATTCGCTTCCCATGAGTCATGGCGACTCGTAGCTCGTACCAGAATGTCACAACCTCATCCAGGATGTAGGGCGGGATATTGAGGTTTGGGCAGAGGTCGCTGAAGTTGATCAACATGGGCTCGCGGTGGGTGCCGTTCTAGTAGGAATTAGCTTGAAGTACAAGTGCATGAAGGCCTTGCTACTGACAGCGCGATGCTTTGAAGCCTCCATCTTCATCGTGTTCGATGTCTGCGTTGCGAGTGGCGCCAGAATTTTCCAGGTGTACCCTTGATACATGATGAAGAAATCACCCTCCTCGAATTGAGCTGACAAATAAAAATGCCGACTGTAAATCGTTAGAACCTGACCAATATGACCAATGCAGACTCTTTGCCTACTTATCCCTCCTGCGGCTCTGCATCTCGTGCATGCTCACCACTTCGCCGGACACCGTCTGCACATCGATGCGATCCTCCGCCCACTTCTGCATTGCGCTGGCACTGGCAGGCTTCAACGTATGTATCGGCGCACCCTTGAGATCGGATCCATCTGCGGGAGCCATTGTGGGCGCGTGTCGAAGTTGACGTGACGGCAAGCGGACAGATCGTGAAGCCGCGTTCGAAAACCTCAGAAAGTGCGGTGCCAAGCATTTCCAAAAATCTTGAACGCGTAAGCGAGCGGGTGCGGGCCTTTGTTACTCCGGCGAGCCGTCAAGGTGAGGTGAAAGGTGAAGGGAGCATTGACGGGGTTGCCGTGACGATGACCGGCGCATCGTGCCTTTACGAACACTTCGAAGCGAGATCAGCCGCGTAAAACGGGCAATTTGAGGGTGCCGGGAAGGCTAGAGGTAAGAAAAGAGGCTCTTCGATGGACTAAAGTACCCACAAAGGACCGCCTCGCAACTGATATGATTCCGATGGACTATCCTTTACCTATCACCTCGTTTGCGCTATCACCCCACATGACATGCATGACGAACGCATGAGGCCCACGCGTTCGTTTGTACAAGAGATTGCGGTGTGAGCCGTTGCTAACATCCGAGCACATGATGCCTGAAAAGTCCTACGATGTCTTACGGATCAATGATCATTTTGACGAGCAGATGACACATCCCCCAGAAGACAAACGCAAAGTCACTCAGCAAGGCTCAAACAACGGAGGGTAGAATACCTTTTATTGGATGGGTTCAAGGGCTATAACCCGACCCCTCTGACAAGCACCCACAACACCACGGGCACGACAACATTGTCGTTCCCTCCTGTCAACACCGCCTCCTCCAGACTCGCTCCCGCAGCACAAACAGCTGCTTTTATCACCATTTTAACACCTTCCAAGCCCCACTCTACAAATGTCCTCTCCGATTGAGGGCCCCATCCAACAATAAGCCACACTTTCCCAAGAACTAGGCCGACCGTAACCGCAACCGCAAAGGCCAAACTGCCCTCGAGCGACTTCCCACCCGCCCAGGGCCATTTTCGTCTTCCGTAGCGTCTTCCGATCAAAGAGGCAGCGGCATCCCCCATTCCCACGCACACCACACCAGAAACCATACTAAGATCCCTCCTCTCCACTTCCCACCCTTGCCACGGCTCCTCTCCCCTCCTCTCCACCCCCGCAAGACTCAACCACAGCGGAATCGCACACCCAATCAGCAGGAATATGTGACTAACCACCACAGGGCCACGTAAATCGCGCCCATCCACATATGGCGTGAGGAACGTGGCAATCGGGCCGCTGAGAGGCGGGAGCTGGCTCGCGCGGATAAGGTCGAGGAGGAGGAAGATAGCGAGGACAAGCGCGAGCGCGAGGGCCACGAAGCACGGGTCGATGAAGATGGTGGGCAGGAGCATGAGCACCATCATGCCGTGGAAGACTTTGCGGCGGGTGTCGACTTCGACGACAGAGGTAAGGCGGAAGACGACGACCAATCCTCCTAGGATAACGCTGACGCAGTAGGCGCAGAGGAGGAGGCGGACGTTTGCGGGTCCGAGGATGGTTTGACGGAGGGTTTCAGCGAGGGGGACATGTTGAGTCCATTGCGGGTCGTCGGCGTCGAAGAGGGGAGGTAGCGCGATCCACCAGCCTAGGTCCCAGTTGAAGACTTCGAAGCGGAGGCGTCGGATGTTGCCGAAGAGGTAGCCGAGTGCCCAGCCGAACGGTTCGTGGTTGTGTAGGGCATACTTTCCGATGGTGTAGCGGACTGGGCCGAGGATGAGGGCTGCTACAACGAAGTAAAAGTATGCGGCATAGAGCCACTTTCGGTAGAGAGCTTGTGTGGGGGTGAGAGTGAGGAAATGCTGGGCTATAGATTTCGTACGTCGACTTTGCCGATGTCCGTTTGGTAGTATAGTATTCTGCATGGGAAGACTGGCAACTGTGTTGCGTCTTCGGGAAGCTGATGCAGGTGGGGGCGACCTCAGCTGCCCAACCTGTTCTTGGTAACCTGTTTGGTTCGGTTCTACAGCGGATCGGGGTTCAAGTCCGTTCGGGTTTGCGGTGTTGTTTCTCATAGCATTTAAAATGTCTAACTTCAAGCTCTTAGTCTTTGTCAGAGTATCCTGAAACAAGGGGTCTTCCTCATCAGCATCACTGTCAGACGTTGCTCGAGTGGCGCTGTGTGAACGAAGGCTTTTGTTGAGCACTTGCAGAAACGATTGTTGTGCCTGGATGACCCGACCCGCGCGTCGAAATCTCCACCGTGGGATTCGCGCCAGGGCTACTCCCCATTTGAGAACTTTTCCGCAAAGCACAAAGAGGCTGACACCTCCAATCCAAAGCATAGTTCTCAGTATACCACCCTGAGGAGAGTCCGCAAACAGAAGAAAGTCAATCAATCCGATAGAGAGAAGGTGTAGTTCTGCAGGGAGAAGACTTGTGGTTGTAAGGTAATGCAATGGTGGTAAAAGTGCCTGATGCAGTGGGAAAAGGCAGACTAGCAACTCAGGATGCAATCCATGTTCTGGTGGTGGCAGATCAAGCTTATATGGTGTCGATGCCAGAAACTTAGAAGGGAACTCCGTGTTCTCGGAGGCAATCAGAGGAAGTATCGAGACGAACCAATGAAGACTCGAATAGCCCACTGACGAGGTTCCGTAAGGTATCAACTGGTGCGGTAATGCTGCTAGCCCGAGAAGAATGTTGGGCAATAACGCCCTTGGCAAAGTCGAAAATAGAGAGATAGAAATCAAGACTGGTAATACAGCGGGGTATAATATTGGAGCTGGATCGAAAGCGGCTGGTATGCGTATGCGCTGTCGGAAACGAAGGTTCGAAGGAGGCTGTTTCCGCCACGAGTGGTACAAAAGTCGAACTGGATATAGAGCTAGGACGCCGGCCGTTACGAAGACGTGAGTAAATAGATCTACTGGGGAATTATTAGCACCCATTCTATTGAAATCGTACAGCATGAACTAACCTCTGTGCCATTGCAACAGCTTCTCCCAGCAATTGCACCCGCCGACGGCCAAGATGCCAATCACCCCAAGCAATGCCGTCTCAGTGGTCCTCCTCACGACCTCATTGCGCCGTCTCTTCAAGTACTTTTGCCGCGCTGCTTTTGCTTCGTCATCGGTTGGCGAAGGCTCTCCTGTCCGTGACCCCTCTTTCCTTGGCCGAAAGTACTGCTCTGAGAGCTTGCGCCCTTCCTCATCCACCAGCGATGGGGTCAACAAGGGTGTTGCATCGCCTGCTAGCCCTGAGCCTCGCCCGTCACGCAGTCCTTTACGCGGCCTCAACGGTGGTGCTGGCAGTGCCTTGACAAAACCGTAGCCCTCGTCGTCAGCCTCTGTTCCGCTCTCGCTTGGCGACTGAGATATTCTCTGCCTTCTCCTATCATCCTCATCTGATACTGTGCCTTGTGATGTCGGCCCGGTTGTTCGTGACAGGTCGTTGCTTGACGACTCAGAAGATGGCTGAGCGTTGCGCAGCTCGTGCTGGCGCCGGTGGTAAGGGTGCGGTGAGCGACGAAAGAGCTCGAGAGCTTCGATATCGGACGTTGCAGGCGCTTCCAATTGCGCCTCGGACGGTTCAAGTCGCGCCTCTGGCGTTTCTGGAGCATGCGCCATGCTGGGTAGACGTAGTACTCTGGTGGGGACAATGCGCTTCAGCTTCACGAAGGTGGGCAAATGTGAAAACGAATGGCGCAATGAAGCCGCATTCTAGCCAGGCTGCCACATGTTTGGATCAGAGGGGGAGTGTGGAAGCATGGATGGTGCGCGCTGTCTAGGAATTCTCACATGTTCGGGCGTACGCGGACCTCGAGTAGGCTGACGTTGCTTGTTGAACACAGCTTGCAGGGTTACACCTGCGCGCCAAGGCTGCTGCAATAGGACACCACGTTGGACATCACTCAACAATCAAGAAGGCGATCGATGAGATGAGAACTTTTACAATTGATTATGAGGATATGCATTTCTATTGTACACGCATCTATGCAGATGTCTTATGCTGATAAAGTATCAGGGTATATACTGGCATCGCTCGTGTTGCTATCTTTCAACACGAGATACCTTTCAGAAGCCCCTTCTTAGCCTATGTGACTTGAATATTTACAAGTACTTGTTCTCCTTTAGCCAAGCCTTCACATCTTCTGAATCGCGCTCGATCCAAGCTGCCTTCGCACTAATGGCGTCAATGCTCTGAGCAAGCGCCTTGTCGAAGCCCTTGGTACTCTTGTCTGCGAAGAACGCCTCGATCTCCTTGATATGCTCCTTGCGCGTGAAGCTGGACGTCGAGATAGAGACGACTGAGCTGAGCATGCTCAAGCTAGGAGGAAGCCTCTTCTCAAGCTCCTTCCAGTTCTCCTGTGTCCATGCCCAAAGAGCCTTGATACCCTCTGGGTGCGTACGCAGAGATGAGAGCGGCAGGTAGATATCCTGTGCCTTGACGTCGTCGCTCAGAGACAAGGCCAAAGTGCGCTGAATGAGTTCAGGAGTCTTAGCACGACCCAGAGATCGCATAGCCGTGTTACGCTCATCGCTCGTCTTGGCATTTATGGCCTCGTTCTTGACTACATCATACTCTGCCGCACCACCGTTGCTCAGAACAATAGCATACACGCTGCCACGGAGGTTGGGGTGGATGGCGGATCGGTCGCCGTTCTTGAACTTGTTAAACATGTCGAAAGACGCTTTGACGATAGAGTCGTCTTTCGCAACACCAGCAGTACCGAACATCATTGCCTTGAACTGCTGCTCAAGATGTCCATCCTTTTCGGTGAAGGTCCATCCCAGCTCGTGTGCCTTGTCCTGCGTCAGCTTGAGCTGGAAGGTCTTGAGAGCATCCTTGACAGCTTGGTCCTCAAATTGCCAGGCAGAGCGCAGCACACTAATGCGGCTGCTGATTTCCTGCCAGACAACGAACTCAGTCTCGTCCTTGAAGCTGTCAAGAAGTGAGAGGATACCAGACGTCTTCTGGTAGCCCGAGGTAGCCAGCGCTCCAGCGTCAGCAATCATACCCGCACGGTCTTCCACGGTGAGGAGTCCATCCTTGGCGGCAAGACCCAGTTTCCGCAGACGTTCGGGGCTGTACGAGGTGCGGTAGATTCCGGTGTGGTCGGCGTTGAGCTTGAAGAAGTCGAGGTCCTTGAGCTTGAAGTCAGCTTCGCGAGTGGTCAGAGCCAGTTCCTGGTCGACGCCTTCCTTGGTACGTAGGCCGAGGAAGATGGGGTAGAGGGTCTGATCCTCCTCGGGCTTCACATCAGCCGTACGCAGGAAACGATTCTGCTTGAGGTGGATAGAGTCCGACCCTTCGGTAACAGTGACGACGGGGAAGCCGACATGCTTAGTCCAGATGTCCATGACTTTCTCGACATCTTTGCCGCTGGCGTCGCTCAGTGCCGCCCACAGATCACCGGTCTGGGTGTTGCCGTAGGCATGCTTTTTGAGGTATCTCCGGATTCCTTCCATGAAAACGTCTTCACCAAGGTACTTTGAGATCATGCGGATGACACAGGATCCCTTGGAGTACGAGATGGCATCAAAGATCTGATTGATCTCATCTGCACGCTTGACAGGGACTTCGATTGGATGGCTGCTGCGGAGCGAGTCGAGCGACAAGGCTGAGGAGAGATTATCGGTAACGTACCCCTCCCATACCTTCCAATCGGGATAGAAGACGTTGCACGAGTACCAAGACATCCATGTTGCGAACCCCTCGTTAAGCCACAAGCCATCCCAGAAGTCCATAGTGACTAGATTGCCGAACCACTGATGTGCAAGCTCATGCTGCACAGTCTCGGCGACACGCTGCTTGAGGCTGGCACCGCTGTTCTTCTCGTCGATGAGCACATCAACGACACGGTATGTGATCAAGCCCCAGTTCTCCATAGCGCCTGCACTGAAGTCGGGAATAGCGACCATGTCCATCTTGGGCAGAGGGAACGGGCTGTTAAAAGTCTTCTCGTAGAAGGCGAGCGTCTTAGCTGCGAGGTCAAGCGAGAAACGGCCGTGTTCGATATCTCGGTCCTTGGGCGCATACACGCGAACCGGCACGCGGAAGTCATTGGTCTCGACATAGTTGAGCTCTCCCACAATGAATGCGAGGAGGTATGTGGACATGAGCGGTGTGGGGTTGAAAGTGACTGCCTTCCGCTTCTCGCCCTTGACGACCTGAGACTCCACCGTCTTCTCTGAAGCAACATCCATGTTGCTCAAGCAGGTCATCTTGTCTTCAGCGACGAGTGTCACGGTGAAGGTAGACTTGAGTGCCGGCTCATCGAAGCAGGGGAACGCGCGGCGGGCATCGGTAGGCTCCATCTGCGTGGTTGCCAACCATGTCTTTGAGCCATCCTCGGCCTTGAACGACGAACGGTAGAAACCCGCCATATTGTCGTTCAATGTGCCCGTAAATGTCAGGGTAAGCGAGGCCTTTGCCCCGCCTGGTATGGTATCCTTGAAGCCGACCTTGGTGGTTTGAGCATCGTCATCGTTGGTAAGCTCTGGGGAGCTCGAGATAAGTTTATCACCGGACGTGACCTTCGCGGAGTGGATCTTTAGGTCAATGGTGTTCAGTGTGATCTCTGTGGAGTTCTCTACCACATCAAGACTATAGCGGGGTCAGCAAATACGACAAGTTGTACAACTGGCAGGATGGCCTCCGAGGTAGACCAGAATGTATGATACACGAGCCGATTATAGTGTTCGTCTGAGGCGCCTCGGGTTTTGCACTTCGTACAACTCTCTGCATCATACATCCTGAGTCAACTTGCGCGGGGTACCGTTCTGCCCAGTTGCGGAGTGTGCAATTGCGTACTCAATCGTCACGGAGCCCTCATAGGTGGCCTTCTCAAAGTCGGGCTCGAGGGTCAGGTCGTAGTGGAGAGGCTTCACGTTGGTGGGCAGCACCTCGCGCGCCTGCTGGACGGCCATGGCGGAGCCCTCGTTCTCTGCGCCGAATTGTCTGCACATGTTGCGGCGATGGGAGCAGTGTCGGACTTGGAGAGGGAGTGTGGTAGTAGATTGGCGAGGGGCGAGGGTTCGGCGGAGGGGTGACTCTGCTGCAGAATGGCGTGGTGAGGTCGGAGTGGTGGGGTATAATATGGTGGAGCTGGGGCGCGCGACACTCAGGAAGGAGCGACTTAGCGGAACGCGACCGCTGCTACTGGCGGTGATGGAGCGTATTCGACTCACGACCGCCCCTGCCCCGGCCGCAGACGCTGGCGCTGGCCGCCGCAGGGCAATCCGTGATGCTCTCTGCAGGGCGCCATACTGTCTGAGGAAGCCCATCTACGTCGAGATGGTAAGCGGTGAAGCGCCAATGACAATTCGTCGGTGAAGGATGTTGCAGCTCTTCCGTCCGAGAAAGGCAGGCGTGCCAAGCCGTCCCATGCATGGCGCACACGCCTCCGCTCGGTTAAAACCTTCTCCCGCGCAGCGCGACCGTCTTCTTCACATTCACAGCAAGGAATTCAGTCCTCCCAGCCCGCCTCTTTTATGGTTGCGCTGGAGTTCTGGCGCATTGTCGTCAGCCTTGCGAGACGAACCAACACGCGCACGTTTGAGCCTCTCCGCGATTCCTGCATGAGTGGGGAGGTATAGAAGATTCGCGACATCACGCATCCAGAACCCAAATTGATGACTCCGTTCAAATTTTCCCATTCCTATCAGTAGTCCAAGGGTCCCTGCACGGCAGTCCTTTGGCATTCAACATGAGACCCGGTGATCGCTGTTACCGCGGACATTAAAGCTAGGGCGCTTTCTACCGCTCATCACTGTCGTACAAGAGGCGCCTCAACGTGCTATTCAGGTGTATTACTGATCTCTTGTTCGGAAGAATGCACGATTCTGCCAATTCACCGACATGAAGGCGAGAAATCTGTGATCGTCATGCGGATTCAGCCCCAAACATGCGGTGAATCTCATTCACCATCTCTCTGTTGTGGACTCCAATTACCTTTAGCGCTCTGTAGTAAGCCATCTATTACAAGACATGGTAATTCTGGAATGGCTAAGCTGAGACGTCATCAAGAATGAGTAAACTTTGGCCTGGCTCCCTTCGAAGACAATGAAGACATATTCCCCGAAATTGTCCTGCATCTTGTCCGGGGCTCGTATCGCGCAATCGAGAGTGAGACAACGCCACCAAGTGCTTGCCTTTCGTTCCAACTACGCACCGTGTCCGCATGGCCTTGTTTAGCACGTGCTTTGGCGAAGGCGGAGTCCTACCTTCAACACAGCTTCAGCAAACATGCACTTCAGCCACGGTCAGCCAAACATGCTCGGTCCACGATTCGCCCTGCGAGAGTGACAGCTCATACCGCTCCTTTGTTCCATGCACTGACTCAAGCGTTGACTCATTGCGGTCGAGTCGACGCATATATCAACGTGGTCTTGATGCAAAAGTCGTTTAGCGAACAAGACATCCAAGGTGGCAGCAGCGCACGTCTGAACACTTTCCGATCACCCTGCGTTAGCGTGGCGATACAGCATAACGACTGATTTCCAACATCGACCCAGTGTCAAGCGAGTGTCAGTCGTCAGGTTTATGGAACACAAAGTACCTCAAACTTACTTTCACATATATCGGTGCTGCATTGCTTCCTGTACCACCAGTCTCTATGAATGCACACCGCTCGTCAACCCCGATGGCTTGCCGCCAACCATGACACATTGGCACATGAGAAGCACAACATTGGGCAATTGCCTGGGGATGTCTATCTCATCCAAATGAAGGGCGTGATTGACGATATGCAGTGACTCATTATGATGCGGAGCATCGATCATGTGCGGAACATATCCCAGGAACATGTCTGTGCGTGGCATTGGAGACCCTCCCAAAGTTCAGGCGATGGGTGAGTGAACATTCAAGTTCACCGCTGTCGTGTGCCACTAGAGGCCTATCTGCAATATCTACATGCAAGTATGAATGTCCGTATATCATGGCATCATGACTAACCCGCTGCTATCGAATTTTCATGTCTTTTGAGCTCAAGTGGACGCTGACATTCGAAAGTGTCAGCTTTCGTATTGTACATCCTGGCCAACACCCTATCTTCCCCCAACAATCACCCCTCTGACCTCCCTTCCTTCCTCGCCCCACACCCGCTTACATGGCACCCACGCAATCCCCCTCTTGAACCATCTCGAGTCCGTCCAGTCGAACTTATCAGAAGCATACAGCGTTCCATACTCCATCTGCGAGAGCAATTGCGCAGCATCCACCTCCTCATCCGGGATCTCTACAACGCGGTACTCGAAGCTTTTCTCCAGGTGCCGGACGACCGACTCCTTGACCGGGCTTTCGTCGTCGCGGAATTGCTCTAGTGCATCCACGTTGAGGCCGGTACATGCCCACTCGATGGACGCATATCGCGGCAGCGCATCGACCTCGATAACGACGCAGGGTGAAGCGCGAAGCTTCGCACCGCTTTGTGCTTGCTGTTCGAAAACAGCATAATCAGGGATCGGAGAACGCGCAACGGTGTCATCAAACGCTTTAGAGAAGTTCTTGCGGTCCCAAGCATCCACGACTTCCTCTTCATCCTCGTTCTCCGCATCGGACGGAGGCTCGTGGGCAGCTTTCCACACAGCCTTCGCGACTACCACACGTTCTTCTTGAGCTCGCGCATCTGCGTTCGCCGGAATCATGGCCACGCCTGCAGTCCACCATTTCACGTTTTGCGTGCGTCCGATCCGGAAGAGGTGTTGTAGTGAGAGTAGAGCCTCGCCTTTGAACCCATGTCCGGTGTATAAAGTCATGGAAGCCGGGTCGAGTGGGATTTGTCCCGCAATATGCACTTCACGTCCCTCTCCGAGAGGGACGGAAATTGCTTGGCTGTAGGGCCCGATGTTTGCGGGAGCCCAGTAGGATTGGCTTTGTACGTGAAGGCCGGTACGGGATCTTGGCTGGTCGGATGGATGCGCAATCGCAGTGAGCATGACATCCAGACCAGCTGGCAGAGTGTCGCCAACTGCAACGGTCACGCGGCTTGGTGGGTTAGTGAATTCGAAGAACTTCGCGTATAGCGAATTTATCGAGGAGAAGTCTTTCATGTCGCGTAGCAGAAGCGTGCAATGCGTGATGCGATTCGCCGTCGTCTGGTAGGACTCGAGCAACTTTGTAAGACGGAAGAGGATGTTGCTGAGCTGTAATCTGATGTTGCTCTGGGATGCGTCTGCCTGGCTAGAGTCTGGATGTGTCTTACCAGTGATGTTACTAAGAATGACTGTTCTGCCGTGCTGAAAGTGCCTGCTCGTAGGCAGCGTTATTGGTGTTGATTGCCTCTCCGGAAGGCTGGTCGCACTTGGTATTTGCAGCCGACTTTTTAAAAGCAGGCCAAACTCGTCATCAAATGTAGGCGGTTTCCTGAGGTCCTGCAGACTAAATGTGTCAGTGGCCTTCTCCACAACTTTCATGGCCGCTTTCCAAGTCGCTGTCCCGCCCTCTTGTCGCACAACTTCTCCCTCGCCCTGCACTTCCAGTCTCTTCTTCCACAGCAACGATGGCCCATCAACAACAAGCGTCTCGAATTCGCCTCCCTCACCAACCAAAGCCCCGTCGCCGTTCTCACTGAACCGCCCAAGCGCCTTCTTCATCCGGCTCACCGTCCTTGGATCTGCGACGTTCTCGCCTAGAAAACTTTCATCCAAACCACCAGAAGCCACCTTAATGATCTTGGAATTTTGGCCAACGACATGCATATCGGTGAGAAGACTCGACTGTAGATATGGTGGCAGAAATGGATATTGCCACAGAAAGGAAAGAGGTGTGAGTCCGAGCCTCAAAGCGACATTCTCGACACGGGTCCGCTGATAAGTAGACAAAATAGCACCTGTAGAGACAGCGTTGGCTTCGGGGTGGTGTTGCATAACATCCTCCAAGAGTGGGACTAGATCTTCCGTTTCATCGTCCTGTTGCTCGCGGTAGTCTCTGTCGTGGATGACAGCGGAGCCGCGGATCTCCTGGCGATACAGGGGAACATCAAGAACTTGGCCGTATAGTGATACTAATGAAGATCCTACAGTCTGGTACATGAAGCTGTTGATGTCCTCATCGCCGCCTTCCGGTGGATGAAGGTTGGCTAACGCGACGAGCCGGTGTCCATTTGCCAAGCAGTGCAGAATAGAGAAGAAAGAATCCTTGCCGCCCGATATGAGTGCAATGACGTTCAAGGAAGAAGCCATATTGCACGGAGCGTGATGTTGCAACGCTTCGCGCGGTGCGCGAGCGGTGGTGTCGTGGTGGGGTGCGGAGCTAGAGTCGAGGAAGGTGCGAAAAAATGTTCTTCACAACAAAACATATCGCTGTGCTGAACATCAGCGAACCCATCAACCAAAAGGATATCGATGCTTATACTTGCTGTTACACGTTAAATTCCTTGTGGCACGGACGTCCGCGAAGCAATCGCGCGGGTGAGGACGTCTACATAATTACGGTATTGACTCTATCCTACTACCTAGGTACGCTAGCGGGTACCTTCATTGCACATATTGCTTTGAGAGCATTCCAAGGGGTGCCTTGGAGACAGCATATCTTATAGCCTCACTCCGAGAAATCTGCCATGATTTAGTCACGCCAAATTCCGATTGAGAGGTTGCCCGAACATCGTGAACCATGGATTAGATTTGTGTTCGCCCGCCACAATGGATCTTCAAGTCCGTCAACCACGCTTGCTCCACGTGCCCACCACCAATGGTATTGTCCGTATAGCAAAGCAAGACAAACACGAAGCAGCACATGCTCGATTCTTAGTCTGCTTCGTAATCACCCAACATAACCAAGTCAGACGTGTTTGGGCTAGACTTATCGGCCTTACCAACGCCCACGGTTGAAATCACGACATGATCTCGACCTTTTCAAGGCCCCACAAACTAGAGAACAGAATCGCGCAGCGGCGTTTGAACATCTTGTTACGGGCAATGCACGACGTTCAAAAAGTACATCGAATCGCTATCAAGAACCGATTATGACGAGTAATAGCATTGACGAAGCGATTGGCGCTACTACCATTTGAAGAGATTGTAGGAGGATCATGAGGGACAAGCACAGGACCATTTCGTAAACTGCGACGACCAATAGAAGCAAGAGAATGAATGCGTAGTGAATTACCCTGGACCACCAACTACGGCTCGACCACTGTTCGCATCGTCAGTGTGCCCAAGCTCTTTCCCAACACACTTTAAAAAGGATCTCTCGCCCCGACACTTCCTCTCAGATAAAGAACCCATCTCAAAACCCAGCAACGATTGAGAATTCCGCACCCGGCTCGACATTGCACTCTATCTCCTGATGAGTACAGAAGAGTCCAAAAGGGCCCGGGCCTTCCTTGAACAATGATCCCGACAAACCACCGCACCGTACAAGCGACTACATAGTCCTGCAGTACTTCGAGGCGCTTGGAGGAGGAGGACATATAAGATCAAGCACAGGGCCACAAGATAGCTGCTACGCCTCCGACGATTCCAAAGGACGGCCATAGTAATCAGCTCTCTGGAGACGTACCAAACCGAGCTCAACAACCACGGTTCGTCAGACTGCCATAATGCACTTTTTGAGAAGCCTACAACATACAGCGCCCCAACACCAAAGTCCCTTGCATTACACTTACATTTCGACCACAATTCAAAACACAACGGCTACATGGCTAGGAGGTATAACACATCGGTATACACATGCTGCTTATCCTTCTTAGCGAGAAGGTCCGCACAAGCAAGAAGTACAGGAGCTCGCGCAACTCGATACTATATTCATACAATTACAACAGACACGCAATAGCTCTTCATACAGGCCGTTGGCTGCCAAAAGGCTTCGCAGAAAGCGTCTTGCTCGAAGAGCACGCTCAAGGAGGCCTACGGAGACGTACAACGCGTACATAGAAGTAGGACGCACTGACAATAAGCCCGGCTACTGTCTCCCTGGGAAAGCAGAACAGCTCACCGCACTGCGTTACGCGAATGACAGTGTGGAAACTTCCTCGCACGGGGTGGGGTCAAGACGGATATACTCGGAAAGAGGATACACAAGAGGATACGTAAGATACACTCAGAAGGGCCCACCGTGACGTACACCACCAACTACCACCCTCCCCTCTACCTACCCGCCAACCAGATCCACACGCCACCTCCCATCCAAGATTAGCACAACACAAGCACAAGAGGCACATCTTACATCAAACACCACCATCCAATACACATTACACATTACGAGGTATCAGCGATTCAAGCGACCAGCACCTAAATCTACAAGCCACAGCCACAGTAAAAGCGCGGACTCGACAGAAATAGCAGGTAGGAAGGAAACATCTTGCGATCGATCAAAAACGTAGTCAAGTAATAGAACTACAATTTCCCCTCTTCTCTTCTCTTGAATCGAACCAGGCGAGACAAATTGCCAGAATGTGCCAATCAACCAAGGGCAGGCAGACAGAAGCTGCACTACCCACTATTACAACGAGCGTAAGAACTCAACAAAGATTTAGCTTACGGACGAACCAGGCCCAACAAGTAGAGTATGTGTGCCATGGCGTGTCGTTCGTGAGCGAGTGTGTTTCCCTCCTTTCCCTGAATAAAGAAAGCCGAAACACCAGAGGAAAAAAAGTGAAAAAAAAGTCTATCCAGATGTGTTTGTGCCTCCCGACCGAACCTGAACCCAAGCCGCCAGACCTCGATGAATAGCGAGGGTGGAAAAAACACCCCGGGCAGAAATGGCAAACGCTGATGCAAAAAGCAGTATGAGCAAATTCAGCAGAATACACAAGAAAAGGCCGCGCCACCCGGGTTGGGGTGGAGGGGCGGGTAAGAGATGGACTTTTGCAGCCAGATGTGGAATGAAGAAACCCGTACCCCGGTCCGCCAGTCTATATAACCCGAGCCCGTAACGACATTAAGCAGACGGGTGCGGCATTAGGGTACTGTACTCCTGTTACGGAGTGAGTTGGGAGGAGAGATGGTCATGTCGGGTCGTAAAGAAGCCAGAAGGAAAAGAGCCAAAAGAGCAAGGACTAGTCTTACTCGTCCCGTCTGCGCTTGCGCATCTTGGAGATGGGCGAGGCGTCGAGGTCCGTCGAGAAGCCGTCCGAACTTGAAGAGCTGGAGATGTTGGCGGCAGCCGAGTACAAGATCTGGCCGAGCATGGCGGGATCCTGATGGGTGTAGCTGACATCAGACTGCCCAGATATCTCGTTCGGCTCAAGGACACCCATCACCATGGCACCGGCACCGTGGGTGCGCTGGTGTTGCGAGAGGTTATCGGAACGTGAGAACTTCTTGCCGCAGTCAGTGCACTCGAAAGGCTTCTCGTGCGTGTGGAGAGAGCGGTAGTGACGCTTGAGGTGCTCCTGGCGACGGAAGCGACGGTTGCAGAGCTGGCAGACGAAAGTCTTACTTGGGTCCTCAGTAAGAGACTGCTTGCGACCACGTCGGCTGGTTGGCTGAGGAGGCGGGGAGGCGTTGTCATCCGAGCTGGAGGTCATCGCGTCGTCGTTGGCACCATGCTGACTTGAAGCGCCAGACTGAGTGTTGTCACCCGAGTTCTGCGGCTGCTCGGTCGACTCACTGTCGCTGCTGTCCCTGGACGCCTTCTTGGTGGAGCGCTTCTTGGGCGCAGGCTCGGAAGACATCTCGCTGTCAAAAGAGCACGGGGTCAAAGGCATACCGCTGAAAACAAGGTCGTCCTCAGAGTCGAGGTAGCTCTCGTCGGTGAACGAGTCCTCTTCAGGAGTGATGAGATCAGGCACCTCGGTGCGCTGACGCTTGTTGCCAAGGAAGTGGGCGTTCTCGGTCGACGGGTAGGTGACAAAGCTGGTGTTGAAGTCGTCCTCGGAATCGAGCTCAAAATCCAAAAGGGGCTCCCAGGCAGGCAGGCCGTTGGGGGTAAATGATTGGACGGGCTCAAAAGCCTTGGCAGTCTCACCCTTGAGAACAACTCGGTGCTCCTCGTCACCCGAGAAAAGCGTAGGCAGGCACGGGCCAGAGGTAGCCGCAATGTTGAGCAGATCCTGCGGGTTGCAGAAGTTGTTCTCAGCCTCCGCGAAGGGCGGGCGCGGTGAGGGTGAAGGAGTGAGAGAGGGGCAAGAAGTCGCAGACAGAAGGTAAGACCCCTGTCCAAGCGCTTGCGCCTGTGGCTGGATGTAAACTGTCGCGAAGTCAGCCCAACGCCCACAACGAAAATTTACGCGTAAAAACTGGAACAAGACGCGTCGAATTGTTTCTCTTACCTGGAGTCATTGGTGGCGAAGCCGAACCAGGCCAGTCTGCGCCTGGAGCAAGAATCTCGGTGAAAACCTCCTCTTCACAACCCTGCTTGACGCCCTCCATGCCCTCACCTGGAAAGAACGGTTGCATCGGCGTAGGCAGAACATCGCAGGACGATGGTGGGCTGCTGATGCTGCTTCCACACGATGAAAGCGGCGGTGTGGCGGGCACGAACTTGAAGTCGGTGTCGATCGGGTGCAAGAAGGGCGAGTCCTGAGGCTGGACCAGGATTGTTGGCTTCTGGTACATGGGCTGAGGCGACGCGACAGGTGTCAACATGGCGTGGTTGAAGCTCTGCTGGAATGGTGTTGATGGTGAGCTCGATGAAGACGACGGCCGTTGCAAAAGCATCTGTGCGTGGAACATTTGCTGTTGTTGGCCCGACGGGTGCGGTGTGAAGTGGCCGTGCTGGCGTGCCTTCTCACTTGTGGGATCCGGGTTGTAGTAGAAGAAGGGCGCCTGACCCATTGCTTGTGGGTGCATATACGATCCTTCCATTGTATAGTATGTGGTGTTTCGTCTACCCACGTGGAATGTTAGAGGATCCATTCCAGGCGACGTCAGACCCATCATGGCTTGAACTTACTCTTGTGAGTTTACAGCAGTGTGCTATACAGCGTGTTATACACGTATCAAAGGGTCCTCGATGTATGCGTGGGTGGTTGGGTATTAGGTTCCGTGGTAACGATAGTCGTACGATGGAAGCGAGCAAGCAAATGGTATGAAATGTTGATCTGAGGGAGTGACTGGACAACGGATCGATGAAGCGAACCGTCTACTAATAGGTATGGTACTGGATCGCGGACGATGTCATGGGGTTCGTGCGCGAGAGTGGACGGGTCCAAAGGAAGGGCAGGCAACTATTCACAACCGTCGCGATAGACAGCTAGAAAGTAGACCAAAAGGGAAGATCAAGAAGATGACTTGGGAAGAGAAAGACAAGCGAAGAGGTTGATAAACCCTGAATACAAGGAAAAGGTAACGAGTGAAGGGCAGGCCTTGGATAAGTAGGATGGATCAGCGAGCGACGAGACAGCGATTAGGTTAGAAGAAGAAAAGATGACCAGGCACAGACGGGCGGGCGCACGGAATTGGTTAAGGTGAATTGTGGGAGGGGAGTCGGGAAGCGTGCGAAGGCGCAGTACGGACTCCACTTGGGCCAACCACGGCGAAGGGCATGCATGCTACAGCGACCCCTGCGCGGCCTCATGCACTGATTATTTTGCGACGGGGGGTCGACTCGTGGGCGCGCCGAAGCGCAGCTTAGGGCAGCACGACGCGCGGCATAATTCTTGTGCTGCAGGATGCACTAATCTTGGCCGCCAACCGCCTGGCCTGCCCGTGGCGGCACCGTGGAGGGTCGCGAAATGAAGACCGGCGCAGTCGTGCACACCGGCGTCACAACTCGCGGGCAGAGTGCTCGCCCACAGACGCCTGCTATCGATAGGCGACGGGGGCCTCCGCAGACGCCTTGTTGCTGTGACTTCGCAGCTGAGCCGCCGTGTGTGCGAACAAGCTCTGTCGAACGAGACACAAGAGGCCACATTCAGCCTGTGCTGCCAGACGGGCGCCATCAGCCTATCCGCCCAATCGATAGTGATAGCTGCCCGTTGGACAGGGCCCCGGTCCTGGCCGCCGTGCCGCCAGACGGCGCTGAGACCTGCTGACCCTCCATGTGGGATGTTTGGAAACATTGCTGCCAGCGAGTGGACGCTGACGGCCGGCTCACCCAGTCTCAGATGCGCACACGATGCAAAACCGCCGAATCGAATCGCGGGCTCCCTACGCGGTGCCACCGTCACGGCGGCGCGAAGGCAACCGACGACATGGACGTTGCCTCTGCCCTCCGGAGGCGCCGTCGGTGGCCGGCCGTTCGACAGGCCTGCGTCACGACGAGCGAATCCGCGAGGCTGCATGCCATCTTCACAGGACTGGTGAGCCCGACTGTGGAGCGTCTCGGAGGAGGGTGTGTGTGAGATGGAATATGACTGCATGGCGTACATGTATGTCGTCCCAAGTTTCCCGCTGTACAATCCCGATCGACAAGGACGAGGCGGTTTGCTGGCCTCTAGCAGCCATCCTGCTCGCGCGACGCGTGCTGATGAGAGACTCGAGGCCTGCAGGAACAACGGGCTCTGGTGCAGTGCTGCAGTAGGCCGACGCGCGCTGGGTGCTGGGTCTGATTTGCTCGGCCGCTCGCAGCAGTTGCCATCCGACTGGGTGTGTGGGGAAGCCTCATGTCACTCTATTTCGATGGTGAAACATCGATGGCGAAGGCTGCGAGGCAGTCCATGATGCATCGCCACTTGATTGATGGTGTTGAACTTCACCCATGGTTGCCTCCCGTCTGCCGTCGGGACTTGAGCAGCTAGCACGCAGAACCTGCTGGTCGGGCGTTTCAATCCTGCATTGGGTATATCTGCTGCAGCTGCATGCAGTCGTCAGGCTGTTTCGCAGTATTTAGGCGTCGACGAACTGGTGGAGCGGTGACACCTGTCCGGACGAGCATCTTCGTCTGATGTTGCTATCGATAGAGAAGACAGACGCAGACGCAGTCAGCACGGGCGTGTCCATGTTCGCGGCTGCCAGATTTGTGCACACGGTGTATAACTCCGTCCGCCCCAATAAACACTTATCCCGCCGTGATAATCCGCACAACTTATTGAACTTCTATTTTGGGTTGGTTAGCCTCGAATTATGCTTGCGTGCACACCACCATCGAATGCACATCGGCCACCATTGCATCCCCATCAGGCCTAGCCGAGTCGCTGCTTTACCCTCTCAGAACTCGCTCGCCTGCATGCGAAACGGCGTGCATGGCACCTCGCTCGCCCAATCGCTGCTCCACCCATTCTCTGTCTTCCCCACAGTGACGCGAAGCGGCCTCTTGGTGGTCGACGACGCCCTCTAATGCAGGTACAGCGCAGGAACAGCCATAGAGCAGACGCCGTCGGTATTCAACACCACTTCGTGTCTCACGATGTTTGTTATCTGGTAGAAAACTATCAATCGACCCAAGTTTCTGCAACATGGGCCTCTCTGTGTCTCACTCTCTCCGACATGCGCATGCTTCCGATGCCATGCAGACCGTAACCTCATCGTTGTTAGTCGCATTCTGGAAGCTTTGTTAGGCCATCCTTCACGACTCACTCACACGCCCCACGACGAGCACGATTCAGCATGTAGCCCGCTCGGAAGGTCTGAGATCTCTTCCGCGTCCAACAACCTGTCGACGGGCTCTGGTCCTGGCATCCGCCTCGCCAGGGCCTCGGCGCCGGGGAAGCCCGCGTAGCTTCCATAGCGTCCACCTGGTCATGACGCTTCTCCACTCGCCAACCTTATCATCTCGCCGTGGTACCCTGATCTTCAGAAAAATCTCTGATCCAAGGCCGCATCGCACTCTGTTCGGCGGGGTAGACATCCGCACCACCATCACTTCTTTGAATCAGGGTCTCAAGCCTTCGGTCCCGCAGTTGCTTGTCATGTCGACATGGTCTAGTGAACGTGGCGCTCTCCATGCGAATTTACCCGAGCGCCGACAATGTATCATGAGTAATTTCCAAGTGTTGAGAATCTGTTCCTGCGTCAGAGACATGTTCATGCAAGGATGTCTCGCCTTCATCGCGTGAGTGCCTGTTGGGCTGAAGGCGGCCTAGTGCTGAAGGCGGAAGGATTCGCCCACCATCCTCTCGCCCGGCTCCAACATATCGTGACAAAACGCTCATGATCCGCGGCGCAGGAACGTCTGCAGTCGCAAAGACCCCACCGGTACGAAACAGACGCTCGCTTCAAGTCGCTTCTGGTCTGGGCTTTGCTGTATGCAGAATCTCGTTCGCCTAGGTGACATTTGACGTTCAATGCTTGGGCAGACATGACAGCGGCATCTCTGCTCTGTACAGGTTAGCCTTGAAGCCTGAACTGCATGTCTGTGAATCAATCGACGCCCATGTCGACCGTAATCTCGTCGAAACATGTTGTGCTCGCCTTTGCATAACTACCCCACACGCTTCCACATCTATCCTAGATAAGGCAGTTGGCAGCATCCCGCCTGGCGATCCAACACACTGTGAGCCGTTGTCGGCGCAGGGACCAGAAGACCCTGGTGGTCAGTCCGTTTTGTCAAGATCAAGGGAAAGTTATGCTGGTGGTTAGACGTGCTCCAACGCACACAGGAAAGTCGCAACTTGGCCATGGCACTGGTACCCTTTGACCCCGGACCGCACTGGAGGAATGGCCACCCGCACTTCTGGACCGTGGCCTCGTGGATGCTCGCCAAAACTCCCGCCTGCACGTTTAGGATTCGTAAAAACTGTGCCACTAGCGACACCCTCGGTTCGAAGTCCAGCATTCTTTGCGTTTCGCATTGAATCCTCGCACGTAGACGCAGCTCAGCTGGCAGTATCCCGCGACAGAATGAACAATCGTAGTAGACGGCAGGTAGGCGAGTGAATTCAAAAACGTGTCTCGTGTAATGTGAGACGGGAAGTGGAACCTCGGCGAGGGCCACTATCCTGGAACCATCTGATGTGGCGACATCTCCGTGAGGATGCCTCCCGGCAGTCACGCCAGTCCGTCAAGGGCGCCCATGGTTCTTGAGGAGCATCTGCCGGCGGCCACATCCCGGCAAAGTCTATCATCAAATCACGTGGGATGGTTTGGGGGCCTGATTGAATTTGGTCGTGCCTTCGCCGTTACCTCGGCAGGCAGGGTGGGATGGTGTCAAACGCGCAGGTGCCATCGGCTGAGCTTCTGCCAGCAGGCGACGCTACTGTAGCACTGTCCGTGGCGAAGTTCGTGTTCAGCTCGGCACTCTTGGTGGACGAGGCTAGCACTGTCGCACCGCCACAGCTATGCGCTGGCGTGGTGGTACAGTGAGCGTGCGGGAGATAGAAGGTAGAGATTCTTCCGTGAACGAAACAACGGGTTCCTGGTTGACCCACGATCATCAATTGCAGGGTCTTCTAAGGTCCTGTGCGCTGGGTAACAGGCATGTTGCTTTAACCTCATCTCTCTTCGAGCGCACGTTTCTTGGTGCGTCACATCATCGGACTGGAGTAGTTCCAACCGATCAACCAACACGTCGGCGCATAGGGCTATAGATTGAAACTTATCAAAAGCATGTTTCGAAGATCTTGATGTCGTACGAGCCATGGATGTGGCCGGCTTCGGCGACCATTAAGCCTTTGACGTCAGTCGTTGAGCTGATCTTGGGCACGAACTTTTGCAAAATGTTGATCGTAATAGCCTGTTACGCATGATGATGTCCTATCGACTTTTTTGAAAGACGCGTCTGAGTCGACACGCGTCCGTGGGGTATTTGGCTAACCCATGTGTGTTTGACTTGCTCCCGTGTCTCACTATCGCTTTTGACAGCTTTCTTTGACAGATCTCTAGCTGGTGCGTTATCTGACGATACTTGGAAACACGCGGTGAGTAGCACGAACTGAAATCATGGGCGATCAAACGCGCGAAACGCAGACAACATCAAACGCGTAAAGAACGATTGGCTCTTCGACGCGTAGCTTTTCCGGACATTTGAAAGGTGTTCTTGAACGTCGTGTCGGCTTGGCGCATAAGGCGAATCTTCCGAAAGCCATACCCAAGCCACTGGATACGCACCTTCGTGCAGCATGGGAGGTAGATTGGGACTCAACAACTTTCGCGTTGGTCGCCATGAATGTTGCAGCGAAGACTTGCCAACGCTCAGCTCCGCGTTCTCGAACGACCATCGGTCCGTCCAGTCGGAACACCCGTCAGAGCATGGGTATGGTCGCCAACGTGCTTCGAGTACCTCACTCACGATGGCTCATTTCCGTCTCGCCCGCCTGTTCATGCGAACCTTCTCCACAGCATCCTCTCGCCCAACGTTCGCTTGTCCGCCGGTTAACATGGGGCATGACTGCTGTTACTTTTCATAGCCACGCGATGCTGATTGGGAGTGGAGGTATGAAACGTAGGTGAGACGATGGAAGGCCGAAAGAAGACACGAAGAAGGCATTCAAGCACGTGTAACGCGCCCTCAACATGTGGCCTCACATGGTACAGATGAAGAGAAGTGGAGAAGAGTCGTGGATCTGGGACGTCGGTATGGAGGCGGCACCGGTGCTTGTCGTGCTGATTTCGTTCCTCGCATGCGATGCTCTTTCAATGCGTTAACAGCCGAAGTTCTGTAAGAAACGGCGGAAGATGTGATTTTGCAGCCGGGCTTCTGGAGAAACAACCGCAGACACAGTGAATTAACGACCGCATTTTGGAATAGCATAGCACAGGAGCAGTGATTCAACAGCCGATTGTTCGGAGATAAAATCGTAGACCAACGAATCATCAGCCGGCATTTGTGAGCAAATATCAAAGTACTGAACCAGCACCCGGGATTTTGAAAGACGACGTCAAAGTCGAAGGTCTTTGTGTAGGATTGCATTGGTGTACGTTGGCGATAGACGGCCAACATTTTGGATCGCGTCACTATCGCCATCCTCATACAAAGCCAGCCGTTCTGAGGTCTGCAAGATGTCCGTGCTGGCAGCTTCCAGTATCGACATGTGCGACATGTGTCGTCTCTTGAAGCACCAGCTGCTGACACAGTTGAGCAGTTAGCTGTGCTGCGTGTGATGCGATTTCAAATGTTGACGCAGAATGCACGCTTCGCATGCGCGATTTGATGTGGAAAACAGGCCTCGGTGGTTGTAGATGTGAGATCAGTCCCAGCATTGCCAGGTCATTCTCTTCCTATCATATGTTGTAAAGATTCTCGTCATCGGCCATGAAAGAGTCCCCAACCACCTGCACAAACTTTTTGAAGTTCGCGCGCGACTCACTAGTGCGCCAAGCCCGGCCGGAACAACCGCTTCCGACAACCTACAAAAACTTCACGCGCCTTTGGAACCTGCTTCTCTTCTTCGTGCGGCGAAGATCATACTGAAGTTTCCCAAAACGTTATTTGCGTGGCTAAAACTGTGCCGCGCAGATGTCATTGATCTCCCAGAGAAAACATATTGCATAATCGATCATATACACTTTGTGGTGGCGTCTGCTGCTGTGACGCTACCGCTGGAAAAAGGTCGAACATACCAACCGTGAAAACATGATTTCAATAGCTCCGAGGTTTTGCAAATATGCACGAATGTCGATCCCAATGATGCGGAATCTGCTCCGTTATATTGTTGCGCCTGCAGGTCATACGCAGTATCACATGGCCTAGGCATGTCCACGGGTCTGGCTAAGACTTCATAGGATCACTGTCTACGCGCTTCTTCTGCAGCCATCAAATTTGTCACGCTTCAAGGTCTTCCTTGATACCTACATCTGGTGCTGAAGGTGTACAAATGAACACCGGCCACGTATTGCGTCTGTGAGTGACCACATGCGTTGCTGCGTAAAGTAGTTTTTAGGCCATCCTTGTCCTCTAGAAAAATTGATAAAAGGTTGTAACTTCGTGTGGCCATCTTCTACCCTTGCTGTAATGTGATATCTCGCGGCCTAGTCACATTACGTTTGCTGGTACACAACGTCTCGAGATTAAAGAACATATTTATTTTGGGAACTTGCAAATGGTCCACGCGTTGTAATTAAACTAGAGCAATCAGAATGGAACAATCACAAGAATGAAGTATGGTTTTTCTATTCCACGTTTCAATAAACCATATTGGTTCCCCGTCCAAGCATGCAAGCAATCGTTACGAAACCCTCCACAAGTAGAATCACTACCATCCGCTCACAGTCCTGTCGTAACGCCGCAATACCTTTCTAACTATGCCGTCTTTTTTTCACGATGCTGGGGGGATGAATCTACCTTATGAGCACATGCTCCGTAAATATCGTATCAAGTCATTAATCATCACCACCGACCTTCTCCAGTTTGCCCATTTCCCGCTTCTCCCCAGACTCTCCAATGATCCTGATACGATCTATGCGTGTCTTTTCGCCGTCACCGTCGCCATCCACAACGAATAGTACCAGAGAGTACACGTTTTGGAATTTGACAAATCTGAGCTCCAGCTTCGCAGTGCCGGTGCTCTCGTCCCAGTCCGACGGCTTGAGCTCGAACGTCTGCGTAGGCGCAATGTCTTCGGCCTCTTCGAAGCCGAGGTTGTGCTGGCGGTTCGTGTACAGGTGGATGGTCTTCGGTCGGAGCGGGACTTCGTCGTCGTCTTCATCGTCGGCCTTGGGTGGGAACGAGGTGATCTGTATGGTGTGGATTTTGAGGTTTGCGTTGAATGGCACGTACAGCATCAGCTGCTCGTCCACATCACTCTCCACCCAATCTTTCTTAGACTCCCCTACTGCCTTGCCCTTGCCTGCGCTGCTCGGCTGCGTTGTGTCGAACAGCGTCCTCACGCCGCCGAACTCACTGTCTGAGTTCAGCAAGTCTAGTCCCCGGACGTCTACCTGGTCCGTAATATCTGTGTATCCTCTGGGCAGCCCAGCGCCCCGCCATCCTCCAGCGCCTCCACTCGAACCCGACGCTTCGCCGAAGCCACCCTCGCCCGACTCGACCTCCGCGGCGAGCTTTTTGATGTTGTCCGAGAGCTGCTGAGGATTCTGGCCTGTGAACTTGGAGACTTGATTGCCGTTCTTGAAGATTACGAAGAGGGGCGGACTACGGGCGAACGTCAGCAGCGGACCGCAAAGCTTGACATCGGGTAAGCTCACTTTGTGGCGCCATAGCTTTGCGCAATCTGCGTCTGCTGTTCGGCGTTGACCTTGGCGAAGGAGACGGCGCCCGGACGGGCTAGGGAAGCGGCGAGCTGGTCGTAGACGGGAGCAATGGTCGTGCACGCTTGGTTCCACTCGTTGTAGACTTCGGGGTTGTAGCATTAGCACGGGGATGTTGTTGTCGGACATGGAGAGGCAGCTTACAGTTGACGACCACGATGCGCGACGATGACAGCAGTGTACGTAGTTGCTCGGGTGAAGATACCTGCGTGGAGCCCGACATGGTGTAGTGTTCGCGTGGTGGTTATGAGCTGGATGTGTCTGTTGCGAATGTACAAAACTCCGGAGACCCTACGGTAGCGCGTTGGTGGGGGCGGGGAGCGCGGATGGGCTTGGACAGTGCTGCCTCATGTCATCACCGCAAACACCAGCACACGCGTCGCGAAGCTTCGAGAAGCACCAGAAGTTAGCGCAGCAATTCAGGCGCCCGTTTACCAGCACGGGATTCTGACGACCTCGAAGTCTGCCAAGCTGTGGCCAAACCGTCCTCGCGGGCATTCACATTAATGCCCTCGACGACCGAGTACTTGACATCTTTTCTTTTCAAGGGGTTTTCGAAAGGAGGAAACTGTAGGTTGCCCATGGCTACTTCCTTGACATCTACAACCATCGTTCCTGCACCCCGAAACAGATTTTACCTTCCAGCATGAGCATCGCTAATCAACGCTGCCAGACCAGTCCACGCTTTCGCTCCGCACCCCCGAGGCCTCGCTCCTCCATATCCTCAATATACTTCTGACCTTCGAACACTGTGACAGCGTCTTCAAGGGCCACGGCTGGCGTTGCTGGTACGCCCGCACCGCACTCATCGTCCACGCGCCCGCCATCATCTTCAGCGCATTCAGCCTGTATAAGATATACCGTGCGGCATAATGTCACACGTCGTGGTGTTTAATGCAGCGGCGAGGAGCCACAAGATACCGACCACACCAGTGAAGTACCTGACGGAAGTTCGCGACGAGGCGTGTCAGAAGTTTGGCGTCAGCAAAGAGCAGTTCACACTGAAGTAAGTGGCCAAATGTTATGGTGATTTAGCACGGTGATAGGGAGGATTATGCACAAAGGAAGACCAAGTTTTCTGCACCTGAACTAGGCTTGCTTACGTTCGGTCTCTCCGTCTATGTATTCTACTGCAAATAGTTGGCGAGCTTGCTAACGTAGGTTAGATACAACAATAAGCCCATCTCGCTATCCCAGCAGATACGGCACGTGAACCTCCCGCAGGGCGCCCGATTAGAACTCGTTCAAGCCTCCCGATCACCCACAGTCATTTCGGTAGCATTGGGCCTCCCTTCGTCCGAGAAGAACGCGCGCTTAACGCAGAAGTTCGCCAGCAATACTTCACTATGGGAATTGCTACGACAATTCGAGAGCGGCCAGGGAGCCAACTACAACTTCACACAACGAGGTGTACCGGAAATGAACGGAACGGGTACAGGCGCAGGCAGGCTGAACTATGAAATGCCCATCATCACAGTCATGCCTGGTCATAAAGAGTACGGCACATTTGTGGATTTGCAGAAGACCCTCAGCCAGTTAGGCTTCGATAGTGGCAGCGCTTCGCTGCGATTAAATTTCAAGAACAGTGGTACGCCACTTGAGGAGGCGATGGCGCAGATCTCACAGTACTTCAAGAACGCGGATCCTGCACCGAGTGGTGCTCATTCGGGGAGTTCGGCACAAGCTGGCTCCATTCCAGACTTAGATACAGCAGCTCCTGAGGCAGCGACGACAGTTGCAGGTGAGACGATACGATCAGAGGAGCCGGACCCTTCGCCCATGGAGGTGGATCAGGATCCAACTGCTGCCGAGCCCTCAATATCCGCAGTTGATGGTCCAGCTCAGATGCCTTCAATACCCCCCGCTCCTTTTTCTCCACCTCCGCAGTCAGCACTGTCTCCGCAGGAGCCCTCCTCTTCGACGCTTCCCCGAAACATACAAGTCTTCGCCGCCCCGACATCCTCCACACCCCAAGCCGCCCGCCAGGCCTTCAACGAAGCAGACTATCAGCCCTCCGTCGACCAACTGCGCGGCTTACAAGCATCCTATAAAGAGCGCTCCAAGAACACGCGCCTCCTCTCCGACAAGGAGCTCGAGGAACAAGAAAACGAGCGAAAGACCAAACTCGCTGCAACTGCCGACAAAGGCGGCATCGTGCGCGTGCGCCTTCCCGACGGCGCATTTGTCCAATTTGCTGTTTCCAAGACTGATAATGCGGTTGACGTCTACGACTTCGTGACCAGCTGTCTTGAGCACAAAACCGAGCCTTTCCACCTGTCCTATCGCGACGTCAAGGGCCAATTTGTCGCTATGGATCGCGACTCCAAATTGATCTTTCACGATCTCAAATTCAGCAGTAATGAGCTACTTACGTTCCGTTGGGACGATGGCGCGAGTGCGGCTGTGAGAGGGATGAAGCCTGTGCTGAGTAAGGAGTGGCAGCAGAAGGCTGCACCGTTGAGGGTTGAGGAGCCCGTAGTAAACGAAGCAGCGCAGGCTTCGACGTCTTCACAAGGCCAGACGTTGGGACAGGGGAAGCAGAAGAAGGAGTACTCGGCGGCGGAGAAAGAGAACAAGCTAAAAAGCTTATTAAATAAGAGCATCTTCAAGAAGAAGTAGGGTCGTTGGAGAGGGTTCTCCGCGGGGATAGGGAAGAAGTTGGAGCTCCCATTGCACATGCAAGTGATGTAAACACGTTGGACCAAACAGATTTAGACGATGGGTGTAGCATTGGCGGCATGGGGCAGGCGCACGTGTTGGAAATTTGTCGTCCGTAGCATCTGTAGCGGAGTATCCGGTGTGAGGCTTAAAACCTGTAGTCCAAGGGCAATTCTGAATGATTTGTTAGTCTACAATGCGGTGTGGCGCTATAAAGCGAGCGCTCTCTACATAGCGCCGCACGACCATTCGTGAACAAGGTGCCTGTCTGGCATATGGCAATAAATTCTATTATTGTAGAGTATTGACTTCTGAGGTGACGCGAGTTGTTGTTCGGAGAGCTCGAAGAAAGAAGGCTTGAGGTCGTCTATGCCATGCTGGAGGCTGGGGAGGAACTCCATGGTGACGGAGTCCTGTTCCGGGCTGATAGACCTCGAAGCATGTATACTGCCATTTGTAATGCGCGGGCCAATCCGCCCGCAAACTAGTTAATTAAATCACTCGTCCTGAGCCTACCATCAGGCCGACTCGCCGATCGGCGAGCTAAGACCAGGCAACGTCTGAACTGTCTGAGAGATTCGAACAACTGAAAGCTTCAGGTATTGCGCTGCAGGGTCATCACCCACGTCTCATGAAGTCCGTCGTCAAATGACACGCTGCGCGGTGTTGTAGTCGGATAATTGTGTGACCAGGTCGACCCAACAGCCTTGTTGGCGAATGCGAGAACGGCGAGGACGGAGAGTGACTAGCTGTCAAGACGCCAGTGACAGAAGAGCAAGATTCCAGAATGCACGAGGCCGTAACATCACGCACAGTAGACAGAGAACAAGTACTGCACTGGTTTGAACCGATCACATTTTTCATCTTTTGAGACACTGCTAGGTATCCTCTGCCCCTTAACGTCCATTCATTGTCAGTACTCCGAAATCGTGCCCTTTATTCTGTGATGCATGTTCCGAAGTCGTGTCAATCCCCGCCATGAAAGAGACCTAACACCATGATTCGATTGATTGATGAAGCGGAAAATGTATAAGGTCCCCTGCGTCCGTCGCGATGCTCGTTGCCCACCCTGGCGTTATGAAAACGCTCAGTGGTGACCAGCACGGCGGGACTCCTGGATGACGTTGGTCATCTCCTCGACCTTCCTCTTGGCACGGCCGAAGGTACCGAGCTGTGTGATTGTTAGCTAAAAATTCGTTGCGACGGTGACGGTGACGGTGCGTGGGTGTGGAGTGTGTGTATCGGAGGAAGACGTACCCTCTTCTTTGCGAGGCGACGGGCGCGCTTGTCCTTGGCATTTCGGAGCAACTCAATGACACGCTTCTCGTACGGGGCAAGACTGAACACAAGCAAGTCAGCGACGTTCCATGATTCCAATTTTCTCAGCGGCAGTCGTCGGTTCCAACAGCGAGCCGCATTGCGCATCTGCATGCAATCCCGCCTGTCCGCAACGCTGTGTGCGAAGTGTAACGTACCCAGCAACCTCACGAGTGATCTCCCTCACGAAAGCAGTCCTCTTGGAAAGGAAACCCTTCCTCCGCGAGATCCGGGTGGCCGGGGTCCTGGGGGTGACCTCTGTCCGACAAAGTCAGTATACGTTCGCTCGTCGTTATCGAGTAATTTTCGCTCGTGGGGGATACGCACGGTGGCCGGCGTTGGGGCCAACGATGAGGCCTGCAATTATGTTAGCATTGCGCGAGAATACATTGCGAGCGTATATGTGCGTACCGGACTTCTGCTTCACTTCCTTGGGCATGGTGGCGGTTAGTCTTGTCGTTGGAAAGAAGTCTCGTGGAGTTGGCGATGGACCTTTTCGATAGTGGTGCGGTCGCTTCGCTTATTTTCGCCCAGCCAAACTAAACCCAATGAGGAGGAAAGAACTTGCTGCACGTGAGGCGCTAAGCGCCTTCTGCCAAAATAACGTCTCGCCGAACACCGGTAAATGTTAACATGCGCGGTACAATTCTTTCTCTTGCTCGCAATATGTGCGGAATATCAACACATCAAGCACCAGAGGCTCCAGAGAAGCAACTGTTCATCGTTCTGACATCCTAGTCTTACGCCATCAAAATGTGAAACATATAGTGGACTGCTCAAGAATGTGAGCCACAAGGTATTCATGCGACACAATTTAAAACGATGTCTATTGTTGTATGCGTGCCAAATCTAATGTTTACGCCTTTTACCGGCGTTACGCACCTTTGGTGTGCTAAAACATCTCTCTCCAAAAAAAAAGAACAATCAGCTTCATGGCGCTCAACGAAACTTATGCGTAGCTACTCCAGCAGGAGTAACAAGCAAGAGGCCGGATGGCCAAACTAAACTCAATATGTAGGCTACTTGCGCTGTGGAAGTAGAAGATGGTAACTTTGCCGTGTTGGATCATCGTGACCTGACCTAATGACGAGAGGCCTAACAATGTCATTGAAGAGCTAAGTATCGATAGTCATGCCTAATTTACGACTACATATGTCAGCGAGACCCGCATTCTGATGGCCACCATATCGATGTCAGCAATTGAATCCGAAAGCAATATTACAGCACATACATATGATACCTAACATCCTGATTACTCAGGATCACCCGAATGTTCGAAGTAAAGATGCTACAATGCACAAGGTCTTTCTGCGGAGTATACATACTCGCGAACAAATGTTACAAGAGTGGTTTTTGAAAGGTTAGTAGGTAAGGTGTGTGCTTGCATGGTGTTGATGTTGTCATGATGAGTCCTCTGAGACTAACGCACACTGCTTCGCAAGCAAGAGACTGGTTGACGATAACATGTTTGCAGCCCCCAGTCTTGAATGTGACAGGTGGCCTTCACTCAGAGGGTTACATTTGCTGCGACTGACGTTATTTTAGTGCTATTTGATATCCCGAGTCGCTTCAAAACAAGTAATTAATAGGCTGCAAGGCTCTTGGTTACGACACAGTACAAGGGTGTAGAGCATTTGGCGCGGGTCTCGAAAGCTTTGCCCGTTTGGGTTTCAAGTTCGATATTGCGCGTGGGGATATATTATTATTCCCTAAAGATGTGAGGAGTCTATATTTTGGCATCTGGCTTCCTTCTCGCCGCCGTATTCCTCGCTGCGTCTAACACAAAGCCTACATGATGACTCAGTGCAACCAAGTCCCCCTCCTCATCGTGAATGTGTACTTCCAGGTCCATCCTGCCATTCTTCACTTTCTTCACCTGCACCCGTATAGCCAACCACTTTACTCCATCTGGCGGCAGGGCCTTCTTGACATCTAGATTCAGCAAAAGTGTCGGGTACCAAAAAGGTCCCTGGCTTTGGTCTCGATACGACTCCACAATTAGAGGGAACATATCGGCTACGAATCCGATCGAAGAGTTCGTAAAGTTTGAACCATCGCGAAAACAGAGCCATTCATCCGCTATATTCGGGAGAACCTGGCCACTGCGCGGAAAGTGGAATTTGACCTGAGCCGATGCTTTCCTAAACTTTCGAAAGGGCATGTTCTCCTCCAAATGCCAATTCTTGTCCCCGTTCTTGTCCAGTTCACTCAGAACCACTGTTGGCGGTGGTGGGTGTAATTTGTACTGTGTATCGAAGCTCACACCTTTCTCGGTATCCATGTTCGAGTTCGTGGCGTAGGCGACGACCTCCTCACGGCCCTCCTGAGACATGCGAACATGTACGATTGAGGCTTGTCTGCCGAGCTTGACATCCTCGACCTTGAAGATTGCGGGCCCCACTTGTGTTCGGCGCAGGAACTCGATGTGGAGAGCGATGGTATGCGGCTGGTTCTGCTTCGAGAGGGCGGTCGAGAAGTGGGCGGAAACGACTTCAAGCACACATCCAGTCACGTATCCGCCATTGGGAACTGTCACATATGAGCTCGTTTATGATGACACCCCTCCGTGCCGAGCTTACCAGTTCCGATGCACCAATCATCTTTTAGGGTGCATTCATAAACGTTTGCGCTGAGCTTACGAACCGCTGTAGCGTCCCTCCACGATGGCATCTTGACAAGCTATAAAGGTTACTACAATCTAATGAGAGTGTAGATTCACATAACGACCCCCAGTATTGCTAAAGAGCGCTTCCTCGTCGAGAATGGACTCCGAGGTCCTTCCCCACACTAGAGACAAGCCTCGGCTGTCCGCTAGCGGCTCACTAAACACACCATGCTATTCTTCTCAGAAGAGTGCGAAAGCTGCTTGAAACGCATTTGCCATGGCCGTATTTCACTTTTGAGACCTGCACGCGTCGATGATTGTGCAATCAGAACGGGCGGCACCGCGTCTGCCAAATGTGGAAGTGGGGAAGGTGGCTAAAGCTCCGTTCGCTCACGTGTGTCGCAGGTCTCGCCCTGAATTGGATTCTACCATACGTCATGGCCAAACAGGTTACCTCAGGAAGCCCCTCTATGGACGGCTATACGGCGCAGCCTTACGTTTGGTACCCCATCGCAACGCTGCAGTGGGGAATAACTGGTCAGCTTAAGGTTTCGAGAAACCTGTCGCGATCGCTGTACATACGTCAAATCGATACACGGCCTTCGCTGCCTTTCAATCCTTCCACATCCATTTCCTTACTGTTCTCGCACATGCCACCTTTTCACCAAAAATCAACTACTTGACGATCGAATGTCTACGAGCCCACGACTTACGACTCTCTAATTGCACAGCTCACGCAGCCCTTCGGTCCACCACACTCACTCCAGAAACTCCACCATGTCTGGTGTAGAGGACGTCGAGGCTTCGCAACGAAGGCACAAAGCACCGTACACACCGCACCACCCTGTGCCGACCGTTCAAGGCTACCGCGAAGAGAAGCAGCAGCGCGAGGAGCAGTATGCTCACCCAGATGGTGAAGGACAAGATGATCGCAGCAAGACCAACCGACTCACAGACGCGTACACCGCACTACGACACGGCAAGGAAGCCGTGAATCCGAACGAGGGCACACAGCCATACCAGGCTACAAATAAGAACTTGGAGGAACCCGACGATGACAATATAGCGGACGACCATGCTGGACGAGTGCAGCCGAGGGATAACAATGAGAAGTTCAGCAAACATAACAACGAAGATGAAGATGACACACCAGAGGATACCACAGAAGGCGGATTACAGATGACCACGGATCCCAAGAAGGCCAGGAAGTCTATGAAGAAGTGGAGCGCAGACGGTACAGAACGAGAGGTCACAGATCCGGTTACACATCTGCCCGTGACCATTCACGATTACACAGAAAAAGACTTGAAGATGACACCCAAGAATGGCCCTACCGCAGGCACGGAGGCCAGGTCTGCTACTGGTGCCTTTGCTATGAACAAGTCCGACGAAGAACTTCAAGAAGAACAAGAAGAGTCTCAAGATGCGCATAGCGGCATGGACCCTCTTTTCCCATCTCCCGACTTCGCTATGACACGCGAAGGTATCACCGACGCCTATCGCAAAGCTATAACAGCTGGACTTGGACTGGTCAGCGCAAGTATAATTACAGTGGTAGCACTTTTCCAGTTTACAAGTGGCTTTTCGGGCTGGTCGAGGGCCTTCTTCACTTTACTTGAGGTGGCCGTCAGCATTGGTGTCTCGGCTGCTGTCATCATGGGCACACGCCAATGGACGGAAAATAAAATCAATGATGTGTGGGAGACCGAGGTTTGGCAGGCCGAAAGAGAGAAGGGCCAGAAGCTGGTCAAGACGAACATTCCGGAAAGCGCACAATGGCTGAACTCATTCTTGGCCTCAGTCTGGCCTCTGATCAACCCCGATCTGTTTACAAGCATATCAGATACCCTCGAAGTAAGTTTTCATCTTCGTACCAATCATATCAAGTTGACCAAAACAGGATGTCATGCAAGCCAGTTTGCCGAAGATGGTTCGTATGGTCTCTGTAGACGACATCGGTCAAGGCAGCGAATCGTTCCGCATCCTGGGTGTCCGATGGCTACCTACAGGTGCAGCAGCAAGGTCTGTGAATGAGGACGGCAAGCTCAACAAGAAAAGCGACAAAGACAAGGCGACAAGCGACCGGACAGTCCCAGGCGAAGGAAACGTTGATGACAATGCGGAAGGAAAGGATGAGGACGACGACGGACAGGATGATGGAGTTGCAGAAGGCATGGAAGCTGAAGAAGGTGACTTCGTCAATATGGAGATCGCATTTGCATATCGTCCGTCGACTGGACGGAAACGCATGAAAGACCGTGCCAAGAAAGCGCACTTCTACATGGCTTTCTACCTGCCCTCCAACATCAAGCTTCCTGTCTGGGTCGAAGTCGAGGGCTTCGTGGGTGTAATGCGTATGCGACTCCAGCTCACTCCAGATCCACCTTTCTTCTCTTTGTGCACCTTTACTTTCCTCGGACAGCCAAAGGTCGATATATCTTGCGTTCCGCTACTCAAGCAGGCACCCAACTTGATGGACTTTCCGCTTATCTCCCGCTTTGTTCAGTCATCGGTCGACGCTGCTATGGCTGAGTATGTGGCACCGAAGTCACTCACTCTGGATCTGAAGGATATGATGATGGGCGACGACTTCAAGAAAGACACCAATGCGCGTGGCGTTATCGTGGTTACTGTCAAGCGCGCTTTCGACTTCAAGGAAGGAGATGGTGGAATTGGTCCGATGAAGGGCTCAGCCGATCCATACGTGAGCGTGGGCTGGGCTAAGTTTGGCAAACCCATGTGGTCGACACGTGTCCAGACGAAGAACATGGAGCCCCACTGGCATGAGACTTGCTATTTGCTGGTGACCTCAGATGAGCTGAATGTAGACGAACGTCTGAGGCTGCAACTCTGGGACGCAGACCGTATGTCTGCCGATGATGATCTAGGCCGGTTCGAAGTGGACGTCAAGCAAGTGATGAAGGATAAGGCGACGAATGGAAAGATGCATGACCGTGAAGATGGATTTCAGTCTCTCAAGAAGGGTGAGGGAATGCCGGGCAAGCTGTGCTGGAGTGTCGGTTACTTCTCCAAGACGAGGATTACCGACGATCAGCTCACTGCTCAAGAGGAGGACCCGGATGTTAAGGACATTGATCAGCTCAAGAAGAAGGTGTATGAGGAGAGTGAACGCAAGTTGCGGGAGGCGAGCAAAGACGAGAGCGATGAAATTGAGCAGCAGAAGGCGCAAGACTTTAAGGCACGGCAAGACGATCTCATTATTGCGTCACCACCGTCGCCAAATTATCCTTCCGGCATCCTTAGTGTCGTTGTCCACCAACTCACGGGCTTGGAACTGTCGACTCTGAACAAGAAGAAGGTAGACGATGACGCTAGCGAAGAAGAAGAAGAAGGCGATGATCTTCCCTCTGCCTACTGCACCATCATCCTCAATCACCAGAAGGTTTTCAGGACACGAACCAAACCAAAGAATTCCAAACCGTTCATGAATGCTGGTTGCGAGCGGTTCATCCGTGACTGGCGCAACACCGAAGTCCATGTCTCAGTACGCGATGCACGTGTGCATGAGGACGACGCTCTCATAGGCGTTGTGTATCTACCATTGTCGAGAGTTCTCAAACATCGCAGTCAACTCGTTGCCAACTTCCCCATCGCTGGTGGCGTCGGTTACGGTCGCGCTCGCATCTCGATCGTGTTCCGGTCGGTGCAGCTTCAGTCACCTCCAAGGATGTTGGGCTGGGATTATGGTACGCTGGAGATTCAACCGCTTGTGAAAGCTATCGATATGCCACACGATCTCGAAAAGCTAAGGATGAAGATTCGCACGAGTCTCGCGCGTGGCAAGTTGCACTCCGGCACCCAAGACAGCGAAGCAAACCAACACGATGGCCACACCGTCTGGAAAACTAAGCGCGACCGTCCCATCCGCCTACCAGTACGCAAGCGCTATGCTTCGCCTGTCATCGTCGAGTTCCGGAAAGACTCTGCGCTCTCCGATCGCACCCCGGCCTTTGCGATTCTTTGGCTCAAGGATATATCCGACAACCAGGAGCAGAATGTTCGCTTGACCGTCTGGAAGGGTGACCTCAGCCGCGCAGAGAACAACGTCCTCGAATCATACGGCGAGAAAGTTGGCGAAATCGAGCTTACCATGACTTTCTGGTCTGGCCTCTCCGGCTACCACCAACCACTCGCGAAAAAAGACCGCCATATCGGCCAAGTCCTAGAGGTACGTAACCTTTGATTCTCTAATGTCAAGCACTAACACTGTATAGGTGCTCGATGCGTGCAACGACAACGATGACATGGACTGGAACGACGGATCCGACTCGGACGGCAATTCCGACACATCGTCATCAGACGAGTCAAATTTCGTGCCGAGCATCCTGCACCCGAACTCTAACAGTGATCCGGACAACGATGGAAAGAGGGGCTTGAGGGATCAGATCGTGGATTACAAGAAGAATGCCAAGCAATTGCATCGGAGCAACCGGGGGGCCATGCAGTGGAAGGGCCCCAGGACGCTTGCATATCTGAAGCATTTGGCGGAGCGGGGAGAGAACAAGGTGGAGGGGCTGTTCAAGCACAATGAGAAGAAGTTCCAGGGCATTGAGACGGAGGCGTAGGGGACATGCGTGCACGAATTGTACTTTACGGTGGCGTTGAGTACGGTGTTTGGTTTGGGAGATCAAGGAGTTTGCACATGGATTACGGAATAGGGGCCGGTCACAGCGAAGAGTGATACTCATCAGGGTAGGTTTATATGAAACTTACAGATATCTTAATAATTCCGAGAGAAGAATATTGCGTTATGCCGTCGTTTGCAAGTGCACACGAATACTCCACTGATCAGTAGGTCTTCACCAGTTGTCGTCATGTGTGCGGAATGATTGGCTAGTATGATCGCTAGGTTTGCACAGGCGATAGACCATGGTAAATGTGTAAGGTTCCTCGTACACGATCGCATAGGTCGTCGTTTAGGGGAGGTGTTGGCTGCTACGATGTGAGCGTCGAGCCAATCAGCAACGACTCGGCTCAGCTCGATTCTTATGTTGCGGGCTTACACAGCCTGTTTGGGGAAACGCGAGAAACGCAATGGACATTTAGATATCCCAATGAAAAATTTCGCGGAAATGTATGACATGGGTGCTCACCTAGTCATCATACACTTTCTAGTATTACAAGACTATGCCATCCTCTCTGCAACTTGAAATCGCGTCATAATATTCCCTCTGGTGCTAGACCTTTTGCCAAATCCGCAGCCCTATGATGGCAGCTCGGAGATCCACACCCCACATCTACTCCGACCGCATCCCCAACGCCGAGCCCTGGGACTAAATCCGAGCACCGTCGACCGCGCCAGCATCTATCGCATTCCCATTCGTTAACGACACCACGAGCATACCCTGATGGGCTCGGAGATGCCTAGACGGTTTGCAACCCCGGATCTTTGCTTGTAAGGCTAGACTAAGTTACGACATCTGCCTCGCAGTACATTACCGTGCGTATCGCACTAAGTCGGATATTATTTGGTATGCTACGTACGCTAAATCCACGTGCACCGCGATCAACACGCGTCTGCCTGGCCTTCGGGGTAGTGGCTTTGCCGTAAATCGCGTATGCGTGCGTACCAGCCAGCCAGAAGGGCAAATTAGCGCACACCGGAGCTCGAGCGGTGACATGCACTCGCGCGTATATTCAAGAGTCATCAGATGTCTTTATTCCGAGAAACGGCTTGAGGTGAGGATGAGCTGGTTTCTGGCGATGTCGTGATGCGATGACGGCAGGGGCGAATGACTCGACTGGCTTTGTACGCGTTGTATATTTAAGAGTAGGGAGGGAAGTGCTTGTGCAGTAGCAAGCAGCATTGAAACACCAAGCCTCACCGGGACCATCCAGACACCAAGCTATCAGCTCTCGCACCCTTTCAAGTCAAGACACCTATGGTGTAAAAGTCAATCTCCACCATCTATATAACAGACTTTGTATGAACGACGCTCACCACGCCGGCTCGCCCATCAACTTCTTGATCCAACGAACCCACTACTATATAAGTCACCCTCGCCCACAATGTCGTCGTCGACACGCACTTCGCAGACCGCACCCCCCGCCATACACCTCCGACGAGACCTCCTCCCTCGCGTCAACCACCAGCAAGAAACCTCTTCTGAAGTTGTGGCATCGGAAACGTACGCTTCCCACCCTTCTCGACGAGATGCACGACTGACATGTAGCTAGCCTCGGAAAACTCAACGGAGAATAAGGAAGCTCAGCATAAGGCACCTCAGCAACACTACAATAATGAGCCGTTCTGGGCGGCGGCAGCGACGTGGGCGGCGATGCGGTAGGCAGGCGATTGGCTCGGAGGATAAGATGGGTGATGGAGCTGAGAGGGAGGTAGCTCGGAGGGTCGGCGATGTGGAGCGCCCGTGTACTGAGGTGGGACGAGAAGGCTCGGAGATATATATTGTAGCGCCCGCAGACGGGGTAGGACGGCTTGGTCGTATGGGTGCTTTCGAGTGCATGGATTGTTTGTTGTGATGATTTGATAGGTATATACTTGGGATAGGTCTCCTGACAGTGGAGCGGACCCGGATACGCGAGGAAAGTATAAGTATAAGGGAGGTGCAATGGCTTGACGAACGTGTGGGACTCGAAGTACACGTGGATGCCGGGATGCAGCGATTACATCTCAATCTACCATCTGTCATGTCGTGCGGGTATCTACTCTAAAGCTCATCCATCATCTATCTCCCTCGGTGCCAGCACGCCGCCATCCCAATCTTGTCCGTCTCTCATTAAACAAAAAAAGAAGAAGAAAGGAATATCAGCCGTGATCCAAGGAAAACTTAAAACAGATACTACTCTTCATTAACGCGTCAGCCTCTCAATCAAAATCGTCCCGGACCCACCGTATTATTCCAATTCGCATTGTCCAGCCAATTCAAAAAGTCCTCGCTCTCTGTCGGGATGGGCTCCATGCCGTCTATCATGGGGATGTCGAAGAAGCCTGCTCCGACACCGGCGAGCACCGCCGACGCGCCATCGGCTTGGCCCTCGTTTGAGGGCGGCTGGTAGTTTAGCACTTCGTCGAGGACGAGGGCTATCATCTTGTTGAGCTCGCTGCATAGGCGGTGGTTTCCGTCGTCGGGGACGATGGCCCATTCGACGCAGGAGATTAGGACGGAAAGATTGCGGATGATGTCTGCGCGCGAGACTGTGCTTGGTAGCGGGACGTTTTCCAGTGTGCAGCGGCGGAGTTCCAGCGCGAGGACACCGGCGCTGGGCAGACAGTAGAAGAGGACTAAGGTGGCAAAGTGGCGCTGGACGTTGTATTCGTGATTCCGGTTCTTGTTGAAGATGAGGGCGGTAGAGAGGAGGTTCATGGCGATTTCGAGAAGGGCGGGAAGAGCGTTTTGAGTGTGGCGGCGGAGAAGTCGCTGGATTTGGAATCCCGCATGGAGGTGGTCGAGGTATGCCCCTATCATTCGTAAGGCTGCTTTTGGTTTGAGAGTTCTCCAGACTGCTTCGTTGTCGTAGAGGTCGTATCTGAGGTGCGCAGGCGAAGTTTCCCAGTTCTTTCGGTGCTCTTCGCGTATTGCTCTGCACTTGTTAGTGCCTTGTCTTGTACGATAAGACCTATCATGGATGCTCCCAAGATGACCAACATCAAAGCGGCAGGTTGGCATGTGATGTTCACTTACTCTATCTCGTCGATCACGAAGACGTCCTTCTTCCCAGCAAGAGATGCTTCAAGGAATCGCTCCTTGACTTGACCTAGCGCCGCACGTAACCGTATCCATGATGCTGGTCTGATCCGACCATCCGTAGACCACCCATCAGGATCGAGATTGGATATGGCCTCATTTAGAATCGCTTGATCGTCGCATGTAGCAATCTGGTCATCAATGTCAAGAGGTAGTGGTCGGTCACTATACCGCTTGTGCATCATGGGCGGACGCCCGAAGAAGTCAGCTAAGCTCTTGTCCGTCCGGTACACTGCAGCGTAAATTCTACGACGTGATTCTTGAAGAAACAGAGGCTCTTCGGATGGATTGACGATTGCATTCTCGCAATGTATTCCTTCGGCGTGAAGCGCTGAAATAACATCTCCTGTACGCCGCCATACTCCGTGGTCTACATGCGTCAGTGTTGAACATTGTGGAAGCATGAGGCTACATACAGTTGTCCCCGTACCAATTGCTTTGTACGAGCATGTTGTTGTACAAAAGCCAGACCATGATATCGTTCACAGCACCATGGACTTGGCAGATGGTGATACAGTCGTTGGTAGCATGGATCATGTCTAAAATGAAGTCATCCTTGTTCACCCTGTCACCGTTCTCGAGGATGAACAGAGGGTCATCTGGTGGGGAGAACTGTGCACACGACGCTGCCAGGGCCATCATCAAACCTATGGTTTCCCATCGTAGATTTGGACCAGTAAAAAGTGTGTGAAATTCCGAAGGCAGCATGGTTGGTGAAACTTTTAACGGCTGGCAACTGTTCTTTGTGATCTCGGCTAGTATGGGATACGGGTTATCTGACTGTGAGACAATGTACTCTATGTCTCTGCGCAGCTGAGGCAACGCATTAGTGATCAAAGGGCCAATCATGGCTGAGCCTTGATTTATCCTAAAGTATGTTCTTACAAGCCGTTCCAGGAAGGCAAACTGTTCACACTTGGAGATGACTAGGCTGCCGACGCTCATACGGCAATGGCGAGTGGCCTCAAGCCCGCTGGCCATGATAGTAGGCGTCCCATGTATGCTTGCAGGAGGTTGCTCGTGCAAGGCGTTGGGAAGCGGTTGCTCTTGAGCGAAGACACTGGCATAGCTGGTGCTCCCCAGGTAGAAGCTCCTGGAATCAGAGCTGCTTTGGGTAGTCCTTGTTGCAGACTCAGGAGGAGTAGGCCATGAGTTGACAATTGAAGGAACTCCAATTTCGTTCCGTAGTGCGGTAGGGCTAAGACTAAGAGACGGTCGAGACGCGTGATCTCGCGTCGCGTTCTGACGCGCTTCGGAAGCGCGACGTCGAGGCTCCGGCTTTTTACGAGGCACGCCAGGAGGTCTGGTCATAGGCGCCGGATGATAAAAGCACTGCATCACACTGTCAAAAGCGTCTGGAGAGTGGCTGTTTGTTGCTAACTTGGTCTGTGATGCCCCGCGTCTTGCACTTCTCGCACGTGGGTGTTGCATGGTCACAGCGTATTTTAGATATGCGACATGGTTCGCAGGACCTGGACGTGGTATAAGCTTCGGGTCAAGTGTCTCGGAGTCGCACAAACCTAGGCTTGCCGTTCCGTCTCAACATTGCGTGGCACTCTACACAGTGCAGTTGTGATGTCGTAAGATACCCATAGGCATAACTGCAGACGTGGGGATCTCTATCAGATCGGAATGCTCATGCACTGGAAGCATCTACTCCGGGCGCGGAGCGGTTAGTGACAAGTTCCATTCCGAGACTTACAAAGCAGCTGATGAGTCAGGATTGGGCGCGATTGATTCGCTGGAGTACTGCGGCATGCCCCAAGAAGTAAGCCTCGGAGCATTCGAACGCTGCTGGTGTTGGTCAACTCTACGCAGCGCCCTTTTCACCATCCACTTGCAGTTGCCAGTCGTTCTGCGCTCGTCCCGTTGCTACTGGTGCTCCTGGAAAGTTTAGTCCTTCGCTGACTACCGGACGATCCCCTTGAAAGCGTCCTGCGCAGCGAGGCTGACTCCTCGAATAGTGTGGTGCACAGGGACGCAGCCATCTTTGTCCCGCGACGCACCGTTACAAGTCTCTGAAGCCAGACCGCACCGCCCCAAACGGCGATTTGAAACCAATCTGCGGCAATTTGTATGTTTCCTGGCTCGTTGACACTGCTCTCAAAAGTCGCCGCTGGTCGTCGTCGTGCCATGGCTCGTATCCAGGTGTGCGCTGGCAACGCGCCGATCCTCCACGTTGGGCATTGGACGTTTTGGTCATGGCTCGTGGAAAATGGCCAGGACCAGCAGCTTCAGACCAAACGACTGGCTTGAGCGTCGCAACGGCATGCACCACTTGGCTGCTCGTCTTCATCGACAGGAAGTCGGTCAACGCAACAGAGCCGCGCGACGACCACGGCGGCCAGTGAACAGAGGACGCGCTGATGCACGCCTACCCTTTGGTGCTACGAAGGCCCCGTGGGCGGTGGCGCAGTGCATCTTCATATCACCACCACGAACCTCAGGCATCATCGCATCGTCGGCGCATTGTCAGCATGCAAGCTCATCCCAGTCCCCCAGTTGGCATTTTCGCTCTTACCGCGCGCCGTCTGTGTTTGGTGCTACGCGGATGCTGTGCAGCGCGGTATGCAGCTAACCCCAATAGCTGCAGTATCCACCCGAAGCCTTCACCGGTTTGAGGGGTGCTACCGATCGAGCCCATCGTTGAGTCTTGTCATCTTTGAGACCTTTCTTCCTCAGCCGTACTATGAGACCGCATTGTTGATTCTTCGCTGCCCTTCGTTTTCGAGTCTTCGAATCCCTCGCACTGGCGGGGCCAGCCGTGCGTCTCTTCGGGTTACCGCTCCTTCGCCGTGTAATCCACCCGAATACGAGCTGTCCTGGTCGTTCCTCGTCCGGCCACCAGCTCGTGGATCCGGCGCTGGCCCACCTTCCGTAAGGCACATCGCACATCGTTAGAGACTCAACTCCCCAGAGCTTCCTTATCCCAGGGCCGCGCCCGACCGTCTGCTCACCATGGACAACGGTTACTACTACTACCAGCAGCCCATGGGGCCTGAGGTTCCAGTAGCCCCGGGTGCTTACACCTATGGACAGTATGGTGCGCCGCGATCGAAAACGCCTACATCCCTGGTTAACCATACTGGACTCTCCCCTGGTGGCCCTCTTAGCACCCCGCCGCCTATGAGTCGCGATGCCTCTCGAGGACCCGACCCGCCCCCAGGCCAGTACCCGGAGCAGATGGTCTATGGCGATAGCGCCTCCAATTCTCCCACCTCTTCTGTGAAAACCCCGGACAACGATAGCTTTGAGGACTTAGCACTTGACGCCCATCCGATGCGTGACCATCAACCGTTCTATCAAGCTAACGGAGGCTTGAATACCACCCAGGCCTTCCAAGGGCCTCTGACAGCCGTGGACAGCAACATGTTCCTCACAGCCCAAGGAACCATTTCAGATCAAGGCATGCACTCCGGTTATCACCCTCGGCGCTGATACTAATAACGAGCAGCTCTTACCGAAGCGCTCAATGCCACAATGGCCGCTCATCCACAGCACTTCCCTCCACAGCAGTTCAATCCGCAAATGCGACCGCAACAGAGTGCTTTCCTGCCTCAACAGTACAACAATTATCCGGGTCAGAGTTTTACACATCAAGCAGCCCCATGGAACAGTGAACAACCTATGCGAAGCCCCGATGTTCCCCGTTCGGACGTCGTTGTGTTCGACCCTGTCACCGACCAAGTCGATTACTCTGCTTTCATGAATCCTGACGTCGACTTCTGGACAATGCACAACACTGACCCTAACTACCTCATCTCTCCAAACGAGCCTGTAGGGCCACCGCAGGATCTCTTCTCAGTGGCCACCCAGAATATGCTTCAGCAGCAGCAGCAAAGAAGCCTCCCGGTCACCCAACGTCAGGTGCATACCGATATGTACGTCTCGGGCAGCAGTCCTGTAGAAATGCGACTACACAGGGCTTCTCCATCGCCCAGCTCACAACGCTTCGCCCCCTATGAGAGAACACCCACCCAACACATGGTAAACCGGAGACTTTCTCATCAGCATCCATCGCCAATTGCCACCTCAATTGAGCTGCCGACTAGGATGACGTTGCAATCACCTGCCAGCCCATATGCGTCCGCGTCAAGCCCTGGTGGTTCGGATGGTATGATCTCTTCCTACCAGCATTCCGAACAAGGATCAGAGCGCCGCGAATCGCAAACGCACCAGCCGTTTGGTCCGATCCGACCGCCTCCATCTTCCCTTGAATTTTCTCCCAGCAGGACACTCCTCGAAGCGGCCGCTGACTTCTCACCCGACCCGGAAGGCTCATCCGCCCAGCGGCAAGTAGGCCCAATCAGGAGTACTGGCAGGCCTGGTGGACGAGCATTGGGTACCCACTTGGAGCCAAGGGTTGCAAAGGCAGCCCATGACATGCGCAAGATCGTTGCATGCTGGCATTGCGTGTTGCAGCGAGACAAGGTAAGACCTACAGAATTCCTTCAATGTTCAGATCAGACTGACATGGTATAGTGCGGGCCTGGTGACGTTTGTGAACGTTGTCTAAAGCGCGCCCAGCGCCCCAATGCTGATTGTGGCCTGGGCTGCTCTCGCATCAAGCTGATCGAGCTGTCCGAGTACTTCCTTCCTACTGTGACCATGCAGATTCACGAGGATAGCCATTTGACTCACTTTGTCTCTCAATTCATCCACCAATGGGGAAGCCAAGAGATCTGCGTATACATGACTTGCGAGCAGAAGAAAATGCCGCGCATGCCCGTCAAGGTGTACGAATTCCAGCCTCGAGGAGAAGAGTTGCTCGTGCAGCTGCAGTACCAAACCAACCCCGTGACCCAGGAGCGATATACCCTTAGAAAGCGAAGCCCGGCTCTCGGAATGGTGCACATCAATCACAATGAAGAGAAGAAGTATGACAAGTATCTGAATGATATCGTCGACAACCACCTCGATGCTTTTGGCGAAATCTGCTGGGCAGAAGACGACAACGACTTCTCGCCCCGACTCTTCAAGCTGATGACGCGAGTCAAACCGAAGAGCGATGACGAAGTACGGTCTTTCTCTAAACAACCATAGATCTATGCTGACAATCACAGGCCAAACTCCTTCGCGAAGTTTTCCGTCTCATCGTCTGCACGTACATCATGTCACACACCATCACCATGGCCGAAGAATCCAAGACCCAGACCCTGGCCAAGATGCACTCCTACACCGATCCCTCAGCCTACGTCCAGAATTACACCTCCCCACGCATGACTGCGCGTCAGCTCAAATACTTCTTCGCACGCCTACAACGCTCCACGCTCGCTCTCGTCCTCAACAAACTCCAACAAATATTCAAGTCTAGCAAGGGCTGCGACAAGTGGCTCGCGGCCTTTGTCGCTGTCGTCGGCATGGCCATGGCACACGAGGACCAGCAGAAGACGATCCACCAGGTCATGGCGACGCGCGCTGTGACGGAGGGCTTCGACCCGCGGGACGCACAGGCGCAGGCCGACATTGCGAACCGCGAGGTCGACCAGCGCATGAACTTCGTGAGCCAGATCTTCAGGTGGAAGTACAACCGCAAGTGCAACCCGCTGCGGGACTGCGAGCAGGACTGGGAGAAGGAGGCTGGGTTTGGGGACGAGACGTCGGTGACGTTTGTGCGGTCGGTGGCGCAGTTGGTCAAGGAGAACAGTGAGTGCCTTCCTTTACACACGTTGTGGAAGAGTGATGGCTAATGTGGTGCCAGTCGATTATCTCCAGCAGCGCCAGGGCATCAGCATTTCCCCCGCGAACCAGGGCAAGTATACGGCTCGCCTCGTGGCGCCCTTCTTGCTCTCCTTCTGGCTCCCGCAATAGCCTGCACCCGTTGTTCTCCGATACCCACCTCTTGCCCACTACCGTCCTGGAGGCGTAGCCGCTTAGCCGCCTCGGACACTTACGACCATGTTCTTTCTCCTTCTACTCATGATTTTTCCTTTCACACTTTCGGATGAGTAACATACATGTACGCTTCTCGTCGAGCGATTCAGCGCTGGAGTCATGGAAATCAGGACGGAAGCGCCACGTCACGTCACGGCATGTCTCATCACCGAACAATACGTTGAAGACCACTTCACTCACGACCTACTTTGCACGGCCTTTGCACACAATGCATCCCATCTTTGCACTCCGCACCCTTCCATATACCCACCCCTTCACACCCACCTTAGCTACCCCCTTCTCGGCTGTCTTATCTTGTGTTACCAAAACGGCGGGGTGGATATCTGTCTGTAGCCTACTTCTAGCATAGTTAATCAAAACGTAATCCAACTTCTTCCCTTCATTCGTGACTACGCACGAGTTGACTTGTCGCTGTAAGCGCCCATCTTATCCTGACCCGTCCCCGTCTGGACTGCGCTGCACGGGACGAAACGGTGGCTGGGCAGTCCCTCCGGTGAACGACCGGTGAGCAAGGGTACCGCTGGCAGCCTTCCTTGCAGCCATCATCACGTCGGCTCCACTTGCACATGATGTGCGCCTTAGCTGGGCCGATCTACCGCCTGTGCGAACCTTGCGCGCAGTACATGCTGTTACGTAGCTGTGGAGACGGTGGGTGTGGTTTGCAGGGCTGGATGTAGATGGGGGGAATGGACGTGGTGTTTGTTGTGAGGGGAGGCGGCAAACAAAGGAAGGAGGGAGGGCAAGGTGTCGCGTGCCGCGTTCCTTACTACGCCAGCAGACGCATAGTGTATGTACGTTCTTCGTCCTGCTTTAAATACGACGAGGTTCAGCGCAATTCTTCCTCCGCTGCTTTGCTGCTGCTGGGTTTCAAAGTCGCACGACTGCCTATGCCATGCGGGCTCAAGCGCATACGAGGTCGGCTTATATCCAGACTTTTACATTACATACGTTCGAACGAACGCGCTACGCTGCAAGCATCTCTACAAAAAGCCTTGAAGCTACCTAGAAGAGCGTGTAAACTCTCTTTCCCGTCATGGTGCCGCGCGACATATCGCTTCTTCCACACTCACCTATAAGCGTGGAAGTCACGCCAGTGTGCTACATATCTACTTGCCGCGTAGAACTTATACAAATCAGAAGACGCTAGAAACAAACTTTGCGCATGTTATCTTTTTCATTGCGTAGTCTGGACTAACGGTCAGGCTCGAGGGACATGGACGGATGTTGAAGCGTACATATTCTCCGTGCAAGCGCGGCGGTTCTTGTGTCCTGCAGAGTTGCATAGTTATAGAGCAGGAATCCGGCCTTGGACGCCATGTACCCGAGCTGAGTGAGCAGTCTTTGAGAAGATGATGGTAGGAGTGGCGATGAGAGGTAGACTCTTTGGGACGCGAATATTTATACCAGTTTGGAAGCTTCTGGCTTTGACATCATCGCCGATGTTTCGAGACAAAGGTCTCTCCGTCTGGAAGCTCTACGGTTCTACGCCGTATGTGTCTCGAGCTGGTTGTCCCCTGAAAGCTCATGTCGAGTTTCGGTGCATCTTTCCGCCATGCATCTTGCATCTCCTCATGCTCAGCCATGCGCAATGCGCGACGTGCTCGTGGTAACTGAATCCTTCTGGACTTCTGTCTTGCCAGCCCAGAATTATTCCCAAGTTGCATAGCCAATGCTCTAGTCCCACACGCCCCGGACTTTGGTATATCCATTCCTCTCCCTCAGTCTTCACCCCTCCTCAACATCGAACCCGACCCGCACCCACAAACTACACCCCTCACACCCCACAAGTACCTCCTTCTCGCCTCTTGCTTCAGCCTCTTCCAATTCCCGCTCCTTGATTATAAAACCCTTGTCCGCACCGCAGCGACACTCCCTCGTCCACTCCATCTCACCCTCCCCCCCTACTATCTCTTTCCTCCTCCTCCTCCTCCTCCTCCTCCTCTTCTAGCCCATCGACACTAACGCCATTTTGTGGATCCTCCTCTGTAACCGGTGTAGAAGCAGCATCAAGCTTAACCCCCTCAACCGCAGCAGCCAAATCCTCAGGCCCAGGAGATTTCAAATCATCAAAGTCGATATCCGGCGTCGCCGCTCCCGATCCTTCCAGCGACGGCGTATCCATACGCACAAACGGCGGCATGCCCGCCTCGAAGTCGCTCAGATCTAACAACTCCAGCCCTAGCACAAAGTCCTCCTCCTCCTCCCCGTCTCTCCCACCACTATTCCCACCCTGCCGCTGAGAAGCAAGCCAGCGGTCGAATTCCCCACGCGTAGTAGCATCAGACAGCACGGCAAGCGCCTCCCTAACGTCGTCGACGGTATACGCGTTCGGCGTCTTCGACGCAGACGCTTTATCCGGATGCGCGCTCAGCAGCGCCGCCTTGTACGCTTTCCTCAGGGCATCCTGCTTGAGCGCTGCCGGTGCAGAGATGCCTAGAACGGTGTAGTAGTTCTGCGTGAAGACCATTTGCTCTTGTCCTCTCCTCCTTTTCCTTTCGCTTTCTTCGTGTCGATGCCGATTCGAGTGCGTGCGGTGCGCGTTCGTTTCGCGTCCGATGAGGGTGTGCTCTGTGAGGCGAGCGTGCTTTTTGTCTCGGCCCTTAGTTCTTTGCTTTTCGTTGTGTATGCGCGCGGTCGAGGTATGAATCAGGTGAATTTCGCGCGTGTCGCAGGACAGTAATTCGAGAGCGAGGGTCTGCAGGCGCCATGTCAGGACCAGGACTGACAATAGTGTGTGATAGACATACCGTAAAACGCTTGGAATCGGTCCTACTGTGTGTATGCGCGAAGCAACGGTTGCTGTGGTGGGAATGTTTTGGCGCGGGGTTTGCTCCGAGACACTTTTTTTGGTGGCGCCTGTTCGTGGGGTTCAGGGTCAGGGTCAGGGTCGCGCTTTCGCTTTCGCCTCCATGAGCCTTGAGTCAGGCGTAGGCAAGTTCCGAATAATGTATATTGAATATACAATTGAATAGTGTAAGTGACAAGGTTCGCACGTACATCACAGCTACAATCGAAGCAGGCCACATGAAGTATAAGAGTTTCCCCAACTATCTTAGGAGCGCAGTCACCCGTACCTTGCCACGCAGTCCCACGAAGAATCGAACCTTCTCCGTATGGACTCAAGCCCTGCCTCCAAGGAATCGCTATCGACAGAAACTCACACCGTCGCTCCTTCTCATCGCCAAAAAGGGGGGATAGGTGTTCACATGGTGCTAAAAGGGAAAACATTTGGGGGAAAACTTCCGGAGAGCACAAGATGGAGAGGAACCAGACGCAGACCCACATCTTACTCCTACACCTCACTTCCGTAGAATAAGAGCTGCGAGCGGAAGACATGCCACCGAGGAAGGAAGCATGCTCAAGATGGGATAGTGCCGGTTGAGAGAGGAAAACACATAAGTCGTGGGGGAATCCGTCCGCTCGCTAGAAACCGATTTTCGACAAAACACATACACACAACTCCGATGACGCTCGCTGCCTAGACAGCTTCCTTCCTCTATCCGAGGATAGATGACGGCGGCTGATGGAGTCTTACAAGGTCGAGAGCTGTTGATGCGCTTAAGCAGCAGGCGCCGGCGGCTGCTCTTCAGTCGCGGGGGCGGCGGCGGGAGCCTCTGCGGCCTTCGGGGCCTCCTCGGCGGTCTTGGCCTCCTCCTTGGGAGCAGCATCGCCGGCAGCCTCGCCCTCGGCACCGTCCGACGATGTCCAGAGCGTGAGGTTGTCACGGAGCAGTTGCATGATGAGCGTAGAATCGCGGTAAGACTCTTCAGACAGCGAGTCGAGCTCAGCAATGGCGTCGTCAAATGCCTGCTTGGCAAGGTGGCAAGCGCGGTCGGGTGAGTTCAGGATCTCGTAGTAGAAGACAGAGAAGTTCAACGCCAGACCGAGACGGATAGGGTGGGTAGGAGTGAGCTCAGTCTGAGCAACGTCCGTGGCCGTCTAAAGCGCCTAGTCAGCTCTGCTATACGCACCCTTGCGTATGCGGTGGGGATTGCGTCATACCTTGTACGCCTCGTGGGCAGCAGTCGCGGCAACCTTGCGCTTCTCACCAGAGGCAAACTCAGCAAGATAACGGTGGTAGTCCCCCTTCCTGCAGGCGCAAACAGGTTAGCGTTCACTCTAGATGACCAGCGCAGCTTTGGAGGCATCGAGAGTCCTTACATCTTGTGGTAGAAGACCTTGGACTCGCCAGACTCGGCCTTGGGGATCAAGGAGTCATCGAGAACGTTGAGGACATCCTGGCAGACCTTCTCGAGCTCCTCCTCGATCTTCTTTCGGTACTCGCGAATGGTGCCGACGTGCTTCTCTGAGCCCTTGGACTCCTCCTTCTGCTCGATGGACGAGATGATGCGCCACGAGGCACGTCGCGTGCCAACGACGTTCTTGTAGGCAACGGACAGAAGGTTGCGCTCGTCGACGGTGAGCTCACCGCCAATCTGTCATGTGTCAATATGCGCTACCGTGGTTGACTCGCGGCCCATGGCGGCGGTGACGGGACGGATGCAGCTGGCATACCTTGGCGACTTCCTACGCAGCTGTCAGTACAATGCAAACAACGAGCCAGGGGAGAGATAGACTGACCTTCATGTACGTGACCATCTCTGCACGAAAACAAGGTTAGCGACGCGATGCAGATGCAGCACGGACACGGCAGCACTTACCATCGTAGCGCTCAGCCTGTTCGCAGAGCCGGGCGAGGAACGTCTTGCTGTGGACTCGTCAATGGGCTGCATGTGGTAAGCGGGCGGTCGCGGCGTACCTTTCGCGCTGTGCACCGGGTTAGCATGCTGTTGACGTTTATCGTGCACACCAGCGGGCGCCAGAGGGGCATCCCACCAGCAGGTGTGCGGGGGCAGCGCAGATAAGGAGAGACATACCTCGTTGGCCATGGTGATGGAGTATGGAGGCGGATTGTGTGAGGGTTGGTAGAAGCTGGCGGCGGGCGTGGAGAAGAGAGAGTGTGGTGTTGAGGTTCAGTGGTGGGTCGTCGGCGATGGAGTGTTTTGAGTGCGAAGCGCAGGCTGCGACTAGTCTTGTCTTTCACAGGCTTGCCCATTATTGATCCGCCCGGCCAGCACACTGCCTTCCCCGGCGCTCCGCCCGCATCGGCCCCTAGCTCACCTCTGATATCTGGTCTCCCTTCGAAGGCAGCCATATGTTTATCTACCATTTGACCCTGCGCGCGAGCTCAATCCCCTCCAGAGCCCTTGTCTTGGCGTGGAGGGGTCTGAAATGAGCTCCTCACGTGGCCAAACAACAATCCTGGGAAGGAAATGCGGCGGCTCCAGTGCTAGGACGCTTCTGACGGCAAGCGATGCATCCGCCATAGGTCTCGCCCGCATCGTTTTGCCAGATGTACGCGGTCACAAGTCTTTGTTGTACCCACTAAGCCTCCCATTGTCCCAAAGCTGCCCCGTTACACCAGTCACGCCCGTCTGCGCAGCCGCGAGCAAGAACGGCTATGGACTTGGGGGCCAATCATCGTCACTTGGAACCAGCTAGAAAACTTGGTCAAGATGGATGCGAGTCCGCAAAGGTTATTAGATGGGAGCACGAATCACCCAGCTTCGCGTGGAGTAATGTGTGTATTTGCCCATTTTTCCATCTGTCCCATCTGTTTCAGGCTGCATTTCGTCTGATTCCGTCGAGCTACCGACGCATCATGCCCGCCTGCAAAGTGTACATGCGTGGCAGAGCACGGCTGACAGCGAGCTATTGCATCATCGCTGGGCTACTCTCTGCCTTCAGGGTACATCCATATCAAACATGCCCGAACAACAAGGTTGCAGCTGTGATATACGCGCCCTCCTGCTAAGAAATATGTCGCATCGCAATCTATCCTGTTGTACTCGTCTTCAGCCTGCTGAACAGCACTGCCCGTTATCGTGAACTGTCGCTTCCGCCTTGTATCAATGCTGCAGTGCTGCCAACGTTCATGGCTGTGCATGCTGTACCACGATCGTGATGCGATACAGGGATGCGCAGCAAAATCGCTCGATTGACCATTTCCTCCCTGGGTATCTACCGTGCTCCGTCCTTGCCGGGTTGTTGTACAAATAAAATGATTCCTTCATGCCCAAGTCTTCTGGAAGCAATTTGCGGCGTCGCGTGCTTCACATAAGGATACGCCAGACACCGAGCATAAGAGCCGCAGCACCAGTGCACACGCCCCTGCAAATATGTTAGCCAAGTTTCTTATGCTCATAGTTCTGTGCTTGTAGACGTACACCAGCCACTGCAGCGTCTGGAACTTGACGGTTTCCAGTCTCTCACGCAGCTGCGCTGTCTCCTGCTCTATCCGTGTCTCGGTCTCCTTGAGCTTGAGCTCCTGCACGTTGGCCTCCTCTCGTATCCGGCCCTTCTCGAGGTTGAGGTCCAATCGCACCGAGGCCTGCGTTCGCTGTACCTCGTCACGCAATCTCGAATTCAGCTTCGCCAACTCATTTGTCAATCGCTCGTGCGAAACGCGGGTTAGGGATGATTCGGTGGAATCGGCCGTCTGAAGTTCGGAGCGTAGTTTGGCGAAGTCGACTCTCTGATTGTAGGTCGCTTTCTCCTGCTCTTCCCGAAGCACCATGGTGCGAGTGAGATTTTGGATGCTACATGATTTAGTGGACCTCTTGTATTGCTGATTCAGTCGGAACACACCTCTCCTCAATGACATCGCTGAGCACCCTCATCATAGCCACTGCTTGCTCCTCTGTGAACCCTTCATCCTTCAATCGCTGCACGAACTTGAGCGTATCGAAATGATGGTCCTTCCACTGCGCAGGTGTTGCACTGAACTGTCGACGATGTGCTAAAATTGTTGCAATGCTCGGAGACTGATGTGTAGATCTTGTCCGCCACGTGTTGGTATGTAGACATCGATAGCTATGGTAGCTTGTGGAATGCGCCGGTGTTGCTGTTTCCGATGGCGATGCAGAGGCGCCATGATGCGTGGGAGCGACTACGCTGTTGAAGGCCACCGGGCGTAGAAGCCGTGGGGTCAAGGTTGTTCGAGGAGACGCGAAACGGGATATCGATCTTGAAGTCGCCATCATGGTGTCGTGAGGGTTGCTTGGTTCGGCCCTTCTACCCTTGAATTTGTTCGGAAAGGCAGGGCGATCTCGGAATGACTAAGCTGGCGATCATCGTGAATACCGAGGCTTCTCTTCCGTGTCAACATGCAATCGGCCATAAGCTTCTTAGATATTTGGGCTCCCGTACATCGATGACTTGATGATAAATCCTAGGAACACGCGGACTAAGAAACGTCTCCAAAGGTATGACCCGATAGTGTATCGGCGACGATGTTCACACGCACGCGAAGGGCTTCCGAGACACGCTGGAAGCTGCGATGGACTATTCTCTACATTTAAAGCAGCTGTTCTTTCACGACCATGTAATTACTAGATGAAGTGTCATAAGATTGATTCATAGCCGCCCAACCGTGGCTATCAAAACGCCTCCAAGAAATCCTCACACATGCTATGCATTCCATTGCTCGCTCGCTCAATTGTTCAAGCACACAAGCTGCCTTTTCCATCCTTCACACCTCATCAATCTCTACCTCCCATACTCCAAACTCGGCACAATGACTGGCCCATACTTCATCGGCGCACTGTAAGGCCCCTCATTCTGCACCATGAAGTCCACCGCCAGGCTCAGCTTCCCGCTTCCATGTTGTCCCGGTACCTGTCCGAATGTTCCATTTACAATCTCCGGATCATACACAACGCAAGCAACGTAATTTCTCCTACCCATTAATCTCTTGTATTCTCTCGGAGCGCCGTTGACGTCCTGGGTGAAGATCTCCATCATGTCTTCCTTCGTGTCAGAAGGCGCATGATTGGAGCGATGCCCGTTTTGCGGGATGTAGAGAGCGCGATTGTTGTGCAGGAGGCGGAGGACGTAATTTGAAGGGGGAGCATTGACGACGCTGGAGGAGATGATTTGATACATGGTCTTGTGGTCTTGGGGTTTGGCAGGGTCATGTACGAGGCCTGCGCCGCATACGTCGACACCACCAGAGAAGAAGGTCATGCGAAGTGACTTGTTGTGGGCAATGCCTTGAAGAGTTCGGATCAAGTATGTGCGCTCGAGATCCTAGAAAAGGTGAGCTAGAGCCAATGGATAACCTGCCTTGAGAGGCTTACCTTTGAATCATGCGTCCACTGGTCGCGAAGCTCGTCGAGCAGGTCGATCTCGCCAAAAGGACTCAAGACACCACTCATGAGACCTGACTTTCCGATGGCTTTCTTAACCGAATTGAAGCCGTCGCCGACCACGCTCTTAGCACCGACAACACCTGCCACACCTGCTGTCATTTTCCCAAGCATGTTGAAAGTTCCAGTGACGGCTTTCTTGCCGGTTGCCATTGAATTGGCGAGATGCTCTACAGATTCCAGACGGGGGTAAACCACAGGAACTGGGACCATCCATATGCAGTGTTGCACGCTTGGCGGAAGAGTCGCAACCTTCGGGAAGATGCCTTGGTACGTTGGACCAGCCATGACCTGATGTGGGTTTCGCTCAGACCTACAATCGGGTCCTACAACCGTAACACAAGGTCCGAGATACTTGATGAAATGCCAACCGGTGCCCGTTACCGTAAAGAGATCCATGTCGTTGTTCACATTGCGAAGAATCTCCAAAGTAGTATGGTGTTGGAACAAGAGATACATCTCGATGCCTATCCGGCCGATGTTCTTGAACATGTTGGAAAATTGCATGTATTCGGGATATGAGCCAAATCCATCAAAACTGAAACGTCCGTTAGCGATGCTCGAGACAATCTGTGGTAACACTGCACTTACATGTCATGATCGTCGAGCGCTAGGATGTGGGGAATCTGCGCAAACGCTTCTCGCAAATGCGGCTGGTCGAAATGACTTGTGTAGTAGTGGAAGTACGCATGGCAAACTTCCTCATCATGTTTCGCAGTCCACGGTGCGTTCTTACGGTTTTCTTTGCCGCTCATTGCCGTCCACTGCTTCAGCAACGGTATTTCCTTCCATAGTCGATCAGCGTAAATATGCCCGCCTAGGCCAAGCTGCACATGGAAGCCACCGCACTCAGTGTTCTTCTGAAGGATGTCCTTCCACATGTAGCCTACGCCTCCAAGCTTAGACCGTTCGTTTGCATTCACATTGAGAGCAAAGTCATTGCCTGAATGAGCAATGAAGCGCCAGCTGGTCTCGTTGCGGCCCGCTACCAGGAACTCGAACCGTGTGCAGCCCAGATGCGAAGTGATTGCATAAGTCCACTTCGCCGCATGATCCTCTTCCATTCGCAGCTCGACGTCGTAGCGGTAGAAGATCCAGGTTTGATGGGTGTAAATAGGATTTGCTTTCAGTTGCCGAGGATTTGGCGAAAGATCTACACTCTGATGGATATGTATCGTTGGAGGATGCGGGGTGTTTGTGATGAGTAGAATGGAGCCCAACCACAGACCACGCTCGATATCCATATTCGTGTACCTCAGATACGGACCAAAGTACACACTATTCGTCGGGTTGATCTTGTACTGATCCACACCTGCAACAGGGGGAGGTCCAGTAAACCCACTAGTGGTGGGAGTTGCAACGGAAGCCATACCGAGCATACCGTCGGGGTAACCGGCGGTCTGAGTAGGAAAGCCAGGAGATGCAAGTGGTGTTTTGCCAAATGCTGGAGATGCCAAAGGATTTGCAAATGAGCCCGCTGGCGACATGGGCTCGTTCAGGTTCAGGGGTGTGGGACCCTTTGGAAACTCCCATTGTGTCGATTGCGTGGGCAAATGAATATAGTAGTACTGGCCGGAAGTCTGATCGAGATGCGCTATCCAGCCCTCAGGAAGCGGCGGAGGTGACGCAGGACCAGGTCCCGGTGCTGTTGGTGCGGGACTTGGTGTGCTTGCATGCTGTTGTATTTGCGGCGTTTGTTGCGGGAATTGACTGGCGGTTGGCGTTGGCGCTACAACGCCCAGCGGCTGTGAAGACGGACCTGTCTGCGTCTGCGGAGATCGTAGATCGTTTGCAAAAGCCGGATGTTGCTGGAGATTCGGGTCGCTCATCACACCAGGCTGTTGAGGTGCTTGTGCAGCCGCCCCTTGTGGGCGTTGTTTCTCCTGGGGGTATCCGGCCGATGATGAAGCTGGAGGATGCTGGATACTTGAGTACGCTGGTGGCGGTTCCTCGTTCATGTTCATACGGCCCATGTCCTGCGACAACGAATGCTCTGGTTGGCCATTCGCAGGGGCCGGAGATCCTGTGTTGACTGGGACATGACCCGGTACCTGAGGCAGAGGCGCTTGTGGAGGGCTACTTGAAGGTCCGACCTGATTCATACCTTGGTATACGGCTGGCGGACCATGGGGGTGGCTGCCCGGCTGCTCTGTGGGTGTCCATGGTCGTCGCGGGGGCTGCTGATTCGGGGTGGGTGAGGTGACGTTCTGTCTGGGCTGCTGGTTTGCGTACACCTGGTTCCTCTGTGCAGCTGCGGCATTCTGTGCGGTCTGCGCTTGTAGGCTCGTCAGAGTGGATGTGCCGGCGATTCCCGCTGCAGCGAAACGTGCCTCGATTCCACCACTAGGTGGAGGTATGATGGGCGTTTCGGGAGGAGGTGGCGACCCTCGTTGCGCTTTGGTCGTGGAAGTTGACGCAGTCGAGCTCAGCCGATTGATGCCGCCAGGGTTGGGAATATTCAGCGTCGGCTGTGGTGATTTCGGACCTCCAGGTACTTGAGGCGGCGGCCAGTATTGCTGGTGGTAGTCTGGGAAAGGGTTGGGATCCGTACTACCCTGCCTCTGCGGTGCTCGTTGGAAGAGCCCCTCCTTATCAGGCGTCTCTGGGCCTGGAGACTCTGGGAGAGGCTTGGGCGCAGTTCCCCTCCGCTCAGCCAGTCTAGAGGGCTGTATAGATCCGTCTGGCGCTCTTCCAGGTCCGCCATAGCCTGCCACTGACGGTCTGTTTGGGTCGTTCGCATCGAATCTTGCGCGCGAGGCTGGTGATGAGGGGCTCGGCCCTGTAGAGCTGCCAGAGCCTCTTCGTTGCTCCTCTCGGTATCTTCGATCTTGACTCTTCGTTCGAGTCTCGGCGTCACTCTGTGGTGTGTATCTCCCTGAAGCCAAGGTCGGCTGCTTTGGTGGGCCGTCGTCGTCTGGGTAAGGCAAGGGTGCGGTAGGAGGGTTCGTGGGCGGCGCTGGAAATGTTGGCATAGGCGGAGGCCGCGAAAAGACAGGCTGGTTGGACTTGGAGCTGCCTGCCGAGTCTGTTCGCGGTGGAGGGCTCTTGGTGTGTGACTCGCGCTTCTGTATCCTGAGGGGCCCTACTATAGGCGTCTCAGGCGCATCCTCAGGGCGCAGGAACAGCTCCTCGTCGGGGCGACCCTGCTTGCGCGCCTCCCGACCGTCCATGGTGTGGATTATATGCGCGTGTATGTAAGTCGTGCCTACTTCGGCCGTGGGATCGCCGGCGGTGGGAGCGGACACTTATTTTTGGAGAAGGGTGCAGCTCGAGTCTCCGCTGGATGTACGTGGGCGGGCGGCGGCGGGGTATCTCGAGAGATGACGCTGGGCTGGGCTGAGGGCGATGAAGACGCAGCAGCGCAACCGGCCGGTGCTAGAGTGCAGGATGCGTGCCTGCGTGATCGTGCAGGGCGGAAGATGCGCAGCTGGAGGGCACACGAGGCGACTGCTGACTTACGTAGCCTCTGGTACTCTCCTGCCATGGCATCGACTCTCGCCGCCTGCACAAGGTCGCTTCTTGGGCCGCGCCTCGACAGCTCCCTGTACGCGCCCGACGGGCCTGCGTGACGCCTGATTGGGCAGCATACGCGCTGGCGACCGCATCGAAGACCTGCTCGTCACCTTGGCGGCGCATACAAAACGACCCGGCATCCGACTGGCAGAGAGGAGAGTGGCTAGTGAGAAACCTTTCAGGAGAGGCGCCTGGAGGAGGGCGTGGTTGGCTCTTTGTCCACGCAAGTCCCGGCGCAAGGGTGCGGCCCGCTCACCATGACCACGCCGGAGCCATGCATGAACCCTTTTCAGCCTCCCGTCGCTCGCGGTGCCACACTACGGCACTTTCGTAGGGCAGCGTTCCGTAAGGCAGCACCAGAGCACGCGGGCTCGGTTCTGGTGTGGTGGCCGAGGTGATGCTGAGTCGAGTCTAGGACCTTACCATCACTCTCCAAGTCTCGGGAGCTTCAAAGCATTACATACTTAACGGCAGAAACCCTCAGTCCTTGGCTTCCCAACGAAAAGGAGACAAATGCAGACATCATACGATACACATAACGGACCTTGTACTAATGCGTACCTGGGTACCATACACTTCATGTGACTTTTGCCGCCATTGACACGGCAAACACGGGAAGCTTATTGGAACAATTCGATCGGTTGTAACAACACTTCACTCGCAATATACCTCTGGTGAGAATCGTCAATCTTTCCCATGACTACACCTACCATACACACTGGATGGGAGGCACTCAACTATTGTGATTGCCGGCCATTAACTATCAGGCCACAGTCTTATGCACGCATTATATAGTGAGTCACCCCAGGGTAGTTCACTCTATACTTACTACTTGAATGCCCTTAGCTTGCAAGCTCATAGCCAGAGGTTGACTCTGGCACCAAGAGGCTCAAGTTTTTGTGTCGCACACTGAACCGCATAAAGAAGCTTGCACATCCTCAACTCCCACCAACTTAGCAGATCCCTCCACAGCCTCTCCTCCTCCCCCTCCTGAGAAAGTAGTGAGTCTAGGGCTGACAGCATCAGTGTCCTTGAGTCAAGAGCACCGCCTGAACATTCACCCCACTACCTGTACAAAGGCATAGGGCAAGAACAACGCCAGCTGGAGAAGTAAGATCTTAGGAGCTAATGCTTATCGCACCGTGATCAAGGCGATCGGCGACCCTGCTTCTGCACGACATTCAGCAGCGTGTCATGGACGTAGTCTGACGCTGTATTCTACACAGCGTTGTGTTGCGATGTCTACTTCTTTGCATCTTCTCGTAAATATACTTACTACATAGACGGGGATCTCAGTCCAGAATAAGGGAATGTCGACTATGTGCCATGAGATGACTCGGGCTTCTATGAGCTCCCCCTTTCGGTGATGCAGTACGGAAGCCTAGCATATCAAGGCAACTGACCGGAGGACCTTCCACTGATCGAGTTTAGCACAATGTATAATCGGAGGCCTGAAGTATATGGCCCCAGGCCCTGATATCCTTGACCCCACGGGGTTCTCGTGATAGAAAGGAGTGTCTCGGGCAGCATGCATCATTGGCCGCTCGCTCTCACGAACCCAATGCCGGTAGTTCTATCCTTGAGGCATATGTCGCCTCTCCGTAAGTGTCCGAGGTAGTCCCAGTCCTCAGGTATCAATACAGTTGGATGTCTTGGTTCTGCGGAGGTCGGCGAGTTAAGGCACGAAGCGCTCCGTTCTCGCATCATCCCGACTGACAGACTAGCATTGCAGATTACCATGTTCGGATGTTCCTCGTCCGCTACCATCCGCATGGCGGCGAAAAGCCCCCAAACCAACCGACCCAGAGGCCGCTCTCTGCGGCGATGGCGACCACGCGGTCCGTACAAGCTGAGCCGCGCAGACCGTACTCGCCTTCTTCGTGTTCGCTATAGGCTCCATGTGCAGGTGCACGCACATGTCTTGCCGTCATCCACGCTCTTATACCCATTTTTGGAACCCCGCGTGAACCCAGGTCTGCGTTCCCGCATCCGCTCGTACGTCGCCAAGACAAGAATTCGCCTGTGAATGTTTACCATATTATTGGTATGCAGACGCGGAATCCCACTCCGCGATTTAGTATGCCAAGGCTTGCTGCTTTTGCTTTTGCAGTAGTAGGATTGGTAGAAGAGGCTGTCAGCGGACCCGGCGCGAGGTGCGGAATACGAGGGTGTGGCTTTGACGAAGGAACATGGGAACGACATGAGAACGACCCAAACGACCGGATGCGATGTTTGGCGGCGGACCATAGATAACTCTTCTGGGACGGATCATCAGAACGTCCGCAGCTTGGTGATGCTTTACAATCATCGTTGCTTGCGTGTGATGCTTCATGCGTTGCTAGGCACTCGGAAGTGTGTCCTTATGTAGAATACTACATAAGCGGAGGGATGTTGCAAGACGCGCTTCAGGCGCAAATCTTGGTATGTCTCCAGTGCCACAATGATACCCGCAAATGGCTTGCTAGGCGAAGCTTTCGTTGCTTGCGAACTCTTAAGCTGGATAAGCGTGAGCGTGGAGGTGGTACGACGTGAGCGCCAGTGTGGCGAATTCGTCGTGTTCGCCTCCAAGCCATTTTGCGAACTTGAATGACATTCGCGCGAGCTTCCGTGTTCTAAGATTTGCGACATGAGTGATTCGAGACCTCCACTACTGATGTTGAGTTAGAGAGCGTCGACCTGCCGATACGAACCGCAGGTACCCAGAAGCGATCCATCAGCCCGGTTCTTTTTATCCCCGTTTCTGCATAGCGACAACCGGTTGAAAGTGATCCATCGGCAGCGGGCCGTCCCAGATTGACTAGGCTCGCGTGGTCCCCCGACTGCCACGCGGAGCTAGTCAAAGAGCGACAGGACTTGCAGACTGCGCTTTTAACGTTCGAGACTCGTGGTAAGTTTGTTGGTGACCTTGTTAGTAGCTCTTGGCTATCGCGAGGTAGATCAGTGCTGTGCCCGTTGTCGGACTTTGACTAGGTCGAGGGTTGACTTGTCAGCTTATCCTATTCAGCTTTCGTAAAGCGTTACGACCTCCTGTATAGCTTGAAGGACCTCTTGTCATGGTGAACAGACACAGAGGCTCGTAACAAGCGTTAGGTAAATGGTAGGGCAATGCGAGGAATCTTCTTTTAGACGGCCAAGGACTGCTTCGGCATCAGCTGTTCCGTCTCCACACCACAAAGAAGGCTGCTGTCCGCCTACTGAATGGCACAGCCACTGATACATTGACTCCTACAAGCCCTCTTCTTGGCTGCGGATGTAGGCAGTCGTTCACCTCAGACCCGGCGCTGCCGAGCTGGAGGTCATGCAGGTTTCGCACAGCAGCACGCGTATCTGGGACCAAAGTTCGACACCATGTGGCCTTCCCAAGAGCTAGAGGCTTGTCATGGCTTCATTTTATGTTTAGTGTCCTGTTCGTTCACCGAATTCGTCGAGCATGTCCGATGCGTACTTGGCATTACAAGAGAGGCCGAATCCAGATGTAGGCCAAGGGACTTAAGAGTTTGCCACAGTAATGCAGGGCGCGGCGGACGAGCTTATGCTCACAGAAGTCCGTGGTTCCAAAAGTAGGCACAGTAATGGTGATGCGAAGATTTTTCTCCGACACCCAGCAACGAGCATAACTGACCTATTTCATAGTCTTAGTAGACATCGATCTTACTCAGGATGATACATACCACCCTAGCGTTGACGAGGGTTACCAAAACCCAAACTCATCTCGTACGTCCCTGACCGAGCCTCTCGGCGGTTTGGCAGAGCCACCCGGCCGAATCAACCTCGTCCTGCAGTTCGTTTCTTGGCTTTGTGAAGGTTGCCTCGCGTGGTCTGCCCTGTACACGAAGAAATTTCTGTACTCGGTCTAGTTGCAGTCCTTCAAGGCCGTGTCGCGCTCGGGGCTCACCACCTAGATGGGATGTCTAGACCAATAGCAATCCCGCACTCTGTAGCTTCAGGTCGCGGGAGTCCGAAAAATAGCATCCGAACCGTCTTCAAGCCTCCAGCGCTTGGGTAGCAGGATCATGGCACGGTCGGCCTCGACTCCCTGCTCGCAGATTCGATAGTACGACGCAGTGCGACTCCTCTCGATGCAGGGGCAATGGAATGACAATGGCGGCAAGAGCGGGCCAGACTCGGAGGAGCAGCTTTTGAGGAGTGGAAGCCTACAACAGAAGGCCAGTGGAACAGGTATAAGTATCAGCATGATATCCTATCCAACATCCATCGAGCACCGACTTCTTAGCTCCGGTCGTCAACTTTCCTCTTGCCACATACTTGCCTACAATATCTCTTTCAAGAATGTTGTCCAAACTCGCTCGAGCCACGGTGGCTCTCACGCTCACTTCGTCTTGTCTCGTGCAGGCTCAATTCGCCACCAAAGTTCCAGCAGCCGAAGCCTCTGCTGTTGCGGGAATCGTAGAAGACGACCCTGCCGACTTTCCCAAGTTCAAGAAGACGGGAAGTCCCGCGTATACCTTGTACTCGGAAGCTCTTCCTATTCCAGCACCGGCCACTCCTAAGTAGTGCGTGACACAACCATTCTGCTTCCTTCCTGGACTGATCTAACCTGTCGTAGTAAGATTATCAACCCAGTGACGAATAAGGAGATCTGGTATTATGTTGGTGCCCTGGTATGCAGTTGACTGACCTCAGCTAACCTCTGCGGTCAGGAATTCGAGATCAAGCCGTTCAATCAGCAGGTCTACCCCAAGCTCAAGCCCGCTCGACTTGTGGGGTACGATGGCAAGTCCCCTGGGCCTACCATCATCGTCCCCAAGGGCACTGAGAGTGTTGTTCGTTTCGTGAACAGTGCCGATCGTGAGAACTCGGTCCATCTGCACGGGTCTCCATCTCGTGCTCCATTCGATGGATGGGCAGCGGACATCACCAACCCTGGCGAGTACAAGGACTACTACTATCCCAATTTCCAGTCTGCTCGCTTCCTGTGGTATCACGTAAGTATCTCTTCTAAGAATGATTTGTCTGCCCTAGCTGACCTTGTCAGGACCATGCTCTCCACTGGACGGCAGAAAACGCCTACTTTGGCCAAGCCGGTGCGTACCTCATCACTGATACCGAGGAGGACAAGCTTGGCCTTCCCTCTGGCTACGGAAAGCAAGACATTCCTCTCGTACTCTCATCCAAGCAGTACAATTCCGATGGTACTTTGTTTTCTACTCAGGGAGAAGACACGTCGCTGTGGGGTGATGTAATCCACGTGAATGGTCAACCATGGCCATTTTATAACGTTGAGCCCCGCAAATATCGGTTTCGCTTCCTCAATGCAGCTGTCTCTCGTAACTTCGATTTGGTAATTCCGCATATTCCCGCTGAGTGACAATGCTGATGACATCGCAGTTCTTCGTCACATCTACGGCCACGAATACCAGGATCCCTTTCAAAGTCATCGCTTCTGACTCTGGACTCCTTGAGGGCCCGGTCCAAGTTGATGACCTCAAGGTGGCTGTTGCTGAACGCTATGAAGTTGTCTTCGACTTCTCGCAGTATGCAGGCAAGACCCTGTTTCTCCGCAATGATGAGCAAGCTGGCGACGGTAAATAACCTTAGAAGTGCTGCCATGTCTCATGCTGATCCGCACAGTTGGTGTCGACGAGATATACGAGAATACCGATCAGGTCATGAAGTTCGTCGTCAGCAGCACGCCTGTGACCGATACCTCAAACGTGCCATCGACCCTCCGAACCGTACCATTTCCTCCGGCTGGCCATACAGATATCGATCACCAATTTCGCTTCCATCGATCTGGTGGTGAGTGGAAGATTAACGATGTTGGCTTTGCCGATGCGGCCAATCGGGTTCTTGCCAAGGTCCCTCAAGGCAAAGTTGAGATTTGGCAGCTTGAGAATAAAGTAAGCCCTCCTTCTACCAATTATGAAAGGTATCGGTTCCGCTTCCTCAACGCATCTGTCTCTCGTAACTTCAATTTGGTAAGTGGGGCAGGTACATTTGCAGACAGACTGCATCGTTATCACGATCAAAAAGACATGCTATGTATCCACTCGGCACAAGATCCATATTGTGGGTACTCAATCTATAGGATTGGGACTTCAATACCCAATGAAAGCATGTTCACGTCGTCTTTTCGAAGATTTTCAATCATCCTTTCCTCGCTCATTCCCTCCCAGAGGTCCAAACTGCGCCTTTTCGTCTCCCATTCCAAGAAATGCACAGGCCATTCGTCATATGAAAGACTGCGTTTCAGGAAGTCCTCCACGTGGTATTCGATCAGACGCTCGATATTGGTATCCCGGCGTACCGATTTGTCAATTCCAAGAGCTCGAAGTCTTAACAAGAGCTTTGTATCTGACATGGAGGTGTAATCGAAATCGGTGGTAATGGTTGGTAGAGGTGCTGTGTGTTCGTGTCCTAACTTAGCCCGTTTTGAAGACCCGTTACTTTGTGGAGTGTCGTCTGACATGACACGTTTCTCGGGCACCACAGCCTTCGGCTTCATCGTTCTATCATTCGTGGGTGGAGTTTGCTGTGGTTCCAAGTGCAGACCAGTCGAATATTCCTCATCCGTGGAACCATCGGCATCAACGTCTGAAGTGGAATCTTCTTGTAGTGGTTCATGACCTGCCGGCAATTTTGTCTTTCCCGTCGTCTTGCTCTCCTCACCTTGTTCTCTTGTTACGTTCTGTTCATCCAAATCTGCAACAACCCTGTCTCTTACAAACATGAGCGCCTGTCCGAGCAGATTTCGCCCTGTCCAGTCGCTTGGTTTCCTGCTCTTGGCTTGCTCGACGTTCAACCCAATCCCCCAAATCTTGTCTCTTGGGGACGCTTCCGCGAGCAAGCGTTTACCCGTTGCGAGAAGCTGCGGTTTTAGTTCCTTAGCCGCCTCTGATTTCGTGAACTTCAACCAAGTGGCTGATGTCACGACATGAAAGCTTTCTAAACCGCGCGGTTTAGCTCTCATCCAAAAGTAGCTAGTTTGGTCTTACCTGTTTGCCACAGGTCCTTGTCGAAAGGCTTGACCTTTTTGCCGAGTGATTTTTGCTTCTTAGGCTCTTTCTCGTTGATGATCGCCTCCATCATCTTCTCGTCCTCGAATAGAGCAGCCTTCGCGTACTGGAAATATTGTTCTGCAGAGTTAAACTTCAGCCCAGCGTGGTCGAACCTGACCGGATACATCTGTGATAGAAAACCGTTCGCGTTGCTGGCTCCGTAGAAGTAGACGGGAACATCGTGTTCAGGGTCATCGCCTTCGACTGGTGTAGTTGCCTGCTTATTGAGTTTCAAATTCGATTTGTGCACATGCCTCTCAACTCTGCGGCTAGTCTTCCCGTTCTCCGCACTTGGGCGGGGCGCGGAAATCGGCGCGGCGTTAGGTGTTTTCTGCTTCTTTTCGCCGCTGTTCTTGCTTTTCCGTTTGCTCGACATCGCGGTGACTGGCGGCACTAGGCTATACAAAGCTATTTGATCTATTTGGAGGTATCGAGGCTGTCAATGAATTCGGGCTCAAAGCGAGACGCGCCGGCCTGGGTGAGAGAATTGTGTGTAGTAGTCATCGTGCTCTATGAGACATAAATTCTCACCGCAGGTTGGAGGAAGGTGAAAATTTGCGAAATGGGGCATGTCTCGGGCGCACTGCACTTTGTGCTGTGTGGTCCTCCGTGATCAACGATCAGAACTCTGTGAGATGACAATTAGTAGCCTTCGTAGCACTTGGTTGCAGCAGCTATCATTCGACTGAGCGGCTTTACTAGCAGCATCAGAAGTGCGGTGAAGCGCGCTACAAACGAAAACGCATCACCTGATTGGTTGCGCCGGCAACGATTTACTGTTTGCGCAAGCTTCATCCTCGTCACTTCTTTTCTCACTCGAGACACTGCCAATCTAGGCAGTGCCCACTTCCTGATCCCACAATCTATCCGCCTTTGTCACAACAAGAGTAACAACGTGCTTCCTTCGACTAGAAAATAGCTCGGTCTGCAAGGAGAGGATAACGCTGTTAGTAGACCCCAAACCGCGCGGTTTGAGCTCTTATTGAAGCTAACAGTATCATAGCATCATGACAGAAACTCCCGAGACCCCAGCGGCAACACAAGCAAGAGAGACTTTGCAAGCTTCGTCGGACCCCTCGACACCAAGAAAAGGACGACAGTTACCGGGCACTCCAACGACACCGGATTCCGGTACGAAGATTTTGAGACCCATCAAGATACAAAGGGCAAGATCACAGAACAAGAAGGGTAGTAAAGATGATCCTCGACTGCCTGGCGATCCAGCGAATCTATCGAGCTTCTGGACCAAGATTTGGGAGAAGGAGGGAACTCTAACAGGTTACCTGGGCTTTAACGACATTTGCGATTTACGACAACTTGCAATGAGCCCACTTGTCTTATACTTCTTCAATGGTCTCGCGGAAGACCGATCAGCCATGCTAATGGAAAAGGTCCTTGAGCTCATCAAGGACAAGGCTGTGGAAGTCGAGTCTGATGACGATCCTTGTTCGCTCTACCCCAGCGAGCATTCTGGCAACTTACACTACCGGTCAGCTTTGCGTGTTGCGCAAGCAACGCGTGCCCTCCAGACCGCGCGGTCCGGCAACACCCATATCGTGTTCAAAGAGTCTGAGATAGAGGCGGCGGCATCGCTCTTCCACGCACGTTTCGGAAAGACCATTCCCCGGCTGACACCGAATGAGCCCTACCGGCTTCCCGACATGGGGAAATTCCCCAATCGCAAAGAGAGTTACCTCGAAGATTACGCAAGAACGTTTTCCCTACTCAAATACATCAGCCTCAGTCTGGCAAAAGTTTGGCCAACAAGGTTTGGTGCGGACAAGTGGAACCCAAATTTACAGATATCAGAATCGCAAGTACCTTTTTGGATGAGAATGAAAAAGGCCACGGTAGTCGAGTCGGCTCCCGATGTACCTGCTGCATCTCTGGAGATGCCAGAGCGCCCAGCTCTGAATATGAAATTTGTATGGAAGCTCGATGCCAAGGGTAAGGAAGGTCCCGAAAAATTTCGGGACCATATCAAAGATGAAGAGCTGGACGATGATTTGCCGAACCTAGAACAGAATCTCAAAATCGAACCTGCAGCTAGCCGAGAACAGGTCCGAGACGATGTGAGAAGAGCCTTCAAACTGGACGACTTGCAGGGCCAGATACACAAGCTGCGACTAGAACTTAAGGCACAGGAGGAATCCGATGAAGCTGTGAAAGATGAGTCCCTTGTTATTTCCGCAATGGAGTGGAGCAAAGTGCAAGATTTGCTGTGGAGCGGCAAATATGATACTTCAAACAGCGCATTTTATCTAACCACTCGCCTTGCAGACGAAGGAGAAGTCATATGGGAATCTACAGTTCCTCTTGTGGTTGAACGCTACATGGCGTTCAAAGACGGTGATGTCGCTGCTCTTGGAAACGAGGAACTCATGCCCGCAATTGAAGGGTCCGCCACCGAAGGGAAGCTCGACGACGTTGAAGAAAGTGATCCGGGTGCCGGTCTTGTTTCAGCCGTCCGCGATAACTCGAATGAAAGGATCTTTTTGGATCCAGAGAAGATGTTTGAGGGAAAGAAAGCAAAGATGATCACGTTCTACGAGGGCCACGATCCCACGGTACCCGGTGAACTCAAGAGTTGGCAACGGAAAGTTGCCGAGCGATTGACGTTGAACGATGACTTTCGACTCATTACCAACAACATAGGCACGAAATTGGGGAAGATCAAACTCTCGGCCCAAGAGAGACATGCCCTGGCAACGGCTCGAACTGAAGGAGAGCACAGGATGTTCAGCGCCGGTGAGGCCTCCAGAGATGATTCAGACGTGTCAGGCCAGTATTGTGATCTCAATATGATCCACACCGGAACATCCGCCCAAGTTGGTCTTCCTTTAGTGGTATCAGCCCAAGCACTCGACATGGAAGCTTCAAAGGATGAGGAAGGCAGGCTCATGTACAGATCTAGGGACGCCGCACTTGGCCATCGCCTTTGGTTCCCTTGGCAGGTGAATGGCATTGCAACTTGCATAATAGCAGCTATAGGATACATTCCCGTCCTTCCAGATGCATCCGACGATGTGAAGCGTGCGGCACAATGGCTTCGCGGTCTGGCGACAGGGGGAAACATGGTGTGCGACCAAACAGGACTTGGAAAAACGTTGGTCATAGTTGCGAACCTCTACATCGCCAGCCGCGTACCAGAATACAACAATGAAGGCGCACAGATCTACCGCGTCATGATGCTTGTCGTCCCAGCTGGAGTGCTCAAGCAGTGGGCTGATGAAATATTTGACCACTTCAAATATTTCACTCTGATCATCAGTTATGATGAGTCTGGTTTGACTGATGCGAAATACAAACCGAACTTCGTTAGTGCGACTGCCATGAAGGAGTTTCCCCACTCGAAGGCCAGATGGCCAGTGCAGTTCCATTACATCTTCAACGAGTCGGATCCTCGTTGTGCCAGAACCATTATTTTGACCTCGAATGACTGTAATGTTACCAGGTCCCTAAAGAGCATTTGGCATACCGTGGGTTTCGATGAGGAAAGTGGAGCTCCCATCCAGAAGCTCATTCGGAAGAGTCGATGGCGGAACCGCGTGGGAAGAGCAGTCGTTGATGAAGGCCAGAAGCTCAAGGATGAAAGCTCGAGGCGATGGCTGGCCTTTCATGACATCCAAGCACCGATAAATTGGATAGTTGGGGCCACCCCCATGTCTAATGTCTCTACCGGTAGGTTTTCCCAAACCGCGCCGTTTGGGTTACCGGCTAATTTGTTATAGACTTTATTGCTCAGCTCAAAATAATATGGATCGGCGCCCGCCGAGAGTTGGTGAGAGATAACGCAGCCTACGAATGGGCAGCCACGCGTTGGCGCACAATGAAGTTATGGAAGGAAGCGGCAGCATTCAAGCCAACAGACAAACGTCGCCTAGCACTTTTACACCCTCCGTCAGTCCGGCATCTGTTGGAAACCGCAACAAAAGTGGAAATAGCGTCCTATTTCCACTTATGCGAGGATCAAATTTGTCTAAAACGCTTCATGGGAAGCAAGCTGCCATTACGTTTTGACTCTGACGAGTACTTTGACATGGCCAAAGCCATGAAGCCGTACTTCATACACACACTTCATTGCGAACACAAGAAAGAAGAACAGGCAGCGCACCAAATCCTTCACCGTGAGGCTAGTCGACGGTTCGTGGAGACACTGCGTGGATTCTCTATAAAACAGAGCCGCGCCAGAGCAATGGGAAATAAGGAGCAGCACCTGTACCCAGTGGCAGAGATGAGAGAGCTCGTCATCACAGCAACATCAACGATGCTCCGCCTTTTCCATGAGGCATGCAAACATATGGATGTCGACACTCTCGTCGAAACGATTCAGGAATACCGTGGGAACGGCTTTGATGGATTTCGCTTCGTGCGCTTTATGTGCACAAGGCTGAACTTAGCTTTACCCACTACCGCCTACGGCTACCTGGAGATCCTATGCCAGGGCTCACCAATAGCACGGGCACTGATACACCAGCTCTGCCTGATTGAGGATGGAAAGTTCTTAAGACCCAGAACTCACGGAAAGTTCATCGTGGCAGAAGACGTACCGCTGAACGCCATGTTCCTGGAGTGGGTTCTCAATATGATTGGACTGAAAGTCGTAGTCTTCCATGCAGGGCTAAGTGCGCAAGCACGTAACGACCTCCAGGAAGAATTTAATGACCCCAAATCAGACATCGACGGATTGATTAACATGTACAACGTGGGCGGCGAGGGACGAAATTTCTGGTTAGATTGTCATACATTGTACATGGCAACCTCGGGGAAACATGAAGCAGCCGAAAAACAGCAGGCAGGTCGGATCATTAGGGTAAGTTTCGGACCGCGCGGTTTGTTGCTTGAGTGCTAATTGGGCTAGGCGCCGCAAAAAGAGAACGTTCAGATCATCAAGCTAATGCTGAAGAATTCAATTGCTGCTTATCGAGAGTCAAGGAAACGACATAAGTACATGATTGAGCTCGCCACCAGGGCGCACGACCCGGTTATTCAGAGGCTCCTCATACGCTGCCTCAACGAATGGCAAGCTTTCGTGAAGGAGGCGCAAGATGACCCTGCAAATCGAGCTCTGATGGAGCAACTGAAGGAGAAGTCTGAAATTGATGAAAATAAGGAAGAGATGTTCAAAGCGGGCGCTGTTGCTGATTCGGTGGATTTAGTGGAGCTGCCAGCACCAGAAGGCCCACGCAAAAGGCAGCAAGTCCGTCGCTTTGCTGATGCGACCTTCGTGAAAGATCGCGAGATCCAACCAGGTGATCAAGAGCCGCATAACTTGAGCGGCGCGCGAAAGAAGAGCAGGAAGATGAAAGGGATGAAGAAGCGTAGGCGAGTCACTGGGAAGGTTGACGAGGATGAGGAGGAGGAGGTGCAAGAAGAAGAAGAAGCGGATCTAGAGGTCGAAGACTGCTATTCTGAATATGAGCCATCCGATTCTGGCGATTCGAACTACTCCAACTCTGATATGAGCGAGGAAGACAGCGAAAGAGAGGAAGAAGACCCAACCGAAGAAAGCACGACTCCGAAACAAGCGACCTCTAGCAAGAACGACGAAGAAAAACTCACCAATGCACAAAGGAGAGCAGCTAGAAAAGCTGCAGCCGCAGCAATGAGGAACGAAGAACAAGAGGAAGAGGGAGTGCGACAATTGAAGTTACTATTGACTGCCGACCCCGAGAGGGTGTATACCGTCGAAGATTTAAGCTCCGAGAAAGTTCTTGAGCGGGCTTTGGAGATTACATATTGTCTCAGAATTGGACAGAGACCGGATAAGGTCCCAAGTGTCCATATAAACGTCAGTGATCAAACCGCTCGGTTTGGTATGGGCTAACACTTCAATAGTATAGCGCCATCAACCACCAGCTGTCAGAAAAGATCAAATTGCAAACCAATGCCGACGATTCACGAGAATTATTGAAAGATATGCTTGCCGCGACGTCGAATGTGGCACCTGATGCTCCACTCGAAACAGCAACGGTATCAACGGTTCCGCCTGCAGACTCTACAAGCGCCGAAGGAGCACGGGAATACTCTAAGGAGCTCGCACCCGTACTTTTGCAGATGTGCAAAGCCCGCAAGATACTGCGCAACGAAACGCGCAAGGAAGAGTATATTCAGGTGAGGATCTTCGGCTATTCGTAGGAATATTGTTGACAGGCATTCTAGCTCCTCGAGGCAGACGATGCACGAATACAAGTCGCAAAGACACGAGAATCCCTAAAGCCCCGGCCCCTAAAAGACTATTCTACAGAGCCGCCTGAAGAGCTTCGTAAAAAATTGGTGGGCTTGAATGTCCCGGGCGCCGAGACCATGGATCAGGATGACCTGGTCTACACGGCTCACACGATTAACGTCACCATGTTCAAGAAAAAGAAGGTGGAGTACGAGGAATGGCCAGATTTCTATCTCATATTGGACCTTGCTAGGCGGAAGGGCGTGAAGATCAAGGACGTCGAGGAGATAAGCCGGAAAGAGCGTATTGTGGCACTGAGGCAGATCGACAAACAGGACCACATCTCTACTTGGCGGGAGAAGTTCATCGTTTTCCCATAAGCGCAACCCTTCGAGCTCCTAGTTAGTCGGGTCATTGGTAAACTGCGCGGTTTGGAAGCTGATAGGGGAAGAGGCAGAGAAGGCATGTGCTGAAGACTGCGTGATCGTTGCACGCAGCCTATCGTGCGGACAAGCAGGGCAAACCAGCGAAATGTTTCTTGGAATAAAAATCAAACCTCATGTCTACAGACGGAAGCATAAGGACTATAACAGGCGTGGTGATGCTCTCATGGTCCCTGAACACACTGACATATTCTGATTATAGGGCTTTTGCATTGCGCGTTTAGTCTCGTCGAGGCTTCTTCATACCCAGATCATGGCTTCCTTATCAGCTTCGTGTGTTGATTCTTCGTGCATTCTAGACTCTAACAAGCACCATGACGAATTTTCTGTGTAACGCTAGTGAGCAGTGTATGTACACTCAGCTCACGTAGAAAATACTTAGGTATGTTGCATATGCTACTCTGATCAAGAGAAAGACGCTTGATTAGGTTGAAAGTATGAACTATAATATGTTGAAAAGGAAGCTGAGATGCATACATGTAAAATGAAAAATTACCGCCGTAAAACCGCAACCACCACACCAGTAAAATACCATCGTATAACAACATATATGCCGATGTCATGTAGATAGACCAGGGGTCAAACTGCGCCGTTTGTGGTCTGCCGAGGTATCACCCATAGCGTCTCGATTTGTTCCCTCGAACTATCCATGCCGCCTTACTCCATAGCTTACGCCGAGTTCGTGGGTGGTGCCGCGCTCTTCGCATTCTTCTTAGCCACCCGTTTGGCATGTCTGACCCTCTCCTGCCTGTTCCTTTCCGCCTTCTCCTCAGGAGTCTCTGTGGCTTTTCTCCTCGCTCGGCCCTTCGCCTCCGATTTCCTCTTCATTGCCAACCTCTTCTCCCTCTGCTCGGTATTTTCGCTTGCCACCTTCTTGGCCATGCCTATCCGGTCGGATTCATTCTTCTTCTTCTTCCTCTCTGCTATCTCTTCGGGAGTCAGACTTGCTGCAAGTATGGTCTTGGAATGAAGAAATTGGGCAGCGTGTTTCGCCTTTCTCTCTTTCTTCTCTTCGGCAGTCTCCTTCATCTGAACTTCTTCTCTCTGATTTCTTTTTCTGATTTGGTCCTTCTCTAGTCGCGCTTTCGTCTCCTCGGGAGTTTCGTTCGCTTTTTTCTGTGCCTTTCTGTATCGCGCTCTCTTGAGTCATTCACCGTCAGTAGTGGGTCGAACTGCGCGGTTTGACCTCCAAGTCATGGAATAACTTACCTTGGCTCTCATCTCCTTCATTTCTGCCAGCAAACTCGGGCTGTAAGACTCTGTGAGAGGATTTCCGATTCTTCCCTCCACGGCTTCTTTCAATGCCGAGCCGCCCGTGCATGCACCTTTCCAGATCTTCAACGTCTCCGATCTATCCCACAAGCTGAATGTAGTGATCGAGCCGTTGGTATTGGCACAATGGAACCAGAAGGCTGTAGTGAACAGTGTTTCTAACAACAGAATCAAGCCTTTGCTATACGAAATGTCATGGTTAGAATCGGGAATCGGAATTGCTGCGATGACCAAAGCGGCAGATCTCTTCCAGCCGTCCTTCGCAAGCTGGGGAATCAACTTCGGCATCGAGCTTGCGTATGTCCCATCCTCCAAGAACGAATCGTATTGCAAAAGTCGCTTGCTACCTCCCCTAATGTGGGTGGATGAACCACAATAGATGGTGAGTATGTATTCCTCGTCGCGTTGGAATACTTGCATGTAAACGCAGAACTCGTTCCGGCCGTCAAAATCATCGAGATGAAAGGACAAGATTTGTGAGTGCGATGGCGGGCTTTCGGCTTGTAGAGCTTCTACCAGACCTGGTGAAAGGCGCAGTTCAGTTTGAAGTATCTTATTGTAGATACTTTCGAAGTCTGGGAACATGGCCCGACTCAGTATTGAAGCGGAAGAGTCGTTGATGAGGAGATGGTATGCTTTCTTAGCGACCCAGGAGAGGTTTTGGTCAAGGTCAGTATCTGCACTACTGTTGCCCTCACTCCCGCCTTCGTCGGTTTCTGTCATGCACAGAGCCAGGTATGTGTAATGGTCTTCATCGAATGCGTCGCAGCTGTCGTAATCTTCTTCTGAATCGTCATAGCTACGTTCCAAACCGTACTCATCATACATGTCGGTGTCCATAGCAAGCGTTAGCGACGCGTAGGCACGCACGGCTCCCGCAGGGGATGAGAAAGAGAATCACAGAAAGCCTCACGATGGACAGAGAATGGAATGAGAGGTAACAGTGAGTCGCAAAATCTCGAGAAAGCATTGTGTGCGTCATCTCTCATGAAGAGAAGGCGCGATGCTACAGGCTGCGGAAGGAGCCGTGAGGCAAGAGCACCCGCGCATAGGTAAGCACAACCTCCAAAATTCCGAAGCGCTTGAGCGAGAGGTCCACAGGTTTCCGAAGCGCACGAGGGAGAAGACTGTCTCACATATCGCGGCATAGACATATCGTCAATGTCACAAGGAAGTCGTAGAGTGATGTACACACTTGGCAGTGAGCGACAACAAAACTTGAATGCGGCCTAGCCTAAACAAACAGTCCATAAGTCACTGTCTCTCTACCTTTTAGCTGCCTACGCAGCGCACTACAGCCGTCGCATCGGCGCTGTTGTCAGGGTCGCTCGCTGACCGACACACACGAGGCACACGCGAGTCCCTTTCCGATTGACACCCAAAACTGCCTTTCCGCAGCCTATCATGCACAAAGAATAGTTGCCCAAAAACATATATCCAAAAATCCTTCATCATGGTCCCATCCTATCCACGTGCATCTCGTCGACTTCAAGGTCGTACAACGCAATGGCCGAGGTGTGGAACCTTATGAGTCTGCCGGTCTGAAGGATGTTGTCTGGCTTGGAAAGAACGAAGTCGTGCTTGTCGAAGCCCACTACGCTCCCTGGAACGGAGTGTACATGTTCCATTGCCACAACCTTATTCACGAGGACCAAGATGTAAGCTTGTCCCCTTTTGCAGCTTCATCGCATGCGCTAACCTCACCAGATGATGGCCGCCTTCAACGTCACCCACCTCCAGGACTTTGGCTACAATGAGACGACCGATTTTGGTGATCCAGAAGACCCGCGCTGGTCTGCGAGGCCCTATGTTCACGCAGACTTCGAGACAGGAACCGGTCCTTTCAGTCAGCAGTCCGTGACCAATCGCGTCCAGGAGATTGCCCGCGAGCAGCCATACAGCGAGCTTGCCGAAGTGGAAGCGGCTCTTGATGAGGCTTGGGCTGATGGAACAGCTCAGAAGCGCAGCCGAGCCGGGCCAATTCCGCATTACAGGCGCTTTATAATGTAAAGAGCGCTCCAGCCGACCTTCGAAACGCTCATGTCCGGCCCATACGCCATACGCTCGTTTCCTTGATTTCCTGTCGCTCTTGCTGTTCGTCTAGTCCAGTCTCGTCCACATTACCATCCTACAACCTTCTCCTGTACATAATTCTCCCCCGTTCTTGATCGAGTACATTTTCTAAGAGGCTGGAACGTTGAATACACATGGAAAGTAGCGGGTTACGAAGGAGAGCCGGTAGGTTTGATAGTTTTAAACCGAAATCGAATTTCTCTTTGCGATGTGTTCCTTCGAACGTGGGCAAATGTGGTTGAGATAAGTGAAGTGGAACGCGTCTCATCCGAGAAGGAAGGAGAAGTGGGGCGCTAACTCGTTTCGACTTAACGCAATTTGGAAAGGAAGGTGAGAAGATATGCGGTCTTTCAACGACCTCTTCCATCTTTCTCTCCTTCTCTTTACGAGATCAATCACTCTTCAGCCGCTCCATTTACGGACCCTCGGTCAAGCCCTTTGCGCGCATTTCAAGCCACAACTCACGTCGTGTCGGTTGCCCCGCTTATCGCCGGGCACTAGCGCGAGCACCGTGATAGGACCTCGAGAAGATGCGAGACCCAAACTTCCTTCAAAGTCATTTACGCGCGCCGGATCAATTGCCACTCCGTGAGCCACCACTGACGAGCAGTGCGTCGTCTGACAGATATGTGGCTTCGCCGCAATCACCTAAAGGTGGGGAAATCAGTGAGAGAATTGAAGATCGTATCATGCGAGTGCAATGGGATTTGAAAAACCTTCAAGATTTCTGGAAAGTCCGCAGCTCGCCTCATCGCTCAGAGAGGCTTCAAAAATATCTTGATGCGGAGCTGAAAGTCTTGGAATGGATGCCCTTTCAAGGCTACGATCAGAACGAAAGGATCGATTATCTGCTCCTCAAGAACTTCCTTCGCAATCAGCTAAGCCAAGTGCAGCGAGATGCTGAACTGGACTCTAAGGTGCTGACTTTCTTGGGTGGCATCTTTCCGTTACGGATGGCAAACATGATTGAGGCAAGGCAGAGGGTCGACGACCTCGATCACCAAAGAGCAGCTGCGTCGCTTGTCGAATGTACAAATCGCATGATTCTGGCTAAAGACTTGATACTGAACAAGAAAGAGACGGCTGAGCCCATCGTTGCATTCAGAGCCACCAAAAACCTGGAGGAGTTCGGCGTTCATTGGCAGGAATGGTATAGTTTCTATGACGGTTACGATCCATTGTTTCCGTACTGGATCTCTGAGCCTTACCCGAAGCTGCAAAAGGCTCTACAGGATCTCATTGACACTATTAAGAAGGTCTGTCTCGGTCTGCAGACCAATGATGAAGACACCATCATTGGTGAACCGATAGGTCGAGCGGGTATCCTTGAAGCGCTTGATGTCGAGTTGATTCCGTATACACCAGAAGAGCTCATCGAGATTGGTCGAAAGGAATACGCATGGTGCGAAGCTGAAATGGAGAAGGCCGCCGATGCACTTGGTTTCCAGGATTGGCGCAGCGCCTTGGAACATGTCAAGAACTTGTACGTTGAGCCAGGAAAGCAGCCCTCGCTTGTTCGGGACCTCACAAAGGAGGCGAACGAATACATCAGGAAGCACGATAGTGCGACCATTCCACCCATCGCAGAAGAGACCATTCAGACCTTCATGATGAGTACGTGCATGTTTCATTATAGACCTAGTTTGCACCTGAGCTGTCAGACGGAAAAGGAAAATTCGATCCACAGCCTCAGATACGATTGTCCGTAGTGTTTGACTGACTGGTACGCAAACATACAGGTCCGAAAGCGCAGAAGATGAATCCGTTCTTCCTGGGAGGTGACGAGGTACGTTATCTTCAACGACACTGCCTCCATATGTATTGACACGAATGCTCCCCAGATCATTGTCTCTTACCCCACCCCGACGATGAGCCACGAGCAGAAACTGATGAGCCTCCGCGGAAACAACATCCACTTCGCTCGCGCAACAGTTTTCCACGAGATGATCCCCGGCCATCACTTGCACATGCACTACATGGCGCGTATTCGTCCGTATCGCCAACTCTTCCAGACTCCCTTTTGTATCGAAGGATGGGCATTCTACTGGGAGATGATCCTATGGGATTCTCCAACCTGGCACAAGACCCCTGAAAACCGCATTGGTATGCTTTTCTGGCGTATGCATCGGTGCGCTCGTATCATCTTCTCGCTGAAGTACCACCTCGGGGAGATGACTGCGGAAGAATGCGTGCAGCTTCTGATTGACATGGTGGGCCACGAGAGGTACACAGCAGAAGGCGAAGTCAGAAGGAGCGTGATGGGAGACTATGGTCCGTTATACCAGGCGGGATATATGCTTGGAGGGCTGCAGATCTATGCGTTGCGGAAAGAGGCTGTGGAGAAGGGGATCTGGTCGGAGAAGGAGTTCCACGACGCTTTCCTTAGGGCAAATCAGCTTAATATTGAGCTGTTCCGAGCGCTTATACTTGGTATAGAGCTTCACGAGGACTACAAGAGTCAGTGGAAGTTCTATGAGGAGATCAAGCAAGATTGAAGCCCAGTATGGCACGGAGGGACTGGATGATTGGAACGTTCATGCAGGACGAATCCTATCTTATAACATAAATTTAACGCTACAAGTTCGACCTCTCCAGCCTCTTCCCGCTCTGGTCGAAGTGGATCTGCTTGCCCGTTACCAACGCCTCCTGCAGCCAACTCCCGATCTGAACCGCCTTTACCGCGTTCTCAATGGGCATAGGCAACGGCGTGTCGTCGAGGCACGCAGCAGCGAAGTCGTTAGCCTCTTTCACGAAGGCCATCTCGAATCGCCCATAGTAGTGTGCTGGCACCTCCTGTGTGATGCCCTTCCCGCTGTATATCCGCACCAGATCGTTTTGGGGAATGAGGTTCACGCTGAGCTTGCCTTCCGTTCCAATGACTTCGGTAACATCTTCCTGCCCGTGTGCCTGGCGATCACAAAGTCAGTAACCGCATTACTCGAGCAGAGCAGACACTGGTGTTTGGCTAGCTTACCATCATGCGTGTGCAGTAGTAGTACGCGATCTGCCCGCCCCAGAACTCGACGATTCCGACAGCGTTATCGACGTCCTTGTGCTGCGCCAGACCAGGCTGAACAGCAATGCATCCATGAGCGCTGGTCGACTTTGGCACGATCTGGTTGCCGAAGAACCATAAGGTCAGGTCGATGTCATGGACAGACATGTCGACGAAGACGCCTCCAGACCACGCCGCATATTCGACGAAGAATCCAGACGGATCGTGCTTATCGCATGTCTGCGAGCGGAGGATAGTCGGTCGTCCAATCTGGCCATCTGCAACTTTGCCGTATGCGTTTTGGTAGCTAAAGCGTGTTAGGGCCCATGGAATCCGACACACATACAGTCCACATACCTATCATCGAAGCGGCGCGAAAAGCCACACATGACCTTCAAGTGCGGCCTCTTTTTAGCTTCTTCCACAACCTGTCTGCACACATCGACGCTTGTACTCAACGGTTTCTCGCACAGTACATGTAGGTTTTTCTGCATCGCCTTGATCGCTTCTTCCGCATGCACCAACGTCGCAGTTCCGATCACGACTGCATCGAGGCCTTCCTGCTCCAGCATCTCGTCGTAATCGGAATACAGCTTCACGCCATGTGGCTCGAGGTGTTCGCGCGCCCATTCGTGCTCTTTGGAATCGGGCGAAAAAGCAGCGACTAGCTGAGCGCGAGGCGTGCGGTTGAGGAAGTTCAGCGCGTGGCGATGGCCCATACGGCCTAAGCCTGCGGCGGCGATCTGGAGTTTACGAGGAGCCATGATGCTGAGGAAAATCGGAAATCGACAAATTTGGAGAGCAGAATTTCACGATAGATGCGTTTAAGGAAGAGAAGACAATGAGCACGAAAATTCCATTTTTATATGTGTAGCGATGCGACTATGTAGGTTGTGGTGCATATTCGGAGGAGGTTTCTGTGCTGTTGACGATACCAACGCTGCCATTATGTGTGGATGGATTTTGTCTCGGAGGAGGTTTTCGACGCCGGAGGAGGTTTTTGCAAGTACACACAGTACGCGGCGGGGCGAGCGCATGGGGTTATGTGCCAGGTGAGGAAGGATGAATCGGGCCTTCTGCGGTGTGGGGACGAGGACGGTGATGCCTTTTCAGCCCTGGGAGATCTCTTGCGGTTACCACAAGAATTTGCTAACAAGTCAGTGATGCGCAGAACCATGCAGCTGAGACGCAATGTCAACGAGAGATCAGTACTGTATGTTCGTTGCTCGAATCGGGAACAATCCTCCAACCCTTTCCATCGCCTAGGCATCTCGGCTCATCCAAGGCGTCCTGCTAGGCCACGGCTAACGGCATCGTGCGGACAAACCTGCCATATCCAAGTCACCTGGCCTCGATCAGGGTTCCAATCGAGAGCCCCCACGACCAAACGTCATGCCAGACCCACAACCGATCCGTGCAGCAACGCGGAGACAAAATGCGGGGTATGTCGGCCCCTGCCATCTTCGCATCGTCCAACAAAAACGGTTCTATTTCCCGCACCTCGATGTAGCATCATTCTATCTCACACCACGTCTCCCAGCAAGAACAATGCGGCAAAGAAGCGGTTGGTGAGTCTTCCCCGGATCCACCATACATCTCAACTGCGTCGCGCTAATTCGCTGTAGCAAAGCCTGTCGCGAACGGTAAGTAAGGGGTTACACTGCATATCACATCTCTTACCCATTTCGGCATCGACTACCTAAATGAACATCACTGACTTGGGCCGTTGTGTAGACATATCAAATGTAGGACCTCCGACTCATGCTATGCTCTGGATCCGATTGTCTCCTTGTGGGAGGGTGAGCTGGTTTAATTTTCCTCGCTGAGCCTCACTAGGCGTCAAACTTCGCGATTCGGACAAATGCAAGTATTGCACCGAGCGCAAGAGAGCATGCATCCGAGGGAATGCCTTTCGTTTTCGTCCGGTTACCGCGGTAAAGTTCAATGCCGGAGAAGATGTCGGAAGCGCTGAACAATCGCTGGAGTTTGGAGGGAGCCAAACATGGGTTACAATACCGCCTTCATGTGGGTCCCAGCCTATCGCGAGACAGCAAATCTTACTGACTTGAGGGTAACAGTACGCTTCATCGCTCCAAACACCGACGGCGATGAAGAGGCTGTGGAAGACGAGCCTGAACCAGAGCCCGAGTCGGCATCTGAAGGCTCTGATCCGGCCCTTCGGCGAATGCTGGATGTAGGCTTTGAGACGAGGAGTCCAGTAGATCCCCTTTTGCCATTCCATCAGAGGACTTCGTCGCAGGCGCTGCACCGATCAGATTCAAACGCATCACAGGATCTCGGCGGCATCATTGACTACCACGCCCAACCTCCATTTCTTCCTCCTATTTCCGATGTCTTGAGTACGACACCATCGAACCGAGATGTAATCAGCGATGCTCCTTCTCAACCGTACTCAGGCCCGCCTTTCGAAAGAGCGGATTCAGGTACATTGTTACGCGGCTCGGTCGATTGGTCTGTGATATCGCCTGGCCACAAGCACAGTTCGCCATCCTTATCCCAGAAAAGAAGCCCAAACGACGTCAACCACATCTCGCCGTTCTCAAATTCGGCTTTCTCTCCGAATTCTTCCATCTCTTTGAGCTGGCCAGTAAAAAATCCTCACGAGGCACGTCTTTTTCATCACTACATCGTGGCCTGCAGTGACTGGATTGATGTGTGTGATTCGAGGCGACATTTTACCCGCGAGGTTCCCAAACGCGCCGCACATTTCCCGGTCATTGTGAATGCCATTCTCGGTCTTGCATCACGACATCTGTGGCTAGTAGGGAAGCAAGACGAAGATCGCTCCCAACTCTATGTCGACCAGTGCCTCCAATCGCTCATCGTAGCCTTGGAGGACCCCTTAGCCCACTGGGACGAGAATTTCCTCGTCGCAGTCATACTCCTTCGTCTCCACGAGGAAATAGGGGAAGATGATGAACAGTGTCATCACTTCGGCACTGCACGTATTCTCAATTCCATATCTTCATTCGCTGCCGATGGCGGTTTGCGCGAGTCGGCGAGCTGGGTCTCGCTCCGTCAACACATCTACGTTTCTCTCACCAAACAACAACCCTTTAATCTCAGCCTGGACAACTACAAACATTCCAGTGTGTTTCGCGAATACGATGACGAGGCCTGGGCGAATCGCATCGTCTACCAATTCGCACTTATACTACAACACGTGTTCGAAGATGCGGAGCAGGCAAATTCGCTCTCGCGCGAAAGGTGGACCGAGCTCAGTGCAGACACAGACGAATGGTACAGGACAAAGCCATGGTCCTTCGCCCCTCTATACTTCGACCCAAGAGCCGGAGACTCCTTCGATGGCTCATGGCCCGAATTACCTACGCCACAAGGTGTCGTCGCAATCGGTCTACAATACTATCATCTTTGCAAGATCCTCCTCACAATATACTCACCAAACGCGTCCTTGGTCGGTCTCGCCGGAGTGCGCGCGCGGAAATCCACAGACGCAGCGATACGGAAGCACATCCGTCTTGTCATCGGCTACGGTGTCAGCAATAGCCATTGTAGCAATGTCATGTTCCAGGGAAGCCATATATTGAGCGCCTGTGGGGCGTATATTATTGATAAGGCGGAACAGCAGGCATGTGTTCAGTACTTGGGCACTTTACAAAGCATGATAGGATGGAGGACGGACAAGGTTGTAGCAGAGGTACGCGAGCAGTGGGCGACATGAAGTGATTTTCGTATCTGCTGTGATTGCTCTATTGGTACTACTTTGCAACGTGCCGCGCGAATGGCTCACCGCCAAGACAGTGCTTTCAAAAGACTATGAGAGGCATATTGCTGTGTGGTGGGTTTAGGTACACGGCAAACTCGATATCAATTCCCAGGAGACTGTGCTGATTTGAAACATGTGGCCAAATCATGCGCAAGTGTCAATGTATCACACCTGCTCGCAGCTATGTCACACTATATGACCTTGTTGTGCGTTACAGAGGCCATCCTCCTCGGATGTGCAAAGCTCGAAGCCTACATTAGCACCCCATTATACACAACTACACGATGAGAACCAGGACAGCACATTCTCGAATGTTCGCCAGGGTCAATCTGCAGGAATCAACTTGAGTGCATTTGAAACGCGCAACAATGACAACCACAATCCTACCGCATACCAAACTTCACAAAATATGACGACCTTCAACAATTTCGATCCGCCTTTCACCTTGTGATGCAAACACGAGCCCGCAACGACCGTGCCACAAATCTTCTCGACCATCACCGGACATCTGACATACCCAAAGCCCCACATGACATGAACACATAGGCTCTGTGAGGCTCCGCAAGGCTGACAGTCACAATATTGACTCCGTCCGCCGCGCCTCGCCCACGGAGCGCTCATATTACCACTCTAGGCAAGCACTTACGCTTCTTAGGCTAGAGCGTGAATGAAAGAAGTTCTGGAGGTGGACTTCACAGCAGGTTACAAAGATCACTTGGAAAGCCAAGGAGAGAGCTGAGGCACATGACCACTGGGATGGGTCCGGATGGGGAGGTACATAGAGCTCTTGAGGTTCTTAAGGTGTAGAAGAGCTGAGCAGGTCGCAGGATTCCTCTGTTGATACGTCTATAAAGGGGAGAAATCTTTGAGTACGTTCAGAGGTACAGAGATATCCTTCTCGTCTGGAATCCACTCCAAACCGCCACGCACACAGCTCGCTATCAACCCCCCGCCTCCTATTGGAGTAGCAGACAAGCTATCAAAGGTTCTCGCTGAGGTTCCCAAAAGTACATATAGTAAGTTTCAACCCTCTTACCCCCTCATCGAGAGTCCCAAATGCTAATTCTCGGGACACAGATGAAAGGCCCGTGCGTTATGGCAAGCAAAACGTCAACGTTCAGGGAACGATGGTGAGTTGCTTTTCCAAACTGCCTAATCGGGTAATATCGAGTTAGGTGTGGATTGCTGTGTTGGTCACCGTCACTTTCGACCAGGTGAATGGCCCGTGCACGATGGGCGGCCCAAGCTCATAAACAAAAACAGAGGTCGGTGAATGATGAATGCTTCTGCACGGCGGTTGTCAAAGTCAGGACCGCCCTTGGGATGCCATCGTTCTCCACGCCATCCGGAGTATCGATTTTACCACCAACGGCTCGACCACGGATCACTTCCTGACCTCGACCAACCATGACGAAAGTGGACATCGGGATTGCGCCTTAACTCGACCGACGTCCGGCCCGTTCGTAAAGAAGGCCATGGACGCCTCAATGCGCGACTCTCCCGAATCCTAACGCAGTACCGAGACAACAGAAAGTTGTGCGTGTCGAAGTGCCATCAAACACTGGTTCTGTCATGTTGTCAGCCTGTCATGAAAACATGACGTCATGGTCACCACTCCTCACCATGCAGTCCTGGGCTGTGAAACGGTCAATTACCGAAGAGCATGGTGAGTAATCTCAAGTAAATTAACATTCGTTGGAACTATGTTTGACTGATGTTGTTTACAGCCAGCGTTAACGATCCTTTTTGCGCCGTAGCAGCGTGCGCGATGCCCAACCCGTCTCAATGCCAGCCTCGTCAAGTCCCTTGAGTCTTGTCAGGATACACCAACCACGTTACGTTTCCCCGTTATACGTACTACATGCATGCTTCGTAAAGTCATCAATCAACCCTTGGATACGCGTGAAAAGAAGTGCGACTGCCATTCCCAATCCAAGAATCCTAGCGCATGGGCCCAAAGCCAATCAAAACCTGCACCGCAGAAAGAACGACCTTCGAAGAATACGGCTGCTCCAGACCAGACGTAGCCACTATTTGCGTGAGCAGAGACCACAGGTCTGGAAGAAGTTCTTGGAAGAAGGCAGCCTGGGCCTGCGGGCTGCTCTCCATTTCCTTCATGCCTTCGACGTTGCCGTTGCGCATCGCTTCGAGGAGCCGCTGGACTTCGATGGTTAGGAACTCTTCTGCTGCGGCGACAATCTCTTCGGTCCAACCGCGTCGTTCTCGGGCTCCCCATGATTGGGCGTTTGATTTCACTGATGATAAGAATGTCCGGAGATGCCTGAGGCGACTTTGTCGTTGCATGTCGTATGCGGCTGAGGAGCGCGCGAAGTCCGTGGTGTAGTACGCCGTTGCCATTTCGTCGAAGTTGTTGAAGCCAGCAGCTGTCATGGCTTTAAAAATGTGGTTGAAGCGTACGCCATCTGCTTGGGAAGGGGTTGCTTGAATCGGTGGCCCTGCCAGATTCTCTCTTAATCTTGAGATGCGTTTGTGAGCATCCTCGAGTCCTGCCGCTGAGGGGAAGCCCTGTATGCTCCCTTGTGAAATAGAGGATGGTGTTATGTATCCCTCGCCTATTGATTTTGTTTGATGATGTGATGCTGGTGACGGGTTTGAGGAGGCCATGAATGCATTGAAGTCTGCCATAGGAAAGGGATAGTTTTCAGGTGAATTATTAGGAAAGAGCGAAGGGTCGACCAGTGCATCCAGTTCCAGGTCCGGCGACATGAAGAATCGGTCCCCATCCTGGATTGTCCATTGATCGTGAGCAGCTTGATCCATTGCAGCGGCTTGTGACGGTGACTGGGGACTGAGCCACGTGGTAAGTTATGCGGACCGAAACGGTGGTAAAGAAGTGATGACTTACCTCCTACTCGACTCACTCATGGTAAGACTGGGTGGTTGAGTAGTTGTATCCTCATCCATACCACCTTCGGTCATCTTTAAACGCTGCCCTACAATGATCAGCTTTGCGCTGACAGGTGGGGTCCATTACCATGACTTTGACTTACGGCGTCTCCTCTGTGCTAATCGATTCTGAATCTTCTTTCTGTCTTGAGAGTCGCTCACGTCCCGCCATGCGTCGGCGTCTATGGCATGCATTTTGGAGGTGAATTGGATGTGGTTCTGGATAACACTGCGCGGGTGTTGGCTGCACTATACGTTCTGCTACTAGCGCAGATCTCTTCTTGTAGTGGTCTTTAAGATATATCGGCCTGCATCAGCCCGCGAGTACAAGCACCTCAGCAGCGGCAGAAGGCTATGCATATGTCAGTTTTGCCAGAGCCATGTTGTCAGAACCGAAGCCCTAGCCGGTTGACTAGTGGCGCATGCTTGTGAGCTCAGGTCGTGACCTGTGCTGAGCGCAGAGCCGTTCGTGGTTTTCGGATTCCGGGGCACTCGGCGCTCTCCGAAACTGGCGCAGTGGTTGCGGTATGCATCTCATTCCCGCGTCGATGAAGGGATCAAACAATCCCGGTCAAGGGCTCCAACGCAGCAAAGGATCGCACGACTGACGCATCGTAGGTGATTAGACCCTTCCACGGCCTCGCTTGCGTCTGCGCCCTGCAAGACGGTGCAGTGACGGCCCGCACTTACGCCATTTTGGTACTAGTCTGGCCCTAGGATTGTGTATAGTGCAGCAATCAATATACGCAGAAGAGATGCAGAAGCATGAGAAACACTGGAGAAGCAAGCGAAGGATGATGATACAATCTGCCTTTCAGTGTTTAATTAGCGAGAGATCGTACTACCCGAGGCTAGACGCCGATCAACCAATGTCGTATCTCATATAAAGATGCGTCCTCTATTACTGGCTGTAGGCGGATCGACGAAGAACCCAGCAACCTGAGTACCTTATCTTTATCGCTGATAATGGTGTACCGCGCCCAAGAGCGTCGTGAGCTGCGATGAGAGCTTCGGATTGAGATCTTTCGACGAGAACCGCTGGACAAGCGTTGTCCGGCTGACCCAGTTTAAAGGCGCGACTAGCGCTGTACTCCATCTCCCCAGGAATGAGGCTCAACTCTGGTATATTGCATGAGCCTTTGCAAAGAGTCTAGCTCGCAGGCTGCATGGCGCCAAAGCTGTCTGCCTTCCCGCTATTCATGTTTGGTTCGTGGCTCTGCACTAAGACAGCTCACCGTTGAGCGCAGGATTGGGGAAGAGTTGAATCCCGGCAGAGCCTGGCTTGCGCGGCATATGCGGAAGGGAGCCTTCTAGAATATTCGGTGCATAAGTGCCCGGGAACTGGCATGTCGATGGCGTGCCTAACCAACAGGCGCATCGATAGACATGCGATCTGTAGATGTCAAAGTCGATTACTGACATCAAGTCAGCGTCTTTGAGGACCTCCAGGGAATGCCGCGAAGTTCGACTTGCAAAGCGAACGAAGTTGTATGATTTTCTCTCCAGGCTTGACAGGGATGTTAGCCGACTGCTGCAACGAGCACACCGAATCTTGATGTTCCCCGTTCTTGAATCCCGATATCCCATGTCACCAGATTACTTTGTTCCGGTCTTCTCCATTTCCAAAGCATTTATGTACAAGTTCGTCGACCGTGGCACTCACTGTTCTGAATGGCATATAGTTTGTACGCAGTCAGCTTGCCAAATCCCGACCAAAGGTATGAGGTGTGCTTCCAGGCTTTTCAAAACCCCAGCTGACGAACTCTACAGCATGGCAAACCAACACTGGCGCACAGTGACGTGTGTCCAGCTGTGCGAGCGGTACGCCAGTGCAGAGCCTCATGAGCCCTGCGTGCATTACGAGGTGAATTAGCGTCAAATTCTCGCTTGCGGCTGGCGCTACCGGTCCCCGAAAGATCCTCCCGCACGTAACGCATACACATAACATGTGCATTCAAGATGCGATGCGGTGAAATCATCGTCACTCCACCGAGATCGAAGGCAACCATTCGATGCTGACTTCTGGTCGACGTTGAAAAGGTTTGAACCAGAAAGCGTGGATGTATCCGTATGCTGTAAAGCCTTCTGGGACCTCACGAATTTGGTATGAGCTATATCGACAATGTAAGCATAGTTGTACCCGCCGTATGCGCGGTACAAGGGCGAGAACATGGAACCATTTTCTCCACTGCAGCCTTAGGATCATATTAAATCGGCAGGCCACCCGCGACATTGGCCGTAGCAAGACCAGTCCGCCACAAAATACTAACCATTCAACTTTACGAGCGCGGGACGGATGTGCTTGCGTCTGCCTTCTGCAAGGTGTCGTCACAGTCCGCTCTGCAGGAGACGATTGAGAGTACGAGTACACTCATGCGTGTAACCATCTCGTCCCCGGCAAATCCATAATCTACACCGTATGCTGTAGGGTCGAGCACGTTTCCGCGTCCAAGAGGAAATGGGAGAATCTACCGGGATGCGATCTCCCTAGTTGTATCCGTTGGATCGAATCAGTCCGTCGCGGAACTAGAGCGAGGTCCGTATGAAAGCAGATCTAGGCGCTTGTGAAGTCCTCGGGAAGGCGAGCTCTCTGTTTCTTGGGCCGCCAGCGGACGAGTGTAACAGCGATTACCACCTTCCTGGAGATGTGGAGAAAGTATGCAGCAGTTCCCGGATGCGGCTGAAGGAGGCGGGGGACTTATGGGTCTTAGCTTGACGCCGGCAGTGTTGGTATGGCCCAAGCGGCATGACGGTCAGAGAGGCTGGTGGGTAATAAAATGCGCGTTGGTGCGTGTCATTTTTGTGGCGGGAAAGCGCATTCTCCGTCACGTTAGGCGTACCTTCCAGTACCAAATTATGGGAAGCCCACCAATAATCGACGACTGTTTGACCACCCTCGAGAATAGCTTTCCGTTCTGCCGCTTCTTTTCCAATGAGCGCATATTGTTCCACGTGGAAGGCTTACTTCGGTCTAATTCACCCAGCCTCTTACCAGATTTCCCCTTAGTCTAACAACTAAAGATCCTTGAACATCATCACCTGGGCATGAGAAGAGGCAAGTCCGGCTTTCATCAAGTAGCAAGTCGTGTGCTAAACCTGAGTCGCCACGTGGGCGCTGTACTAGCAGTGTTTGCAGTGCGATGGTACAGAATGCGGCATGACTATCAGTAACAGCGGGATGTAACTGAGCTTGAGAGACCCGAAAGCTTAGAAGCTTATGAAACTAGCCGAACGATCGCTCACATGGGTATGCCATGTCCAACATATCTGAAATGGCAAAAGGCAATCCTAAAATCTTTTCAAGCCTCTGTTGGAGGCTATCCTTAAGCTGGATATAGATTGTGAAAACCCAGGGATTATCCGCCGGCGGCTGGCCGAACTATAAAACCACCTGACCCTTGTGCAGCAGGCACCCAAAGACGCAGGAAGCTCTGAATAGGGGGATTGTACCAGGTTCTTAGAAATCCTGGGATGCAGCATGCACTGCACTGTTCGCCGTGATCTGCAAGCCCATGCAGTCTTGATATCAAATACAGGGATTTGTCATTCATGGCAACTACACACCAGTCTTAGCTCGGACCCTATTAAGCACCTTCCACATGTTTCGAGTTGAGTGAACCATGCATTGCGTGCTCATGGCCACGAGGTTGCGGCGTGTGGGCCAGGATCTTGTCAGAATATTGCATGTCATTTTCTATTCCGGGAACTGCATGACTTTTGTATCGACTACCACGAGGTGTCTTGCATATTCGCGCTATCCTGCACTCTTCTTTGTTGTTAAGACCACAAACGATGAATGCCGACTCCAACCAACACGAACTTGATTCACGAAGCTGGAAATGAACCGACGACAGCGTATCCTTCGTTCGTGTGGCGAAGGGCGGCGAACGCGAAGAGACCGAGGAAGAATTTCCGTGGACTGGAAGGGCAAATGGAGGGAATTACTCCAATAGGTCAAGCAGAAGTCCTCTCGATATCGAATCACCCAGACCGATCGCCTTTCAATCTCACCACAATGCTCTCCTGGAGTGGTTTCCTCGCATTTCTCGTAAGCGATAACGGTCTTTTCGATCGGATAGGCCGCGTCGACAGGCCGTCCATCGTCCATCGTGGCAACGAGAACAGATCACCGAGCAATGTCCGACCCTGAGGAGTGAACCGCACCACACCATGTATACGGGCATTCTCGTTGTATCTTCGCAAGCTCGAACTTTAAGATACTTAGGGCAGTAATTCGGGCCCTCGCAGGATATCAATTGCCCCACTGTCCAAATGAACATATGGAACCTCAGGATAGACTGATAGCGGAGTCATCCCCCACACCAGCAAGCAGCAGACATCAGCACGATAAGACCCACAATTACCTTCATCTGAGTGGATCTGGACTCGTTCATTTGCTTTATCAGTCATTCTTAGCTGGAGAATCACTGATGAGAATGATACGATGAAACAATTTGTTGCCTTACCTCAGGCGACGTCATTAAGGAAGTTCTACCAAGCACAGAATGGAGCAGTGAACATAATTATGTCTGAATTACGAAGAATAATCAATTGATACATAGGAGTGTCTATGGAAAGGAAGGCTAAAATGCAGCACAATTTGATGCGCCCCGATTCGCACTTGCGTCGGGCTCCAACATCGATGACGTCACAAGATTTTCACTCGCTCGAGGCCGACTTCCGCTCTCTCCTCCACACCTTAACTGGCATGTCACCCAATATCCAGTTCATTGTTTCGAGCCTCTGAAGCTGCCAATCAGGACTGCTCAAAGCAAAGTTGTATCTTCGGAGCAGACTCGCGACGACGACAGCTTGTTCCAGGTACGAGATGTTGCGTCCGATGCATCCTCGGGCACCCGCGGAGAAGGAAAGGAAGTACGGCTGGAGTGCTTTACCTTCCTCGCCCAGGAATCTCTCAGGGATAAATTTGTCGGCTTGCGGAAAGGCTGATTCCTGTCGGTGTGCCACGAGCGCAGACATGGAGACTGTGACGCCACCGGGGATGTAGTCGCCAAGGATATTTGTACCGTCGGCGGGCGTTTCGCGCGGCAAGCCGTGAGGAGTAGGTGGGAAGAGGCGAAGGGACTCGTCCAAGCACGCTCGCAAGTATGGGAGATGCTTCACTTTGTCGTATGCGATCACTCCGCTCTCATCCTCTCCCTCGTCATCTTCAACCGCAGCATCGATCTCCTCTGTGACCTTCTTCAAAACCTCAGGATTCTTGATGAGCTGATAGATGATGTTCGTAATGGCGATGGCGGTCGTTGCAGAGCCGGCGTTCATCATGATGCTGATCTCGGCCACAATCTCGCCCCATTCGAGGTTGTTCGGGTGCCCATTCTTGTCTTCCATGAGTGCTTGGAAAAAGTCATCGAGCTTCTCACCAGCACGGTACCTCTGCAGACGGCGGTGCGCGAGTTCCACAGGAATGCCGTCCCAGAGTTTAGAGAGCTTGCCCATACGGCCATAGAACGGAATGAGGTTGGAGATCTTATCGATGAATGGGTACCACTCGTAGTTCCAGATGAGCAAAGATTGCTTGCGGGCAGTTTGGTACAATGCAGGTCGAAGTTCGCACTCGTATGTGGTGCCATCAGTGCGTCGTCCGGTCACTCGGTCGTGGCCGCGATCAAGGAAACCAAGCTTTTCGGAGAGACCGATGTCGGCGATAGCATCGAGAGTAAAGAAGTTGGCCCACTTTCGGAAATCAACGTTGACATCTTCGGGCTTTACTGTCTCCCCGCGCTTCAGTGGAGCAGTGCAACACGAATCCAGATGCTTGAGTAGCTTGTACGTCTTATCGGCGACCTTGTGTTCCCAACCTTCAAGGTTCTTTAGGGCGTATGCCGAGCTCAATGTCTTCCTCTTGCGAGCGTGGTCGTGCTTGTCGACTACATCGGCTAGATGGTAGTGGGATCCAGCACCAACAACGTATTGTCCGTCCTTTGTACAAGGGGTGTTGTGGCCGTAGATGTCCTTGATGGCACGCAAGTCACCGTAAGAGAGAGCATTGGGTCCGGTGCGAATGACAGGGTACTTCTGGTGGAGTTTGGAGAGGTAGGTTGACCGTTCGCCAGAATGCGCGAGAATCATGAAAGGCACCCATGATATGCCCGATAGTGGGTGCATGTTTGGGTAACGACGAAGTCCTACTCGAGTCAGTCAAATCCACTTAGGGGGCAATTTGCCGAGCATACCATTAACGTCGCGGAAGTAAACAACAACAGGGTATACAACGAAGTACAAAAACACACAAGTGCCAAAGGCAACCGCGTACGGCAACGATGTCATTGCGGTAGACATTGTCTGAAGAAACGAAGACACTGGGTCTGTGTTGATTCCAGGTAATGTGAGAAGCTGTCTTGACATTCTGTAGCGTCACTGTCAACTCTTTAAAACTGAAATGGAGCATCCACATAGACGTTTACTGCGGAGTCTATCCGAACGGTCCCAATGCACGCCAGCCCAACATGTCACCAAGATGGACATGTACGGAGAACATTTCTACATCGAGTAACCCCGCTAGTTAAATGGCACTACAGTGCGTGGGGAAACGCGGGGTCTAAACCATGGCGGGGTTCACTTGTCCTGCGAGACATCGTTCCAATTACAGGTCACTGTGGAGCCTCAGTTCTCCGCAAGTTGATCATGCAGAACGCATTTTCCTTTCTGGGAGGCTTACGTCTCCGAATGCGTTGCTGTCAATGCGTTGCCCAGCTGGATCGAAACGGCCAACGTGCAAGCGCGCTCGTGGCGGTTTGGTCTTCTCCACGCATGTGACCGACCCAATTTCTAGGAGCAAGATTCCCCATCGTGGGTTTTGTGGGAATTGCTCACGATGCTTGTCGCCGAAGAATACCACCTAGTGTAGCAGGCAATCCCGAACACTTCTAAAGATACTTGGACAGCTTTGCAAACACTTCTGGTAGCGATAAATGTCCTACAGTATATGATTGAGCCCTTGACCTCTCAGTGCTGCCAAAGGGGTACCCTGAAAGGCCGTCATGGAGTCTTTCACATTTCCTATCGATGTTAGCGAACTGCAGTCAACGCTCAATCCGCTCCTGCGAACACTACAATCTTCTCCCATATTCGACACAATCAAACCTTCAAGCGCAGCAGATGGCATCGCTGCCTTTCTTTTTCTCCTCTCCGCTCTTGGATACGTAACGCGAGGTCGTCTTTGGGACAAGCCTGATCCAAACTACAAAGTCTGGTTCGAGCGCCCACAGCTAGCAGATGGCGCTTCAAGTAGCAAGACTGCTGCTACTCGAAATGTTGCACAACGATTGGAGGAAGGCGAATACCAAGTGGTCATCTTCTGGGGTTCACAGTCAGGCACTGCAGAGCGCTTCGCAGAGACTCTGGGCCGCGAGTGCCACACTAGATTCGGTATCAACGCGCTAGTAGCAGTAAGTTACCTCGATCTTTATACGTTATTTGAACATGCATCTCTGCACAGCGCAATATTCGTTATGCACATGCGCTACTCGTGAAACATGACAGCACACCGTTCTACGTGTAATAGAACGCTCACGAACTTCAGGATCTTTCTGATTACGACGCCGAGTCAATCGCAGAAGTCCAACAGAAACACTTCGCTATTTTCCTCCTCAGTACGTACGGCGAAGGCGACCCGAGCGACAACGCCGCAGGGCTTTGGGACTGGATCAAGCGCATCAAGGATCAGAGGACCAAGGTGGATAACCTTCGATATTTGGCGCTTGGTCTTGGGAACAGCAACTATAAATATTACAATCGGGTTCTTGATGTCGTGGTTGAGGCACTCGATGCCGCTGGGGCAACATCACTCATGCCACCACAGCGAGCAGACGATGCTGAAGGTGCGACCGAGGAAGACTTTCAGTCATGGAAGGACGACATGTTTGCATTGCTTCGTGGCATGGGTTACGAGCAGAAGACTGTTGCATATCAGCCTACCGTCAGCGTTGAGTTTGGTGAGAAAGCTGAGAAGGAGAAGGACGACTCCGTTCATCAGGTTTCGGTGCACCACCAACAAACATCGCTGAACTCGGCCATCTTCCCGTTACCTGTGCGAAGCTCTCGCGAACTCTTTACAGCCGGCGATCGAAATTGCATCCACATGGAGCTCGATCTTGGAAATAGCGATCTGGTCTATAAGACGGGTGACCACATCGGAGTCTGGCCGTGCAACCCTGACGAAGAAGTTGAGCGACTTCTGGAAACTTTGGGTCTCAGCGCTCGGAGTAAGGATACTCTTACAATCGCAGCGCTGGATGATTCTGCGAAGCCTAAGGTGCCATCTGGAAGTACGCTTGAAGCTGCACTGCGACATCACCTCGAGATTTGCGCGTCTGTTTCCCGAAAGACGGTCTTCGAACTTGCACAATTTGCTCCAACCGCCGAAGCGAAAGCCATGCTCACTGAGATCGGTCAAGACCGCACTCGCTACGAACAATTGACTTCATCCACGCACATCACCCTCGCACGACTGCTGCAACTCGCCAGCCCACTGGAACCGTGGACTGCCCTGCCACTATCCTTCGTAGTAGAGACTTTGCTTCCGCTGCAACCGCGATATTACTCTATCTCTTCAAGCTCCGTCATCTCTCCACGTCGCATCGCATTGACCGCCCTTGTTGTCAACAAGGAGGTCACAGACGAGAACAAGAGCACAATCCACGGTCTGACATCGAATTACCTCCTCTCCGCATCCAAATTGCCCTCAAACGCGAAAGTGGCCACTCCAACGTTCCAGCATACTTCGTCAACAGGTGGAGAGGGTGGAACCGTTTTCGCACATGTGCGGAAGTCTAAATTCAAGTTACCGATCACGTCTTCCACTCCCCTCGTTTTGATTGCCGCGGGAACTGGCTTCGCTCCGTTCCGAGCCTTCCTCGCTGAGCGCGCTAAGCTGCATGCTCTGGGCAAGCCTGTGGGTCGCATGCTATTGTTTTTCGGCTGCCGTAGCTCAGACTCGGACTACATTTACCGCGAAGAACTGGAGAAGCTGCAGGAGACGCTCGGTGATAAGCTCCGGATCGTCACCGCCTTCTCAAGAGAGGGGAATAATAAGAGGGTCTACGTGCAAGACCGGGTGGTGGAAGAGAGTGAGACCGTGCTAGAGATGCTTAACGCAGGGGCAAATATGTACATTTGTGGAAAGGCAAGTATGGCGAGGGAGGTTGATGGAAAGATGGAGGAAGCTGTGGCCAAGCAAAAGGGGATGAATGAGAGTGAGGTGAAGAACTGGACTGATGGTTTGAAGAAGCGAGGAAAGTGGAAGGCAGATGTTTGGGGCTGAGCTGGTAGACAGGAACATGATACCATAGAGTTAGACCTGAAATTACGATTGAATACCTCAAACCTGCTTCCATCACTGTCTGTAGTATCATGAGGCACGCAAGTGTCGAATCCAGCCGCAAGCCTAGGCTGACTCGCCGCACTCGGTGCCAGGCGAAACTCAACAAGAGTTACAGCGTAGCAGCGCCAGCATGTCCACGGTTCGGGCTGACTGCAAGATGTCTTACAGTGGAGTTCACAATTTTGACTGTGATGTCATGTCAAAGTTGTACTTCATGTTGGGCGAGCTGGACAAAACATCTACGGTGTTCGTTAGCATTCTGTGGTCCGTTGTCATTTGCGCCAAGCTCCACTTGGTGAGGACACCTGACTTTATTCGATTGCCGCTCCCCTGACTGCACTGAGGATGTGGGCCCATGCACTACGTCACTGGTGAGGGTCCTGCACACGTGATGCCGGGTTAGGGCCGGGTACCACGACTTTTAGTGGTATCGACCGGGACTAAAATGAGGCTCAGCATTCAGGTTTGAAGGTGCCACGGAGCAACTTGCCTTTCTATCTAGCGTGCAAAGCTCATGGTTGGGCCCGTGCGCCTAACGACAGAACATGGCAGTGAAAACCGCTTCGGCGTCTGACCGTGCACAAGACCTCAACATGGCCTGGCTTGTCTTCCCCATCCAATCATTGCGGGTCTGATTCTTTTGAGAAACCATGGCAATTCCCTATCCAATCGCAATGCTCTGATTCCGGTGACTGTACTGTTTAGGCGTTCGGCTCCATGCTCGGCTTCACGCGAGGAGCGATGACGCCGCCTGGGCGGGTTCGACCCGACACCCCGCTCATGCACCCCAAGCAAGCTAATCTAGCTTCCGACTATCAGGAAATGCGGAGGAGAGGCGCTGATGCCCTCGTCTCGGGCTGAAGCGGGTCCCAACGTAGCAACCGTCGTGTCGAAATCGCTCAGTCCCTGGCAACCTTGGTCTTACAGAGGGATTAGCATCATTGCGGCACTTGACGGGCGATCAACATATATAGTACGCTTTGGTCCATTGTTGGAACACCATCACAGCAGCCTTCACTGGTACTGCGACCACAACAGCAACTTTTGATCACTCTCAGAGATACATTAGCGTCGTTTGCTTTTACTTCGACCTCCACTAGCATCGTTTCCGGTTGTAACAATGGCGACGTACGACAACAAGACCGACATGGACAAGAAGGTCCACCTCGACGTAAACTCCCACTCTTCGTCAGAGAAGATCGAGAATGTTGAAACCTCGAAAACTATCGACACAGCGCAACTCCACGAACTCTCAGCTATCGAACAATGTGCGGCGTCTAGGGGAGCATGGCTGATCAGTTTTGTCATCTCTCTGGGAGGACTTCTCTTTGGGTACGTAACAATGCCATGAAAGCACTGAGTCTGCATCAATCTGACCAACTCCACGATATGATACTGGTTATATTTCATCAGTCCTCGTCACAATCGGCACCTCGCTTGGTCATGAGCTCACTTCCTCCGAGCAAGAACTCGTCACGTCGCTCACCTCCGGCGGTGCGTTCGTCGGTGCCATCTGTGCTGGTCTCACAGCCGACAGATTTGGCCGTAAGATGCCCATCTGGGCGGCCTGTATTGTCTTTGTTATTGGCACTGTCCTCCAGACCGCTGCTTATTCCGTCGCACAATTTGCCGTTGGTCGCTTCGTAGTCGGTCTGGGAGTCGGAAGCGCAGCCATGATCTGCCCACTTTACATCTCTGAGCTGGCTCCTGCGAAGTACCGAGGTCGTATGGTGGCATTCAACAACATGTCTGTAACCTTTGGACAGTTGTTTGCGTCCGCCCTGGGTGCAGGCTTCGCTCACGTCAAGGGTGAAGGCTGGCGAGCTACTGTCGGCGTTGGCGCCCTTCCTGCTATCCTTCTTGCTGGCCTTTTGTTCACTTGCCCAGAATCTCCTCGTCAGCTTGTTGCCCATGGCAAGCTGGACCAGGCTGAGAAAATTCTCCTTCGACTTTATCCCGGTTCCACCGAACAGCAGCGCCGAGCAAAGATGTCGAGCATCGAGCTCAGCATTCAACAGGCCACAGAGACGATGGTTGATGACTCGCTCTGGAAGACCTTCAAATCGATCTTTACCAACATGGCTACGCTTCGCGCTGTGGGTACCGCCTGCGTAATCATGGGAATGTCCCAGTTTTCTGGGTTCAACACACTAATGTACTACTCGGCAACTCTCTTCAAGATCGTTGGCTTCAACAACCCCACAGCGGTAGCCATCGCTGTTGCAGGTGCCAACTTTGTCTTCAGCGCCCTCCTCATCGTCGTAGTAGACCGCTTCGGACGTCGCACCATCTTGCTCGTTACCGTTTTCGGCATGTTTACCTGTCTCACTATTGCCGCTGTAGCCTTCTCCTACATCCCAATTGACCTGCACACGCTCGAGGTCACCAGCGATCAGATCGGCTGGCCAGCCTACCTTCTTATCGCCATGATCATCATCTTCATCGCCTTCTATGCCTCGGGCATTGCCACCATCGCCTGGATCGGCACCGAGTTCATTCCCATGGAAGTCCGTGCCGTCGGCACTATGCTGAACACCGCCACCTGCTGGTCGACCAACATCATTGTAGCTTCTACTTTCCTGTCCATGATGAAGGGCATCACTCCCTCCGGAGCTTTTGGCTTCTACGCCGGCCTCATGTTCGTCGGCTGGATCTTCGTCATCTTCTGCTTCCCTGAGGTCAAGGGCATGCCGCTTGAGGCTGTTCGTGAGGTGTTCGAGAACGGCTTTGGTGTCAAGTATGCGAATAAGTGGCAGAAGGAGAACAGGGAGTTTGCGAAGATGAATGCGCAAGGTCCGGCTTTTGGACACTGAGCTTGTAGATTATAGATGTTTGTTGTAGATACCCTGTGAATTACTTCGAGACTTCGAGCTTGTGCCACTGTGTCGCGTGAATAACTACTGCTGTGGGTGAAATACGTGAGATGATATGTCATTCGGATAGATAATGTTACGTTCGAAATGAACGCGGCGGACCAAGAAGCATTGATAGCTTTGAGCTTCATTGCGGAGGAAGGTCACAGTCTCAAGATTATCGAGGCTAGTGCCGCCGTGGAGGTTTTCGGGGCTTGGAAGAACCGTCTTCATACAAAAAAAAAGTCTTCCACCTTGAGCTAGACAATTGAAGAACCGAAAGGAAAGTCCGTCGCTGGAGTTTTTCAAAGGCAGCACTGTATATGCGAGCTTTCTATAATGCTTGCAGGGCCCGTTCGATTTTCACGACGAAGGGCGGTCGGCTTGGAATCGGCATGAAAACAGTAAAGGCAAGTGACGAGATTGCCATCATGTGGGGTTGCACGCTGCCGGTCATCATTCGTCGTCTACGGATGGCAACTGAGTACGCTGTACATAGTGAGTGTTGCTTACGTCTCTGATTTCATGCACTGTGAGGCAGTCGCAGAGCATGAGGGATATCAAGAGGAGAAGCAGAATCCTTTTCACTGCGCTAATTTCACATTACTCTCCTTCCTTTACCAGTCAGATATACCCTAGGACTAGGATATATCACACATTGCTCTCATACGGAGGGAAGATCTGTGACGCGTGTTATCTGTTACCAGAAGAGTGCACTCGAAGATACCGTTAGCGCCAACGACAAGGCTATACAAGCACTGGTCGACCAGGATAGGGCGCTTGTGAAAGCCTTGGGTCAGAGGAAGCGTTCGCAAACGATGCAGACAAGAAGAGTTTCGGGCTTTGAGATGAGCCTCCGAGGGGGGCGAGAGTACAGGACATGTTGCATGTGCCGTATACGTGCAGAGAGCCACTACCGGACGCACGATCAAAATCCGGCAAGAAGGACGACAATGCTACACAGAGCGCAGGACGACACTTGCGAGGGCTGGATATGGGCAGCGTGGATGACATGCAAGACATTCATCAGCAACCGGTGCAGTACATGACTTTCGCGATGAAGCAATAGGCTGAGTATAAGAGACAACAACGGAAGCTGGCAGGCAGTGGACACTGGAGGGATGTCTGAGTACGGGAACTAGCGACAGCACCTCCTTTGAGCAGACGAACATGACTTCAGTAGGACGGATGGTGGAAATGGCCTTTCCAGACTTCACGAAGCCTGCTCAGGCGAGAGTAATAAGATCCACGTAGTCTGATACGAATTAGCGGGTGTTTACGGTTCAGGGAAAGTGCCCTGAGGCGTTCCTTCCTCTTTCGTAATTTCCTGTCACCTTCACCTGACCGCCTAAGCAAACGAAATAGGGAAGTTTCTCACCTTCTCAGCTTCCCTCGCCTGGTCACCCCAATTATATTGTCGCGCTGCAAGGCTTCTCGACTTTCGCTCTAAGTGCGCGTCTCCTCTCCACCATGAGTAAGTGTATCACACAACCCGGCACTAGACGCGGATCTTTTGGCCTTCTGCTGCTCACCGAGGGGCCTTAATGTCTCTTCAACGTCGCCATACCGCCGTTCACGAGAAGCTGTTCAATACTGACGCTACTTGAAACAGGCGGTAGTTATCCATTTCGCGGTCGTGCGGATGCGCAGTCCGGCCACCCCAGCGTAACCACGGTCAAATGTCCTATGAATCTCGAACCTCGAAATGGCCTAACGCATACCGGGGTTAGGTTGGGTCCCACCGCGAGGACGGGCAGAGCATCCGGTAGAGTGCACCATACCCCAAGATCCAGAAGCGCTGCTAATCATCAAACAGCTCAGATCGTTGATCTGCGCTCGCCTGAGCCTCAAGTCTTGTCTAACGTAGAACAGTATGGTCATGCTGCTATACCCAATCAGCCAGCATCGACAGGCGTGAGAGCAAGCCATACCGGAATCAAGCGTGAAGCGAATGATGATGGGGGAGATGGAGCTCCAAAGCGCATCAAGGGTCCACATACAGCTGCTTCTAGGCCGGATCCGTTCGTCGCAACAATCAATGCTGCTATCGAGGAATATCGCGACAAGGATGAGTCAGAAAAGCGTGACCTGCAAGAAAAGATCACAGTCCTTGAAGCACAGCTACAGAAGGCCAATGGGAGAAAGGTAGGGTCAGAATCCTCTGGTGAATTGTTCGATGATTCACCCGCCCGCCTGCGTGAAGCATGTCAATCAAACACGTCGCCAATAAGTGTGGTCGAGGTCGACCTACTCCCGGTCAATGACGCCCTTTGGACCAAGATTCGCGACAAACACGAAGAGCTTTGCGACAAACATGCAGAGCTTCTCCACAAGAACAAGTTGCTGGCTGAGAAGGATGAAAGGCTTCATAAGAAGAATAACGAGCTTCGTCTTAAGATCGCCGATATTCGTACAAAAGACGAACAGTTGCGTATCTATGAAGACCGCTTTGGTACGACACTGGATGACCTCTCGGACCGACAAGATAGAAAGCAAAGCCATGGCGAAAGCGAGAACAGGGTGGCCGAAGAAAAGCTTAAGGATCTTGAGATTGCAAATGCACAGCTCTTCAAGGATAAAAACAAGATCTGCCGGGGATGGAAGCTGGATCTGAAGACGTACGGGGTGCTCTCGGAGAAAAACCGTAAGGCAGCGGAAAAGACGAGGGCAAAACGGCACGCCGAACACGCAGCTCAGATCAGGTTTCTCAACAAGCAAAACTCCAACGATCAACAGACCAGAGATAAGAGGATCCAGGATCTTGAGAGCGAGGTGACCGAAACGAAAAGAAAGCTCCGCGCCGAACACGCAGTTCAGATCAAGTCGCTCAACGACCAGCACTTCAACGACCGTGTCATGGACCAAGCGACATATCAGAAAGCGCTCAAGCAGGACCAAAAAGAGCTCAAAGAGTGTCACCGAAACTTGAAGAACCAGGAGAGCTCCATGAACATGTGGAAAGGGCGCACGAACGATATGTACATTGCTTACCGCGAGGTTTACGACAAGAACGAGAGGCTTGTCAAGAAGTTGGAGGCGGTAATGACAGCTGGTTCGTTCGATTCCCAGATGAGTGCGAAGAATCGCAAGACCCTTGAGAAGCTCAAGAGCTGTCGGCTGGATGAACTTTCTGCTTTTCATGAAGACTGAACGCAAGCAACTGCAGTGGCGAGCGTAATGGATCCTCGATCATACAGGGAGTGAGTCTCACAGACTCAAGTTGTATGGTATTGCGCAAGGATATGTTCCCCCTTGACGAAGGGCAATACTCTTGGAAGCCTGAAGCACCTGCGTACGGCAGGGTTCGAGAATGGTACCGAGGTTCCGTGAAGGAATTGATTATAGGCTCTCGTATGAATCAGACCTCATCGATGCGATTGGTAGAAAAAAGCTGCTGTGAATGCCCCTGGATAAGTGATCAGTCGCTGCTTAAGTGTTGTGTGACGGATTGTTGCGCCCTGTGCTTTCCGAGTTGATTACACCAGTTGCAATCTGTTTTAGGTGTGCTCTTCCCGTTCGCATGAGGCTGCTCTGCACAAACACCGCACGCATTCATCTTCACATCAATCCAAATTGTCCCACTACCTGACACACATGTGCGTGTGGGCGACTCGACGACAAGTGTTGGGATGTTCACTAGGTGCACAACCTCGAGGGTATCTTGCCGGCGACACCTTCCCCGCCACACTAAGCCTCCTGAAAAGTAGCACCAAGCGGACGACACGCCGCCTAGCTTGCCCTATACGTCCGCTTGAGTTAAGCCCTAGAGGCTACAGATTCACGTATATAGCGCATATACTGAAAGTTTTGTAGTGTTGGACGTTCGTGTAGCTGTTAGGCGCGGCAGCATCCACTGCTGCCGCTGGCACAGCCTTGATACCGATACCGGCAACACAACAGACACGAGCTCTACGAAGTGCACCAATGTGCGCTCTCCGCCATCGACAAACGATGCGACAACTCTCTGTGCGGAAGATTTGTTCGGCGAGGTGCCTGCTCGGGATACGTCTGGCGTCAAGCGCAAGGCTACCGATGATCATGAGGGACCGACTACGCCCTCGATAACGGCGGAGGGCAGGGTATAGCGGAGAAGCGTCAGTTTAGGAAACGGATTGAGGAACTTGAAACCGACTTCCAGAAGAATTTTGACAACCATGAAGAGGAGAAGCATCGGCTCGAAGACACGATCAAGAATCTGACTGAAGAGGTCAGTGAAGAGAGGAAGCTCCGAACTGAAGCAGCCTACCAGAGGCATACGTTGAGAGATCAATTTGACGTCTTGCAAGAAACCGTCGTGGCAACACGACAGCTCATAGGCGGGGGAATGGAAGGACTCCGTGAGCAGGCAGACGGCAGAGACGAGTGCTCGACTTCGCGACAGCTACGTTGCCGCAGCCAAAAAGCTCAGGGGACTTAGTCAGCCGCATGGACCAGAGCTTGAACGATGCAAGACACTGAGTCCGGTGCCAGCGAGTATGAAAGAGAGGAAGCTGTGAATCGGGACGAGGACGCTTCGTTGGGGGCTGGTCACGTGGGCTTCAAGCGCCGTCCCTTTCCGACCGACGGACTGGTGAGACGACATACACATTACAAAGTGGGTGGCGGCTACATCATAGACCCAAGTTATCTGAGGCGCGTCTTCCATAAGCTGAGATTGCAGCCATCAAGATGTTTCCATGATCATCGCCATGAGCAGTGTAGCGAGTCCATGATGAGTCAAACAATTCGCAAGGCTCACACTGTGACCTGACATTCACTGTGCGACTGCGCCTTGCGTTAACCGGAAAGGTCCCGGCTTACCGGTGTGCCTCCCCAGTCTTCCTCACAAGTGCTCACACTTCGTTCTCCCACGATGCAAGCTCCAACCTGCGCCGTTATCATGCCCTTCTTGACCGAGTCTATCTGCCAGATATCCTCTCTGCTTGTTCAACCGATAACTCACGCAGACATTGCAACATGTGCGGCTCTTCGTACCGCAACCCTAGGATCATTAGTCATTGGTCGTCCGCCAGCGTACGATGGCTATTTGGAAGAACAAATCGCTTCGATCAGCAATGATCTGAACAACAAGCCTTACTTTCACCATTTGAAAGTCGTGGATCCAGAGAAAGATGACGAAATACTAGCCTATGCGAAGTGGGAAATCTATGAACGCGGTCGGCCTGATCTTGAGGCCCTGAAGCAACCGATGGATCAAGCTTCAATGAGAGCCGACCAATATGGTCGCTTGAGGGAAGCTGCGCACGAGTACTTTTGCACACAGAATGGGAAAATGGGAGAGAATCCACATATTCGTGAGTTTAGTACTTCTGATTGACACTTCAAACAGTGCACCACGTGGAAGGTCTCCTGCTCATGGTTTTGCCCTCGTAGTCTTGGCCCTCCTCGTCACCTCCACTCACCACAGGCAAAGAGGAGCAGGTAGCCTTCTTGTGCAGTGGGGCATCGAGAAGTCCGAGGCAATGAGGCTTCCCTGTTATGTCCAAGCCTCGGAACAGGGACGGCGACTATATCAGCATCACGGCTTCGAAAGTATCGATGTGGTTGAATTTGACCTGACGGAATTTGGCCTCACGGGAGTCGAACGGATGACCGAGATGATACGACTTCCACTGAAGTGACGACACTAAAGGCTGAGATAGCATGCCCGGCAATGACGCACATCGATAGCGAAGTATATAGAAGACAATCTTTATCTTCCATTCAGTAGACCTAGTCTTTCAGTCTGTCCCCAATCCTATCGTGCTAACGATGACAACATGAAGCGTGTTGGACAATCACATCCGCACTAAGAAAGAGAAAGCTAGGAATACAAGTACCCAAAACAGTCTATCAATGCCAATCGCAGCCCATCCAGCGAGCCGATCCTAAAGGAGCCCTCACTCAATGATCTTCAGCTCCTCCATCCTCTCCTTGGCAAACTGATCTTTGTGATCGTTCCACATGCGCAGAAGCTCAGTGATATACTCCTCGTGCACCTTCTCTATATACTCCTTATCCGGTTGCTGCTGTTGCACAACCTTGATGGGGCGGCCCACCACGATGTTCATCGGTCGTCGGTACGGCATCATACCGACATCGTAGTTGAAGATGCCGCGAGCATGGAAGAGAGGGATAGTCCAGCCCATGAGTTTCTTGATCAAGAGCTGGAACTTGTTGATGTACGGATGCGCATGCGGGTCGAGCTGTTCGTAGATCTCGTTTTCGCCGAATCCAATGACAGGGACCAGGTCGGCGCCCTTGCGAATACCGAGCTTCACAAAGCCTAAACGACGGCGGAGAACAAGACGAAGAGTGCCGGGCTTGGACTCGAGTGATTCGCGTGCACCTCCTATTACGATAGTGATGGCACGACCCATACCCTCGTTATTCGGACCGCCTTTTGAAAGGATATTCTCGCACGATTCGCGTGACACAGAGGCCAAGCCCATACGGAGCGCGTATTCACGGTAAAGTGGTAGCTTAAAGTTCCCATCGAGCGTCAAGAGGGTGTTTGTGATGCCGGGAAAGAGCTGGGAGAATCCGAGGGCTTCGGTCGCAAAGGCAGCGAAGGCACCGTGCGATATGATACCGTGGGGATGGTATCCGAAGATGTATTTCCGCGTGGGTTCCAGCTCTTGGGAGCGGTGGAGGCGAGCGGGGAAGTACGATGCGAAGAGCGACCATATCTTGTTCTTACGCCAGCGGTCGCTGCGGAATGAAAGCTCGCCAGATTCACCGGCCTTTGAGAAGAGGACGTAGATAAGGTATGGCAACAAGATGGGCCACAGGATGGGTATTGCGCACAGGAAGAAGAAGATGGAAACAAGACCGGCGATGCTAAGAGTATGAAGTAAGACGGCCAAGGTCTGCAGGCGGCGTTGCAAGGGAACGTTGAGCGGGGCAAATCGGATCCTGTAGTTGTTAGCTTTGATCAAGCATGTACGCAAGCTGCAAATTGCGCCATCGATGTCAGCTCAAGAAGAGTGGGCGTCGAGCGCGCCGGCGCCACCCAGTATGTCCCCGCGCGGGTAGATAATATTTGACATACTTGCTCTTATGCCATCCCTCGCCCGCTTGTCGTCCAGACTTGAGCTCTGAGTTCCTGCGCATGGGCTTCTTGTCTGTCCGCGTCTCCAATTCGAAGTCGGCGGTAGGCTTGACGCTGGTCAAGGCGTCCCCATTTCCGTCCTTGTGTTTCTCAAACATCTCGTACTGCAGCTGCTCGCCGTACTTGCGGCCGATCGAACCGTTGGACTTCAGCGATGACTTGCGGCGATGAGAATTTCTCGAAGGGCTCTTTGGGCTGTTGTCCTGGCCCTCGCCCTCATACTCCTCAGCCGGCACGATGCGGATGACCTTCGTGCCATTGGTCTGGTTGTCCTTGTGGTGATCTCGAACCTTCTTCTTCAAGGCGTCTTTCGCGTCGTCGAGTGCGCCGTCCGTCTGGCTCTCGTGTGATTGTGCCTCGGGCTCGGGCTCGTTCTGTAGAGCCTCTTCGGCGGCGGCCGCGTACGACTTGGGCGCGAGGTTGTGGTCAGCACGCTCCTCAGGCTGCGACGGCTCAGCGTTGAGCGACATGGCGAGCGATTGACTGCGGCGGTAAATAGAGGGGCAGAGTTGAGGGAGAAGGGCTACGGGAAGTCCGTCATGGTGCGTTTCGTTGGAATTTGGGGTCAGGGTCGAGCTTGCCAGAGCTTCCGCCCACCGTGACACGCCATGACGTCTGCGCCCGCGCCGGGTACCCGTTTGCTCTAATGCGAACGCCTGCAACGAAGCGTGTTATTAGGCAGGTATTTGAAGATAGACCAATTCGTGACCCTGAATCTGCCCTACATAGATTATCTGCAAGGTAGAACGATCGACTTGGCCCTACCATGTCCTTGCATAGTGGCAGGTATGTACCTTCTACAAACGTCGTTGTGGCGCTGTGGCAAGTGGGGCTTCTACAAGAGCCGCATCGCTCTTGCCCTTGAACACCAAAACTGTTTCTCATCACTTCTCTGATTTGTCACATTAAAAGCACCATCGCACAGTCATGAGATGAGTGCCTCAAAGTCTACCTCTTTCCCTTTACATCTCTTGCTGATACTGCCACCCGACTGAGTCACGCTGCTGCCTCCGTACCACTCATCACTTCTTCATACGCCGTTGCGACACCAAAAAACAAAAAATCGGTTATTTAGACTGTTAGAAAAGGAGGAACGCCGAGCTTTCCAGACATGCAGACAACGCCAGCGCGCTCTTCGCGCATCACAAAATCACGAAAACCTAGCGCGGCTGCAGCATTGGGTCTTCGCCGTTCTGTATCATCGCCCTCGTCAGCCAGTCCTCGGAGGAAGTCGTCGCAATCAACGAAAGCCGGTTTATTCAATGATGACGAGAAGCTCGACGACACAGGTGTGATTGCCTCGCTTGCCACAGACCTCAACTTTCGCGATGTGCCTCAGTACATGGAATACATCCGTAACAGGATGTTCAATGACATTCCCCAGAAGAATGCTGGCATGAACTCAACGCGGATTGCTGAAACTCTGAACTATCGAATAGCGTTGCCGCCAATCGTGACGCTTGCACATCTTGACGCCTTGTGCGCATCCTCTACGAAGACCGAACGAGAAATTGCTGAGCTTGCTCAGGCAGGCATTCTTCGAAGAGTAACCATCCCTAATCGCGGTATGGGTCTTGCTTCTGTAGGAGATGGTATCGCTTCGGTGCAAGTATGGGAACGCTTGGTCAGGTCGCACACTGCACTTACGCCTGATGTACAAGGTAAACATATTGTCCGCTTGTTAATGTCGATTGCTGACATTAGAATCAGAAAAGTACATAAATGCTATGAAAGCCAATCCGACGTCAACGACCATAGCAAGCACTGCTTTCACACCAAGCGAGATATCGAGCCTGTCAGCCGCTGGGTTTTTAACCACTGCTACCGCACTTGACAATAGATCTTCTATCTTCGCAATGCCAGGCAGCGGAAGTCTCTCATTCCTGTCAACAGCTGGGTCACGTCACGCATCGGGTTCCTTGGGCGCGGTTGGTGGAGCTTCAGCAACGCAGCACATGCATGGAGGAACCGGCCAGCGTATGGCATCTACCGCATACTACAACTTTTCGCTTCCGAATACCGGCTCTCACACCAAGTTGATCATTGAAGCCCGTACGCACTTCCTCAGCCTTTTGAAGAGATCCAAATACAAAGAAGCGCCATTAGGAGTATTGAAAGAGCGATGGGACGGCGGCATTGTGGGCAAGGAAGACATCGCCGAAAAAAAGAAAGCACGAGGAGAATTTGCTGGCATACTACCAGGACGCACGAAGAAGTGGAAACAATTCCATGGCTTGCGATTCGAGTGGATCTTAGAAGAGTGCACTGGCGCTGGTCTAGTCGAGCTCTTCGAGACCGGCAGTGTAGGTAGAGCAGCAAGGATGCTTTGATGAAGTTCTCAAGCAATCTGTGAGTCTTCGAGCAGCTCGCGATTCTCTTACCCAGCATCTTTCAAGTCGAGTCATTCCCCAGCGGGTTTATACGCCAAGGAGCCACAAGGGCGGTATAGCGACACTCGTGGATGTCGGAGATCACCGGTTTCCAAACATCAAAGGGCGTTCGCCTTCCCTATTCGAGCAAGCATGTACACATCGGTCATGAATCAGCGGCCGTCTCCGAGGCTGATAGGTGCGCTAGTGGTGAACGCGGGGATCTCAGCCCTTCGCTCTCCCGAATTGACGAATCGCGTTCCTCCTCGCTTGGCGCAAATTCAGTCATAGACGTCAAACTGATTCCCCACATACATAACTGTTGTCATTGCTCGTACAGCACTGTAGTGAAGATATTTTCAGACATAGAATTCGTGCAAAAAACGATGCGACACGACAATGAATTAGACGTTATCGAGCCTACAAGCCAGGCAGCCCTGGCTCCGCGGTACCAAGAACACGACGCGGCGTCAACTGGATCAAAGTTGGAGAGGAACATTACTGCCGTGTCAAATGATGGGAGGGAGAGAGGGAAGTGGCAGGTGACTGCCATTCTAATCGCACTTTTTGTACGTTTCTCAAGTTTTCCACAACATAAACACTGTGCAACATCTACAACCCTCAGATCAGTGTAATTAGATCGCTCGCCTACACGTGAGGCTTCAATCACCAGGCTAACTATCAAGTTTAGCTCTCCCTTTTCGTCGCAGCCCTAGATGCTACTATCGTCGCAACAGCCGCTCCTACCATTTCTGCTGACCTCAACTCCTCCGCTGGCTACACATGGATTGGTGCCGCCTATCTTCTTGCCAATGCATCCTCAGGCCCAATCTGGGCCAAGCTGTCTGATATTTGGGGACGAAAGCCGATTGTTCTAGCAGCGTTAGCAATCTTCTTCGCAGCTTCAGTGGTTTGTGCGACGGCCAAAACTATGATGGCGTTGATCGTTGGGAGAGCATTTCAAGGTATGGCTGGTGGTGGTCTTATCTTGTTGGTGCATGTCTGCATCAGTGACCTGTTCAGTTTAAGGTACGTCCTTCTAGAGTTAAAGCTACTGGGGAATTCAGGTTCCTTTTCAACTGAGCAACTACTGACTAACGCCAACAGGGTGCGCGGACTTATTATGGGATTCACCGAGGGCATCTGGGCAATCGCTGGCGGTGTTGGGCCAATCTTGGGTGGTGTCTTCGCCTCTCTTGTTTCCTGGCGATGGTGCTGTCAGTCATACTCCGGTTCTGCATATTAGTCCTTTTCGCTAATTCACCGCAGTCTACATCAATCTTCCCATCTGCGGTATCGCTGCCATCCTTATCATCGTTTTCCTTGACATCCGCCACGAACACACGTCTTTCTTTGACGGTGTGAAGGCAATCGACTGGACTGGAATCGTCACCTTCCTGGCCTTTACTCTCATGGTCCTTCTGGGCCTCAATTTCGGCGGTGCCATCTTCCCATGGGACTCCGCCAAAGTCATCGCGCTTCTCGTTGTCGGCGGCCTCATGGTCCTCGCCTTCGTATACAGTGAAGCTAAGATCGCAAAGTACCCTTTGATCCCGATGGACATCTTCAAGAACCGGTCCTGCGTCGCCGCCCTCGGAGTCGTCACCTTCCACGGCTTCGTCTTCATCTCCGGCGAGTATTACATGCCTCTCTACCTGCAAAGCGTCCTCGAACTCAACCCTCTGAAATCCGGACTACTCCTACTACCTTTTATCGTACCGGGCGCTATAGCAGGAGTCATCTGTGGCGTCATAATTCACCGCACTGGCCACTTCCGCCCCATCATCTGGGTCGGTAGCGTCCTGCTCTGTCTCGGCTTCGGTCTCCTCATCTCCCTCGACGCTAACGCATCTATCGGACCCTTGGTAGGCTTCCTCATTGTCGCAGGCCTTGGCTCAGGCGTCCTTTTCGAAGCGCCCCTCATCGCAGTACAATCGCAAGTCGAGCAGAAAGACGTCGCAACCGCTACTTCCACCCTCTCCTTCATTCGAAACATGTCGCTCACCGTCTCGGTTGTCATCGGCGGGACAATCTTCCAGAACTCCATGGATGCTCGCGCGGGGTTTTTGAAGGCTGCGGGTCTTCCGCAAGATGCTTTGGAGAAGTTAGCTGGTGAGAGCGCGATGGCTAATGTGCATCTTCCAAGTACCTTCAACAATAAGGCCTGGGAAATGGCTGCTAAGGAGGCGTTCGCATATGCGACGAGGAATATGTGGATCACGTATACGGCGTTTGCGGGCCTTGGAGTCGTGGCAAGTGTTTTTGTAGGTAAGGCGCATCTCAGCACTGAGCATGTTGAAACTGTCACTGGACTGAGGAGAGAGAAAGTTGCAGAACCCGCAAATGTGTAGGCGGCTCGACAAAGGCCGATCTTTTCCTTTTTACATGTACTTTTCAACCTGAGATCTGGTATCGCATTCAACATTATCTAGCGTTGCATTCATTACCCTCTTCACCATTTCGCTCCTTTGCACAAAGCATTATTGGTCTTACCTTGCCATTCCCTCTCACGTCCTCGCCGGTGTCGTCGGCTCCTGCCCCGGCACCGGACTCCCCAGATCCTTCGCCCGCAACTCATACTCCTCTTTCCCCTTAAGCCCCATCGCCTTGCCTCGCCGCAGCATCAGCAACGCCACCAAACCTATTAGTGCAAGGCCTCCGATTATAGACCCGACTGCTATGCCGGCTTTTGCGCCTGTCGAAAGACCTCCACCGCCGCCTCCACCTGATTGAGAGTCGGAGGAGGTGTTGGAGGTGGATGAGGCAGAGGAAGTGGGAGAGGAAGTGCCTGAAGAAGAAGGGGTATCGAATTCCGACGATGTGACGTTAAAGCAAGGGGCTGAGATGTTGAAATCTGAGGCGGCTACGAAGGTCTGCTGTTGTCAGTCCTCTCATACCTCATCGAAGCACATCAAGACAGTACGTACGATATCCGCGCAAGCGAAGAATGACTGGTTATTTCCATTGTTCTCGCCTTCAAATTCTCCCCAGTACTCCATCTGGATAGTAGCGTTCGTGCCCGCCGTGATTTCACCGATGCTCTGGAGCTTGTAGCATTGGTGGCCGGGATCGACTTCTGAGACATTGGAGACGACTTGGTCGTCTATGAAGTCTGACTCCGTACGTGGATCTGATCTAGATTAGTCTATATCTTACGTGGTAGTAGATATGCCGAGGTCACAGCTTACCGTTTCCAGTCGCAAGTCGAATCGCTACATTCCATGCTTCGTCCGCGATTGTCAAGGCTACCGCACCCTGAGTGAGCGGGAACTCAGTGCGATTCGAAGGACCATCTGCACTTCCGCACGGTGCGATGTTATCTGCTTGGGCTGTCCAGTTACGGTCTGGTGGCCAGAGAAAGGCGACGGGACCCATCTCTGTGCCTTCTGCACCGGCTCCATGTTGAGCTTCCACACATGCGAAAGAGGCCACGAACGCTGGCAAGAGAAGGGAGAACATCATATCACAGAGAAGGGGCGATTCTTGTGGCGGTTTAGACGTCCGAGGTGGGGTTCTTCTAGCATCTGGTATTGCTCACATGCGACTGATATGGGTTCGCAGTGCCGAGCGCAGACCTGCATATGCTGGTATCTCCTCAACGGCACGGGTGATACCTCGTAAAGACTATCCTGCTTCTCGGTACGCCCGCGCCATAGCCAAGCTCTCAATATTGGTCCTCTAGCGCGCCGTACAGAACCTTCACCCCGTCTGCGAAGCGATTGGACTCAACCATCAATATCGGCATATCCGGCTGGCGAGATACATCCAATGGGAAGGTGTGGTACGAGTCGGACACGAGCCCGGACGTTACGGCGGCATTTTGAGTTATCTGATGGCGCTAGTGACTGTAGCCAAGGCGCTCAAGAGCTTGGAGGACCAATGGATGTCCAGGAGGCTGCCACCTGACCCACACATTCATTCAGAGGATGCATCTAATCAATCCATCTGATAAAGTTTTCCATCTCCGATCTTCGGCCGGGCGGACTGTGGCCGCTGTCAGCCCACTTGCTGTAACGATGCAGGGTAGCTTCCAGGCTGTGGATGTACATGCAGTTGTACACCTGTAGCAGGGATGAACACTAGCGGCGCGGCCTGATGTGGGACGATACTTCGTACTTGCAGATTGTGTTAGGTTCCCAGCCATATAAGGTGAGGAGACCGGCGCTCTCAATTGGTCTCGTGTACCTGCATCTTCACGCGTTTAATACTGACTTGATCTTGTTGAAATCCTCAAGCACACTCGCTTTACCACTTGTACATTCGATCGGTCGCAATTAGTCACAATGTTTACCTCTCGCATCGTCATCGCAGGCTTCATCGCTGCAAGCACTGCGTCCATCATCACTGAAGAGCAACACTTCGCTACTCTACTCAAGCGCCAGGCTCCTGGATCCCCAGAGTATGCCTGCCACGACAACTGCGGTCCGTACAACACTTTCTCCGCATGTTTACCTTTCACTGACTTGCGTTACAGGAACCGCAATCACGGTGTCCAAAGCCGGCGGCGACTACTGCACCGATGAAGTCTTTCTGTACGACTACAACAACTGCCTCCAATGCGCCGGTCCTGACAACGTCGATATCTGGAAGTACTACGGCGGCTCGCTTACCACCGCGGCAGGCAAGTGCAGCGGTCTTGACACCGAGCCCAAGAGCGGGAAGCAGGATGATGTAGGCGACGCGAAGCACCCCGGTGACAGCACCGGCGCGAGCTCAGCAGCTTCCTCTTCCACTCCTACTTCGACCGCTGAGGCGGTCAGCGAGCCAGCGTCTTCTGCCGCCGAGGCAGTGACCGACGCGCCATCTTCTTCGGCAGCTGAAGCTACTGCTACTGCTAGCGAGGCCTCCTCTGCAGCGGCGAGCTTGAGCTCTGCTGTTGAGTCTGCGGTGAGCTCTGCGGTTTCTTCGGTTTTAGAGACAGCTACGGCTGTTCCTGTCCCTAGCGTTTCTGGTGCACCTTATGCTACTGGTAATGGAACGACCAATGGAACTTCCCCTGTGAGTTGGACTCGTGGTTATTGATAATCTGTACTGACTGTGAGACAGACTGCTTCCGCTCCTACTGGGCAGTTCACGGGCGGTGCCGAGACCGTGCAGGTGCGCAATGTCGTTGCTTTGATCGGGGCTGTTGCGGCTTTTGGGGCTTTTTACTGAGCTGGGTTACCGTGTGTAGGCAAAATCTCTGATGCATGGGTTGGAACGGCTTGTACGATAGTTGATGAGTAGGAAGGATAGCTAATGGCGGAGTAATAATGGAAGACTGTCGCTTAGACGATGATTTTGCGCTCGCCTCAAATCATATGAATCCTGTGTCTTTAATGCTTGATGCCTATCTTTTTTTCCTCACATAAACTTTCATATCCGAGATTTACACCGCTGAAACTCCTTTTTTGCTCCTCTTGGATTGGTAATATGGCTCTAGCTGACTGCACTCGTGTCATGGGATAATTCAGAAGCAACATATTGTTGGTGGCTACAGATGTTCAATTGGGCCGGTAGTGCAAACAGTCTTGTCCCTGGAACCATTGTACCCTCCCTCCTATCTTCATAAGTTTGCTTGCCATAAATCAGTGTTGACAAGTATCGAAGAATGTACTAATTATCGAGCCTCGTAAAAAGGGCCGACGGTGTTCGTAGACGAATAAGCCGATATGTCCGAACCGGTTCCGGTCATCGGCGCCAATATCATCTCCACGGACTATCCGCCGTCCGTGCCTCAAATATATAGGACCATAAGTACAATCACATGCAGCATATTTTATGTTATCGATCTAATCTCTCAGTATGATCTCCGACTACATTCTACTTGCGCTACAAATTCTTCGATTTCTTCCCAAATTTGCTGCGACGATCCTTAACCAACGCATCTCAGCCTTCATCCATAAGCGCACATACAAAACTCTTCCAACTGATCAACTCAAGAATGTGGTGGTCATCGGCGGTTCTTTCGGCGGATATCAAGCGGTGAAGAGGCTGACGGAGACGCTACCGACGGGGTACCGGGTGATATTGGTGGAAAAGAACTCTCATCTTAACTACGTCTTTGCTTTCCCGCGATTCAGCGTGGTGAAAGGACACGAGCAAGATGCTTTCATTCCTTACACTGGCCTCTCGAAGGGCGCATCAGAGGGCATATTCCATCACGTGCAGGATACCGCGACACAAGTCACTGAACGCTTTGTGGAGCTTAAGAGCGGAGAGAAGCTAGAATACGCATATGCAGTCATCGCCACAGGGACGTCGTCCAAGCTTCCCAGCAAAGTTGCTTCCACTGAAAAAGAAAACGCACGAGCCGAGTTGAGGGGAATGCAAGACAAGATTCAGGAAGCGCGAAGAATTGCGATTGTTGGAGGAGGCGCAGTGGGCGTGGAACTGGCGAGCGATACCAAGGACTTCTATCCCGAGAAAGAGGTTACGCTCATCCATTCGCGCGCGCAGTTGCTGAATACTTTCGGCCCGAGACTTCACAATCATGTTGCGAAGACACTGACAGACATGGATATCACACTACGCTTGAGCGAACGTCCAAACATCGCATCACAGAGCAAGATATTGCAGTTCGCGAGCGGAGAAGAACAGGAATACGATCTCATCGTAAGAAATTTATGCTCAATAAGTACGGAAAACGAGGTGCTGACACGCAAATAGATCCCTTGCACCGGCCAACGACCAAACTCCGCCATCATCGCCGCACTATCTCCAGCTTCCATCTCGAAAGAAACTTCCCACGTGCAAGTGAAACCTTCACTCCAAATTCTAGATGACCGCTTCCCCCAAATCTTTTCATTGGGCGACGTCGCAGCAACAGGAGGACCCAAGATGGCGCGTGCAGCCTTCTTCCAGGCCGAAGTCGTTATAGGAAACATACAAAAGCTTATCAAAGGGAAGCCAGATCTCAGCGTGTATAGACCGAATGTGGCGTTCGAAGGGTCGATAAAATTGACGCTGGGGAAGGTAAGTCATGATGAGTATAAACGTGCTGAACTGCTATGGCTGACTGATTCTAAATAGACTCGATTGGCATTCTACTCACAGGGTAACAATGGCAGAGAGATGCTTGTGCCGTCAAATATGGGACATGAGGACGGGGACGTGAAGAAGCAGTGGGCTTTCTTTGGCGCGAATGCGAAAGAGCTTGAAAGGACGAAAGAGAGCAGTTGATTGGATGATACGTTTTTGTAACGCTTATCATGTATTAGTACATTGTCAATGGCGTTGGTTAGATGGTTCTGATTTAGATCGAATGATTCCATTATAGAAGTCAAGTATGCCAGAGTGAAGAGAAACATTATCTAGAGTCCCTGCTTTTGCTGTAGCCAATATCGGCAGCCTGCGCAGTTGTATCTCCGCACACCTTTTCGTCGAAGGAAGTCCTGTAGGCATGATTCGTTGTATTGATGGCCACAGGCTTCAATCTTGTTCATGTCGGCAGCGTTGTGGTTTTCGAGACAGATGTTGCACTGAAAGTACAACGAGGCAATGTGCTCATTCTGTTGCTCTGGCTGTGATTCCGATTCCGCCTTTGCCTTCTGATCGACTGCGTGACCATGCTGTTGCTGTTGCTCGGGCTTGGTGTGCACCTCTACTTGGGAGAGGTAGAGGCTCAGAATCTGTAGCCTGAGATCAATGTCGGTGGCTTCTTCTTCTAGCTCCGATTCAGATGCTGACTCTGATTGTGGTTTAGGCGCTGACTCTTCCGGCCTAGCTACTGCTTCTGCCTCATCAGCGATCGTCTCAGCAACATAAACATCATCCTTACGTGAGGACTCTGCGATCGCGACTTCAGTCAGCCATTCAGTCATCCTCTTCGTCCAATTGACAACCTCAGGGATCTCACTCGTCGGTTCATGCTTGTCGCAGTACTTTCTACCCGTCTCATCATTGATCATAGTGTGCAATTCAGGGCACTGCATCCCGCAGCCTCCAAAATCAAAGAAAGCCTGGCAGCGGTCCTTTGCATACCGGTCGTGGAAAGAACAGTAATACACATCTCCAGACTCCTGGTACATGTTTCCTGTGCGGGGACATTCGTATTGGGGGTTCTTGGGCATTTTGAAGGAGCAGTGGTGGCGCTTGGAACCAGTCGGGGGCGCCATATCGTGAACTTGACCTATTGTAGCAGACAAAGGGTGATTTGAAGCTTTCTTGAATAGGGTTGGAGGGAAGGCGGTCCTTGAAGGGTACACGCGCATATAAGCAGCGTTGCAAACATTGTGCTCATACACACAAAGCGAACATTGAATAGCTCAAATGCTCTTTATCTTAACTGGTTTTGACCCTTGTATTAATTAACAAAGAGCACGGCTTTTAACTTGATAGTGAAGAAGTCTCCACGTCCTTTCACTTCGACAACGTCAACACCCCAGGTCGGTAGGGCAACAGGCCATAGTCACCACCTGAGCTGGGCGAGCGTCCCTGATACAACAACTGTAAATTGCACGGGTCCACGGTGAACGTCTGATCGTTGACACTCCTGACCAGCTCTCCATGGCTGATGTCGTTAGTCCACGTGGCCCCGCTGTTCGCCTTGCCCGCGAACGGATTGCTCTCGGTAGCAGCCTGTGCTGTCCATGTTCCGCCCAACGACGTAGCAGTGAACGACCTGAAGTAACGCCCATTCGCACCGATAGCTTCCACAATCATAAGATACTTGTTCAGTCCAGCAAGCGTGTAAACTTGCACTGCCTCAAAGAGGTTATTGGTGGTATCGCTAAGGACGACTGTCGACGAAGTGCCGAAGCTACCAGGGAAGTTTCCAATAGGCATACTCGAGCGATAGATTTTGCCGTTATCGCCTGCGAAGAACAAATACATGTTGGTGCTGTCGGCAATGAGGGTCTGATCGATGGGTCCAGTGCTGCTGCCAGATATGGTTCCCGAGAAGAGCGTCTGCGCTCCAGACCATCCATTGGGGTTTGTTGGATCAGAAGCAGTCTTGTACGAAAAGGCGGTGGGCCCCCATTGGTATGCAAGTACCCAAATGCTCTTTGGGGCGAAGTAAAACAGAGTGGGGGCGACGGCAGCGGCAGTCTGCTTAGTCTGAGCGGCAGAAGCTAGATCTGACCAGTTTGTGACGAGCCCGAAAGCCATGGAGCCCCAAGAGGAACCCGAATCGTGGGTTGTCGCATATACGAGGTGCTTGCCATTGTAAGGAGCAGTGGTGAAGTCTTTGAGTGCTACCCATCTTGAAAACAGGGAGCGGTCAGCATGTGGTGGAAATCAGTGTCTCTTTTTAACTCACCCGTTCTTTGGATCAGCAAGTGATCCAGTCGAGGTCCATTTGTACTTTGATGGAAGGTCGCATGCACGTGCAGCGAGCGGCGAGGCGTGTGAAGTATGCGCAAGCGCCAATGAAAGAAGACCGAACGACAGTTTGAAGTTGACCATCTTGGATGATAACACTGCTTTCAAGACGGGTATCGATTCGTGTAGAAGATGCACTCGACAAGGAGAGTGCCTCTTATAGAGACGTCGTCAGTGCAAAGCTGTTAAAGACATACAAGCAAAGCGCGTTCTCCATCTTGAAATTAACCGAAAGGAACATTCATTATGCTGCACCCCATCCTGCAATGTGCACACGAAGTGCTAGGGCAATATGGAAAGTGTTTCGAACGTCGCACGCATCTCTCATTGGCCTAGTCTGTTTCAAACTCCCGGGTTAGCCGGCTATATGCAATATGCGCGATCTATACACATCGGGGACTTCAAGATCCACGAATAGCACCAACGTCTTGGTGTGCGAGACTTCCGATTGTAGACATCATGCTACGCTTTTGAGCTTCAATGCGAAAAGTTCGCCGCTCCACCCCGCATTATCGCCTCCGATCTGATGCACCGGCGCTTCAATTGCAATGGGGCCCCACTCGAACCTTGCCCCGTTGATGCCCATCTTTGTCAAGAATTCCTCTTCCGTCTGGTTATTGACTTTCGCGAATGTTTGGTTTCCCCGTCCGATGATGTTTAGATCGACTCGTTGGTTCATAGGCAAGGATGAGTTGAGCCGATAGTAATTGCCGCCTTGGAACAGGGTGATGTTAGGTGTGAGCATGAGCGTGGAGTCACGGCCCGAAAGGAGCGTTGCGTTCTCAGGGCTGTCAAGAGAGGAAAGAAGTAGAGACAGTGCAAGTGTGTACTCTCTTCCTTTCGAGGCCAACGGCGTCGTGAGCGTGCATGTATCAACGAGAAGAGAGCCTTTTTCGGTCCTAGAACAATCACTGGCGCCATCGTAGCCGTTGCCCGATTCATCTGATATGGCTGATGACGTAGCGTACCCTGCGTCGAACGAGTAGTCCAGTATGGACGATGAAACGGATGGAATTGTTCGTTCGAGATTCTGCCCTGGAATGAAGTTTCTCAGAAGTTCGAGAACCGGATCGAATTCGGCCGCAGACAAATTCCCGCCCCATTGTTTATCAGCTAAAGCGGGGATCCCTCTTCGCCATGCGTAGAAGGTTTCCGAGTATACAGTGGCGTTTGGGCCGTAGTCATTCCAAAGTGGTGCAATCTCCCCAAGAACGAGTGGCTCATCACGAGAGGGATTATTTGAGCTGTTGCGAGCATCAAAAACGTATCTGAATACAGGATTAGTTGATGCGCATAGGTACCCGGATCAGTATCTGGGTCTACTTACGGATACCAAAGTCCCCCTCCAGTGTTTGGATTGCCAATAAACGTTGCGGAAACGTTCACCTGCGGCGGGTAACTGCCCGACCATTTATTCACCACGTAAAATGTGTCATCAGAGTTGAGGACTGTATAATTGTTCAAGATGTAATCGTAGAGAGGGTTGTCTTCGAAGAACTCCCAATGTTGAACCGATACGTTATTATAGATGTTGATATACCCGGGATCAGTGTAGTTCGGTGGGAAGGTGCCCCAAATTCGAATGGACTTGTTCGCCTCGCTTTGAATATGATCTGCCATGCTATTGACGAATATGTTGTAGTCGTTAACCTCCGCAGTGTACTCGTCGGCTCCTATGTGCACAGTCTTCGTATGAAACCAAGGCAAGAAAGTACTCCATATGGTCTTCATTGTCGGAATGGTCTCCGGATGGGAAATATTGAGAAGACTCAGATCATCTTCCAAACCAAGCTCTGGCTTCCACTGTACAAAAGGTAAAGCGTGACCAGGGGCTTCGATCTCTGGAAGAATTGTGACACCGCGAGCCGCGCATGCCGACTGGATCTCATCAAACTGCTCTCTAGTATAGGACTCGTTTTTGTGTTCGTTCAGGCCGGCCACCGCTTCGTCGTCCGACCATAAGCGAAAACGAGCATAGAGATCTAATGACCTCTCCCGGCTATAGATGTCGACATTGTTATACAAGTTGTCGCTCAAATGAACCTGAAAGGTGTTCTGTTTGAAGAAAGACATGTATGCGCACATCTCGATCAAAAAGTCCGCAGGGTACCAGTGCCTAGCTGCATCAAGCATCATGCCTCTCGTCCCCCATTCTGGAGTGTCGGTCAAGGATCCGTAGGGGATAGAACCATTGCCTAGAATGACCTATATACTTAGTAATCGGTCCCGGCTGCGAATATCTGGTCGGCTCACCTGCTGGAGAACAGTCCGTGTCCCCCACCATGCACCGAGAGAACTAGCACCGACGATCTTTATACCTTCGTCTGAGACCGACAGCGAGTAGCCTTCAGCGGATTCCCGTCCAGCGACGTCCAGATAGTCTTTGGAGTTTCCGATAGTAAGGAAGATGGATCCATCGGATGCATTGGTTCCAGTGTAACAGCTGACGTTTATATGCAGGCCGCTGAGGTCCTTTGCAAAAGTCTCGGCGAAGTCTTGTAGTGAAGGGGGTATCAGGGTTTCTCCTTTGGTGTTAGTAGATTCAGCATACTGGCTGTCCACAATGATGCTGTTGATCCCGCTCAAGCTTAGCTTGCCATCTCTACCTGCGAATGCAGTTGTTGGAATTCCACGAGCTTGGACTGTACATCAATTAGTCTATCTGGAGATGGTATGATCGGCTAAAATCGTACCTGACACCGAAGCGAGCAGCAGTGAGCTGCCGAAACGAATGAGGCCGTGCATTTCAAAAGGCGTAGAAATCGATGATACCTAGATACCTATTCCGCGACCTCACGTATTCTTTTGTATGCCGCGAATCAGATACCGGCTGCATCTCCAATCTGAGCTATCTCCAGATCGTCAGGCGTAGTGCCTAGTCCATGTAACCTCCAGGGTTCTCGGAGCGGGGCATTACTCTTTACGTTGACGCTCGTACCGACGAATTCTTATCATCGCTGCCTTCTTTGCGGATATGTCCGCACAAATGCGAAGAAGCTAACAGCATTTCACTTTGTGTCGGTCGGCACGAAGAGCTTGTTGTGTAGCTACTGGGCCTTGGGGTGGGAAGGAAACCGGGGGATCATCAACAAACGGCGTCAAGAAATGGTCGAATCCAGTTGCAGAGCATGCATCCAAATGCTAGTCAGGGTAATATATAGCAGGCCCACCTGTCTGGCAGTGGCCTTATCAACCGGCGCTCATCTTCCTTGAAAGGAGGCTGGGCTCGTCATGTCGGCGCACCAGTATGGCCGCACTAAGTCTGTATGAGGTTAGTACCCGCAGCCCCTCACCTTGCGTCGCATCCGAGGTCTGCATCATTACCTTGCCCATCCTTATGTAGCATATACATACGTTGCAATTGTTCTTCTCACGATGGACTCGCTTCCGAATGAGCTGATTGATCATGTCATTACTCATGTCGCGCACTCAAACGACGGCAGGAGCATCCAGGATGCGATTAGTCTGGCCAATTGCTGCCTTGTATCACGACGCTTCTATGAAGCCGCCAGGCCAGTCCTTTACAGCGCAATCCATCTCGAGCTCATGACAGATGAACCAGCCATCCTTCTGGACGTTTTCAAGTCGGATGTACAGCTTGCCAAAGCTGTCAAGTCTCTCTTCATTCAGTGCGGCGCCCCCTGTTCTACTCCGAGACAGCATGTCAATCAGCTCCGCGATTTCCTGGCTGAAGCACTCCCTTTGTTCGTAAACCTTACAAATTTCCGAAGTAATCATCGCATCGCGACCATCAAGCTCGTGGAAACAAGTCTATATCACGATCGTGGATATTCAATGGGCATCCCAGTCAATCTGGAAAATTTAAGGACACTCGAACTGTTTGCCGCGGACTATATATACAAATACAACTATATCCTCCGCCTACCGCAGCTCCGACGCGTGGTGCTCCACTCGATGAAGATTATAGACCTGAACGGCGATGATAGAGCTTATCCGGACGATTGGGGCTGGGTGTCGCATTCCGTCAAGGAGCTTGAGATACATCAGGGGTTTCGTACCTGCTCAGCGCCATACAGACTATGGTCTAACTCGTTGCATGCCTTGGCGAGGAGCCTGCCTTCATTGTCTTATTTACGGCTCTTCCATTACGAGTGTACCTTTTACCCGAGGCAATCTCGCCACCTGCTGGGTTTTTTCAAGCGCCAATTGCGCAATTCTTTGCGCAAATTGACCATTGAAGACGGTCGGATCGATGAGCGCCATCCCGAGCTTGGCTACAATTACCTAAGCGATGATGCCTCAGAGATTCTGGAAGACATCGCGGCTTCGAAGCTAGAGTCTTTGTCAATCGATCTGCATACTCTGTTCACTAATGTGTATTCCATGGGTCTTACCGAAGCGATTCATGCCGCAAGTCTACCACGTTCGCTTCGTCACCTTCACCTCAGGCATGTCGAGGTCAACGACATGTCCAGTGTTGGAGACACAAGTATGCTTCTCAGCTGGAATCCTGCGGTTGTAGCGCAAGAGCTTTCTCGCAAATGCCCGGCATTGACAAAGATTGATCTCGAAATTCGTTTGCTGCGAAACCCCAATCATATTGTATTAGAGGAGTACAGGACAATCTTCGATTCTAGTGGGATATCTTTCGGCGTCATTGTACACGAATGTCCAGCTCAACGACGCACATCCATTATTTGTTCTAGGCCGGCATAGCTCAATATGTGACCAAAGAAATCGAACATGCAAAGAGCAACCCCAGCATACTTTGCAAGCTGACTGCGTCAACACTTCCTCCATGAGAGATTGAGCACTTGGCCAAACTTAGTGTCGGCGGAACTCCCTTGTACAAGGCCAGGTAGCGATGTACTGGTCGCCGAGAGAGTGGCTGAAAGGCTCAACTGAAACATTGCGGAAGCTTTCGAACACACCGACTGCTCGCTATCTGATACCTCGCCATCCTTATGCAGAAGGAAGTCTTCCTCGTATGGCCCGTTCACGACCTTCTTGACGTTCCCCTATACCTGTAAGCTCTACAATCCATGACTTCAAGAGATTCGCCCCACATACCTTGCCTTTCATGTCCACACCTTTGCTATCAATCCACTTCCATCGGCTCACGAGGCTAACATCGACTCCTTTGGCAAGATTGACGTATGAACGGAATTCTACCGAGCTGACATCAAATGCCCAGCCCGGTGAGGCTAGCGTTACGTTCACACGACAAAACGCGCGCTTCTTCAAAGTTCCAGCAGCGGGCCCGACGGCGGCTTGGAAGCTGTCGAAAATAAGTGTGAGGGCGGAATTGTCCGTAGCGGAGGCGACCCCGACGGAGCCAGCTCTGCAACCATTCCCTTCGCTGTCAACGTCCGGATCGTCAACCTGAACAGCACCAACGGTTGCCGCGCCTTTTGGAGGGAGAGTGGTCGTTGCAGCTGGATGGGGTGCAGCAGCTACTAAGCTCATACAAGATAGCAATGCGATAACGAAGAGAAAGATCGAAGATGCCATGAGGTGCGCGAGAAAAGGTTTTGGAGGCAGCCAGAATAGAAGCACGGCGTTTCGTTTGACGCTCCAAGAGCCTGGCCTTGTGAGAGCTCTTATCAAGAGGCTACCTGCCTTGTCTCTCGTACAACGTACTCAAAGTGACAGGGCTCCACAAGTCCGATTCCAGAGCTTACGTGTCGCCACATATATGCGGCTGCATTTTCTTCCAGATTGCTTCCTCTCCAAAAATAGATCTCCATGCGGCAAAACGTGGTCGCCACAACGTCGAACATTGAGATTTGATGAGTATGTCGTGGGCTAGACCGGGTATAAGAGGCTTTCTGGCTCTACACAGCTATGTAGCATTTAGCCTGGCCGTATCATTCACGCAGACTCTTAGCGAAGATACTCTTTTAGACTAGCGCGATTATGGTCTTCGTCATCTTGTACAATCTCACATTCCAGCTATCCTTTCTAGAGCAGAAACACGATGCCATCAGCGCATGCACGAGTGAAGTTAGATCCTTAGACTCTTTTCGCATGATCCTATTAGTCTGATGTTACGGAATGAAGATGCTTTCAAGAAAGCTAGCAGGATCGGAGAATTCAAAAACCACAAACAGCACATGTATCCATACTCGACTTGAAGGGAAACGACACTATGCGATCTGGATCGATCTCACCTATACATCAAGCTACCAGAGAAGCGAGAGCTGTCGATTCCGCCACTCACTAGCGCTGTTTCACTGAATTCAAATCTCAACACACGACTCGGCCACGCACCGATGAAAATCATTCACCAGTACGAATTAATTTATACACAACATCCAGTTTCCTATATACATGCCCATCGCCAACTACCGTTCAAACATACTTTTGCTTACTCATTACGATTTAGTTGCCCTTTCCCTTGCCCTTGGCTGCTGCTGCTTTGCCCTTGCCTTTGCCCTTGCCGTTTCCTCCGTTGGTTTGCGCTGTGGCTGCTGCGGCGCCGAGGACACCATTAGGCGGGTTTGTGCCTGCAGCATTGTTCACGATCTGTCCGCCGGAGATTCCACCCTTTGGGCTCTTGTTCTGATTTGCTTGAGCAGCGAGCTGTCGGTACTGGGCGACACCCATACCCGCAGCAGGGGGGTTGACGACCATGACCATGCCTTGCTGGCAGTGCTGTGCCTGGGAGCAGTAGATGTACATGGGCTGGTTGTCGGTGACCGGGACCATGAACATGGGGGTGTTGGCGGCCTGGCGTTTGTTGTTCTTGCCCTTGGTTTTCTTGCCTTTGGCCTTTCCGTTGCCACCGGCGGCGGCGGCAGCGTTGGCGTTGGCGCCAGCTGGTGCAGCGACGGGCTGGAAGTCACTGAAGATGGCGTTCTTCTCAGGTGTACAAGGGGAGTTCGCATTTGATGAGGCAACGGAGTGGTTCTGGGGAAGGGATTAGTGATTGCCTTGGAGATGTGCTGGGAAAGGCCTACCTGGCTGACGAAGTTGAAGGCGATCATGTCTCCAGGCTGGGCAACCATAGTGTCGGGAGTGAACACGAACTGGTTGTTCGTGCCGACCGAGACCTGCATAGTAGCAGCCAAGACAGCCGAGCTGTGGGCGAGAGCCGCAAGAACAATGCTGGAGTACATCATGATGAAGGTGTTGGATCGAGAATTGGATTATTGACAATGATTAGAAAGAATGGCTTATATGTTGGTCAACAACAGAATTAATGAAGAGTATTAGTTATTGAGTAGAGACGAGGCGATTGACCTGCAAGCTGATGTTCCTGAGGAGACGTGCAACAGCCTGGATATATAGTCGTCCAGAAGGCCAGGCCGCGGAACTGCATTGCGGATCATGCACATCTGCACATCAGGTGAAGCGGAACTCGGCGCTGATCACAAACGTCTCTCTTACCTGCTAGACTAACTTGCCTGATCTCAAAGCGGTTGGTGAGCCTCGCCTATCGAATGTTTCATGCCTAGCCGGGCGCCGAGGGGCGTTGATCGCCTTGTGTTCGAAACGAACACCTTAGCGACGAAACCGAGCGCCTTAGCCACAAAACAAAATACCTTAAGCTCAAAACAAAATCGTGTTTACCGACAGGGAAAGGCTGACTTCCGGGCGATTGTGAAGCTGGGCAAGTCTTAGGTTGGTGTCGCCATCTCGGAATACTGAAATTCCTTGAGCTAGGTAGGAGGCGCGTATGCACCGCATGCCAGTCAGGTGCTTATTTTTTCGATCTAGACGATCCTGGTACTGGAGCATTGCCGTCGTATAGTACGATGCTCGATGCGAAAAAGCGCGGAGTCTGTCTCTGGGTCCGCTTCCATGTGTGCCTTCCATATGCGCTTCGAAACAACAATGCTATGCGGTCTGCCATCCCTTGCTGGGACGGCAAGATACATCCAAAACTGACTTAGGTAATAACGCTGCAGAATGATTAGCTCGCATGATAGCATGCGATGATCGGTTTGAAGCAAGTTGCAACGACCGTACTATTTTACTAATAGCAGTTGCAGGGACAGAGAAAACCAAACGGCTCTTAGAAGAATTATGAGAATCAGACTGAGCGATTGGAAGACACCGCATTCTGCGAACCAAATTTAAAACGAGTCGTCTACCGGAAGTCTTGCCCCTGCTTTGGAACATAGTCCCCGGCGAAGTGTCCGTAATAGACAACTTCATTGGAAACACGTTTCGCTGTGCCAAAGTCCGCAGGACACTCTTAGATCGACTTGCTCTCACGAATGTTGCTATCGTCCGCTTTGCTTCCAACTTCGCCAGTCTCTTCGCCACTATCATCAAAGCTTCCATGCTCGACAGTCGATTCGTTGTGTTGCTTCTTTCGCTGTTCTCTCGTGTGTAGCATCTGTATACCTACGATCGCGATCAGAGCCGCGATAGCCAACCCCCAAGTTGCCGGAAAGCCGTATCTGAAGGTCGGAGCCATGGTCTGTGGAAATATCACTATCGGCAGCCATGCAGCCACAGCATACTGAAAGCCATTCATACTGCTTATGACAATCGCCCGCTCTTCGTTATTGTCGGCGCACACTTCGTTCGCCCAAGCATAGAAGATCGCCGTCATGAGCTGCACTCCTGTTGTCATGAAAGCGAACATCTTCACTCCCTGACTAGTCGGCCAGAACGCAAGTATACCGTTCGGAATCAGCCCATACATGAGCGGGCATAGGACCAGCGCAAATCGACTGCCCGTATAATCCGAAAGGAAGCCCCAAAGCACGACGCAAAAGCCGGATATAAGTTTGGAGCCCGTCGGTATGATGTTACGATCCACCACCGAAAAGTTTTCGCTCTTTAGCCAGATGCCGAAGTAGTCGCCCGCAGCGCAGGAGGAGCCGTACAGAACATAGCCCAAAACGAATGCGTACCAACGCCAGCGCGTGAGGATAACCTTGAACGTGGCGAATGTCAGCGGTGCTGGTGCAGCTTTGCCTGCTTCGCGAACGCGCTCAATTGCTAGCTGTTTCTCTTCTTCACTGAGGAACCAGGATTTTGTCGTGTACGGTGTATCGGGTAGAATGAACCACGTCATAAAGCCTACAGGCACCGTCATACACTGTAAGTGCATTAGTGATCGAGGGTCAATGCAGAGGATTGCGAGATCGTCTTACGCCACAAACAATGTACAGCCATCTCCACCCAGCAAGCCCATGATGCCCGTCCAGACTTTCGTACACAGCAGCTTGCAAATAGCCTCCAAATGCAGTCCCCACTGGTGCCGTCATATGAAAGATTGCGATTCGTTTCGCCAACTCTGTCTTCGTGTACCAGCTCCCCAACACGAATAGCAGTGATGGGAAGAAGCTGCTTTCAAAGAAGCCGACCAAGAAGCGGAACGCGTAAAGCATGTTGACGTTTCGTACACCTGCTTGTGCGAAGGTAAATGTTCCCCAGCAGATCTCCATGGCGGCTAGCCAGTATGAGGGGCGTATGTATTGGATGATGATATTGGATGGGATCTGCATGACAGCATAGGCAACGGTGTAGCAAGTCACGGCGTACGTGTATTCGTTGCCCAGCATCTTCAGGTCTTCCTGCATTCCTGATACATAGGCATTTGCGAGATTTCCTTGGTCGAGGTACTTGAGGAAGAACCCCAAGCAACCTATTGTAAGGATAGAGAAGTCCAATTTGCGAAGAAACTTGCGCTCTTCATGAGACTTAAGATGGGTATCGGAGTCCCAGATGAAGGACCGAAACTAGAATCATGTTCAGTAGTCGCATAGATGCGATAGAGCGCAGATAGGCTTACGTTTCTGATGAGCTTTGGTGCCATAATCGCGGCCGACGGCAACCTTGAATCGGCAGACAACGAGCCAGAAGGCGATGCGGATGGAATAGCTGAGGTATGCCGTTCTTAAAGGCCATATCTTGATCGTCTGTCGTGATAGGCACTTATCTGCTGCAATGCAGACGCTGAACGGAGATACAACCATAGTAGGCCAACCTTATCAAAGCTCTCCTTGAATGCGGGGAGCTGCAAAGCACCTCATGACCGGGATGCGTTCGCATATCGCAGCTACTCGCCACTGCCGACACCGAGCGCACATCTCCGGTTCAGAAGCATCGTAATTCTATGGAGTATGATACCAGAGTGACTCGCGTCGGTAGGGTCCGCCGTCCACACAGCAAACGTTGGCGGGACAAAGATGCATACCTGGGTAGATCGTGATGTGGCCGCTCCGGGACGCCGGGAGTGATTCATATCTTCTCACCGCGGATTTGTATGATTGACGCTCAGAGTTTTACGATGATGGTTCTACCAAGATGATTGTTGCATAAGTAACTGCGCTTAAGAGTGTCTTGAGAGTGTACAGCAAGAGTGCGGCCTCAGAAAGGGCAAGGGACGCGCACAAGCGAGCTAGCTGCCCCACTAAAACTTCCCAACATGCTTCATCCCTAACATCGTTATCTAAGATCACTGCGCTGTCACCTATCTCTTGTTTTTGTGCGCTCAGCCATCTCAATCTTCGCACTGTTCGGCAACAGTCTCAGGAGGTCTCGTCTTTGTGCGGATCTTTCAGACGCGACAGTTGGATTCGAACCACACTTTGCTCTGCATTCAGAATTGGAGGAGCTATTACAGAAATTTGGGAGATGCCGAAGGAACCCTACGCCCATTGTCCGGGTAAATTCCAGCTGCTCGGTTTGTCTAGGAATACAATACAAAGAGACACAAAAATACATTCTATCATTCTTCTCGCCAAAATCCATCAGCAACAGTAAGAAGTTGTTGGAAGTACTCCTCAGCCCAGTTTAAACATGATCGCAAGCGGAGAGCAACGAATTGACTTCTTTCATAGACCAAGCCAGGATCGTACGCTGATCAGTAGTGCTAGGAAGAACTTCTACCTTTACGATAATTATCCTCTTTTGCAATATTTTCTACCTAAGAGTACTATAGAATCACGCCTCAGAGACCTATACCTTCTATAAGAGGATCCAACCGCAGCACATGCTTGCTGAATATCAAGCTGTCGTTAGTGCTCTATGAGCTGTATTTCCATACGCAGGTTTCGGACACAGGTCTCGGCTCTGGCCGAAGAGACCCGTGGACATATTACCTATGGTACACATCCGCGTGAGAACAAGTACGGCGAGCCCTCGATACTCCCTACTGGGATAGTGCCTGTAAAACAATTTGCTTGAAAACATGGCGATCCTCCATATAAAGATTTGCGGATGTTCGCGGATAGACTTGCTTGTTTCAAAAGGTGACTGGAAGGCTAATTCTAACATTCTTCTTGACGGCTCTGAATACGACAAACGAAAAGGGTTAAAAGAATGTTCACGGAGTCGCTTTGTAGTGGGGCGCAGTGAGGGCGTAATTCGGTGCTGACATCTTAACAGCTTAAATACTACATACGGTAGGTACCACCACACCATAGTATCTCCAACTCCCAATACCAGTAACCGTCAAGCATATCCACTCTCCAGAATGACTACGAAAGCTCACCCTCAAAGCCGCAACAGGCTTCTAAACCACGTCCTCGACGACATCGCACACTCCACCCCCTCCCAAGTCTTCGCCTCAATCCCAAAATCTCTAACCACATTCGCCGACGGCTTTCACAAAGTAACATATCGTGAGCTCTCCAATGCCGTCAACGCAATCGCAGCGCATTTAGAGACGGCCATTGGCAAGGGGACATCAACCGAAACCCTAGCGTATGTAGGCCTGCAAGACCTGCGATACGTGATCCTGCTTCTTGGAGCCGTGAAAGCCGGGTATAGCGTAAGTTTTGAGACTGTCTTCCGTATCTTTGAATCGAAGACTCTTGGGCTGAACGAAGTAGATGCTCTTTTTCAGCCCGCGCTTCCCGCCCCTCGCAGCAGCAGCCCTCTTCCGCCAAACTTCCATTAAAACCATCCTCATCTCAAATCCCCGTCTTCCCTTCCTAGCTGCCATTCTCGACCAATTCCCACTGCGGGAAGTAGTCATTCCCGATCTGGATACCCTCTTGAAAAGCGAGTACCCGCATTACCCTTACGATGTTTCGTTTGAGGAGGGTAGGAAACAGCCTTTCGTCACGGTGCACACTTCCGGGTCGACAGGCTTCCCTAAGCCGATTATTGCTACGCATGACTGGGTCGCTAGTCTCGCGGAGGAGATCTATCTGGAGCCACCGGAAGGGTACAGGAGTACTATTAAGGATTTGTTCGGGAGTAAGGTCTACTTCCAATTCCCTTTCTTCCATGTAAGGCCATCTTTCTATTTTCCAAGTCTCGTAGATGTAACACATGTACTGATGAGTGAAGATGAGTTTTGCCATCGGCAACGTCATCCTTCCCCTCCTCACCGGCACCGTCGTCGTCTACCCGCCCGCTGGCCTGCCTCCCTCTGCCAGCACGGTCGCCGAAGCCCTCGAGCACAACTCCATCTCGCAAGTCACGCTCAGTCCCATCACCATTGTGCAAATCTACCGCGACCCCGAGCTCTTGAAGCGCATTGCTTCCAGCGTGAAGCGCGTGATGTACTCCGGCGGCGACATCCCGTCGCCCGTCGGCGCCGCCCTTTCCCAAAAGTTCGAACTGCACCATGATGGCCAGCACCGAGTGTGGCATCTTCCACGGCATCACACCCACCTCCGTCCCGGCAGGCCAACATTGGCATTCTCTAAGTTTCCACCCCAGCTCGAACGTGCATTTCGTCCAGCGCGAAGGCGATATCTACGAGGCGGTAATCCGGCGGAAGGAACATGAGAATACGCAGACTGTCTTCCACATCTTCCCTGAGAAGCAGGAGTATGCGACCGGTGATTTGTACAAGAAGAACAGAGAAGTGGAAGGATTGTGGGATCATCAGGGCCGAGCGGATGATATGCTTGTGTTTGCGTCGGGTGAGAAATCTTGGCCCGTGGAGGTGGAGAAGCGTATAGCGCAACACTCTGATGTCAACGAGGCATTGATCATCGGCACGGGGAGGGAGAGTGCAGCGCTATTGCTGGACGTGCAGAATCCGCAGGGACTCACGAAGGAGGAGGTATTGGACCGCGTGTGGCCGGATATTGAAGCTACGCATAGCATATGCTCGCCCGCTGCGAGGATTTTGAGGGAGCTTGTGGTGGTGGCGGATCCAGAAAGGCCGTTTGTCAAGACGCCGAAGGGGAATGTGCAGAGGGCGGCTACGGCGAAGCTGTATGCTGATGATCTTGCGAGGACGGACAAAGAGGCGGCTGAGAGGGGCGTTGCTGCGCCGGCGACGGCGGTTGAGATTTTGACTGACGGTGTGCAGCTGTAAGGATTTTCTTTCGCACAATGGGGTATTATAATCGCATTCAATTGCTGTAGAGCGAGTATTGAGCAGTCGAACCCAAGGTCGGTATTTCGTGAAACGAAGCCGCACGAGCCCGTTGCGTTGGTGGGAACGCAGTAACACTGCAGGTGACTTAGGGAGTATCTACCGCCCACAACTAGTAGAGATGTAAGTCTCTATCAATTACAAGATATCTCCCTAGTAATTGCAGCTTTCGGAGGCTGCAGGACAAAGGAACGACAAGTTTTCCATAGCCGCAGAGAGTGAAAGTTTCAGTCGATATGAGAAGTCGATAGCAAGACAGATAGAAAGCCTCAAGCTCATAAGACGATCGTCGACTTAGTTTCTCTGGTCGTTAGACATGTGTATGGTATGTCCGTGCGGCCAGCTGTAGTGTAGGCCTATGCATCATCTTGACAACGAATATATGTGTCGTATCCATGGTGTGCATACTCGACATCCAAGTTCGAATTGACAACGCATGAACGCCGAGTGGGTCGATGTATGTTCATTTCTGGAATGCAGGGGTCATTGTGAGGATCTATCAATGCCGTAGGGGATGCCGCTTCCAGACGGATTCCACAGGCAAGCGACGTCGGCATTCCTTCGCCTTGCGGACGCTTCTGGCCGTGGCGACGTTCTGATTAAGCAAAGGGAATCGCAGATCTGATGAACATCTGCAGGGACCGACCGGGTGGTGTTCAACAGCGTGGCACTGAGACAACATGCGTACACGCGTGGAGAAGTGATTGGTGGTTCGGGCACTGGTGTTGAAGGGTCTCGCCCTGCAGCCGTCTGCGCACATCCTTTCTCGAGACAAGCTCTTCATGCCTGGGCTGTAACAACAAAGAGACGTGCGATGAATTGCCAACATGGTACGCCGGTTGAGGCGGCAAAAGAGCCAAGACCCGAATGCTACCGCGGGCCGGCGCAAGTGATTGCATGGGCCGGGAAGCCTTCGTCGCCCAAAGGCGTCCACCAACGAAGACAGCGCCTCCACGTGCGTCATCTACGAGCATTCACTCAGCCGCCGTGAGCCCCTCGTGCAACTGCCCTCCCACTGCGACCCCATTTGCGACCCCGCCTGATCCCCCAGTCGCCGCCTTCGCTGCCTTCACGCGCATAACAGAGCTCTTCGCCGCATCTGCGTGAGCCAATCGCCCGGATTCGGCGGCCCACGCGCCTTGTACCACTCACGGCCATTCGCACCGCGTTTGGCGACACAGCACCGCAGGTATATGGGCTGCGCACTCGCACCGGTCTGGCCCGCACAGTGAGAGATATAGATATACGAGGCCGACCATGCCCCGCGCTGCCTCCCGCAACCGCGGCGGCACGAGCACTGCTGTTGCAATGGCCGCTGAAGGAGACGCTGCCCCCGTCCTGCGTGCGAACCGAGCCTATGGTACTTTCGATGCAGGGGAGCTACAACCACCACCAAGACCTTCACGGAGACCGTCCTCGAGCTTCCTGATCCACGGAGGCACCCCGTGTGTCGATTCCGACAACTTCCATGCCCTGCTCGGTGGTTTCCTCGCAGAGCTGAACTGCAGACTCGACCGCATAGACTCGTACGGCCAGCTCAAGCTCGACACGGGCGTCGAATACGCATACTCGACCCTCCTCGCCGTGCGCGAATCATGCTCCAAGATCTCCGACGGTGCCATCGAAGTGGGGAGGAGGCAGGCGGCCGTCTTCGTTGAGACGCTCGAGGGCCGGTACCAACATGCGCTCGAATCGAAAGAAACGTTAGCGGAGAAGGTGGTCGCTGGAATTCTATTAATCGAAGACTGGGTGACGGACCTCGAAGGCCGCGCATACTCCTTCCGCGACGCCGGCATCGACACCGTGAACCAGGAGCTCGGCTGGGCCCGTGGCATCGTCGATGCTGGTCTCCACAAAGCGCACCGCGCGCGCCAATCCATCGAGCTCAAGATCGACTACGCAGTCGATCGTGCCCTCGCCCGCGCAAAAGAACACGGGCTCATCCGCTACGAAGACCTCCCCGAGCCATGGCAGGCAAACGAGCATATCCTGACGGGCTACCGCTTCTACGACGGCCACTGGGCCTGCATCCGCTCCATCTGCGGCATCCACAACGAATCCACAAACATCTGGACGCACCTCGTAGGCTTCATGGTGATGCTCGGCCTCGCCTTCATCTTCTACCCCCAGCACATCAACTTCCACGCCAGCACCACCACTGACATCGTCATCGCCGCAATCTTCTTCTTCGCCGCCTGCAAGTGCCTGCTGTGCTCCTGCATCATGCACACCATGAACGGCATCAGCCACCAGACCCTCCTCGAGCGCTACGCCTGCATCGACTACACGGGAATCTCCCTGCTGGTAGGCGCCTCCATCATGACCTTCGAGTACACGGCCTTCTACTGCGAACCCCGCAGCCGCTGGGCGTACATGACGCTCACCGCGCTGCTCTCCCTAGGCGGCGTCTACCTCCCCTGGAACCCCACCTTCAACCGCAACGACCTCGCCTGGCTGCGCGTCTCCTTCTACGTCCTCCTCGCACTGACGTCCCTCCTGCCCTTCTTCCAGCTCATCTCCCTCCACGGCTTCGAATACACTGCCTCCTTCTACATGCCCGCCGTGCCCTCCATGCTCATCTACTTCTTCGGCGCCATCATCTACGCCGCGAGGGTGCCCGAGCGCTGGCTACCGGGCCGCTTCGACTACCTCGGCGCGAGCCACAACATCTGGCACGTTGCGGTGCTGTGCGGCATCGTGGCGCACTATTTCGCCATGCAGGAGATGTTCAGCCAGGCGCATTACAGGAGCCAGGCGCAGTGTCCTGGGCTGCCGGATTTCTCGTGACGTCATGTCCTTCACTTTCTTTTCCTTTCCCTTTCCATTTCCATTTCAAGTCGTTTAAGAACTTTTCTTTTTTGTCGTTAGCGTTGCATTAGAGAGGATGGCTGCTTGTGGGTGCATTTGCATGGGGATGGGATGCATGGGGGTACGGAAGGATTTGGGTAGGAGGAATACGGAAAGATCTAGGTACGAGGGAAGGGAGATGGAAAGTGGACACATGTGGAAGCATGGGTGCGATGGAATGCATAACGTGATCATAGTTTCCATGAGATCTAGACAAGAATACATACACGAATAATCCGCCATGCTGTGCATTGAACGCCGGTGGTATGTTGCAGTGACAGTATGCCTCCCAAAAAACCGACGAGTGAAAGGATGAAAAGGTAACAGCCATACCCAATCATGAACGTGTCTCTAAAAGGGATATTGTACAGCGATATGTACAATAAGAATAGAAAGGAAGGCGGCCGTTACGGGTCGTTCAGTCGTCATCGTCAGACGTATATCGTAACAGTTGCCGCATTACAACGTCAGAAATGAAGGGAAAGAGAAAGCCGCACCGGAACGTAGGAAACGTAGAGGAAATGGAAGCAAAACGTGGAAAGCGGTCATGTCGCATCCTGCGCCACGGATGCTCCCCCATCATTCACCTTAAGCACAAGCAACCTCGCAGCAAGCCGGTCGAAGAAGTAGCTCATATCCTCACCCGCTCTTTCCTCGCTCGCTTTCGCCTCCAAATACTCCGGCGTCGCAGTCCTCACCGCCTCGCGGATATTCTCAATGAACTTATCCTCGGGCGGCAGCGACGTACTCTTCGAGTTTCTCGGTCTGAGCCCAGCCTCGGGATCACCCCGCCAGTCTGGACTCAGTCTCGCATGACAGCCCGAGAAACAAGCGGAGTAGAATTCCAGCAGTTGCCGCACGCCTTCCTCATCGCCTCTGAAGTCACGCTCTTGCTTGGACTGCGAGCGTACCATGGGTGTGTCGTGTGAGTGGTGGTAGGGGAGTTTGGCGGAGTGGTATTGGATGCTTTCCACGGTGATGAGTACGACGATGAGCGTAGCGACGGCGACGGACCATTCGTGGAATTCGCGGTTAAGAAGGAGTTGCTCGAGGGATAGTAGGATTTCCCTCATGAGTTTGAGTGCCAAAGAAGGCATGATGGAACCAAACTGCGATCGGATAAAGCATGGTGTGGGAACTGCTCCTTCCGGAATCGACATGGTTGATCGAACCAATTGCTCAAGGACAGGATCCTTTGCGGGTGGGGGTAGAGTGATGTCTCCGCCAACATGGACCAGAACAAGCAGCTTCAATGCTTGCTGTAGTAGTCGTGAGTAAGAAGAGGTGACAGGAAGCGAGCGCCAATACGCGTATACGTGACGCAATACCCTAAGCGGCGAGCAGAAAGGCGGGAAGGACCGGAAATGTTGATCAACTAGGAGAGAGAGGTGGGTATCCAAGAGGTCCTCAAGCTTGTCCATGGCATCTGGAGACAAAATGGCAGGCAGGACTGCATGGGTATGAGTCTCGGCAGATGAAGCACTTGGCGGCCAAGAGTACACGGTGTGTTCGTGAAGAAGGCTGCCATCTTGACTATCAACATGGATGATGGATACAGGGACATGGAGTAAGGAACCAAAACCGAATGTGATAGGGATCGAATAGGAACCGGGTAGCACTTGGTAGTTGCCAAAATAGGCCTCTATGGGCCTCACACTGGGATGCCAGCCATGGCGTTCTGCTAGGAAGACACCAGCCAGTCCAGAAACCAGCCGGTCGCGGCAGGGATGGTTGACGAGGTCGCCCTTGAAGTGATCGATGCAAGATTTGCAAGGCGTGCCAGGGTCACACTTCTCCTTGCGTTTCTTGCAATTCGAACAAGATCCGATGAGTCGCATCAGTGCTGCATGACTGCGCTGTTGAGCAGTCAACGCACCTACACGTCCCCTCTGACGCCGGCGACTACCTTCCGCTCCCGAAGGTACTAGTCTATGCTGGGTATTTGGTTGATAAGAGACCCAGCCCAAGTTTGTTGATGTTGGTGATGGCGACGCAAGCTTGCTGTTTCGACTGCGCCGCGGATTCGACAAGCTTCGCGTGAGGAGAGCAGGGCCTGGCGAGCGTTGGGCCTCGGGAGATATAGAAAGTACAGGGGGCACTCGCCGAGACCAGTGTTGAGACTGGTGTCTTAAAGATGGACGCCTCTCCATAGACATTCTCGAGCGGATTTCCGAAGGTGAACCGGAGACACGAATATGCGGTTGAGGAATGGTAATGGCTCGTGCTTGCATGAATTGAGACTGTTGATAAGATGAGTGGTCGGTCCATGGGTGTGACGAGAAGGTGTTGCTATATCTCTGAGGTCCGGTTTGAGGGATAGGTATCGGCATTGCCCCCGTACCATCTTCTTGTTGGACCTCTATGATGGGTTCCACTGATGGCTCAACCCACGTTCCAACATTGTCCAAAGCTTGTGAGTTGTATACGTCGAGGCCGCTGAAGGAATGGGAAGTCCCTGCTACATAGGGATTGAAGATCCCAGAGGTAGGAGCAGTCCGGTAAGAGCTGGATGAGCCATAGCTGTGAGCGTCGAAGAACGGTGATGCAGGAGGTATGTACCTAAACGTGACGATAACAAGTCAGCGAAGTTCGAGTGAGTCAAAGGTGGACTTGAATAAGCATCCAAGCTCCAAGCAATAAGCAATTCAAAGAGTGTTGAGCTCTTTGGTATGTCCAATCTATAACGTACCCAGGTGAAAGCATAGACTCGCAGGCCTCGGTAGAACCCTGATATGGAATGCCCACTTGCGCCGTCAGGGGTGAAGTGGCTGACGTCGTGTATGACGGAGAGCCACTCAGCCAAGAATGGCCTTGATCAAACGAAGATGGTCCCTCAGTGACCGAGGGCGGTCTAGAGGTGACATAGTCAAATGAGGAGGGACCATCAAAGAGCGAAACCGTCGTGGATGCCTCGCAGAAACGCTCAGAGGCTACGCTCTCTGGAGCATGTGTATTCGATGAGAAGGAATTACCGCCATATGGGGTGTTTGCCGATGTGGGTGCGATACCGGCGTCGCCTTGGAACAGTGGGTCGTATAGTTCATCGTCCCAGGAGATGAGATCCTGCCAGCCCTCTTCGGATGAGAGCTTTTGGGAGAGGGTAGACATCCTTCGAGCGTTCGAGGTCATGTCGGGGGTAGCGTCTGCCAACGATTTCAAGCCAGAAGTTTAGCCACCGAATCGTGTACCCTGGGGTAACACAGGTCGCAATGAGCCTCCAAAGTCCAATCCTATGCCGGGTGTGGCGTCCACGGTGGAGATGGATCGGCCGTGGGGTCAATTGGGCCAAAGAAGCTCGCCTATGGTGGTCAAGCCAGACGATGCGGCTCGGAGCAAGTATGTGGTAAGTCCGTGTTGAACCGACGGCAGCTGGCGCTAGGCACCTGGGAGATGATGGAAATCCACCACCTCGTGTTGCGGTATCATCCAAAAGAAACAGGGAAACAAAGTGTGAGAGCGAACCAAAACCGCCTCCGTTGAGCAAAAGAAAAGATGGCGAGACCGGGGAGTGCAATGGCGAGTTGCACGGCTGGAAAAGTTCAAACATATACAAAGAGATGCGTAGCCCCGGTCGTTCTAGGATACCTGCGGCTGAAGCAGCGTAGATGCCTTGCGGTTGCCCTAGGAAGCGTCCGCTCCAGTGATGAATTGCGGGCTTATCACGTTCTGCGAGCGGTAGTGAAGATGACTGCATGGCATTGAGTAAACGTCGACAGGCTGTGCGCGCCGTCGCCCGCTGGCCGTGGGCATGGACGTGTTCGGCAGTGCCCTGTGACTTGTCGTACATGCTTGGACCGCCTAATGTAGTTCACCGGCAACGACTAGCGGCCACGGCTGTCAAATCACCGCGCGGACGTGGGAGGTGCGCATTCGCTGGTGTCGGGGCGCTGCACAGTGTGTCAAGTATCTGATCCTGGTGCCGCCAGAGGTGCGGCATTTGTTGCCCATCGGAGCCCATGTGCGAGTCCACATGAGGAAGGCTTCTGGAAGGTGGCACCGTCGTGCTCCTTCCTCCGCATCGTGGCGCAGCCCCCAAGCCCCCCAAAGCCATACCGCCTCGCGTCATATCCAAGGAGTGCGCATCGTCGCATGCAGATTCACCCATCAGAGATTCGGAAGGTCCATGGAAGAATGCTGGCTTGTATATTTCCACCGAATCATGTACCCGTTGTTCGTATCATTTGCTCAATTACACTGTTACAAAAGCGCCCATGTACAGCATGCCGTCTATCTGTGCCACCGATCGGATAAGTGCGTGAACTACACGCCCCACTCCCACACGCCCGCAGACTTGTTCCGCGCAAGCGGGGCAAATCCGTCAATAGGACTGCGTGCCGCAGAAGCGAGCTGTCGCCCTGGGTAAGCACCCTGCGGCAAGGCTGCCTTGTTCCCACTGCCCTGCAGCCTCATCTTTTCGAGCATGGGCGTCATTCCTTCGTATTCAAGAGCAGAAATTCCCTCATCGAAGATACGGGGTTGGGGATCAGGACCCTCGTCACCGTCTCCCCCATCATCGCCCATCTCATTGCGCAGAACCTTGACTTGCGCCTTGAACGCTCGCCAAAACTCGTATTTGTCAAGCGGGTCTTCGTCTTCGTCGCTTGCTCCAATCTTGACAGATTCATCGTCCTCATCGTCTCCGTCGTGGGTCCGCGCCAACTCGAGAAGAGTCGCTACGAAAGCTTCCTTCAAGTATGCGAAGGAGAAGTCGTCAGTGATGCCTGCAATCGCCTCACACAGTTTGCTTGGGAATTCAATGCTCTTCTTGTTCTTCAGCTTGTTTCTCCAGTATTGTGCTAAAATGGTCAGCTTCATTATCCGAACCAGGAACAGTAGAACCGCATACCATATTGGGTTCTCTCGCCCTTGTTCGGCAGCGGGAACAGATACTTGCGGTCGAATCGTGAAGGTCGCTTGGAGAGGCCCGGATCCAGCTCGTCCAGGTGGTTTGTCGTTGCGATCATGAGAATGCCGTCATTGTTCTCCAGCCCGTCCACCTCGTTGAAGAAGTAGCTTCGTGTACTTTTGGTCACGATGGTGTCGATGTCCTCCAGCACCAACATACAAGGTGTCATGGATCTCGCCATCATAAAGACCTGTCTAATACTCCAGGGATAGGGTGCACTCTTCACGTACAAGGTCACCACTGGTTGTTTGCGCTCCTGGACCGTATGCATGAGAGCTTTCAGGGAAATCGTCTTGCCGTTGCCCACAGGGCCGTGAAAGATCAGACCGCGTTTCCATGGCACGCCGTATTCGCGATAAATGTCTTCGTTATCGAAAAACTTGTTCGCAACTTCGGTCAAAGCCTTCTTCATCTTGGGATCAAGGATCACATCCTCCCACTTCGCCTTCTTCACTTCGTCCCAGAGCTTGGTCGATCGCTCCCAGAAATTGTCGTAGACGTAGATGGCTGGCTCTTCCTTGATGAGCCAGGCCCCAATCGTGGACAGAAGCCGATTAACTACCGATGAGTGCGAAGTTGCAGTCTCGCTACCGGTGGGTTCCTTCAAAATGTACTGAACCGAGGACAATCCATAGACGATTGTGTACAGAATAAATTGCTCATTGTTCCAGGTATACTTGTACCTCCCGTAGAAGGTGATGTCGGTAAGATGACCTGATCCGCCCTACACAAGCACACAAGGATTAGCAATCGCTCCCGTGATTTGTTGACGGTACAGTATGGAACAACGCACTCTGTGATCTGGCCCTACAAAGCCTGTCCAGCGGATGACAGGTTCGGTGTCATTGTCTAATTCAGCTTGAGCGTAGCCCGCCGCGGCAAATTGAAGAAGATTGACATTGTTGCCGGGCACGCTCGTAACAGTCAACTCTGGGTGTTTCTCTCGCAAAGCCGTGACGACTTGGACGTCGGGATCGAAGCCCTTGCCGTTCAGCAATTGCCGATAGTCGGGAAACAGCTGCGGCGGGTTATGCGGGCTTTCGTTCTCGATGAGCGTGAAGTCGTCTGCGGATGCCATGTTTGTTAAGACGGGTGTGGAGAGTGAGTAGAATGTTTGGTCGCGATCGAAACAATCGTTTGTACTCCCAGGCAACAGCCCCAAGGTTTACTAGAGTAGCTGCGCGTTGACGCTGCGTTGCTGTGATTGGCTTGTGGGGAGGATGGAGACACTGCCCCAGAGCTTCAGGTGCAACGATGACGTCTGGTGTTTCACTCTCGGACAACGGTGGGAGGCCTTGGGTGTGGGGTGTAAATACAATCGCGTTGAGAAGCTGCAGGAGGAGGAATTGCGCGATCACCGCGAGGTACCTTCGAAAAGGATGACTTGCGTGGCGGACGCCGTGAAGAAAGTCTTATGTTGCGTGGTACCGGCACTGATGCGGAGAAAGCAATATCGGAGGCGTCGTACCTTCCCGATCCTCTCACGCCCGTCCTTGGAGAGATACGGTGCATGTGGCCTTAAGAGACGTGCGCGTGGAACCCTGCGCTCAAGTGGGCGTGCTTCGGCCATCGCTATGGAATGCAACCGCGCCCGCAACGACTAGCTGTGTTGTCTATTGCGGACAACGTTGCGAGAGACGTGGTCGGGCTGACTAACCGCGACTCTCCGACACGCTCATTGAGTGGACCGAAAGCTGTGGGCTTTCACATGCAACTGGCCTCCGCATACCAACGTGAACAGAGAGCGCGTGCGTCTCAACGGCATGCTAACGCTTGGCCTGTCAACCATATAATGCCCCCTCACTGTGACCCGCGTGTTCCGTTCAGCATCAATCTGCGAGTCGTGAGTCCACCAACACTCGCAGTCGCGCCAAGCGGTCAAGGTTTGTGAGAGTCTGGCCGTTCACGTGTCGGCTGACCCTGGCGAAGTTCATGTCAATTGGCGACCATCCATTTCCTCAACGATCCACGCAACAATTGACGGCGGGGCGAGCGGGGGTGCAGCGCTCCGTATTTGTTCGTCATCTTCCTTCAGCAGTCCATCTTTATAACCTACATCTTGTAATTGGGCGAGTTTCCAGCATATCCATCGCATCACATTCGCACGGCATCGCGGAACGTCGGAACTAGCAGAAGCGACATGGCGGAAGACCCTTTAACTACAAGCTCGACACAGCAACCGCCCATCTATCGTCCCATACCTCGCCGCAACTTCTCCACACAGACAGACGCCTCGTCAGACTCGCCCGCACACGCTTTCGTCCCGTCAACGCCACCCGGCGTCGCAGAGACGCAGAACCGCCCATCGGATTTCCTTGCGCAGCTCAACGCGCGCCTGCTGCGGACATACAATGCGGGTCTCAATCTCAACGACGATGCAGAACCAGAAGGAGCGCCGCCACCGCGGAATAAAAGTCTCATGAACCTGACTAAAAGCACGCTTTTTGGCATCTACGACGACGATGCCAGCACACCAGTGGAACAGAGTGTCCCGGAGACGCCCTGGGGCATGGGCACAGAGACACCCGGAAGGAAACATCCAGGCGCAACCAGATGGGATAGTGGAACAGATAGCCCTGCTCTAGGTCTCACCATGCAGCCGCGCAGGAGAACCGCCAATAGCAATCGCGAAGCAGCACGGTCACCGTCTACCAGACAGGGTCTAAGGCCGCAGAGGAAGGGTGTTTGGAAGTACACTGTATCTCTAGGGAAGCTAGCAGCTTTGTTCCTTTTTGGCGTCACCTACGGCGTCATTGTCAGCCACCTGCACGACACTAGGGAATTGGCCGCCGTAAGGGTAGAAGGCGTAGACCGAGGGAACTGGACATATCTTGCAAGCTGGGGGATTGCCGGCCTTGTTCTAGGCAGTTGCCTGCCATACGTCGAACTTACGTGGGGCCGGCAGCCGGCGAAAGGCCTTGAAGAAGAGTGTGCGCCGGAGCAGGAGAACGAAACGGGCTTCAGCGAGCAGTGGAACGACATAGTGCGGAGCGTGGGCGCTTTCCTGGCAATAGCATTCGCCATCGTAAGTGTTAACCTACACCCACTCCTGGCATCAAGCTAATCAATGACAGCGCAAACTCCCCTGGCAGTCCACCCTTCAGCTCACCCTCACGCTCGCCCTCGTCAACCCCGCTCTTTGGTACATACTCGACCGTACCAAGCCTGGCTTCTCATACTCTCTCCTCGTAACATCTGTCCTAACCTCCTTCATCTTCCTCTCAGACCCCGACATTCTCCCTTCGCCCTCCCTACCAGCCACGATCAACGGCACGCACGTACCATCGGCTGCACGATTGCAGGGTCAGCAAGACATGTTTGTTGGCGTGGTTAGCTATGACACGCTAGCTGTAGTGACATGGGTGGGCAGCGTGCTGTTCTGCAGTTGCGTGTGCTTTGGGAGTATTGGCCGACGCCTGGCCGTGTGGGATCATAGCGAGTTGGCAAAAAAGAGATAGATCTGATACCCGATGATGGCATGTTGAGCGATTAGCGGCTGTTTCTGGATATTGGTATTGTATTATATATTGTAATGGGTGGATCAAAAGGGCATGGAGGATATTATCTCAGCCTGGGAAGGTTTCTATATCAGGCGTTATCTAGCCCGCCGAAGAGCGTTTGGCGAATGATACTTTTGTGGACATATTGTTGAGATGTTCACGTGAAAACTGAGCTCAGATATGTGACGATCAAGTTGTGCCTTGATTAAACGTCCTGTCGATCGTACGCTGTCCCTATCATACTTTGGTCATCCCTCGATCAGCCTCCAGGTCCTCATTGCCGAGTGTGTACACCCAAATGAATACCAGATGAATATCTAAGGAGGAGCCCGCGAGCGTAAGAAGCGTAATAGAAGCCATGCACAGCTCATCCCAATCATCTCCACATATCTCTGCGCACACATAGCTTCCTCACGGTGCTTGACATGTGCACAATGGCCAGCCGTCTCCGAATCCGCCGTGGGCTTTCACTCTGCAGAAGACAGCCGAATCCCTAGGCTACGTTCGTTCAAAGATCAAAATTGGTCATCAGTTGATCAGCGCAGCAACCGACTTGGAACGCAATGTCTGCATTGAATGTTCCATTATCTTGCATGAACGAAGCAGTCTCTTTGACTCGCTCGAGGTGACATTAATGTCAATTTCAGTTGGAGTCTCAAGACTGAGGCAAGGATTTAAAAGGTGTGTGTCTCATTACGGTTGTTGGCTTCGCCATACTTGCCTGTGTTAGTGTCGATGCTTAGTTTGCGCCTTCCGCCGATGCAGCGTTATGTCAGATATCGCGTACGCCCGTACGCCCCACACAGCATGCAAAGGTTGTTGCTTGAAAGGCTCGAGACCTCGGCAATGGACCATGACGTCGTGTGGGGTCCATCTTTATCACCTTTCCTCCACTCTACCTTGCTTTCCATCTTTCTCGGTGTCACTTCGGGCAGGTGTAGCGAGCATTCTCGTCTCGAGATCCACCTTCTGAAGGCTTCGTACACCGGTGAAAGCACAACAAATTGACTAATCACAGGCTAGCAGGTTAGCCGCCTTGGAAGGGCTGACTTAACGCTTAAACGGCAATTCCGACCGCCTTACGGCCTTGGAATCTCTAACGATACTCCACACTTGCTGGAGTACGATCCCCGCAAAAGGTTCTCCGCGTACCCACTCTTTCATTTCACAAGACGATCTTCCCCGGATACATCATCTCATGATTCGCACCGGCTTCCTCGATTGGGCAATGGTGCATATGTCGAGTGTGTACGATGGACGTTGGGATAACTACATATGCTTGATTTCGCCTCCACTTAATTCTGAATCATTCTGGGTCGTGCTCTCTACTTCTGGCACTCGAGCTTTATCGGATCCTACAGCTTGAATAGCCCTTGTCAAAACCCATCGTGAGCAGTCATGGGTGTTCTTGAATTGAGAGGCAAGCGCCTCATAGCAGTCATCTTGATGACCGCTGGCTTCGACTTCCTTCTCGTCGGATGCAAGTCTTTCCCATATCTCCTCCATCCACCTCCGCTAATGAGTAGTAAGATGACCAAGGTCTCTTCGGTGGTATCCTGGGCGGGGAACGCTTCAAGAACACACTCGGCAACCCGAACCCTACAATGACTGGACTCGTCACCGCGATATACGACGTCGGATGCGCGTTGGGAGCCATAATAGCCTTCATGTTTGGCGAACAGATTGGACGCAAACGATCGATCATCTTTGCGAACATTGTCGTTATCATCGGTGCTTCTATTCAGACCGCGTCCTTCGAGTACTGGCAGATGTTCGTTGCGAGAATCATAGGCGGTATTGGTGTGGGCTTCTCCACAGTCGCTATTCCGATTTTGCAGTCTGAGACACTGCCAGCGCACAACCGCGGTGCTCTTCTGGTCGTTCAGTCTGCATTGATCATTATCGGCGTTGCGCTTGCATCGTGGCTTTGCTTCGCTTGCTTGTACGCGAACAGCTCGCTCCAATGGCGGTTTCCGGTATCCTGCCAGATCTTGTTCTCGATCTTGGTGCTGAGCTTGTCGCCTTGGCTCTGTGAGTCGCCTCGCTGGCTGGCTCAGCGCGGTAGAGTTGACGAGGTAAGTTCCCTTATGTCAAGCACTCGTTAACAATACTAATCTGTCGATAGGCCAAGAACATCATTAGTCGACTACTCGACAAGCCCCTGGATGATGAAGAAGTACTAGGCCAGCTACAAGAGATTCTAGACGCGATCGAAGCTGAGCGGAACGAAGAAGAGCCCTCGTGGAGTGAGGTCTTCAGCAACTCAACCAAGACCCGCAATCTCCATCGCGTCGTTCTTGGAATGGGCCCTTACATGATGAATCAATGGAGCGGAGTCAACGTACGTAACGCCTCGATGCGAATTCGATATGCCCCTAGACATAGACACCTTGTACCCAGCCCCCCTTCTTCAACATACACTAACCTCTCTCCGCGCATCTAGGCACTATGCTACTACCTCGCCTACATCCTCGAAAACTACATGGGCTACTCTCCCAGCATGGCCCTCATCCTCGCCTCCGTCGCCTTCACCCAATACGCCGTCTTCTCCTGGCCCCCCTACTTCTACATCGACCGCATCGGCCGCCGCTGGTCCGTCATGCTCTCCTCCGCCGGCTGCGCAATCTGCATGGCCATCATCGCCGGCGGCCTCTCCACAAACAGCTTCTCCAGCGCCGCCGCAGCAGTCGCCTTCATCTTCCTCTACCTCGACTGTTTCACCTCTGGCATCCTGCCCGTCTCCTGGTCCTACTCCTCCGAGATCCAGCCCCTCCGCGTGCGGAACAAAGCCACCGCCGTGGGCGTCTTCTCGCACTGGATCAGCAACTTTGTGGTCGTCATGGTCACGCCGATTGGGCTTGATTCCATCAAGGGGAATTATTTCTGGGTTTGGGCGGTCATTTGTGCGAGTTTTGTGCCGCTGACGTACTTCTTTGGAGTGGAGACGAGCGGGAGGACGCTCGAGCAGATTGATGCGATGTTCTTCGATGAGCCGAGGTTGTTGATGGGACTGAATCCGGAGAATAGGAGGGTTGTGCGGGGAAGCAAGACGGATGAGGAGCAGCGATACAGGAACATGGCCCATGCGAATGAGAAGGAGGAGGTCGTTATGTCGGAGAGGGTGTCGGAGAGCAATTAGGACGGCGCACAAATGGGAAGAGGAAGGTGCAAGGGCCCCTCCTCGTCGAGGCTAGATTGCAGTGAACAGAGGTACTTTATGGCAATTTGATCGTGTACTGTTCTTCCGCCTTCAGCTCTGAGCTCGCGATCGAGACGCTCAAATTACTTACACAGAAACGTCATCCCAGTGCCATTACTCGAGTAAAGCAAACCATATGCCGGCTGTCATCCCCCTAGCACTCAAAGCATGTATCACATGAACAAATCAAGTCTATTTCTATGCAACACCATACTACCCACACCGCCCTCCATCCCCATCGCTACCTACTCCTTCCCCACTTTCGCCAACACGCCCCTCACAACCGCACTCCTCTCCCCACCATCCACCTCCGGTTTGACTTTGTCCGCCACCCATCTACAGCCCCCAACCTTTGCAACAACAATTAAAGCCTCTGCCCGCTTCACCCGCATAGCCTCGGGCAGTCCCTCAAAGCTTGGGTCGAATAGTAGCTTCTCCAGCGCCTCCTTTGCCTCTTCATTGACCGTGATGTCGCTGGGCAGACGCTCGAAAAGAGCCTGAAGTGACGTGAAAGTCTTGAGATGGATGTCCTTCGCGCGCGTGGAGTTTGCTTTGACAATGAGGGGGAGGAGAGTGGAGAGGTGTGCGGTAAGGGCTTGAGTGCTGAGAAGTGTAGTGTTTGGCGACAGTGTGAGAGCGGATATACATGCCGCAAGCGTCTTCTCCTGTCTGTGGATATGTTAGTATAATTCCGTATCGGGGGAGATCTGGAGGATTAGAATCAGGGAGGAGATGATTTACAGTTGCACATCCTTCATCGGCTCTCCGCCATCAACATCCATTTTCTCTCCATCTTCATCCCCACCGAGCACCTCTTCTAGAACATTTTCTACAATCTCTACAACCGTGCTTGAGAGCTCCAGATCCGTACGTGCAAGGCAGATTTTGCCTAAAGCTTCAAGCGCATGCGGCCGATACGTCTTATTCTGCCTCTTCGCCTCGCGAATAGTGACTTTCTCGATTTGCTTCGCGACTTTTTTGTCTTCTTTCCAGAGACTTTGTCCCCGCTCGATGAACCGTACAAAAGCCTCTAGCACGATTTCTTTGCCATCCCATGTCTTCCCGCCCATCGCTTTGTCGAGAGACGGCCATAGGGTCTCTGCGTTGGCTTTGGCGAGGGTTTCGCTGCCTGTTGTGATGGACATCACAGCGTCAGCTATAGTTTTTGCGGCCGCGTGCTTGAGCACCCATTTCGGACTCTCAAGGTGCTTGTCTGATAGGCTGACGATTTCTTTGAGGTAGAGCAGGACTGCACGCGAGCCAGCGACATTGTCTGACCACGTGTCGTCGAAGAGTCGCTTGACCTGTTCATTTGTGTCGTGTTTCGCAAGGAAGATGAGGGGGAGGAGCTCAGAGGAGAGCGACGTGAAGCGGTCTGCGGCGTTCTTGGAGATGGAAAGGACGATGTCGCCGGCAGTGAGGCGGGACTTGTCCTCTTCGGAGTCGAAATAGAGTTTGTGGCAAAAGGCGATGGTGGCGATGAGTTGCTTATCAGACGCGACGCGAGCGACGTAGCCTGCCGCGGCGGCATATGAGGTAGACACGGTGTCGTTGCGGTCATGCACATACTTTTGGATTGTTTTTAAAAAGCTGTCAGCATAAGGTTTGAAGAGGAAGTTGTGCCGTGTGCTGAGCGTGACGAGGATCCTGGAGCACCCTACTTTGGAGGGAAGGCCGACTGCGTTCTTCATTGCGACTTCGATGCGTGGGACGAGGACCTTCATCGTCTCTGCATCGGCGAGGTCGAGACAGCGCTCTATAGACTCTGTAAGGGGCGATGAGCGTACGCTTTGTAGGCGCATGTCGTCTATCTTCTGTTCGGTGAGATTGTACTTTGAGGCGTTGAGATGGATGTAGTTGACGGCTTCAGGCTCTAACGAGCTCAACAGCCCCAGAAGCCTCTCTACTAGCTCGGGAACGTGTGGATTCAGCGTCTTCGCATTGCTCTTCTTGACGATCTGGACAAGAGTGTGCACCGCGAACATACGCACTTCCTCAGCGCTAGATTCAAGACCAGACCCGGAGAATAGGAAGGGAAGGACCCGTGAGAGCATCGCATCTGCGGTCTTGATCGAGGAGTCACCCGCTTCCAGGGATCGCGTCAAAATGCCCGTGAGCACTCGAGCGAGGGAAGCTGCGGCAGCACGTACAGACTCCTTTATATCATCGAGAACTTTAAAGCATTTATCCCAGATATCGCCAAGGTACTTTTCGTACTGTAATTGTTAGCCTATGAACATGTCCATTTGTGACGCCGATAAACTCACCTTGTCAATATTTCTTCCTTGCACTAAGTCTGAAATGGCTGCGCAAGATGCTTGACGCACACGCCACTCTTTTGTCAAAATACTTGTAAGTAGGTCATCCATGATGGCATCAAAATTCTTGTCGATGGTCGCGGACGAGTCTTTCACTAGAGCATTCCAGATGTCGTTCATAGACCGTTGGACGTTAGGGTTCGGATCGAACCTAGAACATGTTAGAATTTACACACATGCTTCTCCAGACTAACATACCTATAGCGATATAGCTTGGGATATAGCTTCGGATTCTCGGCCAGGTACCCGTCAACGCTAGAGTCCGAGAAGATGTTACTTAGGCCGAAGCGACCGAAAGCTGCGCGGCTTGACCAGATGGAGTTGTTGGATGCCAATGACATGAATCGATAGACGAGACTAGAGTCGCCGACCTCAGAAGCAAGGCTGAGAATATCCTTATAAGTCGTGATCGAACCATCGCCAGTAGGAAGAGCACCCGGCTCGAAAAGTTGCGTATCTTCCGACACGGTACCAGACATCTTCGCCTTGTTGTCTGAGAATGAACCCACAAGGTCGCGCACCAAGTCGTCCTTGAGTTGGCGATCGCCCTTCTCATAGACAAGGCCGAGACCTCGCGATGCTGCTTCTTGTACCACCTCATCCCGGTCCGAAAGGCAGTACTTGAACGCCAACTGACACTGAGGGAGGTATTGCTGTATCTCAGACTTATGACCGCAATACTGCAACAGGCATAAAAGCCAGATCACGGAAGCCTTCTTGAGAGATGGCTTAGACTGTTTGCAACCCTTCAGTGTCTTCTCCAGGACTGTGGTCAACGTCTTCTCGCGCCTAGGTCCGGCTGGAGTTACTGGTGATGCATCCCAAGGATCGTGCGATTGTGTTGTGTGTTCGATATCGAGCTCTGCTGTCAGCGCTTTCGACTCCCATCCGCAAGCAAAGCAGCTCAATGCTTCACCAACAGAGAATTGTACTTCAGGTTGCCGTACTTCGTGTAGCTCGTACAACCTGTCAGCTATGAAGCTATAATCACTTTTCTCGTCGTCGTTGCTGGCTTCGTCGGTCGTAGTAGACAAATGCCCGAGCGCAAGGATTGCGCTTGTCGTCCCAGCCTTTGCAGAGTCGTAGATCTGCTGAGCAACATCCTGGAATTTTGCGTAGGGAGCTATGCTAGAAGGACTTATGACTTGGAACAGACTGAGCTGATCTATGCAAGTGAAGATGGATGTCTTCAATGTAGCATCTTTTGATTCTGCTAAGATCTTGAACACGACATTGAGGATCTTCTTCAGAGAATCCTCATCAGTAGAAGGCGACTGGTTTTGCCAATGTGCACGACTGAGGTAGTAGCCCAAAGCCGCGATAGCACCACTGATTTGGTTGATCTCGCCACCAACAGCGTCTCTCCAGGTTTCGATCTTTCCGTAGAGTAAGTCATAGGATTTTTCAATGATTGCCGCCTGAACATCTTTATGTGAAGCTAATAGTCCGTAGGCGTGAGCGGCTGCCGTTCGACGATTGGCATTGTTCGATAGTACTGAAGGCTCTAGCGTGCGGAAGTCACGCAACAACAGTGCACGCTTCCAGATGTTATCAGGACATAAAGAGAGCAAGCGGACAAAGCTACTCCCAATGTCACCGACATCGCTTAGCTCATCCCGTGTAAGTCGGTCGAAGCTTGCTCTTAAAAGTATGGCCAGTGACGTTGCATGCGCTTCGACAGCAGCAAAGGCCCGGAATGCTTGACGTGCGCGGAGATCGCTAGTCATGAGGGTCTCAAGCTTACGGCCCCAATCCTCTGCAAGCTTCTCATGTATATTCTTCTCTGCGAGTGCGGCGTGCATTGCGACTTGAGAACAGAACGTGATGACAGTGGGCAGTGTATGCGAGAAGCGTTGTTGGAACAGCTGTGCTTGTGACACAGCATTTCCGTTATCGTCTACATCCATGTCATCGTCGTCTTCGCCTTGTCGAGCGAAAATAAATTGGACGAGGTCGTCAAAATTCGGGAAAGGGGTGTTATCCCCTTCAGCGTCGATACCTGGTAGCGAGTTCGACATATTGAACCAGTATGGATCGAGGCCTATTTACTGTCGTTAGCATAGCTCTTGATCCTAGTCCGGACTCCCGGAACACACCTTTTCGTCCCTCTTCTACGACCTCGTGTCTTTCACTGCTCCCTCCGCTTACGGCAAGAATATCAATCCATCTGGCAAGAACATCGTCGTACGGCAGACATCTATTTGCAAATCTCGTAGCTGTATATCGAGTGCTTCTAAAGACCTGGTCGCCCCTCCCATTGCTGGAGTCGACATTGGCGGAATATTTGAGCAGTATTTGCCTAAACTTTGGTCGTATTGAGGCATTGAGAGATTTCGAGAATGCACCAAGCACGGATGAAAGAGCTTCGTCAATGCTGACTGTCACTTCTTTCCCGGAAGCGTCTTCCCTCAACGAGCGAAAAAGCCATTCGAGTAGATCCAAATTCGGCTCGAGGAGGATGGTCTTGGGAGACGCTTTGGCCAACAACCCGATAGTCTCGTATCCATATCCACGAAGTTCCATGTCCTGATCTCTGTCTGGTACCGGCCAGCCTTGGTCCTGCAGAAACGCTCTTAAATTACCCACTAGGCCTTCGGCAACACTAGAGAGATGTTCGGCGGCACCTCTTCGAGCAACGAAGTTGACTAGAGCGAAGATCGCTGAACGATACTTGGATGCTTCTCTGCCTGCGGTGGTCTTGTTCGTCGCGCTCAATTCAGGTGACAACAATCCTTCCTCAACGACACGAGCAATATCTTTCGGAAATGTTGTGCACGTCACAGACTTAGCGAGTATTCCCAGTATCCTGATACGAAGGGGAACCTTGACTGCCAAAGGGCCTTCAGGTGCTGATCTATAGGTCGTTAGTAACTTGTTCCTTCTTGCAAATGCCTTTGCTGCATCTGAACATAAGGTTGCAACTCACGAGCCGAAATAGAGACCGAGCAAAGTCTTGATAATTTCTGCATCTTCCAAATCTTTTGAAAGAATCACACGTTTCAATACATCCTCGCCGACTTCTGAGATTCGAGAATTGGTATCTGCAGACGCGAACAGCGCAGGAAGGAACTTCTCATCTTCGGTGAACATGCCACTTGCCAACAAGCGCGTCACAAGAGCTTTAGACTCTGTCAAGTTCAATCCTGCATCAGTACTTGGATCCCACGCGTCAGGTTTGCCCTGTAGGGTAAGAAACTTGTACTCCTCAACAGAGAGGCCGGGGCACCGCATGGAAGCTGCCACATCTGGATTGGAGGTGCGAGTAACGGTGAGAAGCAAGAGTTTGCCGAACCAATGCGAGAGAAACTCTGCATCATCGGCTTGGATGCCCAAGGTAGAGCGAAGTTCGTCATCCTCTTTACTGCCTCGTAGAGGAAGTTTGAAATGTGTAAGAAGGCGTAAGATTAGATGGAAAAGCTGAGAAGCGTGCTGTTGGGACTTGTTATAGTCGTTTGCAATCCCCTGAATCAGGATGGGAAGAAGCTCGAGCCTTTCAGAAACAGGGAGACGTGATATACCCTGTTGTATATACAAGATATCGAAATGACGGATCAGGGCCACGTCACCGTTCTCTTTAAATTGCTTGAGCAGAGCGGCTACTGGAAGTTTGATATCCCTGGACGACAATCAGATGGACGGAATCATGAAATGAGCAACCAGCACGTACGGTGATTTTATGCGAGTGTTGATGTGTTGACAGATGGATATGACCTGAAATTACCGCAATTAGCGGTGCTCCAGGCTCAATGACGAGGGAGGAAATGGCTGATAGGTACCTTGTTCCTCACGGCAACACTGTCAGACCCAAGTTTGAGGAGTAGAGGAGATAGATAGAGTTTTAGCAGATCTTGCAGCTTCTGTTCCGAGTCGGCCAGAGCTATCCTACAACAGAGATGGGTGGTCAGTATATGATAATCCGTGTTGCGGGATGCATGTCCTCACCGCATCTCGACCTTTCCCACCAACGCCAGCTCTCTCGCTTCTGGCGACTGTGTCGACGCCATTTTGAGCGCTGGAGATCGTGTATTGGTGATCCCCGGTGCGGCTCAAAAGTGGGCGAACAAGATATACGCCACAGGCAGCGGCGATGGCGTGGCGGGGCGTTCCTGCCTCTGCGACAGAAAAGTCACGCGCGGGAGCTACTGCTGAGCAATAAAGCACTCGTCAGACGTCTTCTGCCTTCTACAGCTTGCCACATCGCGTGCCGACATTCACTGGTGGACGCGCAGGGGTCCATTTGCGGCGGGAGCGCGAATCGGGCGTCGGAATTACAGCGCACAGACCACGAATGAGTGACGCAGCTTCATTGCCTGGGCCAAACAATACCGCCGTGGTGCAAGACAGTCGCCTTCCACATAACACTCTGTTGCCTGACGCCGTATACCTCACTTTACTGACTCCTTTTCTGCAGGCCTTCAGCGCGACTTCCCCTCCTATTCTCACCTCCAGCAACGCGACTGCCGGAACCGATTCGTCAACTCCGGCAGCAGTTGAGACCCGCAGTACCTTGCTGTGCGACCAATCTCGACAAACTGCCACTGCGATATACTACGTCCCTTTACAGCTCACGGAACTTATTTGCCAGCACGCCCCGAGTGCGCAACAGCCCATCGTTGACGTGTTCATGGGCATCTGAACTACCCCGCCGTCAACGTCGAGCCTTCATCATCGGCCGCCACTTCTATTCTACCACCAAACCTTCCCTCCTCAACTTCGCGCCCACAACCACAGCTTTTGTTCTACCGACACCATGGACGACGAGAACATTTCCAACTTCGTTGCGATTACCTCTTGCGAGCCAGCAAAAGCTGCGCAATACCTAAGCTTGACTGAGGGCAACCTCGAACAAGCTATACAATTGTACTTCGATAGCCCCAACCTCGACTTTGGCGGAGCACCAGCTGCCCAACCTGCCGCTACCAATGCGAGCAACCCGATCCCGATCGACTCTGACGACGAGATGTCCGACTTCGAGCCCACGGCTTTCGAAACGAATGCCCCGCCGCGAGCACAACCGAATACCGAAGATGATGAGGCAATGGCCCGTCGTTTGCAGGAGGAGATGTATGGTGCTGGTGGCGGTGCTGTTGCCCAGGACGAGGTTCGCGCTCCAATGGAGCGGAGGACAGAAACATTGGTCGGTCCCGACGCCAATTGGGGACCCGGAAGCGAAGACGAAATTAATCAGATGGTTCAAGAGCAGCTCGCACGCCGCAGGAACCCTGGGTCTCGCCCAGGCATATTCAACCAACGTAACACGCAAGCTTCGGTGTGGGACAACAGCGGTGATTCGAGCGCTCGACGACGTGAGCTGGCCACTGCTACTGGTGGCGCCTCAGAGCAGTCTTCAAAGATGAACATGCTTGCAGAGCTGTTCAGGCCTCCATTCGAGATCATGTTCCAGCAACCCTGGGAGAAGGCGCGCGACCTGGGAAAAGAAGAGTCGAAATGGCTCATCGTCAACGTTCAAGATCCTGCCATTTTCGACTGCCAGCGTCTTAACAGGGATATTTGGAAGAACGATGATATCAAAGACACGATTCGAGAGAACTTCATCTTCATTCAGTACGCCAAGGATGACCCTCGAGGCCAGGAATACATGAACTACTACTTTCAAAACCGTGAGAGCGCGGACGCATACCCACACATTGCTATCGTCGACCCGCGAACGGGTGAGCAAGTCAAGGTGTGGTCAGGCCCTCCGATTCCCGAGCCTGTCGACTTCCATGCCCAGCTTCATGAGTTCTTGGATCGCTACAGCCTCAATTTGAATGTGAAGAACCCGGTCGCAACACGCAAGTCCGAAAAGCCAAAGAAGGACGTTGGCCGGATGACCGAGGAAGAGATGCTCGAGATGGCTCTGCAGAACAGCCTAGGCAATAATGATCAAGGCCCGAAGGACGAAGATCCAGATGCGCTTACGAAGGGCGACGTTGCCAACAAGGGCAAGGCAAAGGCGGAGGAGCCTGCAGAGTCAGTGGAGGAGACGAACGGGAATTCACCATTTGCGCAGATTTCCTCAGATAATCCCCACATCGAGCCTACATCGACCGATCCAACAGTCACTACTCGCATCCAGTTCCGCGGCGGCCCAGGTCGGCCCATCGTTCGACGCTTCAACTTGGCAGATCCAGTTCGTCGAATATATGAATGGATCAAAGCTGGACACCCTTGGGAAGGAAAAGAAGGCGCGGATTTCGATCTGTCCTTCATGGGCAAGAACCTTCTTGAAGGCCTAGACTCAACTATTCAAGAAGCCGGCTTGAAGGGGGCGAGCGTCATGGTCGAGTTCACCGATTCGGAGTGAGCGCGGACGTTGTAGCATCTTTCGGTGTGTGGCGTTATACTCAAATGCGACTCCGCATTGGTCATTCTTTGGGAGGAACGAACTAATAGCAAGGCTATATGAAGAAGGAAGTAATGATGACGATAGGCATTAAGGGCACAGGAACTTAGATGGCTTAGATCCCACGCCTGCCATCATCACGACGTGATGGTGGGCATCTTCAACATACCCCATTGCATTTTCGGTCTTTTGGCCTGATGGTCTGCAGGACCTTGCCCCAGCACCTGTTCTGTAGATAGCACAAGAATATCACACAAGCGCTCGGTGTATCGATGCCCAATCCTCTCATTTCGACTTGATCTGTTTCACCTTGCTTGATTTGCCTTCCAGCTCATCAAATAGCTTCTTTCAACATTACGTATGTTGCCCCGTCTCTTACCTTCCATTACACGTTCGTCCATCCTAGCTCGCTGAGTACTCCGATAATGCTTCTCATGGGCTGTTGTACCGCTTTCCAGGGTCCACTCCACTGCTGTCGAGATGCAAAACCATCTCTCCGTCACTCCATCTTATAACCTCATCCTGGCTCCGCCCTCAATATCCCCCTTCCATATCTTCTCTCTATCCTAGCTGACCACACACCAACCTTCACCTGCTCTCCTTCCATTCTTAGAATCCGTTTTCGTAGACGCATTGGCCGCGACTGAAGTAGCACGATTTCCCGATTTGTACGTCTCGTGTCTAATGTTGCCGTGCGGTGCGAGAAGACACGTCTTGTGCAGGCCGCCTGCGCGCTTGTATTCGTCTATGAAGGGCGTGGGTGGGAAGGTAGGCCTGTATGTGGACGACATGTTGGGTTTGTATAGGGCCGCTTTGACGACGACGAGATTCAAGCCGTTGTAAGCGCAGAGTCGAGGCTTTGAAAGCGTAGTGGGGTTTAGAAGACACGCTCGGATAGGAGTGTGTTATGTCGATGTTGAACGCGAACGAGTTGGGCCAAATTAATTCCAATGATGCGCGTTATATATCTATCTGAGAACCATATTTCTGAGTCTTGTATGGCTGAAAATGGTCTTCGGATTGGTCCGGCGAATATTGTAGTGTTGTTGCTGGGCATGGAGAACAATAGTAACGCGTTGCTGGGGTGTGGGTTAGCGAAGCATTGGTGCTGGTGCGAACAAAGAAGGTGTTTGTTTTCGGTGTCACGTAGGAAGATCCATCAGTAAAGTATGGTTTCTAGAAGCCTTATGGAATACTACAAGGAGTTCTAGATTGCGAGTCTGCAGATATGATGGAGAGAAAATGAATTGGTGGTGTGAACAAAGGCTGGGGACGGTAGTTGTACCGGAGGCGTAGAACGGGTATGGCTGGTATGAAAGAAATATGGATCAGACGTAGGAGGATGGGTAGAGCGCCGATTCGTAGGTCAGGTATGTATAGGATGTTCATTGTCCAAGAGAGACTGATATGTCCAAGGTGTTTGTATGTCCGTGAGAGCTAACAGTTCCGTGGGGAAAGCAGAAAGGATTGGTACGCGAAGCCCACCCTGAACCACGTACGCAGGCGCCGTTCGAATCTATGTACCTGTGGCAGTCAAGAGCTAAAGGTGCTATGCTGGTGTTCTCGACAAATCACATCGTACACACTGATCAACACCATGCGGCAATCCATGGAAGAGTCGAATCTAGCCGCCTCACTCGAAGTCACAGTCTGGAGACTTTTTCGCCTAGATTTTGCTCCGTGCGAAGGAAGCTTGATGATCGCATTCTAGTGATTTGGTGACAGATCTGCAGACCGAGAGTGGTGGCCAAAGTAAGGATGCCGCAGGAGTGGGGTCTGTCACTCAACCGCTCCACCAAAAAAGGCTATAGTCCAAACACAATCAGACATGATCACTACAGTCCGAAAAGATGGAAACATGAATGTAGGTCCTTAGATGGCGAATTGATGATGCCTGAGCGAGCATTTCGGGCCTGACCGTGCCACAGTCCTTAAGGTTTCCTGGTCAAACTCCATTGTGCCTGATCGCGATCACAGGCTCACCGGGCATGTATATTCCTTCAACTCTGTTCAGTTGTCTTCTTTTTACTAACATTTTTCCGGCTCCGTAATGCCTGCTCATATATAATTTTATCGCGTCCTACCCACCAATTGGATATGCAGGATCCATTGTATCTCTTCCACTCGAACTTCCGCTGTACTTCTTGTAGCGTAGGAGGCCTCATGTCGCCCTTCCAGTGCAAATCACTCCATGTCCTGTGCGTCCGGTCTCCACTAGGATCATAGACCCAGTTCTTCTCGTCCTGGATCCAGGTGATGACTGCTACCTTCTCTTCTCGGGTATACGATCGACGAGAGATACCGGTTTTTGAAACCCTAGTAACATGTGTTCCGGGTTCTTTACGTGGGCGGCCGACTTACCTACGTTCGGGCTTCTGAGGTTCGGGTGGCATGATGAGGACGTGGATGAGGATGAGAAGTTCGAGGAGCGCACTGAGACAGGCAGGTGGCAGATCTGCCACCCGGCGTCGACTCCTGATAACGTGAGATTCTAGACAAATGGAGGCTGCCGACACGAGTAAATCGAGACACTCACCACCAGTACTTATCAAGATATGGCTGAGATGCAAAGTCCGAGATGGATTGTCCTGCACCTGAAGCTCCATTGACGATAACGAACGGATCTGCGCGCACGGGCCACACTAGACCGTCCAAACGCTCTCCTACATTCCCTCTCCTACTCGTCCTCACGCAGTGTTGCTGTTGCAATACAATACTTGCGCTCCGCCCCAAGGTGAGCGTCATGCTGTCGCCAGCGCCGTCCCGTGTACAAGATTAATCCATGTCAAGCACCAGCACCAGATCGACCGACATCAGTCAGTCGAGCGAGCCCTCAGAGGCCTCAACATATGTCAGGTGGTCAAGTATCCCGTAATTCACACAAGTTAGTTAGCAAATGCCACTGTCGTTAGATCTATGAGAATGTCAGCTGAACGAGAAACAAAGCTTCTATTTTCAGGATCCGATACTTGGCCTAGTATATACGCTGATCGCACTTCAGATGGCTAGCATGCACGGCCTGGCCAAACTACTATCTGCAAAGGTACACGGTAGATACTTTCATAGTCTTGTCGTTAGTCTACAAATGCCGCGACTGTGAAATGTGATCCTACATAAGGCACCCAACATCGGCCCGACTCTGAAAACGCGCCGTATCACCGCCGCGAAGCAGCAGCAAGCAGCAGTCACAGCTACAACAAAGGCAAGGCTACCTTGCGATAATCCTGTTCCCATCTATTCGTTGGGCTACCCATTGGCCACACTCGAGATCCACCTTCCAAGTGCACAGCGCCTCCATTCAACTCAAGGATCCCATACTCGCCTCGACCGGAACAAAGAAGTATCAGAAATTCAAATGCCCGACACCCGTGCCATCCTTCCCTTCACGTAACTCCTTCAGTGTGTGATCATTGCCAGCGCGTTCAGCACGCTGCATACCGCACTTCTCTAGTTTCAGTCCGCCGTTTCTCCTACTGCACCTGCCTTTCGCAGTCACCCCCCAAAGTCAAAAGCAACCGCCAAGCGACGTCAAACAAGCGCGCTTCAATCTCCGCCAATCACAGTTCTCCTCCATCGACAGCCCTCAATCGAGCTAGCGGAATGGTTGCGCAATCACAGTCGATAGATCCATCGCCTCCTTCGCGATCAATGTTCACGTGCCCCCTTCAATAGATTGATGGAACTAACAAAACTAGACACGGAACCACATCCGGCTGAAGATCAAGTGACTTTGAATGTGGTGTGAAGTGCTCGAAGCCGGACACACATCCCCCATCCAGCCGTTCCAATATCCCCACCGTAGCCTACGCGACTCGCACCAATACACTTCCCTGCCCGCGCACCTATACCACACCACAATATAGCCAAAGTATCTTAGACAACCCTTATACACTAGCGGAACAGGCTGGCGACATGTACACAGTACCTTGCCTACTTGGTAAATGCCTGGAACAAACAGACAGAGCATCATGTGTGTGACAAGCGCCTGCGTGCGAAGGCGGCGCTAGAAGTGATGATTGGACAGGAGGATTTATCGCCTCATGCACGTGATAGAATACCGTATGCACGTCGTTGGAAACGCTAGGATGCATTGGAGGGGCCCTGCTGCGGCGAGCAGAACACCCTCTCCATCACCGAATGCGCACTCCCAGCAGATTCGTGCTCAAAACGCCACAGCAGCCCTCAAACGCCCTCTCCTCCTTGCGCGCAAGACCTACCGCGTAACTCGGTTCGATCAGGACGTTGCTTTTCGAAAAGGAAAACGCGCACACGGTGCAAATCCCAATGTTTCCACACCCCCACCCCCTCGTCGCGGGCGCTTAACCATAGGCTTGGGACCGCCCCTCCATTCAGCCACGACCCCTGCTCTGTGCCCGTCTTGCGCCTCTGATTCGTCGCTCGCCAGCGGGAAGGTTACGCACTGTTGGAACCCCTCACCGGTGAACAGACGCCTCCCTCCCGTGAGCTCGAGCTGCCAACCCTCAGTATCCCCGGTTTGCCCCTTCGATTGGCTGCTCGCGCTGAGAGGCGGCGGACAGTGGCATTCTCGCTGTGCTGGCGTTTGCCAGCGTGATTGGTCGTGCGAGGCAAATGACGGCGGGAGGGACGGCGAGGATGCTGAGGTGGAGGGCTTAGGGTACCGGGAAGATGGTGGGAGACGGTGGTTGCGAACGGCTGATCCGCAAACGCGTGGCAGTGTTGGCAGACGTTTACGTACAGGATATCGCGCTGCTAAGAGCTGGGTAGCTGGCGACACCGTTTGCCTCAGGCTCGGTGCGCCCGATTCGATGCATGAAAAACGGGTGCGATCGCCGGGTCTTATCCATCGGTCATGGCTATAGTTCTAGAAAACAAATCTTCATGCGCGCACACGAGCTGATAGACGTCAGGAATATGTGTGGACTGTAAGGATTTCTCGATTGTTATGATATACTATCAGATTCATTCACCCCTGTGAATGTGGATGAAGAAGCCATCGACTCATCTCATCATCTCGACGTAGGCGCCGGGAGCCTTGCCCTGCCTGCTCGCTCGCCGTTCGCTCCTCTATACCGCGAACACCCGCCGGGCGTAAAGCCACACGCCCACCTGACTCCCCATTGCCTTCCACCATCAACGTGAAACTCCAGCCAATCAAACCTGTAAACTCCACCAATAAGTCCCCGTTAGCGCCGGCGCACCCAGAGAGGTATCCGCGTTGAATCAATAATAATTCCATCCAAAGCTGTCCAATAACCCAGAATTTTCCGCACCAGACACCACTGATAGTCATGAGAACATGAGCTCGTCTCTAAACAATAGCGTTGAACATAGAAAAGTAGTAGTAGGAGTGATATGATGGTGAGGCGAGTTGAAGTGACACGGCTATATCGCTCGTGTCGGAGTTGTGTGAAAGTAAGTCGCAAAAGGAATGGTTGCGATGGAGTCGCCCGGACCCAAGGATTACTGTGTTGGTGGGGTGGGGTGGCCGAATAGCATTATCGAGCAAGCGTATGTGCAGTGGACTCGAGGTGGTCAATATAATAGGCGCTTTGCAATAGCGCTAATCGAAGTCGAACCAAGTAATGTGATCGTGAAGTGGTACACAAAGTCTGGGCGGCGGTTGAGTAACCACCAGACTCGCAGGCGCGAGACTAGCGTCGCGTCCTTTGTTTACTCGAGCTTTCTTCTCTTGCCGCGCGGTGCGGGGTCGATTTGAGGGAAGCTGGGTGCTTTGGTCTCCACTGGCGTACTGCTGTAGGTCACTGTGCGAGTGACGACTTCCCGTACGCTGACGCGCCGTGTACGGCCGGTCTTTTTTTCGACCTCCCATGTCCGTGGTGAAACTGCCGAGTACGGAGAGTTCGCGGAGTTTGCAGAGTTCGCGCTGGCGGGTGAACGAGCATTTGCGGGAGAATGATAGGGTGACTGTGGAATGTAGAGGCGAGGAGTGCGCGCCGAAGAAGGCCGCCTGAAAGGTGACGGGGGAGGAATGGTGACTGTCTGCTCTTTTGGTTGCTCCTTGGGAAGCGGCGCAGTCATGGGAGGCTCCATTTTTTGCTCCTTTGGCTCTTGTTTGATGTGGTCGCAGTTGCTACAGCTGCTTGCTCTTGAGGTCGCTGGCGTCGAAGTTACAGAAGACTTGTCTGCAGGACCGGACGTCATTGTGAATGAGCCACTCGAGGCTGATGAGGTTACTGAAGCCATGGAGGTTGGTCTGTTGCCCTGGAAGACAAATTTCTCGCTGGTGCCAGTGGACATTGGGCTCATGAGGACAGGCGACAGCGTCTTCAGAAAGTCCAGGTAGGCTGTCGGCGGGGTAATGGGTGTCTTGATGGCGTCTTCCTTCTTGAGGTTTGCAAAAGTAGGAGTGGTCGCAGAGAATACCATTGGAGACCGCAGTTCAGATGGATAGGTAGCAGACACAGGCGTCTTGAGGGCCGACAAGGCGGGCTTCGAGTCAGTGGCAGCCATGGTGGAGAGCAGTATCCAGTGCGCAACGAGAGACTGGACAGTTGGTGTAGGAGTGAGCGAAAGCGGGCTGCACTGGGCCTGCTTCTACGAGAGCTGCAGAAGGCTGGTCGGTGAAAGAGAGCAGGGCAAGCAGAGGTACTTGGCCGGGGTGCGGAGCGTGTTTATTGTGCACAGCGGCTAGGTGGTCGATGCGGGTCTGCTGGCGGTGGCCGCTGGGTGGGCCTTGGAGGAATGCTTCGCCTGCTAAAAAAAGCGGGCGCTTCGTGGTCGGACGCGGGGCCCTGCTGATTCAAAAGTGCCCTCCGCTTGGGCCTTCTCCGCGAGTGATGCAAAACAGCCGCCGCGCTGGGACCGTGGCGAATGAGACGGGCCTCTCGAAGCGCCGGCACAGGGGTTGCCGTCTGAGCGCTGGCGAACAGCTTCAACACCAGCGCGCCGCAATTGGCTGCACGTCGATGAAACGACGTGTGTGATTTGCCTGCGGTCCTTGCAGCTCCTCTTCTCGAAGCTGCTACTTGCACGGTATGATTGGCGGGCACCCTGGTCGGATATTTGATGCGGCCCTCGGGATGTGGACAGCTGTGAACGTGGTTGCCGTCTTCTTTTCCAAGCCGGGGAAGGCAAACGTGGCCGCCCGGTCAGACTGTCCGACGAGGATTGGATGTGAAACTGGGAAAAGAGGATGAGATGACGGCTGAGGGACGGAAGGACCGAACGACTGTTCAAGAGATGCAGTGCCTGTCTGGAAATAGATGCGAAGGCTCTGTGCGAACAATTGGCCTCGTGGGTACCATCTATCATTTATGTTGATTCCACGCGCTGGCTCTGTCTGTATACCAGTCGCGCGCTTGCACATGATACTGCTCCACGCCGCCTGGTCGTCGACGGACCACCCGTTGGACACATCCTCCAGCTTTCTCAGGCCCGCCAAATGGGCGCGCGCCTTACCATACCAGCGCTTGGCCCCCCTGTCCGAACGCAGGCGGTGCGGAACACGCTTGCTTAACTCATCTTCACAGGTCCGACCTTTGCGTAGAGCGCTTTGGTTGAAACCATCAAACGTCGGCGCTAACACATGACCCTTCCATCGTCCAGTGCTACTTCAGGATACCGTGACTGAATGAAGCACTGTGCCTTTTTCATCTAGGTACGGCACGACTTGCTTCTGCGGGTATAACATTCTCTGGACCTTTCAGGGGCCAATCGTGAGTTGATCCTGCACGCCATGGAAAGCCACGCGCGGAGGTTTTGTCATGTAAGATGGGGCTACAGCGACCCGCCGGGTCAATGGGGCTGTGTTCCGCACAACTAGGTCTCCAGCCAAGTGACCGAATTGCATACGCGTTCAGGAAACGAGCGCATGGAGAGTATCGTCGTAATGTACTTCCTCCTCGAAGTATGTTCGGACAGTGTCACCTACCATGATGGTTGGATTCTGTGCCAATGGAGACGAGTTGCCTTGAGCCAGGTGACTAGTGTGTTCTCCAAAGTAAACACGGCCATCGAACCGTCTTGTCTTAGAGAGAGTGACAAAAGGTTCCTGATTCCGCTCCGCGGTTTGCTGGTCTACGCAAATCATCTGGCACCTGCGGCACGGTCCCAGCAATTCAAAGTATTGCTGGCCGATTTGAAGGTAGCGCCAATCGTCTTCCGCATATGGTTGTTCCGCCCCAGGCGGGTAGTGTGGATTCTCAGCAACCACTACGTTGGCTCGGAAGACCTCTGACTGCGCCGCCTTGCCGCCCTCAGCCTTGATCATTTCATTCAGGCGGTTGAGGCTTGATCGCGATATTGTCAGGATGGGGCTCTCATTTGACAGAAGAATGGGTTTTGAAACTGTCATTCCCGGCATTCCCGGTCTCGTTTCTGGGAACGCGCCCGGTACGCGCATCTTGCCAGCCTTCTGGCTCTTCTGCAAATGAGGCTTTGAATGTCTGGCGCAGGCCAGTGGGCCACTCCCGTTCCCGACAGCTGGGAAGCGAGCGAGATGACAAGCCACTCCCAGAGCTTGGGAGAAGAACGTTGATATCCGAGGTGATCTGTATGTCTTTGCTTGAATGTGATCGCCACATACTTGAGCATTGCCGTCTTTGTACATGGAATCTTTGGCGAACAGCCGCGGGTCGGCTGAGAGAGGCACAGTTACCTCGTTCGCAAAGGCCGTGTCGCGCAGTATGCCGGTTAGCTGTACACGTAGGACGCCCGCTTCTAGGTCAATGCTCGGACGAATGAGAGCCATCTTAGGGTAGCGCTTTTGACTCAATGCTGCTCCGGTTCCCTGGTGAACAAGACACCATTCGCGATCCCAAGCTAGACCTTCGCGCCGCACTCCCCATGCTACGCCCGGCGGCACGCCGAACGCCCCACAACTCTTTATAGGGTAGACGGAAAGGCTCTCCACGTGCAACCGACTATGTGTTGGTGGCTCTGTATCCAATGGAACAACTGGCGGCACCAAGAGAGGCGGGGTATTTTCAATGAAAAATTCGGATAGGAAGTCAACGAATAAGGAAACATCCTTCAGTGTACTCATAGCCCCGAGGCTAACTCGTATCATGCCAGTCGGTTTGGCACGAATGATATCGTTATCGTTACCACATCGCTGTCCCGCCGAGAAGTTTTCCTTCATCTCCCATGGCGCCAAATCTAACGAAGTTGCTACTCCGCCTGGATTGCATAGGCCTCCTGTGCGTAGTTGGAAGTTTCTGACAGCCGCAAGCTTCTCCACCTCTGCATTGCTGACCCAGCCACCGTGGTGATTACGGAGGTTGAATGCTACAATTGGTCCTTGCGTTTTCGAATCACCATAAGCAGACGAAGAACCGTTGTATACGTGGCAAACGCTGGTGCCATTTCCGTGCTTAAGCGAAATCAAGCTATTGTACAGCTTTGCAGCTAGGAAAGCGGTATGCTTGGATACTTCTTCAAGAGAGCTGTATAATTCTTCGTGCACGCTCATCGCAGCATCAAGAGCCATGATACTGTGAATTGGCAGCGTCCCGTCTTCTATTCTTTCGTGAAGTGTTTCCTTTTTTGCGTGCCACTGTTCTTTCAAGCAAACCTGAGGGTGGGTTGCAATTAGCACGTGCGTCACATGTTTCGAACGATCGAGATCACTTACCACCATCTCAACTGTGCCTCCACCAAAGTAGCGGCGCTTGTCGAAAATGGATCCCGCAGCTTTCCGAATGACTAGAGCACCCAGATCAGGAAAACCAAAGATCTTGTATAAGCTCAAGGCTGTAAAATCAGGGGCGTTGTCGGCATCGCTCAGGTCAAGCGGCGAGGTTGACACCAAGGCAGCCGCGTCCAACAATGTGTACACTGCGCCTTGTTTCCTCAAGCGTATACGGCCTGTCCAATCCAAGGGCAATCTGCGCCCATTCATGTTGGACTGTGCCGGATATGCAAAGAGGCCAGCTCTTGTGCCTAACCCACCCTCCTCTTCGACCCATTGGTTGACCTCAGCATCCGTTGTAAAACAGCGGTGTTGCATGGCGGCTTCGCGGACTCCAACCAAGGATGTGTGCGCATCGCCGTGGTAGCCATACCAATAGCCTTCCTCTTGGTCGCGGAACGCCTCCATCACTAACTTAATGCCCGCGGTGGCATTGGCGGTGAAAACAACGTCAAACTCATCCGGGTCTGCCTTGAAGAGGCCCAATAGACGTAGTCTGACATCTTCGATGCGGCGCGTGGTCAACTGTGACGAGTTCGAGGCGGAGTGCGGGTTGCCATAAAGATTGGCAACCATATCGGCGGAGAAGCGCTCGATGAGTGACTTGGCGTATAGCGTAGTGCCGGCATGGTCCAGGTAGGTGGTATCTGGAAGCAATCAGCAAAGAACTTTCGACCATGATCAAAGCTACATACCTTGGAGCATGGGGTATTCGCGGAGGCGTAGTGCTTCAATGGCGGCATCGTAGGCGATGCGCGCGTCTTCCATGTTGCAGATCACAGAACACCCTCCCCTAGCTACCCTAGGTCCTTAAAGTACAGAAGTAGATTACGACTAGGAAGACTCATTTGAAGGTGAAAGCGTTGTTTGTCAAAGTGGGGGAAGGCGAATCGTGGTAGTTCTTGGAGCGCGGCAGACCGCGGTAACCTCCGATGACCGAGAGATACGTGAGACGACTGATAACGCGGAAGGCCGGAGCTTATATCAGCGGTAAGCTTTCGTTGACATCAGATATTAGAGGAAGAAGAACGTGTGTATACGCAACAAAGACAGACGTTCGTTATCGTCCAACGTACACCTTCGTTGGGCGCTCCAGAAACTCCGCAAAGCGTGGGGGTGCACAGACCACTTGAACCTGGAGACAGAAGCAGCCACTCATATTGTGTGCGTTTGAACTACAGTGGGAAGCGACAATTCTACCCAAGCCACGGCAACCACGAAGTGACTACTTCTTGGAACTTTTACAGACACCACATCCTCCCTAGATGGCAAGTCTTCGAATCGATATACTAAGTGGTTCAGTGAAAGAGCCATGAGAGAAAAGAATGCTCAGCTGAAAGCAATTCAAATACCGGGCTCTGCCCACATCTCCAACCACTTGCCGTGAGTCTCGACCCAACTAGCGTACCTGCATGTCCCTGAAGTCATTGAGACCTGCTGGAGTGTCGTGATTTGGAGTGGACTACGGTAGCCCCGAACTCCACCTACTGCGCTCCACCCAGCCAATCAAGTCTGCCCGAGTATCCAACCTACTGCGTCTCTATCATTAAACTTTCGCCCGATGTATTAGTGACGCCTCGAGCTGAGAATCTGGGATACTGTAATGGGGCATATACACTCCTTCGAACGATGAACCACTTAGAAAACCTAGTTGATTCCATAAAGCGATGAACCTCTATTGGAAAACTACATCGGATTTGTCCACTGTTTCGAATCCAACAAGTCAACGACGCTTCCTCGCGCGTAACGCGAATCCACCGCGCAAAGCGGTACGCTTCTGCACGTCGCTGCCGGTCGGTTCTCCGCGCTTGGCATTGATTCAACAGCGACACCAGCCCCTCCCTCACATCACCATTCAGATATCAAAAACCTCGAGCAGTCTCTGAACAATATACAATTACTAGCTTCCCCTCGAACCTCTCGCACAGCAATGGCTGTATATACAAATGTCTCATCAAAACCGCGTATCGATATCATGCCTTTTCAAACACCTTGTAACGCCCATGCATGAGTTAAACCGAATAAGAAATATCCAATGACTTGCTGAGAAGCAGTGAAAGTCTTGCCAAGGCAATCGAGAAGAAGAAAAGGTCGGACGGGCGAAGCGCCTCGCCTCGGCACGGCGCTCTGGTGATACAACAATGCGCGGTACAACGCCGCCACGATAACGGTTCATGCAGCTCTTGTAGCAGGAAGTACCACAAGGTACCGTTCTATGCAAGGTCCTCCCGCGGGCAGCGGCAAGCAGATACAAAACACGGACCCGCTCTTAAGAATTAGAAATGGTTGGGTTCTCCTCTACCTCATACTAGGCTCAGCAGGTTCCCAGACACGCTTCTCCTCAGCGCGCCCACAACCGTCCACACCCGTGCCGGAGGTTCAGGAACAGGATCTTGGTCCCCCTAGAACCGTTCCCTGGGTCCGTTGCCGTGGTTCTCGAACAGGTCTTCCAGATAGGCGCTCGGTGCCCGGCCTCCGGTAGTTGTTCCACCTGGTACGTTCAAACCGTTCAAGGACAATTGACTTGCGCTTCCATGGTCATTTCCGTATACGCCTGCTCTTCCTGTTGGAGAACCAAGCGTTGCGACGCTGTTCCTGTTGTAGATGGATAGGCCGTCGCGAGAAGGCGGGGCACGGTCGTAACCCCGCGATGGAGGAAGAGAAGGAGACTGTGGAGGAGAGATACCAGAACGGGCACTGTACCGGTTTCCTGGCATGGCTAAAGAGTGTGTTGACAAATGCGATCCGGCACCGGCACCGCCCACGTGGGTCATGGGTGAGCCTTGCGCAGCCTGCGCGTTACCAGAAGAATAGTATCCTGCTGGCAAATACTGTGACGACCGGTTCGCGACAGAATCGCGCAGACCAGTGCTGCCACCAGCGGTAGGAGAGAAGAATAGGGAGTTTGACTTGGGGGGAGTGCTGGTCGTGGTGGACGCGAAAGGTTTGGGCGGCTTGGAAGTTCCCGTGGGTGCAGCGGAGAGGTGATCGAGCGACATAGTAGAGCTTGCACCGACCACATTGTACATCCCCCGTTTCCTGCCGCCGGGTGCAGCTGACATATCCTTGAGGTCCGCGAGGTTCTGAGCCAGGGCAGCGCGCTTGACAGAACGGTGCAGCGACCATGCAACCAGACCGCGCCAGACGAGCACGCCCAATCCGAAAAAGGCCAAGATAGCGCCGACACATATGAAGACCGTCCCGTCAGGCAGATCCGACTTCTGCATGAAAGCTGCCCCAGCAGTGTCCGGAACCCCTACGTCGGGTATACCAACACCGGCCTGCGAGGGAAGAAGCGACAAAAAGTTTCCAGCACTGTCCTGTGTTTGTGTGGGTGCGGCAGTTGTGCTGGTAGTGACGGGCAGCGTAGAGACGAAGTTGCCGGAGGCGGAGGATTCGGCTTCGGTGGTCTTTGGTGCTTCGCTCGATGACTGCGTTTCTTCTGTGGACGAGTCTCCCTCCGTCGTTGAAGGCGCATCGGTCGTCTTAGGTGCATCGGTTGTTTGCGCAGAGTCGCTTGTCTGTGTTTCTTCGTTGGTTGCCTGAGTGGCACTCGGCTGATTCGTCGACGTATTGTCATCGTCCTGAACTTCTTGCGCGAGGACTACCGGCGCGGCAAGGGCGAGCACGCCCGCAAGGCGTATCGAGATCCGCATCGCAACGAGTGGTATGAAGATATGGAGGGGAAACGAAGGAGATCGGGCTGGCGGAGCGCCGCAGGATTAGGGGTGCGACTCGGCTGATCGTCGCTGTCTCAGGAGGCCGTCGTGGCTAAAGGGTGGAAACACGGGAAAGGGGTGTTGTCGATGACGACTGTTGCTGTGGGTGAAACGAGTGACAGGAGAATGAGAGGCGGAGAAGAGGGTCCTTCGCAGGGGAACTGGTGGTGGAGGGTTCAAGGAGGCGTGTGGGTGACGATGGGGCCAGTAGGGAAGACGCTTGAGCGCGCGGGTCCGGTGAGGCGTCCCAAATTGGCACTAGGTTCACTGAGCAATGACTCGGATTTCGAGATTTGTTAGCGATAGAAGAATAGCATGCGAGTGAATCGAATTCGACTGTGCATAATATGCGAAAGTCACGGCGTGGCACGTTGCGTGGACAGTTCAAGGCTTCAGCTGTAGGACCTCGTGGCCGTGGTTTGGGCCACTTGTGTTGCCAAACCATTGGCATGCACGTCTCGTGACGCTTGGACCCTGCGTTCCAAAATAAATCGAACTCTTGGCAAGAACATCTCGAAAACCAGAAGTTACCGATGAACGATAAGTACGATCGCAACTCCACCACATAACCATACCGCCATAATGGGTGTTGCAAAGAAGACAAGAAAGTTCGCGACGATGAAGCGCGTCATCGGTGAGTCTCATATATCACTTATGCAGCCTCTACTAACGAAAACAGGGACGCGCGATGCCCGTTTGTATGCGCCCCGCCACTGCCTATTCCTTCCATACCTCGAAGATGCCTCTTCAGAACGTCCCTTACCACGCATCGCCCTCGCTCGAACGTTACTTCCTCACTCGACTCTTTGCCGATCATTTATACCTCCAACTCGTTTGTGCCTACTTTGACTGATACTCTGTGCAATAGGAAGAAAAACCAAGTAAACGGAGAATTAGAGGCAAAGAAGAAAGCCGATGCGGAGCTCTCGAAACGTGAAATTGCGCAGGCTCCATCCTCCATGTTCTTCCAAGCGTAAGTACGCAACTTTCTGCGCAAGTACGGCAACTGACAATGTGCTAGAAACGAAGGTAACCATTACTCGTGCATCTTTCTGCGGTGGGACATTGGCTGATTATCATTTCCAGCTCTCGGTCCACCATATCGCGTTCTCATCGGTAGGTTTCTGTAATATCTCATGAGACTCTTCTAGCTGCTAACTTTCCCGAGACACCAATTTCCTGTCACATACAGTCCGTGGTAAATTAGAGCTCCAGAAATCCTTAATGGATTTACTCTTCGCCAAAGCGACGCCCATAATCTCGTCCTGCGTCATGGCCGAACTCGAAAAGCTTGGCCCAAAATACCGAATAGCCCTCCGAATTGCTCGCGACGAACGCTGGGATCGTATCAAATGTGATCACAAAGGAACATACGCAGATGACTGCATAGTGGATATGGTATACATTTCGCGGGTTTGCTGCGGTGGACATCTTAGCTAACCTCAGCGTCAGGTCACGAAGCACCGGATATACTTGGTTGGCACGAACGATAGAGACCTCAAGCGCCGCTTGCGAAAGATCCCCGGTGTACCGATCGTTAGCGTCGCGAAGGGCAAATATGTGATCGAGAGGCTGCCTGATAACCCGGACAGCAAGTGAGCGTGTTTCGGGGGACAAATTTGCGATAGCAGGTAGGATATGGCAGGGACGGGTCTTTGAACCGGCTTTCATGCATAGCGATGGCGTTATTATGGTTCGCAAATACTCCACTGGGGAACACAATTGCATTATAGAGGCATATACCAAAAGTTTGGAGACTGCATGGCGTGAGCAGAGGCAATTCAAATTGTATTGTCACTATACATTTGATATGGCGTGAGCATATGCAATCCAGATTATACCGTCACTACACGTTTGACTTGGCGCGGTCAATCAATGAAGCACGTATGATCATTGTTTAAACATCTATACACAACACGTATACATCATCAAGCAACGGCCTTCCTCAAATCCCAACCAACCCATCCAACAACGCCGTCAACCCCGCCACCCCCATCAACGCCCCAGCCTTCCCATGCCCCTTCTTCTTCCTCCCACCATCCCCCTCTCTCTCAGACCTGTCCCTCGAACCTCTTCTCTTCCGCCTACTCGTCCCTCACCTTCCGACTCCGCGTCACACTCTCGCTGTCAGATGTCCCGGAGGTGCTGGAATAGTGGTCGTATCTTGCTCCGTCTAGCGATGTCCTTAGTGGGGACTGGCCGTAGATCGGGGATTGTCCATAGATCTGAGCCTGTAGATGGCGAGGCGGCGGCGGTGGCTGGTAAGGGATTGGTTGCGCGAATGTGCGTGGGGAGGGTGGAGGGAAGGATTGATTCATGTTGGGGTGAGGTGGAATAGGTATGGGCTGAGGTGGGTAGGGCGGGGATTGGGGAAAAGATGCTGAAGGCGGTGGATTCTGGAGATAGCTGGTTCGTGGAGAAGGCGGTGGTATTTGCATGTTACTGGATCCTGGATTTGTGGGGTAGAATGGTGGTACTTGTTGTGGGCCTGGCATTGACTTTGTGCGGTCCAGGGGAGGAGGTTGCGAGATATGGTAGGCGGTTGCGGATCGCTCCAGTGGCGGAGGTGGAGGTTTGCCTTGCGGTGCCAGTGGTGTGCGGTCGCGGTCGTTGTTCACTTCGGGCGCTACGTAGCTTGGAGGTCGACGCTCGAAGGATGTTCGTCGCGTCCTCTCTGGCTGAATTGGGGGTGACGGAGGCTGCGTCTTTCGATAGAGTTCCACTGTTCGCTCAACCAGTCGCTGCACTTGTTCGAACGTCAAAGGCTGGTCTATGCAAAACCAAGTTTCCAACTTGGTGCGCCTACCGTCTGGTCTTGCCTTCTGCACTTGAGTATGTGAGTATCCTGCCTCTTGAAGCGCTTCTTTGCAGACCCACGACGCTTGCACTTCGGTCCAGCTGTGTCGGTGTGCAAATGCCTCTGAAGACGGTGCGTCGGTGTTCGATTCTTGAACATTGCCGTCGACGTACTTCCAGTAGTATCTACGTGTTCGCAATGTCCAGGGTATTTCCAGGTTTAGCTCGTCATCCTTGTCCTTTGCTTCTACGGCTGCTGCTGCTTCCACAGGCAGGGTAGAGATACTCGATCGCGGTGAAACCGGTGCTGAAGCAGGATCTTGATAGGATGTGGCTGCTGGGATGGGAAGCGAGTCCGGCTCTGCGAATAAGGGTGGAATGATGTCCGGGCTGCCACTGCTGGCGAATTTTGGCAGCGGTTCATCATCATCACTATCAGACTCGACGAATGGCTGTTGCGCCTCCCGTTTCTGCGCTTGATCCTTGCGCTCCGCATCCAGTACATCTGCCTCGAACTGGCGCAGACTGGTCCACCTATCCAACAAGCGATTTAGTTGCGATTTAGATATTCCGCACACTGACGCTAGCCATTGCTGTTCGTCTGACCTTTGAGTATCTAAACTGGCGATGAACCTGTCCTGATATTTGGCCAAAATGACCGGATTAGGCGAACGATCATCAATGATGCTCAAGCTCAGAGAGCTGTCATTTTCCATCAAAAACCGCGCATCCGGCCGGGCACGGTCGTAGAGTTTTGACGCTTGTAGTATAGACATTTGTTGATCGATGATGAGCGTCTCAAGCTGTTGCTTCTCATTCGCCACTGCGGTGGTGCACTGCCTCGGTGAGACTGTGGGTCTGACTCTACGCAAATGTCAGAACATGTGGCAACATCAGTGAAGCAGAAGTAAATCGTCCTACCTTGCCCACATGATACTCTGTGCTGTGTGCAAAGTCTGTAACATGACTGACAATGTGGTTTTCAGCGAATCCAGATGAGCTTCGAGGTAGCGTAATCTCGCCACCGATTGGGGGGTGAGCGTGGGAGCATGTCTTTCTCGTTGCTCGTCATAAGACCTCCTCTTTCTCTGTCCATTTTGGCCCGATACAAGAACCTCGATTTCGTTCAGTATGGCCGAGGATTGGTCCAGGATGTCCTCGATCGTCTCGAACGCCTACGTACCGCGTCAGTCAATCAAATGGCGCGGAGGGAAAAAGCAATCATACTTCGGCCGAAGGTAATCGATCGTCCTCCTTGATGATAGTTCCAACCTCCTTCACTATCAGAGCTAGATTCGAAATCGCCTTCGCAGTCCTCAGAAGAGTTTTTGCGACATGCGCGTCCGCTGCAGCTAGCTGGTAGAGCACGAGAGCAAGTGCAGAGCTCTGGGATACAAGCGGAAGGATAGCTGCGAGGACTGCCATGAGATGTTTCCGACAAGAGATGTGAACCTTGCCAAAGCAGCGAGGTCCTTCTCTATCTGCTGTTGCCTTCGAGATGTATTCTATCGAATTCTACAAGCGTTGGTGGGTTCGTGGTTTAGCGTGAGGTCATCACACAGCCACGAGCTGCAGGGACTCACCGGGGAGTTTGCACACCGGCCTCTCAAACAGGGGTTAGAGCCTCTGACCGATTTGGCTGCGCAACCGATGAGGCAACGAACGGCTGCACCCCGGACGGCACGCTTTGGCGAGCGATCCTCTGCTGCGCTGGCACCTTTGACGCGACGCGCATCGCGTGCAAGCCGACTATAAGAGACACGACGGCAGCTGATCGTGGCTCAACGTGGAGATGAGTTGAATGCATATCTACTTACATCACAACGTCGTACTTAGCCGCTATCAGGATGCAATAGGGCGGCCAGCTGACCTCGCTCTCCCATGTTGAAACTCGAGGCTTGAGTACGAGCTGACACTACTAGCACCGGGCAGTAGCTCGCAAACCTTCTCTCACAAAGAAAGCGCTCTTCGAGAGATACAGCCTTTGACAGCTCTCAGTTCCGGTGAAGATGCACCGTGTGGGGCATTCTGCGGCTCCATGGAGAAAGAGACGAGGCTTTGGTCCACTTGCGGTCCTTATCCCTTCTACCAATGATGCTTAGCATCAGGGACATTGGACTCTATGGCCGGCAACCTCGGCCTGCTGCATCTCCCAGTCCAGGGTAACACCGGATCACACCATACACATTGCGATAGATTGAGTCAAGTCACAACTAAAATCCGATGTTCAACCTTTCCCAAAACGTACGCAGGCATACCGCGGTGTACTCTCATTCGTTCTGCTCACCAGCGCTGCTAATCAACAGTGCCAATGACATAGTACTGACGATGCTAGCGTCCCAAATGGAGACGAACGAGCTTACGTAAAAACCTTCTGTGCGAGCATCTGGCCTCCAGAACTAGGCTGCGATATTCAGGAATGCATACTAGAATGTCTTCGGGCCGGGGAAGATCGCTCCCAAAAGCATAGATGCTCAGCACGAGGCTGGAATTATGGTGGAGATGGCCGACGGCGAACCAATCGTGGAGAACTTCTGTCGACCGACCGCGAGGCCAACCCACGACTCAGTCACGACACGATGGAAATGAGCGACCGGACAACGACTGCTGGTCGACCGGGCCTTGCGTAGAAAGTGCCTTCTCAGCGCCCGATTCGTTACTGGACAAAATTTGCTGTCATAGTATATCAGTGTCTTGCAGGAACAAACTTAGGCCACCTCCTACAATGACGAAACAGCCTTGAGGGCGAGTATATATAATCTCTCGACTATTCGATTTATTAGACTTCTTAGCTAGCACCGTTCTAGCGTTGTCTTTGCACCAAAGCCCTGATCGCCGCAGCGGAAGATGCAACAATGATAAGGAAACGGCAAAGCCGTATCTGCGCGCATCGGCTGTGTATCATATATCCCGCTACCCGATTGTAAAGGACTGAAAAGCAGGGGGATGCGTGGGGAAATGGGAAGTAGGCGTTCGAAGCTGCACAGAAATCCGTGGAGTACCCCACGGAGAGTGTGGATATCCTTTATCTACCCACTCTGCCTATCTGTCCAAGGTGGAGATATCATCGTTTGCCTTCGCTTACCCCAGGGGAAGGCGGAGGGTCCGGTTCCATTGGTAATGATAACGACCTGGCCTGACGGCTGCTGCACCAACAACTGTTTCTTCGCTCTAGGCTGCGCAAAGATGGGTGTTGGACTTCTCGTTTTCAAAGATCCACGACGGACAGCCTCGCTGAAATCCCTCGCCGTGGAATCCGAATACGAGTCTGACGTCAACCTGATGATGTGAGTACATAGAGCGGTTTGCTGGGGTGGGAGGAGGGGTTTCATGTGGATTAATGGGCTGATGTAGGGCGTTAACGATGCTTTTTTCCCGATCGACGACAAGTGGTAAGCGTTGCAGCTTTGGAGTGTGAAAGAGGCGTGGTTCTTTGATGGGCTTGTGTATGTGGCGAGCCGAAGGCTACATCGTTTATCTTCGATTGAATTTTTTACCTATTTGGCTTGGAGAGGACGGCAGATGACGTCTCAGATGCAGACTTGGCTACTATGACAACGATCCATGTCACGCCATAGCGGACCTGGTGAGCAGACTCTGTGCTCAGGGATTACTTCTTGTCTAGTGAGTAGATGTTCCATTCGAAAGACCATTATTGTGCTATGAAAAAGTTTCGGGCCACCTTTCCATGGCAAAAATAGCTTCCTCGTAGAATTTCAGCCAATCTATTTACTATAGGAAGTTAGCTATTGGCCAAAATCCCGTTGACTGTTCATTTTTGGGCTTAGTAGACATTAAAATAGGGCACTAAGCTATTAAAGTAAGTGTTCTAAAGAGCATAGGCCAATAATCAGCTTCCTATAGTACATAGACTGGCAATAATTTTACGAGGAAGCTATTTGTGCCATGGAAAGGTGGCTCGAAACCTTTTCATAGCACCGATAGCATCTCTGCAGCATCTCTACTGCAGCCCTCGACAACTTTCGACAGCCCACATGCCGACAATCTGGAATTGCCGCCGCAGAAAACACTACTGAGCGCCAATTTTGTTCACTCTAGCATAGCGACACATTTCGCAACTGAATAAGCAATGAACTTTGCCACTGCGCCGTTTGGATGACGTTGATTTCCTGCTTTGGACTTCAAGTAAACATTCATATCACTGAGACCAATAGGGCGAAAAGTCAATGATATCCTAGTTCATCCGCTCCCATGTATAGTAGCATGACTTTCGAGCATGAGCAGAAACTATTATGGAAATTCGTTACGACTCTGGCCACCAAAGATGATGGCATATGACGACCCCTAATGTGGTAATCGTGACCATGTCAGCTGATCACGGAACGCACACAGCGACTTCCTACACCGGAGCGTGGCTTGCATGTGCTTCGCGAATATTTCTCTTTTGGGCACGAAATGCTCAACAAGCTCTGGATGCAACCCACACAGCCCTATCTGGAAGACCCGCTCAGTTCACAAACCTCGATCTATCACCTCCTATCACCTCGATCACATTCATCCTTCAGAAACTCACATCTCGCCCCACAAAACTTCACAGAAATCGATGCCTTCTCTTCGACTGTGCTCTCACCGCCACCTGCCCACGTTGCACGCGCTCGATCACGCCGTCACACAATCTCCCCACGCCCCACTCCCGTGCTGCCCATCCCGGCCCTTCGCTGCCCTACGTGCATACCTCAAAGGTACCTCACCGTCACATCCTGGATAATCCCTGCAGTTCACATCAGGCAACAAAACACGAGAAAAGGCACAGTGGAGACTGCTGGCATGGTGGGAAGTGGGGACAGCTGGACCGGGCGCTGCAGGCGGGTGCATATGCACGAGCTTCTGGATACAGATGAGGTGCATGTAGAAGTATCGATCTGTGCGTTTGAAACAGCCTGGTCGGGGCGGACCTGGCAGCGGCAGCTAGATTGGGGAGGTGGGTAAACTCTCTTGTGACACTCTGGTTGTGGATGCGGTGGGTCGAGCCCGAGCATCTTGAAAAGACTGTTTAGACGTCAGAGGAAGACCAGAGATTTCACTTTTACGTTGTATTGTGGTGCCCCTAGTGCTTTCATGCCAATCCAGGTCACCCGTAAACTAACTTCCTATCCTACATGATTTGGTGTAGTACATGCATGATTGATCCTTCTGTGCGTCGCGAATGTCTATCACGCGATTGCTTCCAGCGGGTGGTATCCGTGTTGCGATGGTGTGGCATTCCCGCCGAAAGCAGACGATGGGGAGGAAACGGTAGCTCTGGTTATACAGGGTATGAACGTGGACATGATACCGATATATGCAGTAAGAATGAGTATGCACGTATACCGAAAAGCAAACAGAACAGAACAAGCATTACGCGCTTCGTAGCGGCTGGGGAAAATAGTGCTTTTATGTAGCGACAGTATGAGGTAGCGATAGTGGACGAGAAGCAAGAAGTAGAATGCGCAGAGGATGATCGAGGTCTGAAGTAGAGACGCCATACGATAGCGTGGAGAAGCAGCCCGACAATTGACGCCAAGCTATGCAGATCTAGGGACAAGTAACGCCTTGGACGAGTGCGAACAAATAGCGAATGATTCGCTCGAAACTATATGCGTACGCCGTCAAATGCTGTTACCAATGCCATAGAAGTAAAGGATTGTCGCAAAGCGCGGTATGTTGAGGGTCGCCATCCTTGGAAGTCAACAACTGTGAGCTTTTTCAGGACTGGATAAGCAGAAATGGACATGATCGAAATGTTCGTTATGGTGGCATGATGGATGCCGCCTGATCAATTACGCATGGGCTCCATTACATCACGGAGACCGCGCCGCTCGAAGCTCGAATAGAAAAAGATTGGACGGCTGATCAGTAACTTCGATGGAGCGTAGCTGAAGAAGTTCGATTCATACTGAATGGGGACTTCTTAGAGACACTCGTCAGAGATGCTTGGTGCTGGGAGTGGCTTTGGGAGTGGCTCAATGGTGTGTATCGGTGACCACTGACTAGTGTTGAGTCATTGCCACCTGAAGAGCCCTTAGAATTGGAGCCGCTTCCAATGCTATAGAGGTTGTTATGCGACATCTGTCGAGACATTGGCGTTGTACTCTTCGTCGGCGAAGAACTCATAGGCTTGTAGTCTTGACTGTCGCGAAAGTTCGAGTACGCTGGTTGTGCAGACGCTGGCGTAGCATCGAAAAGCGGCGAAGTGCTGAAGTCGAATTGGGGGGCTGCAGTGACCGGAAGCTCCTCAGTACTTGTGATAGGGATATTAGGATAACACGTTATGGTGTCTCCAGTAGATGCTGTGACACTCTGGACGGGGAGTGCCTCCGTTGTGGTAGTGACTTGGCCCTCAGGGTCATTCGTGAAGGGAAGTGGAGGCTTCACGAAACCTCCGCTGCTAAGGGAGGATCCTCCCATGGCTTGTACTGAACGTAAGCGCTGATCTTGCAGCTGGTCAACAACGTTGCGGGAGCTCTGAGCAGGCGAAGGTTGTGGGATTGGCAGCTGGGGCCTCTGTGATACTGGAACGCTGGAGCGTGTATGAGGTCTCTCGGGTAGTGTTAGTTGGAGCGATGTCATTCTGTGAGAAAGCGCGTCAGAGCTTGTGGCGTTCCGAATGCTGTGATGTGCGTACGGCAGACTGTGCGTCGGGTACATGGAAGAGTCCTGACCTAGGTAACTGTTCATAGCAGGCTTGCTATCGGTGTTCCAACCATAACTACCGCTGTATGCCATTGAGCTCTGTGGTGGGAGGTAGGCAGCGGAATGATCCAGACCATAAGTCTCCACCGGAGAGGTCTCTTCAGAGTGGAATGGAGAGCTGTACCAGGCCTGAGGAAGGATGGACTTGGTATCTAGTGTAGAGGGACAAGTGAAAGGTCGCGATCGGACAGGGCTCGCGGGAGCGTTGTAGATTTGCAGCATCGCCTGATGAGAATTTGCAATCTGGTTGAGATTGTGATGGAGATCGAGCATACTCGCTGCTTCGCCGGAACCGACCTGTGGACGGTCAGCGAACATTCAAAACGCTTCCTCGCCCATGCAGTCTTACACGATGGAATTGGCATTGCATAGGGTCAACTCCAGCTGAGTTACAGTTTTGACAGCCGGTGCCGTCTCCAGGGTCACCGCTGCAGCGGATTTTCCGCTTTCTACAGCGTGCACACTAACTGATGTTAGTCTTCGATGAATCATGCTGGCCTTCTTCTTCGCGACGAGCGATCAGAGTAGAAGACTCACAGCTACGGCAACGCGGCGTCTCGACTGCCCAGTCTCACTATCATCTCCGCGCATGTGCAGTCTCACACCACCAATCGGACCACGCACTGGGCAAACTCGTGGGTTGGCCCTCGCGCCGTTCGAGATTGCAAAAGCCGTGTTTCGTCCGTTGTGTTGGAATTGTTGTAGCGGGTAGCCAATGTTAGCATGCTGAGCATAACGGTATCCCGGTTCGAATTCCATGTTGCTTGCGAACTGGCTTATGTCTTAGTTCAAATGTGCCGGGAGAAACATAGCTCTGCAAGCTTAACGCACCGGGCTGAGGTTGAAACAGTGTCTCACTATCGTTGCTACTTGTCTCCAGTACCGATCTCGCTCATACAATGGATCTAAAGAGGATCAACCCGTTTATGTGAAGCGTAGAGTGCGACCGAATGAAGAACGCGGAATTCGTTGCTTCAAAGGCCAATACGAAAGACGCGTGGTCGCGAGGGCTTGGTATCGCTACGTGGAGGGGAGAAATGCCTAAAGATACACCTAGGCTGGTTGCGCTGCAGAAACAGTCAGCAGAGGCTTCGCTAGGTGTCTGTCGGTTTGTGGGTGGTATGCAGGACCACACGGGAAGCTGCAGCGTGTGCCAGGCCAGCCCCCCAGTCCCACTGTATGTAAAACGGAAGTCGGTCTACGTAAAGCGAGACACGCTACATCGCACAAAGGAAATTTGATGTGCCGTACCTGCAGCCTCCTGCTTGTGGTTTATCAGTCTTCGTAATGCTAGCCTCCCGCTACTGGACTGGTGTGTATACTAAAGATTGTTTAGTACGTAGAAGTAGAAGCAGTATGCAATAGGCTACTATGTCCAAACTATAGGTACGCAAACATGACTTGCCAAAACTAGTCGACCTCTGCGAGCCTGCGGTTGACCGCCTGATCGCTAGGGCTAGACCGGATACTGTTTGTTCGCGGTTACATGCGCAACCGGGGAAGTCGGATTACAAGGCGTGCGCCCTGAGCAGCGATCTGCCTCAAGATTGTGCGATGTTGAATGTTGAGCGAACATCGTAGTATGCAACAGTTGTGAGACGATGAATGGAGGAATGGAGGGGCATCATGGAAGGTTCTCTGAAGAAGTATGTTCAATCTAAGCAAAGTCGCATGCTGCAAAGACAGAACCTAGCAATTAAATCCGTAGATACAGCAGAAACAATGGAGCAAACACGGACTCATCCCCCGGGGCGAGGCGAAAGAAGCGGACCAGGGATGTCTCCTCGATAGGACTGGTGTGTTGGCTAGGAATCAATCCGGAAAAGCGACTAGTCAGCAACTTCCCGAACTTCCGCAGAGCAATCGCATGTCTTGCATAGGAGCTGTGGCTGGGCATGCTGGCGGAGCGCCCATTCGTAGCTCAAGCAAGCGGAATGAAGATGACAGGCGCAACCGCAAGGCTGCATAAACCCGGCTCGGGGGAAGACTTTCGGGGAATTTGACATGACTCTCGCTTTACAAGCGTGACGAATGGCAGAAGTGCAGGACTTGAGTGCTTCGGATATTTCATCTTGTGATTCATCAGTCCGCGTGTCTAACTGTTCCGAAGCCTTGACGGGTCACAAATAGCAGTCCACACCTGGTAGGGTCATTCCGGTATATTAGGAAAGCTTCCCCTGATGGACAGTCTGACATCCGACTCGAGTAGTATTAGGCTTCCCTTTCCAGATGTGGCCCAATAAGCATTACCAGTGCAGGCAGCAGACTTCTCCGTTCGCGACCCCTGCAGCTTGCAAACGCGCATAGGCTACTTCTGGTTGCGCCGCATGAAGTTGACAATTAGTATTTGGACTGTTTCCCGCAACGCTATACCTTTCGTGCACTCAAGCTTCAGGTACGCTGGCGACAGAGAGCCCGCAGGCCTGGAATGACAGCACTAGGTCCCGTACACGAAGGCGACTAGTGCATGTATCTCCTTCTATGGGCATCTTTAGGCATGGCTGGCTTGAAGTCGCGCAATACGGAGGTTCAGACTCGCTGTCAGGGGTCTGCAGGCAGCACGGTGACGGTACGACCTTTGCCTACCGCACATGCCGTGCATTGCAAATGTCGGTCAAGCTGTACCGCGAGCCAACCAGGGCTTTGCTATAGCTCGACGGTACATTCCGACGTACCAAGACAGGGCGAGTATTGCGCCTCGTGTTTGTCAGAACATGGGGTCGTCGGTGTGAACAGACGAGCGACTCCGACTAGGCTTGCGGTGGATGCTCTGACCTCAACAAAAGCCTTCTCTCGATACAAGATCATCCGGAGGTCATACAAATTCTGCTCAAGAATTTGCCACCTGCTGCCTTCTGCAATATCCAACTCCGTATGCGGCCACATCGACGGCACTGAGCGCGGGGACTTTGGACGACGATGCAGCCGTCGCTGTAGCTTTCCGTAGACGGCTACGGGTGAACACGTAGCTAGGCGTACAAGTCGATGCGTTATGGCAAGTCGAGCCGCACGAAGGCTTGCGTGCGTCTTCTTCGATATCTCTTCTTGCGCCACAAACAGGTGTGTCGTTTTGCACTGGCGTGATGGTCTCTCAGATTGTGAATATGCGTCCTGCGGTGATCTGGAGCAAACAACAGCACCTGACGCCACCCGTGCAGGTGCCAACGCACGTCAGATCTTAGGCACACGTGGGACCCCAGAGGAAGAGAGATCGGTGGATGATGGAAGATGCAGCAGAACGTTGCCTATATTGACAAGAATATCAGGCGGGCAAATGGTTGTTGAAGGAAAGCGCTACGTACTCCCTTCCCGGCGTGGATGGTGGCAACGGCGGCCCGAAGTACGCGCTAAGAGGCGGTGCACCAATAAGAGCCTACCTGTGTGTGCAAAGGGTTTGGCCTTCTAATATCAACCGTGATATCAAGTGGTTCTGAAGTGTGGAACAGGGCTGGCTTCATTAAATCACAAGTGCGCTCAACATTGATTCTGTGCGTCAAGTCAGGTCGACGTCAATACTTCATGACCTCGGGAAGTACTTAGAGGGAACATGACTTGGAAAACTTACCTTTCCACTAAATAATAGCGTTCATTTTCTACCAGACAATGACAGGTAGTCTTCATTCTATGTCTTTGCCTTTTACCAACCAAGCACCATTCCAAAATATCTGTTCCTTTCTCTGTTTTACCTACTCCTGAGCATGTGGGCAATGCGAAGATGACATCCAATGTAGGAAAATCGCCTCTATTTTTCTTGAGTGAGTGTCATGGGATGCTGGCCTCCTCATCCCCAAATCCGTGAAACCATTCGTGTCTCGAATACGATACCTTGGTCCTAGCGACTACAGTAAATATAACGAAGGAAGATTGAAGTCCATCGTGTCGAGCAACATGTTGATTGACACATTAACCTTCTACTTGTAGCCCTTGTGAGATGGATCCGCACAAATCCAACCCCAACAGTCAGCGACACCTCTCATTCCCTACTCCTCCTCGCCATGCAACCACTCCACCATCCAAGCAACCTGCGCTCTCTTCGCTCTGAGCATTGCCCTCTTCTCTTTCTTATCCTCTAGATTTCCCCGCGTGGCAAAAGCATGCTCAACCCCCGGAAAGTATTGATAGTCATAAGGCACGCCCTTTGTCGGAATAACTTCGTTCGCATAGGCCTTCAACTCAGGTGTAAACGCTTTATCCACCTCCGGCGCACAAATTTGCGCCGGCACCCCGATATTGTCCATTTCTTCTTTGGTAAGCCAGGTAGGATGGGCGGTCGAGATACCTGTTGATGCGATGAGCATGTCCCTTCCCCGAATCTAAAGCCCCTCAAGGAACTCTCCGTGATCGCCACCACTTCGCTGACTTAGGCTTCAATCGGAACGGAGCAATGACTTACAGTCCACAAGCCTCGGTTCAAACTCCTTACTTCCCAGCCTAAACAAACTCCAACCCCCATAGCAATACCCAATCACGCCCACCTTCTGATGCTTCTCTCTCAGCGCCTTCGCAACTCCCACAATCTCCGGCCACCTCACAGCTTTATCATTTCTCTTATGCCAGCCTTCAAGATCAAACTCATTCCAGCGGTTATGATTCGCGATAATGCCGGGATCGATGACTTGACCACCGAAGAAGTCTGGCATGTATACAGTGGCGTTTGCTTCGGCGGCGTAAGCATCGCAGAGGAGACGGGTATTGGTGAAGGTCCAGCCGAAGAGGTCTGCGATGACTAGGATGGCGACGGTGTTGTTCGAGCCTACTATGTAGGCATCGTTCTCCGCGATCTTGCCTTCCTTACCTGTGGGCGTGCCATCCCATTGGAACCCAGAGATACAGCATTCGGTCACCATCGTTCTTTTTTCGTTCGATCGTCTGCTGCAATTGAACTTCGGTTTCGCAGGTCCCTCTCGTATGAGACGTAGACATTCACTCACGACAGGGCTTCTTATATACAGACGCGTAGCATAGGCCAACGGAGCTATCGGTTTTAGCAGATCTTGGCATCACTCGATGTTCATGGCTGGGGTAAGGAGGAGCACGACTGCAGGAATGTCAGCGCCTAGCGCCCATGGAGGACCGCGCAGCGCCGCGGAGGTCCGAGCCGAATACAGCACGCCGTGTATGCTCCTGTGAAAGATACTCAAACTCTCGCATGTTCTGAAAGATGAGAAATCAATTCGCTCATGCTCCCGATCAGGGGTCCGAAAGTGTATTCACATCCCAAAACGTACCACATTATGTCTTTTTGCCGTAAACTCCCGTGGATGCAACCCCACCCCACCCAAAGAACGCCAAACCCATGGTATAACAGCATACAAACGCTTCGACAAAAAAGGCTAGCTACCAACACTGAGATCGGCCAGAAAGTCCCTTTTGATGGACAAGTCCAAGTAGTCCTCTTGGTTGTTGATCTCGAGACCTCTCTCGTTAGCTAAGTGCAGTAGACAAATGAAACCGTATGACGTTGAGATCTCGGACAGCGCTTTCGTTGGATATACTTGTTTGAGACCATTCAAGACCTGTGTGAACTTCAACGAACCGTCTACAGCCTTCGAGGCGACGTCGTCCCCTACACCTGCTGGGGGTGGCGCTTCAATCTGTAGGACGTTAGTATCTGGATCACGTCTATTCTTGAAGGGGTAGAACATACGTCTTCCAAGCCCATGCCGGTCCACAGGTTCTCTTTCAGTCGCTTGATGTCTACTTTCTTTGCCTGGCGCGCATAGTTCAGCATTATGGGACGTGGCCTGCCGATTTGAGTGACTAGTTGTTCTCCAAAAGCACCCTCCTTAGTAGCTATAGCCGTACCCATTGATGACATGGGCACCAGGTTGTCACTGATGGGTGGCGGCGAGAAGTGATCCCGCGCATCAGCAAACGTTTCACCGTCGTCATCCATGGCCCCAAGCATAGGCAAGGCGCCATCCTCGAAGAAGTCGGCGTCATAGTCATTCTGCGGCGCAGATTCTGCATCGGCCGCTGCTTGTTCCTTTGCTATAGCTGCCCACTGTGCAGCATCAGGCTCGTCGCTAGGCGTTGCGCTAGGCCTGTCAACGTAGATTGGTCGGTTGGCCCTTCGAGCGCCTAATCGAACGTTAGGCTTCAGGAAGAGCCTGAGCAGTTGTCGTGAGTTGAAGTGCTTGTCATCAGGCGCCAGATTGTGTGTCTTCGATTTCCATTGCGCTTTGGGCAGCATAATACTGGCCGCTGAGGTAGCTGGAGCGTAGAGTGCGTTCGCTAGTTCCTGGCTCATCGGAGAAGAGAAATCAAGCTTGAAAGGCTCCTTTTCTTTGCGTTTTGTGGGAGCAGCAGTTTTGCCAACATCTTTGACCCGACTGATGCGCCAGTGCTCAGGGCCAGCCCAGTTCTTCTTCAAGGCTTCATCGAAATAGCTTAGGATGTTCTCCTGCTCTTTTCCCGGTTTCTGAGTGTGCGTTAGGCCGTAGGGATCATCGGTATTGAGGTCGCCGTCGGCTCCTTCGCCGCCTTCTTCATCGCCTTCGCCCGCTTCTATGTTGTGAACGCGTGCTTGCGGTTCAAGAGCAATCTGATTGGCCCACAATTCACCACCCTCTCCGAAACCAGTTTCTGGAGGAAGGTTGAAGCCGACGTCGTCATTATCGCCGAAGTCTGGGGCAATGTCGCCATCAAGAAAGACACCGGATTGATTTCCATCTTCGTCGTCATCCTGCTGCTTCGGCTCGTCATCTTCCTCGGGGGCTTTGAGGAATGGCAAATCCATTGACGCGTTGGCGTCTCCTAGCTCGAAAGTCTTCATGGAGGGGCAAATATCTTGGTCGTCTAATCGTGACAGATCGGGGAAGTACATAGCAGCTAGTCCCGAGATGTCGATAACAGCATCTTCAGACGGCTCTTCCGTTTCTTCCTCTTCCTCTTCCAGCTCTCCCATGCCTTCCGGTGCAGGTGTCTCCCTGGAGGGTTGTGTAGCATCTTTGATATCGTCGCTGCTGTCGAAGACAATCCTGCCGTTGCTGTCAATGGACAAATGATTCAGAAGTAAACCCTTGGCGCCGCCTTCGTCAAAGTCTGCAGAGGCTTTCTTGAACAATGGATCAACAGACAGGTCGAGATCCATTTTTTTGTTCTGGAGCTGCTCGAACGAGTCCGCCAGATTCGACTCCTTCGCACGCGGTGCCCGCTTTTTCTTCTTCTTCTGGCCGTCTTCGCCTTCTTCGCCCTCCTCGTCCTCATCGCCCGATCCCTCGGCGTCGCCTCCGCGTTTCTTCTTATTTCCGCTTTCTGCTAGACCGCTGAGCAGTTTGCTCGTATCTGTATTGATGCTGTCCACTCTGCTAGTGTAGATCTTGACGCAGCCGTCCAGCGTGACACTTGCCCTCTGGAAACTGATGCCGTCGCCCTCCTTTAAAAGAGACATGTCGTGGAAGTAGTCGATCAGCGCAAAGTTGAAGGCGTTGTTTGCGTTGATTTTCTGCCACCAGTCAGCCCAACGTCCGTTCCAGTCTACGGGAACAACCCTCTGCCTACATTATTTGTTGCCAATTCGATCCATTGGTCCCAGTTGGCTAGTAAAGGTACGGGTCGCTTCATGGGCGTAACGGCGGTTCCGGTGACATCGGGCATTTCTATGTCTTCTTCTATTGCGGGTGTGTGAGGGCTATCCTGAGCCCCTAGCGACTTCCGCTTTCGATTCGGCGTCGCAGAAGCTCGCATCGACTCTCTCCGTAGTTGCGCATAGCGGCGGCTCGCTTTCTCTTGCTTGTCGTCGTTCAGCGGCACTCTGCATACCGAGTTAGCCGTCTCTCTGCACGTCTCTGGGGAGAGTGAGCGTACTTGGTCGTGGATGACCTCTGTGGCGTTGCCGTCGCATTGGACGACGAGCTGGTGCGCGGCATTTTGGGTGTGTGTCGTGGCTTGTCCCAGGTGGTGTTGTTTACCGCGTCCTTGCCTACAAACACCGTCAACACGCCAAGACACGTGCGCGCCAGTCGCGCCTTCCCCCGCGGTCGCCACACTCACTCGCCACAGGTGGCTCAGCACGACGACGCAGCGTCACTGGAAGCTTGATTCTTGGTCGTCGTGTGCCGCTGGCGTTACACATAAACGCTGCGCTCGTTGTTCGCATGTCGTTTGCGCTTGAACATTCCATTGCAATACTCCTACCCACATTCTTATCACTGAGACTCTGCGTCACTCTCTGCAAGTCGTAATAGGCGCGCGCCTCGGTATCCGCACGTTGCGACGACATCATCGCGGGCTTCATCAACTTCGTAATCGAGACCTTATCGCCACAGAGGTGGTGTCGCCAAGCTACAGCGAACCCTACAATCGCGAAACCCTTGATAAGATGAGGTGACAATGAGCTTCCCACCTGCTCCAGAGCACTTCACGATGCGCCGGCGCCCCCGTTACTCTGCGCGCCCCTTTGCGCTCACGATATTGGCGGTCTCGGTCCTAGTCTTGCTGGCATGGGTCAAGACTGGGCATGACAATGGGCCAAACAAAGAGTTCGCGTCTACTACTGCTCTTGTGAGGAGAGACGTTCTGAGACGAGATGAAGAATGTCGAATGGTACATCAAGCGAAGGACAAGTGCGCATTCGTTAGAGAGAATTGTCCAGACGAAGAGGCCGGCATCTTCTCATACCTCACGCTGTACTACTGTCGCCTTCCGCATGCGAAGCCGGTCGCGTTCACTATTCTTGTATTATGGCTTGCGCTTCTCTTCAGCACCATCGGCATTGCTGCGAGCGACTTCTTTTGCGTCAATTTGAGCACCATCGCCAATCTGCTGGGCATGAGTGAGAGCATGGCAGGAGTCACCTTCCTAGCGTTTGGCAACGGAAGTCCGGATGTCTTCTCCACGTTTGCCGCCTTCAACACCAACTCCGCTAGTCTCGCCATTGGGGAATTGATAGGAGCGGCAGGTTTCATCACTGCTGTGGTGGCAGGTTCGATGGCCCTGGTGCGCCCATTCAAAGTCGCGAGGCGAAGCTTTGTTCGGGATGTGGGCTTCTTTATCGTAGCCGCCACCTTCAGTATGGCCTTCATCTGGGACGGAAAGCTGATGCTGTGGGAATCATGTACTATGGTCGGCTTCTACATCTTCTACGTGTGTTTCGTCATGGTATGGCACTGGTGGCTAGGGCGCAGGAAAGCCCGAAGACTCCGAGCTGCCGCAATGCGAAGCCACTACGTCGTACCCGGCGGTGAAGAAGAAGAAGTTCCTCAGGAGTACCATGACGAGGATGACGGACCGACGAGTGCAGGTCGGCCCAGTTTGTCGCGAGGTGTATCTGCCGATGACTTCGCAGCCCTTGAACGTAATGATCATAGGGACTCTTTGGAGGCTGACGAAAATGAAGAGATGCGCGAAAGATGGTTAGGGGAATTAAACGACAACATGCGTGTCAGTAGACCACAGGTTGGACGTAGGCGAAACACTCACACCCCTATCCGACCCAGTTTGGTCGGTGCACTCGAATTCCGCGCGATACTATCGTCTCTTCAAAAATCTAGGAACATACAGACGATTCCAATCAACCTGCGCCGATACTCCGACGATCCAACATATACCACTGCGCAACAGCAAGATCTCATATCGACGACCTCAGATCCTGCACCACGACCGCCATATGACGTTGAACAAGGACCCTCCGAAGAAACTCCCCTGATCACCAGACCTACTCTAGAGGTACAGAGACATTTACCTAATCGTCTGAGGGCAGTGTCAGCCAACGGTGTAGACAATGCCCGCTTTGATCCCGAGACATTACGTCCTGGAGCGATTCCTACAATTGACTTTGGGCCGGCTTCGCCAGAGGATACCATGAAAGATCAGAACGCTGCTGATCTACAACCACCTCCATCCCCAGTCATATCGTTGTCACCACCAGCGTCAGAGTACGACTTATCGGCACCAAGTCCTGTAGTTCCGACGTCTGTTTCAAACCCGACCTCCAATTTGCTGGCACCTCCAAACTGGGACGGCTCCGGATCTACGGTGCGCTCAATGAAGACAACTCCAAGCCCACTATCGTCACCTGTCGTGGAGTCTGTGGCACCGTCGCGACCACAGCCCAAGCTGATTGTACCGGGCTCGGCCTCGCCTCCGATCCCCTTTCCAGCGTACACAGACTATCCAGGCTCAGCTCATAGTTCCAGGGCTCCGAGCCTCCGTCTGCCCCCTCCCAGTGTCTCTGCTGCCTCTCTCTCGTCCGATTATTTCGCGGACCATATCATGGAAACCAGCGATCGTGCCAAAGTCCCCCGTTGGTGGCCATCCACCATCCTACCGCCGCCTACCATTCTTCTGTCGACATTGTTCCCTACTTTGTGGAATTGGAGGGACAAGAACATATGGGATAAGATGCTCGGCGTTGTTGCAGCACCAAGCGTCTTTTTACTCACAATAACACTGCCAGTAGTAGAACATAGAGATGACGCAGATGAAGCAGGTTTAGCATCTGTGACCAGTCTCAGTCTGCCCGATGGTTTGACACCACTCAACGGGAGTCTGTCAGCACATCACCGCAGCATGGTCTCGGGACTGGATGCCGAGAACCCCTCAAGCGAGAACCATCGCAGAGATCGCAGCACGATTTCGATTGGTAAAGCCGATTCCACCGGCCGAGCTGGCAGTACTGTCACGACTCCGTCTGGCCAGCCGCAGCAAATTATACCCACGGCCGAAAGGGATATCATGCAGTCACCCGAGCAGCTTCCGACTGCAGCACCCTCGTCTGGGCCGAAGACTTGGAATAGATGGCTCGTCATCATTCAAACCTTTACAGCGCCCTTCTTCATAGTCCTCATAGTCTGGGCGAACACGGAGCTCGAGTACCCACGTGCGCTCATCCGCCCAATGATGTGGTCTCTTCTCATCTCACTCTGCACGTTGGCTTTCCTTCTCATCACAACGACAACCACGCGGCCACCACGATGGCGCTCGGTGCTTTGCTTCCTGGGTTTCGCAGTGAGTATTGCTTGGATCAGCTCCATCGCCAACGAAGTAGTAGGGGTGCTCAAGACGCTGGGGGTCATCTTGAACATGAGTGATGCTATTCTGGGACTGACGATTTTCGCGGTCGGGAATTCTCTAGGGGACTTCGTCGCTGACATTACCGTGGCGCGCCTTGGGTTCCCGGTCATGGCACTCTCAGCATGCTTTGGAGGCCCGATGCTGAACATACTCCTCGGTATTGGCCTGAGCGGATGCTGGATCATCCTCAAAGGCGGTCGACATCACCACGCAAAGCATCCAGACAAGCCGATCAGGTTCAAGCCCTACCAGATCGACATCAGCACCACGCTGGTCATATCTGGGGGTACCTTACTTGTCACCCTAGTCGGACTTTTGGTGGTGGTACCATGGAGACGGTGGAAGATGGACAAGACGATTGGGTGGGGATTGGTGGCGCTCTGGTGCATCAGCACAGTTGTCAACGTGGTCGTCGAAGTGTTGGGCATCAGTAGCAGTGTAGGTTAAGACGAGCCTCTGACGACTGTTTCATACGCGGACGGCTCAGAGGCAATCATAACGCTTTTATGGATAGCTTCACTGTAGCCCCATTTCCAGTTCAGTGACGCAGACGTTCAACCGGTGAGCGGAGCACGCCAACCCGCGCCAATGCAGCAGAGCGGGCGGCTTCGCACGCGGAACATAGGCAATGCGGGCTGTGGTAGGCCAGGTCGAGGTAGAGCTATGAATACGCGCCTCACACGTGGCACGGGGAGTGCGCACACTTGATTAAAATTCCATGTTGGGCTGCATGGCGGATGCTTCGAGGCTCCGCCGCTGCACGAGGCGGCATTGATGCAGGTGTTTTGGGCTCGAGTGGCTGCTCGAGGCGGTAAGGCGCGGCCTGGGTGGGACTGCAGCGAGCAATGGGAGCGCACCACGTCTGAAGGGAACTGAAGGAACGGACGCCGTCGACAGGTTTTTTGAGCCCAGAATATGACTCCGCTGGCCAAGTTCCGGTGTGCAGCAATAAATAAGGGCAAATCGGGCAAGTACACTGCTCGCTCTTGCATACCCTCCACGCCTTGTTGCCTGCACGCTTTCCGTCCGCCGGCTTCTCGACTTCCAGCGCTCTTCGCCCCCGTGCATCCCCATTCTTCCGCCAGACTCCCTGCTATGTCAAATTCAGCCTCAAACTTGACCCATTGTTACTTGTTGTTGATCCGCAGAACTCGGCGCAGAAGACTGCTACTTCCATGAGCACCCAGCGCATCATTCCAGCCCACAATTCCCCATATACCAGTCCATATCTCTCAACACCACGGCAACCGTAGCCTCCTGCACGCAAGCCTACTGCCTACAAAGCGAGCCACTGAGCATCGCCGCCGCTGACTGAGGTCTGCCATTCTGCACTGTGCGACCGCCCCACTTGCTCGTAAAGGGTGCGGCGTCCACTTGACATCCTGCCAAACCACACCTGATCTGCGGCCTCGGATCGCACGTCGTCATTCTGCCGCTCGGCCACCCATCCATCTCACCGTCCCGTCCCACGCCGCCTCCAAGGTGCTTGGGCTTCATCCAGTGCTCGGCCCCCAGCGCAGTAATCGCATCCCCTTCTCGGCCTAGCTGCCGCCTCTCAAACACATCCTCCGCGACCATCCCTCGCTCTTTGGGCACCCAAAACGAGCGGCAAGGAGTTCGGACCAGGATCAGCCCAGTCCACGCCTCAGTCGGCTCCTGCGACGAGGTTTAGCCCAGCATCGAATCACACCCCTCAGCCTTACAGAGCCCGCTGCCCTCTTCAAGTCTCCCAACCCCGCCCGTGCCCGAGACTGCATCTCCCTCAGCGCCCTCGTCCGCCGCCCGCCGCCTCTGTCCAATTTGCTGCTCCCAGCCGGACTGCCCTCCGCCTCTGTTTACAAACACGGCGCAAGCTTGAGCACCCGACATCACCCCGCCGACTCTAGCCCGAGCAAGGCCAGCAAACATCACCCCGCCCAAGGCGCCCAAAGGCCGCTATAGGACACAGGTCCGTCTCTACACCTTATACCGCACCGCACCGTTGCCGCACCCGCACCTTCTCTGGCAGAAGGCGCGAGTACGGTGACGCTTGAACAATACCATCCTCATGCCGTTAGTCATAGCTCTTCCTCATCAACGCGCTGCCTCGCACTCGTCCCCGCGGTCGCTTTCGCGCCGTCCTGCCCGTACTCGTCGAGCCCCTTCTGCTTCCTCCTCCCGCATTTCTCGCACTACCAGTGGTTCCACCATTTCGATCTCTCCTGCACGCACTGTTTCGCTCTCTCCCTCCCGCGAAGACCGAGGCGACACTAACGTCGAGATTCAATTTAGGAGAAACATCACCATCAACAACTCGACTGGTGCTGAGCACCACTACACCTTCACCGACGAAGAGGAAGATTCCTCGGGCGTCCAGGTCTCGTCTGGCAGCCAGGAGTACACCGACGAGTCAGAGGAAGAGGACGACGAGGAGTGGGACTACATTGACGAGATCGAGCCCTCAGACTCGGCCTCACGTCCAGCGCGAGTGAAGCACCACACTGTCACCGCGCCCGCACCTCCCTCCCGACCCCCGCAAGGTGCCCGCCGCAAGTCTGCACGGCACACGCCTGTCCACGAAGACGCGCGCCACAGGTCCCGCAGCAGGCACAACCTAGAACACGAGGCGAGGCCGCGACGGCGAAGGCCTCAATCCGTACATTCGGAAAGTCTGGACAGCCACGACGACTACCCCTATGGCCCTCCACGGCCGGGGCCCTCTCCGCATCACCCTCACGACCAGTGGGCGCACGTTCCTCAGCAACCTACCCCAAGTGGCTATGCCCCCAGTATGATGTCCGACCCGCGTTACAACCCCTTCCAGGGCGGTCCATCAGGACCGCCTTCCGCGCCTGATCAGCTGGTGCCTTTTGGAGGACGTCCCGATCAGTATGGATACAATGCGAACCCATTTGCGCCAGGAGGTGGAGGCCCCAATCCTTTCGCCTCACCTCACGCTGGCGCGGGAGCCAATGGCTACTTTGAGGGCCATGGACACGCAGCTCACGGAGGCAGACGAGGCCACCGCAACTCTATGCCTCCGCCTGGCCCCAACGAGATGGGCGCAATGATGCCGTACGGCTATGGCGGCCAACAAGGATACTACCCTCCCTACGGCATGCCTCCTTACGGTGCGCCTGGTGGCATGCCAGGCATGCCCGGCATGCACCCCATGTATCCGCCACACCCGCCTCGTGATTACAGTCCTCCGCACCACCGATCTCGGTCAGGAAAGTCTACCCCCGCGCACCACGACGAACACCCACAGGCCCCGCCTCCACCACCATCCGCTCCTCCACCGCCCCAGGCTGTTGCGGTGATGCCTCCCCCTCCTCCTCAAGCTTTCATGCCACCACCTCCGGACCCCCAAGAGAACCATGTGCTCAGCAAACTCGAGATGATCTTGCTTGGCAAGCAGGAGATGGAGGAGAAGAAAGCCGAAGATTTGAAGTTCTCTCGCCTGGAGCAATTGCTCATCGAACAACAGCAAGCACGCATCGATAAGGAGGCAGCTAAGCGGAAGGCCGCCGAGGAAGCTGCTGCTGCTGCTGCTGCGGCCAAGTTGAAGGGCGACGAGGACAAGCTTGAGAAACTCGAGAAGCTTATCCTTGCGCAGAAGGAGGAGCAGCTGAAGCGCGATGAAGCCATTGAAGCAGCCCGCAAAGCCGCTAAGGAGGAAGCGGATGCAAAGATGGCGAAGGAAGCCGCTGACGCGGCAGCCTCAGCCGAGGCGGCAAAGAAGTTATTGGAGGCAGCGAAGGCAGCTCGAGAGGAAGCTGAGAAGAAGGCGGCTAAGGAAGCAGAAGACACGAAAGCTGCACACGAGAAAGCACTCGAAGAAGCCAAAAAAGCCCAGGAGGAGCTTGAGAAGGCTAAGAAAGCTGCCGAGGAGGAGGCTGCGAAGTTGAAGCCGTCAGATGCACCGAAAGCTCCGATCAAATTTAAGGATGCAGTTGGCCGCAAGTTCAGCTTCCCGTGGCACCTTTGCAAGACATGGAAGGTATGCTGTGAAGTCCCCCAGCTCGAGTTCTACAGCTAATACAATCCCAGGGAATGGAAGAGTTGATCAAACAGGCCTTCCTTCATGTCGACGTGATTGGTCCCCACGTACACGAGGGCCATTACGACCTCGTCGGACCGGATGGCGAAATCATTTTGCCACAGGTATGGGAAACCATGATACAACCCGATTGGGCAATTACGATGCACATGTGGCCTATGCCTGAGCCCCGCCACCACCACCTCCAATTGTGGAAATGCCTCCACCACCTCCCCACCACCACGGTCCTCCTCCGAAGCTTGGGAAGCCCAAAAAATCGAACAAGAAGCGTGAGTCCGCTCACATTGTCATTCCTCCACCTCCACCGATGGTGATTCCCGATCTTCCGCCGCCGCCGCCTCCTCCCCCAGGTCCCCCGATGGCGCCACCAGGTATAGAGATCCTACCAATGAACCCAACGCCCAGCGTTGCCGGATCACGTCCTCGAGTGAAGAAAGCCGCGCCATCGGGGTTTATGAAGTGGGCGGCTGGGGGCGGCGGCTCTGGTCGTTCATCGTCTGTGAAGAAGGCGAAGAAACCTGCTTAGGAAGCAGGACCCCTTGTCCTTTCGCTAACATATCGCGTCCGCAGAAGATGACTGCCTTGTCATGTGAGAGCCTGCTGACATTCACACAGCGCTCGACGTGGAGTGGGACCGAGCCGAAGACGAAAACGTTCGCATCGTGCGAAGGTACAGGAGATACGACTATTACTAGTTTGTGTTGTCCGATATTCCTTTCGCACGTCTCGTCTCTGGTCAGGTCTCTCAAAGCGTTGAGTGGTGTGAATGGCGCGGGTGATCCCATCGCAGGTCCAGTCCTATTGTTTTCACGTTTTTCGGTATTTGGTTGAGACATTCTACGTTTTAGCGTTTCATTTTCTGTTATTTCCCTTGCTTTGTCCTTCTGCTCCCTTGGCCGCGGACGCTTACTGTCTGGATCTTGTAACATCTTGTCTGGCATACTTATCGGTCAGGTGTCTGGATCATTCGTGCGGGTTCTTGGGGGCGGTGAGTTTGGGAAAAGTTCAGATACCACTTGTTTTTTGTTTGCCATTTTGGGTTTGCGTTGGAGTTTGAGTTGCGCCTTTTTGATGTTTCTGCTGCTGGTTTGCAAGAAGAATGGATGATGGGATGGATGCATGGAATGAGATGGATGAAGGATGATTGATGTCAATGAGGTGTGGCTCAGCGCTACTGTTGGGGAGCGTTTGGTGTGGGATGGTTTCGTTCATGATTGTGGCGTTTTAGCGTTTTCGTTGGTTTATCATTGAGGCTAGAAGAATGGGAGAATGTCCACTCAAGCTGTGTGTTGATGCTCGTGAAATATAAAACAAGGGACTCGGTTCGACGTTACGTCTATATTACACACTAACGCTGCTCCTTCAGGCTTTTGATAGGTGGCAGTGCAAAAACTATATACACTCTCATCCTCTATGCAAGCGCAGCCCTAATATCATCAATCACCCACTGCGGCTGACTCAAAGCCGGGAAATGCCCTCCCTTCTCATGTCTCTTGAAGTACGTGACTTTAGCCGTCCTTTCTACCCAATCCTTCGGCACATAGTTGAAGTTTGCCAACTCGGCATAGTGCGAATTACCTCCAAACTGCAGCACCGTCGTCGGCACCGTGAACGGCACCTTTGGCGCAAACGAATCGAGCCCAAAAAGCTCCTTGTAGCTCCTGATGTTGCCGTACACGCCGGGGATGTACAGCATGAGGGTGTCGGTAATGAGCTCGTCGAAGGTGTAGTCTACGTCTGAGACCGACCACGCGAGCTGGTAGCGCCAGGCGAGGAAGCCGACGGGGGAGTCGTTGAGGGCGTAGGCAAGCGACAAGGGCAGCGTAGAGTGTATAGCGGAATACGCAGAGTGGTTCGTTAGGAAGGAATTGATCGAGTTGATGTACACTGTTTCCTCGGGGGTGGTCTTGTTCGCGGCGTACCGCGCGGTGTCGGCGTCTGTGGGGAAGACCATGTAGAAGTCCGTTACGTGGTTGATGATGCGCGGGGCGTAGTCTACGATGTAGCTCATGGCGACGACGGTGCCGAGGTCGGTGCTGTAGAGGACGTAGCGGTCGTAACCCAACTGTTCCATCAGGCTGGCGAAGACGGTGGCGTGTTCTGCGCCGCCTAGCCCTGGGGCTTTGGGTGCGGGGGAGAAGCCGAAGCCTGGGATGTCGGGAGCGACGACGTGGAAGGCTGGCTGGCTGTCGTCTTCGGGGTTCGTCAGGGGGAGGATGATTTTCTCCCACTCTAGGCTGGTGGAAGGCCAGCCATGAAGGAAGAGGATGGGAATCGCATCATCCCTGTTGCTACGCTGGTGGATGAAGTGGAGGTCCAGTGACTCGTTGCTGCCGTAGTTTCCTCCCGGTGACGGCACCGTCGTGTAGAAGTGTGAGAAGTTCTTGTTGATCCCATCTTGCACTTTCGACCAGTCGTAGTCTTCTGCCCAATACTTCGCGACGTCGTTGATCTTGGAAGTTGGGGGTCCGTCAAACCATGCTGGTGCATCAATGGGTTCCGTCTGGCGGAATTGGCTAGCTCTAATTCGAGTCTCTTCAATGAATTCCGGGTCGACGTTGATGGTGTATGGTTTCGGTTGGCTGGAAGGAGCACTGTCGCTCAGTGGGTGGCCGGTGGACATAGTAGCCAGTAATGACAGTAGCGGCAGTATTGCGGTCTTGGTGAACATGTCGGAGAGGGCGAGGGGCTGCTGAATTGGCACAACATACGAGCTGCACCTCGGAGGATTTATACTAATTCCATGTCTCTTCTGCGTATAGGTGCTGAACATTACGGAATCCCGCGCATACCCTACATTTGTAATGCGCGGGCCAATCCGCCCCGCAAACTACTCCATTAAATCACTCGTCCTGAGCTTACCATCAGGCCGACTCGCCGATCGGCGAAATAAGACCAGGCAACCACCGTCCAAGCCTTGCGTTAGGGTCCGTGAAAGAGCCATAGCTGATATTGGCGTGCGAGGGGGACGTGATGAGGTCGAAGGACATAGCCAATCCGAAAGCCCTCTATCTCTTAGCGTTACCATAGATACCCAGTGCCTTGGGCGCACGTGGTAGACTAAGTCCTGAACTGCAAGAGGACTGACTAATTGAACTCAACCCTTTGAACATGGCAAGTATTATAAATCATATTGTTGTTGATGACAGGTTTGGTACTGGTTTGTTGTGGGGTTGCGGCGTTAAGCTGAGCCACGCTAAAGGATCAGCCCTAATACTCAAAGGGCGCCATGACTTAGGTACACTACGTCAATTGCTAGTATAGAGAAATGAAAAGAGGGTCTAAGACCTCGAGGTGTAGTTCTCGTCATTCTAGCGCAGCCCTCATACTCAACCTGATACTCAACCCGACTGTCCTGAACACCTGGGCACCGGACGGACCAGTCCGGTGGAGCTGAATGCGAGGTAGAATAGTCTTTACTGATGCAGTCGCACGAGACGGTATTCAAAACATCTATTTATCCGTGCTACCATACTTGACTGACATAGTATCGCGTCTCATGCCCCGTTCTTAGGGCGTATAAGTAATGTGCATCTGCATAGACCTCTAAGTCAATCCAGAAAGGCTTTGACACTCATCCTACTACGGTCACTGCGGAAGGCCAATGGTTTTAAGACTTGGTCGCGCAAGTAAAGTTCTCCAGTTCATATCTTCATGTGATCTGTTCACTTCAACGCTACGAAAGTCGTGGATATCATATAAGCGTACAACACATCACGGCCTACAAAATCCCCATCACCACCCAGACAACAACACCCGCACTCCAAGCCCATCTGCTCATACTCATCGATGCTGCACCACTACAATCCCCACCTTGCGGACACTCCTTCGCATCCGGTTCTTCCTCGGGCACATCAGGATCGCTCGGGCCCTCGGGCTGTTCATCCTCCGGAACCTGCGCTTGCACGTTCTCGATGAAGCTGCCGATGACGTTGCCGGGAGGGTAGTATTCGCAGACGACGAACCTGCTTCACATCAGCCTTCTTCTTCCCCAGTCTCAAGTACGGAAACCAAAGCCAATTGGAAAGGAGATAAGAGGGGTTACTTACCATCCCGGAGCCCTCCCATTATCCTGGCCGTCGCACTCGGTACGGCCGCAGCCAACCGTCTTCGTAGCCTTCCATACGAGCTGGGAGAAGTGACCTGTTTCATGCCTATCCCTTCATAAGCACAAATTCAACGAAGGAAGAAGGGGAAAACTCACGTAAACTCGCCCTTCTTGAAATCATAGTCCACCCGCTCGTGTCCCCACACGATGATACTCTGACTCGCATTCGCATACCCTGAACTCAGATTCTCCCCATTCGGCCCACCCTGTTCACTCCGTTAGCAAACCAATTTCTTCAGAAGGAGTGGGAACGTACAGAGTGCTCGAAATTGCATTTCTCGCTCCAATCCTTCGCATAGTCGGCAAGCGTGTCGTTCCACTTCAGACTCGTTGCGTTGTGCTGTTTGCGGTAGGTGTTTGTGACGTTTAGAATCGTGTTTTTGAACAGATCATCTTTCGTGTAGTCTGCGGCTGCTTGGTCTGCTCGCGGTAGATGGAATGAAAGTGTGGAGGCGAAAGTAGAGGGGGTCAAGAGGAGGAGAACTAGTGCTGTGGGAAGATGTGCGAACATAGTGAATCCTCTTCTCCTTCGTTGGGAGAAACGCACTGTCCTGGGTATGTTCAACAGCCGGGCTTATGGTAGCGAATCTCAGGATTCAGGAAGTCGCGAGTGAGAGTGAATGCCTGCAACGACGAGTATAAGCTGGCCACATAACCCCAGCAGTATACGAAGGTCATAGACATCGCGAAACAAGGCGCCAATCCCTGCATATTGCGGGAGCCCTGTTTCGCGCCCGCCATTCTGTGTTGTATCTAACGGCTATTCCTCTTTGACGCGGACCTCCGTGGGCGCTTCCTGTGACGTAGCGTCACGTGTTAAGCGAGCTTGGCAGGAGCGATTGGCTCACCCTGGTCGTTCCTGAGATCGCGAGGAAACGGAATGGACGGGCGAAACGTGTTGTAGTCGAGACGCTAGATGTTGTGAAGGAAGTTGTGTTAGTACGCAAAGCTAAGTTCTTAGTTTGGTTTGGGTCTCGGATTTTGGCTTCGCTCTATGGTCTAGCCACGGGCCAACCTTTGAGTACAGCTACTGCACTGTCTAGCATGAGCCCTCTTCTAAAAGGATTCACTGAGGCATGGCTAGAGCCTCTCATCCACAGCGGTATCTAACAGGTAGGACGCGGTCATGTCACGGAGTATACATGGCGAAAACGAAACTGGGTATATTCGGCCAGACTCTCGTACCTGCGCTTACTCCACCATCACGACATCCCCACCTAGCCCCAATTGCGCCGTCCCATTCGTGACGCTCTTCACATCGCCCACCTCATCCATCTCCCTTAGAGTAAAATCCAGCAAATAGCTCTCATCCACTAACTCCTCGACTCTCTTATAATGCCTCTCGCTATACGCCTTAATCGCGTCCAGCACATCTTTCAGACTTCCCTTCGCGCCAACCTTGCCCGCAGGTTTGAGCCCTGCGAGCCGTGATGCGGGATACGACTTTACCACCGCCCATAGGATCTTTTGTGCGACGGGCGCAGAACGCACGTTGGTGTTCCAGTCACGTAGGCGCAGGAGAAGCTTGTAAAGTTGCTCGTCTGCGAGGTTGGCAACTACGTCGTCAACGGCAGTGAGGCCTGTGAGACTGCCCTCGTCAGGTACGTCGGACTCGACGACGGATTTGAAGAGCGTGAAAAGGCGGCCTGGCTGGTCCATCTGCAGGGCGAGAGTGATAGCTTCCCGGTAGTTTCCTGCAAAAGCGTAATTCTGCAGTTTCTGATCAAGCTCTACACGCTCTGTTTCTGCTGTGGTCGCGGCTTCTAGTGTCGTGCTCGTAGTGTCTCTCCAGAACGTGATGACGCTGTCTGCACCGCCGGAGATTAGTGCACCGGTGCTGGGATGCGCGGTGAGGGCCCAGACGCGGTCGGTGTGGTTGTCAAGCGTGGACATTCCTTCGCCCGATGCAGAATCCCAGATCTTGACAAGCCCATCGCCAGCTGCGGACGCTACCTGTGATCCGCGTTTGTCGCGTGCATCTACGGGTCGATATGGAAGCCAGGCGAGCTTCAGGACGCTGTTGGAGTGGCCTTCAAGGGTTAAGAGACAGCTGTAATCGGCTAAACTCCAGACTTTGACCGTCTTGTCCGCGCTTCCTGTGGCAATCAGCCCCTTGCCTCCGGATCCTGGCGCTTGAGATTCTTTCGGTTGGAATTTGACTGTCCATACACCTCTTCGGTGACCTCTAAGGACTCCTACAGCTTCACCGTCAGCTGCCGAATATATCTTCACTGTCCGATCTTGTGATGCTGAAGCAAACAATGCGCTAGACGGATCAATATCTACAGCATTAATATCCTTGTCGTGGGCCTTCCGGGTATACTTTGCTCGCAACTTCTGCTTCATGTCCTTGCTGGTATCCCATCGCTTTACTGTCCGATCTTGAGATCCTGTGATGATGTATGCAGGTGGATTGTTCAGTGGGTCTGTGTATGCTGCCGAAGACTCTGGCGGTGTCGCGTGCGGTAATGCAATGGCGCCTAGTGATTCCGCGTGGCCAGTCAACACTGCTGCGCAAGTGTACGAGTCGTTCTCTGGATCTATGCGCCAAAGTCGAGCTGTGTTGTCTTTCGAGCCGGTCGCTAGCCAATGTCCAGACCAGTCTACGTCGAGAGAGATAATCAAATCCTCGTGGCCTTTAAGTAGAGCCACGTCAGCCCCGATATATTTTCCTTCTGGTGTTTCATTTGATCCCTCCTCTTCCAAAGTTACTATGCGAATATCTTCGGAGTTGGTGTTCAATGCGAGAAGTGATTTGCCCGAACCAATGTACGCCAAATCAATTACTTCATCATGAGTACCGGAAACTCTTCGGAACACAGGCAGAGGATCGATGATTTCTTCTACTAGAGGTGACTCAACAGAGACGAGCGAGTGGAAGTTCAGCACCTGGTCTGCATGTACTGAGATGAGGTACGGTAAATCTGGATAGTGGAGAATCTCCACGATTGCATCGGTCTCAATTCCAGGCTCCTGCTCACGAGTGAGTTCTTGCGAGGTTTCGGTGGACCAAAGACGGATGCGGCCATTCTCTCCACCGGAGTAGGCGATGTGTCCGCCTGCGACGAAGCCTGCACTCTCAAGAGTCTCAAGCACCGCAATTGTGCGTTTTGCCTTCCACTTCTGAGCGTCCCATATTATGAGTGTCTTGTCTCTGCTCCCGGATACCAGTGTGTTTTGATCGGGTGAGAAGTCGAGCGATCGCACCACAGAGACGTGAGAATCTAGAATAGCCGCGCTCTTTCGCGTATGTAAATCCCAAATATGGATTTTGCCGTCCTCTACACCTGAAGCAAGCCTGTACTCCAACGTAGTCTCTCCCTTGATTGCTTCGGGAGCATTTTCTTGCTGGGATATTCTCTTGCGCTTTTTGCTGCTCTCGTTTGTACCATCTTTTGTTGCGACCTCGACCTGGAAGAAATGCAGCGCAGAAACTACACCGCCACGGCCGTGGAACGTATGGGTTGTGTAGCCCGCACGGATGTCCCATACTTTTACAATTCCATCGGCACCGCCAGTAGCAAGAAGAGTACCGGTTTTGTCGACGGCTAAAGTAACGACAGGCGAGGTATGCGGACGGAGCGAACGGAGTAATTCGAATTCGATGTTGCCGTCTTCGGTATCGGAAGGCGACGACGAATAAATATGCATAGACGTAGAACGCGAGCATACAATCAAATGCTCAGCGGAAGGGGTCACTATCTATGTTAGTTCGCGGAGTTTTCGCTGAAGCGTGTAGTCTTACATATTAATGCTGTTATGGGTTCACCATCCTGCAACAACGGTCAGCTCCGCGCAGGTCCCACAACAATTGTTCACTCACTCCTTCTATTCTCCCTAGCTCTTCGCCGTTTGTGATGTCAGTGAGCAGCGCATCCTCTCCCAGACAAGCGGCGACAATGCGCCCATCCTCACTAAGCGAAATACTGCCACCGGAGTAAATTGGTTGAAGCGTACGCTCGATGTCGTATGTAGTCCTCACGGTGGTTCGTTGGGCCATTGCGTCTGGAAATATGTGTACAGCTATCGGCGCATTGTACTAGGTGAAGTGAATTGAGGATGTAAATCTTGGCGCTGGAAATTTCGCGGTCGCGATTTCTTTATCGATAAGATCGGCGCGTTGGCCATCGCGACGCCGACGTCAACCAGCTAAACCCACACGCATACCCACACACGTGCCACAGCATTGAGGCAATCTCCCTATTCTTTGGGCCCATGCTACGCCTTTCGCTCGAGTAGCCCTGGAATCATGGGCCGCCAGGCATATCTGACCAAGATCGCCTTCGTATGCAGCTGATCGTCTGCAGCTAGCCTTACAGCTTACATTGGCAGGGACGGTCGGCTTTTGAACCGGTCCAGACCACCGCCTCGACATCGGAATGTGTACAGCTTGCTTCGGAACAGCAAGAGCGTGCACATGAGCATGGTCGGCGCCTTAGGGAGGCGCAGAACGATGTCTTGGCTTCTATTGGTGTTGTCGAGAGACGCCGCTCTCCCTCACAGGGGCTTCCTGGTTCTTACGAGGAACGACTACGCGCATTAGAGGATGAGGACACGGTTGGCCACTCCCTCGCAATTACATCTACCTTGACAGAGAATGTGTGTACATGGTGGGTGGGATCGTTGCGAGAAAGGCTCCTTGTAAGTAACTCGCCCTGGTATGTCTACATGCAACTCCTAATGCACGTAGACGTTCCAATATCCCCGTCTTCATTCTTTCTCAAGCATCGTCGCTTCCGAGAGACGACTTGCTGGAAAGACACTGCTATATAGTGGCTTTCCATCTCGTCTCCTTTCTCAGCTCTGCGTTCAATCCACGGTCTACGGTGCACACCTGCTCAGACCCGTTGATCGAATACTCATTAAGCATGGGGACTTCAAAGTTAGATATTTATACCGCCGGTGGAGGTCAGTGTTGAATGCAACGTAAGTGTCGACCACCACATTGATTACCAAAAGCTAACGATTCAGCTTCCGGGTCTCTCTTGAGTTGCTATTCTACCCATTCTCTTATTACTCGTATTTGCAACGCGTTGGTTTAGTACCTGCAAGACCATTGTTGCCACCGTTGAAATCGTTCATACCATTCTCCGGACAGTCGCCGTTGTTGCCGTTTTCTGCCAACCACAGCGCGCTTGCATCACCAGCGGAGTTTCTTCTGGCTTTTTTGACTTCACCATTCGTATTCGTCTGCTTGGAGCACTTCGTAGAGCGCTGGGTCTATGCGATCATCAATGCGCCTGTTGACGCCACAATGATTCGTCCAAACAACCCTGATATGATAAGTCCAGAGGAGGGGAATAGGGAGCGAACTACTACCATTCTGGGCCTGCGCAAAAAGTCCCCAAAAATTGTTCAGAGCGCTATCGCCAAGTGCCTCGAATTCATTGGATGGGGAAATCCAAACTCCTTGGAGTATGGATCTCAAGCCCATGACCCCCAGAACAGCGACACCGTCGAGGTTCTTGGCAGACAAGTAACCGACGTCACCAGACTTCAGGTAGACGGCGTGCTCCAAGAGTCTTTAATAGAGCCTGAATCTGAAGCGACTGGGACGATAACTGTACCCATCAGCTCGTTGAGCGGGGTACAACGGTTTTCGCCGCCTCCGTCACCTCCACTGTCACCCACCGCCTCACAGACGAGCCACAATGATGGGGATCCGAGAATACGAATAACCACTCGTGGAGACTTGGTAGAGATGGAGGTTCGCCTCCCGCCACATGTACTCTCATCTCATACCGAAATCGCCGGATCTGGCCCATCAACACCGGTTCAACGAGACATTGCGTCGTCCACGCCGATACGGTCGCCAGGCATGCTGCCGTACCACCGGGTCACACAGCTCTCGTTAGAGCCGTCATCGATGATCAGCTCCATCTGCAAGGCTCAGATCGTAAATCTGGTTTCTCTGCCACTCAAGTTGGTGACTCTCAGATTAGTCGCGTCGCATTATCTCGCCGGTCGACAGGACTTTGCTGCCTCGCGGAGTGTCCTCAGTGTTTTTCTTCCACCCAGCGAACTCGATTGGAAATCTATCGGTGCACTGGTGTCCCGCCTAGCACTCTGCGGAACGCTTGAATTAGCTATCGATCTTACTCTCTGGTGCTGCCAATACTGGACAGTGTCTTGGCTTGGTACACGAGTATTCAACTGGGGGACTCTCTAGGAGATTGTCAACAACATATGGTTCGACGAGCCGCACTGGTTGCTTGTCTCGTGCTTCCTCGTCTATTAGATGAGGCTGGACTGTGGACTTTGGAGCAGAACCTGCTTGCCATGGACCCGACGTTACGCATACATTAACTGCAACCATATCATCGGAACCACAACATCTTTGTCCGGTTAGTCGCAGTCGCAGAGTACCCGGCTGTACGGTCATAGCGCTGGACGAGAATACATCACTCAGGGAATGGTTAGAAGCTGCCGAGGTCGTTCAGCAGATGCGAGTATTTTCCCAGCACACGAAAACGCGCCCTCTGTGCTGTCGTGCAGTGGCGCTTGTCTACGGCAGCTAGTGAACGCCACGACAGGTTGAGACCAGCGCAAAGAGGTTGTCATGCGGTACTAAAGATACACCACGATTGTTCGTGAGAAGACCTTTGCTGCATCTTCATCTGGACGGGTACATGCTGCGCACTGGCCGCATAGCAAGTGTTTGAATATCGGAGCGAGGTATAGCACTATACCCCAAACGAATATTAAGATCGACGTTGCGTTTCCAAGACTTTTCCTTAGTGTCAAACGATTGATGCCTCGTGAGCGCCGAGGGCTGCTCGCCATCACTGACAGTCACGCCGCACGTGTGGAGCGTGGCGCAATCGGCAGACGTTGTCTGTGCCTGAAGGCATCACGAGGCTTGGCGTGATGCACATACCACCACTGATTGGACCCCGGTCGCGCATCCTGTTGAGTTCGGTCACCGCAGCGTGTGCCGGAGATTGTCGCGAATCCCAATCATGAAGTAGTATGGCGTGTGGCTTGTCAGGCATACTCGACAGAGATATCTCCTACTGCGTTCCTATATCGGTGGTGGTGGGTGAAATAGGAGCAATAAAAACCCCCTAGGGGAGGCTAGCGGCGGGTATGCAAGCTTGTTCCTAGAGTGTCTGCGGGTTATGAGGGACACTCTATTGCGAGTTAATGCGACCTGTTTTCCAGGTCAACGGCAAGAAGTCTGAAAATAAATGGCAACAAGGCCGTCACTGGCTGGCAGAAGCGGAATCCTTTGAGTCGAGTGGCTGTCGGGCTTTCAATCGTACATACCCGGCCCAGTCGCTACCGTGTGATTGGCACCAACTCTATGGTTCCTGCAAGAGCGGATGGAGCGTAGCTGTAGCGAGAGAGCGAGAATCATTAACATGCCAGTTCGGGTAGGGTCCCGCTGCCACTTTTCGAGTGAACCATCGAACCCCACGTCGTTGAACCCCTTTTCGAGCAGCAATTTGCTTTCCTCGAACGCCTGTGCATCCGTCCTCTGAGCGCATACGGCCCCCTTCGGTCTGCTCTCCGCACTTCGCGTCCATCGTTGATCCCTCGAGCCACTTTTCACGACGAGCTGCCCCGGTCGAATCCACAGCACGCGCCTTCAACGCTCCACATCCGAGCTCCTTTTCCCTGCCAGCGCCATCTCCTGCCACCGTTGCTGGACCCTGGGTTGCTTCTCCCCCATCGACTCTCTCTCGCTGTCGATACCATCCGTTGAGGTGCCCTACTCGCCTGTCCCGCTGCGACACGTATAGCAACGTGCAGATTGGCGAACCGGACCCTTGCCGCCGCTGCAACCACCCGCTTTGGACTTGTTGACGCGCCCCCAGCAGTTCCGCCCGGGACCTCCCCGCCCGAGTGATACCACGACGTCGTCGACTCCAGACAATACTGCAACGCGCAGGCTTTTCAAACTCTAACGCGCGTGTCCTCGTCGCCCAGGAAGAGCAGGCAGGCGGGATATGAATGCGCCGTAGGCCTGCAAATCAAGGGTCGAGATTGAGGGCTGCCTCTGCGAGCCCAACAACTGCGCCGCAACTCACCGCGTACAAACACAAAATAGCCAAGTATGACGAGCCACACGCTCCCGCGCCCGTCGCGTCCGTCAATCGCTCCGCCGACGGGCCCACTGCCCTCGCTACCAGTTGCAAAGTCGCGCGTTTCAAACGTCGGCGGACCTGCTCTACGACAACCGTCGGGCTCGCTGCTTCCCGCCCGTGCCAGCAACAATAGCAGAGCTGTTTCCTCACCGCAACGCCCAACCAAGGGCCACACAAATTCCGCCTCCAACGTCCCGACTATCCCGACCCTCACCGCTACCGATTCGACTGCTGGCCCTCTACCACCGGGGAAGTCGCTACGAAAAACCGTCAGCATCGGCGCATTTCCACAACCCCCAAAGCATGCAAGCAGACTAGGAAGTCATCCGCCTAGCCCTTTGTCGGCCAGTTCGACGCCCAACGGCGAGACGGTAGATTCGAGGATTGCACCTGGCTTCAAGCCGCCCATTACGCCGGCTAGGAGGACCAGTCTCAAGAAGACCACTCCGCGAGTCTCAAATGTCGGCGGTCGTAGTCTCATAGGGAAGTCACCACTTTCCCCGCCAAGTCTGCTCAACGGCAGCGGCGAGTCACTCGCAGTAGAGAACGGAAACCACTTGACCCTGCCATCGCCGCCGCAGAGCCGGAATTCATCCGCCCAAGGATCGTATGCAACAAGCGCAACAACGTTCGAAGATATCGGAGACGACGACGCGCGAAGTCACGCTGGTCCGCATGCTATGGCCGACGACAATGCGACACAGAAAGATGGAAAAGGCAACGTCCTAGTCAGTGTGCGGGTACGGCCTGACGTTGGCGCCAAAGACAGCAAGCAAGAGACGGACTGGGAAGTCAGTGGCAAGAAAGCGCTCATCTCATATAGAGGTCGTGATGGCGGGGACCACTACTACGGTAAGTCACACTGCATGATGCATGAGGCTCTGAGTCCGGCTAATTGGGGATGACACAGATAACGTATTCGATACCCAAGACAACAACGCCCGCGTGTACGATGCAGCTGCGAAGCGACTGGTCCGTCGGGTTATGGAAGGCTACCACGGCACCGTGTTCGCCTATGGCATGACTGGAACGGGCAAGACATTTTCAATGCAAGGAACTGCTACGAACCCCGGTGTCATCCCATTGGCCATTACTGATATCTTCTCGTATATCCGCGAGACACCACATCGGGAGTTCCTTCTACGGGTCAGCTATTTGGAAATTTACAACGAAAAGATTCATGATTTACTGGCTGGACCCATTGTGGGACCAAACGGTCAACCTGGAGCCCAGGAGGAGATCAAGCTAAGAGAGGATGCCAAGCGCGGTGTCTATGCGACCCCGCTCAAGGAAGAAATTGTGCAGAGCCCGACGCAGCTGTTGAGAGTCATTGCCCGTGGAGACAATGCACGAAGAGTGGCAGGAACGCAGTTCAACGCAAGGAGTTCGCGAAGTCACGCTGTTGTTCAAATCGTCGTAGAAAGTCGTGAGCGCGGTGCTAGTGGGAGTCTGAAAGATTCCAAGCGCACGGCAATCACACCTGGTGGTGTCCGCGTTTCTACACTAAGTCTCATTGACCTGGCTGGATCTGAAAAGGCCGCTGACAACAAAGAGAGGCGGACAGAAGGGTCTCACATCAATAAGAGCTTACTTACTCTGGGAACAGTAATCGCGCGGTTATCTGGTGATAAGGACAAGGCGACATCAGACAAGGACAAGTCGAGCAAAGAGAAGCACTTGCCATACCGGGACAGCAAACTTACCCGTCTTCTCCAAGGTGCTCTTTCTGGAGGTTCTCTCGTCAGCATCCTGTGTACGATTCAGATTGGCGCAAGCGGTAGCATCGCCGCAAACAACACGCACATTGGTGAAACGCTAAGCACGTTGAAGTTTGCTTCGCGTGCAAAGAACAACATTGTCAGCCATGCGAAGAAGGCAGAAGAATCACTCGGTGCTGGTGGCGATGCGGGAAGTCGAGCCCTTCTTGACCGGTATCGCTTAGAAATTCAAGAGCTTAGGAAGCAACTCGAAGAGCAGAACAAAGCAAAGGAGACCCAGTCAGTACATGAAGAACAAGAGAAGGACGAGGAAGAGGAAAAAATACGAGAGCTGGAAGATCGGCAGCGCCATGAAGAGCAGATGCTAGAGATGCAGCTAGCCAGGACGGCGCTCAAGGAACGTATTGAACATCTGAATCGGTTGATTCTGAGTTCAAAGTCACTGGGCGTCAATAACAGTCGATCGTTCTCATCGATGAGCCTTCAACGAGGCTCCACGGTCAGCGAATTTCGACCAATGTCCATTCGGTCGTCAGCGAGCCATGCTACACTCGACGTTCCGAGAAGAGGCTCTCAAAATACCCTTTCGGCTGTTCCTGTTGATGGAGACGAGGATGAGGACTCACTCGGCGATAACGGCGATGGCACAGCAAGCCAGTCTGCACAAATCCAGTCGCTGCAGAGTGACCTCGTTGATAAGAATCGGTACATCGCAACGCTGGAGAAACGCTTACTGCAGGCCCGGAGAACCAGTCACTCGCGCGTGTCCATGTCGCTCTCACAGAAGGTGGGCGGAAACAGCGAGGAAGGTGGTCTGCTAGCAATAATCGCAGAGAAGGATGCAGAACTGTCCAATCTGCGAGCACAGCTGGAGGACAAGGAGCGAATGATCGGAGCTCTGACTTCGGCGCGTAAGAAGAACGAGGCGGCACAAGAGCTCGGTAGTGACGGGTCGCCTGGGAGCAGAAGAACGTCGCAGCAGCGCAGCGAAGGCACCAATGGTAGTGTGCTTTCGAAAGGGTCACCGGTGACTACCAGTCCAAGATCGTTCTCCTTGACTTCGGCCTCGGTCAAACCAGAGCGGAACATGGACGATGTGACTCGGATGCTCGACGAGATGATTTCGAAACAGGTGGATTCTGTGCGAACCAGCGCCGACAGGTTACGACGCAGTAGCCTCCCGGGCGATGCAAGTGCGAGCGGCACGCGCCGAAGCAGCCTTCGGCCTGTCAACGAGCTCATCAGTGAGACCAGCTGATGGAGCAGCTGAAGTATCACGGCACTTTGTAACGCAAGGGCGTGCAGCGCATGCATACGACTTGGACGACACTTTCATCTCGCTAGCACAGAGGAGGAAAAAGGTCGCAAGACACGACGGAGCGAAGCATGTAATGTTCAGATGTGTACGATGGCATGCATACTTTTGTATCGCAGTAGCAGGGCTCAGGGCGTTTATTCGGATTGGGTTGGGGTTGGACATGAAGGCACCGGCAGCGAGGGCAAGGGCGCCTTCGCCTTATACCTTCTCGTCCGTGGCCGTTTCTTTACCACCTGTCTTAGTAGGTTTAGACTGCGCGTAGTGCGCAGTTGGGTTTTTAGGCGTTGCTTTTTTCAGTTGCGCACCCGACGCACCCGTTGCTGTGGGAGATTCTCGATTTGATACCCCTTATTTTCCTTGCATGTCGTATTCATCTCAGCTATTCTACCATTCTATCTATCGGAGGCCATCTGAAGACTACTTAATGCACTTAGATTGCTACTTGACGCAGCTTCTACTTCTGGATTAGGGCCTATTTGCAGGTCTCACTGGGTTGCTACACGTATACGCTGGAGCGTGTCTTGTAGATTGCTTACGCGCAACGTACGTTGCTCAACGTCGCTGTGGTGGGTGAGAGAAGCAAGGCGCTTCGGCTGCACTCTATGCGAGGCGGTATCCTAGGCTGGAGGGAGCGGAGACACTGCCGCATAGCATAGCGCACCGTTGCTACAGGCGAGCCGTCATGTGAGCGCTGGACGTAGCGCGGTGCCGGAGTCCGGCGGCTTTTAAACGAGGCGCGCGAGCGCCTTCTTAGGGATCAAGGGACGCGACAGATGGGGTTGCACCGTGTTTCAGGAGCGGGCGGTGGGCGATTGATGAGTGTGCTGGTTCGATTGCGTCGTCATGTATCCATCGACAGGTCGTAGAGATTGGAAATGATGTGATGAGCATCCTCAGAGACACGCAATGTGCTTGGCCAGCACCAAGACGTGGAGAGATTCCTCCGCGGTGCCGTATGGGACCGTCCGCTCGGCTGGCACCATCGACGGTCTGAAACGCGCCTCCGGGCCAATGTGCATCGCAGCTGTCATGCTCACGCCGGGCGGGTCCCCGACCGCACGAGAGGCCTCCAGCGCCAGAGAAGAAAAGGCCTTTTTCTAGGGTCCCCGCCGCGTGCTGCCTCGGCCGTTGCGCGTCTGTGCTCCAAACGCCGTGAGCTTCAGAGGGTTCATGCTCGTGTCCTTTCTAAATTGCATGCCCGCCTCTGGAAGGTAGAGGGAATCCTATTTTCTCCGTCGACTCATGTGAGCAGCAGCTCCCTGGAAAGACATCTGGTGCCGTTTTGTTTCGTCTTCGTCGCGAAACTCTTCTCCTCTTCGACGTGGCAGTCTTCGTGTCGTCTTGACGTCTTTGAACACGCTGATGAGTGCGCGCTGAGCCAGGCCAGCGCCTTCGTTTCTTACCTTCCTTTCCGCTTTCCTAGGACCTTACCCATTTGTTTCCCTTTCTTACGCTCCTTGAGTTGAGGCATCGAAGTCGAGCCCCGCTCCGTTTTTCCACCATTCGCGCAAGACAAACCGGTTCAGCAACGACCTGCAGGGACAGGTAGCGCCCCAAACATCTGCATCCCCTCGTCATTGGAACGCCAGCGGCCCGCGTCAGCACCGGCCCAATATCCAGCTGAAGAAGAAGAGAAGAGTTTGAGTTGAGGGGGGGAATCGAGAGGATGCTCAACCAGGCTACTAAAAGCTTCAGGAAGATGCATGCCCGACGCAATCCGAATAATTTGACTGTTGGGTCCACGGCATCGTACTCGCAGCTCAGTCCATCCATCACGTCGGCGACACTGCTGAGTCCCAATGTTGCCTCCAGAAGAGGGCTACTGAGCCCCGATCCGCCGCCGAGCCCTAGTCTCCCGTCACTGATCCCGAGACATGGGAAGAGGCAGCCGTCGACGAGCCACACAAGACTGGTCAAGCGGTTATTAATTGGCGGCTGTGGTGTTGCCATCATCGTTTGGCTCATCTTGCGCCATATGTATGACCATCACCAGCAACAATCCACAGAATACCAGCAAGATGCAGGGGAGTGGGAGATAGTAGGAGGAAACCTCTTGCCTGAGGAGCCCTCAGCGGTGATAGTGCAGGATACGAAGGGCAAATCCAGGTGGACGGTGTCGATACCAGCGAAATATGAGTTCCCGCTGAAACCGCAACACTACCGCGATATTTGCGCGCAGTCGATGGAGATGCCGACCACGTTGCGTGAGGAGGCGCAGGGCAAAAGTGGCATTGCCAGGAGAATGCTGGGATACTATCAGAAAGATCGGTATTACATCGGTATTGGGGATGCGGAGGCACAAGGATTGCTGCCACAGTCGAAGGGCACAGAGAGACCGAAGGGTTTCGTCGATGATAGTGCTATTGCGAGCAAGGAGTCTACGGATGGACAGCAGGTTTGCGACAAGACTCTCACATATGTCATGGAGACGAACGATGCTGGCTTCGGTAACACGTTGATGCGTCTGTGGATGTCGTACGGTCTCGCAATCGCAGAAAACCGAACCTTCTTCATCGACGACACACGATGGTATGTCATTCTCTCTTTACGTCTTCATCTATCACTGACTTCAACCAGGCCATATGGCAAGTATTCTACCTTCTTCCTTCCCCCACCTGCCGCGGGCTGCCTCCCTCCTCCTCCTTCCCACATGACACCCTGCCCGCACAACGCGCGTCACCTTGTTGTATCCGGCGCAACCGTCACCTCGACATTCGGCCACGCCTTCACAGAAGAATGGGAAGACCCCACGAAGCAGTACGTCCAGCGCCAGCACAGGATCTTCGCCCTCATCCGCGCCGGCTACGACGCCCTTTTCAAGCTCCGCGCCGACGACTCAACATACGTCCTCGACCGCGCGCACACGCTCTACGGCCCCGTCGCCAAAGACGGCGGCCTCAGCATCGGCCTCCACGTCCGCCGCGGCGACAAGCACCCCTACGAATTCCAGTTTCGCGATGACTACATCCCGCTAGACCGGTACATGGACACCGCGCGCGACCTCTACATCCAACGCATCGAGCACGCCTCGCCCAAATCCAAATCACTCACCTCCCGCAACGCAGATCACCCCCTCCTCGCACGCCACACCTCGTCCAAACTCGTCCTCGCCTCTGACGACCCCACGGTCTACGAAGCCGGCGAGCTAGGCCCAAACTCCCTCCGCGCACAGGACCGCATTATCCTCGCTACGAAAGCCGCGCTCGAAGCCGCGCAGGGCAAGAAGAACCCCTGGATCGACGAGATCACCGGTTGGGAGGGGGGCTTCTACCGCGATGTCTTCTTCTCGCTCGGGCAGCCAACAGTGAACGCCGGGGATATTAAGGACCCGGCGGTCGTGCCCGAGGCGGCGTTGAATCTCCGGGAGTTGGTGGGGCGCGCGTACCTGATGGATTTGGCGGTCGTTGGCAAGGCGGACACGGTGGTGTGCACAGTGAGCTCCGTAGGCTGCCGCATACTAGCCGTGATGATGGGCTGGGAGAGTGCGTTTGTGAAGAACAATTGGGTCAATGTTGATGGGGATTTTGATTGGAGGGGGATTGTTTGGTAGATTCCGGTTCGCTGCTAGGAGGTTTTTCTTTTACGTGGAAGAAGTGCGTTTTTGATGAGATACCCAGGATCTATACATTCGTTTCTGGAGGATATGGTCTCGTTTGAAGATCTTCGTGTGCATTTGTGGGTTTGGAGGGGAGGAGATGGGGGGGATGGAAAGCATAGTAGTGGTGTTGATGTAGCAATTGAATAATACAGTCCAACTCACAACTCTGAACCTTATAATTCGCGATCTAAGTGCTGGTTACTGTTCTTGATATCTTCGTCGTAATAAGAGTGCAGTAGATCCTGCACATGTGCTGCTGGTTGACATGATGATGTACGTAACCTGGGATGTATAAAAGTACAGCCCTGGGAAGGGGATCGAGCACCAGCAGCAGAGTCTGCCCAAGAATGCCATTCAGATGGGATCGACACTGGTTCATCTCGTCCTAGTCTAAAAGTTGATTCTCAAAGCTCCAAGACCAAGTCCTCCGCAGAAGTGAAGCAAAGCCTCCTCATCAAGCGGCAGCTCACTCACCCTCCTTCCGCCGATCTACACCACGCTTTTATGAGTAGGTACAACGAGAAAATCTGCAACTGCTCTTGATAAGAATGGCGACATCAGTAAGGAAACGATCTAATGGTGAGGTGTACTCCGCATAGCGCGCTTACTGGCCGCCAATCAAACGCGTTACAACAAATTAGCGCGACGGTAAATTCTCGGCGCTCGGGGCGCGTCGACATTCGAAATATCTCCTGTTGCTAGACCATTGACGACATTTTTCAGCATTGCATCAAAACCATCCAGAAAATCGAACTTTTTGCTTCAATGCGCCATGAACGAATGTTTCTGACAAATAATGGTCGTTCACATGCGTTTATAAGAGCCGGAAGAAGAACATTTTAATTTCAATCAAGGACGCCAAAAATGAGGTTTTGGAGTTTGCCTCCGGCTGCCCGAGTACAGATATGGTCAAAATGTGCTGAATCCAGAACTCTTAAACTTGCACTTCGGCCGCAAGCATACGCTGCATTGTCAGTGAGTCCAAGAGTACGGCTTCCTACGATTTCAGCCGGCAGATATGCTACGGTCAACGTCAGCGAGAGCAACAAGATCCTTCAGCCACCCGTCAAAGATGGTAGCAAGGAGATTTCGCTAGATTGGGATGGCATCACGGACGCCGTCCGCGAAGCCATGGATCGGCAATCACAAAAGAGTCCAAAAGAGAAGGATGCCGTGCTAGCAAATCTGCAGTGGTGTGTCAAAAATAGGACAATTTTTTCGAAGGCGTTAGCAGACCGCCAGTTCCTTCCGAGAATTCAGACGGCGATGTCAGCTAGTGATCCCATCATTAAGATAGGAGGAATTATAGATGAAGCGATGCCACATTTACTGGATATCACACGGAAGGAGCAGTACGCAAACGCTCCGCCACGTTTATTCCAGGTAGATTCAGCTCACAATGAAATCCATAATATCTGCCAGGACCTGAAGATAGGGCAAGAGATAGAGGCGAAAATATCTTCAGATGGCGTCAATGTCGAATGCGCCCTTCAGCTCAAGATACCGGGAATCGCCGACGAACACACGTTTGGCAAGGGCCCAATCAAGAGGGTAGCAAAACGAAAAGCATGGGCGGCGATGCTCACAAGATTGGACACCACTGGAGCATTATCAAAGCTCCTCTCTCCATCCACTGTAAAGCAAAAGGATACGATTCCCAAAGCTGATGGCGCCTTGGGGTTCGAACCATTAGTTGGAGAAATAGAGCTGGTTGATGTGGAGGAAGAAATCATGCGTCAAGAGAAGGATGGCCTAGTCGATGTATTCAACTATGCCGCCAAATTCGGTCTTGTGCCTCACTTCGCAACGCGCATGCTGAAACGCCGCGTCCGTGGCAGTGGCAAACGAAAAGTCCGCAAAGTTGTGCAAGTGTCAATAAGACTTCCAGAGCAGAAAATCGATGTTGTTGCCCATGGCGATACAGGTCTGGAGGCGGAAGTAACAGCTGTGCTTGCTTTCAAGCGTGCCGCGGAACAGCTGCAAATGCAACATGATCAAGTCCCGGGTATCGACAAGAATTTCCGGGCACTCAGTGTTCTAACAGCCCCATACTTTGTTAGAAAGGTCGCGAGACTGGAAAACCGAAATCCACTGGAATTGAAGAGAGAGGAGTTGCCGTCCCATGATATAATTGGCATTGCGTGTCAGTTGGAATTAAATGGCGAACCAATTGGTCAACGAGTGGTTGGGCGGACGAAACGTGCCGCTGAACAACTGGCATGCCTAACAGCAGCAGTTGAACTTGCCCGAAAACGACCGGAAGTCTTATCCCAGTTTGCAGCTTCCTTGACTCAAGGCAGCTCTAGCAGGTCCGAGATGCTAGGAAGTTATCCGGCGATTGCAACGGGTCTGAAAGCTGAAGCCCTCGATATCATGAAAAGTACCCTCTCCGAGGCCGGTCATGCTGGGTTGTCTCATTATCAAGAGTCCTTGACAGCAATGTCGACATCTATGGCGAGGCCTAGAAGACGTCCGTGCCCGCAAACAGCGTCGGCTGCAGCTAGTAGACTCTTACTTGATCGCTTACAGCGGTTTGAAGCAGATTCAAGTACGGCAGAAATTCGCAACGCAAGAGCAGCTTTACCAATGAGTCATTACTCGTCGAAGGTCCTTGACATCGTGTCTAGCAACGTATACAGCATTGTTGTTGGTGCGACCGGATCGGGCAAAACAACACAGGTCCCTCAGATCATCCTGGACGATGAGATACGTCGATCCGAGGGCGGGAAATGCAACGTCATCTGCACCCAGCCCCGTCGTCTAGCCGCGACTTCCGTCGCACGACGAGTCGCAACGGAACGCGGCGAAAACCTTGGGCAATCGGTCGGATATCAGGTGCGAGGAGATTCGAAGCTTCCACGGGTTGGAGGAAGCATCACTTACTGCACAACTGGTCTTCTTGTTGAACGCCTTAAATGGGACGCCGATGGCGTTATGGATGATGCAACTCATCTAATAATAGACGAAGTTCACGAGCGAGACATTTTCATCGACTTCTTGCTCATTGTCTTGAAGAAAGCGATCACAGCTCGTCAACTCGCTGGGAAGACTGTGCCAAAAGTCATCCTGATGTCTGCGACCATGGACACGCGACTCTTCTCTGCATATCTGCCAAATGAAGTTGATGGCAAATCAACACCGTGTCCATCTCTGGACGTACCCGGTCGTACATTCCCAGTCAAAGAAAAGTATCTTGATGATATCTTGGGTGAAATCACTAAGGCCCATCCCGAAGAATTCCTGAGACTTGCTGCTCGAGACAAAGACGACACCAGCGACTATTTGATTGCTGAAAGGGCGTTCGAGCGGGTGGGCGGTGAAGCGGAACCAGTGGCGGACGGTGGAACGGTATCAGTTGCGGATGATGAAGCAAATTCTGTTGCAAGCAGCATGGACTGGAAGAAAAAGCAAGACCAGAATGATTCGCAAGCTGTCCAGAAAGAAGAAGGTCTTGTACCCATCGCTCTACTTGTAGCTACGATCGCACACATCTGCGAAACGACTGCCGATGGGGCAATCCTTGCTTTCCTGCCCGGACTTCAAGAGATCACGGCTGCGGAGGTTCTGATGAAGCAAGAAGCTGTCTTCGGTATCGATTTTACAGACGAAGTCGCATTTTGTATCCACCTTCTCCACTCGACGGTGCCGGCCGACCAACAACGGGCAATTTTTGAACCCATACCGGCTAGTTGTCGAAGAATCATTCTTTCAACGAACATCGCCGAAACCAGTGTCACCGTACCTGATGTTAAACATGTGATTGACCTCGGAAAGCTACGACAGAATACCTACGCCCATGAACAGCGAGTCTCGGCGTTGCGGACAGTCTGGGAAAGCAATTCCAATGCGCGACAACGAGCAGGCCGAGCAGGACGTGTGTCGGACGGCAACTACTACGCTTTATACTCCCGCAAGCGCAGGGAAGCCATGCCACCTTCCGGGCTTCCTGAACTGCTTCGCGCTGACCTCCAAGCAACATGTTTGTCAATAAAGGCTCAAGGATTTCAGGAGAGTGTATCAAGTTTTCTGTCTGCGGCTATTGAACCGCCACTGCCCGAGGCTGTCCAGTTCGCAGTTGAAAATCTGAAAGCGATCGAAGCCTTCACCGAGAACGAAGAAGTGACTGCGCTCGGTGGTGTCCTGGCCAAACTTCCGGTCCATCCTGCTCTTGGCAAGATGATCCTACTCGGCCTCATATTCCGCTGTCTTGATCCTATGATCATCATCGCCTCCATGTATGGCGAACGCGCTCTCTTCATGAATCCGCCTGATAATCGAATGGTGGCCCGAGCAACGAAACAACACTTCAACTTGGCTAACTCAGATCATCTCGCTGCCCTGAAAGGCTTCCAAGACCTCAGACAACACTCGCACGATTCTGACGAGCGCTCGGTCTTTCAGAGGGCAAATAGACTCTTCTTACATTATGGTGGCTTCCGTGCGATCTCTCGTACCGCCAAGCAGGTTGAAGAAACTCTGATCGATGCTGGTTTATTGGATGCAGATGCGACGCAAGTGACAGACACACTGGAAATCGGCGGCGAGGCGCTGAACCGCAATTCCAACAATGTCGACTTGATCAAGTGTCTGCTACTTGCTGGCGTCTATCCGAACGTCGGGGTCAGAGGTGCCCACGTAAAGAGCAGGCTATTCCGTACAGCCTCGAGTGACAAAGTCTTGATGCACCCTAGTTCGGTCAACGCCGTCACCCTACGCGACCAGTCTTCACACGCACAGATCTACGCTTTCACAACACTTGTGCAGAGTCTCAGCGGGGGCGTGCTCTTCATCCGCGACAGCTCTCTCATCACTCCGCTAGCAGCCATGCTTTTCGGAGGCCGTCTAGAAGCAGACGAATCTTCTCAGGAGCTGCTTATGGACGAGTGGCTTCCTTTCAAGTTCGACGGCAACGCGCGTGAAACTATGGCCTTGATCAAGGAATTCAGGGAGGCCAAAGACCGCATGCTGAATAGTGTGTTCAGGCTGCTTTCGAATCCCAACGAAACGGCGAAGGCGGTTGATGTGATGGAGATCTTCACAGACGGATTAGTGAGGCTATTGGATGCGGATGCCGAGGGGCGTGAGAGCGAGAAGATCTTGGACAGACAGAAGATACCGACTCTTAATGGCGATGTTTTGCAAGAGACTGCTTGGTCGAGTATATCTCAGCTCTACCGTTCGAAAGCTTTGTCACGCATGGAGCTTTGAAGATCTTGACAGGTATTTGTATACAGGAACATGTAAGGGCACAGTGTATGAATAAAGAATGTAGAAATATCAATCACACAAAGAACCATGGTGCATTCTCCACATTCATGCCTGCAGACCTTGTTTCAACATGCTGATTAATTGTTTGATTGAGTTTTCCACATGGTCTAATTGATGTTGCAGGATATAACCTTTGAACAATTCTGAGCCTGCTACATGCAGCAGACTCCTCTCAGCTACCATCCAACAAGCTCATCACTCACTGCTCGAAAACCTTCGTTGTGCTGACATTGATCCTCGACCAACCCTTCCCTCCCATCAGACTCGTCAAGAACCTCATCGGCCAATACACGTGGTACAACACGAAGAACGGCACCGGATCCTGCATCGTAAACGTCCCATCACGCCAACTCACAACATGCTCCCAGAAGTCTGTCATGCAGTTGAGCACCTCATTCAACGTTGCAAATCCCCACATCAAATCGAGGACGGGCAGTATGAGCAAAGCAACAAGGTCGTGACCGAGCCAGTAATACGACGGCGTCGGGGAGCGCGGTGTGACAATTTTCATATCCGCAGACTTCGAAGGCGAAAACGGGGAATGATACGCAGACGCCATCTGGGGCGTGTTGGAGAACAAGACAACAGCCGTATGAGCGCGCGGATTGCATTCGATCGGATATAGCTTCGACACTTTCCCTTCTCCTTCAGCAAGGAAGTCGAAGCTGAGATGGCCTGAGAACGAATCCCCGCCGTCTTGTGCCACGCGTTGGGTGAAATCCAGCATCTGCTGGAAGAGATGTGATGACGGGGGTATGGCTTCGTAATGCATGAGCAGCTCGGATGAAGGACAGCACGTGAAAGCCACAACGCGGCCGCGGATCACAAGGGCATGCGTGCAGTACTCTGCGCCGGAGATGTACTGCTGGACTTGGAAGGCGTTCTCGTTCGAGATCTGCAAGGATTTGACGTAGGAGACTGTGTCCTCTCGCTTGTCGAAAGGCAGGAGGGTCATCATATTCGCTCTCGCACGGTCGTCCACTCCGATCGGCTTCAGGATAAACTTCCTGCTTCCTTGCCTCTCTTTCGTCAAGATCTTGATAACTTCGTCGGACGAAGTGCACCTATGGCTTTCAGGAACCGGCAGCTCGAGCGATCGAATGTATTCGATGAACTGGTCTTTCTCGTGCAGCCGCTCGACAACATCGCCTCGGAACTGCACAGCATGGAATCCCTTGCCCCGCTCCCGCTCAGCCAGTTTCACCACCTCTCCATCTTCTACCGCTGCGACCACGCTCGAGCAGCTGATCCACAGATCTACTTTCTCGCTCTTGATCACGTGTAGCAGCGAGTCGATGTACGGTTCTGCGTCGCTCCCATCCGGCGGTGTGAGGACGTAAAACTTTGCGAGGGCGCTGGAAAAGCGACCTGGTGAGAACGCAGAGGTATCTGCACCGATCACTCGGTGTGGTGTATGTTGAGCTAATATACGAGCTATGGTGAGGCCCTTGGTCATGGAGACGCCAGTGACAAGGATGGTTTTGCGCTCAGAAGCATCGCGGAGAGGAATTGGTTTCGACTCTGGAAAGAATCTCGAGTATATGAGACTTCCAATCACCAGGGCCGCTGAGAAAGGAAGCGTGACGAGACTCAGTAGTATGAGGAGGATGTTCTTCGGCACGTGATGATAGTAGAAAGGGTCCGCTTGTGAGACATCCATGGTGCGAGAACGTGACTTCGCGTAGGAACGCGCCAGCGGCAAAATTTTTCAGTCGAGAACAGAGGGGAAGAGGGGTAGGCAATGTCGCGATGAGGTACATATGCCTAGACCATTTGTCTCATGCAAGGGTGTTGAGCTTGTACCTTAGTCTACACGTCATCGTTACCGCTCGACTCAGCATCATGGAGCTACATGAGCTACGCCGTAGGTGCAGACGTAGGGCATTGCGGCAGTGGGGTTATGGTACCTGCGTTGTTGCTAGGTTCTGATGGTGTTTGTTTTTGCGGGGTGAGGGCCCTTTTGGAAGACGCGTAATTTTTTGGTTCAGACGGACAGGGCGACACTCGGAGGACAGTGGCAGACATTCTAGCTGTTGAATTCGTTTGCAAGACATATTGGGAGAGCAATTGAAGCTGCATTATACATTGGGATCGATTTTTGGTATCTTGTATCCGGCTATAGCATAGACCCTATTTCTCTTCACCAACACACCTCGTAATCTCAACACCATCCTAAATACACGTTAGCTGGGCCCTTCTCCTGGGGGAGGTTGCGACATACCGGGACACCCGTAGGCTCAAAGCTGTTCACCAGCTTGCTCTCGTAAACCAGATTCGGATTGCCAGGACTGTTGCTGAATTTCTCCTTCTCATATCTGTTCGAATACTGCTTGACAGTCCTCTCGGCAATTCCCTGTGTACTATCTCCTTTGCCTTCCCCAGCAAGATTCCTCTTCTTGTCGGCCACGCTACTGCGTACGTACTCCAGGTATGGCGGGTTACCCGGCTTGATCACGTTGTCCGCTGCAAGGACGGAGCCTGGAGTAACGAGGCCGAGCTCCTCGCAAAGCTTAAGATCGGTGGTGTAGGCGGGCTTGTAGTGATCAAGGAACATCAAATCGATGTGTTTGAGAGCGCCAGACGAATGTAGTCGCGCAATTGACTCGTCGCTAGAACCCACCACGACTTTGACAATGTCGTCCAGCCCCGCGAGGTCGACCAGCGACGAAATCACGGCAGCGAATTCGGGGTTGCGCTCAAAGCTGAAATATTGTTTACCGCCAGCTTTCCGTACTGCGTCCGCATACAAAATGCACGAGTAGCCAACGTAGCCACCGAGCTCCACCTGCATAGAGCATTAGACAGCTCCAAAGAATGAGGGTGGATTCCACGAACCATGGTTTTCGGCTTCACATCTGCGATCAGGTCACAAACAATGCGGCCCTTGTCCTCGCCCACATTCATGAGGTACTTCTTCGTCCGCCCAAACTCATCAATGGCCGCGAGGACATCCTTCGGAGACCCGCGAATCTTCTCGAGCTTGGGGTGCGAGTATACAAAGTGCAGAAGCTCGATTTCGCGGCCATCGTCGAAGAAGGTCTCTTCTTGCGGCGCGTACGCCTTCGTTTGGTCGAAGCTTCCCATTGTAGAGTATGTTTCAAATCAATTCTGAGTAGCTTGCAAGTGCAAATCTCAGCTACGCGTTTGCCAGCCGGACAGCTCTCCCAAGCGCGTCTCCATTAGCGGGGTTTCACAAGCCGATGACGAAAGCGGATCGGAAGTTCGCGGCGAGCGCCAAGTGCATGGGAACCCCACACAATGTAAACGTCAGGTCTAAGCCAAGTGGACTGCATAGTGAGCCCGTTCGAGCTTCTTGCGCCATTTCACCACGAAAGTTCGACGGGAAGTGCACGGCGTTGGTGTATGCAGTAGACTGAAGCTGTGCCCTGCTTTGCTACCTCGTGTAGCTGGCAAACCCTGCGAATTTTCTGCTTTCGGACAGCTCTATGCAACGGTTCCAATCGGAATGCTGCTATTCTTGCTGATTGGTAGAAATGTACCGCACGTGGAGTCTTGACGTTGGTGTTGAGGGGTTCTTTGATGTCAATGACTTTCTCGTTAATCTCGCGTGCCAGAAACGGCCAAGGTTTTACAAAGATCTGTACAAACGCACTAACCCTTTCAAGCATGTACACTGGGGTCATCGTCGTGCATCACTTCAGATCGTTGTCGGATCGTGAGCTTGCATCTATCCGAGACGGGAACTAACATCTTGCAGAAACGTAACGCTTGAGATCTCGAACCCTGACAGGGCTCTTCATCCCTCCCACTTGAGCCTCAAGATGCTCAAATATGGGGAGACGTATGCATGGACAAAGAGACATCGGCATTCACTGCCGCGTTCCTCTGCAATGACAGAAGTTCCTTGTCCAGTCAGTGACTGCACGCTCCCGCAAGCCAAGAAGGGCCGCAAAGTGATCGAGCTTGCTTGCAGAACTGCCCCGCTAAAGCCCCTCAACACTAAATCCACATAGACTTGGTTCAGATCCTGGCCGAAGGGAGTTAGCCCGCGAAGATCGTCTATCCTTGTTCCTGACAAGTACCACGCATGGCGCCTTTCTTTTGTCGCGCCCAGGATGCTGAACCGAACGATTTGCATGACAAGAATATGATTTCCATGCTCCGGAATTGGCTAAACCAAGATCCAGGTCCATGGCTTTCCTGACTGGTCGGGTCGTTTCATCATGTTGTTCCCATAGAAGCCTAGGTTAGCGGTCCAGTGCGCTTAGTCCTGAGTTTCACAGGACAAGACATCACGAATACCGAGTGATGAGCGAAGCGGCTGCGTTTGGTTGACGTTAACAGCCGGTTCTCGGCGTACTTGAGCCAATCGAATTGCCGTGTGTACCCATGAGCAAGCAGGCGACTCGATGCGTCAATTGGGAGTGAACCCTTATATAGAGGCAGCGGTTCCAATTTGTTTCTGGAAATCTGTAGCAGATATCAACTATCTCTTCTCAGAAAAGCTAATCTTCCACATTCATCAGTCACCATGTCTGACATGAAGGCTTCCGTCGTTGAGACGCAGAACGGGTTTCACGTCGAGGGATACGAGAAAAGTATGTGACCCTATGACAGACCCGTCAGCACGAATCCCTTCGAGGTTTGAGCGATGTGAGGTCATTTGCTGTTCCTTTCGCTAACTCACTTGCCATCACCAGTCGAATACGACTTTACGTTCCTCGATGGCGTTTTCAACCCGCAAAACAAGCAGCTTGCCGATTGCTACGAGCGCTGGGGCCGCGCTCTTGCGGTCATGGACCTGAACATCTACAACCTTTACGGTGAACAGATGCAGAAGTACTTCGACCACCACAAGCTGGAGTTGAAGATCCATAAGACTATGATCGGAGAGAAGGCCAAGTCCATGGACACCTTACTGAGCATTGTCGATTCCATGACCGACTTTGGCATCATTCGCAAGGAGCCGGTCTTGGTAGTGGTTTGTGATCATCTGTCTTGTTGCTGTCGCCTCGCTAATGTACCACCAGGGAGGAGGACTTGTTACCGACGTTGCTGGGTAAAAGCTATGCCATTGGTCCATCGCCTAAGAGCATATCTAAGGCACTCTGACCTATTAGTCTTTCAAAAGCATTTTGCTGACATGTGATCGTAGATTTGCTTGCGCAGCATACCGAAGGAATACGAACTTTATCCGGATCCCTACAACAGTTATCGGTCTGATCGATGCTAGTGTGAGCATCAAGGTCGCCGTCAACTACGGCAACTACAAGAATCGTCTTGGAGCCTACCACGCGCCTATGCACACATTTCTCGACTTCACATTCCTGCGATCTTTGCCTGAGGCGCAGGTACGGAACGGTTTCGCAGAGTTGATCAAGATCTCTAGCTGTGCTCACTTGAGAACCTTTGATCTTCTCGACCAATACTGCGAGCGATTGATCTCGACCAAGTTTGGTCGTACCGACGATGAGTCCGGCGAGGTTCGCAAGGCAGCGGACGAGATTAACCGCTCTGGCATTTACGAGATGCTGAAGCTCGAGACTCCCAACCTCCACGAGATTGGTCTTGACCGTGTCATTGCCTACGGTCACACTTGGAGCCCACTGCACGAGGTCAGTTACTAAGTAACATGCTTCGAACAGCCATTGACATTGACGCAGCTCACTCCCGATGTGCCTCTTCGTCACGGTCATGCCATCTCCATCGATATGGCATACTCCGCGACATTGGCCAACGGCCGCAAGCTGATGAGCGATGCGGAGCATCACCGAATCCTCAACTTGTTCTCGCGCGCTGGTCTGTCTATGGATCATGAGCTCTTCAATGAAGAGATCCTTGCGAAGGCTACAGCAGCCATCTTGAAGACTCGCGACGGTAAGTTGCGAGCAGCAGTGCCGAACCCTCTTGGAAGCTGTGTCTTCTTGAACGACGTTACTGCGGATGAAATGAATGCCGCGCTACGACGCCACAAGAAGATCATGAAGGGATACCCTCGCAACGGTGCTGGTCTCGACGCCTTTGTGGATGCGAGCGACACCGGTTACACCGTCAACGATATGCCCATCGAGGCGACGATCAATGGCAAGCCGAACGGTACGAAGTCCAACGGCATTGCGCAGAAGGTAGCGAACGGTCTACCGAACGGGCTCAAGGAGGTGTTGGCGAGTGGCTATGAGAACGGCTATAAGAATTGAGCGGGCGTTGAGTGAGTGTTGACGCAGGACGAACACATGACGATGATGATGAGATACCGCGCTAGCCATCCAGCTTAGCTAAAAGCGTTGGGAAAGCGCAACCTCGATGGAGGTTTTCATTTTCTCTTCATGTATAACATTGAAGCTTAAAACTCTACGGAACCGAAATGCTAGCAATGATTTGTATTGCTGCACACTTTAGTCCTCAATATGCACTGGTGTGAAAATTGTGATGTCCTCCATAAAAATCGACACCGACGCCCCATCGCCATCAATTAAGTTGACCCACGAGACGTCAGCTTCCTACAGGAGTTGTTGTTCTCCGGAGCCACGCCCCCCGAAGGGGACTGGCAACCAAAAGCCAGAGTTGTGCTGATGGTCGTGGCTGGCTCCGTTGTTTTTGATCAAGGGAGGAAAGCCGGGTGCGGGTGCGGCGAAGATTTTATTGCAGATTTTGCCAAGGCGCTATTGGCATATCACGTGCATCGCTTGAGCCGCGCGGCTGCCAGTGCGATACAGCTTATCATTTGGTACATATGTATCATCAAGTAACTCCTCAAGAAACTTCAATGTGATCGTCTTCTGTCGCCACTGAAACCTGCTTGGAAATGAAGAGATAGCACCTGGCACAACCTCGTCCCAACATCCCCCCCCTTGCTGGACCCTGAGCTGATATCAGTATGAGCCGTCTCCTCCCCAACCCAGGCCGAAGGAAAATCAGTAACGAAGATGACTTCGAAGATCCCTTACTTCGCGACAACAGGGATAGCTCCGACGATGACATTGAATTAGCCGACCTGGAGCTAGATGGCCGCGAACGTACTCCCATCAGCCATTACAGGCATCGAGATGAACCACCGAAGAAGCATGTATCATGGTTCCAGATCGCCTCCGCACTGGCAGTATGTGTAATAGGCTTCGTCATTAACACCGAAGCAACTGCATACGTCGAAGATGCGTTAGACTGGAAGAAACCCTTCGCGACCATGTATCTGACCCACGGCTCGCTGGTCCTGCCATGGATCGTCCATATCTTCTACCTCCGCTGGAAGAACCGCTCCACTCCCTATCAATCCTGGGTCCGCGACTACAACAACACACTCCGCTCGTCCATTGCCACGATCGATGCTTTTGCTACTTCGGGTCCAAAGTTCATCCTGAAACGCCCAGGCCAGCAAGGCGGACCTCTGGACTTTCTTGCCAGCACGATGGCAATCGTCACTGTCGTCCTCACTATCAGCGGCGCGTCTTGGTTTACCTCGCTCTCCTTGACCACACCAGCGGACCTGACAGCAATTTACAATTGCGCTACTTTTTTCGCGGCTGCCTTCTCCGTCCCTATCCTGAAGGAGAAACTCGGCCGGCTCAGCATCATCGCCGTCGCACTCTCCATCGGCGGAACATTCACGATCGCGTATGGAGACACCACAGCCGAACATGCTGAGTCTTCTATCGGCGCGAGCAGATTCCTCGGTAACATCATCGCTTGCGCAGGCGCCGTTGCCTTCGGCTTATACGAGGTCCTCTTCAAGAAGTGGGCTTGTTCGTCTCGGCCGGAGACACAGGAGTCCAGCATCCCCCTAACTTTAGCTGCATCTGCGTTGACGGGATTTTATACGTTAGGCGTCCTATGGATTGCGTTTCCCATCTTGCATATTTTCGGTATCGAAGAGTTTGCGTTACCAAGCTTGCATGCAGTGTTATGGATTGTCATTGCGGTGCTGTCGGCGGCGGTTTCGATCACTTTGCTCGCATTACTAGTTGTGTGGACAGATCCTGTCTTCGGGTCAATGGCGAACGTTCTGAGCGTCTTCTTCGTAGCATTAGCGGATTGGCTGGTCTGGGGACTCAGTCCGTCGTCGGCGACATATATCGGCGGCGCTCTCATCTTGGTCGCGTTCGCAATGCTGTCGTACGATACTATGGCAAAAGAGAAGGATTGAATTGTGAGCGTTGAGTCGCGGTTAGTGGTGTATAAATAGTAGTATGGAGCAAGCGAGCGTAACGTTCTGCACAAATTGATATCACAGTGGACAATTGGCCGTCATTCGTAATCGTTTATTGACTGAACCTATGGGCCTTTGCCAGATGCGCGTGATATACGTCCCAAGGTCAATCTATACATAGCCTTGAAAGGCCAGGTGCTGTCTCAACAGGGTATCGACCCTGGATCACCGACAGGATTATCATGCATAATGCGGGAAGTTGCCGCAGACTTTCGGGGCTGAATCGCCCGTACGCACATCCGCTGCTCCTCCTAGTTTCCTCAGGGCACATCTACCTTCACATCATCCTCATAGTCCAGCTCTTTCACGCCATCCTTGGTTATGACCTTCACTAAAACGCCCTTGAAGTCGATCGGTAGACGTCGCTTGAGCTCCTGGGTACACATGCGCAAGATCTTCATACCCTCATCGAAGTCGATGTCGGGGTGATGGTGCTTGTCAAGAAGCGAGAGGCAGTAGTACCTAAGCGCCAATTAGCTGGGTATGATCACGAGAATGCATCCACTCCATTATTGCTTTGGGTGGTAGCGTTTGTGGTAGAAACATACTGAGCGTATCCATGTGCCGCATAGGGCACCGGTGCCAGACTCGCCAAGTAGTCAATCCAGTACAATGTGGGCTTGTCCGCGATGTTGTCGTATCCGCCGAGAAGCAGGTTCACGGTATACGGTCTCCTTGAGCGCAGCGCTCGTGCAAGTTCCCCTCTAACGAAGTTGGCGGTCGCGGAAGGTGAAAGCTCCATGCCGTTGCGCATCGAATACAGCTGAACATTCGCTTGGATGTATTCCGCAAATTGCACTGAGCCTGGGGTCAGTCTTGCCTATACCTAGCCCATACATGGGCGGGGTACGTACCAGTATCACCAGCCTCTCCCGAGAATGCCATCAGCGTGTGCGGGTTGAGTTCTCGCGTCTTGTCGTCGGAGGCTTTCAGGATGGTGGCACCGCGCATAGCGGCTTTCGATGCGGCGATCAGGGTGAAGTCCTTGCCGGTGATCCCCAGAAGTACCTCCCTGGAGCCATGTTAGTAACAATGGCAGCTTGAAGACCAGTTGTTCTCCATACATGATGACGACGGCTCAAAGCGGTTTTGAATCTAATGGGCAAGGTCGTGTATAGATTCGAAGCGAGCGTTTGGGAAGGTAGGGGCGGGGGAGCTCGAGAAGAGCGGCGAGATGATGAGGTATGGCTAAGGCGTGTGCTTGTCGGTCGGTGGTGAACGCGGCCGGAGCTGCCTGCGCCAAGACTGGAGCTCTTAGTTGGGTTTAGCGCGGGACCTCGGCGCACGTGACCTTCGATCTTCCTCCCAAAGTACGAAGTCCTTTGAAACTGCCACTTTATAAGCTAAGCCAGTTGAGCTTTTGCAGGCATGTCTGAAGCAAAGATTGATAGCCCCCTGAACAGTATCGAGCACCGTCAACGTTCGAACAATATCTTCCCGCCAAAGCCCTTCCAAGCCGTTATGTCACCCGATCCCTAGGCATGTTGCCACAAAGCCGAGAGTCGCATTCTTTGGTGTTTTGCCCTTGTTCAGGGTCTGGCTGGATGATGGAGCCGAGCCACAGCTCTCGAATTCAAGAGATCAAACCTCGCGGAACGACGAAATCCACAGCGGTTGCTCTAACAACTTGGCGGCCGTAGTGAGACTCAATTGATGCAGCTTCTTCTCTATTTCTCGGCCGCAAGACCGTGTTGGCCAATGACGCGTGGGCCCCAACACAGCTGCGCAGATGCAGAGAGTGCCCCGCCAACGCCAAATAAGTGCCAGTGCCCCTCAACAACTGAACCATTCTCACACCATCACCCATCCTCATCTCCGTTGACCATCTGATCACAAAAAGTCGAACGTAAGTCAATTGCTTTCTTGAATATCTCATCCGCGGCCGACGGCCTATCCCACAGCTCCCACGCCGAGGAAGCCGGTCAGAGCGCGGTTCTGGGCTGTGACCGTCTTATCCACAGCTCTGCTTTTTCTGCTCAGGGATCCACGCCTTGACTGAATCTTTTATCATCACTTGACTCCGCCCTGCCGCCCAGCTATATATCCGCAGGCATCCTGCTAGCTCCGTCTTGGGTCAATTGCATCCTCTCGTCCACTTTCAGCTGACCCCGCTTCACAGTCAACATGGCCATTACCAAGATCCACGCCCGTACCGTGTACGACTCTCGCGGTAACCCTACCGTCGAGGTCGACCTTGTCAGCGAGACCGGCCTGCACCGCGCTATCGTGCCTTCCGGTGCCTCCACTGGCTCCCACGAAGCCTGCGAGCTCCGCGATGGTGACAAGTGTGAGGAATTCCCGAAAACAATGCATTTTTGAAGACATGCTCATTGCTCCCATAGCCAAGTGGGGTGGTAAGGGCGTCACCAAGGCTGTTGCCAACGTGAACGACGTCATCGCACCTGCCCTCATCAAGGAGAAGATCGATGTCAAGGATCAGTCCGCCGTGGACGCCTTCCTCAACAAGCTGGACGGCACCAAGAACAAGGAGAAGCTCGGTGCCAACGCCATCCTCGGAGTCAGCATGGCTGTCGCAAAGGCCGCCGCCGCCGAGAAGGGTGTTCCTCTGTACGCCCACATCTCGGACCTTGCCGGCACCAAGAAGCCCTACGTCCTTCCTGTTCCCTTCCAGAACGTGCTCAATGGTGGCTCCCACGCCGGTGGCCGTCTTGCTTTCCAGGAGTTCATGATCGTTCCTTCGGAAGCTCCTTCCTTCAGCGAAGCTATGCGCCAGGGCGCCGAGGTCTACCAGAAGCTCAAGAGCCTTGCTAAGAAGAAGTACGGCCAGTCCGCCGGCAACGTCGGTGATGAGGGTGGTGAGTAAAGTCTGTCACTTTGATTTGAGGGGCATGCACTTACACTACGTTCCTAGGTGTCGCTCCTGATATTCAGACTCCCGAAGAGGCACTCGATCTCATCACCGATGCCATCGAGGAGGCTGGATACACTGGCAAGATCAAGATCGCTATGGATGTCGCATCCAGCGAGTTCTACAAGACCGAAGAGAAGAAGTACGACCTCGACTTCAAGAACCCCGACAGCGACAAGAGCAAGTGGCTCTCTTACGAGCAACTCGCCGACCTCTACAAGTCTTTGGCTCAGAAGTACCCCATTGTCAGCATTGAGGATCCCTTCGCTGAGGACGACTGGGAGGCCTGGAGCTACTTCTTCAAGACTTCCGACTTCCAGATTGTCGGTGATGACTTGACTGTCACCAACCCTGAGTTCATCAAGAAGGCCATCGAGCTTAAGTCTTGCAACGCTCTTCTCCTCAAGGTCAACCAGATTGGTACCATCTCAGAAGCTATCCAGGCTGCCAAGGACGCCTTTGGCGCTGGCTGGGGCGTCATGGTCTCTCACCGCTCTGGCGAGACTGAGGATGTGACCATTGCCGACATCGTCGTTGGTCTCCGAGCCGGACAGATCAAGACTGGTGCACCTGCACGATCTGAACGTTTAGCCAAGCTCAACCAGATCCTCCGTATTGAGGAGGAGCTCGGCTCAAACGCCATCTTCGCCGGCTCGAACTTCCGCACTGCGGTTAACTTGTAAACGACTGTGTCACCATTGTTCAGCGCAAGAAAATTTGGGATGATCCCACACGTCGAGACAAACTGGATGTGAATTAGGGGTAATACTTGGTAGACTCACGAACTTGGTCATGAGAACACGCCCAATGAGGTAATGTCAAAAGCAAATGAAGAATCGAATTTCCATTTGTAACACTTTCCCCTTCAGATGGTGACCTGCTATCGCATTGCGAACGGTGATAACGAGCCTCTCAACCAAACTTGAGTCCCAACACTCCATTTGCAGCAAGTGACTAATCTCCGCATTGCTACTCCAAAACTAAACAACACCTTTTCGATACCCTCTCGGCCCAATAAGCTTGAAATGGAAAGCTCCCATCTGTTTTAGCTCGGAATCACCACTAAGCTGGACACATGGCTCACTGTGATGTGATTACAAGCGAACCCAGCGCGCAATACCTTCGGGCACCTGTATCTTCTCAGCCAGTCACATCCACACTTTCGCAACTACACTGCCTCAGCTCGCGCATCCTCTTCTCACTGCCGTTTCCTCGGTCTGCGGTTATCACCGTACTTGCAAATCAGTGGTCGCCGCCGCCGCCGAGCTACTCGCCTCCACAGCATTGTGTAGGCCAGCGTCACGCGCAAGCGCAACACTGCCTGCGTAAACAAAGCGAAAGTACGAGAATACATCATTCCTTGTTCTCTTTTCATCTCTCGCCCTCAAGCTTCAATTTATGGTTCTAATCTCATTTGATGTTTCTTTGTCTTCACAGCTTTCAACAACCTCGATAGCCTCTTAAATAATGGCCAGTTCCAACAATGCCAACCCCCCAGACCCAGTTACTCCATTGCATACCTTTTCACTGACGAAACTTTTGCAATTGCTTCACTTCAACGTGTTTACGTTCAATAGCACTTCCAGCGTTTTGCATTCAGCATCCACTTCGTGTAGAGTCATCAGCTTCCTCGTCGCACACACACACGCACATACACCATCATCAAGCATTACCACCGATACTCGCACGAATCGCAATCGGGAAAAATAACCAAGACCACAAAGCAAGTACACCGACCCTTCATATCCACATACGTCTGGCTAGAGAGACCGATCTGTATTTCTACGCATTCCCTAAGGCCGACCCCTCCAAGCTACGTCAATATCGATTCTATTATTTCAAGAGGGCCAGACAGCGATGGCTGACCGTAAACCAGTACGTAGAATCATTCGCAACCCCTTTCCCAGGAGATCTGCTCTCCTCAGGCGCAACACCCGCGGAAGCAGGTTGGTTCGTGATTCGCCCAAGATGAATGCCAGCGTTGCAAAACACCCCTACTTGGCAGATCAATCCTCCTTCGCGCCAAGCCTAAAAGCTGTCTCGCAGTATACGTCACCAATAGACGAAGATACCGGGAGCGACAGCGCCTACGCCGCCATCTCATCATTCTATCAACCCCAACCAGCCATATACGATATTCGTGAGGTTCCAGACACTCACATATACGGTTTCAATGGGCCGTACTCGGACGATGGCGTTGACACGAACTCATTACAGGTGTACTCGAAATTGGAGAACCCGAAGCGAAGGTCTTCCTCACCGTATACTCCACAAGGATATCTCCTACCACCAGCGGAGCCGCTGTCGCCGTTTCCAAACTTTCAGGGAGAAATAGGCCTGTCTTCCCAACCTCCGTCTCTGTCGGAGGGCTCGATGTCTCCTATTCTTGGCAGGCCGGCAACACCAAGGTACATCCCTACTAAACCTACGTCCAAGCAAGGTGAGCAGCACAAGGCCGGCCTCGCAATACAGAATATCGGCTGGGATGACTTTCGCTCTTCTCGAGTGTCTATAGATACCAACGGACACACGGCTCCTGCATCGCTACCCATTGCATGGCCCAAGCCTGACAAGCAGGTACCCCCAATTGCTGCTCAGTCCAAGTTTGAGGAGAACGTCCCGAAAAAGAAGACGATCAAGTATGCTCTACCACCCTCAGTTGAGCAGTGCAAGAAGTCTCGCAAGCATTCCGACATGGAGACATTGATGAGGGTGCACAACTTCGGCAAAAGACTTCAGGTAGTGTACCACCAAGGTCCCAAGGGCGAAGGCCAGAAGATGTGGAACGGCATTCGGCGCAAACAAAAGGAAAAGCGCGAGCTGAAACCCACACAGGCACCTCTAAAGGCATCATGGGCCGCGCGTAGCCCACGTACACAAGCTACGCGCACAGAAGTTCACAAGGAGCAGCTCAAAGATCTTCATGCTGCAGCTCTCGATGTGCCAGCGCCCAGGGCACCGTTCATCTCGCCTCCTCTTCAGTCTCGCCCGAAGCCTCCTGTACCGGCTCGACCGGCACCCTTGGGTATTCTGAGGTCTCCAGTGAGCCACAAGCCACTCCCAGGCTCTGTGCCGATGAAGCTTCGGGGAAGCGTAGGATCCCAGGGCAAGGTGAGCACTACCTCCGCATACACTTACCATTCGTGGGACGTCCCTGTGGCAGCATCGCAGAGCGTACAGTACGACTCTCAGGAATCCATCATCGACTACTCTCAGTCGAAGGCCCGTGTACCAATTCTCGATCCTGCCCCCAAGCCCAAGGCAACTCAGAAGAAAGGCCTTCCTCCTCGGCCTGTACTTGCTCCGGGCGAGCAAGAGCCTCCTGAGCTAGCGGAGCAAGAGAGGATGTACAAGCTGCGCGTAGGTACAGATGCCTTTCGGCCGGCCATGAATGGATTGCCACCTCCACCAATGCCCCCGGTTGGTTCGATGTTCTCGACCGCGCCATCAAAGTCGCAGATCAACCTCCCAGCAGGACCCGGTCTCGCAGTGAGTAGCCAATTTCCCTATGTTGCTTCTAAATCCCACAACACCTTTGCCTTTCTGGAAGACCGCCACACAGAACATCCGCGTCACAACAAGGTGAAGGACAAAGAGCCAAAGAGCCGCTTCGCCGAGCTCGCATCTACCTTCTTTGATGTCCCCTCGCAGCCTAAAGAAGGTCCCTCTAAGGACAAAGACGGTGCCCCTAAACATACCAAAGAACACCTCGCTAATCTGCTGTCCCTTCACAAGAACAAAGCCCACTTGAAACACCAGCAGAAGATCAAAGCGAATATCAGCAATCCCCGCCCCATGCTCGCGCCCAACGGCTTCACCGCGAACTTTTCTACTGCGGCGGGTGGAGTGGATGGGCCGGCGGCAGCTGTGGCTGTTGCGCCGAAGATTCCCAACCCAGCTCTTGCGCATGGTAAAGCAAACCTTCCTCCTCCTATCCCTCCTCGTCCTGCAGATTACGTCTTTCCGCACTCTGCCAGCCAGACCAATCTGCACGCAAAAGGCAAGGCGAAGAAGGAGAAGAAAGCTAACTGGGCAGTTCCTTTCTCCCGCCCCCGTGCCCGCCGCGACAGCGATGCTTCTATGGTGTGCGCGGATGCGCGCCAGAGCGAGCGTAAGCACCAGCATGGCAGAGAGCAGGAGCAAAAGGAGCATGGCTCTGGCGTGCTGAATATGATGACGTTCATGGGGCCGGTGAGGCAGCAGGTAGAGGAGATAAAGCTGAGGGACCCCGGCCCGTCGAGGCAGGCGCATACATATCAGTACTCTGATGAGAGTTTGGTGCCGGAGCCGTTGGGGGTCAGGAAGAGTGAGACCGCTAGGACGGAGGCGAGCTTTTACCGGAAGTATGATAGTTTGATTGGGGAATATAGAGATAGTGGGTATAGGAGTGGCGAGGGCAGGAGTGGGTGGTTTTAGAGGCGGTGTCAACTTGTAACAATCCTTAGGAAGCGGAGGATAAGTAATAACGGCATAGAAGTGGAGGAAAGGACGATACCCATGAATAGAGCATATGTTATGTATTCTTTCCAAGATTGATAATGTTGCTTTGGCCTTGCCTGTCTTGATGCTGTAGTATCCTGCACACTATCAGCGCAAAGTTAACGGCCGCCGTATGTATAATGCTAACTCCTCAATTCCGAGATTGCACATAGACCCTAGTAGTAGCACAAGCCTCACTCGTCTCATAACGAGCTGAAGGGATATCCACAAGCCAGACAACATACTGTTTCTTTCATTCCTCTCTCGGTATCGTAACCTCCCGTCAATTCTCTATTTGCCCACACTCTTAATAGCGCTCTCAACCTTCCCCTCCGCCTGCTTGGCCGCCTCCTTCGCCTTATCCGCCAGATCCTTGCCGCCCATGTTCCAGTAGTTCACGTATCGGTATCCCTGCACGAGTTGCGAGGAGAAGTTGATGGCGTGGCAGCCGAAGAGGAGGTAGTTTGCGGGGGAGACGGCCAGGGCGTAGCGCATGAAGGTACCGGAGTAGCAGGAGAGGGCGAGGGTCATAGGGCCGGAGATGCTGTTCTCGCGTTAGTAAGGAGAAAGAGGAGGGAGGGGAGGGGATATTTACATCTCCGGATCTTTGCTCATGTCCGCGATGGCGGCGAGAGGAATACCGAAGTTACTCGCGGGACCCCAGAAGTCTGTTTCGCAGATATGTCAGCTTTGTGCCAATGATTTCCTACATCATCCCATTCACTCAGTTCCTCATATTGTCGCTATCCTTCCCAACGCGCAGCATCTTGCGCGACGCCGTTACCGGGCCCTCCGACCGATCGCAAACAACTAATCGTGCGCTCCAGAGAGAACTTACGGGTCGAGCAAAAGTAATCAAGGTACTTGTTTGAGCGAATTTTCGCATTGAGCGCCTTGATTGCGGCCGCCATTCTGTCGGGTGGGGAGGAGAGCTGCGACCGGAGAGATTGAGCTGTCGTGAGTCTTCGGCGAGCGAATCGAATCTTTGGCGTTGGGGAGAACGCCGTCCGCCAAGACGGTTCGGAGCCGGTGCATCGGAGCGATGACTGATGGTCACGTGCGCGATGGGAATCTGCTTTTAGGCACAATGTACTTGTGAGATGGAGACGCTGGCATGCCAGGGTACTTGTAAAGTTGTTTGAGGCCAGTCAGAGGCTGATTAGTATGCTCAAACATCTGTGAGTATTGCGGCAACACAATTCTGCAGAAACATCACTCTGCACATGTCATGTGGTACTTGAACGTTCATTGTATGGTATCATTCTCCATTGAGTCGCCATTGCATCAGCTTCAGCAAGTTTCATCTCCAAGATACTCCAAACGTCCTCCTCCATGTGCACCATGGTCTCGTCAGCAAAACACCAAAATATCCCACCAGTGATTCTTCGTGTAGACGTAAGGCAGCAGATTACTAAAATGACCGCTTGTGCTTTGCTATCGTTCGGTCGGTCCTCGATTGGATATCTCACGGCCAAGAAGCGCAGTCTTTTTCCCAATGCTTTTCCTATCAGACATTCGCAAAATTCTCTTTTCTGACTTATCGACCGAATCCAGGTGGTCCACCTCGTCCGCCCGGAGGAAACCCTGGTGGCGCGCCGCCGAAAGGTGGTGGGCCTCCAAAACCAGCAGGTGGTCCGCCCGGTGGAAAGCCAGGCGGTCCTCCTGGAGGTCCTCCGCGTCCAAAACCAGGCGGGCCAAAGCCACCGGGCGCGCCTGGGAAACCTCCTGGAGGTCCAAATCCTGGGCCAGGTCCTCCGACACCAGGCGTTGGTCCAGTCAAGCCAACAGGCAAGCCACGTCCAGCAGGTCTGGCAATGCCAGGGCCTGCAGACAGAGCTGCAGCCGTGCTCTGACCGCCAGTTGCTCCAAGTCGCGCAGCAGGGTCTGCTGGAGGTGGTCCGTCGACAGAGACAGAGATCACTTGTGCGCCGCGAATAATGGTCAATCCAATGGCGCGTCGTTCTTCGGTCTCAGTAACTTGTTGCGCGGCGCCTGGGGCGGCCTTGCCCTTTCGTCGCGTGCGGCGGAATTCTTCTGTGTCGGCGAGAACAAGGTTCATGTGCTAAACGACCATGTCAGCCGTATCCTCGCAGAAGCTTTACGGCGCATACCTTGTCGAAAGCGAGCATCTGTCCTGCCATCTGCCTGCCATCTGCAAGAGTGACTTTCATGCGGAAATTGATCTATTCGGGTAAGTCGGCGCGTTTTCGAAACGAGGTGAGGAGCACCTACCAGATTTTGCTATACCCAAGCGTCAGTCAGTCAGTCTACAATAGTTGTTTTCTCAGATCAAGGACTTGAGGGAGGTTGCACGCAGCTGTACTTACCATCTTCCCCTGCCTGTTTGCGGCGCCAGACATGCTGGTGTTGGTGCGTCCGAGGACGACTTCAGCAATCAAACGTGAAGAAGTATGAAGTCGCAGGTACAGCCCCTGTCGTGATGTTCGCGGGGTGTATATGTGGAGCTGCTCGACATCGTGAAGCTTTGCGATACTAGGCCGGCGCCAAGGACTCGCTTACGGTTTGGCCTAGCGCACCTTCCGCGCACACTTTCTCAAACCGCGACGGACACTCAGCGACTTCGACACTCCAGCCAACTAACCTCCGCAGCACACACAATGGTATGCAACAATTTTACAGCGCGCTCTCAAGGACATTGGGATTGCTAACACAATGCGTAGGCCGACTCCAAAGCCTCCAACCCCATGCGGGAGCTTCGCATCCAGAAGCTCGTCCTCAACATCTCCGTCGGCGAGTCTGGTGACAGACTGACCCGTGCCGCCAAGGTGCTCGAGCAGCTTTCTGGTCAGACTCCCGTCTACTCCAAGGCCCGCTACACCGTCCGAACCTTCGGTATCAGGAGGAACGAAAAGATCTCCGTCCACGTCACCATCCGTGGCCCCAAGGCCGAGGAGATTCTCGAGCGTGGCCTCAAGGTCAAGGAGTACGAGCTCCGCAAGCGCAACTTCTCCGAGTCCGGCAACTTCGGTTTCGGTATTAGCGAGCACATCGACTTGGGCATCAAGTACGACCCTAGCATTGGGTATGTGGACAGCAAAATGGCAGCGAGACGGACACACACTGACAGCGCACAGTATCTACGGTATGGACTTCTACGTCTGCATGACCCGCCCCGGCGAGCGTGTTGCCAAGCGCAGGCGGTGCAAGAGCAGGATCGGCGCCTCCCACCGCGTCAACCAGGCCGAGACCATCAAGTGGTACAAGAACCGATTCGAGGGTATCGTCCGATAAGCGTGGAAGGAGTGACGGGTGAACGAGGATAGCATGGAATGACATGAAGCATATTCGGTCTCGGAGGGTTGGTCCCCATGGAGTCCCGGTGTGTACTTTACCAAAACAGCAAGCAACAACTTGCGGCCCATCAATGGAGCTGGCCTTGCTTTCGAGCGAGTGTCTTTCGATCACAATACGATGGAGGCTTCACTAGGGTGAATGCCGTTTAACCATTCGTGATCTTTGTCGTTCTGCGACTGCCCGCTGTGACTCGCCGCGTGTTGACTGCCTTCCGCTGTTGCTACTGATGCTTTCTAGTCTGTTGGACTGCTCATACCATCGTTACGTTGTCTACGCACCGGCCCAATGTCCATGTTCCGAGCCTTTTCTCTGTGTGGTGTTAGCAAGGGGACAATAACGCGGTCTAAGTAGCCGTGTCGCCCGCCCGAACGTCTTATCAGCACCCAGCCTTGCGCCTACGAAAGTACACCACTATCGTTATTCTCCTTAAATCTCTTCGCTAAGTCGCTGTGTCGACCCAATATCCAATTTTTGCAACGTGAACTCCTTTGTATGTTTAACATCCCACTCGTCGTCGACACAACCTCAAGCACCTTCTCTTGAAAGTCAATATACTACGCAGTCCAGTACGACGGCTCGTCCATGTTATCTGTAGCATCGAGCATATACTCCAGCGTGCCATCCTTGATCAGCTTCAAGCACTTCGATGTAATCATTGGTAACCAAGGAATGCAGTCCTTTCGCATTGACGGGGAAAGTCTTGATGTCTAGGGACTCCAATTGAAAACTTCCTATGTCTGCCAGGGATTCATAGTCCAGCCTCGGTGGAGCTAGAAAATCCTCGAACAGATGCACATGCACCACTGTAATTTTACTCCATTGGTCTGGGAAGTCTCAGATGCTCAGAGCATCAAATAGACTGTAGGCGATCGCTCGTGTGGTGCAATCATATTGTGATGCAATGTATGGCACTGGCTTCTTATATTCATAGTGCAGTTGCCTTGCGCAAGTTCTCCTGCAGATTGGCGACGCAAACAAACCTATCGTAGCCGCATCATTCTGGAGAAACAATTAGCGCTCGTCAAATTCAACACCAAACCCTCAAAATTAAGAGCAAGCAAGGAATGCCTCAGGCACGAATACGCCCTTTTCAGCAAGTGAGCACTTCAGTGGACGCTTTGAGCCTTGCGCAGCCTCATTCACTTTGACCGGTCAAGAGCTTACGAAGCCGGGATACGAGACATGACTTCCTTCTTCCCATCTGCTCCTGCTTTTTCCAGCAATACTAACAGTCTCCAGGGCTGTAAAAGACGTCGCAGCGTAAGTCTCGAGAATTTTGTTACTTCGACTCTGCAGATTCATGCACGCCGCGGAACCCAGGTTCGACGATCCCCCGCTTCCAGCCTTGAGTCTTTCACTGTCCCCAGCATGTCCTTCGACTTTTCGATTGGCGACATTATCAAGCTCATAGAGCTCACAACCCGCACTTACACTGATTGGAAGAATGCGTGCGGCACCTATGCTACTATCACAGACAACCTCGCGGCGCTGTGCGCACTGCTCGTACGCATCGAAGTTGAAGTACACACGCCAAACAGCCTCTTCTCGAAAAATAAGGACGACCTACAACACTGGGAAACTCTGTCAGAAGGCTGTTACGACGTGGTCGCAGAGCTCACCTATGTCCTCAACAAGTACAGGAGCCTGAGCACCAGTCGAGCCAGAAACTGGGATAGGATACGACTCGGTAACAAGAGCATCGATGGTTTGAACACTCGGTTACTCATGAGAATCGAGAGCGTAAGCGCGTTTGCGACCGTCGTGGGTGTCAGCTCTCAAGGTCGTGTCGAGAACGTCATATTTCCAGAGCTGTTGAGGAGGATGGACGGTATCGCTGCTGAGATTAGGAAAGGAACTTCTTCTATTGGCACCTTGACGACCTATGAAAATGACGACAAAACCGTTTGGAAAGAATTCCGCAGGGAGATGATAAGGGCAGACGTGAGGAGTCGGGACATCCATAGATATAAGGTTTCGTTGAAGACTTACCTCCTTCGACTAAAACATGAGGGATTGCTCGACGAAGAGATACCTGAAGAAGACCCGAGTAGTAAGCGTACAAAAGATGGAGAACCTTACGGTGGGGATCTCAAAGACGGCCAACCCGACAACGACAGACTGCACGTGGCCGATCCAAGTAGTGAGAGTGAAGAGGATGGGAAATCCGACAACGATAGCAAATATATCGTGGAGAGGATTTTGGAAGACACCGTCTCAAAGGGCAATGGATCAGAGCCTGAAGAAGTACCGCTTGCTCGGTCAGTCGACCATTATGCGTCTCCAATAGTAGGCTGTAGCTGATACGTAACATTGCACCTAGTATGAGTTATAGCAAGACTCTGCGACCTTCAAATGTGGGCACACCACAAAACTACCACGATGACTATACAACAGGACCCGGTATACGCGTGCACCGAGATGATGGCCCGCGCACCCCGTTTCTGCGAAAGTTCTTTCTCTGGACTATTACTTAATTAACCACAGTTCCCGAGTGTGAAGGACGCATCCACAAGATCACTTCCCTCTGAACTAACCACCTTATAACTATTTCTTAGAACCTACATGCCCTCTGATGCATCTACACCCCTCACCCCACCACGCCCTCCTCCGTATCCTCCCCTCCACACGTGACCCACCGCAACCGACTTCCCCTTCCGTCCTCCATCACCGCCTTTCCTGCACCACCACCCTCATCCCGCCACCGTAGCACAGATACCACCATCCCAGCCCCTCTCTGTACCACGCCTACGCCGCCGGAGCCCACCGTTCGTGCCCGTGCCGCCGACATACCCGGGCGCCTACGTACCCGTGCCCCGGCATTTCGCTCGGCGGCTGCAGGTGCGGCCGCTCGCGTTCGCACATGCGTATGCGCTATTGCTTTCGCATGATCATTTCGGAGTTGCGACTAAATAAATTCTTCATGCGATGGGCAATAGCGGTAAAGAAAAGTTGGCATGGTGCTGGTGGTGCGGGAGGCGGCGTTTGGCGAGACGCTGGGCGCTGTGATGGGGTCGCGTTGTAGGCCGGGCGAGCCCGTTGGGGGCGAGAGGCGAAGTGGGGAGAGACGAACTGGGTGCGTGGACGGTGGTTTCTGTTCGCGAGATGTGTGCGCTGCGATTATGCCAGCCTGATTTCAGTAAAACTTCATAGAGCTTGAATTTGGTTTGAAGACATTTCGCAGTGTAAGCATCACGCAGCACACATTCTTGCAGTCAAGTCAACGTGAGACCAATTCATCTTTTTGCATTCCGCATATGCGCGAACTACTCTGTACAACCGCCTCTCCCATCATTCATTGTCCATCCAGCGCAGCCAGGTATCAAAGGAAATTATCAGCGATTGAGAGGTATAAGGAAAAGGGGCCGAAGCCCAAAAAAGTAGGAAAATCATGTACAAGGTATACCCGCCGAGATCGCCAGCCACGCCTAAAAAATGACCCTGATCCCGCAGACATAGGTGGTAGAAGAGAAAATGACGCCGCGATGCGCTAATCCGACTTTAGGCTGATTGGAAAGAGAGACGCGAGACGCTTATTTCGGACCGGTCACTGAGGGTCCAAAGTCGAAGCCTGGCGCTGTCGGCGTAGGACTTGTGAGCGGTTGGTAGGAGCCTGGGATGGGGACGGAAGCGTATTGCTGCTCGCCCGGTGCGGCGCCGACGTGCTCGTTTTGCCTCTCCTGAAAGCCGGGGGACAGTGGTGGAGACGAGGTCTGAGCTCTGATAGGTGCCTCGAAGCCGTTCTGCTCAACCTTGGGCGTGGCACCTGTGACCTTGATTGGCGGTGCTTTCAAGGAGAAGGGCTGCGGTTGGGCGATTTCACGTGCGACAGCGTATTGCACCTTGTCGGCATCGCCGTTCTCGGCGGCAGACTGTGGGTCGTAGTACTGAGGGTGACCCGGAGGTGGTCGCCAGCCGCCCGAGCGTGGGGAGAGGGGTCCAAAGCCAGGAGTGTTGGGCGCAGACTGAGAGCGGAGCTGAGCGAGGTAGAGATCGGAACGAGCCTTGTCGCGTGTCGCCATGGACTTTCGGAGCTTGCGCTTGGACCAGAAGCGGTAGAAGACGATGGCGTAGATGATGATGCAGAGCGTCTCAACGACAACTTCGATAATGCAGCAGACGAGGGACCAATTCTATGGTGGCTGTCAGAAAGAGGTACTTGGGAGAAGAGGTGATTTTGCTTACCTGAAGTCGGCACATGAGAGCGTAAGACACATCGTCCTCGAACAAGTGTTTCCGCTTGTTGTCTACGCATGACCAACCCCACATATCCTTGCCGTTTCCTGAAGATTTACTCTGGTTGAAAACCGCGGCACCGACAGCCCACATGATGATGCTGAAGATGAAGAAACCAACGGCAAACACGGTGTAATATGCGGCGACTTTCTCTGCTCTGTGATGCCCACCTCTTGAGTACGCAACAAGGACAAAGATTGAGAAGAAAAGCGAGACACAAGCGATGCACAGTAGCAGGACCTGGGGCCAGATTTTCTGGTTCTCAGCCCACGGAGGCAGACCGTTCCGCATGGGTAGTTGCTTTGTTGCGTTGAAGATAGAGAAGGCTGTGGCGAGCATAGATAGAACAATGAGACTGCATGCGAAGTTGATTCCTCGTAAGAATATCTTTGCTATCCGTACTCGTACTTTGACTTTCTGTTCGCTGTTAGTGGGTTGGACGAGTACTTGCAAATACTAAAACATACCAGGTCTTTCTGTTGCTCTTTGTCTGTCGATGCTTCCCGCTTCTCGAGGATTTGCTCTTCCCTGAAAGTCGGGCTAAGGATCATCGTCTCTGCGCCCGGTGTCCGTGGTGGTGCGCCAGGCGACCTCAGTGCGCTCCGTAGTGGAGTCTTTGGCGTAGGCGGAGGAAGGTACTTCCTGTCGGTTTCCTCCATCTCGATGGGTTGGACGTAGCCGAAGCCTACGTCAGACACCTGAGCTTGGGGCTGATAGTGGTTCGTAGGATAATCGACTGGTCGTTGTGGAGGGTCGATGGGTGAGTACACCGAAGTGGCTTCAGCGAAGCGTGCTGCGCGAGGTGACTTTGTTGGCGGTGCGAGCGAGTCTTTTGAATTCCGTTTCTCGAGTGTTGTAACTGTAGGGGTCTTCTTATCGTTGGTTGCCATCCTATGACTTGTTGCGATTTCACGCGGCGGGAGTGTATGAAATTTGCATGGGATGGATAGATGATGCGAGGTGTGGATGAATGGTGGGGACGTCTATAGGGAGAACAGCAACTTGGATCCAGCCCAGCTTTCGACAGGTGTGTTCGTAGTAAAGAGACAGAGTATTACAATAGTGAGACCTGCTGGCAGGAGGAGAAGAGAAGCAAGGACGAGGGCGAAGCGCTGGCCTTTTGTCTCAGGCGCTTGGAGGGGCGTGGTAGAGTGGGATTGGACGAGCGGGGAGCACGGGTAGTGGTGGAGAGAGTCGGGATGGAAGGCTGGCGGGTACTTACACAAGACTAAATGTATGGCGCCAACGGCGTGGTGTACAATGCAGGTCGGTGGCTGATAGGCCAGGTGGGAAGACGAGCAACTAGCGATGGGCGCGCGAAGAGGGGAGTGGCCCAGAAATAGACGCCCGGGAGAAAGCAATAAACGATTTGAGAAGTGTGCGCTTCCAGACCGGCGCACCTGCAAGGTCGTCTTGGTGTTGGAGAAGCGCTGACAGCTGCTGATGGCGGCGAACCCGTCAGCACGGTAGGCGTGGTAGCGATGAGATGATGGAGCAGCGGCCGTCAATCGTGAGGGGACGTTCGAGTGTCTTGTCGTACTGCGCCGCCGGAGCTGGCCAGATGGAGGAGAGGGAGAATTTCGGCCATGTCGAGGACGACGAGCTGCGTGCCACTCGGAAGCTCTGCACACGCCCAGATAGACGCCATGGACGGTGGGCGTCGAGCGACCAGGGAAGCTGCGGGCGTGGTCCAATGGCATTCTGGCGTTTCGCGCCTGATTAAACAGACAAGGGCGCTGCGAGGTGTGAATGGCTAACGCCGACAGGGTCTGGCATAAACGATTCATGGAAACAAGCTCCCGCAGGCGCCTCGCGGGGAGCAGCGCAGGCCAATCGCGCCATCCGATCCGCCCGTCGTCCTTGAGCAGGATCAAAGCGACTCCACTTTGGTGTGGGTTCGAGGCCGCGTGGTGCTGCTCGAGTCACCGCGAAGACGACCGCGACAGTGCCTCGAGTCTCGCAGCGCTGTCGCATAAAGGTGCCTTTCGTCCGCGCGATTCCTCAAGGCTGATGAACTGTTTACTTTCGCTGGATAGATTAGCCTCTTGTCGGTCAGCACTTGTTGGCACGCGTGCAGTGACAGCAGCTGCATTCAAGGCATGATACGCCGCGAAACCGCTGCGAAAGGTGGACTAATTGCCCCGATGGAGACATTAATGGTGGCAATACTGCTGCATCGATACCATTTGATGGCGTCTCGGCCGGGGCCAGTACGCATCGGGGCTGATTTGTTTCGTTTTGTCTCCAGCATGTGCAGAACGCACGGCTATTTTTGGGGCACATCACCAATCTTCGCCAAGCCGGCCGCTTGGGCCCTCGACCATGGATCCTGCTGGCACTATACACACACCTTCTTGCAACGTCGACGCCATCGACAAAGGCACCATCATGGCACGCGAACCTCTTTGTTCTCCATTGTCTGGCATTACGAGCACATCATGTTCACGCCTCCAACAGACCCAAAGGCATACGCCGCAGGCAGAGGCCCGTCCCTTCCGCAGTCAGCTTGCGCAACGGTGAACATGCTGCGAGGCTGTATGCCGACGTGGCCCAGCCTCCTGGAATGTTGAACGAACCACACCTCTGGCAGCGCGAGAAATTCCTTGTGGGGGCGGCCACAGCATAGCCAATGTCTATCATCGTGTGTTCAAGCACCGATTCCCCACAAGGGTCCAAGACGTCGTGTTCCCCGGCCTGCCCACCATCACACTTATTTTTGTTTCCCCATGTTCATACCTGTCAGACGCATTCGTGCCTATCTGCCTCGCCTGTCACTCCCCATAACCCGGACCATCAGTTCAAAACAACGTGCCCGTCAGCCTGCATGTATTTCCGGCAGCGTTTCGAAACGTTTTAAGCCATATTTGGGCATCCCTTATCCGATCTATGCACCTCCCCGGGCGTATGTATATTGCTTTCAGCCTTCTGACGTCCTTCGAGTTCGCCTGGGCTGAATCATACATCGCCTTGATGGAATGGGCATCTGATCCGTCGGCGCAGGAGTGCAGAACGGTAATTATAGCTTTGAAATGCTACAGGCCAGATTTCTATCCATGAAACGTATTGATCGAGAATATAGAACATCGTCGGATCATCCCTTGCGTGGGACATGTAGGCATCGAGCGACAGTCACACCTCTAGAACGCGAAAGCTTACGATCGACTATCACAACTACTGTGTACCCCTACCAGCGTATATTTAGCCATCTTCCCTGTCGTTCCTTCCGTACTCTCCATGTTGCTCTTCCCGCAACTAATTGCAGATCCTCCTATCGTTCTTTTCGCACGCCTGACTAAGCCCGCTGTACTCGTTGAAGGATCCCACTCGTTTCAACGTAGACCTTGGTCTAAGTCTGATCGCACAGCTGCCTGTGCTCCCACCAAGCTTCGCAACGTCCTCTGCGCACAAGACAGCCCATGCCATGCTTGTGACTTGATACTTGCTATGAATGATACAGTCGTCGTCTAGCTCAAGGAACGAAGCATTAAATAGCACACGTTCATGTATACCAGAACTACCAAAATAGTTATCGCCAAGCATGAAGCGTAGCTGTTTTAGATCCCGTTGAATCCTTCCAAGTTTTGTAATTCGCTTTCAGCTATGTTAACGCTTCCAAGTGACATCCTTATAGGATTAGCATTTCTTACCTGGCATGGTGTACGGTACTTGCCGATGCCCTGATACCTCTGGATATCATGAGTACTGACTCGCTGGAACTCCAACTCACAAGCTGGATGCTACAAGCAAATATAGGAAGCCAGCGCAATGTAATTTGTACATCAACGAGTTCTTCATTGTCCTCAACTTAATAGTAACATATGCCTGCTCCGCATTTCAGTTTCACAACGCCATCGATGGTGCCTCCAGTAAATCAGCGAATCATGAGCATCGAGAAGCAACAAGTGGAGCACAAGGTTGACTTCAACATGATCGTCATCGAGAAGCTGTTTTCGGTTGATTTCCTGACAGTATGCAATGGCTTATCATCGACAGAGCAATGGCGGCCGCGTCCTGCGAACGACCTTCTTGTCACTAGCTATCAGCTAGGCCGAGTGACGTTCCGCTATAAGGCGCATCCGTACCCCCTGACGCCACTGGCCTCGAGGGGTTTCAGCGGACCTTTGGGTGTCGAGTCCACCAGTCCGTTCGCCGCTAATTCTTTTCAGGAGGGTGAGCGTGAAGGAGCGTTTAGGATACATTTACAAGATGGAGCCTACAGCATCTAATTGTATCATAACGTAGAAGCGACCTAATCACAGTCTTCGAATGGTAATATGTCCCGTGGTCTCGCATCACGAATGAAAAAAACGCTCGCACAGTTGTGGTCATACCCATGAATTGAATGAGAGTATCCTTTTTAGCCATACCAACGAACCGAATGAGAGTATCCTGCTGAGCCATGCCAAAGAAATGAAGGAGAGTATCATGACTAGCCACCACGTGTCATCTCTTCACAGCCAAAAACCTCTCCGTGTCATGTCGGGGACACCCGCCAGATAGTATCTAAGAAAGTTCAATCTCTGCGTGCTGCCAGCTTCCAACTTTACCCTCGGTGACAGGGAAGTACCAGACATAAAGCTTCTCAGTATCGGCCTTCAGGGTAACGAAGACCTTGAGCAAGGAAGAGCTCAGAATGTTGACTGCGGAGATGGAGCTTCCCGGAGCAAGAGCCTGAGCCACACCCTGGCGTTTGTTCAAGGCGCCTTCCTGCGCATCAGCGAATTTGCCATCGGTGATACACAGCTCCTTCAGTTGGACGCCCTCATCCTCGTCTTGGGCAAAGTACAGGCGGATCTAGTCGATAGTGTCAGTGAAATTCCACAGTTGCTACCATTATTATGCTCGCCTCGTGCTTGTTGCCAGCCATATAGCCCACAGCGGCGATCTGGGACACCTGGGCGCTGACGCGAATAGTCTTGGTCTTGTATTTGAGCGACTTCAAGGAGTACTGGCTGTCAGGACCTTCTTCGCCGCCCTCCGGTCCCTCGTAGTACTTGATGTAGCGGCTCTCATCGACGAAGAAGAGGTAGTTCCTCGTGTGGGATTCGATGGCAACGGCGTCCTTTGGCACAGGCTTGAACATGTTAGCAGACGGTTCCAGTGGTGATAGAGATTGAAGTCTGACCATGATTGATGGATTGAGATCGAAAGTAGAAGTTGGAGAAGATGAGTTTGTCGGTGCTTGAATTGTTGCTGAAGGAGCTTGATGATTTGAGGATCGAGGGACGAAAAGCATGCATTTATACTTCAATCCAGCCAGGACTGTTCAGCAACACGTGCTTCAGATAAATACTACTGGAGCTGGGTACGTGAAAATCGAGTGTGCTCGGTTCAGTAGCCGCAGGTGGCGGGGTGGAACGATGCCACATCGTGCGGTATCCTGCATGCGCTGCAACACGGGACAGCGAGGCTGGCTGAGCAGAATCGTCCAAAATGCTATGATTGTCGGTTTTGAGAGTCGAAGGTTCGTCTAGATGTTCGTAACGAGTTTTCAAAGCCCCTCATGTGGAGAGCTATACTGCGTGGGCGAGACCTAGAACTATGCTGTTTCGCTAGACTCACCAATCGCGATATGAGATAATGGTTTATCACAGACAGTGTTCAATACCACATGAAGTTGCTTCATGTTCACATCTCAACAAACGTGCACAAGAAGACATCATGGCACAGGTGTTTCGTTCTTGTGGTACATGCTTCACGTCAGTGAGCGATAACATCCCAATCTCTTGATGACGAGCTAAGCATATGTTCCAGCTCGCGGCCATACTTTGTATACTCTGTTGCAGAGAGCTTTCTAGATCAGAAAGATGTCGGTGAGGGCGAGACAAATGCAGCCGAAGCTACTCCACCATGCAAGCCAACTGACAGTCACTAGCAGCATTCATAAACGTATGCTGCAATAGACATCTCTAACGGATATGATTTACCACGCTTGTGAACGACTGGCGAGGCTTCGCTTAATGTGGTCTTCCGCTGCGACTGTCTTGAAGTTCTTGCAGGATCAGCGTAAGTCCCTGATGCAATGAAAAAACTTACTGTCACTGTTTGAGAAACTCAACGTGAGATGAATGAATTTTGCAGATCTCTGTCTATCTCTGCTACTACTGTCCCTGACGAACAAGTACGACGTTTTCACGCCGCAACATCGGGCTCGCTGTGCTTTGAAACCATAACGGCGATTGGCCAATGGGTTGCGAGGGATTTTATTCTTTCGCTTGTCAAAACTGTTTACGGGCGACAAGCCTGCTCCCGTGCGCCTCATCACGCGAACATCATGGAGCAGACTCTTCGGCCCATCCGTGCCGCTCTGCATCGTCTGACCTAGCCGTCATGCATATGTTCGTTGTGTTTTGCGTACATCCTGCCTATGCGCTAGTTAGGATCTTCAGCTGGCAACTAACGATGTTTACGCCACTGTGGCATACGAAGTTAAATTCGACCGAGACATGCCTCATTATCACGTTGTCATTCCATACTTGCAGTTGGCAGTGACTTGTATGTGGGTTATTGGGGTCTGTTCATCCCAAATCCTCGAATTTTTGCGTACATCGTTTGCATGGTATTTCGCACATTTTTGTATTAATGTTCCTCTCAATTTGGGTATACGTCGTAGCCCTGGCGGCTACACAGCTTTCAGTAACTGCAGCACAGTCGCCTGGTGGTAGGTACTTGCTTTCCCGCCACATGAAACCTACGTGACCAACGATACTCCACAGCGCCTGAAAGAACAGAAACTCTTCGTAGATTGAGCCAATGTTCCTCCGAGGTCCCACCAAGTGATGTGAGGACTATCATAAACGTTGTCCACCACGCCGTATCTACTGTCAGTGTGGAAGTCGTCACATGGGTCACAGAAGTCACGGTACGTGTTTTCCGAAACCGAACCTAACAACGCTGTACATGATTGTGGAGAAGACGTCTGACCAGTCCTGTTTCTTAGACTGTTCCAGCGATGACAGAACGATCTACATCTGTCGTAGTCATGATCGAGCCCAGCGACACGCAAGGTAAGCTGCGACAAGAATTATGGCACCATCTTGGGCCTAAATGACTTACCATCCTTCACAGGCCTCTGCGAGTCCACCGCGACAGTGATTATCCCAACGACAGCTACAGTCAAAGTGCATGTCAAGAGTACCACCATCGCAACGTCTACACCAGTGTCCACCAGAATCGTGTATTCTACGTCTTGGGCTACCCAAAACTCCGTTCCTAGCTTCTTGAATGGGCCGATCGAGGTTCCTTTTTATGGGGCAATGAACCCTTCTCCTACACATGTAGAGCCAAGCTGGCGTCCCGTTGGCAGTCCACAGCCCCGCGGTCAGACTACAAAGTGTACGTCAACAGTTTACTCACCCATCTGAGCTACTTGGACTGGGCAATCGCGGGCAAGGCTTGATGTTCTTCTGTCGGGAACCAGCATATATCCACCTCCGTATGTATAAACTAGGTATATACTACGTCCATGGTTTTGCGTCGTTAACGTATCAAATAATTGGCTTATTGCAACGAACGTCAAGAACGGTCCGAACACACCGATTGCACCGATCTTGAGCAGCGAAGTTGCGATCGGCCATGATCAGAAACAGTGATGTTGCAGGCCAACGCCACATGTGCAGTCAACATGGTCTGGGACGGCCCGCATCAACACCGTCAGCCAGCCACAAGTTCTCCCCACCCCCGTATTCGCTCGCTTGTTTGTGCGACTCAAGAAGAATGCATCCCATATCACTGCGCGCTTTTCACATAGAGCCCAGATTCTTGTATTCGTCAATTATATCCATTTTCAAACTTGCGAGTGTAAGTCATGTCGGCCAAGGAGCTGTCTTGATCACATTCACAATGATGAGGCGCTGCGCACGTTCAAGCAGTTGTAACATGGCTACCTGAACTTTCGGTCGAGATCGCTTTCTATCCTGATCATACGTTCCGTCTCCGATGTTCCGGAGCCCTTTGTATAGCTGTTTGAGAGCTCTTTCTGCACGCACATGGTCGCCAAATTTTGACCTCCTCAAGACTGTACCTGACATGAATACAGCACGTACAAGCGTAAGAGCAGTGAAAAGCTCCACGGAGTAGTCGCCGGCAGCCTCGTATAGCCATATCAAATTACACTTGCGGAGAGCTGACATCAACAAGCGAGTTCGCTTCACCACAGGCCGTCAATATAACAATCCTTGTGCTAGCTCTTGTCAAGCCTTATATGCTCAGTATTTTAGTCAAGTCTAGACCTGACGGCACAAGACTTGCTGCAGGAGATCTCCTGGTTGGCCGTGTGATGTGAGATCACTAAAAGAGAAAAAAGGGGTCACGGACGCGTTATAAAGTGCAGAGCTTAATGTTATTCATCGAGTGCATCCCCCAGTGCAGCTCGACTTTTCCTTGTCATCCTTCCTCTTGCTCTTGTATTCGTTTTCGGTCGTGGTGTCAACCGCCTTGAGAAGATGCGGACTGTTTTCCTCACCATTGTAGCTGCTTTCACCGCGGTGGGGTTGCCCCACGCATGGGCACAGAACGATGGTGCGTATTTCTGCTTCCGAACTTCTTAATTCACGATGCTTTAAGCTGCTGTATGTGATGTGTTCCCACTCTGATTGATTACAGGCGCGCCTCCAGCTGCAGAAGCTACCCTTGGCCAGATGCCCATCGAGGGTATGCTGCTCAGTGATTGCGACAAAAGTGTTGTCCAGTGCGTAGACAAGAACCTGAAAGTCGTGCGTCAAGCACTGTACAATACAACCAGCACCGTGGTGAATTGGGTAGAAGAAGTCACCGTAAGTAGCATGCTTTCCAGGGCTGGCGCCCTATCGGATTATTGCGTGGCACTGATGTTATTGCGACTCCTTAGACACTGAAACCAGCGATTGAGACAGCGGTGGCGGTAGTAGTCATGACCGCTCCAGCACAGACGAAAGGTACGTTACCATTCCCCTGTCCTCAAGTGTTTGTAAGATGACTGTGTCCCGGGCTACTGACCATCTCTTGCAGGTCGCTGTGAAGAAACGACCATTCTTGCACAGAATTCGACAACAACGATTGTTATCAGCGTCGAAAGCACCTCGACGGTTGAATTTGTACCTGTCACGACGATCACTACAACCTCAACTCAGTGGGTCACACGCGACATCACCTCGCAATGTATCGTCCGCTCGACTGGCCTGCCGCCGCCTATGATCCACACTTCATTGGGCCAACATCCGATAAACCCGCCCGCCGGTCCTAGCCTTGGCTCATCTGCTTCCTCTTCTGCTCCTGCCGTCGCCAGCCCTTCAGGCGGACCCACCCCCTCTTATACAATCACAATCGAGGCGACGCCTTCAGCGGAGGCAGACGATGTCAGTTATGAGGAACAAAGCAGTCATGAGAGACTCGCAGGAGAATTTGGCTGGGAGAGTGACTAGTGTACGACTGGATGATGAATCGCGAGCTCGACGCGCGGCATCTGGCGTTTTTTGTTCGAACGTATCGAGACAGCTGAGAATATTGTGTATTAACAAATGTAAATGAATTGCTAGGATAGATACCAAAATGAACGTGGAAACATGATCGTCTGTTCCATACGTTCCTCTGTCAGAAGCTGGGTAGGGCTAAGTAATTTTCACGTGCGGGTAGTCAACGTTTTGTGCAAAGAGTCAAGACCACGATGTGGAAGAAGATGTCTTCTTTCGGCACTTTGATCGCCCGCTGTCACGCAACGTTCGCGATTCGGTGTGACTTGTTGGATAGTGTTCTGTTGAGCGGTGATGCCTAGGATGGAACCATGGTACGCAATGTAGCTGCCCGATAGCACTGAGAGCGCAGTCTACCTCTACATCTCACTGCACTTCCTATATCCTACTAATTCGCGGGATTCAAACTTTCATGCAGCAGATGAACCATCTTCCGCTTGCTTTCCCTCTTCACCTAATCTGGCTCACTTTCCATCTATTCGCACAAGAAATGCACTTTGATATCGGATGCCAACCTCTCAGCCTTCCGTTCCTTTCGCTGGCGTGTACACCAACACAGTCGCCCACTTCTTATCCCCCGTCTTAAGCTCCCCCGCCTCCCTCCACCCATACCTCTCAAAGATAGGCTTCGATGAATCCTGAGCTTCCACGTAGCAATCGACGCCCTCTTCCTGGGCTTTCTGCATGCCCCATTTCACCAGCCGACCGGCGCACCCTCGGCCTGAGTGTGCAGGATGCGTAGCCAGAACATCGAGATCTAGAACGCGTAAGTACCGTAGCCAGGCTCATACACCTCCAGAAGTCTGGGGACCTGATTTGGACGGGAGTTGAAGGGTGTACGTACGGTAAAATGGTCTGCTCCCCATGATACTTTCCACCAACTCTCCCTTCATCTCCTCCGCCTTCCAAATCAGCGCCCTATCACATTCTTTCGGCAACTCATCGCTCATTAGCAAATCCACATATCCACTGTCCCTCAACTCCTCTTTAGAATGCGGTTTCGCCCATTTCGCATACGCAATAAACTGCTCCTCCGGCGGCAACTCCGTGTCGACTATCTTTAGGAATAGAGAGAAGGGGTCATGCTGGATGGTGTGTTGTGCGCGGGCGGTACGAAAAGCGTTGACGGTGGGCGTGTTGGGGAAGACGTTGGCGTTGGTTGGCGCGCTGAAGGCTGCTGCGCTCAGGCGGACGATGTCATCTACGTCAGAGGTGGTGCAGCGGGAGAGGGCGAGGGGCATGTTGGGCGGATGTTGGGTGGATTCTTGCCAGTCTAGAGGTGTGGGGGTTGATGTTGGGGGGTGTCTTGTTGCGTTTCGCAATAGTACGGGTATTCGACTATGGCTTTAACCCATATATAGGGGAAAGGCAACTCAACATGCACCGAAGCGGAGCTGATGTAACGCCGACTGAACGGCGACAATTGGACATGCTATTATTCGTGGCTAGTTTAGGAGCTATGAGGAAAAGGTATGATACCATACCTGTTGCCTGCTCGGGATACCGGTGCCTACTCCGATGATCTAGCCTAATGGAGTTCACGAGTAGTTATCATGGAAGATAGAAGTATCATAAGCAAGGTATATACACTCCAATCATACGTCCAACCTCGAGCAAGCGCCTGCAATAAAACGCTACGATAAATGTTATCAAGATAATTCATACAAGCTCAGCTCTAGCCAACAGTACCCACATGACCCATGCCTAATTGTTTGCCTGTGGGAAGTAAGGCTTGAATCTCGGCTCACCCTGCAGCCCACACTCTACCACGCAGTCAAAGCAGCTCATCAACAGCTTCGGAAATTTGCTCGTCCAATATTGCAGATACCCGTCTGGCAACGGCCCCACCTTCGCCTTGACGCTGTCCTCCATATCCTCGTAATGATTTTTCTTGTTCCTTAGTGCCCTGAGTAGATCAAGTATCCTGTCTCCCGTATACTTGCGTTGCTTGCCAAGCGAAGCGATGAAGCTGTTGTCAAGCTTGGCTAAGAAATTCCGTTTCTTATCGAGGACTTCTTCGCTGTAGGTTTCGAGGATGGACAAATGGGTCGAAGGTGGATCCCGGATCTCTCGCTCCCAATGGTCGGAGCAATCGCAGAGAAAGGTAAGGCGCTTCTCGGCAGACCAGAAGAAAGGGTGATTCATGACCTCGGCGGCTGTGGGGCGATCCTCAGGACGGTTGGACAACATCCAGGAGATAAGACGAATCGGTTCTTCGGAGTCAGGGCCCAGGCTGAGTCGTTCGTAGCTTGCCTTGTTCTTCTTGATGTTGTATTCGCGCATCTGCGCCCACCCCTCATCGTCATCGAAGGGATGGGATCCGTTGGTGAGGACGTAATAAAAGACGCAGCCGAGTGAGAAAATGTCAACGGCTCGTTTGACACCTTGCGAGACAGGGTCGGTGGAAGCAGATGAATCGCGAGAGTGGCCTGTCGAACTTCCGTAGCCAACGTCCTTCGGTTGTAGGATCAGCTCCGGAGCCTTCCACCCAACGGTGCCTGCATTTCCAGTAGTGCCGATCAATGTGCTCATATTGTCTGGCAGTGTCTTACACAGCCCAAAATCAGATATGACGAGACGTGGTCCGTTCTTCTGGTTTCGCTGAGGGTATGCGATGAGAATGTTCTGAGGCTTGATGTCTCGATGGATGATCCTCAGGCTGTGCAAGTGGTGGACGCCCTCAGCTAGCTGATGTAGAGCTCGGGAGACATTGCTGTTGATCTCAGTGACGAGTCGGAGATGGGTGTCCGTCAGGTCACTGCCTGGCCTGCCGTCTCTGTACAAGTCGAAGAGGCTTGCTTGACAGATTTCAACGGCGATGTATAGAAAGTTCTCGTCTTTCTCATCGTCAAAATAACGGATGACATTAGGATGTAGGTCGCTTTCCTGGAGTAACTTGACCTCCTGCTCTGCGAGACCGAAATATTGGGGTAACATGCGCTTGACGGCGACATCGCGATCCTTCGGTTGCACGTTAGAGTTGTACTAAACTGTCGCTGGTATAATACGTACGTTCCACTTGCCCTCGAAAACGAAAGTGCCGCCACTGCCGTTACCAAGGAGACGATCGAAGTCAATCGTGAGTTTGCCAATTCTCTTAATGTTGGTCACATCTTGTATGTCGTCGCCGTTCACGACAGTCATTTCATCAGGATGCATGGCGGAAGGTTCGTTGAGATGTTTCGCAGCGTCCACGATCTGGTCAATCTCATCGCCCTCCTTGAGCCTTCGGTTTCTACCTTTCTGACCCCCGCGTTTCCCACGATGGGTCTTCTTCTTCTTGGGTGTAGCGGGTGCAGCACCTTGGTCCGGGGAGCTGTCTTCGGTGCCGGATGTCTGGGCTCCACCTTCGACCGCAGACGCATCACCATTTGCTAAGGAGTCAGCTTCAGCCAGGGGAGATGCGTCGATGGTGGTCACTCGTGAGAGACTCAGATCATCTTCCTCTTCGTCTTCGGGAAGATCCGCGAATGTAACCTTCTTCTTGTCTGACTCGGGATGAGTAGGTGCTTCAACTTCTAGAGTCACCTCCTTGACCTCTTCTACGATAGGCTTGGATTCCTCCACCACAGGAAGCTCCGCAACAGGCTCTGCTGCCGGCGCCCGAGCCGGCTTTTCGATAGCAGAGGTCGGGTTCAGCTCGAGAGGGGGAGGTACAGGTGCCTCCAGCTGTCGAGTCTTGTTGAGCTTCGTACTAAACTTCGAGATCCATTTCTTCAAGGAAGTCCCTTGCTGCTTCTGGATGGTCCACAACACTAGGGCAATACAGAGAAGGCTAGTGACCGAAGCAGTTGCTACGCTTGTCCAAGAGAAGGATTCTTTACGGACGGGTTGCGGCTGAGGTGGATCCAAAGTCAGATGCGTCGTCTCAACTGGCGGTCGAGGAATGCCTGCAGGGACAGAGAATGGTCTATCAGAGATTTGTTTGTCGTCACTGCCGGTGGGTGCAGCGATAGCGGACCATGTCTGAGGCTGTTCTTGCGGATAGTTCAACCTGTGGACTCCAACAAGACCTCTACGCTCCGGCAAGATGTAGGAATCAACCTCACCCAGATAGTTGCCGTACGTGTAGCATGATGCTTTAGGTGCACCGTCGGTCACAGCGGGGTAATTCGCTTCGGATAGAGCATACCAGCTGCCAGCATCCGTCGTATTCAGCCAGACGTTCATCCCTTCGTCTTGCGAACTATCAAGGCTCGGCGGTTGGGGAAGGAGGACAAGTGCTGGATCAGGGTCGTTATCATCACCTTTACGTGCGACGTCAAACACGCGCGTGACTGGGACGCCTAGCTTCTGTTGGAAGACGTAGTTCTTTGCAAAGTTGCTCCGTTTCTTGTCATAGGCAATGACATCGCCATTGTATCGACTGACCAGATACATCTCGTCCTTGGTATGTCGATATTGCCTCTGCAAATCTCGGTCCCGGTTGTTGGAAGTCCACTCTGAATATTTAATGGTGCAGATGTGCTCGCCGCTGTTCTTATCGTGGATGCTGACAATGTATTCTGTTTGTCCAAGATTGAAAAAGCCTTTGCACTCGTGCTGCTGGTCGCCATTGAAGTATTCTGGCGTCTTAGTATGGCAGCTTTCCGGTTCTCCCGGCCTCATGTATCCGTCCGTACTGAAACTCTTAGTGACGCGTCCGGTACTCGCATCTACAACGAGCATGATGCTTTCCTTCTTTGCCGTGTACACAACAGGAGGGTCTTCGCTGGCGTAGGGATTGAGATCGTCTGTTAACTGCTTCACGGTGAAGCCGAGGCTCTGGAGGAGAGGTCGAGGCCCAGGACTGAGAATATAGAGCGCGCCGTCCTCCTTGGGCTCTACGATCCAGATGAAGGGCTTGTTCCGCCAGCCATCGGTAGGGTCGGACTCGTTCTTGGTGTTGTAGATGGTCTCTAACATGGGCTTTCCCACGTCTAGCTCCCAGATCTCCATGCCATTGTATCGGTTCCGCGCGTGTATGTGGCCGTCGACAGTCGCCAGGAGCATGAAGTCCTCAATTGTCCAATCGTCAATGGAGCGCTCACCCGGTGTCAACACACCGGAGTCGGCTGCGTCCCTTCCATATTGGGCTCCGACAGCGGAAATCGCTGGAGCTGAGGAGAATGTTCCCACGGCGCGCTCGTCTTTGGCTTGAATATGTGTGAAGGCACGCTTCGTCGCGGCGGTGTCCAGCCTTTTGCGACTAGGCTCATCGTTTATTTTGGGGGGTAGTATGGTGTGCACGCTGCCACCCTCGCTGGGAGAGCGACCGTGGGCACGTTCCGGCGACTGCTGCTGCTGAGCGGCCGTGGAAATCCATGGTAAAGCGAGAAGGAGGTTGAGGGCGACGAATTTGGCGCTCAACGCCGGGCCAGCTCCAGGCGGCCGGCGACGCGGCATGATGGGGTGAGGAGGTTCGCCTTCTGATGCTGTTGCAGCCTGGGAGAGGCCTAGGGTGGGGCGAGATGGAGCATTCGGCGGGGGATGAGGGCGGATGGGAAAAGAAAGAGAACGAAGGTGTGCGAGACGGCCAGGAATAGATAATATGATTTGGCGAGAGGCGGGGGATGGGCTGAGTCCGTGTGCGTTCACCCCTTGGACAAGGGTCGCGAGAGCGCTAACGTGAGCAAGGTACGGTTCGCTCCCGCAGCGCCGCAGCGCCGCACTCCACCTGTCGTCCGGAACAACGATTGCGGATGACAGATAGAGACAGGCTACGAGAGCCGGCAGAGTCAAAAGCGACGCCCCAGAGGCACAAGTGTGTTCAACAAGCTGGAGCAGGCTCCCACTGTTGAGCTCAGCCGCTACACACAAAGACCCGGCGGACCGTATTCACACTTGCCAGAGTGACACCATCCGTCTGCATCCTTACTGTGCTTGCGTCCACTCACAAGCCCTCTGCAGCGTCCACTGCACGACGTGCGTCAGCGACATGCCCGGCCTTACGTGAGTTCGAACGCCCCGGGCGACCCACCACGGGCACTCGCATCTCGTTGCCCAGTGCTCTTTCTGCGTGGGCGTGGAAGATGATAGCACACTTCATATATTGTACGCCTATGGCCCTCTTGATGACGGGCGTCACAATCAAACATGTATCAATCGTAAAGCGATCTCCAGGTTCGGCATCGCACACAGATGACGGCACGGCAATCTACAGCAGCCCGATCTGCGCGGGTTCCGAGTCGCCCAGGGAAAGATCTTCTTCAGGGCGGCTGCAGCTGCCTCAGGTAGGTGAGACGCTGGTGGAGAGACTCTCCTGGGGCCAGAATCGCGATGAAACCTAATCGCCGCCTTGGACACCGACGGATCCTCTCGGAGCATCCTTGCGCGACTACGCTTTTTGCCAACTCGAGCATAGACGCAGCACCGTCATGCAGCTTACAGCCCACTACGCTAGGAACATGCATCACGCTTGGCGACATATCGCACGCACGAGCAGCGCCCACAGTGACATTTTGGCTGCATTAAATTTCTTCGTGCGAGTACTGTACACACTATCTACTGCCGATGCGGTGTCGTTGCAGCATCTGGCATCTTTGTCTCCCCTTGTGTCGCGTCTCTACATACGCTCCCGTCTCCGGGGAGCACTGCGTATGATGTTGTCCACCCGTAGTAGCAACTGTGGGGAATTAGTACGTTTCGAGTACGCGTAGCGAATGGGGTGCACATACCTCCGCTGCCTCAGAGGCTGAAGAAACGACCGCGCGCTTCAGCTTGTAGCTTTCAATGACACCAAGCTCTCGCATGTCGGCGATACCACCGCCAGGAGTGAGAAGATCCAGTCCAGAGCTGGTCAAGCCAGAGTAAACAGATTTTCGCAGTCGGGAGACGAGATCGCTCGAATCCAGACCAGCGTTGTCCGCAAGGATCGTAGGCAATTGCTGCAGAGCCTTTGAGAACGACTCTACGGCGATGGCCTTCTTGCCAGCAACATTCTGTGCAGCTTCCGCAACAGCCTTAGCCATGTTCATCTCAGCACAGCCGCCGCCCAATGTCGTCCTCGGCTCCTTGACCGTCTGTGAAAGCACAGCCAACGCATCGTGAAGCGATCGCTCAGCCTCATCGAGAAGTTGCTCGGTTGCTCCACGGAGCACGATGGTGCAGGCCCGGCCTGCGGCTACACCTGAGAAGCGGATGAGCGTGTCCTCGCCAATGATCACCTCCTCAATCAGGTCGCAGTGACCGAGCTTGACCTGCTCGGGGTGGTCGAATGTGGATGTAATTTCTCCTCCGGTGACCAAAGCCAACCGTTCGACACCGTCAAAGTCAGCGTGCTCGATGGAGCAGATGCCGGCATCAGCAAAGAGTTGCTCTGGCCAGTTGTAGATCAATTGCCTGTTGACGAAGCAGTTGATACCGTGAGCCTTGATGCGCTCAACCTTTGCCTTCATCTTCTCGCGCTCGGCCTTCTCGAGGTCTGCGAGCGCACCTGTGGAGTCCACCTTGACTCTTGCCCCAAAGATCTTGATCTTATCCGTGTCCATTGCCGTATTGGAAACCAGAATCTTTGCGTTCTCTATCCGCTTAGGCTGGTTCACACCAAATTTCTTGTCCAGAATGAAACCCTCATCTAGGTATGAGTCCTTCAGCTTTCCGCCGGCCTTCTTGATAATCTGAATGTGTGTGAGATCGGTGGAGCCCTTCATCCTCAAGACTGCATCCACGGCGAGCTTCGCGAACTGTGTCCGGTCCTGGCTGAGCACCTTGGAGCTCAGTGTGGTCCGCGCAATAGCCTCCAGGTCACGTCGGAACGCCTCTTCGTTACTGCTATTGTTGGTTGCGAGTTTCTCCAACGCCTGTAGCGCCGCAGTGCTTGCTATCCTGTAACCCTCGATGATGGTCTGCGGGTGGATCTTCTGGTCGACGAGCTTCTCTGCCTCTCGTAGCAGCTCCGCCGCCAAAACAGTGACTGATGTGGTACCGTCGCCGACTTCGTCATCCTGTACTTTTGAGATGTTTACCAAAACTTTTGCGGCGGCGTTGTCGAGGGCGATCGCTTTCAAAATCGTAGCTCCGTCGTTCGTAACCATGATCTCGCCAGTAGAGCTGTTGACTGTGAGTGAAGCTCGTGAGAGGCACTTGCGGGCACGTACGCAGACTGTAATATCTTGTCCATGCCCTTGGGCCCCAATGTGCTCTTTACAAGATCGCCGACGGCAATAGCGCCTACGAAGGCGGAGAGACGCGCATTCTCACCCTTCTCTTCCGTCACGTCCTCCGCGAAAATCTGGGTGGGGTTTTGGTACGACTAGACATATTTCAGTAAACGACGGCTGCGACACGGACATGAAAAGATACGTACCATTACGAAACCAAACGATAGACAGCGAAAGAAGGGTATCTACAGAAACGTGGGGTAGTTCTGGTGGTGCCTGAACGCGAACTTTTTTGGTAGGTGCCGCCCGCCGTGAGCTTGGGGCACGGACCAATCAACATCGCCAAGCCGTTACGAACTGGAGCTTTTGCTGCCTTGACTTTAATTTACTGTTCTATACACGCACTGGCACGTTAATCTTTGCACCTGATCCAAAGCTCGTTCAGAGCGCGTATACGAAACAAAGAAGCACTATACTTCTGACCTCCCACATTGCGCTTTCCGCCTTCAGATTTGCCATGTCAAAGCGGCAAGCACTCGAGCCGCTCGAGGATATAGTCGATGCGCCGTCGCCAGCTTCAAAACGAGCGCGCGTCGAAGACGAAGAAATGGGGACTCCTGAGCCTCCGAATGGCACCACCAATGGACACCTCATGCTCCCACGAAAGGAAGACCAAGAGAGGATAGACATTTTGGGGGCAGAGGCGGAGGAACATGCGGAGCTTGTAGAAGCTGGAGCTGTGGAGGACGATGAAGATGACGAGCCAGCAGTCGGCGCACCAAGACGACAGAAAGCGCCCGAAGCTGGATATACCGACCTATATCTCGACACGATAGACCGCAAAGTGCTCGACTTCGATTTCGAGAAGCTCTGTTCCGTCACACTATCCAATATAAACGTCTACGCATGTCTTGTCTGCGGCAAATACTTCCAAGGACGAGGCCCAAAATCGCAAGCCTACTTCCACGCGCTCGACGAGAACCACCATGTATACGTAAACATGGAGACGAAGAAAGTCTACGTCCTGCCAGAAGGGTACGAGGTCATGTCGAAATCACTGGATGACATCAAGTTCGTGGTGGATCCGCGGCTTAGCAAGACTGAAGTTGCGCGCCTAGACAAGGAGCCGAAGGTGTCGTGGGATCTGTCGAACAGGGAATACATACCAGGTTTCATCGGTATGAACAACATCAAGGCGAACGATTACTTCAACGTTGTCATACAGGCACTATCACACGTCACTCCTCTGAGGAACTACTTCATGTTGGAGGACTTGTCGACCCGACCACAACTCGCTCAGCGATTCAGCACCCTTGTTCGAAAGATTTGGAACCCTCGCGCTTTCAAAACCCATGTATCGCCACACGAGCTGCTCCAGGACATTGCGCTTCGATCGTCAAAACGATTCACACTCACCGATCAGTCTGATCCGGTGGACTTTCTGTCTTGGTTCTTGAACAATCTACATCTAGCGGTTGGTGGATCGAAGACAAAACCGGGATCAAGCATAGTCCAAAAGGTTTTTCAGGGAACGCTCAAGATCGAATCACAAGAAATTACAGCGCGCGCAGATGCAGGCGACCGTCTGCGATTCGAAGACGCAGCTGTCAAGACCGACATCACAAAGTTTCTCGTCCTCACATTAGATCTACCCGCTGCGCCCTTGTTTCAAGACGCGCTAGAGAAAAACATCATCCCTCAAGTACCCCTTACCACGATCCTAAACAAGTACAATGGTCTGCACGCTCAGGAGAAGATGAAAAACCGGGTGCGATACCGGCTCCTGCACCCGCTGCCCCCTTACTTGCTGTTCCACATCAAGCGATTTAGCAAAAACAAGTTCGTCTCGGAGCGCAACCCCACTATCGTCACTTTTCCTGCGCAGTCTCTCGACATGGCTCCTTACGTGGAACCTAATCCGAAGGAGTACCCGCCAGGAGAACCCATCTACTACGATCTTGTGGCCAACATTACCCACGAAGCTGTCAAAAAGAAGGATGACAGTGTGGAAGGTGAACAGGACATGAAAGTTTGGAGGGTACAGCTGAAGGATCGAAGTAGGGACGATTGGTATGGTGTCCAAGATCTGTTCGTGGAGAAAGAACGAGGAGAGACATTGTTCACGAAGGAGAGCTACGTGCAAGTCTGGGAAAGACGTAAAGGTCAGGCTGGTGCAAACTCAAATGTGAGCAAGAAAGGCAAAGCAAGAGCTTGATAGACGGCCTTGCTTGTGAAAAAGTCCTCGTCTTTTCGATCGGATGTAATCGCGACGTGTACCTGCTTGTAATACTACAGCTGAGACAAGCTCAGCCCAATTTTGTGTATCCACAAAAAGTGGAATGGAATTGCAGTTGGACCATCATAAAATTGTGTTGACTTGTTGTTACCATAGTAGTAGTGTCCCCATGATCACTCGTCATAAATCAGGGTCCAGGTATGCCTCGGCTATCACTGGCATCTACACCTCAGTCTTACCTACTCCACGTTTTGTCAACATCCACCATTCCCAGAACCGTCAGATTGCGTGCTCGTGCATTTTACTTGCGCAATATGTCCATACCGAAGATTACCCTATTTGTCGACATCGTGAGCCCGTTCGCGTACATCGCGTTCTATGCTCTGCATGTAAGTGGCTCCCAGCCATAATCGAACATCACCTGCAATGTACAATGTGAATGACTCAAGGACATTGTTCCGCATTTGATGGATCTCATATGTGATAGATTGACCTGGCTTGCTGACTACGAGTAGAACTTCCCAGCCTTTAAGCAATGTGACATTACGTATGTACCCGTATTTCTGGGAGGTATCATGAAGGCTTGCGGGAACACACCGGTAGGTAATCGCATGGTACGCTTTGTATGCTGCGAGCGCTGATGATACATGTGTTTAGCCGCTCAGGATTAAGAGTAAGCGAATCCCTTCTTTCCACCATCTTTCCCTACCATCGCTCTTTGGTCTAAGGCATATCACTCCATTATTGGCCGACAGCTTCGCAAATATCATCGACCTAAACCTTTCCATCATCGCATCTTCGCATCCTTGCAATCAGGCTACCTTACGGTGGTCTGACCACTAACGCAACCCAGACAAAGACAAGTGGATAAACACCGAGCGCATTCGCTGGTCCAATTATCTCAATGTCCCCGTCTCTCAATCGTCTCCACCTGGCTTCCCCACGAATACAATATCCATTCAACGCGTTTTGACTGCAATCTCCCTCTCGCACCCTGCCTCTCTCCCTAGTGCCCTTTCTCTATTCTGGCAGAACTACTGGGTGCACTGGAACGACCCTTCGACCCCAGAAAACCTACTTGCGATCGTGAGTACGATTGTGGGTGGGGAGGAGGAGGCAAGGAGGGTGATTGAGGCTAGCAAGGGGAAGGAAGTCAAGGAGAAGTTGACGGAGAACACTGAATGGGCGGTTAGGGAGGAGGCTTTTGGGTTGCCATGGTTTCTTGGTGAGTGTGATTGCTGCTGTGTGGTGAGGCAGTAAACCAGAGATTGGCTGACGAGGTACAGCGACTAATGTAAAGGGTGAGACGGAGAGGTACTGGGGCGTCGATCATTTAGGGCAGTTGTGCGATCACTTGGGTCTTGAGAGGCCGGGAGGTAAGGGGTGGAAAGCTCTCTTGTAAGATCTCGCCTTGAGTTCACCCTGTGAAGGGCTGTATCTATAACAATATTATGGTAATGTACATACTACAAGTTCGAACTCCGCTACCCTAGCAAATGGATTCACTGGTATCCCGCCCCGAGACATTCACAGAGTTACCCCTTCTCACGACCTCGTAGTATCCGCCCCCGCCCCCGCATGCCCTAAATACTCAAACCCATAATCCTGCCTTTCAAGTCTCGATGGCGACCTTGGCGGCAACGGCGGCGACACCGCACCTTCCCTCGGATCCTCTCTTATCGGCGAAGCCCCAGCATCAACTGCTGGCGGAGCTCCATACCCCGACGTCGGCGGATGACTCGTTCTGAAAGCTTCCGAGTAACCCGACATCTGAGGATGTGGAGTCGGTGGATGATTTCTACTGAAAGCGCCGTAGCCTGACGTTTGAGGATACGGAATCTGCGCAGACCCTTGGTTCTGTGCCATCCGAGCTTCCCCGTTCATGCCGGGATGATCTGGTGTTTGATGGGATGGTGATCTCGTATGGTGCTCGGATGCTACCCCGTTTGCAGTCGGCTCATGTGTAGAATAAGGGGTACCATATGTGCTATCATGCGCGGTGACTCTGGGTTCCTTCTCTGAGATACCGTATGCGGGTTCGTGGGCGAGATGGCAGTGGTAATAGTACACGAACGCCAACGTCGTAAACAAGAACAGTAAGCTGATTGTTTATTAGCCTCGTCGCCCTGTCTCTCTCGTACAATTCGAGACTTACAATTCAATGACCGCAAACACAGCGGCTGCCACCCCGCTCCTCCAAGCACCTCTACACTTCCCACATACCGCAAATACTTCGTCCACTACTCTGAGATTACTTCCGTACTGATGAAAAATGTCGAGGTACGACGCCAACGCTGCAAATGACGCTAGCCAAAAGAGGGCTGCGAGGAGGTCCACGACGAGCGCGATGCGCGGGTCATAGAAGCGGCGTTGGGAAATGTGGAGGGGAGTCGTGAGTGGGAGGATGGGGATGAGAGTCAGGAGTGCAATGATGAGGGTGGAGATTAGGGGAGCTTTGATCTGCGTAGTTGTCAGATTACTGACTTTGTACATACGGCAAGGGAAGTAGAGACTAACAGGTCCGCCACTCTCTACTGAGAGCGCATAGGCAGTCGTTGCAATGATAAGGATAGCGAAGAGGGCCTGGAGGCCGCGGAAGACGAGATGCCATGGGTGGACGGGGACGGGTCCGCCTTTTGGGATGTACACCATGGTGAGCGGTGTCTGGGAAAGACTGAACGACTGTTTGTGTAACGCGAAGGACGAAACAAATTGTCTAGCCTGGGCGTATCCATGATGGTGTTCAGTGTATTATATGCAAGACAAAGAGCTATTGTTCGCGCTTCACTCGTGGTGGTCGTTCGCGGTAGTTGTACGCTTGCGGAGCGCTGGAATGTGGAAAAAGAATTTCCTGTTTCGGGCGGCACAATGGGTCGTACCAACTCTGGAAAAAGGCCTAGCGCCGAGTTCAAAAATGTGATGAAGATATGGAGCACCGATACGTCGGTTTGAGGATCATTGATGTGCGACCTATTTACATGTACGAATCGGCTGATGTTCTGTTCAAGCAATCTGAAGAGGCAAGCATTACCAGTCTACGAAGGCCAACAATGCTTGTAGAGCATCCATATCAATCACAGAGCGACACAATTTCCTTGGTTATCCTAGATACCGTTCGTCCATGGGCTCGTGAAATAGAGAGACAACTTACATCTAAGGATGCCTGAACACATTCGACGACAGTGACCGCTAATCTCGCGAGCGAGTAGAGTGAGAATGTCCCCATAGGTCTCATTACAGAAAGAGTGGACTCAGTCCATGGGGCATACGGACCTCACTTCGCTGTGCTCAGTACAGTCAATCTTCGCATCAACAGGTGAAGCAATGTGGGGGCATGGTACATTCGTGTCTACCATTCAGCTGTCAGCGCGCACATGATGCTTTGTCAGCGCATAAATAGCCTCAATCGTCCCATCCACTCCTAGTCGCATGTTCCCTATGCCGTCTGTGTACCATAGCCCCTGATCTGCTCTGCGAACGCCCAGCTCTGGTTCTCGAGCTGCACGTTTTCGTCAAGCTCCACACCTTCTTTGGTGATGGTGGCAATGGAGTACTTGTCCATACTCCTAGCATCCCTGTAGAAGAGCACCTTCATGCACTCCTTGACCAGCTTCACAGCGTCCTCTTTGCTAACGTCCTTCACCGAGTTCTCGTCCGGGATAGTCCTCCTCATTATCGGTTGTGCAAGGTGAGCTCCAAATCCAGTGGCGAGGGTCGGTGACGAGAAGGTGGTACCTAGTAGATCCGCACTAGCGAGGAAGGGCTTCGACTCTCCATCCAGACCGGCAATCAAGAGATGGTTCCACAGAGGGTTGAAATCGGAGCGGCGCTTGTACATGACCTTGGCGAGGTACGTATGCAGGTTCTTCGCGTTAAGCGGGTCGTCAGTGCTTGAGTAATTCTCTCGGATATCGAGGGAGTTGAGCAGACGGTCAAGGTACTGCATGTCTGATACGTCGCCGCCGAACCCCACCACCACCGTCTCGTTGAATTTCCGTAGGCGCTTGACGTCCGTGAATCGAGCAAGGGAGCCATATGAAGCTAATAGGTTCCGTCAGCAAATGCCTGACTCTTACAGTTGTTGCTTCTGTAATTCCATAATTCCATACCCAGGTTGTCTGCGGCAATCACAACGCCGTCCTTGAACTTGGCTGCTACGACTGATGTACCCGTCACAATTGGGCTTTGTGTGTGTTGATTTGGTCCGGCGGCGGTCTGGAAGTGGGCGTGGTCATATGCGCCATAGATATCGTCCCGAGGCTGGTTACGCAGTCAGTAATGGCGGCTGCTTCTGCTGGCTAGCTCAACTCACGCGGCCCCAGGCTTGCGGAAGGTGGTTCATCTTGGAGAATATGGTCTATATTATCAAGCGAAAGAGGTGGAGAGAGTCGTGACGGTCGTTTCGTGGGTCAGAGTTGTAGTTGAAGGCAAAGCGGCGGATGTGAGGGCGCCAGGCAGCTCGAACGCGCAGTTGCGACCAATGCCAAGACGTGGCCCAAGCTTCCGTCGTCACTTCCATTTGCAGTAAAACACTTTATCGATACCATGTTCCAACTACAATCATGCTTGGAATCGACTACATCAGTAGTGATGAGGAGGACATAGCGCCTTCCGTAAACGCTGAGGTTAGTCCTACACACGGAGGGGAAAGGGCGCGATAGCTACTAATATCGAGTTGTCAAAACCATCTCTATCAGCAGCTGCGTCAATCTCGAAGGCTACTCCAGCACCAGCAGCGGTACCTGTTGAGGCGGATCCGACACCACAATCCCTGCCAGAAGGACCTTCTCAAGGCCGTAAGTTATGACAAGCTGTAATAACGCACGTAACACCTAACTTAAGTTTTCTTCTCAGCATCTGCGATCCCCGAAGCTGTGGAAGAGGAATCAGCGAACAATGCTCCTCCAGGATCTCCATACAGTTCAAATCGTCTGATGATACAAAATCTGACCTTGCCCCCTGTTCCGAATCTCAACATACCACCCTCACCACCCGGCTCGCCACCACGGAGATCAACTCAGAAATTCGCTCAGTTCTTAGAGCTCAAGAGAAAGGGACAGCACTTCAATCAAAGACTGGAGAGCTCCTCTGTCGTGCGAGATCCCAATCATTCGAGCAAGTTGATGGATTTTGCTACTGTACGTGATCACCAATCAACTACTCCTGCTACCTCTACTGACCATACATCAGATCACAGATGAAGATCAGTACACTTCAACTTTGCCAGAGGGGCTCGGCGTTTCTGTGGTCTGGCCGGAGTGGGCTTACAGCGATGCGCTAAATGCATCCCAAAAGAATATCACCAAGGCTAAGGAGAGCGAACGATCGAAGACACCGCGCGGTCCGGTCGATTTTGTGCCGGCAAGACGTGGAAATTCTAGCGGAACGTGCACGCCTGCAGGAAAAGGATCGCGACAGAATGCGGCTGGAAGAATCGTAGTTGGTTCGGAAAGTCGACCGAAGGAAAAGCGATGATGTGGCATCTTGAATTACCCACAGGCTCTTAGAACACAGAGCGGGATGCTTAATGATATATTCAGATTTTCAGGTCTTTCCTATATCAGTTCCTAATGATACAGCGTATGCTGCATGTCTTGCTTGCGCTGTGAATGTCGTTATCACGTGTGATAGCACTGGCCCAGGCGCTGGTCCGTGCGCAAGCTGCACTGACGACGCGAAGGTGCCTACGACGTGGATAGCCAAACTATTAGCAACAAACCACCCCACGCCACTCACTCCTCGCCCACCCGCTGTTTCCACGCGACCAACTCTCTTGCGTCGACGTATCCCGATACCGAAGTACCGCATAACGTTCACGATGGCGGCTCTCTTTTCCGGCGCTCCTCCGCAAGGCGGCCCAGGCTACTCGTTCAAGCAGACCCCCACAGCAGCTCCGTCGGGCGAGCGACAGCACGGCTTCTACCCGTAGGCAGCTACCACTTCTCTTTTCTTTATAAATGCTTACTCTTGTAGCTACACCGACAATGGTGGATCAACACTTGGTATTTCGGGCGCCGACTTTACTATCCTCGCAGGCGACACTCGCTCAACTTCCGGCTACAATATCAACACCCGGTACGCACCCAAGCTCTTCAAGATCGGCGGCGAGGGACCAGAGAACAAGGGTGCGCGGATAGTACTTTCCGTTGTGGGCTTCGCAGCAGACGGCGATGCGCTGAAGGAGCGCCTCGACACCATCGTCAAGATGTACAAGTACCAGCATGGCAAGCCTATGTCCGTTTCCGCCTGTGCCCAGCGACTCAGCCACATCCTCTACAATAAGCGATTTTTCCCATACTACGTGCACGCGATTCTGGGCGGTCTTGATGAGGATGGCAAGGGCGCGCTGTACTCATACGACCCGGTGGGCAGCTACGAGAGGGAGCAGTGCAGGGCTGCTGGTGCAGCGGCTTCGCTCATCATGCCATTCTTGGATAACCAGGTCAACTTCAAAAACCAGTACATGCCGGGAAGTGGAACTGGTCACGACCTTAAGGCGAAGGCCGCTGAGCCGCTGCCGCAGGATCACGTCGAGGATTTGGTGAGGGATGCGTTCACTAGTGCGGTGGAGAGGCATATTGAGGTCGGTGATGGTCTCCAGATGATGATCATTACGGCAGACGGTGTACACGAGTCGTACACGACGCTGAAGCAGGATTAGAGGAGCCGACTGGGCGTAGGGTGGATGTGGCCAACAACTTCTGAGCCTGCAGCTTGGCCGGATTGTATGAACAGTATTCAACGGCATAGAACGACCGAATGACACATTTGTCTAAGAGACAAATACATGCAGCTGCTACCGCAGTGCGACATGGTACTAAACCGCACGTAACTGGTCCGTCTGTCACGTCCTTCCATCTTCTCCCTGTTCCCACCATATCTCCACTATATCATTACTTGCTCGTCACCCTTTTCTTTACGTATCATCATCTACACTCGATTTTTCTCATAAGACCTGATGTAATTGGTATTGAAGACCGTGGTACGTGCTAAAATTCGATCACAGCCGACCCTCACGAAAACGACACTTGAGGGTGGTTTTGCGAATGGCATACGATTGCTGACACCCACCAAAGTCATGCTTGATGCCTCCACTGTGTTCCACTACTCGCATGCGACTACCATACACATCATGCTGATTTCGTCGACCCGATGATGATATGACTACAGTGGGAAGATTTACACCTGTTCCTACTTGTTTACTATGTCCTGTTCGGTCTGTTCTCTCGACTGCCGTCCCTCACTTTGAAGTTGAGCAATACACAAGGAGGGGCAGCCCATTATGGCTAATCACTACGCGCCCTCGCATTCCTATCGGGGTCAAACGCGCTTTCCACGCCCCACTTGCTGTCCACTACGTCCAAAGAGGCGATGTCGATTCCTCAACTGGGTAATTATTTATCTAAGTTTCACAAACTCCAAGTAATGCCACCGCCACCAGTGCCATCCATCAAGCGTACAATGCAGAGTGAGTTGAGCTGCCGAAGCTCGGGTACAGTCGGTCACTCACGGAAATTTAATCTTCCAATCTCGCAGCAACGCGCTTTATAGGGCACCTTCATTCCACCTCGACCTCAGTCTGCTTCAACGCTCAGGACCGCACGTCTCTCCGGGATCGAGAATGAAGCTCACCGCCGTAATCGCCGCGTGCATTGTCACGCTGCAAATGGCCTTCGCTCTGAGCTTGCAGTCCGGCAAGGATCCCCCGTTCCGTGTTGCGGATACTTTGCTTTCTCGCTCCGTCACCACTTCTCGCAGCGAAGACAGTGACCCCCTGATGGGTTCCGCAGAATGTAGGGAGATCTGTAATAGTTCATATGTGGTAAAAGCAATCTGCTGACAGTACCTTCAACCTAGGGCTAAGTACCGGCGGACCCAATGGTAATGTCCGGCCTTGGCCCCGGCGACAAACGAAATGGGAAATCAACAAAGGACAAATGACTATCATCCCATACTGCTTCGTCGACAAGCGGTCATACGACAAACTGAATTGTAAGGTCAGAGCCGCAGTCAGGCTCTGGTCTGATGCTCTCGGCGATTTCAGAGACGGGATATGGGGCCCTGAGAACAAACATAGCCTGGCTTTCCTTCCGCCTCCCAACCTGCCCAGGTCGCAAAACTTCAACCCATACTGTTGCAACTACTATACATATGGCGGAGAGGGCATGAAGCTCGATCGAATGACAGAACTGAAGTGTGATTGGAACACGAACGATTACCCTACTGACACTCTAACAATACATTGGCTTGACGATGTTAAAGGGGAGGGTGGTGCCATAGCAACCCTCGGTTACTATCATGATGTACCGGGTGAAGAATCAGTACCGGGACGACACGATATAGTCATTTCGGAAAGCGCCAACACTCATACCATCGCGCATGAGCTCGGGCACGGTTTGTAACTAAGGGATCGAACTCGGTGAATCTTGATCCGCTGATTCTTCATAGTTCTTGGTATGGCTCACGAGCACCAGCGATGGGACCGTGATGACTATGTGTACTTTCGCTGCGAGAACGTCAAAGGCATGAAAGAGAGGGTCGAATACGCGCACAGATTGAATGGTGTCCCCAATGGTATCCCGATAGGAGAGGTGTGGGAGTTTCTATGCGAGAAGTATGCCCAAGCTACGTTTTGGGAAGCACCAAGCAGAGCTTGGATAAGAGGCGATGGTTTCAAGGACATCGACGAAGGAAAATCATTAGATGGACCGGATGGCTTCGATTACGACTCGATCATGATGTATGGGTCGGCTCAAGGTGTAGCAGTACCGTACTTAAGCCAAGTCACTATGCACACTGCTACCTTGGTCAAGATCAAGAAGAATCCTACGACCGGGGAGAAATTCATTGACCGGAACGATTGGTGGCTTCCAATCCCGACGCGGGTGTCCCAGAAGGATGCTGCCTTTGTGCGCAGATTTTATCCGTGGGGGCAGCCGTGGAAACCACCTCAGAACCCGCCACCGGCGCTTCCGAACCCACCACCAGAGATCGAGGATCCACCGCCTGAACCTCAAGGTCCAGCGCCTGTTCCACAGGCTCCATCGACGCCGCCTCCGGGAACACCACCGCCTATACCTCCACGTCCAACACGGCGTCCCGCAAAGCCATCCGAGAGTTCATGACCGCGTCTAACTGTGTTTGTGAGGAAGATGCAGCATTTCGACTAGTGAACTAAGTGCAGAGGAACCAGTTACGATCTCATGTGGTTGTGAGAGTGCTGCAGCTAGAAATCTGACATGCTAGTCAACTGGATCGGATACGAGGAGATCTCGAGAGCGGTTCAAAGTTAGCGTAGTCTTCACCAAGGGGTCTACGTATATTACAATTTAATTCTATCCAGGTTTACTCTCAAGGCGGAATATTTTCCAAGGCACGGTATCGAAGCAGCTAAGATGATCACTGACCCGATCTGCGAAGTGCCACCTGATTCACTATTAGTCAGGTGGTGGCAAAAAAAGAACAGAGTGTAACGCAATCACTTCGACTAGTAGCAGACTTAAGCAAGCACTTGTGTACGTATAAAGCTGTTCTACTTTCCATTGATTTCGACTCTTTCGTATTTCTTAGTTTCGATCTTGCCTTCTTCACGTGTCGGTCATCACTTGGTCATATGTAGACTTGAGTTTGTGCTACTTGCAAAGTCATCGTCATGGCTTACTGATTATCCGACAACCGGTAGTCCTTCACGACCTACTACAACAGTACAGAGAACCAGTGAAAGAATCCAAAGGACCTATAGTGCGATCAGGACAACAAGTGGGCACGTTGGCAATTCATTAGGTGCACAACATCAAGCTAAGCCAGGCAATCAAGGGCACTTTTAGGTTGTACGTAGTATTATATCGATCTTACAAAGTATCGTCACTAGATAGGAGTAGCCGATCATGCAACGCCAGTCGATATTACACACGAACTGGGACATCGTTAGTATACTTCTTTAACATCGATATAGCTAACGCTATCTCGAAAGCAGTCTTACGTCTTAGTCACGAAATTCCGCACTTACTGCTGAGAGGTGTCTCGCACATCCCACGAGTTCGCGCGCGGCCGTGCTATGCCATAACTGGTCAGTTGATGTGGATCTCGGAGCGGGGATCGATTTGGGACCAGGGTCCCGCTGCGGGAACCAGTTCCGGACACCACAGTAACTACCACCACAGTTTTACAAGATCAAAGCCTCTCGCACTTGCGCAAAGGCTTTCTCTCGTTCCAATCGTCAAATATCACAATGGCTGAAACATCAATGTGTAACAGGAGTCGGGAACGTATACATATATGAGATGTCACTACCCTGCACTTAGTTATAACAACAATTCGACCACTTGCTTCAAACAGGTTAGAGCCTGGGTTTGCACATGACAGGATTTCAAATTCCATACCCACAGCTAAGCTTCCGTAGCAAGTGATAACTTCATTAACAAAAGAAGCTGACCTCTACGATGCAGAAATTCAGTAGAAGTTCAGATGATCGAGAAGAGCGAGCCGGATGGACCTCCTTCCGCTAGGAAAAGAAAAGAGAGAAGGGCATCACAAATGTCTCAGCGTCACATACAGCACAGTAACATCCCCTGCGATCAATCAACTGAAACTACACCTGGACGGAAGGGGCTGGATCCGGTTACATACGTCCAGCCAACTATATGAAAATAGCAGGCTGCGCAAGAACGAGAGCGAAACATGTCGACCAGGTCCAGAATTGGGCTACCTCAATTGCCGACCCCACCTCCAAGGATCCTGCGTCGGCAGCGAACAACGCATCTCTGGACAGAAGAGGAGCTTAACCTCATATCTTGCCTTCGGTTGTATCATCAATGGACTTTGATCGAATCCGAATGACGTATCTCCCTTTGGTAACGGAAATTGCAGTACAAAGCTACGCTTATAGGGCAACGAGCACTGCATTAGCTGTACGCACCTACTAGATACCTAGTAGGCCACATATCTTTTCTTACCCTAAGATAGTTACTAAACCTATCCTTATAGCTAAACCTTATTGTAGAATACTATATACCAAAATGAACGTATGGACACCAAGAAAGAGGAGTGAAGGTCTCATCCTCAACACTCTCTACATTGCGTGGCTCTCCCTCCATGGTGCGGCGTAGGCGATTCGGAACAATATCCACTCGGTTAGCGCCTCTCGCTGTGCTCTCTGACCGCGTTGCATACCTCCGGATTGCTCCTGTCGCCGTATTTTCCACCAGCCATGCATCACGAAGGCTTCTAACTGCGTGATGAAGTCCCTCGCTAACTGACTCATCGCTGACTTCTTGATCTTCCATCCATTTGTACGTCCGTGTCGCGGCGTCGATACAAGACTTGTCTCTTACTTCCCATAGTGTCCCAATGACGTGCTGAAATCCAGCAAGCTGACACGCACTGATCAAGTGAAGCCCCTCGTCCACCAAGGCTTCATGCTTGATTTGCCCCGTTCCACAGGCCGAGAGATAGGCAAGGAACGGTACCGAATGACTGCTTGTATTGGCCTGTAGAAGATCTTCTACTGATAGCGGCCTGTCCTGAAGAATCAAAGCACTCTTCGCCGGATCCAAAGGATGAGCGCGTCCATGGCCAGCAAAATGGAATATCTCGCAGTCTCGCAGAATCGGCAGGATGCTTTCTCGAGTTGGTTCAGGTACGCAAACATCTAGCTTCATGGAGCTACAAAGCGTCTTTAGCTCTTCGATCTCTTGTGACGCAAATTCGAGGCTTCTCTGACCCGGTGTCTCCTGCATCGAGACTAGAATAGCCTTCCTCTGCCCAAGTGCCGGTTCCTCTCCGACTTTGGGCTGACTCCGGCGGTTGTAAATTAGCGCCCTTGCAGAAGAGCTGTAAGAGGATATCGCACGGTCGAGAACGGTATTGGATGATCCATCGGTATGGCGTCCTGCTGCGTGGATGGGAAATTTGGCCAGGGGCCCGGTAGGTATCCACCATATACGAGGCCAGCAGCCATCTGAAGGCGTTTCTCTGAAGCCTATCTCATCAAGGACTGGTTCAGCAATTGATTCCCAAAGCCATTCAAGTAACTCCGGATCGACTGAAGTACGTAAATCTTGCCCGAGGACCTCGACATCGCTACGGCGTAGCAATGGCAGCGGCAAAGTCTTGAGCCGTTTGTTTTGGATGATAAAAGCATCACAACGGTGGTGCTCAACATTGATTATGACAATAGGACCAGGGGCTGAGGCTGAAATCATATCCTCCTCAGATAAGGGTGAGAGAAATTGATCGAAACCCTGCACTTTCCTGATTTCTTGTATTACTTGCTCAAGCTTCTGATCCGTCATATAGCGTTCGCTGAATTCAGTTTCCATCAAGGGTGTCGGGGCGTCAAGCTTGTCTCGATACTCGATGTATTTTTCTGCTAACTTGGGACGTTTCTGCCGGATATTGGAGATATTGGTCCGCATTTCATGCAAAGAGTTAAATATGACTCCCCGTCCAAGTTCGAGAAGTTTGATCGCATCGAATGGCGACTTCCTTGTCTCTAATGCCGCCGTTGCCGCTTGGGAAGCTAAGCCAGCGCACACCTCCGCAAGCAAGTGTTGCTTATCCGAGTTCTGCAGGAAGCGGGGCGTGAGCCGAGAAATAAGAGTTACGGCAGTGCAGGCGGCTTCGTAGGTAGGTATCCATTCTCCAGCTCCGCTGTAAAGCAGATATAAACCAGGGAAAGGTCTCAACCTATCAACCATAGGAGATGGAGCATGGTCAAGGGCTTTTTGCGCTTTTGCCACAGCTTCCTTCCAATCCTCCCATGAGTGTGCCGCAAAGAATCTGAGTCCGTATGCTCTTGAGATGGAGGACAGATAATTTGCCCGAAGCACATAGTCATCCGGTGTTATGGAGAGAGCTTCTTCACCTCGTCGAATGGCCATGTCTAGATCCGCCACATCTTTCTTCTCGGAGTTTTGGTACTTGTCCAAGTAGTTTGTCGAAAGTTGGTACAAGCAAAGTGTTTGTTCTACCAGCAAACCTTCGGATTCCCTAAGGGCTTCTTCTGACCACCAAGACGATGTGTCCAGATCAGCAATAGCCTTTGTGCTGGAGAACCGGGTGTGGTACATATTTGCAAGCTTTAGAAGGATCTTTCCTCTGGATGGATCCCGAGGCGTTGTTTGAGGGAGAGCATTCTCAAGGAGATTAATGGCTTTTTCCAACGCTCCCGCATCTTTTGTCCTGTCATACTTGCCCATGTATGCAGTCGCGAGACCTAGGAGTCGCATTCCGCGGCCATCATTCTCCTTTGACATGGTATCAAGGGTCTTGTGATAGTGCCGAATAGCGACCTCAAGCTCTTCCATGGCTCCCGTTTTTTTAAACCTGGTACCGTGAGAAGCCCCTAGATTGTGAAATAGCCTTTCCCGGTGCGGACTATCATTTGCGGCGATATCGAGGGCTTCCTGGAGTACACAAATACTTTTATCTAGGTCTCCCATTGCCCCGCTTCTTCGGTACTTGCGACCGTAGGCAATTCCAAGATCCTGAAGTGTTGTTGATCGCTCGTCATTATTTGGGAGTATTGCGGCCGCTCTCTGGAAAAGCCGAATAGCTATTTCCAAGTCTTCCATCCCTCCTGTCATCTTGAATCTGTCCTGAAATCCAACTCCAATACCATTGATATAATCTGCTCCATGGCAAGGAAAATGCTCTGGAGCTCCTGCCAAAGATTCTGTCAATTGTTGGAGCCCCCTCTCCAAATCAGCCGATTCTTTTTTATCTCCATATCTCTTAAGTGACGAAACGCCAAGATCGTAAAGCTGCTTTGACCGCTCAGAAGGGAAGGAGGTTGGAACGGGGATTTTCAAATAAGGCACCAGTGTCCCTCCCTTGCAGGTCATTCCGTCTTCGTAGATATCGAGATATGTTTGACGTTACGTCGAGTAGTTGGATTGGCAGAGGGGAATATAGAATCAGTATCCCTCTTTGATTGAAGTAGGCTAAGGTCGTGGGCTTTGGCTTGAGTAACGTGATTGGTTTCAAATACGTTGATGAGCAGGGGTATCTCCAGAAACAAAGAAACCTCAGCGGGGCTCTGAGTAGTTAGTAAAAGGTAGGGGCCCACGATTGAAAACGTTGCCGGACGAAGACGCTTATCGGTTGAAGATGCTCACGGGTGGAGGACACTTACCGGTTGTTTTCTGAAGTCGACCCCGCAGGGTACCGACCAACAACGTCTGCACAAGTGCTTACACTACATTGATCGCCTCCGCCGCCAATCAAGTTTGAGGACTTGTTGGTGTCTTGGTGGCGTTCAGTGGTGCTCGGGATTACTATACGTGCTGACGTGGCGAGGCGAGAGACCATTCGGTTTTGCCAGCTCTGGTCCTCGCGACTAGCGAGAAGCACACTCGGGTGGTCGGCGGCAGAGACGCGCATGCTGACCCTGAGGAGTGTTGCCTGGCCCCGGACATCCCCTGGCGAGGTTTCCTGAAGACTACTGTGGTATCCAACATATCCTCGGCATATCATCGTATGCCAAGGGGGCATGTCAACCAAACAAGTTCGCCCAATAGCTTGGAGCAGACTGATTGATGAGTGGGCCTTCAGGACGTATCCCCCGTTTTAGAATACTTTGCCTGATTCCACAGGACAGAAACACTAGCGTTCTGGGATACATAAGCCACCGGATACCGCAAGGTTGAAGCGGGAACTAGTATAAGGTAGGCGTCTTGCGCGAGTCGATCGCTAGCCGTTTGCTAACGCGTTTCTCTTCCGATATCATACATTTCATTTTCCTCCAATTTACATCTTGCGTTGGCATCCGTTCTTGGGTAATCCACGGTATGTCTGCATCCGACAAGTTAGTAATCTTGGTCCTCGCTCGCCTTGTGCAACAATGATGTTCACGACACCGATAGCGAAAGTCCCAGGATCTCTTTTGACGAGAATGACAAGCGGCCATGGGTGGTACCTTTTGTGCAGGTTTGTATCTTATAGATAGCTTTGAACCACGAGATACTGACAACGGCTTGTAGAAGCCAAAATTCCATGTTGGGGATAAAGTGTTTCTGATCAACCCCAATGGGAATCGAGAGGGGCCCTACTTCGTTGCGTCTGTCCCTTCAGCCGGAAAGTATACTCTTTGCGACAAAGAGAAAAAAGATGTCAAGAACGGTGAGCAGATCGACATGGACACTGTTGAAGCCGCTTGAGGTTCGCTTTGGGCAGCACCATGATAGAGTCTGTTATCGGTGCTCAGATAATGTACCTAAATTCGAATGCAGTCTTGCACACCATTGAAATATTAGGAAAGCCGTACAAAAAACGAGCTATGGAGGACTTCAGATGCTCTCCGTAGGGATAGGCTAGTATTGCGAGCCCTTGCTTCAGTGCAAGATCCCAGTATCGCGGCGCTCCAGCCTCGCATCCGGAATTTCCCGACATTTCCCTGGACTTCTGCCGGGTCTCTCACCGGTCCACTTCATCCCCACTCCACGGAACCCGTATCTGCTGTGCGACCGTCATCATTTGAATTCTGACTTGCCGCGCAGCCGTAATCTCTTCTATATGCGTGTGTCCGGCTTGCCTTGACTTATTGTCCGTCCCTTGCTTGCCAGCTGATTCACGGCCAGAATACCTTGTTCTACCTATGAATCACCAAGAGACTATTTCCAGCCATTACGCCATACTTATCGGGATCAACGCCTACCCGGAAAAGCCCATACCATCAGGGGTAAGGGATGTCCAGAATGTCAAGAAGTACTTAAAAGAATTGCCATACCATGTTGATATCGAGATTTTCACAGCTTCTGGCAGCAGTGAATCGGGCGTTTCTAGTCCAATTGAATTGCCCACGTTCTGGCCAACACATGAACATGTAACCTCGGCGCTTAAAAGAGCGGCTTCGGCCGAAGCTGGCGACTTCGTCTATGTTCACTTTTCGGGACACGGTACCCGAGCGGAGCCTTGCGGTGTGTTCTCCAACGAGTCGACGGGAGACCTGGCGTTAGTTGTTCTCGATGGTACGGGAAGCATACAGTACCTTTGGGGTGAGGATCTTTCACACCTGATAAAAATAATGATCGACAAAGGGATACTGGTCACTCTCGTTCTCGACTGCTGTTTCTCTGCGACTGTATACCGAGCGGACGAACCTGATGTCCGTTTTCTTCCGTACAACCCAGCTATCAATGCGGGACCGGCGCAAAAACCTCGGGAACTTTTACAATCTACTGGAGAAACGTATCGTGACGTTTCGATGCTACCAAATTGGATGCTCAACCCAAATGGATACGCCATTCTTTGTGCAAGTGGCCCTGATGAAGTGGCGATAGGGCCACGATTCGGCAAGGACAAGGAGAAACATGGAGCACTAACCTATTACCTTCTCGAAAGTCTCAAGGAAGTTGGTCCTGCAAAGAGACACAAAGATATTTATGACAACCTGAGCGTGAAGTTTCGAAAGTCAGGCCTACAACAACATCCAGTCCGCTACGGAAATAAACGCCAAGGCTTCTTCGACCACGTTCAATCAGATGTTGCGGCACTGACAGTCCCTATTATCCAGAAGCGGGACAAAGGCTTGCAATTGCAGGCTGGACATGCGCACGGCATTAATGACGGCGACCAGTTTATTTTATGTCCCTGGGGTTCTGCCGATCTTCGATCCGAAATGCAAGAAAGCTCAGTGATGGCCAGAGTCACCCACGCCAGAGCCTTCACTTCGGATCTGGAGCGATTAGAGGACCAAATCTCTGTCCCTGTCAAGACGGGATGGGTAGGTCGCGCCACTTCCAGTTCCTGTCTTCGCAAATTTCCAATCCAACTCGACTCCAGTTTGTCACAGCGAGATGAGTGGTTGACGGCCTTTAATGAGCGCTCAATCGATGCTCATATCGAGATGGTTGAACAGTCTTTTTCATTCCACATCTTAACCAACGGCAACAACGATATCGAGATCCTAGACCAATCAAACCAGAGGATCCCATATTTGCTCACTGCTTTGCAAGATGGATCGGACATCAAGCGCATCTGCGAAATGGTGGAGCATCTGGTTAGATACGAGTTCGTTAAGAGCTTGTCTAACAACATCCTCGGCCAATCTTTCCCAGAAAGCTTCCGGTTCGACGTTTACATGCTCAAGGGCCAAGAAGTCATTCGCCACGGAACCCTGGTGGAATTGGAAGATGGTACTGAGGTGAGGTTGGTTGTGCAAAACAATGGAACCAAGTCTCTATATCTTTCCGTTTACGCGCTGGGTCCTTGTTGGGAGATCGAAAACGTCATCCACGGGAGTTACGAAGTGATTCCCCCGAAGTTGCCCCAACTGAAGTTCAGAGGTGCAACGAAGAAGAAAATCAAAACGACGGTTCCGGAAGAATTAAGGGACGAGGGGTACAGGCAGTGCCAAGACGTGATCAAGGTCTTCATTACGTCCCGACCAGCAACATTCGATTTACTCGAATTGCCGAAACTGAACGAAAAAGCTAAAAGATCCCCAGCAAGTGAAGAAGATCGAACAGAGGATGACGATGACTTATTCGAGCACTGGGTAGCTTTAAACTTCTCTATTCGAACATTTGCAAAGTAGAGTTATAATGACTATAATATACTGGTAGAGAAATGTATTTCTTTCTTACAGAATGAAGTAGAACTTGGAAGTATCATATCCTTCTTAATATTAGTCCATAGATATGCTAGTGCTTGAGATGAAAACAATTAGCACTGTTGTATAACTATAAAGAGAATACCATTAGCTAATGAATTGTGCTAATGTGGAAATCTACACTTACGTTGCACCGGCCATAACTAACTCGACTGTCTTTGCCTTCGTCGAGCCAGAGAGTATTGCAATAAAGGTAGTTGCAGCGATGACGATAATAACAAGCCGGGCTATAAGACTACTCAAACAATTACAAATAATAACGGGGGCAAGTAGAAGTGTAGCGATCAGAGGTGTCATCAAAACCCGAGCTATACTTGTAATAGATGGTTTCGGTATTATATGCACGCTTGGGTCTCTTGAAATAGCAAGATGGCGACTCTATAATAGACTTAGTTTGTGCCTGTTTTCCTATGCAGAGATCTTACCTTCGGAAGGTATTGGCGAACGCGAGTGAAGATGCACTCCACTACTGTCTCTAGCCACATCATGATCGTATCATCCATAGGAGCTGCACAGAGCAACTCATCCGAGTAATTCAAATAAGCGGCCTCAGGTCTCGCTATGCAACCCGTCCCGTTGATCCAGTTTTGTAAGCTCGACACAGCTTGGGGTCTCGCGGCTTCAAGGCTGAAGATTTGGTGATTTCTTAAAATCAAGCTATCTGCATCTCTTCTTAGAGCTCTTTTTGTCAAACGGGCAGGGACTTGCATACCGTAATCCGCTAAAGCGTCGTCAAGCTGCGATAAGATAGAAGTTCTTTCATCGTTATCGTCCGCTCTAGTACTTCCCAGACGTAGAAGAACAGGTTCTTCGCAGTCGACTTTCTCCAATTGCTTCTCCAAGGAGGATATCCTATCCTGTTTTAATAAAAGTAGGCGGGAGCGTAGGTTAGGGAACCGTCGGCAGAGGTGAAAGGAGTCGTGGGACGCGATAAGCGCAGAGAAACGAGGATAACCAGCTGGATAGTCTTCGACTAGAACGGGTCAGTAGTGTTGTGTGTTATGTTTAGCATAGGAGTGTAGGTTACTTTGCATTAGGCGTCTTGGATGGTCGTTTCTTTTGTCAGCCTCTCTAGGGGCCCTCGTAATGCAGAAGGATAACAATTTCCGTATGGAACCCAAGTAGGGCCTGACTACGCCGCCACTCCTGCTCCTGATAGAGGTGGTGTGAGATAGACCAGTGACTTGGCCGAGTTCGATGTCAGTTTGGGACGGAAAGGCCATGGGATACGGAATTTCTTTGGGAACGAAAGGCAAAGTAGCAGAGCAGATGATATAAGGGCGTAACCCCGCTCTTGTGCTCTGTTGCAGATAGGGCAGACTGCGAGACCGCCAGTTCAGCCGGGCGGACTAGCGCCAACATTTAAGCTGCAGCAAGGTTGACTCCTAATGTAAGGCTGTAAAGCCAAATAACACCTGTCGGATCTCAGCCTTCTCAGGTCATATGAGAAAGTGCTCTGTTAGGTGCATTTTTCTGGGAAAGGGTGGCACCCCGATTTTCCGCTAGAGGCCTGATTTTGTATGGGAATCAACGCCCTTTGAGGAACGCGTTGATGCCCATACAGCGCCGCAGGGGATCCAATATTGAGGTGAGGCAGCTCGCGTACGCGTTTCTGCAGTATACTGACTTTTTGTGGTGTTGTAGCTGTCGGAGTCGCCATGTATTGCGCCCATGGTGTCAACCCACGCGTCGCAGTCCATCCTGCCCTTCCTACGGGTCCCCTTGGATGGGGAGGACTGGCCAATCCCAAGTGGGGAGACTGTATCTCCCAAAGACGCTGAATTTGTCAGGAGGTTCTATCCATAGGATCAGGCCAAGGCAGACGAATCCCACTGGGTACCTGCCGTACTGAAATCAGCCAACCCAGGCACAGGACTTTAATGCGTGGACGTTCAGAAGCAGTCGACCAAGGTAGGAGCAGGCCTCAGGTTTCTTCAAATTCTATCGCCCCGGTTGAGCTTTGTACGGACTACAATTGCGATTATCCCAGTTACGGTATCGTTGAGTGGCATTGAGGACGCAGCTCATAGGATATTGTATTTGCCCCCGTATTGATGGTGCCGTTGATCGCATGATGTCGATTTATGAGGGCTTTGCAAGGCAGCGAGATGAAGTGAATTGTACAATGTTTCATAGATAAGAGTACTACAAGTTGGGGGAGAACTCATCTATGCTTTAGGTATCTTTCACCATTCTAGACTGTGAGCCCAACACAAATCGAAAACGCGATCATGCTCTTGATGGATCCAATATTGAAACTCACAAATGTTAACGGACGGCACCGAGTTATATGAGGAAGGTGAGCTTGCAGGCCGACAGTCAACGATGAAGGATACGGGCTGGATAGTACAACGTCTTACCGCGGACATGGTGTAGCGGGTGCCCATCGTTGGTCGCGCTTGTCGATGATCCGATCGGCTCTGACGGCGACCTTTTGGAAACTGCGCTCCTCGATCTCATTCGCTAACTGGGAAGCGCAGCATCGTTTCAAATCCGCCATTCGGCGACCTTACGATCATGACAGCTGGTGCGACGCTGCTTGACTAATATTAAGGTTTTGCCCTACCGGTACTTGCGCATGCGGATCTGCAAGTGCGGACAATAGGGTGGAAGAAAATACGGATTACCTATACCGGTACCAGGGTCCATCATACCGTTGCAGCACAGCAGCACAGGAAGGCGCTTAGAACCTGGAAGTTAGAGATGGGGAATATGTTGGTTCGTAACCCGCATTCGTGGACGTCGTGTGCTCGCTTGGCAAAGGTCGCGACCGGTGCTTCAGGTTCCGTCGCATGTGGACCACTTCGTTTCATGCTCGTACAACCAAGCTTTTAGAGCTGATCAACAACTATGGCCGCGAATTCCACCGCAATGTTATTCTGCACGTCAACAGGAAGGCCCGTAAAAGATTTTGAGTTTGAAAGACGAGGTCGCGTTCGAATTGGACCGAGAATGACCACCTCTCATTTCCAAAAATTGGGGCCTCACAATTTGGCTGAGGACTTGAAGGGCGTCTAACACCCAACACGCGTCGCAACCCTCCCGTCTCCAGTGGCAGGAGCTTGAGAAAGCTAGCACCCGGATCGATTCCCCGCAACCCGCACAGACAACGCATCCCGGAGGAGGGTTCCATCAATTATTCGAAAAATCTTCCATCACTGTTAGGCTTCGAATCTACCACTTGCCAGAGAGCCTTCGAAATCTTTCGAGACCTGATTTGGACAACTGCATCTCGCCTCGATTCATACCTAAATTCGACAGAAGGACCGAAAACCAATCTTTCCACACAAATCCTGTGACTGGGGAAGTGTCAAGGCGGTGGTCTGCTTGACGCTCGGTACCTAGGTAGACACGTCGCACCGACTACCAGGTTCGGAGTTGCCCGCGCAGCAATTCAGTCGCAACATCATCTCTGAACAACAGCAAGACATTTCCACGGATTCACGCTTTTGGAACCCATTCTATCGGTATCGTGAGATCCATTCTCTACGTTTCGGATATATGCGCTTGCCTCCAATGTGGATATGACGCCCCATCCATTGCTCTACATACGGCAAAGTTTCTCACTTCCCCATGTCAGTACTACAACTTCAACTTTATCTACTCTCGCTATATTCATGGCAGGCTAACATCGACAGCCGCCTGGAATCGCACCTCTACCTCCTCCACGACTATTTGACGAGTCTCGAGCCCCAGACATCGTAGCTGGAAATGTACTCCTTCAGCTTATAGGGACACTGTTCTTCGGTGCGCGAGTATACTCTCGTCTTCTACTGATAAAGTCCTGGAAACTAGAGGATACTTTGCTAACAGTTGCATGGGTAAGTCCTAAAATCCTTGATGTACAATAGGTTGTTGATCTGATTAAGGTACTTGCCACTGCATTCAGCATATGCCAATACGGACAAGTAGCCCACGGCGCTGGGCACCACCTTGGAGTTGTCCTTCACAATAATCCGAATGATGCTGTGGAAAGTCAGAAGTGGGCATATGCGGCCAACCTCGTTCTCTTTCCCGCCCTGGCCTTCCCGAAACTCAGCATCTGCGATGCCTACTCCCGCATCTTCGGCGAGAGCCTCATCAACCGGCGCTTGATCCAAGGCCTCATCATCCTCATCGCAGTCCCGACCATCCCCTTCTTCTTCCTCTCAGTCTTCCAGTGCAAACCGGTTAACGTGTACTGGACCGAAGGCCGCCCGTTCGCCAAATGTCAACTGATAGATTTCAAAATGTTCTACATCCATGGAGGCCTTAACATCTTCTGCGACGTCGCGCTCATGATCATCGTCATGCCACGCGTCCTGGAGCTCCATGTCAGCCAACGTCAGAGATGGGCATTGGTTGGGATCGTAGGATTAGGTTCGCTGGCCGCCATTGCTGGAGTCCTACGGATGACGCGCCTTTCCATGACCCTGAACAAACCGAATTTCGATTCTAGTTGGGATGCATACGACGTCTCGATTTGGACCTCGGCCGAGATATACGTCAGCTTGATATGCGCTGCGGCCCCAGGAGTGAAACCTGTGGTTTCGCTTGTACTACCTAAGTTGCTGGGGACGTCGCTTGGGAGTCGGACTCGTACCACGACTGGAGATGGAAATACCGTACATGGCGGTGCTGCACCGATCGAATTGCATTCGAAGATGAAGAGGGCGACTATTGGCAGCGCAAGAACGAGGAGGAATACACACGAAAGTATCCTGGATGAAGGGGATGGACCGTATACCGAAGTCGGCAGAGGCCTAGATACAGAATCACTGAACTCAAGAGATGGTAACAGTGAGAGACGGCACACGAGAAAGGGGTCAGAGATATTGATAACCCAATCGAATGCTCTTTGAAATGAAGGATCGATCGACAACGCCTTGAGCGAAGCGTGATGCATTTCGTGGACATCACTGTTACAACACTAGGAGAGGCACGGTCCGTCCATGTTTAGGTCGAGGCAGACAATTGCTTCGAGGGTCGCGGAGCCCTCCAACCGCCGGAATACCAGCCCTTGCGTCTTCATCGCTCCTCTACCAGCACTGTGCGCTTATTTCGGCTACACCACCACTGTTTAATAGATGTGGCGGAGTGGGGGACGATGTATATCTCGCAAGCTGGTGGCGCTCTATGCGGGCGGGATCAAAGCCATCCATACCAATTCACTCGGTAACTAGCAAAAAGGCACGTAAAGAAGGCGTCAACCCAATTAATTAATGACTAATTGACATCAGGAGGTCTCTAATCGGCCGTCAACGAACCGCGAACTCGAAGAGAGAGTTGTCAAGGACTCGCCACGGTGGGTAAAGGGTCTATGGTCAGTCATGTGGATTCCCATTCTCACTACTGGATTGAATATCCTGTGAAAGAGTATCGTGGCATTTATCGACTACCTAGATAAGATATGGGCACTGTAGACAGGATCGTCCAACTACAGGTACATGCCTATTCGCAGGCGCCTGTGTATGTTGCATGTTTCTCGCAACGGACAATCAGCAGCCCTGCATAAAGTAAAAGAAACCAACTTCCCTACACCATCCCATTCCCATCATATAAAGCTGTATCGAAAGTGTTCTGCCGGATAACGCATGTCTTCGTGCTGCCAAAACTGTGAAACCCTACCAGCCCGTCCTTGCAAACTGCAGATGATGATGCCATTGAACATACTGATTATCCCATGCGTGGTTGAAATCCTTCATAGCCACCTCCACTGTTGCACCAAGGATCATACTACTGATAGCTTCCTCAAATAATTCATGCAGGTGTTCTGATGCCCATTGCAAGCGCTTGTCCGTGAACACCCCCTGTCTGTTCCACATTGTGTCGATGCGCACATTAGCCGTTTTCAATGCCTTCGCAAGGGTTTTTCTCGGGTCAAGGCGTTTACGAAACCAGCACATTGGTTTGAGCCAAGGCTCGTGGAGATCCAAGCGTACACTGGTCTCTCGGGTACATATCCAGATGTTGACATGTTGTAGATTGACGAGCTGTTTCGCGGCAGCTTTGCAGGTACGGCTCCAGCTGTCGCGGTGCTTTTGTTTCCATCGGATATCCTCAGTTCTCTTCGGGTCGCCATAGACACGGTAGTACAATTGTATCCTTGTCACGTGGGCCAAGTTGGTCGCCAGAGGGATGTTCAGGAAGCTGACGATCCGGTTGGGCGAGTCGAACGCAAATGTCGTATTCTCGTAGAGAAAGCGGATAGACTCGGCGTATACCTGTTTGCATACAAAGATCAAGCCAGAGAGAGATGTGCACCAGCGGGTATCGAGACCTTTAATGCGCTCATAGTGTCCTGTAAGCCAGTCTGTCAGTATGAGACAGAATCAATAAGCTCGAGTACCGGCAGCCTCCTCTGCTTCGTGTGTCATGTGGCAACATCGTCTTCACACGCTGTAGATCGGTAAGATCAATGTACATACCCAGAGTTCTGGAAAAGCGAACCGTTGCTATGGGCGCGAACCTCTTTTCACAACTAGCTTGCACGTCGCACGAGTTGAGTTTGCGCATGAAGAATTTGAGGCTGTCGCGCTGCTTCCGACCCAACTTCGCGTCCTTCTCTGCGAACTCGCATTTGAAGCCCTGCTGAAAGTAGTAGTCATAGATTTGATTTCGCAGTTCTCCAGGCAGGTTCAAGAATCCGGGAGGCTTCTTCTTCACCTTGCTTGCTGGACGTGCGCGCACAGATAGGCCGCCTTTCTTGTTCATGTCCAAAGACTGGTGTGTCGTTGTGAGCGTGAAGTTGTGCTAGGTTGTCAAGGTAGTTAGGTAATTGTTAGGCACGGATGAGGCAACCATGGCCGAGCTGTTCGTATGTGAGAGAACTGAAAGTAGGCCGGCCGCCTGATATGTTCGCCAGGTGCTCTGCAGGTTTCCCTGCCTGTTAATCGCTGTAAGGTTAGCCGGTGACGTGGTCGAGCTGATCGCTCGTTGATCAAGTAGCTCAGCAAGCTGTCGCTTCGAGCGACTTCTTCACTTTGTTTAGTCGAAGGCAGCTGTGAGAGTGAGTGCTGTGAGAGTGAGTGAGAAGCAAAAGAGGAAGTTCTCTCCTGGTAGACATCTCACACCTGCCGCGCGCTAAACTCGCCAAGCTTAGCGCCAATCAAAAGTCATCTTGCATACACCTGCCCCCCACGATCATACCCCAGAAACCTCATCATGCCTCTCCCAGCTCGCTCCATCCTCCTTCGCAATACTGCCACCCTCTGTCCCACCGCCCGCAGCTTCACGACCTCCTCCAAAGCCCTCTCTCGTCTCCGCCAGCCCGGCGAACCCACCGGCCCTAACGAGCCCCCAAGCCATACTACTTCACCGCCCTCCAAGTCGCCCCTCAAGGTCTGGCCCATTGTTTTCATCTTCTGCGCGGGCAGTTTTATGTTCAAGAAGATCGTTGATCAGCGGAAAGAACAAGGACAGTATCAATCCAAAGGTCCCGTCGCTGGTCATTCACCTAGCCGTCCATAAACACCTTATCACAACCCCGCTTCAACATGCCGGCGATTGAGAACCTTGGTGCGACCACGCGCACGTCTCCACTATGGTCACCTGATAAGGTCACTGTCATCTTTGTGCTTGGTGGGCCTGGCGCCGGCAAGGGCACGCAATGCAGCAAGCTGGTGTCCGACTATGGCTTCAAGCATCTGAGCGCTGGAGATCTGCTGCGCGAGGAGCAGGACAGGCCCGGTAGCGAGTTTGGCGAGATGATCAAGACGTATATCAAGGAGGGTACTATCGTGCCAATGGAGGTGACGATTCAATTGCTGGAAAATGCCATGAAGAAGGCTATGGAAGAGGAGAAGAAGAGCACGTTCTTGATCGACGGTATGCGTTCATATCATCTCTTGAGCTTTAGCACGAGCGCTAATCAGATAGACAGGCTTCCCTCGCAAACTCGATCAAGCCCACGCCTTTGAGCGCTCCGTCGTACCCTCAAAGTTCACCCTCTTCTTCGATGCTCCCGAAGATGTCATGCTGGAGCGTCTTCTCGACCGCGGCAAAACTTCTGGTCGGGCAGATGATAACATCGAATCGATCAAGAAGCGATTCCGCACTTTCGTCGAAACGAGCATGCCTGTTGTTGACGAGTTCGAGAGCCAGAAGAGGGTGATCAAGGTGAATGCTACGCAGACGCCAGACGAGGTATACCGGGATGTGCAGGCTAGGCTGAAGGAGTGGGGTATTGAGCCGATTACGCTCAAGTTCGTACAGACTGACGCGTAGTTGAAGACAATGTCCATGGCTCACTAGACATACATGTGCTTAGACGAAACAGAATATATTAGTTCAACTCTCATTGTGAAGTGACCGTAGAACGGAACTTTGAAGTGTATGTTGCATTTCTATCATGCAGCAATCAGGCTGCGATTCCGGCCAGGAACCCAGGAAGCCTCTGATGCATTCGCTTCCAACCCTACCGTTTCGACGAAAAAAGCAAACAAGCAAGCCAGCAACACCCAATGCCCTAGTCATTTAGTCCATCTCGTCGTCAATCATAGGCTTCGGCTTCCGGTTGTTGTTGCCGCCGCGGTTGCCCATCCTATTCGCCTGCTCCATTTTCTGCTCGATCCTGTTCTGCTCGTCCTCCTTCTCCTGCGTGAATTTCGCCTTCTCTTGCTGAACGACCTGCAGGACAGCCTCAAGACCACTTCGCCACATGTCCAGTCTCGATGAGACCTCCCGCCATTGCTTCTCGCCGAACACACGGTACGTTGATCGGTGAATCAGGAACGTCTGCTTGAGCTGGCTGAGCTTGCCCTCTACGAGACCAGCGCGGATCACATCGATGACCCACATCTCAACGTCCTCGGAAGGGATCTGCAATGACTTGGCGATGTGTGCGTATGGCAGCTCGCGGGTCTGCGCCGCCGATGCGGCTATTGACGCGAGAGTGAGGTGGCGCATCTTGCGGTTCAGTGCAGCACCGTCGAGACTGACCTCGTCAATCCAGCCGTCGTGCTCATCCTTGAAGTCATTGAAGTCGTCCAGCAACTCGGAGTTGAAAATCTCAAGTAGCTGGAAGTATATTGGGTCAGAGTTGCGAAGTGCCTGCACGGAGTCAAGGTCGGTGAGATCTTGGAAGTCGTAGTGGCTGGGGCGGATGAGGGCGGACTTGAGGGCGCGGATAGAGAGGTCGCGGGCCTCCTGCGAGGAAACCTGGTCCGCATTGAATGTTCGGAGAGCGCGAAGGAGATATGTATACGCCTGCTCGTCCTCGCCTGCTTCGACAGCCACGTCGCTCACTGCTAGGTATAGTTTGCGGTCATCTGCCTCCTCCGTCTCCCAGTCCTCAAGCCATTGGTCCAACTGCTTAAGCTGTGGCCGCAGAGTTTCGAAGTTTGACGTCGCTCGGATAACCCGCAGGATGGCAAGGAGAACGTGGTATCTCAGCTCAGAGTGATCTGAGGGGAGCGTGTTGAAAACGGTGCTGAGAACTGACAAGGCAAGTCCACCACCGTTAGCGGGCGAGGAGGAAATCGGAGCGCTGAGGTGAGCGCAAATTTTGGGAAGGAACATGGGAACATTCGGCGACTGTCGGACGAGGTGAATAAGGAGGTTGTATGCTGCTATGAACTCTGCGCGACATAACATTAGTATTGCTCTTTTGCACATTGCATAAATGACTCCATACCCTTCTCTGGTGCCTGGTTAAGGACCTGGCCGCCCATGACGAGTTTCTTGAGTACTTCATCCTTCTTGTTTTCCTTCAAAAGTTCCGCGGTTTCGGCTTGGATCGCTGAGCTTTCGTCGCCCTGGGATTTTTTGAGGCTGTCGATGTATTGTGCGAGCTCGTCGGCAAGCTCCTCAAAGGTGCCCTCGATGAGCAACGTGGTCTGAGGGCCGGGCATATTGAGCTTTAACGGAGGAATATGCCTGGAGGAAGTGAACGGGTGGGGATCACGGTGCGCGCGTTGTCGTGACTTCGTCAAAGGTTGCGCCTGCCGTGGTGGGTGCGTGCCAAGATTTCAAAATTCAAGGTCACGTGGTGCGGGGCTCCTTCCTCCGAGCAGACCGCTCAACCTTCCATCGCTGTACCACGCAGCTCTTCGTGTCAAACCTCAAATACTCAAGGACGTCCAGCAATCGGTCAAACATAATCAACTGTCCCACTAACAACCATCACTAACCATCTTTCTCTTGCGAAATCAATCGAAGTTCTTGCCTTGTCTGTTCTCTGGAGGCGATAGAAGGACCGAGTGCAACTGTCTTGCGTGTGATTGTACTCTAGTTGCGATGGCTCCACCTCACACCAGCAAAAAGACTAGCACCACCTCCCAAGCGACCTCCCGCCGTGGCACGCGTCAAGTCAAACAACATGTGGAGAACTACGAGCTTGAAGCGGAAGCCATCGACGATGACAACGATGCTGTTGATATGGACATTGACAACGCTGAGGTCGACGAACTGGCCGAAGCAGCTACGACCGAGGCTTCCCAGGATGGGTCCCAGCCGAACTCGGTGCAGGAGTTGTTGCGGAGCATGCAAGCCGATGTATGTCACACACGCAGCACAAACCTGGGTGATCACCCTTCCTGGGCGAACATTCTGACGAGTATAGCAACACAAACGCAACGAGATCCGCAAGAAATCCGTATACAAAGCTTATAAAGAAGCCCACGCCAGCACGCAAGAAGCCATTACCTCGCACTTCGACGAGCATGAAGTGAGAGCGTAGAGTCTCTCACTGATATCCTCTTAGCCTCCCTCCGCTAACATGAAGGTAGTTCCGAAGCTCACGAAGCCCAGATGGCCCGCCTGAAAGAGCTTCTCAAGATGAAAGCCCAGATTGAGGCCACCATGGCGGAGAAGCTAGTCGCGCTGCGCAAGGACTATGTCTACCATTCTAAAGCGCTCGAAATGGTCGTTGAACATCGCATGAAGCAGCTAAACTGATCATGGCCTGGGTTCTACGAACCGGACTTACCGTTAGGGTCCTGAAGCAATAGAGGAAACCACTTCGCTAACAGCGTCATTCATCACTGCGAAGGGCATGTTGCATGCACCCAGCATGACGCCAATGTGTTTTCAATATAGCACATGCGGAGAAGGTCTATCATTGGCGTCAACGTGAAACATCCTGCATGAGAGTTATGGGAGGAGAGGCTGGTGAACCAATCTACGCATGTTTAACGCCGGATTGATATCGCCATGTGGCTCGAATCTTGGCAATAAAGAAGCAGTCAGCCTTCGTCTTGTACGTCAGTGGAAACGCCACATCGAACGTTCTTAATCAATCTATATCATTCGAATTCAAAACTCGCAATTGCCCCTACATGCAGGTATCATAGAATCCCTCACAAGAATTATGCCTTTTGCAGCACGATCCACCCAGTCCAAATCTACTCCAACCATCATTTCATACATACTCATTACAAAGAACGTAAAGTCTAGATGTCATCACATACACGATGTGGAAGATTAAATCGTCTCGCCCTGTCTTATGCTACCCCTGGTACTCCGGCAACTCGTCACCCCCAGGCGCCTCGCTATGGCCTCGGCTACGTCCTGGCCTCACAGCGCTCACGAGGCCTTCGTCGTCGTCATCGAGCATCGGTGCCGAGGGTGCCAGCGTGAGGTTGTGCATTGCGTCTGCCGGCGGCGCCAGCCCATGTGATGACGATGTTTCTTCTGGGTTTGTCAGAGGTGCACTCGCTTCCATCTGTAGCCTTCTTCGCTGAAGCTCTTGTTTGTCATCTGTGGGTTGGACGTGCGCTGATGAGGACGGAGTGTAATCTGGTGCAGCAGCTGGTGATGGTGATGGTGATGGTGGAGGGAGAGCAGGGAGGGCTTTTATTGCATTCGGAACGGTGCTGCTAGCTGGAGACGGATGGATAGTGTTGGCATTGATGGTTAGCGAAGAGCCTGTAGTAGCTGTCCGGGTGTCATCGTCGGCAGAGGTACGTGGTAGAGACCGCGGTGGAGCGGCTGCGGTAGCGGCTGAGAAGGACGGTGGTGGGTGAGACGATGATCCAGATGCGGTTGCTGAGGATGCCGTAGGGAAGTACGTAGGGCGTATATCATCGTCGTCATCGAGGACAGGAGCCGAAGGCGGTATGCCGCTCGGGACTTCAGGCGGAGCTGGTGACCCACCATCCCCAGGAGGTTGTGAGGGTAGGAGACGTGCTTCTGCCCTTTGTATTCGCTCCTTCTCAGACAGGCCTTCTTCGTTCTCCGGCTGCGGGATATAGGGCGCCCGTGAGCTGCTACCGTCGTGATATCCTGGTGCTTCGCCATAAGCATCGTCGTAGGCGTAATGGTCGTAATACTGGCCATCGTGATCATATCCGTAGTAGTCCTGATCCTGCTCTCCACCCACCGAAGGCGTCGGTTCGAGCGGTATTTCCTGAACATCCGGTCGAGCATCAACAGGCTGAGCTTTCCGTTTGCCATTTCTTTCGCTATCTTTTGTGCCGATAACAACCTCGAACAAGCTCGATACCACGCCCTTTTCACGCCGTATGGAGTCCGTATCAGCGAAGTTGCCGCCCCATGTTGAGAACATACTGCCATTAGCATCTTCGGGTCCTAAGCCACCCATGGCCGAAGTGGAGCTCATCGGTACCAGGCCGGCAGTGGGAAGGATGCGATCAAGTCCCGAGAGTTTTCCTTGAATATCGACGACAACTTCCACAAAGTACTTGAAACTTATCATCGCCCCAGGCACATTAGAAATGCTGGGGAATGCCTCATCAGGTACTCTTACTGCACATTTGACCTCCGCAGTAAGCGTTCTTGGGTCGACAAAGAGAGGAGCGAATGACTGAGATAAATCCTTGCGGAACAGGTGACTTGATCCAGCCGAAGAGAGAGACAGGCCACCGAGGCCCGTGCGTGACTTGGGGTAATAGTCCTCGGATTTGGCCTTATCGTTCTTGCTGTTTGCTAAGACTGGCAGTGCAGGATGCATATCGACTCTTGCCTGTCTGTAAAGCGTGATAATGATCCCCTTCAGACTCCTCACATGCTTTGTATGGTTGACCGATATCTTCAAATTTATATTATCGCCGCGCAGGAAACCACCTTTCGATACTTCAATTGTTGCAGTTATGATCTTGCCTTTTACACTTGTTTGATTGGCGTTGGACAAGGTGCTATCCAGGTGGGTATTCACTGAGCGTATGCCATACTCTGTGCCAGAGGCGTTGCCGCTGCTCATCTGGCTTTCAAAACTTGTATCGCTCGGGGCCGGGCTTCCGGGATGGTCGGCTTCTTCCACACCAAGATTCGAATCCGACGCCCGCGCACTACGTGTGGGCCCCAAATCCTCGGGTACCTGTAATGTTGCCTCCTGTACTTGCGGCAGCTTTTTCGGCGTCCTTGCTCGACCTCTTCGGGATATAGGCTCTAGGGATATCGCCCTAGGCTTTGGTTCAGGTACGGAGGCGATGTCGATGATATCCATAAAATGAACCTTGGTGTCGCATGACGATACGGGAGATATGGTGGTTGGTTTTGTTAGACTGGCAGTCAACATGTACGATATAGTTCCCCGCTCAAACTGTGGGTACATATTAGTAAGAAGTTAGGGGCTATTGGGGAGTTGTAGGCTCACGTCTATACTGCTAGGCAGACCTTTGGACGGAAACTCCAATTCGAAATTGAAGTGATACACGCCCTCTCCCAGTCTTCCTTCCCCGCACAAGACCGCCTCGTCCTCAAAGAGCGAGACGAAACCATTGCCAAAGTAGCTCCCGGGTTTCTTGCCCTTTCCGGATCCCACTGTAGTACTGTAGTTTTTGTATGCGTCCCCGGGCGAGTTTGGGTTCTTGTACACTTGCGCGTAGCCGTGCAGCGAGATGACCAGATGTGTTATCCGCAGCGGCTTGATGACCTTGACTATGACACTGCCACTGATGACATCCCCAGGTGCATACTGGCGGTGCGGATCGTCGGGCTGTATGTAGAATTCGGTGAAATTGCGCGTTTTGGACTTGAGTGGCGCGCGGAGTCGAGACAGCAGCGATCTGCCGGAGACTGAGGGGCTCGAGGTAACGGTCGGACTGGAAGTCATGCTCTGTGGCCCGCAAACATCATGCGGCAACCCGCACCTAGTTTACAAGAGTGGCACAGTGCAGTCTACCCAATCGGCGCGTGAACGTGCCCCAAGATCGCGTGCGATGCAGGCTGGGACGGCGATGTGGGCGGTTCGGTGCGGAGCGGCGCAGCACTCACAGGCAAGCAGAGGCGGTACGCAGAGGACGGGAGCGACCCGGATTCGAACGCAGAGGCAGTCGCGACAGAGCGAAACGGTAGAGGCGACGGGTAGCGCGAAGCTGGAGTTGATAGCTGGTAGGCGAGGATGTTTGATGCGCCGCAAGGTGTAGCGGCGATCGGTGACGCGCAACCGTCTCAGGTCGGCCAGGGGGCTGCACACAGGATAACCAATTCAAACGATGGTACACGATGTCTAAGCCCGGCGAGAATGCAGTCAGCATTGCGATGCGATAGGAGTGGGAGAGGCAATCAAGATAGGTCCCGCAGTGGACCCGCTTGGTGGGAGAATCGATGGTTGGGGGCTATGCTGGCGGCGGGGAACGCGATATGCGGCATGGCGCGCAAACCCTCACTGTCCGCACGAGAGCGGGAAACGGCGATGATGGCGCAGGCGGCCTTGTTCGAGACGCGACCAGAGCATGGAAACAGAACGTACCTGACGTCGAGAACGAGGCTGCCGAGAGGAACGATCTGCCACCGCTCTCTTGGCTCTGCCAAGTCGATTGCAAACCTGATGACCGGGATCGAGTTGGACCGTTGCAATGGAAGATGTGAGAGATGCTAGGCGGGACGTGTAGATGGCGTGAAGGGGAGGTGTAGCGGTGCGTAGTGAACACGTGGCGAGACAGAACTCAGTGAACGAAGGCAGTGTAGATGGGCTGATGGTGGAGGAGGAAAGCTGGGGGAACACGCAGGATGGACGACCGTGGCCAGCAACGATGGAGACGAGGCGAGTGGGCCGTAGGGGTCCTGTGCATGGCTCACTCCGCAAGCGCCCATGCCCACTTGGAGCCCTTTCAGCCGAAGCGCCGGCCTCACGATGTCCCCATTCGTGATTGACACTGTAGCTGCGCAACGGCTCCTCAAGTCTCGTTCCCCTCGAAAGCCCACACCCCAGAGTTTGTCTTCATACTGCATTGACATGCGCCGCCGATAGTGCGTGCTAGTTCGCTATTCACCTCAACTCCGGTTCGGGCAGTGTGTGCCAGGCCAGTGATGGGGGACGGTCTCGAACACACCACTGCTGTTTGGCGGAGATCCTGCAGTTAGAGTTGCGCTAACCATCGGCCCATGCGTATAGTCAAGCATTCGCCAAGCAGTCTCCCAATGCTTGTGTCGGGCCCGGCCCCGACAGTCTCGGGATGTGACGTGCAGTTTTCACAACGCCACAAGTGCCCGAACTTCAGAAGACGACCTGCTGAGGCTGTTGTGTTTATCAGAGGTGGCTTTTGATTGATGGAATCCTCAATTGCCGGTAGATGCTATACTTCGAATAGTTTGAATTAAATTTCTAGGTAACACAATGAACAGCACCTGTTCTCAATGTCAAGTTAGAGCAAATATGTATGACAACGTAAGCTATTCCAGTCTTTTATGGTGCATAAGCGTGTTGGTGTGCATGCAAAGGCGGGTTTCTGCCCGTATGGAGCTGCTAAGGGTCGCGATACGCTTTGTACTTCAACTGTGAGTTGAAGCTGGGCACCTGGGTGACTTGGGTCCGTAGGTCTGTTTGGACGGGTCAAAGGCAAACGTTGTTAGCTTGAATCCATGTTAGTGTCCGTGCAAACAGCGAAGTACCTTCGTTGAGATAGAAGTGAGTAGAAAGAAGAATGTTTTATAATGTACGCATTTGGTTTGGTGTCGCGTGCGTTGTACGCTGCTGAGTCAGCGTCGGTACACGTGGGCGCCGATCTACCTAGCTATGACATCGAAGCTCGGCGCGCCTAGGAGGTCGACGGAACAACATCCATATGCGCTACGCAACATACCTTCGACGTCTACACGCGAGACGGTCGCTTTAAATCCCAGAGCGATGAGAAATGATACTACTTGCGACAGGCTGGATGCCGACGATATAGTGGGACTCAGACCGAGAGACCTTCGCATCCAGATTTACATCTCTTTGGCGCTTGGTGTGGGCGCTTTCCTAACCTTTTGTGTACGTACAATTGTTCTCCCACACTGGACTTTTTCTAATGCGCTATGTAGTTCCTTCGGCCCCGGTGGAAAGGCCTCTATGCGGCGCGGAAAAAGCAGAACAACCAAGCGACTGCACTCCCGGAGCTCCCTGACAGCTTTTTCGGATGGATACTACCGCTATGGCGCATAACGGACGAGCAGGTGCTGGAGTCAGCTGGCTTAGATGCATATGTGGTATGTACGAGCATGCTGTCATGCATTAAATCGCTAATTCTTGTAGTATCTCGCCTTCTTTAAACTGGCTATCAAATTCTTCCTCGTCGCCCTCTTCTTCGCTCTTGCCGTTATAAAACCGGTCCACGATACGCACAAGGACATCAAAATTCCTGATGATGAACACAAGAAACATGGCAAGCGTGATGATCTGTCAATGTTAGTGGCCATGGCTACCGATTACGATGCGTACACCGACTACTTGTGGATGTATCTCGTCTTCGCTTACCTTTTTACTGGTTTCTTGTTGTACCTCATTGTCTCACAAACAAGGAAGATCATCGAAGTGCGGCAGACATACCTAGGCAGCCAGAAGACCATTACAGACCGCACGATTCGCTTGTCAGGGATACCTCTCGAGCTCAGGTCGGAGGCGAAGATAAAGGAATTTATTGAGGACCTTGAGATTGGAACTGTTGAAAGCGTTACTCTGTGCAAGAATTGGAAGGAGTTGGATGAGCAGGTGGTGCAAAGACAAGCTGTCTTGAGAAAACTCGAGGAAGCCTGGACAGTGTATCTTGGCAACCGGCGGGTGGAAAGGAGTCTGGAAACCCTACCCGTGGTGCAACCCCGGCCCCCTGCTCCAGAAGTGCGCCGCGAGGATGACGAAGATGCAGGCGATGCCAGCCAGCTCTTGAACGATACTGATCGAGACCCCGATTACACTATTCCCTACGCGCGTCCACGCCCAATGGCTAGGATTTGGTTCGGTCGCTTCAAACTGCATTTCAAGAGCATAGATGCGATCAACTATTACGAAGAAAAGCTGAGGAGGCTCGATGACACCATCAAAACCTTACGAGAGAAGGACTTTGAGCCGACTCCACTGGCTTTCGTAACTATGGATAGCGTTCCGTCTGCACAGATGGCCATACAAGCAGTCTTAGACCCTTCGCCCCTTCAACTACTAGCCAACAGCAGCCCTGCTCCTCCCGATGTGGTCTGGACCAACACCTACTTATCCCGTGGGAAAAGGATGCTGCGAGCTTGGTCCATTACAGTCTTGATCGGCCTACTTACTGTTTTCTGGACGGCATTATTGGTCCCGATTGCAGGAGCTTTGAACACATGCGCTATCAAAGAGGTATTTCCCGGTTTGGCCGAAGCTCTCAATTATCATCCAGTGTTGCAGTCTTTAGTCAACACACAGCTGCCTACATTGGCAGTAACACTTCTCAATGTTCTTGTCCCATTTCTCTATGACTGTAAGTGAATTGAGCAACTTGCTCCGAGGCCGATAACTGACAATCGTAGGGTTGGCGAACCAACAAGGGATGATATCACAAGGGGACGTAGAGCTAAGTGTCATATCGAAGAATTTTTTCTTCACGTTCTTCAACTTCTTCTTTGTCTTCACCATCCTCGGAACAGGATCAGGATTTATAGCTCTACTGGAACGGCTCGGGGAGAAGCTCCATGATGCATCTATTATAGCCAACACTTTGGCAAAGTCGTTGGCTAAGCTTCTAGGATTCTATACCAACTTCATCATCCTTCAAGGCTTTGGTCTGTTTCCACTACGTCTCATGGAGTTTGGTGCACTCTCCCTATATCCTATCAATCTCATCGGAGCCAAAACACCTCGAGGTACGTTCGTCCACCACATGGCTACATTATCCTCTAACCAATGAAATCAGACTATGCAGAGCTCGTCCAGCCTCCAGTTTTCAGCTACGGTTTCTTTCTACCACAAACCATTCTCATCTTCATTATTTGTCTTGTTTACAGCGTCCTCCGAGACTCCTGGCAAGTATTACTGAGTGGTCTGGCCTATTTCATGATAGGTCATTTCGTCCATAAATACCAGCTATTGTATGCGATGGAGCATCGCCAACACTCGACCGGGAAGGGATGGATGATGATGTGCGATCGCGTCATCGTTGGATTGGTTCTCTTTCAGATCACTCTCGCCGGCCAACTTGCATTGAAGACTGCTTTCAAGCGCGCTCTGCTCATTGCTCCGCTAGCGGTTGGCACTCTATGGTTTGCGTATGTGTATAGCAAGACATATCGCCCGTTGATGAAGTTCATCGCCTTACGAAGTTTGAAGCGCGCCAAGCATTCAGACCTTGGAAGAGGTGTGCAAGAGGAGGCGACTTCACAAGAACACCAAACTGTGGACGAAGCTCGCGAGAGCGAGATGCGGTTCGCACATCCGAGCTTGATCATGGAGTAAGTTCATTCCAGTCACCTATAGATTTAACGCTGACTGGCTGCGTGACAGTCTTGATGATGTATGGATTGTCAACAAGGGTGCTAGATCGCAAAACGGCTCTACTTCTTATAGCGATTAAGCCGTGAGCGCATGCCCCACTCTTTCCTCCTTCTTTTACTCATTCAATTTGGAAAGCCCTCGTGTACTTCCTTCCATATTTGTGTAGTCCCTTCCGCATACGTATTCTGGTACTTGTCCTCCAGGGCTCTCTTCATGTTGTTTTCACTTGACATTGACGCTTTATACCCACCTACATTTCCTCGGTTTGGAACGATTTTTCACTTACCCTCACGGCCGTTGGGCCTTACTCTCGCCTTTGTATAGTAATATCTCGTACCTTCATCGATCTCACACTTCCGCGTGTCTGACTCGCAATCGACCTCTCGTATTCTGTACCAAACACGCTCGGTGCAAACCTGTGAGCAACTCTGAGCGGCGACTCGTCTTTTAGCCAAGTCAATATTATCAGCACCGCCCGTGCTTAGTAGCTATTTGTGCATCTTACAGGTTCGTTCGCTCACAAGTTGTTCGTCACAGATTTACTGCCTACCTTGCATCTCCAATCGGAGGTGCTGCAACAACGTCTTCTCAGATTTACCTCTCCCGGGGAGTAGCCGAAACAAAGTCCACATCAGCGCTTTCTTTTCCTGAACGTTGTCCTGCCTCCGTTGCGTCCTATTTCGAGTCTCCGCACCGCCATTCTCTCAGCCTTCCCCCACCACCGACGCCTTCCGCAGCCGGCACAGTTTCTCATTGTTCAGGCTCGATTACTCATACGCTGATGCATCAGGAAGAGGCTCGACCAGAAGCCGTGGATACCAAGAGTCAATCGCCTGAACCTGGAACACCAGCGAGCAGTCAGGTCGAGGCTTCCTTGTCACATACCAAACGATCCGATGTTCTACGGTACGTGTTTCCGCGGTCGCATTCCACGCGTAACTCTTCTATCAGCTCGGGGATCACTTCACGGATGGTAAAACGGTCCCATAGAAAGAGTCCACCTGCATCATCGATTAGACATTCGGGCCATCGGGTGGCCTTGCATAGGACCTTAGCCTCATTATTTAATACGAGCCCTGCAGAGATAACCCCAGCAACGGCAAAGGAGCCCAATGTTTCGGCCTCGTCAAGCGTCCGATCTAGAGCCAATTCGAACTCTCTTCACGGCTCAATGCCCAGCTTAGAGTTTGTGTCACCTGGTGCATTCATATTTAGCGGTCCAAGTCTAAGGTCACGATCCGGCTCCTTCAACAACTCGACATCTCGTTTACCCAGCTTGAGAGAGGATAGTGATGACTACAACGTGCTCCGTCGTGTTCACTCCGACGCATTCTCTTTCGACGACTTGATTGTGAGTCAGTTTGTCCATTATAATAAGGCGTTCCACTCTAACAATAATTCACACTTCTAGGCATTTGAAGACGGTATCCTGGAACCATAGGTTGAGCGCGGGATCGTCCGTACAGTGTCCGACGTCTTAAACGGCCTTGACACGCCCAGCCCTATCGAAGAGCTGGAAATATCACCATTGGAAGATCTGGCGGAAGTTCGATCATTGGGCGACGAGAGCTTCGAGGGTCCAAAAGCCAATCGGTCGCTTCTTGTCCGCGCTCTGGCTGTCGGGATCTTTACTTATCTCGATCAAGCCTGTCTAAAAGCGTTGAGGTCGACTTGTAAAGAGTGGCGCACGGTGATCGATCAGAATATCCTTCCTCAGCGACCAGCTTCATGTCGTGCGCCGACCGAGATCTTGCAACATATCTATCAGTACCTAGGTCCGAGAAGCGTGAGTCACAAGAGAATATAGTGTGAATCATACTCACTCGGGCTAGTTCAACGCTGCTCGACATACCTGCCGTCTTTGGATGCGGGCAAGTTTAGACACAAAGCTGCTGCGCACCATGCTTGAGCGAGGTGGTTGGTGGAGCAGTATGGAGAAGCTCGACCTAGAACAGCTTCGATCATCAGTCAACACCAGCGAGCCATGGTTCCTCAGTCGCATCTTGTCGCTTGAATGCTGTCTAAGTTCTGAATGGACTGGAAACGGTCTGCCTGCTCAGACCGATCAAGATTCTGGTGTCTTCGCAGAAATCTCTGATACGGACTTCGCGGACCTCGCCGGTGGTCACTCAGGATCTGAAGGGCGAGGGACTGGAGGGCTCAATTTCACCACTAGCATTTGCGGACAGTTCGTGCTCGTGGGCCGCGAAACGATCATCTACGTATATCATATACGGAGTAGCAGGCTTGCGCCTGCGACAAGCATCGTTTGTCCCCGAAGAGTTCTCGCAACGAGCATGGATGTGTCTTCTGGTAGGATTGCTGTGGCCGCCTTGCTCGAAGGCCGAATGGGCATGGTTTGCGAACTACAAGTCAACCAAGAATTGAGCGCCGGTCTACCAGTAGAGCTTCTGGTAAGGGGAAACAACCGTTCCTACCGGACCGTCGCACATAGTGCCTCCGTTCTGTCTAGTCAAGCAGACAATTTCGAAATGGGTGTAGACGCTGCTGATCGACAATCATTAATTGCCGAGCCTTCCAACCTACAGACACCCTACATTGAGTCGGTGGATGTACAGTCGAATCATCAATCAATATCACTTCACGAGATGCACGATCACCGGACCTATGCGCAAAATTACATCAACAATACCTCAATTCTGAATCTTGAAGGACCGCGTCACAATTCCCTACCCAGGTACACATCTGAACCTGGTCACGCGAGCTGTACCCTGCCAAATGAAAATGGCACATCCGCCTACTACCGTCACCTCTGTTCTGAAGACGATCCTCCACGCAGCGGTACGCAGCTTTTCATCACCAGAACAATATATTCTAGATTGAAGCAACTGGCATTATGGAATTTTTGCTAGACCATGCTGATTTATTTCAGTGTCTATTTGTCCTCAGCGTCGTTGTGTCGCATTTGGTAAGTCCATCAATAATGCTTAGTGTGTAGCACATATGCTCACCTTTGTTCCTCCACTCAGGATGCTCAGCTGGTATAGAGTTGCATTGGATAGACGCGCTCACCGGTCAGAGCCTAAGCCGTTGGTTCCCACTTACCGCACCATCAGACTACCTGCACTTCCTCGCTCCACGTCCTGGTTTCGAATCTGGGAAGAAGTTGCGGCTCATTTCCAGCGCTGCTCATCCCAACGACAAGCCGGGCATAAGTCGCAAATACTTCTTCGGTGGGTGCCTGCAAAGTAGCAAGAGATATGAACTTATCGTTGCGTCAGGCCACCCTACTGTCAGCTCTTTCTGGGGATCTTTTGGCTTTGAAAATCGCCCGCGACGACTTGTTCCACCCAATTGTGATCACTACCATGCTGTTCCATTAAGCGACGGCCACCATGTTCTTTTCATCGAACCGCAGACGGAGAAACTTTTTATGGGTTGCGATGCACCGCTGGGCGGACCATTCAAGCTTCTTCGGAAAGTCATGTTCGTACCACCGTCACTTGACGACAAAGCACCGCGTAATTACACCGCTGCTTTCGACATGTCGTGGGGAGCACGGGTGGTTGTAGTCTTTGGAGACACACTGGTTCTCTACAGTATTCCCCCGGATGTATGCAAACTTTCCCGCAGCGAGCAGCGAGCAGATAGCTGGGACGTTTACATCGCTCCACCCTTTACGGACGAAAAACGCACCGAAGATCACTGGCTAAACTGGTGGGATGAGCCATCGCCTTCTAAAGAGCCAGGAAGCAGTCCCATCTGGCCGATCGCCGTCCGCGGACAAGAGCTTGGGAAGTTGAAGGGTGTGTGCGAGGTGACGATTCATACAAAGCCGAATATCACAATATGGGGATTCACGTCGGACTCACAGTAAGTTGCTCTGGCGGAAGATACAGCGAAAAAACATGGCTCACAGGTTTTCCACGTCCAGTTGCAAGACGTGGCAATTGCGGAATCATGCGGATCCAATTGTACACACTCGCCACTACGTCTGTCAGAGCGGTTTCGTTCACGATGTATTACCCCCGGATGAGGCGGAACAAGCCTCCTTGACTCATGCAGGACTCGCGACTGGTCAGTCCAAGTGAGTGGCATCAGATTGTTTTTTACTCCATTATCCCATGAGCTCACTGCATATGTTTGCAGATCAACTCCCCGTGTCGGATCGCCAGTAAGCTCCTCGGTCATGTCTCCACGTGTCGCCACCGATAGCCCTGAACGCCCCGTCGGTTTTGACGGCCAGTGCTCGCAGATCCTTTCTAATTCAAATCTGACCCTCGAGTCCCATAACGGAAGACGCATAGTGAAGCGGCTTCCCCGGGCAATGAGTGTGGAAAATGACGAATGGGTCGACTTTCTAGATGTCCGTGGATGCGATGCATGGTTCGAGGAAAATGGAGATGTGATGATGGTGGGTCTGAGTCATCCCGATGTTATAGTCGAGATGGGTGGATTATTGACGAGTTGGATAGGTGCCGTGGGATGTACACGTTGGAGGCATGGAGTTGGAGGCGGAGGTTGAGCATTTGGAGGTGGCGGTCCTAGAGGAGAGGGGTGACATGGGCTGGATTGCTTCGAGAGATGTTATAAGAGGATGAGCCAGGAGGTGAAGTGCTGTGCACCTTGTCTAGATATCTCACGCTAGGACCATTGGGATCTATCTATCTCGTTGTCGTTGAAGCTGTGATAGATTATCAACAGTAGAGCTCAGAGATGCCTGAATGTCCAACTTGAACCTACACTTGGCAGAGTATTTTCGGCATTAAGATTCGATCTGGGAGATGACATGATTCATATCGTGTCTTTGCGTCCACAGTTGCGCTACGAAGTATACTTTGTAATGTCGCGTAGCAGCGCGTGGTCACGTGTACACGAATCATCTTTGGTCTTGGCAATTCCTTTTGCGCTCTGAAGTTCGGTCTATCGACGTCGACAACTCAACACGAACAATCTCACGATACTACCACACAAAATGAGTGCGCAAGAAAACGAAGACGCTATGGAAACCACCGGCATCAACGGCTCCATCGAGCCCTCCACCTTCAAGCTACTCGACCACCTGCAGACCCCACAATACGTGCGCCTCTACGACGAAACGCAAAAGCTTAAGGAACGCGTCAACGATTTGACGTCGTACCAACAAGCACACCCAAGAACTTCCAAGGCACCCTCTACGCCCTCAGAAATTGATGCCGAGAAGAAGATACAAAACCAGCTGGACCTTCTGGAAAAGAGGCTACGAGCGCAGCTGGCGATGACACGCACGGTGTATCGCGCGTGCGTTTTGAAGATACGGGAAGAGAAGGCGGAGACGGCAGAGAAGAAAGCCGCGAATGACGCGCTGATATTGGGCCTGCATAATCTGAAGTATGAGGAGAGCAGTTTGAGGAGCGAGATCGCGGCCGCGCAGAACTACGACCACAAGTACACGAAGCTCCCGCTCATTCCCACAGACGAGTTCATCGAGAAATACCCACAATTCGCGGAGGCAAGCGAGCACGAGCTTACTATTGCGCGCATCGAGCAGGAGCACCAGGATCGCGTGGAACTGGAGGCGAGAAGGCAGGAGAAGCTCAAGCAGAAGCAGAAGCTCATTGCTGAGGTCAAGAAAAGCAAGGATGATCTTACGAGGCTGGATGGCATGGTGGAGAAATTTGTGGAGCACTTTGAGCCGATCAGAAAGGTTTTGGCTACGGAGTAGGAAACGTCCCCGGAAGGGGCAACGGACTGCTTTGATTTGAAGCGATATGCTAGGAATGTTATTCCACCGGGACGCGAGCCATGAAAAGAAGCGACAGATGCTCAAAGAGTTATCGCAAGTAGAAGCAGACCCAGAAGCAGGAGGCCTCCGTGCAGGGCGAACCGCAACATGGCACGGAATGAGAAGGCAGCTAGATGTGGGCAGATATACCAGGCCGAGCAGGATATGCTTTACTACTGTCGGTTGGTACAGGCTTCGCAAGGCCTTGTCAGACAAAGCCTCATCTTGTCCATGTATAGAGGAGCGTGGTCTCGCCCACACGTTGAAGATGCAAGGAAGGTAGCTAGTGAAAGGAGTTCCCGTTTGCATGGGCGGGCTAGCGAATCAATAATAAGTAATACTCAAGCCCTGCCCTGTGGTGACTCATTTACACTGATACAACGCAGTGAAGACTAGGGTTGGCACAGGGTTGGTTCCATGCAGACTTAAGACCTTGGCTTAGATACATGATGATACAACAGAGACATCATGAACGCCAATGATACTTGAGTTCTAATCTGTATTGTACATGTAGGCTTAGGCTGGATTCCACTATTAACTTTCCTTCACAGTACCCAACCTCACAGACACCGTGCCCAAGGCTCCAGCGTGGAGCGTGGGGCGACCCCATGCCGCGGTCGCTAAACTAGCGGCTTGGCATTATGGTGACGGCGCCCGCCGTTCCTCTCGGAAGTCTGCTATTCACTTGTACTCTACTCCTCACGCTTCTCCGCGCATACCTTTCGCCAGCCATGGCGCGCGTGTCGGCTTCAGTCAGTCTCTGCGACTGTAATATTACTCGCGAAGAGAAGAGCATACCGTATTCTGGACCTGACGCATTCCGCGCATTTCAGAGCGTGTTCCGACCGGTGTCGGGCCCGCCGCCCCGTCATTCCGAAAACGAAGGACGCGCGAAGAAGCGGCGCAAGCTGACCAACGGCTATTCCGCAGATACAGTAGAGACTTTCGATCCGAACCAGAGCGCCGTGCTTGCAAGAGTTACATTAGACTTGGTCAGTGGTTGCCCATAACCCCGTACTATCCCACGCTACACTATACATGGGCAGGCTGTTCCAGGACTTATGCTAGGAGTAGCATGAGACTTTCGTACACAGTTGACGCATTGTGCATCTGAGCAAGCATACGAATCTTTTCTTTACCCACTGACTAACTTGGGCAGGTCCCTTCCGACACTCAGAGTTCACCTTCACTTACACTTACGAACAATCCGCGCGCCGCGATCCCGCTACAACTAGAATCATTCTCGCGGCAAGACAAAAACCGGATAACCTTCTCAGCGTTCGATCCAGCCTCCTCAACCACCATCGGTTTCGTTGCCAGCGCCGCCCCCGTAGTGATCGAATCACTTGCGACACATCTTGACACCGCGGCATCGGTTGGCGCAGAATGGGCGAAGTCTTCACCAAGCTCAAGGAACGATTACATTCCCTTCTGCCGTTGCATTCTCTCGGCCCCAACGCCCGGCCAACAGGCGCCACGGTTAGAGGTTGAGCTGCGGTGGCCCTTTGGTGTTTCGCTGGTCAGCACGTGGAGGGCAAGATCCCAGCATCGTGCAAACCTAAAGATTCTGTCAACCTATTTCCCGAACACTTCAGTAGACGACAAGTCACCGTGGACACTATCCGACTTCTACGATGCTGTTCACGTCCCGCCGCAAGGTTGCGACATTTCAACTCGCATCGCAGACAGCTTGCCATCGACTGACCTATACCCATACCAACAACGATCGGTACACTGGATGTTGCAACGGGAGGGCGTGTTTCCAAAGCAAGAAAACAATGTATTTCCGGTGTCATTTTCACCCGCTCAGGATTGCACGGGCAAAAAATGCTACGTCAGCAGTGTCCGTGGCATGGTGATAGCTGACTTGAATCGGGATTGGGACTCGACCGGACTCCACGGAGGAATACTTGCCGAAGAGATGGGTCTGGGAAAGAGCGTTGAGCTGATCTCGCTCATGTGTCTCAATAAGCGAGACATTCCCAAGGAAGACATACACGACCCATACCTCAACAAGTTTGTCAAGGCTTCGGGTGCTACTTTGATCATCACACCACCTTCCATTCTCGAGCAATGGAGAACCGAAATTAATAGGCATGCGCCTCATCTCAAGGTCTACCATTACAAGGGCGCGGGTCGGCATGATATCGCGAAGGCTGAGCTGAACGAGGCTACCGTGGAGCACCTGCTCCAATTTGACGTTGTGTTGACTAGCTACAACGTACTCTCCAAAGAACTGCATCACGCCAAACCTCCACCTGATCGCTCATTACGACACAAGAAAGTCCACGAACGTCGAAACAGTCCGCTGGTCGACATATCGTGGTGGAGGGTATGCCTTGATGAAGCCCAGATGGTGGAGAGCGGCGTTAGCCAAGCTGCTACCGTCGCTCGTAGGATACCCCGTTGTAACGTATGGGCTGTATCTGGTACTCCACTTCGGAACAACGTCACTGATCTCGTTGGCTTACTCGTCTTCTTACGCTGCGAGCCGTTTGCCAGCACCAAAAATCTCTTCGCACGCTTGGACAAAGCTTCTTTCCGCGATTTGATCTCTCGCATGGCCCTGCGACACACGAAGGACCAGATTCGTGGTGATCTTGACATACCTCCACAGAAACGTGTCGTTATTACTGTGCCTTTCACCGAGATCGAAGAGGAGTACTACAAAGACATGTTCCGTCAGATGTGTGATGCATGCTTCCTGACCCCTGACGGTACTCCTACCCGCGATGACCGAGGCCTTGATCATCCCGAAACTATCGAGAGGATGCGCGACTGGCTGGTGCGTTTGCGGCAGACTTGCCTCCACAGCCACGTGGGCGAAAAGAACAGGAAAGCTTTCGGCTCGAAGAATCGATCTCTTCGCACAGTCCAAGAAGTGCTCCAAGCAATGATCGACCAGAATGACACGAAGCTCAAAGCGGAAGCTAGAGAGATGATTTTAGCCCAAATGAGGCGCGGTCATATCTACTCCTTTGCCAAGGATCTCGATAATCCCTACGACATGGCCATCTCGTTGTACAAAGAAGCGCTACAGACTACCTTCGACTATGTCAAGTCGGGTCGAGAAGAGATCCAAGCGGAAACGGATCAATTACAGCTGACTAGCCCAGAAGGTGCATCAGAGCACGATGGATCTGATGGCGAAGATGACAAAGACGAAACAAGCGCCAAATTCGCTCGCATTACGACTCTTCGCAGGTCACTCCGGTCCTTCCTTGAGCTTGAGCACGCGTGCTATTTCTTCATTGGTAACATGCATTTTCAAAAGAAGGAGAATGTTGCACTAACAGTGCCTGAATCGGATGACTTCAATCTACTGGAGAATCTCGAGAAGGAATGGTACGATAAAGCTCGAACGATACGTCAAGAGCTCCTGAAGGAAACCGAGGCTCGCACTCAGCGACAGATGCGGAAGATCAAGGATTTGAGGAACCAGCATCAGGAAATAGAACTACCTGAAATCGAAGATCTTGGCGGCATCGAAAGCAGCAGCGTGCTTGAGAAGCTGGATGTCATCAGCGAAGTCATCAACCTCCAGAGCGCGAAATTGAAGGAGTGGCGGAACAAGATCATTGAGATTCTAACCATGCCACTTGTCGATAACGACGATGAGAAGGAAATCACTGGTGAAGAATACGAAACTTCCCTCAAGGTTCAAGACGAGCTCTACGTCTACATCCAAGCCTTTCGCACCATTGTCGCCGACATGATGACCGCAGTGCACGGAACAGAGGATACCCTTGTCATCCACGAGATGGACCAAGCGATCAAAGCGGCCAAGGATGAGGACATCACTAGACGTGGGCACGCTCCCGAGCTTCTCCTCAAGCTCGCTCAAGAACGTGGACAGTTGCGTGCGAAGTCCCAGCACGGATCGCTCAAGGGTGTTGTAGCCTCCGCTCGCCAGGTGATTACATCACTTCAATACCGAGCTGATACCGCAGATAAACGAGCCTCAGCAGAGCTGGCCATTACCCAGAAGTACTTCGCACAGATACAAGAGATGTTCTCGGCAAAGAATGAGCTCACCGCCGAGCTAGAGAAGGAACAAGAGCAGTTTCGACTCACGATGAACCTGCGTTTGGAATTCTACCGCCAAGTCCAACATATCTCGGAGACTGTAGAAGACTATAAAGACGAGATGGACGAGACCTTCGATGTTCGCGCATTCAGGCGGGAGACTGGCCTGTTAGAAGTCAGGAAACAGAAGATTCAGGGCTTCAAGGTTCGACAGACCTACCTACACAATCTCCGAGTCAGTGCCATTCAGCCGCAGGGCGAGAGACGGTGTGATGTCTGCTTTGACCCTTACGACCTCGGAGTACTGACCACTTGCGGTCACAAGGTAAGTGCACCAATCCTACCATATTGGAGACTTTGCTTACAAACTGTAGTACTGCCGGGATTGCATGTTCACATGGTGGAAGGTTAACCACAATTGTCCTGAATGTAGGACTAAACTTACGCGCGCCGATATGAAGGAGATCACGTACAACAACAACGCCGTTACGGCGCAAGAAGAAGATCACGAGTCAGCAGCAACACCATCGCCAGCCTCTAGCTCATCTGAGCGCACATCAATCTATTCTGGTATTCGTAATTCCGATATGAATGAGATCAAGACGGTCAAGCTCGACGACTCGTACGGATCAAAGGTTGACATGATGGCGAGGCATCTGCTCTGGATTCGGAACAACGACCCAGGGGCAAAAAGCATCATCTACTCTCAATTCGCCGATTTTCTGCAAGTTCTACGCTTAGCACTGAAGAGGTTCAAGATCGGAGTCAGCGGAATCCGCGACAAGAACGGTATTGAGAAATTCAAAAAGGACCCTGCAGTCGAGTGTTTCCTACTGGATGCGAAGTCCAATTCATCGGGGCTCAATCTTGTCAACGCGACATATGTTTTCCTTTGCGAGCCACTCATCAACCCGGCTTTAGAACTGCAGGCCATCGCCCGAGTGCACCGAATCGGACAGAAGCGTGCTACAACGGTATTCATGTACATCGTTGGCAACACCGTCGAAGAAGCTATCTACGACATCTCCGTCAAGCGTCGCCTAGAACACATAGGTCGCGATGCTGGATCTCGCTCTGGCTCAGCGACGCCTGCCGTGAACGATCAAGCCATCGAGCGCAACTTGGATGTTGCTAATTCCGAGGAGATCAAGACGGCATCCCTTAGCAAGTTAGTGCGCGAAGGGAACCAAGGCGAGGTCGTTGTCGAGGACGATCTCTGGAAGTGTCTATTTGGAAAGCCGAGGAATACATCTAATGCCAATGAGCACGCAGTCGCAGTATCAGAAGAGGAGAGGAGGAGGCTTGAGACTCGGGTGCGTAGGGAGCAATTCCTTCAGCAGGTCGAGGCTGCGAATACGCCTGGAGCGAGCGTGGCTCAGATCGTTCTGCAGATTGCTGATGACAGAGCTGCGGTGGAAGCGGCGGTGGCGAGCGGCGATGTGGAAGAGTTGCGAGGACTGCTGGGGAGACGAGAGAGGGATGAGGATGCAGTCGCGTTGGCTCGCGAGAACAGCGTGGATTGAGCTTGCCACCTTTGGGACATGGGACAGATATGTGTTCACAATCTTGCGGCGAATGATGGATTTATGGAAATACCCTTTTGGATTGATTTACGAGCGATCGCATGACAGGAATACACACGTAACTAGACCACACAAATGCCACGTCGCCTTCCAACAATGCTGTGGCTGTCCAAGAAGCAATTACCCTTTCGCTTCCACATTTTCATGAGCTCGCTCGTTCTCCAGCTTTCTTCTTGACCTCCGCCGCCAACTTTTGTGCGAAATCCTTCGCCATGCCCGCATCCACATACTCCACCCACTCACTCACCCTCTGCCCACCCTCCTCAAAACCCATCTTCCACACATACTCATTCCTGTACTCACCCACCGGCGTATCTCCCCTCGCACTGGTAAAAACAACAATCTTCCGGCGCTCAATGCCTTGCTCGTCCTGTGAAACCCCCTCAACGATATCGTGAATGGTGAGCTCGAAGGACGTGAAGACTGATTTCATTCCGGTGAGGTTCTGGCGATACGCCTCGTTTGACTGGGGAGGAAAATTCAGTGATGAGGGGAGGAATACGCGTTTGCAGTCAGGGGTGCGGAGCGCGATTATGGTGTCGACGTCCTGGGTGTTGAAGGCGCGGATTAGGGCGTCTGTTGTTTCGCGCTCTTTGGAGGGCATGGTTGCTCTAGATTGCGATGACGATTGGGGTTTGGGGCTGGAGTAGATGTTGGTTCGCAAGAAGGGAATGGCTTTGTATGCTGGACTTTGGTGTGTAATGGGGAGTGGCAAGGATATGGCAGTGTTGAGGGTAGACTTGGGGCTGAACACGTGTACGCCGAGGGGTGTAGTGATGGAAGGATGCATACGTGCATGCAATAGCGGGGCAGATTTGCACTTATCAGAAGCCACGGACTTCGTTTTTAGAGTACAGTACAGCACCAGACCGAATGTTTTTTGGAACGTTGGATAAGAGGTGCCAATGCAATATTATGAGTATAGTCTCGAGTATCTAGAATGTCAAACTGAGAAACTCAGCAGAGGTCTTCTTTTGGTCTAGTCTTATGGCATCAATTCATAGGGTCCTTCACTACTCCCCATCGCCTAAGGTTTAGAGACGTTCATATAGATTATTCGTCACCGGTATGGCTACATCGTCGCTGTAAATCGCTTCTTCATGCCAATTCAACCCCAACAACAGGAGCATTTTGTATGTCTCGAGGTTTCGGAGAGCACTACGGTACGTATGTTAGGGGGCACTGCCTGTCTTGTGCCCTAGAAGTAGTTTAAGAACACGAATCTCGTTCCCCCGAAGAGGTCCATAGCGAGATTGGGGCGTTACTCTCAAGGAGAGTCGCCTATGCTGGCTTCCTAGGGCCTGACTCGAAGGTTAACGAAGGAGCTTCTACCACATGCACGTGGGGCGCTATGGCAGACACATGGTTCCGCATCTGCTCCGCGTCGGTCACGAAGTCCACCGCAAAGTTACATCCACTCACTATACCTTGGGGAATAGTTACTCTATACGCGCCTGGTAAGAGCTGAACTCAGGCCTTCCGACTCAAGGCGAGTCCCGGGTTCTCGCTTGCGCTGCCGGGCTTATGTCACCTTCACCGCGACTTTTCCCAGCGCTCATCATCTCGGGCAAACCCGCATGCGGGCATCCCCACAAGGCGATGACTCAGCCACGTGTCCACCCTGCTTCCAACCTTAGTTGTTGTGCGGCACGTTACGCTTGGTGCGTGCGCGGGGTCTCGGTATCTCGTTGTTTGTGTAACGGTGGCGTTTACTATGTGATAAAGGCGGGTTGGTACCATGTCTGGAGTGAATGCATGGGGTTGAAAGAAAGTAGATGGAAGATGCTTGGCCACAGGCTTGGTCATGTGCGAGTTTGCTTGTAAGGATGGTGGAAGACAAGTCTTTGCATGGCGGAAAGGATTCGTCCGCGACAACAGTAGCGATCTTTACTGCGAGTCCTCGAACGGAGGATCGTGCAGTGCAGGGCATGAACATACTGCAAGTGGATGATTCTATGATCTGCCAAGCTGACATGGCAGTGGCAGATGGCTCTACTGACATGCCACGGGAGTAGTACGATGTTGTGCGAAGCTCGTGGCGTTTCTCGTACCCTTTCCCTCCTTTGTACAGCTAGCGGCACATCTGATAACGTGCGAGATGGAGGATGCGAGTGTTGATGTCATGCAACCAACCTCGAGACGTTACCTTGTGATAACATCAGGGGATGCGTGGCAGGGAAATCGATAGGGATGAGGATCCATAACACCTTATTCGGTCAATTGAACGAGAAAGTGTAAGGATGGTGAGTAGCGGAGTCCTTGGCGGACGACCGAGTACGAGGGGAGGCCCGACACCGCCTAAGTCCGCACCGCGCGGTGATAAAGGGTGGCGTTGTGGGTTGGGAGAGGTGACCGAAGGGCGCTCTGGACTGCAGTGATCGAGTTGAGGGTGAAACACGGCGCCCAGACGCAGCTCCACGTTGGGTGGGCACCGCGTGCAGCCCGTTCAGCGTTCGCCAAGTCATACATGGATCGCGTGGGCTTGCGATAACTTTGTACGTCGCCGCAACGCGCGGAATGCGGGTTTCACGGACGAATGTCACCCAGACAGATGTCGCCATGGCACACGGGCAGGGGTTGCGAGCGGGATGCAATCCAGACCGCTGGCCACGCTCCCCGGGTGTTTGGTGCGCTGAGATTGACATGTTTCCAGATCGACGGCGGCGCGAAGCTTTCGTAAAGGGATGGGGTTGCGTAGCGCGCAGAGGGGAGCAAACTCGGTCGCAGCGAGCGCCCATTCGCCCGTCTGTTCTCGTTATTTGGTGCCTAACGTTGTGCCTGCGCTTGGCTGTGGGCCGGACGAAATGATTCACTTCGAATCAGCCTGCTTTAGGGGGAAAACTGCTCAGGTTCACGTCCGTGCGCGTCGGCGCGGAGCGAAACGAGATCCCGACGACACGGCGACAAGGGCCGCTTCGCTCCTAACGCAACCGATTCATGGGCGGTGGACGAGAATATTCGGTGCTATCCGCACTGTAAGCCTAGCTCCGTCGCCGCCAGGCAGCGGTATCGCCCTTTATTATGAGGCTGCGCTGCCGGTCCCTTTTTGTCCCTCGCCGGCTTTCTCGCAAACCAACCCTGAGTGCTTGTTAACATTTGGCCACCAGTGACAAAGCTTGTGTCCCTACCTTCGTTGGTTCATATACCAGACAAACGCCCAAGCATTGAAAGGCGTCATGAGCGAACAGAACAACCATCTTAAGCCATCTGGGGCCAGCATTGCCGACTCGGAGAAGACCGCAGCTGTTAGCAAAGCACCCTCCGTCATGGACTACGAGAAGACAGATGCTATTTCCGCACGGGAAACTTCCGCCGAGCCACAAACAGCACCCGGGACTGCGAACTCAAAGGAACAGACAATCGTCGACGAGGCAGATCGGGCGGCGGAAGAGGACGAGGAGGACTACCCCAAAGCATGGCGCCTTGGTGTCATCACCATAGCCCTGTGCTTGTCCGTCTTCTGCATGGCATTGGTACGCACAATCCAAGCTTCCCAAGCTTGTCTTTATCTCCTTGGCTAATGACTCCGCAGGACAACACCATCATCGCAACTGCTATCCCGCGCATCACAGATCAGTTCAAGGCCCTCAATGACGTCGGATGGTACGGGAGTGCATACCTTCTCACCACCTGCGCGACACAACTCATCTACGGAAAGTTCTACACCTTCTACTCGATCAAATGGGTCTACATCTCCGCCCTGTTTATCTTCGAGCTCGGCTCCCTCATCTGCGGTGTTGCGCCCAACTCCACCGCCCTAATCATCGGACGCGCCATCGCCGGTGTCGGTTCAGCAGGTATCTTCAGCGGGGCTATTCTCATCATCACTGTCAGCGTGCCCCTGCGACAACGTCCGGCCTACATGGGCCTGATCGGCGGTATGTACGGGATCGCTAGTGTTGCGGGTCCACTGTAAGTTGCACCCCACTTCAACTTGGCTGCACATCCAAGCAACGACTAACAATGCTTAGCCTCGGTGGTGCCTTCACCGATCACTTGACCTGGAGATGGTGCTTCTACATTAACCTCCCCCTTGGAGCTGTCACCGCTGCGTTTATCATCCCGTTCTTCAAGATCAAGCGCCGCAATGCTAAGATCAATTCCACTTTCCTCGAGCAGCTCAAGAGGTTCGATCTCGAGGGTAGTGCCCTGTTCCTACCAGCCATTATCTGCTTGCTTCTTGCTCTCCAGTGGGGTGGCAGCAAGTACGAGTGGAAGAACGGTCGGATCATCGCTCTGTTGGTCATTGCCGCTCTACTGATCATTGGTTTCCTTGCTATTCAAGTCTGGAAGCAGGAAGATGCTACCGTCCCTCCTCGTGTCTTCAAGAACCGCAACGTCTGGGGATCTGCCTGGTTCGTGGCCATGTTGGGCGCTGCCTTCTTCGTCATGGTCTACTACATTCCCATCTGGTTCCAATCTGTCAAAAGCGTTTCGGCCACGAAGTCGGGTATCATGAACCTGCCAGCTATTCTCGGACTTGTCGTCATCTCTATGATCTCAGGCGCAGCTGTCACTGTTGTCGGTTACTACACGCCCTTTATGCTCGTCTCCTCAGTCTTCATGACCATCGGCGCCGGCCTTCTCTCTACCTTCGAGACCGATACCAACTCTGCCAAGTGGATCGGCTACCAGTTCATCTTCGGTGCGGGTGTCGGTTTCGGTATGCAGCAGGCACTTGTCGCCGTTCAAACCGCACTTCCCAAGGACGACGTGCCCATCGGCACGGCCATCATGATGTTTTCCCAGACTCTTGGTGGCGCCCTCTTCATCTCCGTCGGTCAGAACGTCTTCACCAACCAGCTCATCAAGAATTTGCAGACCGTAGTGCCGGACCTGAATCCCAGCATTGTGCTTGCAGTCGGCGCAACCGAGCTAAAGAACCAGATTGAGGAGAAATTCCTGAGCGGCGTGTTGACGGCATACAACGCTGCGCTGACGCAGACATTCTATGTTAGCGTTGCCACGGCTGCTATGTCCATCTTTGGCGCGGCCTTTGTTGAATGGAAGAGCATGAAGGGTAAGGAGATTGTAATGGGTGCGGCGTAGACGTCTCTTCCCATCTTCACCTCTCCCTCTCTTTGGATGATTCGCATCGACCTTACATCTTATAATCCTGGATACCCATGCCGGACATACTACCGGCACTTTTTCTTTGACACTCGCCGCCCAGTTGCATGTTAGCATTTACAGCATGGCGTTTAAATTTTGGGGGGATCCATCAGCACTATGGTGCTTTTCCGTTGGCATTAGAATAATAGACGGACGACCGCGCGGAGAACGCGCCATATGCATGCAGAGGCTGCAAATCTTCTCTCTCAAAAGTAATGTTAGCGTAAGAAGAATAAGTACAAGATCAATGATATCAAGTCGGTTGACAGATACTCTCTTGACAAGGCTTTGCGTAACAGTTTGGTGACAAGAATGCCGTCGAGCTGTGCTGTGCAGTCAAACATATAAGCATGTATCAAGAGAGCTCGGCCGATAGGGCTCGCATGGCTCGGCCGAGTCTTTCCCGCACCGTTCCGTCGTTACTGTAGGTCAGAGCACGGACGCTATCCGCGGACGAATGTCTTCGATGAACCTCTCAGCTTCACGACCAGCACACCATCACTGCTCGGTTACAATGACATTTAGTTGGGAGAGAAAGCGTCGCAGATGGCCATCACCCATCTGCGAACACTTGTCCTCTCCCAACAGTGCTCCCAACGCTTTCTCTCGACAACTGTTTCAAAGGTTGAGGTCGACCACTGTCCATCGTCAGAATTCTCAGCCTCTGTGGGAGCGCCGTGCGAGCCGCGCGAACACCCTTTCTGGTCTAGCCTGTCTGCGCACGGGCCACCCTTAGTCACCTTCTTGGTTCATGGTGCTTGGGAACAGCATCCAGCTTTAGACGTCAAAACCTTCCTGCCAACAAAACTCCTCCTGGTGATACTTACACAATATATGACATTTAGTCACTCTCTTGGTCATAGTATTGTATCACTGCCATGACCTTCCAACTTAATCAGCTCAAGCCTCAACTCGCAAAATTAACCAAGTATGGCACCAAACGCTCGAACACCAGGTTTAATCACTCATATCAATGTATGAGTCTCGAATTACACCCATTTCCTTTTGCTCGCGCTCTATTACTCTGAGGAGCATTGGCAATCACGCGTCAATTGCACCTACCACGTCATTCGCCGCACCATGCGCAGCGACACATGCCGATTGCTTTGCAACGGTGCTCTAGATACGACAGTAACTAAGGGATTCGACATTACTCTCACCGCTTTCTTTCTGAGAACAACGCCTGCGAAAAGGAAGCAGCAGCGTTGCTTGTTCTTCGCGAGTGACGAATTCAATATCATCCATGTTCCTCTGGACACACGGGCAGCTCTGTTGCTTGGTAATGTTTGAGCTGTACGCTAATCATCATCAAGCAGTAATCCTTCTATCCCATCTAGCGTGATAAGAACCTCCGTGACATTCTGGAATGGATCCTCTACTCGGTTCCAGCTTCTCTGTGTGAGCTCTCTATTATAACTATCTCTCATGTCTAGATGCCCTGGAGCCCTCACAAGATCATTGAAAGAAAAATAGCTATTATTAAACTCGCTGTAAGAGTCTAGAGCTATGAAAGGATAAGTGTAGGTGTCTTTTGGTGCGAACACTGCGAGCTATGAACGTTAGTTGAGATATAAAATATAAGACACCTTAGAGGATCTTACTGGTGGCACCGCTATAAAAGCAGTAATCGTCGCAGTAGTTGGGTGAGTAAGAGTAGTATGTATTGATGAGGAGGACGGAGCAACCAACAAAGAATCCAGTAAGTGGTTGAACAGGGAACACATTGTACAAGCCACGCCACCCGGAATGACAAAATTCCTCGCCAGACGCCTAGTTTTCCCACGCATCCATTCGGGTGCATTCCGTTTGGAGGATGAATTTCCTCGTCGTCGCTAGACAGCGCCTCACTCGGATACTGGAAATGTCACACACACGTCCGATACTCTGAACTAGTTTCTTCAACTCGGCCTATGTATGTAATGAATCGCACTGGCTATCAAGGGTACAACCCATTTGATCCTGGTTCTCTTACCCAGCCTATGGGTTTCGGCGTCGACTTGCCCCATCTTACGCTACGCTCATGGACCGACGGGACCTGACCGAGGTGCTATACCCTTCTGCTGCAGACCTAGAATCGACTTCAGGGCCCTACCGTGCGGCTGCGAGTCCGACCTAGGCTTCAAAAAATGATCAGTCAGATCTGCAGGAAGAAGAGAAGGCTAATTTGCAGGTACCCTGGGAACAACGGGCATGGTGTAACTCCTGTCGCTCGGTGAGCGGCTTCAAAATCTATGTTATTATAGCATCAGACATATCCCGTGTATGTAGCTACCATACGATGAGATGAACAGGGTCGCTAGGTCGTTATGTGTCTGCATTGTGAATGTTCTCGCTTTTGCGCCTGCGGCCGACATTTGCTTCGCAACGGGTCGCTGCATAACAACGTCACCTCTCGCGTGCCCAAGGGGAGACTCGGGCGTTGTAGGACTGAACGTGTCGTTCTGTACATCAGTTGTACGTTTTCAGATTGTTGATGTAATATATTTATACCAGCATTGAGCTCTCTATGATCTGTCAACGGGTGATTCCTCCCTCGCGAGACCTCGTCAGGATTTCGCCCATCCATCAGAGTCTCTGCTTCTATAAAGCCCATCCTGGGTGCGTTTAAAGCCCCTTGAGGTCCAGTCCGTCGCACGTGACAGACGCAATAGTCTGCGCGTCACCCCTCTCTAAAACAGTCCTCTTGCTCTCCTCGATCCAGAAATCTCTGGTCTCTGCCGCACTGTCATGCCTGGAAGCCTCCTAAATCTTCGGCTCGATCAACTCGGGGATATCTTCGGGTTTGTTGTTGCCCTCAAGAATGTTGTACACGGCCGTGAAAAGTGGGAACTCGCTCTCTAAGCCCTGGTGCTTGAGGAATGAGTTGACTTCGTACGCGGTGCTGGTACCTTGCAGTTTTTGCCCATTAAGCTCTTTCTGCTCGATCTCATATATAGACTCGCCTCTCTGGGTCGCCATCTTTGCACAGCGGAAGTTGCGGCCGCCCATACAGGACGTAATGACATCGGCTACACCGCATGACTCCTCGGTGAATGTGGACGTTTTTGAGCTGTCTGGGAAGAACTCCTTGCCGAACTTCACCATCTCGAGGATGCCCACGCGCATGACTGCTGCCTTTGCGTTGTCTCCCCAGCCAAGACCGTCGACGAAACCGGCAGCAAGAGCAATGATGTTCTTTAGCGCACCGCCGAGGGACACGCCCACTACGTCGTCTACGATACGGACGTGGAAATAGGGGCGATGGAACAATTTCCGGACATTTTCGTGTGAGAGCGGAGGGTATTCGTTCGGTACGGCCTTCAGTCTCGCTGATCGCTCACTAGGGACTGGTTTGGATGGAGAGATAAGATCCACCATTGAAGCGTTGGGTGAGCCCTTCGGCGTCGGTGCGCGAGAGTCCATTGGGGGCGGGTCGTACGCGACCTAGCATCAACATGGTCAGTTTTAAGCATTACAAGAGCATTGTGAATCTCGCTCAACATACAGTGGTCTCCGAATACTTCTCTTGAGCGATCTCCGTGGCGATATTTGCGCCTGACAGAGCTCCACAGTAGATATTTAGCCGCATGCCAATAGCCTCCGACATGAGCCTGATGCCTTTCTCGCTGACGTCCACACCCTTTGTGCAGCATATGGCGCGCGCGTATGGCACGATCTTGCCCGCCAACTGGTCGCACACCCGCGGGATGAACTGGTGGGGCAAGACGAATACGAGTATGGTAGAATCTTTGCAGGAATCGACGAGATCGGGATTGGCGACAACATTCTCAGGCAAGGTGATACACGGCAGATACTTGACGTTCTCGTGCAGCTTGTTGAAGAGCTCTGAGAGCTTCTGCGGTTTCGTTGCGAGTTCGGAGCCAGCTTCGTAGTGGCGGGATTCTTTGGGCAGGGTGACCTCCTCCTCGTAGACCCACACATCTACTTGCTCTTCGAAGAGTGTTGGATATGCCTTGACGTTCTCGGCGACAAGCTTTGACATCGTGGTGCCCCTCCATGCAAGTTAGCCAGCAGCACACCAACTAGAACACAAGCAACTCGTGCACAGTGCCTCCTGAAGTATTACAAGCAACGTACCAGTTACCGGAGCCCACGATGGTCACCTTGTGCTTCTTGTGAGCCCCCAGCGTTGCCATGGTTCTTCGGTAGGGGTGGGTTGTGAAAGCGGGAGTGATGGGTCGGGCGAAAGCGAAGGAGTAGCTCAGGCGGGGTGCTTGATGTAACGGCGCCCGACAGAAGCCGTAGAAAGCCACCTTAAGTACTGACACGTTGTACTATCGTCAGACAAGAACGCAGATGGCCGAGGCCGCGACCGCACTGACTTTAGGAGCAGAGGCCGAGGCTTCCTGTGATGCGGCGGTGCCGAAGTCGCCCAATTGAGGAAGTTGCGGTGTGTGTTGGAAGTCGAGAATAGCTGGACCGAGTGTAGGCGAGGTTGGCAAGCTAAATGGCACAGTAGGAGCAGCGTACAACAAAATGTTGAACTTGGAGAGGAATGTGATCATGGGCAAGGATTCTGCAGGTGTCCGGCTATCGATAATGCACCTTAATTCGCTGCATCCCAGCCAGGTGATCAGCGCCTGCAACCGCGGTATTGGCCAATAACGCGTGCGCGACGCCGACGTGTTTGGGGCCAAAGCCTGACAAACAAGGCCCGCGACAGAGGTTACGGTCTAATATACTAAGTACCAAGGTTATTCCAACGTCCGCAAGCACTCTATCCACTACCATACTCCCTTCTTGTTTCGCTCCTCCCACATGGCCCTCTCGAAGCAGGCATTAATGTTGAGACGTTAGCGGCATCAACCCGGGAGTACACAGACACCAAGCGGGAAAGTGTTCGGACAGCCTCGTGATCATATCTCACACGCATTAACCGGGGAGACACTCTACAGAGGCCCAGTGTACCCCGAAAATGACGCGCCATGTAGGCTTCCTAGGCACATGCATCGCTCTACTAGGGCTCATCAAGATGTAGAAGCGGACAGCTGAAGAACTGATAATCGTTTGATTGTTGGATATAAGGCATGGTCATGAACTCGTATTAAACTCCTCCTCAAGCCTTCATGGACATACAAACGCTAACTCCGATGCTCTCTTAACGCTCGAGAAGATAGCCACGCCGATGCGGTGCTGATGCCTACCCCCGTGTCTCCTTCCCATTACCACCCCATTCATGGAACCGGCCCGATGATATACGTTCACTACAAGGCAATGCCGAAGAGGGCGATCATGCCACCCGCGAGAACAGGAGCAGCGAACTCCTGAGCAAGGCGGACGGCGGCGCCAGGGGTGCTGGAAGAACCGCTGGCGGCAGAGGAGGTTGCGGTAGAGCTAGACTCGGTGGCAGAGTCAGAGCTGCCAGTCGAGGAAGCACCGCTGCTACCAGAGGTAGTAGAACTGGTGGTCTCGGCATCCGCGGTGGTCTTGTTGCCGCACTGTTGGTTTCGGTACGTGTCGCATGCAAACTGCTCTGCCTGGTTGCCCTCTCCATTGGAGGCGATGGTGGCATTGGTGCACTGGTCGAACCAGAAACGGCACATGAGACCGGGGACGGACTGCTCATACTCGGCCATGGTGGGCTCCGTGCCGTTGCGGCACTTGCAAGTGTACTGGAGAGTGTCCTATGCACGTTAGTGACATTACAACGACAGATCTAGGGTGCATTCTTACCTCGTCGCAGGTGTTACCACCGCTCGCGATCTGACCCTGTCCACCACAGATCTCCGGGCAAGTGTTCTCGGTGGCGCTGCACCAAGTCGCCCTGGTGCGCTCGGGGACATCGTTGGCAGCGACAGTGCAGCAGGCGCCGACGCCCGGGGGCAATGTCAAGTCGGAGGTGGAGTTCTGAGCGGCGGCAAGGCCGGAGAAGGCCGCGGTGGCGACGAGAAGAGCGGAGTACAGCATGGTGGCAGGTGCTGGCAGTATCAATGTCTGCGCGGGCGGACGTGTTAGCAAGGGAGAGCGAACAGATGGAGGGCGATTGAAGTGAAGTGCAGGTCAACGAGCCAGCAATTGATATGGTGCGAGGCAAGACAAGAGAAGACTTACAGCAAGTGGTGATGCTTTGGGGCGGGCGGTCGAAGGAGCAAAAGGTTGGGCTGGCGGCGCACGGGTTTAAATGTTGTTTGAGAGGATCCCGGAAGGTGCGCCGCTGCCCGGTTCGAAGCAATCACGAAGATCCCAAGCCGTGCTAGCGCAGTCTAGCTCGCAGGTGCTATCAACCGCCACACAGACTGCACGGTGCCCCGGCCTGCGCCTGCTATCTCGAGAGAACGGCCCTCCCGCTCTTCCCAGCGACCGCGAGATTACGATAATTTTACAGTTTCGCCGTCGCGAGGCTGCTGTCTTCTGCCGCCGGCTGCTGCTACGACATGCGCTCTGCGCGTCGCCGTGGTGGTGCTTCCGCATGTTTCAGGGCGGCTCTCAAACCAGCCACGCAACGGATTGCCGCTCGACGCCGGCCAAGTCCCCGCATCGACGGCGCTGGCAAGGAATGCCTCTCTAGCCTCCCTAGCCACACTCCAGTGCTCGCCGGCGGAGCAATGGGCACCCATTGGGACGCGTAGTCTTCATGGAGAGTCCCGTGGTTGGCGACGCGCATTCCACAGCAGCCCGCGGGCGCGACCAGGCCGCAGGGCGACCGTACGACGCGCAGCCCTTGTCCGCCAGACCTCACCTCATCTCACGATGCGCCCTCGCCGACACCGTGCGATCGCTGCGTCATCGCCGATTGGCGAAACGCTGCCTGCGCGGCGCCTGCGGAGGAGGTTGTTGTCGAGGTTTGCCATGGAAACCTCAGGAGCTAACAGCAGCCGGGGTCCCTTGGAGGTCCGTAGCCCAGACGCCAACGGGCCGAGGAGAACTTGCAGCTCACTTGCATACGTGCGGGGACGGGTGCATAGAAGACGTTGTCGCACTATGTATCGAATGAGCGATTGAGTGCGATATATCGCCTGATGCCGTCTCCGGTGGCATTTGGCAGCTACACAGTACATGTGTGAATAACAAGTTCCACGGGAAGGTCGGGAGTCTGCGTGCATTTGCGCCACTGCAACCATCGCGTGCAAATGCCCTTCAGCATCGCGCAGAGCTGGTTGCCTTGTTGGGCCTAGTAGTGCACTCAATCAATATTTCTTAGCTCTCGCGCTCTGCACAACGTTCAGCATATCAAATCCCGCAGAGCCGCCACCCCAACCACCGACAGAGCTGTGAATCAATGTCTGTGCAGCTTGTGAGGCGTCGGGACATTCTTGGGACCGCCATCATGCACGCTTTGGGAAGTCGTGTGGTTGCGCATGCAGGCATGTGAACCAAGCAACCAAAATGGCAAGTGCGTCAACAGGGAAGGGGCCAATGGAGCACTTGGCCCCCTCAGCAATCCTATGTATACATACCCACTACCATCGTTCCACATCCGGCACAATACGCTCACACTTACGATTCAGCGATTGTACGGGATAACATCCTTTGTGCGCGCTCTTGCTCGCTCTTGCGCTCCACATCTTTAGTTGATGATGTCACGACAATTGTTCCTCGAGAGTTTAATTCAACCTCCACTTGGACATGGGCCTATCACTCCCAAATTTCGCTTGCATGTCTTCGCTACTCATGACCAACACCGCGACTCCAATCTGCCATGGAAGCTAACTATTTTGTCTGCACCCTGGGCCAGGCCTCGGCGCTAAACCCAGAATCGAAACCATACCGTACCATCAGCCAATTCCTCGCCCATCAGTCAAGAAGTTGCGGTTCGAAACCAGCAGTGGGCTTTCCATTACCTCAAGCCCAAGATGAATGGGCATATGAGCTTCTCACGTTTGACGATGTCTTCACGGGAACGCAAGTCTTTGCCAAGAGACTTTCGAAGTCCTTCGATTCGTCTTCAAGAAATCCGCAAACGGTAGCTCTGATGGCTCATAGCTCCCCAGAGTTCCTCTTCACATGGCTTGGTCTGATGTATTTGGGGCACTCTGTCCTGCTACTTGCACCACAATGCCAACCAGGTGCCATCGTGCACCTTTGTAAAGCATGCAGCGTTTCAATATTGTTCTACGATGCAGCCCATTCTCAGCGTGCAGTGGATGCAGATCAGTTACAACAAAATTGCGATGGCCCCAAGTTCTCCATTGTGGAAACACCGCTTGGTGGACACGAGGACATCTTCCAGATCATCCGAGCGCCACAGCCGGACTTCGCGCCAGTTTCTAACGTGGACGAGTTCTCCGTGGCTTATCTCCACCACACGTCAGGTACATCGTCTGGTCTACCGAAACCCATACCCCAAAGCCATCGCGGAGCAATCGGGGTTCTACCACACTTACACGGGGCCACTCCAATAGCAACCTTCACAACAACACCTCTCTATCATGGAGGTATTGCAGACACTTTCCGCTCATGGACGAGCGACTCTCCCATTTGGTTGTTCCCCGGCAAAGACGTGCCCGTCACTGCTCGCAACATTTGCAAATGTCTGCATGTAGCTGCATCATCCACCTCAGACCCGACACAGCCAGCAGTTAAGTATTTCTCTTCGGTACCGTATGTGCTGCAGATGATGGAGGCCGATACGAAAGGATTGGAGATCTTAAAGAGCATGGACATTGTGGGTGTTGGTGGAGCTGCACTGCCGGTTGAGGTGGGAGATCGCCTTGTTCGCAACGAGGTTAACCTCATCTCAAGATTTGGCAGCGCTGAGTGCGGGTTTCTATTGTCTTCTTACAGAAACTTTGCAAAGGACAAAGAATGGCAGTATTTGCGGAACTATAACCCTGCCGAACTGGTGGAATTTGAGCGTCAAGATGACGGACTAGCAGAGTTGGTGGTAAAGCCTGGATGGCCACATATGGTAGAACCTCTGTTTTCCTGATAAGTTACGCTATCTGACTACATCTAGGCCAAGACTAACAGGGAGGACGGTTCCTTCGCAACGGCAGATCTATTCGAGAGCCATCCAAAGATTGGAAATGCCTGGTTCTATCACTCAAGAGCTGACTCTCAATTGACTTTGATCACTGGTAAAAAGTTCGACCCAGCTCCTGTCGAAGCTGCGATCGCTACGGCAGAAGAGCTAGATGACGTATTGATATTTGGAGATAACCGCCCTTTTCCAGGTGCACTTCTGCTTCGCTCCCAGAATGCGAGTGGTCTATCAGATGAGGAGGTCCTCAGTGCGATCTGGCCGCAAATCGACAAGTTGAACAAAGAAAGCCAGGACCATGCGCGGATACCACGACATATGCTTATCCCCGTCGAACACCAAGATAAGCCGTTAGAGAAGAGTAGTAAAGGCACGATCATCAGAAAGGCAGCGGAAGCGAGGTTCAGCCGCCTTATTGAAGGTGCATACGAAACAAAGGATGACCAAGAGTTCCAAGATGTCGATGATAAGGACTTGCCGCAGTATCTCTCTCAACTCGTTCAATCTATGATACAGAGTTCAGTTCTACCTGAAGAAGACACCGATCTCTTCTCGTATGGCGTTGATTCAATCGCCTGCATGCGGCTGCGAAGCAAATTACATCAATTAACCCCGAACTACAACCAAGAGCTCCCGCTTAGCGTCGTCGAAGACTGTAGTACCATCCGCAATCTGAGCAACTACATTATACGGAAGCGTCATGGCGAGGCTGATGCCAATACTGAGGATGAGGAGCAAATGATGCTTGATCTCGTTGAAAGATACGGTGACTTCAGCAGCTACAAACCAGCATCGCAAGAGCCCAAGAGTGGAGAACAAAGGAAGCTAGACTCTGGCGAAGTCATCGTCCTTACTGGTGCTACTGGTGCCCTCGGCGCGCACATCCTCGATCTTCTCCGCTCCTCAAGGACTGTCTCCGCCATCTACTGTCTCGTCCGCGGCGCAGACGAATCAGCAGCTAAAGAGCGCGTCAGCAAGGCCCTCTCGCAGCGAGGTCTAACCGATCTCTCTTCTGCGTCCAAGTCCAACGAAAAGGTCAAAATTGTACAAGCAGCACTAGGCGAGCCACGACTAGGGCTACCGGACGACGTTTACAACGACCTGGCTGCGGAGGCAACGTCCATCCTCCACATCGCTTGGACGGTCAACTTCCGCCTCAAACTGCGCAGCTTCGCGAAAGATAACCTGGCTGGCGTGAGACACTTGCTTGACCTCGCGCTCGCAGCTGGACGCGCCGATCCACCGCGTTTCGCGTACTGTTCATCTACCGCATCTATCATCAACAGCGCACCGGACGCAGAAGGATGTCTTCCAGAGCACCTATCGGATGATCCAGCGGCTGCGAGCCCACTCGGATACTCGCGATCGAAATGGGTTGCCGAGCATATCTGTCTCGCTGCGCACCGCGGAACCAGTCTGAACGGTCGCATATCTGTGATAAGAGTCGGACAGTTGTCTGGCGACTCTAGGACCGGGATATGGAACACGAAGGAAGCGTGGCCGATGATGCTGAGCACCGCGCGACTCATAAGCTGTCTGCCTCAGCTCGGCGACGCGCCGCTCGATTGGCTGCCCGTCGACATTGCTGCCGAGGCCTTCCTACAAGCCGCAAGTGCTCCTTCCACAAGTGGACACGACGTGCAAGTCTACCACGTCCTGAATCCGCACCGAGAGCCTACCTGGGCCACCATGCTTAGGTGGTTGAAGAAGAAACAGAATTTCAAGGTTGTCTCGCCAGAAGAGTGGGTTAGGCGACTGGGGAGATGCAAGAGTGACGGGTATTCCGCGATGAAGTTGCTTGGGCTTTGGCAGGAGGCGTATGGGGAGGGGAAAGACAAGGCGGAGGTTGAAGAAGGCAAGGACGCGAAATTCTCAATTAGAGGAACGCAAAAGAGTATTGAAGCTATCCGGGGAGTGAGGCCGTTAGATGAGGAGTACGTCGGTAGGATTTGGGAGTGGGTGCAGGCGAACGTTCATTGAATTAATAGAAAATCAGGAATTTTGCATCCGCAGAAGAACCCCTTCCGCATTGCACTTGAAACACCCTTCCCTCTGCTTTTCAATCCGAACATCCCTTCTTTACCCCTAACTCCCTCCAACCTATCCCCTCTACCTCGCCCTCTCCACGTTCTCTTTAATCCCTTCCCTCTTCTCATCCAACCCTCCACCCATCCTCTGCACCCCAACCCCGTCCTTGTACACCAACTCTCCCCCCAACGCCGCACTAAGCGCCACACCCGGTAACGTCAACGCACTCAAAATCACGCTCGTCCGCCCCGGTGCCCACGCTTTCACGCCGCGCCTACTAACCACTGCGTACGTGCTCACGCCAAACGCCACCGCATTCAGCGCCCCGTGCACGAGCCCGATATTAATACTCCTGTCGACGACATCGGAGTGAGTTTTCGGGTTCGTGAGCTGCTTGTCAGTACGGTTGATGCCGCGCGCTTTGTAGAGTTCGTAGAGTTCGGCGCTGCCGGAGGTGATGGCTGGCAGCGATGTGATCAGGCCGGCCCAGTGAGAGAGGTAGGCAATGCGGCTTATATCGGAGAGGAAGGGGGTGAGGAAACGGAGGCGGTTAGCTAGACCGTAGGCGGTGTCGAGGGTGTAGGCGGTTGTGAGGAAGGTGATGGGGAAGTGAACGGTTGCGGGGTGTACCGGGTGGCTTTCACGTATAGTGTCAGCATGAAGGAGAAAAATGGTTGGTGATAGGGTGTACCTGTTAAGGAACGGCCAGTTGAAGTGGCCGAGCTCGACTGTGTCGTAGATGTTGCTGAAGACGCCCATTCTGGATGTTGCGCAACTCTTCAAGTTGAAGGGATGGTGAACTTGACTTGGGCCAACACGTCTGCGAGTATTGGAAGGAAGAGTGTAGACCGATGGACGAGGTGTGCATGATCGCGTGCACGGTATCTCATTACGTGCATGTTGTGTGGTTGTGTACGTGAGGTCGTGCAGCCGTCAACATGACATCATTCGTGAACCTGTAATGATCACGTTTACAATGAATTAACGACAGCTGGAACGTTTCGAAGCTACACATTCCTTATACAGTAGTAGAGGTTAAACGACTCAAGAAGAATGTTGCCGTTGCTGAATGGTCGCTTGCATGGGGCTAGCTTCCATGGGAGGTCGCTACATTCAGTCCACAGTGACTTTGACCGATCTACTTGTGTGAACCCTCTCCAACCGCGTCAATGTCGTACCTTTTATTCAGCGGCCATATGGAAATCAGGTGTTCCAACACTGTAAACTATGTACTCATTTATCCTTACATCCCAAAATCATTGATTACCCATCCATGCTGATATGATACGAGGCAGCCAAGTTCACGCGAAGATTCAACAACATTCCCATCAGTAGGTATACACGACTACTAAATCCTCGATCGCTGCAAGAGCAACGAAGCAGTGACACTTCTGCTCAAGGATGACGCCATACGCGAATACCCATGGCAATCTCACGCTCCACAGCTATGAGCGTCCTACACAGCGCAAGACACTTGCTCTCGTACGGACAAACGACGCACTAAGTTCGTATGTGAAGGTTGAACTCGAAGAGATGATGTAGTATCTTAGCCAATATAATTTCTTTGCGGGCAATTTCCGGGACGGACGAGGAAATGCGGGTGAAACGTGGAGAAGTGATCAGCCCGATAGCAAGCATTGTTGAACGATACCTGCCCTGAATCATTCACCACAGTCTTAGGTGTCTTATGGTGCGAACCCTGCGAACCATAAATGTCAGCTCAGATATGAAAGGTCTTAGAGGCTCTTACTGATAGCGACGCGATAGAGGCAGAAATTGTCGTAGCAGATGAGACGAGTGTGGTAGGTACAGATCCCAGAGTGGATAACGTAGAATAGCTGGTGAGGAATTCAGTGAGTGGTTGTACCGAAAACACATTGTACAAGCCACTCGGAATGACGAAGGTCCTTGTAGTATCCTCATACCTTAGGGTAATTCAGTCTGCAATGAGTCTCTGGAGCTCTAATGTAATACTGTATCGTCGGTGTTCACTCGCAAGTTACTACCAGAAGGCTGCCCGAGCGAATGAGGCTTGCGTGAGTGAATCTTAAAGCAAGGAGCCCTGAGCGAGAGAAGAGAGCGTTTAGGACGAGAGAGGTGGAAAGAGGGGTGCGCGTGTTCATCGGGAAGCGTGCCTGCGACAGAGGGAAGGAAGGAGCGATCTGAGAGCTACGGCCAAAAGCATGCGAGTTTGCAGTAGATGGAAGGAGCGATCTAGGAGACATATCAGTCAAATGCAAGCTTTAAGTGAGGTGCGCAAACGGGATATTTATCAGCAAATATATCAAATTTCAAAATATACAAAGTAGAGTAAACGTAAAGTAGGGAATAATGCAGAGCATTACAAAGGAGTGGCAGTGCCTGGTATCATATTCATCCATATCCACATCCCTCGTCGATCCTCCATAAACCAACCCAAACATTAAAAGTTTTCAAATAGAATAATGCAACGCCAGCGCTAACATGTCAGAATGACAAAAAAATCAATAACGCCGAAGCGAATGTTCCACTGGTATCCTATAGTCACCGCGCGTGATTAGGCGTTGGCATGAAATTTCTCACGCTTTCCCTACTATCCTCTCCATATCCTGCTCTTTCCATCAACTTGGTAAACGTCGTGTGTCCCGAATCAGCTGTCATGCGGTTCTCCCGCATGCCCGGCGCCTTGGGCGGTTCGAGAAAGCTAGGCGCCGGCATTAACACGTCGATCGTCTCGGAGCTGTTACTCCTCGTTGGCGTATCTACTGGTCGCTTCGCCTTGCTGTGCTTGCGTTTCCGTCGGCGCGAATGTGTACGCTCTGGCGAGGGTGTCTGGCCTGGCGTGCGATATGGATCACGCAAGGGGTCACCGGCACGCACAGCCGCCGGCGGAGGCTGGAGTGTCGGCGTGGCTGGGAGTCCGGCCCAGACGCCCATTCCCAGCTTGGGCGTGCGGTCCCACATGCTCTTAATCTTGGGGGTGAGACCGCCTCCGCCGGCGACGCGGGTGCCGATGCTCTTCTGCACGCTGGGCGTCGAGGTCACGGATTGGGAGCCACGGCGGATGAAGTCTGTGCGTTGCGCATGGAGGGGGTCGTAGATGGGGTCGCTGATAGTGCGGGCGACGTGCCCGAAGTCGCCGGAGTAGCGGGAGGCTTTTGCGTCGCGGCGTTTCTTGATGAGCCAGATGAAGAGGATGACGCCGAGGGCTCCGATGATGATGCCGGGGAAGAAGCCAGCGGCGAAGGATTTGCCGTCGAAGGACGAGTTTGCTTGGGGTAGGGGGTCTGCTGGACAGCCTGACGTTTGGGATGCAGAGGCTGGGTTTGTTGGCGACGACGTTGGGACTGGGGAGGTCGAAGAAGGTGTGTCTTTCGAGGCGACGCACATGCCGTTGTTGCACTTGTAGCCTAGGGGGCAGCATGAGTCTCCACATTTAGGCAGCTCGACATCCTTTGTATCGGCAAAGTGGATTTGGTTGTCGGGGTGCAGCGTTGCGTTGTATTGGGCGGTATCGCAGGGCACTGTCTGGATGGTTGAGCAATCTTTGCCTTTCGGACAGCAGATGACGGCTTGGATGGTGGAATTGACGGTCGTGCAGGTCGTATCCTGTGCACAGCAGAAGCTGGCTGGAAGGTCGCCACCGCATTGTTGGAGGCCTGAGATACCTCCACACACTTGCTGTGATCGTAGGAAAAGACTGGATGCATCTGTGACCTGAAGCATAATAGTGACAAGGAGGAAGAGAGATATCCTTGAGAGCTTGGGACCCGCCAGGCGACTCATAGTGATATGCAAGAAAACACGAAGATCAAGAAGAGAAGCGTGGCAAAAGTTTGACTTGAAATCAAGAAGTGAGAGGAGGACTCGATTTGAAGAATGAAACGATTCAGTACAAGATCAGCATTATCCACAGTGAAATGAAGTACAAAAAGCCCGTGCAGTGCAAACGAAACGAAACTGAACAAACCTCGATCAAAAGGGCAGGCTCGCGAAGCGACCGCCAGTATATACCTACAGGTCACCGCCCAACGCGCGCATCTACGCGAAGCGGCTCTTCGGCCGCGATGCTATGGCCGCAGCCCGTCTGTTCAACGTCCGACTCCACTGGCGGCCCGCCATATGTTCTGCAAATAGGCACGTTGGACGCGCCGAGTGGACGACAGACGCTGAATGGCTGCCGAGGCCTGTGTAGCAGTGGCAGGTGACTCCCACGAATGTGTGGCTATGAAGTACGCAGAGTGAAACGGGTGGACAGCGAAGCGCTCGCCTGTGTTTTGCACTTGTCGAGACGCTCGGGGCTGGCGCGTCTTCATTGGTCACCGCCCTTAGCGGCTCTCGTCGCCCTTGCGCGGAGAAAAGTTGACGAGGGCATTGGCAGCGACAGACCGACAATTGCACCATAAGACATCATGATAATACGTTCGCTCACGAGACGGCCTGGTGCCCTTCAGTCCTTGGCACAGAGCGTGAGTTTTGCGCCTACACCGCCTGCGCATTGGCATACTGACGGTGGTCCCAGGCATGCAGAGCTCCCCATGCACGACGGATACACCAAGTCCCAACGCTGCTGAACCACACTGAGCTGCAGGAAAATGGCATCCCGGGGCTGTTCAGCAGGAAGCAATTCGAAATTGCCTACACGCAATATCAGGGTCACATCATCAATGCGCTGAACACATCCACGAGTGGTAAGCTCTACGTCCCCATCACCTTCTCATCAGGCAGGAAAGAGGCTTCCTGCTAATACATGCCGATTAGGCTCCGCGTACCAGGACAAAGACCCCAAGTCCCTCGTCGTCGAAGTGGCACGCGACCCCATGATGGCCTACACCTTCAACGTCGCCTCCATGGCTTTCAACAACCACTTCTTCTTCCGCGGCATCAACACCAACCCCAACGTCTCCTCCACGCCCTCCGACGAAATCCTGCCCCTGATAAACCGTAGCTTTACCTCCCTCGAGTCGCTCCAAGAAACCTTTATCCTCTCAGCCGACTCAATGTTCGGCCCGGGCTTCACCTGGCTTGTTCAGACTAATGACGGCCTGAAGATCCTCAACACCTACATCGCCGGCAGTCCGCTTCCCGGCGCGCACTACCGAAAGCAAAGCGCAGACCTGAACACCGAGAGCCCCCAGTCGTACGCGGGCGCGTTCGGTCCGAATTCGAGGAATAAGGACGTCAAGAAGCAGAAGGCGCTTGGCGGTGTCGACGTAACGCCGCTGCTGTGCGTCAACACGTGGGAACATGTGTGGCTGCACGACTACGGCGTTGCTGGCAAGATGGACTTCCTGCAGAAGTGGTGGAATAAGATCGATTGGGCGCAGGTGGAGCAGTATGTTTCAAAGGAGAAGGATCAGTCGAGGAGCGCGGGGCAGGGTTTCAGGCAGTTCTATAGCAGCTAGGGGAATCCAAGGCGCGCGATGTAGGACTACATGTACAAAACGCGGGGGAAAGAAGGTGTGGGAAGCAAAGCATATAGATGTACACTACTGCATTCGAACCTGTTGTCTGAATAGCAATGCATATACAGCATCGATAAACCCAGTCACAGAGTCGCATCTAATCCAATGACACAAGTGGCACACTGGACATCTCTTTGATATCCAGAGGCAACCTATGTGCATTAGCGCATGCCAATGCTTAGAAGCACAACTCGCAACACTTCATTCCAAGGTCGCATGACGATATCCACTGGCTTCATGCCTCGTTGACACTTGTCACCCAATGCTATTCATACACCCAAACCGCCCCATGGTATAACCAACCCAACCCAAACGCCATCGCATATGCAGAGTCGAGATTTGCCCGTTCATCCATCCTTTCCCTTCCCTTCTTGTTCCCTTCCTCCCCTACACCCCCTACCCAAACCAACTACTCTTCCTCCTCGCCTCCTTCCTCGCCGCCGTCCACTGCTCCTTACAATCCCGATACGCTTGGAAGAAATCACTGCACATCTCCCTGTCCCCGCCGTTGCGGTTCAGACACCGGATGCTCTTGTTCGCGGCCTCCTGGCACGGGTCGAAGTACTCGCTGTAGGCCTTACTGTACTCAGGTTAGTATTCATATAGCCTGGCAAGTCTGAGCTGTGAAGGTATGGAGGTGTGGAAGAAGCATGCTTGGGAGAGTGATGGGGAGAAGTACGTTTCGAAGCGCGTGGCGGTCGGGCCGGTCCATTGGGTGTCGGTGGAGGGCGTGTCGCCGGGCTGCGAGGACGCAGAGGTTGGCTGTTTGCCTGACATTGTGGGCGAGGGATTTGAGCTTGTAGTTGCGACGTGCTGCAGATGTATGGTGATGGTAAAGATGGAAGATGCAGGGATGTGCGGAAAAGGAAAGAAGAGGCGGGCCGAGGTGCGCCGCGTGCGCTTGGGCAGGTGTACGCGAGGATGTCTTAGCCGTACGGGGGGAGCATTGGACTCAGGTTGGAAGAGACAAGACGAAACTAGACAAACAGGTGCATTGAACTTTGACTGTCAGAGGATGTGCTGAAACTGAGCTACTAGCTAATTGTGGAATTATCTACTTCTCGCCATGGCCTGCACGGCTTCCAGGTATGTGGTTTGTGTCGGATTTGAGCGCATGCAAGCAAAAGTGGCATTGCATTGTCTGCCGATTACATCTGATACGTGGTCCGCGAAGGCAGCACTTCCTATGTCTGTAGAAGTAAGGCTCGCTGCATGGGCTCATCTATTGGGCGGGAGCACACTAATCAAATCGATGTTTGCCTTTTACGGAAGCCTGTTACCCATGACCTATTGCTCACCGTCTGCCCTGGAAATAAATAAGATCAGTCCGGGTACAATCGGTAAGATGCCTCGAAACGAGTTCTATCCGTACCGGACGCTTGCTCATCGACATTCTGATTTCGCATTCGCATCGAGGCGGCTCGGTGGCGAAGGACCTCTGGTATATGGTTGTCGGATCTTGCGATACTACTTTTGATTCTAGTTTTGAGTAAGTTTGGAACATCGTTGAAAATTCATGGGGAAGCAATGTGATGCAAAGGTCACTCCACGTGCTGCTTCGACCGACCTTAGCCTGAGGCGTACCATTGCGGCTCAATCACACGGGCCCACAATCGTGGCTCACACGCACATTGACGTACGACCATGCCTCGAGTTGCGAAAGTGTAGCCTCGCGGTTGTGATCGATGGCAGCCTGTGTCACGCGATGGTAAGCTTTCCGCAACCCTGGAAGAAGGTCTAGCCCACATAGGGCTGAAAGCCTTTGTTGCGGATATGGATAAAGCATATGGTTACCATGGTTGTAGGGCACCGTTGGCGGGTCATTGTCCACATGCACTTCCGTTCTCAGACGACTTGTTATGTGGGGAACAAAGTGGCCTTGAAAGCTCCGCTTCCCAGTGACCAGGTAAACAAGCCGGCATACTTGCCCATCCGATTAATCCAATTGCAGTGAAGTTGACTTATGACACTCTTGCTGTCGTCTCGTGTTCTTGTATGCTCGCATTTGAATTGGCGGGCAAAGTTGACAAGGGGTAGTGGGCGAGATCATCCCGATGCCTCGCAGTGTTCAGCTCGTTCGACCCATCGCGCCAATGGCCAGGTGAGGTCAAATTTCGGCCCTTCATGCAGTAGCATAGTTCCGTGACGACGGTGTGAGATGCGACTTGACCCGCGTTGATGGTGCCTGTACACAGGGTGCCAGACTGCAGACTCGATCAGTATTGGACTGCCCGTTGTGCCTATAAAGAAGCTTGACGATCAACAGGGTGTGACCACGTTTTCGCGTCGTACACTGCAAAACGAGCTCGGTTGTCCTTCTTGTGAATCGGTCGGCTGTCGAAGCTTACTACTGCCCCTGAACTGTACAACGTGCGCGGCGGGTATTCCACTGAGCCGGCCCGCTCATCACCGTTACATCGCGAAGTTAGTACTTTCCCCATATTATCGCTGGCTCATCTTCGGCACGTTTCTGCTCCTGCCTGTTCGTTTGTTGATTGTTTCGCTGTTTCACTGCACGGCTAGCTTTTGGGCCTGAGATAAGCGGGCATATGCGTCAAGGTCTGCGTCAGGTGGCGAGCATTTCACCGCAATGGCGGCTTCAACTGCACTGGCCTCAGTCAGTCACTATAAATGTGTTGGTCAACACACCTGCTCACCTTTCAACGATCTGCACCCGTCGTTTCCACTTCAACACATCACTTTCACTGGCATGAATCAAGACCAGAACCTGACAGCGCCAATGTCAGATCAACAAGCCGACGCAATGGCTACTGTAGCTGTCCAGACCACCGTGGCGCCTGCAATTGCCAGGCTTAGGGCTATGCCCAAGTTCAATCCAGATCAGCACTTGGTGGGAGCGCTTCCGGCGAAGAAGATGACGATGCAGGAACTAGGATTTGAGGAGGACGTTGGCGTGTCGCCCGTCGCTGTGTCTGATCCATTTCAGCTTTTCACCGCAGAAGCAGTCAAGTTCATGCGCGGCGAGGTCTTCCGAGTCCCAGAGAAGTACAAATTTAGCAGCAACATCGCTAAATCTCAGCTTCGAGGTTATGCAAAAGAGTAAGCAAGGAAATTGTACTCGTGTTAAAGTTAACTTTTACTGACACGTTGTAGTTGTGCCCCGTTCACTTGGGACGCTTGGAACCACCCTGCCACCATCGCGCTCATGTCCAAGATTGCTGAAGTCGAGCTTGTGCCTGCAATGCCTTACGAGATTGCGCACATCAACCTCTCAGCCAAGTCCAAGGAAGACGCTCAGCAAGAGTTGGCGCAGTATCAGGAACAAAATCGTCGCTATCAAGAAGATGAGGGAATCGGAGGCTGTCGCGAGGTAGTCGAAACACCCATCGTTGGTTGGCACACTGACAGCTATCCTTTCGTGTGTGTCTTGATGATGAGCGATGTCGGCGATATGGTTGGTGGAGAGACCGCTATACGCACAGCCGACGGAAAGATACTCAAGATGAGAGGCCCATCACAGGTGACTTGGCTCTTATCATTGCCAGGTAACATTACTTACTTTCTATTAGGGTTGTGCGGTCTTGATGCAAGGACGGTACATCACTCACCAAGCCATGCGCGCTCTCGGAGCGCAAGAGCGTATCACTTCCGTCACGAGCTTTCGCCCTAAGTCCGCTCTTTTTAAAGACGACACGGAACTGCGAACTGTGCGCGGAGTTTCTGACCTCAACGAGCTGTACTACGACTTCGCAGAGTATCGTCTGAAGCTCTTGCAAGAGCAGATTCAGCATGAGCGTGAGCGGGTTGCGGCTGCTCGCAGGACTGGTGAAGGTTTTGCTACCACCGCACACAAGCAATTCCTCAAACGCGTAATTGCTTTCTCGAACCAGTCATCCCACGAGCTCGTCGAACAAAGTGAAGTTCAGCAGGGTTACATCGAGAGGGTCGATTGGCCGGATGCTGCAATTGACCTTTAGAGAGATTATTCAGAGCCGCCAGACTGACAATAACGGTATCGACTGTTTTGGGCCTTGCCAACTTCGTCTATCAGTATGTATTTGGGCTCGTCACGGATAAGCGCTCGCTACACTATAATGTCGACCGTACTTTTAGGATTTCCCAACCCGGTTCCTCGCTGGATAGGTCCAACTCGGGAGAAGTGGGCGCCTCCATTGTTGGAGTTTTGGATATACCTTGGATTTGCAATTGGTTTCTCCGGCACAAGAATGTATTACATTGAGGTGGATATCTCTGATGTTGGGAACGGCTGGTATGACAGCACGGCCTGTGCAGACATTATGACGGCCGCCGCGGACTGGTGTAGAAAGACTGGACATGCATCCGTGTATATAAGAATGCATTCGTTGTAGCTAAATTGATGTTTGGTTCAAAGCTGCAATGAGATCTGTGTATAATCGGTGGAGTTGCAAGGGAGCAGAACCCTCGCTGGGTCTTTGAACCGTCCGGATAGGGAAGGCGCTCAGCATGATTGGCAAGTGCTTCGGAGGGCAGTCGCTGGGACCGAAGCCTGAAAACCAGAAAGCAAGCCCAATGCTCTCGATGCAGTCGAGATTCGAAATCCAGTCTGATATTTGATGCCAGTAGTCGTCAATTCAATGTCCAGCCTGAAAGATGAATTGACAACGGGGCCTTGTGCGCCGAGGCTTCTCGCATGTGGTATGGCGTTTCAATGGATACGGGGCGGAACAACCCGAGAGGGAGTCGCTGTGCTCACGGATACTAAGGATCATCTAGCTAGGAAACAAGATCGCCAATGGCAAGGAGCGGGAGCAGCATCAGATAGGCGCTGCAAGGGCGACAAAAAGGGCAGAGGAGTGGAGAATTGGACGTGACGAGGCGGCGGGCCGGGCGTCTAACTGACAGCGCCGCTAGAGCTCGGGTGTGCTAGGGTTTGGCGACGTCCAGCCTGCTCCACTTTGGCGACGCCTACTTGCTCATCTTCCACCAGCGCTGAGTGCGGCACGGCGAGCTCTCTACCTGGATGTAGAAGCAGATACGCGGCCCGCCAGCTCTGGTTTTCTCTGTTCTTACACTTCGCTTGTTGTTTCCTTCCTTCGCCACTGGGCGTCATGAACCACACGAGACCGCCTTCCCCGCCGCTGGCTGCGGCTCGCCCTAAGAATTCGTCGTCTTCCATCGCTTCCCAACATGCCGCCAGCGCCAGCTCGCAGACTCTGGCAGGCTCCGCCAGTTCAAAGGCCCGCGGCACCACCCCAAGCCGCTCGCCCGCTCAGCCTGCAGACGGACGCCCCGGCCGGGCCGCCAGCAAGGACAGCCTCAAGCAGAAGATGGCAGCGAAGATAGCGGAGGAACCGTCGCGGCCAAGCAAAGCGGATGAGGTGAGGTTATCGGGGACAATGGGAATAAAGAATATGTCGGCTAACCCAACCCAGCAACTCCAAGTGCTGCGTTCAGAGTTCGACAGCCTCCGCTCCCACCTCACATGCAAGATTTGCGACCGGCTGCTCTATCAGCCATACACGATAGCCTGCGGGCACACGTACTGCTATAGCGTAAGTGCGACAGTTTCGCGCTCGATGCTCTGGATGCTGACGCTGAGCAGTGCCTCTGCACGTGGTTCGTCAACAACAAGCAGCGCAAAACATGTCCGGACTGCCGAACCGTGGTGACGCATACGCCAGCCCCGGCTTACGTGGTAAGTGCAGTGCAATCACCCAAGTTCATGAACAGGCCGGCTATACGACAGCTTCTGTGCTGTGGTACCATGTAATTTCGGGACGTCTTCTAACATTCCCAGATTCGTGACATGATAACGGTCTTTATAAGCCGAGCCGAGTTACTTCCTTCCGGAGAGACGAAAGACCTTCATACGAAATGGCAAAAAGAGGAGGCCGATGCTGTCCAACAGGATAAGGACAACACCGATCTTCGCGTAGGTGGTCTTTTCAAGGGATGTTTCAAGCAGCCCACGCACGCACGAGGCCCTTCCCTGCAAGTAATCCGCGATCAGGAAGATGGTGTCGAACGTTGCCCTGTCTGCTCATGGGAACTCGAGGACGGCGAATGCGTCCAATGCGGGCTGTTCTTCGATGACAACGGAGAGTTGACCTGGACCGATAGCTTCACTGGCTTCAGCGACATGGACGAAATGTCTGAGCAAGACCTGTCTGGAGAGGATCTCGACGCAGAAATGGACATGAATGATCCGGACTTTGATCCCTACGGTGCACCTCCGGGCAATTGGGAAGACTACTACCCGGACGATGGCAATTTCATGATGCAACGATTCCTACAGCACGGAATTCCTGCTGGATACATGCAGCAGCGCAGGCACATGTCGCATAGCGAGGCTGGTAGCAGACGATCATACTCGCAAAGCATCGTCTCTGATCTATTGACGGAGGAGATGGACACCGTAGAGGAGGAAGACGAGGAAGATATGGAAGAGGACTCTTCTATGAACGACTTCATAGATGACGACGAAGACCAGTCATCCGCATCTGCCGGTGCTTCAACCCCCGGTCAGACGCCCCAACCATCAAACTCCCAATCCAGGCCCAACAGGCGAGCCAGCCGAGTCGTGGAGTCAGAGACATCTTCCACTATCTCCAGCGTGATTGAGGAGGAAGAGGACGAAGACGAAGAGGATCAGGGCCCGATCCGCAGAGGTCAGCGGAATCGTGCCCAAACACGCATCCTCAATCGCGCCAATGGCTCACGGGAACCATCCGGTCCTCCATCATCTACGTCAACGGATGTCTCTACTGATGATCTAGATGAAGATACGCAGGCATTGCTGCAGTCACAGGGGTGGATGCTACAGCACCATGGGCCTGACGAGATGGGCGAGGATGATGATAGTGATGGAGGGAGAACGACTGTTGGGTCGACTGTTGGGTGGGATGCGACCGCGATTTCCAATGATAGAGTCCGAATGGGCGGTTCTCTAACACCTACTGCAGATCGCCCTCGACCCAATAACACGATCCGCCCTCCTTCCCGTGTCGGCAATCCACTCCGGCGACAGGCCTCCGTCGTCTCTACCACCAACGCCCACTACGAGGATGGCGAGGCCGACGATGACGACTCCGATATGGACCAAGACGGAGATATTACAATGGCTATTAACTCTCTTCGTAATCGACGGTCTCGGGCGCAACTACGCAATGCCGCCGCCTTTGCGAACTACAACAATCGTTACTCGAACCGGGGATTATCCCAGGGTAACCCGGTCGATTTGGATGCAGACGACAATTCAGATCATTCACAAGATGGTTTGCAGCGAACACATCAACAGGCCTACAATCCTCGCATCAGCCGTCTTTTCGCCGACCACCAACGCGCACTTCAAGAGATCCAAGGAGGTCTCTTGGTGGATCTAGAACCTCGCTCCATCACCCCCGTTGCCCGTCCTCGCACATCAAATCGGAATCGACCAAGTCCGGGACAAGCATTCTCCCCATTCATGCCTCCTGCGCCGGCGCGTATGCGCACGCCACTCATGAACAGCACTGCGAACCCTGCCTTCAATCCTCGTGCTCCAACGTCTCCACCTAGAAGGACCTCGCACACGCCGAGTCTTTCTGAAGTTATCAATGGCGACTATGCTGTAAACGCAGGCCGTCCCGCCTCAGGAACTTCGACCAACAACTCTTCTGTGGTACTTACACCTGGCACTTCGACGCCTACATCGCCGCAGTCTAACAGCACAATATCGCAAGCGCAAGCTGGACTGTCCATCGATCCGGGAGACCGACCACCCAGCAGATTGTCGCGTCCACCTTCCGCTACTGGACGACGCAACTCGGCGGGCTTCTCGCCCGTGTACGCTCAGTTTCCTCACTCCAATGTTGGTTTGAATATCCAGGGGCGCATCTTCCCTCCACAGGCAGGCAACCCCTGGGGTGCGTTCGTGCAGCCCCGCATCAGAAACCGCAATTCGCGTCAGGTGCTTAGGGAGCAATCTTCGACTGCCACACTGAGACCCGTCAGTTCCCGGGCTAACATTCGAGAGCCTGTAACTTCACCGCAAGGCCCTAGAGCCCAAGCATCGCGCATTAATTTACGGCCTCAGGCTTCCCGCCGTCAACTCAATTCTCAGGCTTCCACGCGAACTCTGCGGGCAAGTGAGCACGCTCGGCCGCCTCAGTCTCCCACTACCGGTGGTGCGAATGGTGGCGCACAACCTGCTTCACGCCCTACACGGTACACGCCTGAAGAGACAGACCGTCTTGCGCGCGAGCTCATCAACACCAGGATGCAGGTACTGAGACCACCTGGGCCGGCACCAGCACGCAACAACCCATTTGTGCCAGGGTTCAGACGCCCGACTAATCCATCTGAAGCAACAGCCGGTGCTACTGTAGCGTCATATCATTCCAGGAGCAATTCAAACGAGTCTGCGAACTCGGGAAACTCCTCTCACACAACGACTATGGCGCCGTCCTCGCCTGGACTTACTAGAAGGCGAAGCAACCGCCACATAGGTGCAACACCACCAGGCGTCCTACCCGCGACTTCAGGTGGTGCCTTTCCGACGGCAGCTTCCGGTTATTACGCTCGCCAAAGGCAGACCTCTATCGGTAGCTCCAATTCAGCTTTCGATATGCCCCTCGATGCGAATGCACGAGGTTTGAGTCCGATGTTGGCGGCCTCACTCATCTAGTCGATGAAAATTAGAGACTCCTAATAGATGCTGGGTCTCAACCGTGGCCGACTTTTCTTTTACTTTCCTTTCCACATTCTTTACAGGCATTGGGGTTTCCGAACACGGGCCGGGCATGAGCCAGGAAGCCATGAAACAAATGTTCATGAGTCATGACTATCGGCTCGCTGGTATGATATGGTATGAAAATGGTTCTGTTGTCTGGCATTGCATCGGCGTCTCTCTGTTCGGCATTATACCACGGTAATAGCATCTCGTTTTTTAGCGGGCGTTGAAGATACCAGTTCGAACATGTTGAATGCACTCGTTACTTCTGTCTTAACGTCATACTTCGAGTGAAGACTTGATGATTTGCCACTGCTGATTACCGAGGCCCCTAACCCGCACATTATGCCAGGAGCAAAGAAGTATCAGACAAATACGACACGTGCATTATCAACATTTGGAAAAACGTTCTTGTTGCAAAGGCTTCGTACACGTCGAGTCTTATAGTCTCTAAAAGGAGCTATTGCTATCAGACTCCCTCTCTACCTCGTGGGTCCTTCTCCGCTTCCCATCCTGCGCCTTGTACGAGCGATGATATTACTAGTTCGAGGCTGATGAAGTTGTTCGTTGTCACTTAGAGGTGACCAGGGTCGCACTGGTGCACTTGTGCTTGGTGATGGACTCCCTCCAAATCGCGAAACTCTCGAATTGTTACTTCGGAGCAACCAGGGTCGAATTACTTCATCCCTTGAGGATCTACTGGCTCCGAATCTTCTCCGTCTCGAAGTGTCATTATGGAGCGACCCGGGTAGGGAAGCCTCCCACACTGGGCTTGAAGATCCACTGTCTCCAACCCTCAAAGAAAGCGGCGAGTTGGAGCTCGAAATTGACCAGTGTCGAGATCTACGTCTGCTCCGTGATACCCTGTTTTCGAACCCAGCGCGTCTCGAAGAGCGTGACATGGGCTGAGTCACCATATCGAACCTGACCATTTCAGCAGCTACGGCCAGTGTCAATGGGACATGCCACGTATCTCTGTCACTATCTTGGGCACGAGGCTCATGCAGATACCCAAGCATACCTCGCTCCCCACCAATTGTGAAATAAGGACGTACACCCCGCGCCATAGTATCGTCCCACTCATTCGCCTGATTAGTCGCAGTCCTTAGCTCGGTCATGAGAAGCTCCTGCGTCACCCAAAGATCTATCGTTTTGAAGGTGATAGCCTTCAGGGCCTTTTCAGCGGTGATGGTGTAGGAGAAGTCGGAGAAGAATCCCTTAAGATGCTCTCGCATGGTGTATGCTAAGTCACAGAGAGGTATGGTTTGGGCTTGGAAGAACCGAGCCAGACGGTACAGCAGCGCGAAGACGTGTGGTAGTGCTGGATTGAGCAGGGTAATGATGTGCGCTGGATATTGTCCCGAATCTGTCAGTGGCTCTGTCTTGATGAAGTGCTTGACGATGTGTTGAAAGTTTTGAGCTTCTTGGTTATACAGCGGTCGCCGGATGCGCGGCCACTTCCATCGCGCGGTGACAGCCTCACTAATGCTGTATGACTGGAAGACTGTGCGAAATATCAGCGTTGCGAGGCGCGTTGTCATGGAACGTGCGTTCACTGTCACCATGTCGCTCTCAGTGACGTTGCGGAAACGCTGGAGCAGATGGCGGATGGTCATCTGGGAGATATGGCGCACGCCGCTTCTGAAGCGGTCTTCGTCATTTGTGATCTTGTTTGTCTCTTCTGAGCCGATGGTGAAGAGCTCCTCTCGATCCAGTGGGCAGGTCGTGCCCCTGCCTTCGCTTGCCCAGCTCATTATGCAGACTCTGCCTACGACGTGCTGTGCAGTGCATGGTAACCGGACAGGCCTGTCAAATTGAGCGATACCGGTGTCATTGTGAAACGGTAAGGTCTCCAGGGCGAGGAGTTGTTGGTGTTCCGATCCTTTATTATTGAAGTGGGCTTGCAATTCTGTGAAAGGAATGCGGCATATAGGACAGGCTGATCCGGGAGCCAGTGTGCCAGTATCTAGGTTCTGCAGGCGCTCGAGGAAAGTTTGGTATGTCGGAACGCTGGAGCTAGTATGCAAGCGGCTGCGTGTTGCCCACTGTTGCCTGCTGTTGAACCTGGTACTGTTCTCGGTGCTCTCTGTATTGGTAGAGGACATGTTGTGAGACTGTTATCAATCAATGGTCATCGTTTAGGCCAGGCGAAGGACATTCGTAGAGGGGCGCAGCACTTTTATAGCTAGATGCCCAAAGCTGGAATGAACAAGAGATGATGCCCGTCGGCAATGCGGGGATGCAATTGTGCTCTCCAAAGTACTCATGTAGACGTGTCTCCTTTGCACAGCGTGAAGCAAGTCAACGTTGCAGCAGCAAGTGGGTGATAGACTGGAAATGTAATGTGTAAGGATAAAGATTCAAAGGGATTAATGACTGCTATCAATTCCATGAGCTTGCAAGACACGCTCCGATTTCTGGCAGCATTGTTGTTATTAGTTTGCTTACGCAGCCTCCTTCTTCATCTTCTTCGCAAGCTCAGCATACGAGCCACTCTTGATATCCTCCAAGATCCCCTTCTCAGCTTCAATACTCCACCCAAGCTCTTCCCTCGCCTTCTTGTTCGAAGCGCGACACTTCGCTGTCATGAACATCGCCAAAAACATCCCCATCTTGGCCTTCGCCTCCTCCAACTCGAACTGCTCGCAAGGCACACCTAGCGTCTGGCAAATAGCCTCAGAGATGGCCTTCTGCTCGATGTCCGTCTCGGAAGTGGCATTGTACGACTCCCCAGCTTTTCCCTTTTCGGCGATGAGAAGGTACAGGCGAGCAGCGTCTTCCACATGCACGGTGGTAGTAAGGGCGGTACCCGGCTTTATGAAGAATCCTGCGCCGTTAGGGGCGAACTTTTCCATGTAGAGACGGACCCCGCTCCCTTCCCTGCCGTACACGTACGGTGCAAGACGGACGTAGCAGATGCGGATGCCTTGGTCCGTGTACGTCTTCACGTTCGACTCGAAGCCCTTGCCGTACGGGTGGTCTTTAGGCCATCCAGGCGAGTTCTCGTCCGTCTCTTCCTCATCAGGGTGAGGCTGAGCGGCCAAGGCTCCACTGGTGATGATGAGGGGCTTGTTGGTGCCTTTTACGCCGGCGGCAAGGGCGTCGTTAGCGGCGTAGTTGAGAGCCCAGCGCTCGTCTTGCGGAATGTTCCAGTTGGAGGCTATGGCGTCGGCCATGTTGATGATGATGTCGGCTTTGGAAGCCTCACGCGTAAGAACGTCGATGGACTTGATGTCGCCACGGACAGGGTTAGCTCCAAGGCCGCGGAGCTTGGTGTCACTGGACTCGGAGCGGGAAAGGGCGTTGACTGAGTAGCCCTGGGCGATGGCATATTCGATGATGACGGAGCCAATGTAGCCAGAACCGCCGGTGATGAAGATAGTTTGCTTCGACATGGTGTTGTGGAGCCGGTGTATTGTGGTAGATTGGAAAGATGGAGAAGTTTCTGGAAAGTGTCTGAAATGCGATTGAGGACTAAGACAGTTGTGAAGCTGATCGTGAATGTGATGTAGTATTGACAGATATTGCAGCGTACATCTCTGGATGCTTTATAGATTTCTTGGGACCCTTCTCGCACGACCTGGACTTCAGCGAGCGGACGTATCGGAAATAGTCCTCAGTGAGAAAGGAGATAGTGAATAGCTTTGGTGAGCTCTCGAAGACGTCTATGACATGGTGATACATTTTTTCCTACCGGTGGACGAAGTGCATCCTCATTGAGAGAGACGCTAAACCCTCGTCGTACTCCGACCGCCTGAATAGGGCGTAAGGCTGGAGCTGCAGGTACCATGCCCGTATAAGCAATACGCTAACCTGCTGTCGTACGATGAAAGTCGGTGGATAAGAAGTTCCGACCACGTGATTGATGTCGAGGCTGAAGTGGCGGGGATAGCTTCGGAATTAGGGGCGAGGTCAGGCTCCGACCACATGAGATCGATTCCCAACAATACGTTGAGGACCTAACGTCTGTCTAAACAAAACACATGATTTCTCAACTGGCAGAGATCGAAAGGTAACAAAGGGCTGGAGATTTGGCTACCCGAATGGTATTTTGCACCGTCTCGAATCACGGCTCAACAGAAGTCAGTCACAGTTCTGTGGAGGAGGCACGCTGCGCAGAGTATTCATATGGATTTAGAATGGCCTCAGCAGTTGTGGTACATGTTTGGCATAATCTGGCTCATCCCGTACTCTACATCAACGTTTATTGCTTGGCCGAGCAAGATAAAGGCCTTACTACTTTCACTAATGCGACTGTAGCCTAGGAAATTATTTAAGCTGCACGCGACACAAAGACTTGACATGCCTGTCGATCCTGTGAAGATTTGCTTGAGCATAGATCCCAAGAATGGTATGAGACACAAACGCCTGACAAGAGGATCGAGCCCAGTGAGAGCTCATGCCGTCATCTCCACCTTGACCACTTCAAATACACTGGCTCACGGCTCAAATCCCAGCTTTTTGCTTATACGGAAACGGATAACCTGATCCTAACGAGATGGAAAAGCGGGAAAGGTGGTATGTGGGGTTCGGCAGGATCCTTTCTTATAGGTGCTTTGCAAAAGTTCTTCCCCCACGATCTCATGACTCTGTGTCAAAGTTCGATTTATACTATTATATTTCTTAAAATTTCAGGCTCTTTCTGCGCGAGTGGGTGTTTCGAAAAACCATGGGCGTTATTACACTGTTCAAGTTGCGGCGAGCTCTTCGAGCCGGATCATTCAGGTGATCAGCTAAGTGGGGGCTGAGACTGCGGCGCAGTTTAGGGCGTAAGGTTGCCTGGTGCCAACTTGTTGATCCGCAAGATAGTTTGCCATCTGGATTGAATGATCTACAAACGGTTCTGTACGAGTGGTCTGAATCGATGTACTGATATACATTCTTACAAGTAAGACCTAGGGTTTTAGGATCCTCGCTAGCGAACATCTCAAGCTATAATGGATATAGCTTTATTAGTCTGTATAGAGGATATCAATTGGACAAAGTGAGATAGGACATCAATCCGATGCGTGAAAGCAGTGATGGAACGCAATAGCGGTGGCCGGGCCAAAAGCAGAGGTTGAAAAATCTACGAAAAAAGCCACTTGATAGGGTGGTCGAGCCAATGAAAGTTTGCTTCTCGAACAGTGAAAGCTCGCTTGAGCATGGACCATGCTGCCCTGAACATCTCAGCCTAGGGGAAGGGCGAACATTGAGAGAGCTTAGCTGGGAGCGGGGGTTCCACGTCGCTCCTCCAGCTTTATCTCGTACTCGCAAGCCATACATCTTGCAGATAGATTCAACAGATCTGAAACCGCTAAAAGTGCCATTCATATATCCGAACCTTTATACAATGCCGGGGAATCTTACACATGAGGGGTCAACCCCTCCTATTGTACACTCTTGCTTACGACCTAATCAACTCCCCCTTCTCATCCCTCGGTATTCTCTTCCACCCGGTCTTGAATCGCTTCTTACTCGCGTCGAACCTCGGGAACGGATGCGCCTCCGTATTGAGCACAATTTGATCGAGCGGCAGGAGCTCGTTGGGGCTAAATAGGAGGTAGAAATACTTCAGCGTTTCGGCCTGATCTTCAGTTAGCGAAACCCCGCCTCACGACTCGTGGAGATGTCAAAACTTACCAGCCAAAAGCTTTCCATATTATCCCTCCCAGGCGGCGGCACAGTCCTCACATCGTTGACGCTCGTAAAGCCTCCACCGTTCTCGACAATAGTATGCTTGACAAAGTTTTCGAACATCTCCCAGCCCCACTCGCGATACAGCTCATCACCAGTGATACGCCACATGTAGAACAGCGACTCCACGGTCTCAGGTCTTTGGAGGTTGTGCGAATCCGCAGGCTTGACGATGAGGTCTTTCTTCCACTCTGCATCCTCATCGGTCTCTAGATTACCCTTCGATTGAAGGACTTCTTGGCGGTATGTTCTTGGTGGGTCCGCGAGCTCGAAGTGCGTGATCTCGCCTGCGAGACCGGTGGGGTTGACGCGGTAGGTTGCCATGCATGTCTTCATCAGTTCGCGTGCGAGGATCAAATCGTCTTCCTGGGATTTGCCCCAGCCGGGCTGTTTGCGCGCCTCGGCGACGGTGAGACCATCGGTGACTCCTAGTGCGATGGTACCGGGGTAGAAGCATACAAGGTGGTCCATCTTAGGGTGGAGATGTCCACTTAGGCCTGACGGGCGTTCGGCAAGGACGGTAAAGTGTGCGTTTTTTGAGTAGGCAAGAAGATGTTTCTTCACTCCGCCTAGCGACTCGTTCCACATGTCGAGGTAGACGGGCTCCTGCTTCTGTGTCTGCAGGTACTGCTTGATGAGATACTCGTAGTATGAGTCCCCACGGCTGCCGAGGCGAATCTCCTCCCCTCGGAAGGTGCCCTTGTCCGCGTAAACGAAAATCGGAACGAGACCGTTCTTGGCACCGTTGTTGTCGATGACTTCCATCACCTTCTCGGCCTTCTCCCAGTAGTGCGGCTCACCTGTCAAGTAGGCAAGGTACTTCAGTTCCAGTTGCAGGGTTGTAGCCTCGGCAGTCGAGGAAGCTCCACCATCAGCATGCGAAGGTTTGCCTTCTCCGTCCTTCAAGACCACGCTCGCCCATGGAACACCAGAAGGCGACTCAAACGCGCCCATCAACCTGTCGGCAAGGTCAACAGCCTTCTCCAGAAAGAGATCCTCATCATTCGCGTTCTCAGGTTTTATCCCGGGTAGCGCTTCTTGCAGGTAGTGGGCCGACAGCAATCCACCGAGCATGCGTATCGTAGTCTCAAAAGTATTGACGTCCTGGTCTTTCTCGTAGTTCAACGTGGTAGATACCCATTCGCGTGCATGCTTCAGCTCTTTCGTGAGGTTCATGACCATCAGTGTATCCAATGCATCCACAATGATCCAACCCATGCCGTTCGGCTGCGCCATGAATCGTCCGGTTCTCGCGACGGGGTGATATTCGTCGTAGCCTGCCAACGTCAGCCTTTAGATCTCGATCACTCGCAGCTGCACTATGACCAGCTACAAATCGTGCATAACATACCCCAGCCGTGCTCTTCATAGCCCTTCCAACTTAACAAGAATGCGTCTTTCACGCTCTCTCTGCGCGTATTCCAATCTACGTTCTTTTTTCCCGTCTGTGTCCCCGGCATCCAACTGCTTGGCTTTCCACCCTTGATGCCCTCCTCACTTCCTCCTCTGTTTGACCATCCTAACCAATATAGCGCCCCTAACACCACGAGCCCAATTATGCCAACCCTCGTCTTTCCCGAAAACCATCGACCACCTCTCCGTGATCCATATGACGGCTTATCCTTGTACATGGGCAGCTCCTTTTCATTCCCACTGAATTTGTTCCAGACATGATCTTCGAAGCGGCGCTGCGCGTTGTCGAAATTGGGTATATTGTTAGGCAGCTTGAAGGACATGTTTGCGTCCTTTGCCTTCTCGGTCGCAGCTTGTACCGTCTCAGTCACCGCCTCTGCAGCCTTCTCGGTGGCTTTATGGGCAACGATGGACGCGTGCGACGCGGCGGATTGGAGGTATGTGAGGGCCGAGGGGGGTGCTCTGCGGAGGTTGAAGGGGTCGCGCGAGTACATTCAAGATGGCGCTGAACGGCTCGGGCCGTCCGCTGAAGAGATGCGCCGGGCCAACAAATCGTAATTATGTACTGCGGTACCTGTGTATAAAAGACTGTCCCTTACTGCGTGAAGTAATCGACGGATATGTGGATTGACAGCTGTCTTTACTCTGAGAATGCGGCGTAAGGAGAGTTCCCATTGGGTACCTGGCTTCTGAGTGACAGGGATTAGCTTTACGCGAGTGATGCCGCGCGTGCCAGCCTCAGAGGAATCGCAACTTGATAGCTCGAGTTCGTAGCATTCACTTCAACAAGCAGGCACTTCAACAAGCAGGCACTGCAAAGGAAAGATAGTATTGAGGAACCGCAAGTGTTCTAATGTTCGAGCTGTATCCGTGATTCCGCGATAGACAACCCATAATGGTGCGAGCACCTGTCGCCTGGTACCTACCGGGTGGAGACAGTACCACTGGCAAGCACGATGTACATCTCATTTCAAAGGGCAAAACCACGTTCCGCGTTCTCTAACCATGGCCACACCGTCACACAGACATAGCGTTTCTCGCGTGGTCCCCGATCGTCAACGCGTTATTTCAGCCAATCACCATCCCCCTCAGCATTACCACTCCGTGTCGTCATGGGTTTCTACGCGCGCGACGAGCTACAATTCTTATGCTATGCCGTATTTTCCTGTTGTCCATTATACCACTGCTGCACTCCCAGGAAGAAACGAAATTCGGGAATCTCAGAAGAACCACAAACCCCCGATTTTAGACAATAAGAGTCACGCCGTGACAGCGCCCAACCGCAACACTCAGCAATGAAGCACCTCACCATCGACCCCTCCACATCTGGTCTCCCCACCAAAGACCACGTCGCCACAAAAGCTTTTCCAGAAGCCAAGACCACAAAAGTACACCCCTCAAACGCAAAAGAGGAAGACACCAACGCGACCCTCTACTTCATCGGCACCGCGACGACTATCCTGGAGTGGGAAGGCATACGCATCTTGACCGACCCAAACTTTCTCCATGCGGGCGATCACGTGCATCTCGGTCCTGGCGTGTCCGGAACTCGACAAACCAACCCTGCCATCGACTTGGAGGAACTACCGCGGATAGACGCCGTGCTATTGAGCCATTATCATGAGGACCACTTCGATAGACTGGTGGAGGATAAGCTAAGGAGGGAGTTGCCGATTATTACGACGCCGCATGCAAAGAGTTGTTTGGAGGGAAAGGGGGAAGAGAGCTTCACGGCGGTGCATGCGTTGGACTTTTTTGAGTCGTTGCAGTTGGACGTGAAGGACGGAGGGGGTGCAAAGCAGAAGAAACCAAGTATCAAGATTACGGGCATGCCGGGGAAGCACGTCCCACCTGGGCCGCTGGCTGTCGCGAATAATATTCTCAAGGCGGTCCCTCCTACCAACGGGTGGATGATCGAGCTTGGCTATGCGGATGGTCCTGAGCAGGTGTGTAATGTCAGTATACCTTACATTCGCATTACTAACAACCGCCCAGTTCGAGAACGGTTACCGCATCTATATATCAGGCGATACCCTGATGGTCGACGAGCTGAAAGAAATCCCAGAGCGGTACAAGGGCCAGAACATCGACCTGATGCTAATCCATCTAGGTGGAACGACGATTCCTGGGCCGAGTATGCCACTGCTAATGGTGACAATGGATGCAAAGCAAGGCGTACAGTTGATGCAGCTCATTAATCCGGATCTTACCATTCCGATTCACTACGATGATTACGACGTCTTCATGTCACCGTTGTCGGACTTCAAGAAGGCGGTGCAGGAGGCAGGCCTTAGCGATAAGGTCGTGTATCTGGATCGGAAGGACCAGTTCAAGTTCAGTGTAAGACAACGTTCTGGCTCCGGAATGGGTTCAGAGGGGTTGCTGGCGGAGAAAGTGGCTACTCAAGCTGTGTAAACTTTGTTCTGAATTTGTTAGCCTTGATCAGTATCTTTCGCAAGTAAAATTGAAAGCATGCAAGGTCGAGCCATAGTGAAGTTTTGACGTTTTTCATTTCTTGGTCCCACTCATTGAAGGGTTCCAGTATGCCATTGAAGTATTGTCAACCGAAGAGACGCCGTCCGCCAGTCCCATCATGCTTCGTGTGATCTTCGCCCGCCGTGGTCCTTTACCTCCTCTGCAATCCTTTTAAACGTCACCCCGCTATCGTGCTCCATTTATGCCGATCGCTTGCCCTTGGGGTTCTTCTTGCCGACGTCGGAGATGGTGAGACCTGCAATCATAGTCAGTTTCTGGGTGGATGAAGTGTAGAGGCGAGGTAATCGTACCCGGAGGAAGAGACTGCTTGAGCTTCTCGGCCTTGTCGGTGTCCTTAAGGACAAGGGTGTAGATGAAGCGCTCGCATCGGACCTTGAACTTGATGTTGCCGGCCTTCTTGTTCTTCTTTATGCGCGCAGCTACGATTCAAGTCAGCAATTGTGCTCTGGCCCCTCTCACACAAACTGTCGTCCAATATGTCTTGCGTGCCCCCGTTGTGGTGGTGCATTCGCTAGCGACAGGCGCAATTGTGTGCGGGCGGAATTTTGGACGTACACCTGGCATCCTTGCGGCGGCAGATCTCGATGAACTGCTTGATGTCGGAGACTTCGGACGGCATTTTGACGGGTTGTGGTGGATCGAGGTCGGTGATCTGGTCGTTCGTCTTGGTTCGTGAGCGCGAAATCGTTGTGGAGGTGGAAATCCGCAAGCGAGGGCACGGGCCAGAAAGGGGCGCTCTTGGGCTTGGCCGAATGCGGTAAGGTGCGGTTTGCGGGTGACGACGTGTGGCGCAAACACAGTGAACCTGGTCCAGACAGCTTGCCTCTTCACTGTTGCTGCCTGCACTATATAAATATCTTCCTGTTTTACGCATTCGAGGCCTGCTCTCCTTGACTGACGCCAATCTCCACCCACGACCTACCAGATCAATCTCAATACCTCTGCACCAATCTTCGAAGCTGCCACCATGCCTACGCCGATAGACCGCGCGACAAGCTCACGTGTAAATACCTCTTCTACCTTGCCTTTCAAGAAGCACAAATACTCCCAAGCAGCGACCTCGAGTCCCCATTTGTCACTGCAAGGTGTCCTTTCATCCGTTCTCCCCGTAAACCACAATCCCCCTCATAACAGCCCTCTCCATTCGATGCACATTTCAGCAACGTTTCTAGCTTATCAACTCTTCCTTTTTTTATTCTGGGCATTGCTTCAACTGACTATCAACACAGACACCGTTCTTTGCCTTTGCGGCAATCGTTACTGGCGTCGCTGCTTGGAGTATCTGGGGCCAAGACATCTTCCCTAGTTCAGATCCGAATGGAGGTATGCTGTTCCTCTTCTTCCTCATATTGTGCTGCTGCATACCTATACTGTGGATTTTCATGCCAACGGGTATCACTGCGCCTCGGAGGGTACAGTAGAGTCAATAGACGATCGGCTCAAGTCTGTCTCAACGTAGTCACATGGATATGGGTGTGCTGACTGATAGATGCAGATCCTGAGACGTGGACTCATGAAGAGTGTGTCACTTGGCTGAAGAACGTATGTGGACTTCTCGCCGTCTCGACCATCCCTACACGACTTTCATCCTTTGCTGAAGTGCTGAAGACACGGCGTCAAGTATACTAATCTGTCTTGCAGCGAAATCTTCACCCATCACCGCTCGCCACTACGGCTCAGCTCTTGGAGCGCATAAAGGCCAACATGCGGATCGCCAGGGAAAGTCAGGCGAAGAAGCAGTGAGGAACCTATCTAGCTCCTGGGAGCTGGGAATACGTCTGACCTGTCGTTGATTTGATGCTGGAGACGAGTGTGAGGTGACGCAGGCGATAGTCCTTTGCCATAAATTGATACCCCTTAATTATCAGCCGCTACGAAGCTCATCTTGAAGTGATATGTGTGCATCCGGCAGCGGCACATTTGCGTCAACGCGGGAGGTGAGCCACTAGCATACGGTTAGTGATCCTACCTCTACGCACATTATCCTCTATTAGGCGCTTGGAAACCTTGCCTTGGAGAACGCACATCATCATCAGCACAAGCGTTATGCAGCCGAGAACGCCAATACGTAACGCCAACCGGTCACTGTGAAGCACGTCCTAAGGTAACTCGCATCACTCATAGCTATCACGGGACCTAGTCGCAAGGCCATTCAGGTGCGAATCGTATCCGTACTCAGTCTCGCTAGACAGACGTGACAGATTATTGCTCCAGGCAGCCGGTGGCAGAACCACTAGTCGCCTAAGCCGCGTCAATCAGAAGTCATCTAATGTCGCCTCAATGCCCTTCACTACGCCTATGCCTCCCAGAAGACCCAAGAATACCTTCATAGACCCGACCCGCCATGACTACCATATCAAACACCAGCGGTTCTCCCAAGAAGAGCCACCGATCCACCCCCAGTATTTTCTTCGCGGGAATCTTGAAAACTTTTGCACACCTTCACCTTCCCTTATTCCACTACTCCCCACCCCTCTTCATCTTCATCTCTGCCAGAATCGCACTGTCTTCTCTCAACTCCTGGATCTCCTCCCTCCACATCCGTGTCTCCTCTTCCAACTCCTTTGCTAGCTTCTCCTGCTCCCTCGCCATCTGTGCCATATACGGTTCGAGCTCGGAGTCTAGGTCACGACGCTTCTTCACTATGGCGTCGCGGCGCGCTTTCACTGCTTTGAGCTGCCGGCGGGTTTCGGTAATGGTTAGGGACTTCGTGCGCTTGGGTTCGGGGAGGGTGGAGAGGGGAGCGGCCAAGGGACGTTTGACTGTTAGAGCTGGGGCTGCGGGGTGTGTAGTAGATAGTGCAGCGGGGAGCATGGGTGCGACCGGGACGGGCGTGGTGATGGGAGTGGTTGCGATGATTGGGGTGGCGTGGGCCGACTTAATCGGTTTTGAGAGCTCCTCGGTCTTTTCGATGTCATTCCCTTCCTTCTCAGCCGGCTCTTCGACTACTGCGGTATCTGGCTTCTCAAGAGGCTCCTCGACTACCGTGGCCTCGGAAGGCGCGTCTTCGACTGGAGGGTGCCTCTGCGCGAGTGGGCTTGGAGGCGGGCTAGGACGGCGCTGTATGAACGGACTGGCCAGCGTAAGAGGGGTATCCGGGACGGGTGTAGAAGAGTCGGCACGGGTCGAAGCGCCATCGTTAGGTTGGACCGGTTTCGCTCCGACGAGAAGTGGTGGGAGTAAGTCGAGATCGAGGATGTGTGGCTCGGTGCCCTTGCCTTTGGTCTTGGGGTTGTACGAGAGCTCCATCTCTTGAGCCTCGATAGCCTCTGTAATGTTTTCAGTATCGCAATGGCTTTTTAGGAATAAGGGTAAAGCATACCCTTTGATCGGTAGTGGAAGCGGAAGATAGCCCAGGGTTCCTTGCTCGGACGCCTCGCAGTCAACTTCTTATTCCAAGCCTTGCTGGCCTTCTTGTCAAGCTCCTGGACATTCTTCTCGAATTCAATCATGAACTCTGGAGCGATGGTCTTATACGTCGCCTGCTTGCACTCTGCGTCTTCACCCTCCTCGTCCTCGTTGTTGAGATATGTGTCGACATCTTCGTTCAACACACAGTCTTCGCCGAATGTTCGAAGCACGTATAGGCGTACTTCAATAGTGCCGACAGTCTCTGGCACGTCGCCGTCCTGGGAGAAAGTGAAGCCGGAGACGGGCACCAAATTCATTTGGGTATCGAGGATCTTCGTATCACCAAGTCCATCGTTGGTCTGATAGAGCGCCTCCTCAAAGTCTAGCTTCACCCCTTTCTGAAACTTGACAGCTTTGCTCACCATATTGTTGGCCTTTCGGAGGATTCCATCGATATGAAGGTCCCAATGGACAGAGAAGGTCTGCTGAGTTAGCGAAGCCTGACCGATAAAGATCGAGAATAGTCTGCACTTACCGTTCCATGGAATCTTCCAGCGACCTTGACGACGCTGCCATCTTCGACAGGGACGTAGCAACATATAGCTTCATCGTGTGGATCGATGTATTGGCCGTACTCAGCTAGCTCTTCCACCTGCTCCTGCACGTGAACGCGCAGCTCGGCCCTGCGGTCAGTTCCCCTTCTCTTGCACCTTCATGGCGGAAGACAGCAAATGAGAGTTGATAGGCAGAAAGTCAGTCCGAGCGGGACTAAGTGTCGATCTAAAGCAAGGCGCTTTTTACACTGGCGTACGACTCGTAGAGGCTGATTTGGGCAGGAGAGCGTGCGCGCAAACTGTAGGTCGAAGGCTGTCTTGTGGAACAGAGCTGTTGCGCGACGCTGTGGCTCAACGTGTATTCGATATCGTGGACCAAAGGTAAGCTGCTGTAAGTGGGAAGTGGGCAGGAGAAAGGATGGCAGTGGGAAGGAGAACAGGTGCAGGATCGTGGGTTTATGTAGACGCCACTATCGGTGAAGGTGCTGCTGGAAGTAAGAGAAGAAAGAAGGGTTCTTCACTGGTAGAGTCGGAAGTGAGTCTCGGAATAGAAATTAGCAGGTGTTAGCTGGAATAGAACGTGGCGATCTGCTTCACCGCAAGTGAAGAGGCGGTGGTCAAAAGTTCTACCTCTAGGCAGTAACGGAAAAAGCCTTCACCGCAGGGTCTAATCTTCGAAGCTTCCCCATTGAAGGACATCTTGGGTCATCTCGTACCAGAGCCGTATAATCGCCGATGATACAAACTGTGTAACTGATTGCGAGTCGACCCAAGATATGTAATGAGCTAGCCACATAATCAGCGACTTCTCTATGCTTTGCCGCAAGATTTGCGCTTCAGCCAAAGATCCTATCTCGTGTAGATTACGAGGAGCTCGTTTTTTATGAGGACTAGCTCCAGAAATTTCGCTCTGGGACACTACAACAACAACCCTCCACGACAAATAATAAATCTTTTTAATTAGGGGAGGCGATAGAGCTGGCGCTCCTCTATTAGCTCCTGCTAATAAAAAGTATTAATATTGAGTGTTGTGGTTGTGGCGTTGCAGTGTTCTGGGCGATATTTCTGGAGCTAGTCCTCATAATAAAAAACGAGCTCCTCGTAGTATGTTCCCTCTGAACGATGTTGTCCGATTGGCCAAAGTACGAAGATGGATAATAAAATGCTACGAGGCCGTTATGTCATCAAACGGCCGTGTACATGTGGCTGCGGCACCCAAAGAATACATATGTAAAGAAAGAATGTCCGACTCTTCGCGCGTGGGAGCGTTCCCCTAGATAGTGCGCAGATTCCGCTCTTCCTCTCTCTTTTCCGTCTTCTTGATTTCCACCTCAGCTCTCTGCTCCCAGCTCTTCAGACTCTCTGCGTGGTCAGCTCCTTTACCAACCACTTTTAGTGAATCTTCAAGGTATCTCTCAGCCAGTGCTGGTAGCTCAGTCTGGAAGCCTGATTTTTCGATCACGTCCTTTGCAATTTTGACATCTTTGACAAGTAGTTCAAGCTGGTAGCCAGTGTCGTACGATTTGAGGTTCTTTTGCGAGTATTTTGTTGAGAAGTTGACGCCAGTACCGACGTTCATCACATCGATCATGGTTTGCGGGTCGAGGCCAAGCTTTTGGCCGGTTACCTGGGTGTGGTAAGCAGCCGTTTGACACGAACCGCTACGAAGGATTCAAGTTTTGGACCCCCAGTGCTGAGTCGAGGTTGGGTACTTACTAAAGCGTCGTTGAGCGCGATGATGCTTCCAATGCTGACGTAATTGTTGAGCGTCTTCATGGTGTGCCCAGCTCCAAGGCCGCCCATAGGGAAGACGTGCGTGCTCATGTCCTTCAACATCGGCATGACTTTCTCGAGCGCTTCAGTTGAGTCGGCGCCGACCATCAACGTGGCACCTCCTTGATCAATGGCATGCAGCTGCTCCTGAGTGATGGGTGAGTCTACAAGATCGACTCGTAACCGGCTCAGTTCGAGGCCCAGAGCTCTGGTGTCGAATGGTGAAGACGAGCTAGTGTCAACGACAACCGATCCTGCTTGGTATAAGATGTGTATTATGTTGATCGAACGGTGAGGCGTACATGCCTGGCTTTAGGTGTGGAGCGATGCCGTTCGCGCCCAGTAGCACATCATAGACAACTTTTCCATTCGGCAGCATTGTGATGACAACTTCGCAATTTTGAAAACTGTCTGGCTCCGATGTGGCCACCCTTGATTTCGGATACTCCTCGACGAACTCGATGCCTCGCGCTGGGTCTGCATCTCTGACAAGCAGCCTGTGACCCTTCTTTGCGAGGCAGGCAGCCATAGGGTAGCCGGCGTTGCCCAGGCCTACCCATCCAATGCTAGGCTCTTCCATTATCGATCGAATATTAGGGCAGTGGTGCGAAGTGTGAGCGAATGATGCTAGCGAAAGGACAGGTATAAATGCGGAGCCTTTCCGCAACTACCCCACAGCTAGCTCAAGTGCCGATCCATGAGCAGACGTCTGATGATGTACTATGCTCCAGTTCAAGCATCTGGTGGCTTGGACGGCGAAGGAACCTTCATCGCTATCGTGCCCTCGACACGAAGTACGAACAGACGGAATAGGAAGGCGGACTACGCGGAGGCTAAGAACTAGGTCAAGATGACGAAGGGCAACAATGCATCTGTAAGCGCCATGTACAGCTTTACTAGCCTATCCTTTGAAGTTGTAGACATGCTGCTTATAGCACTTCTACTTGTTCTGTAGTGAGATGCGGGTCATGAAGATCTGATAAAGGTTCGGACACACGGAGATGGGCGACCCACTTTCACATGCGGCCGGCCATGGCATCGTGAGGGAAGCGCGAAGGGTTTTCTGCAGGCGCGAATTTGAGCCTCAAAATTGGCGTGGAGGCACCAACGGGGTTCGTTGCGCCCGCGCCAACGTCTGTGGGCAAAGAATAGCTAAAAAGTATGGGTGGTTCCGAAATTTCCCTTGCTGCACGATTGCCGCGGCCAAATCCCAGGTTGGCCTGTGTTGTCATAGCGCCAAGTGGCTTGCTTTTTGCTCCGGCCGGCGAGCTCCAGCTTGCTTCTTCAAATCCCTCACGGCCGTGAAGACTGCAACCCCACCGCCACGATGCTATCAAGATCCTCCCAGAAGACGGCGCAGGTACGGACGTACCTCCCACAGTCCCATTGGGCTGCGAAAAGAGCACAATAGCTAACGCGCACGGCAGACGCTCCTGCGGGGCGCGCGACCAGCCTCACGATGCATCGCTGGCCCGTCCATGGCCACCCGCAGTATGCGCTCACTTGCACACCTCACGGAGCGATGGCGACTGACATTGCGCAGGTATGGCCACGGTCAACCACGACATCTTCAAGCCCACCAAGTTTGGGGGCAAGTACACCGTCACCTTGATCCCTGGTACGCAACTCCCGCGATAAGCACCTACTCGATTCGAATTGTATTGAACAAAGCGCAGGTGACGGTATCGGTGCCGAAGTGTCCGAGTCGGTTAAGCAGATCTTCAAGGCCGACAACGTGCCCATCGAGTGGGAGCAGGTCAACGTTACCGGTGTCGAGACGGGCAACAAGCACTCTGAGGAGCTCTTCCGCGAAGCCATCGCCTCGCTCAAGCGCAACAAGCTCGGTCTCAAGGGTATTCTTCACACGCCTATCGAGCGCTCCGGCCACCAGTCGTTCAACGTCGCTCTCCGCCAGGAGCTCGACATCTACGCCTCCATTGTCCTGATCAAGAACATCCCCGGCTACGAGACGCGCCACAAGGACATCGACCTCTGCATCATCCGTGAGAACACCGAGGGTGAATACTCTGGTCTGGAGCACCAGTCTGTCGATGGTGTTGTCGAGTCGCTCAAGATCATCACCCGCGCTAAGTCGGAGCGCATCGCCAAGTTCGCCTTTGCCTTTGCGCTGGCCAACAACCGCAAGAAGGTTACCTGCATCCACAAGGCCAACATCATGAAGCTTGCCGATGGTCTTTTCCGCAACACCTGTAAGAAGGTGTCGGAGGACTACCCCACGGTTGAGTACAACGACATGATTGTTGACAACGCGTCCATGCAGTGCGTGTCGAGACCCCAGCAGTTCGACGTCATGGTCATGCCCAACTTGTACGGAGGTATCCTCTCCAATATTGGTGCTGGCCTTGTTGGTGGCCCTGGTATCGTGCCTGGCTGCAACATGGGCCGCAACGTCGCTGTTTTCGAGCCCGGCTGCCGTCACGTCGGCCTCGACATCAAGGGCAAGGACCAGGCCAACCCTAGCGCTTTGATCCTTTCCGCCGCCATGCTTCTGCGACACCTTGGTCTCGACGACCACGCCAACCGCATCTCCCAGTCCGTCTACCGGGTCATCGAGGAGGGGGTACGTACACCAACATACAGAGAAATTGACAGCCGCTAACAGCAAGCAGCAAGACACGAACACGCGACATGGGAGGCAACTCCACCACGCAAGAATTCACCAGGTCTATCTTGAATGCGATGGAGAAGGCATGATCGCATAACGATGTACCGCAGTCAGCTAATCCGTGATCTAGCGCGAAGATAGCGTCTATTTTCACGCATGCTTGAATTGGGTAACGCCGGCCAACAAGGAGCTCGGGCTATCCTACGCACATGCCAATCGCTCTGATTCTTGATGATTTGGTTAGTTACAGCCGTTGCGAATTGTACAGTAGGGCGGGCTGCTGGTTGTGAATAGAGCTGTACTTTTATATAGCTAGCATGCATGAATCGATTCCATCTATACCCTCCTGAATTGAAACGCCTTTCGCTATGCAGATTCGTGAATCGTGGTATCATCTTGACCTCTTCCTGTTACAGTGCGCAAAGGATTAGAATTGCACTCTCCTTTTCCGCCCAGTGTACTTCGAATTCGCCTTCACAACCTTACCCTTCCGCTCCATCTGCTCTTTCTTCTTCAAAATCCACCCTTTGCTTCCCTTGACCTCCTGCCCTCTTTTCCCGCCTTTCGCCGCACCCGGCCGCGCCATAACATCCACACCATCCATGCCCCTCACCACTCCGGTAATGTCGCCATCAAGATCGCCTCCTCCAACCGTCAGCACAAGATACGTCTTCGCATTCTTCGTCCCCTCATCATCCTCCAACAACCCCGCGCCGAACCCAGCCTTAATCGCCGCCTGGCTCACCATCTTCTTCTGCTCATCGTTCTTCGGGTAGAATTGACACACCGCCCGCCCTCCCCGGCGCAAACTTGCATACAGCCCGCCAAAAAACCGCGATAGCCGGCCGAGCGGGGAGTCGAGGCTGGTTTCTGCGTTGCACAGCCATTGTATCGCACTGATACTAATCGCAGCATCAAAGGTACCCGGTCGGAACGGAACGCCCTGCCCCGCATCCGCGAGGAATAAGTCCCCTTCTACTTCCTTCTCGAGCGCGACGCCTAGCATGGAGGAGGAAATGTCGAAGCCTATCCAGACGTGCGGGCCGCCTGGAGTGCCCTCGTCTTCGGTTTGTGAGAGGATTTCTCCAGACAGGCCGGAGCCGCAGCCTACGTCGAGGATGAGGGAGGGGGAGTGTAGGTCGAGGAGGGAGAGCGCGCGGTGCGTCATGTCGGATTGGATGCGTTGTATGCGGGAGGAGGTGGTGTACTTGCGGGATTCGGAGTCATTATAGAAGAGGTCGGGGGGTCTGCGCAGTGTATGTTAGAGCCTGGACAACGTAGAAACTGCGGGGAAGAAGGACGGCGTACAGTGTGTCTTCTGGGCGAGACATTGTTGCGTTTATTGCTTCTGAGTTGTATGTAGCACTCGATAGTATTTGCAAACTGTTTTCCTGGATCGGGGAAGCTTCAGGTGAGCGCAGAGACGTAATCGAGCGCAACTGTGGAATGCCAAGATTTCACTTTCGCGATAAACTTTTTGGTGTTTGTCCCTGGCTCGCGCCTGCCTGCCCCACACCCATCGGCTTGGCGTCATTCCCACCTGGCCTCATCGTAGACAACTCAGCTTTCCTGCACAATTGTCAAGTTTCAAACATGTGGATATTGCCGCTGATCGGATATGTCGGTGTGGTATTGGGATTCGCGTTCTTGACGCTGGCTATTGGTAAGATATACTTTCCATCCGAATGACGAGGAATGAAGTGAAGATGGAACAGTAAGGAGGACGATGCTAATGGTGTCTAGCTTCCGGATTGTACTATCTTTCCGAGCTTGTCGAGGAACATACCGTGCTTGCGAAGAAGCTGTTGACTAGATTGATTATCGGCGTTGTTGCGATCCAGATACTTCTTCTGGTTGTCGATGGCTTTCCGCTCGGGCTCAGCGCGCTGAGCGTCGTTTCGCATGTTATCTACGCGCAGAACCTGAGAAGGTTCCCGATTGTAAAGCTGAGCGATCCGCTCTTTTTAGTGTCGTGTGGTATGTCTTCGCCCCTCAAGCATGTTTATGGATGAGCAGAGCTAACATACGTCGCGTAGGCCTTGTAATTCTAAACCACTACGCCTGGTTCCGCCATTTCAGCGCCCCGCCTCCCCGCGACTCCTACTCCTACCGTGATCCGTACGCGCCTGCCATGCCGACCTTCACTGAAATCGCTTCTTACTTTGGCCTGTGCGTGTGGCTTGTGCCGTTCGCACTGTTTGTTTCGCTTTCTGCGGGAGAGAACGTATTGCCGTCTATGGGTTCGGAGTATGCGACGGGCGAGGGAAGCAGCTTTATGAGTCCTGGGAAGGAACCCGCGGCTGGATTTGGAAGCGGCACGGCTGGCACGGGCACAGAGGGACGGAGAAGACAGAGGAGTGGGACGAATGCCGGGATGGCGAAGAAGGCAATCAGCGGAGTTAGGGATTGGGTGGGTGAGACGGGAGAAGTTATGGGCCTTTGGAAGGGGGAGAGGACGAGGCCGACGTTTTGAGGAAGGAAAAGAAGGGTCACGATTGATATGAATACGTACGCTTTAAATGAGAAGTTGAGGGATACACTTACATGCCGGGACGAGCTGGAAGCACCATTGCTTGATCCCTGTCAACCCGGGTTTCGAACGATGGAAAGAGATTTCAAGAGCTATGAGATCACAACGAGCAAAGGGAGACACCTGTTCTGGATGCAATCACGTTCTTGCCTCGTGTGTTTGGGCTGCAGCTTGGCCGGCCAAGAATCGTTTTCAACTTCAACACCACAGCCCGCTATTCCGACTATCGCACATGACTTAGCGGCTCGTGAACTCGCCCATTTCCCTTTTCGCCCACTTGGCAATCAAACGCGAGGTCTCAGCTCTGTCGACTGTGTCCAGTACTGCCGCGGTCGCGCTCTGCATCAACTCGCCAGCCTTCACACGCTCTCGACCCTGCCTCTTTCCTTAACCCCAAAAATGCCGATCATCCGTTATTCTCTCGACCCTACCCCAGCAATGGCGGATCAGTCTACGGCCACGCTGGGTCTCGGCAACGCGTACAGTGCTGCCAACTTGCTTGCTCATGGCTTGAAGCGCGCATCCCGCGTCAACATGATGCAGCTTCCGAGTACCGAGCAGCTTCGCAAGGAGTATGGATTTTACCTCTTTGATACGGTACCGTGAAGTAACATATGCAGGCGCCTCGATAGTCTCCTCAATACGCCGACCGGCCGCGACTTCACTATCAACACTGCCGTCGGCGTGGTCTTCAAAGTCCACTCGATCATGTTGATTGGTGGGCCCAAGGCGCTTGAGCATGTGGCATTTCCGGTATGTCCTGACAACTCGGAGGTTTTGACATCGTCAGTAATGAATATCATATAGAAAGAAAATGTACCTGGCGAGAACGTAGTCAATCTCCCCGACCGCTTCCACCCTCTCCTTGTCGACCGCCTTGTCTCCTTCATCTATACTTCGTCCTACGCCGTGGACGCGCGGGCAGTCAAAAACACCACTCTCCACCACCATGCCGCCCTCCCATCCGGCGCAACTCCCACCTCCTTCGGCCTGTCTATGGACGCCGCAGAATTCCAAGTCTGCATGTACGGCATAGCTGAAGTGCTAGAGTACACCGCGCTCATGACCTTTGCGTATAGCAAGCTCTCTTCATACTTCATCTTCGACCGCAAGGCGCCCGAGCATGTTGGCCAGCTTATCAAGTTGGTCTTTGGGCCAGTGAATAGCCTGAGCCGAAAGTGCAAGGATGAGGTTGGTGCGCTGAAGGGTCTGGGCATCGCGGCTGTGCTGGTGCATGAGAAGAAGCACTGGAGTGGTCACGAGATGGACGAGTTCCGTGACTTGCTGGCTAATGAGCTTGGGCAAGATGCTTGGAAGGAGTATCGCGCGTGCTACAAGCATATCAAGGATGCGAATCAGGTATTGCTGGTTGAGCCGAAGTCTGCACCCAATATGCACGGCTACGCAACCCGTCAAGCTACGAAGGTTCAGGGCATCGGATCACTGACCTCGTCTATGAGCAAGATTGCCCTCGCTGGAGGCAGCAAGCCGAACATCTTGGAGACCCTGCATGGCCTCTTCGACGAGTACGCGTACTGGCCGCAGAAGGCTCTTCGGAAGAAGACCGGCCGGTCTACTGATACTCTGGAAGAGGCGTTACCCAAGGTCGCTCAACAGGTACGAGGCGGCCAGTTCCACGGCTGTTGGCAGCGCAAGGCTCATTTCAACCGCCCTCCCCTCTGGATGTGCACCGAGGCGATGGGCCAGATCAATCCCAACATCCAGCGTCGCTCAGAGTCTCAAGACCTCCACTCCCAATATGAAGAATGGCAACAGGCCAAGTTCATGGGCATCGGCCATGTACCCGACGCCAAAGGCATAGACTTCTTCGGCCACGCAGGCACCAATGCAGGCGACTCCACTTTTCCCATGTCTAACCCAACTCTTGAGAGTATACCCCTCGCAAAGCGCAAATTCGCCAAGCCCTCTCGCAACGTTCTCGCCACGCCTCCCAGAATCAAGATCGTTGATAACGACGGCGAAGACGATGCCATGGACCACGACGCCGCGGACGCAACCAGCATGATGGCCTCAAAGCATGCGCCCAAGGCGCCGAAACTCACGGGTATGGCCAACGCTACCTTCACCTTTGCTTCCGACAGCAATCGCATCGACTTCTCTTCTACCCCTGACAAGCCGCAGCCTGGCACGATCAGCCTAGAGGGCTTAAAGAAGTTGCAGGAGGTGGGTGTGGCGAACAAGGTCGCAAAGAAGACGGTCAAGGCGGCAGAGAAGGAGGAGGCTGTGAAGAAGGCCGGCATGGATACTGACGAGAACAAGGAGAACATCCCGCTGGAGTCGAAGTATGAGGCGCCGAAGGTTGAGGAGGAGGAGGAGCGGGATGAGGAGATGGTGGATTAGAGGCCTGCCATGGCTGTGGGACAAGGTGAAGTGGCATCGGCCTTTGTTTAGTCTATACCAGGTGATGCATGCTACTTTAGCTTCTGTCCTAGGAGCGTAGCGATACTCTGGTCCCTTGTAGCAGGAGTTCACGGCTTGGCGTTTCTTCATCTTTGGTATCAATTGTTATCAGCATGCCTAGCTGGTCAAACAAATTGTTTGTCAAGTCTGGCTGCTAGTGTGGGTTAACTGATGATGGTACAAAGAAGATGTGGGGTCATACTCTAGCAAAGACCGGCATGTATCAGCACTGGCATACACCGGTTACTTTGGTCAATTACATGGCTTTCAGAATGGTTCATAGAATTAATTGTCTGCCTTGCGGAAATTGATGGATGATAAAGCTCGGATGCGGCGATTGAACAGCGTGGAGATCGCAAGGGGATCGTCAAGAAGTGTTTTTAAGCAGAGCGCCCTACATTCGTGCGAGCACAATGATCAAAGCATCTCTGAATGTCTTTAGCTGCTCACTCGTGAAGGCTGAACAATCGCGGGGATGTCGGTCGCCAGCATCGACATACTAGAGGCGTCGGCAGACAGAGATGTTGACGAGCCAAGCCTCTCGTACGAGATGATCCATGGAGGATTGCGGCCGAGAATAGCCTTATGACAGCAAATCCATCCAATCCGAACGTTAGCGTGCAGACTGGCATGATGTTCCTCTCGCAAGATTGGCCCCTGACGATTTTGAGCCGATGCAACTTCAAAGGTGCTTCTAGAGTAGCAGCCCTTTACTGTGAGTCGTTCATACCGATCTTGGAGATTAAGACACCCATCTGCTTGGCCGTATCATAATGAAAACCGTTCTCGTTGGTGGTAAGCATTTTCTGACCGTGCAGGTCAGAAAACTTGGCATAGCAAAGCCTCTATATGCACAAAGTGAGCACTCAGGGAGGAAACCGACCGTAGTACTATGCTGCAGCCTTGGTGGCGTAGTGACTAGTAGATTGCTATCGAGGCAGGGAAGGGATAGCCAACGTCCGATTCGCAAGTCCAAATGCATGTCTCAGACAAGCTCAAAGGCGCACCCTTTGACATGAAGCTTGTTCAGCCGATGTCCGTATAGAACATTCCGAGTAGACGATTGATGCAAACTTTGGGAGCAAGGACTGAACCTGTGAGTCACCTTGCGGAAGCCCAGGTTTCGCTACTTTGGGCGAAGGCCTTCTATTGCGACCGAAAAATGCATTCGCATTTGGGCGTGAGCATGGCATTTGGTATTTGCTGCTCGCAAAATAACCCCAGTCTCAAATCTGGGCATAGCGGTGTGACTGGAGCCTTACGAGGAAGATGTACGCTTTAGCGGGCCGGTATGCATGCACAGCGCTCTTTTCGGTTAGGCTCGTCATGGAGTTAAATTCCGTACACCGAGGGAGCCGCCTCATGGCTACTGGATGCGAATAAATCGTGCCGCATAGCTGGACCAGAATTACCTTGGGCTGATTTGAAAGCCACGGGCGATTGGGAGGGCGGATGCCGCCGCTAGAGTTTAGAACCCTAGCTCTGGTCATGTCAGCATTTCACGATCTATGTCATGTCTTAATCCGCCAAAGATCCTTCCTTGTTCATCCTCAGGAGTGATTGTCCTACGCCGTTCTCCGAAATGGCGCCGAAGTTTACGTACCTTGGAATGGGCGCTATGGGTCGTGTAGGTAAGACTCTATAACGGAGAGATGGCTATTACTGACATGCATATCTAGGCTATGAGTAGAAATCTAGTCGAGAAGGGCCACCTCGACAAGCCTGTAACCTTCTGGAACCGGACCCACAGAGTAGCCATTGAATGGGCTGCTAGTGTTGGACCCGTGGCCAATGCTGTGGAAGATCTCTTAGAGGCCGTCAAAGATGCCGACATCGTATGGTCATGTTTGGCAACTCAGGACGCCGTGCTCTCTTGTTTCAACAGAATATTGAGTACTGGGGTCAGAGGCAAACTCTTCGTCGAGAGCTCAACTGTGACCCCGGAGGTGTCAAACAGGCTCGCCGAGCGAGTTCGTGAGGCAGGCGCAGAGTTCATTTCTATGCCGGGTACGAGAGCCATCGTTTAACTCATTCCCAACATACCAATCTAACAGAGTGCGCCGTAGTCTTTGGAGAACCCACGATAGCCATGGCTGGTAAATTGGTGACTGTTCCGGCTGGTCCCAGAGAGTCGGTCACTAAAATTCTGCCATACCTGGAAGGCGTGTAAGCCACACCGGTCGCTCTAAATTGACCGTGCTAATTAGACTGGCAGTGTCGCCCGCGGTGTCGTCAACTTGAGCGAGCAACAAGCTGGGACAGCGTCGCACCTCAAGCTCATCGGAAACGTCATGATCCTGATGATGATTGAGGCAGTCGCAGAAACCCACGTTCTTGCGGAGAAGACCGGGTTGATGAACGAAGTTATGCACGACGCTATCAATACTCTCTGGCCTGGTGCTGCCGGCGTGTACTCTAGGCAAATGCTGTCGGGGCAGTACTACCTCGAAAACGTAAGATTTCCCATGTTGATCCCGAGTCGCTTAGCTGACCGGGTAGCCAATGGTGCCCATTGATATGGCGGTAAAGGTCTCATCGCATGTGTTAAACCTTGCCGAAGCACACGGAGCCGAGCTTCCTGCATACAAAGCCGTGCGAGGACAGATCGAAGCCGTGAAGAAGCACTGCGGTTCCCAGGGCGATCTTCTGGGTGTGTACGGTGCCGGACGATTACAGAGCGGATTGCCATACAAGAAAGAAAAAGTACTGAAAGATGACGGCACAAAAATGCATTAAATGATTACCTAGGCACGAGTTAACGACCGACGATACCAAATGAAACCTCTTCTTCCTAGCCGTACAAGACTGGTGCGTGATTCCAGGGTAGATGCCGTCCCCTCGGTAAAGCTCGTTAATTATTACCTCTATAGCTTCCACAGGCACACTATTAATCTTGGCATTGTAGATGGCGTGAGCGGTACTCGCGGCGGGGAAATGCGAGGATGTTGCCATGCCTCGAAAGATGTCAGGTGTGCGTCAAAAACGGTAGGTCCACCCGATTACTAATCTCGGTCACCGAAATGTGGACGCAACGAAAACTTCCATCACCATCGCATGCATCTCTCTGACGCGACATCTAGCATAAAGCCTGATTGACTTATTCCTTGGGGTCAACCTTGGCACCAGATCCGGTAAACCGATGACGGAAGACAAGGATTAGAGAGGTGCCAAGCGGAAAGGGTGCCCACGACGAAGAAGACGGAGGATACCGAGGTGATGGCGGTCACGGCGTATCTGCATGTAAATGTGAAAGCTACAAGACTGCTTTGAATGCGCGGTATCAATGAGAACAAGACGTCGATGCACACGAATATATCTTGGCGATTTGCGCTCGCAATGACAGCGTTGACGAGATTAGCTTGCCGGGAGTGTGTCTGTTCCCTCGGAACTTGATGGCGAAGCTGGACAGGCGGCTTTCACGCTTTCAAATAGAAAAGAGAGAAGAGAAGGAAAACCGTTGTTGAGGTCGACCATATAGAGGCTGGAAGATATTCGCAGTACTCACATGTGGGATCGAACCCATCAGCCTGAAAAAAGCCTTCAAAGAACTGAGTACAGTATTCATACATCCCGACGTCCACGAATACGAAACCCGATGCAGCTGCGTCTTGGGTGTTTTGAATGCAGTTCACAAAAGTAGTTCGACAGTGTGCTCATGCTACAATATGTTCAGATCGACAATGGAACGAAGGTCTTGCGACGCGCAATAAACAAATTGTCAATGAGACATGTCAAAACCCTCGATGATCACCATAGCTTGCTCGCACATCGAGCCCAGAAAGATCTTGAAATCTCAATTTCGCGGATCAAGGGTAATAGCTTGTATCGTATGATACTTCCCAATCGAAGAACACCTGTCTATCAAGCGGCGTATACCCAGCCTTGAAACTGCACAAGAAGACCTCATCCCGCTGTCGAATACGAAATTTCGAACTCCGTCGTCCTACTGATCTTTCCTTGTCCTGGACTACCTGTTTGCCCGTCCACAACCAGGCCCTCTTCACTCTCATTCGTCTTTGCGCTCTCCGCGTCGGTCCCAGTCCGGATCTCTGACAATCGGATCTGGCCGTCGCGGCTGCGCAGTGTAGACTGACCCTCGCCACTTCCCGAGCCGTATGAGTCTTCGTCAGGTTTGCGCCAAACGTAGCGGATGGCTCGTATCGCAGGCATGCTCGACACGAGAATTCCAATGGCTGGCTCGGCGACAGACCAGTTCATTGGGATGCCCATCGCATAAGAACTATCTGCATCTTTCAAAAGGGCTGGGATAAACCCGAGGCGAACAGCGGAAGTTATGACAGCGCTTCAAGTCTGTTAGCCGATGTTATCCGAATGAGGTTGCGGATACATATTACTTACAATGCACCCACGAGCATGGTAGCAAGAAGCTGCAGCTTAGTCTTTTTGTCCAAGTGTAAAGGCAAAACTATGGGTATCGACAAGAAGTATACGATCGCATCTGTGGATACACCTGTGATCGCATTGCCAAGGTAGAAGGCATTAATATCCACACACCTGAGCTGGTCAACGACATACACTATTATGGCTCAACCTTCGTTTGTGAGAAGCTTACCGTATCTGTTCCGAGGGCAGCGAACTGTCCCAAGCAGCCTTTATGGGATGGCATTGGAACACGGCGACAAGAACGTTGGCGAACGTATTAGCAGCCACGATACCAAAGACGATCCAGACTACGGTTCTCATTGTCGGTGACTGCACGCCTCGGAGGATGCGTTGGTAGAGCGACAGGACGCTTAGCTTGATCATGCCCAAGGTGAGGTTATAGAATATGGCCGAGACATAGATCGCCTGAGCAATTGGTAAATACGCGCAACGAATGAAACAGTGGGTCCATGCAGCTCAACGTGGAGCATCTCTAGGAAGGTATCGTACTAACCTGTCTGTATGCAACAACGCCTGGAATTCCACGATCGTACTCAACGACGTCTAGATGGACTCCCATACCTCGGTGGATGGCAATGAAGACGGCACTGACAAGTCCGTAGAAAGACAGGAAGGCCAGAACGTTGAATACTAGAACGGTCAGAATCACCCTCTTTGCTGTGTGAGGTACTTACGATCGTCGAGGCCCCAGATTCGCTCGCCTCTTTTCCCTTTTCCAGCATTCATACGCTTTTGAAGTATCCATCGGCCGACATATCGCAGGATCACGCTGATAGTGACCAAGATGATGCCGCCTACACATACCCCAACTTCAGACGCCGTCAAGGTATCGTTTGCGTGCGAGGGTCGCTCAGCTGGCATTTCCATACCGTGCGATTTAGGTGAGCGAACAGACTTCGAGTGGAACAACGCGCACTGAGCGCTTCGCATGCGCAGATAACGGTCGAGGTATCTTCCCTTCACCAGTTCGCGTCGTTAGGTTGAAAAGTAGAGTGCCGTGCGAGGCGAAAGAATGGCCGGTGAGTTGAGTGTCTGGAGAAGCACAGCGATAAACGCTCCGCAACCTCACCAGTTGACCTCTCTGTGAAACGATTTTCTGCTGCGCAACGCTCTATAATCTCCATAGCATAGTGCTCTCATAGACCACCCGTAGATCAGCGTTCACAAAGGCCATGGTTGTGTATGTGCAGGCAAGCGACGGTTCACTATGAGCGCCCAACGGTCGCCTCCTCACGGTCTCATTAGTCCTTTCTGGTGGCTTCGCCGTGGCTGCTCCGGTCCTTGCAGCTTCGTGCAATCATACTCGTTCATTGAGGGGCTGTTCAACCCGAACTCGCGGAGTCCCGCGTCCACTGTGCAACATCCTCCTGTCGGCGGTTCCAAGATATGTGCGTTTGGCCTACTAAAATGCGTAACACATGCGTATGGTGCAAATTAACTGGTGGATACCAAGACGCTACCGTCCCAAGTTGGCGTTCTTTGTTTCGCAGAACCGCGTGCTTGTCCTACCTCAACCCAGCCTCCCGCCAGCGCACCTGTTCGTAGGCTGGCCCAGCGTATCTAATACAATGGGATTCAGATGTAGGATAAGTTTAGGGAGTACTGGTCTCTGGCTTGTAATCCTACAATAGAAGATCTAGACATCATAAATGTATCGCGCTGTTGACGTGGCATGGACACGTGGGACAAGCATTCCGGGTCTTTGGTGCAGCCGATCTAAAGCAGGATTCATTGCAACTGGCACTATATGTCCGAGATAAAGAGACGCGGGAAGTCTATCGTGGATATTCTGCAAGCCTGGCGCGCGCGACCGCCCTGGTTCTGCCCGACATCTCGGCACGCATAAGGACAATACAGCCACCAGCTGCGACTTTGGGAGAGCCACAGTTACGCGTTCATGCTCCAGAGTTAAGCTCCACGAATGCAAACGCCATCGCGCGAGATTTGTGCGAGACAACTTTATCTGTAGTGTACGAGTAAACTATTGACCTGTTAATGAGTCCACATCTGGTCGAGCTCTTCCAGGTTAGCCAATCGACTGCTCCATGGTTATCAAGTGCACCTTCACCTTGTATAGACATTGCCATGCTCGAAAACTCCCGACTCCGGGCGCAGAGGGCACCTTCGAACAACAAAATACCATCATGTTGGTCCTACTAAGTATTGCAACCAAGAAACCTGGATCTATAAGTGTCGCTTCTCATTGAAAAGCCCATGCTGCGGTGCACCGGGCCTGTAGCTGTAACGATCTGTTGCTGGTCCAAATTACACAGTATTTTTCGAAAGCCGTAACGACTGCAGAAATGTCGTGCGTTTGCACCATCTGTCACGAAGCCTTCCCCATGTTCCCAGCTTATACACTGCCCTTTTCTCCCGTTCTCTCCACAAACCTCCCCAAGAACTTTCGATTATACGCAACCCCGCCCGCGACGACATACTCGCCTTTCTGCAGAACCTCGATATCAAAACGTCTCACAATCTGTCCCATTGTCAGCCTCTTACTATCGTTGCAGGCTCCAGGAAACTCACCTCAGGCAACAACTTAAACATCTCCATGTACGCAATATCCTTCCCAAAACACACCCTCGGTCCCATCCCGAACGAGAACTGCACCGCTTCCAGCTCATTGGACCTTTTATCGCTCTCCAGCCACCTCTCCGGTCGAAACTCATCTGCATCCTCCCCATACAGCTCCTTGTCCCTCTGCATCACATACGCGTAGGTTGTGATCTCCGTTCCCTCAGGAATGTAGTGTCCATCGATGACTTTCCCGCCTTTCGGCGTGATTCGAGCGAAGAGGTTAGTTGCAGGCGGATTCAAGCGGACGCCTTCTTTGATGCAAGCTACGAAATAGGGCAGGTGGCGGCGCGTCTCTTCGTAGAGAATGGGTGTGGAGAGGCGGCCGGCGCGATCAGCTTCGTCGATCTCTGCGCGAGCGCGAGCAAAGACTCCAGGGGTAGTTGTCAGGAAACGGAGAATGGAGCCTAGTGCCGTCCCGGTTGTGTCGGCACCGGCTTGGATGAGAAGACTGACGTGCGCGCGCTTTTGCACTGGAGTCAGGGGTGATCCATCGGAGTATCGTGCTTCGAGGCAGCTGTTCACATTTCAGAAGCGGTCCATAGACGTAGGAACATCGGTACCACTTACTGCTGCAAGAAATCCGGTGATCCGTCAAACTCTTTCTCCGCAATCAGCTTCTCACGCTTTGCGACCTGCCTATCAGCCTCGCACATCAGCCATCCCATACCCACCTCGTTATCTACGGAAGGCAGAAAGTACTTTCCAACAAGCGGCATCGGGATGATTCTTTCCCTGAAGAACCGGAACCTCCCAACAAAGCCGAAGAAGTCAAGTCCAATCCTCCAGTTCGTCAAGATGAGCTTCTCGTCACGTTGATTCTTGACACAACCAAACGCATTCGTGAAACTTATCATACTCATGATATCCGCCGCAAACTCCGCAACCTTATCCGAAAGACACACCACCCTCCCCGCCGCCGCATGCTCCCTCATTTTCTTGACGAAAAGATTGACCAGCTCATCAAACCGATGCTCCCACGTATTCTTCAACTGCCCGATCGTCCATGGCGCATTCGACAGCGCTTTTCGCAGCTGTTTATGCTGCTCGCCCTCCAACGTCGCGAAGATCGATGGTGGACCTAGCGCACCTGTCCCGTACAGTCCGCTCTTGAGATTACACTTCGGGTCCCAGTAGATATCTCGAGCTGCCGACGGGCGCGGGAAGACCAGCATTGTGGGCGAGATGCGGATTGGTTGATCAGCTGAAACGGTGTGTTAGCCTGTCATGTTGGAGGGGTGGGGTTGCACCGCAGGTAATATATGCAAGGCGAAACTGCACGTCATACAGCAGACGTCTTTATAACGAAGGAAGGATGTGGAAAGATTTGAGGGGAGTTGCGTACTGCCATATTTCTTGATGAGATGCGTGAGAAACTGAGGCTCCTTGTATTTGACAGAGATAATGGCGCCCACGATCGAGAATGAGGTCGCCCACCATGGTCCCGGGAACTTCGACAGGGGATGATAAAATTGGCAGTATATGACTCGTAGGAGGAGCGCTGAGAACAAGCTGCCCAGGACGGCAAGCGCGAAGACGGGAGGTGTAAAATGGAGGGATAAGATGCTAAGAAGTCCCATATTGGGACGAAAAATCGTATGATGTGAGGCGCGAGAACAGGACTGGACTGCAATGCGACTCGAGCGCGAGCAAAGAAGAAGGCGAAGCTGAAGGATGCGACCAGAGAATGCTGTGTTTATCAATCCTCACCTGATGTGCATAGCTGTTGCACAATACGGGCAGTCGCCAACTACCAGTAAACACATGCCTTAGTCGCTTGCTCCTGTGTGCAATGAGCGATCGCGCATCCAAGACCAGCCCTGCTGTGATACGTTGCGGGTGCCATCAGTCTTGTGCGCGCATTGCATTCGGCAGCCCTGCAAAAGATGAAGGCCACACCTCTTGCAGCTCTGCCCACGCGTAATGTCTCAAAGTTGCTTATGATCGACCAAGTGAAGAAGGTTAGGGGTGTCGTGTAAAGACGTCTATAGGGTAGGCGACTGACAACCGGCACATCGAAGTCGGATAAAAGGGCCTTCATCGGTCGGCATATGTTAGCGCTACTGTGACTCCGGGTGTGGAATGATTGGGACGATTACGCCCTGTACCCTTTAAATATGTCACATCGTTCCAGGAAAGGTTAGCCTTGCGCACGAAATGGTGACCTTGACGGGGGCGTTAAGCGACAACCTTTAACGCGGTGAGCTGACTCATCGCCAGGGATGGTAGAATGCCGATACTACGCGGTTCCTTATGATATCTTACGGGCGTATGCATGGCTGCGACCTGACACCGCGGGGTGAGACTAGTAAGTAGGTTAGCGCAGGGCGGTAAGAGCAAAATCATCAAGGGAGAGCCAAGAGGCAGCAAAGGTCCGTTGGGTAGAAGTAAATTACATTGGGCTTTTCTCGACTTCCGGTCGACATGCGTAAGCAATATATGCTCCGCGGGGTATATCTGATATTGATGACTCTCATTACATGAAGAAGCGAAGCCGGCTAACTGCACTTGAAAGGCTGTGCTAATGTTCGTAGCGGTTCTCGATGCGGCATACTATCATCCAAGTAAAGATCCTGCAACCAATGCATACATGTTCTTTCTTGTAGGAAGACTTAGCTCTTTTCGTGATCATGATTTTTTCGACCGGACCACGTTAAGTGAGACAGATGTTGCCTAAGTGTTCGACCCCAGGAAGCCTAGATCAGGTGCCCCAGGTCTGGTTCCAAGGTTCGATGCGGACCGCTTCCTCTGCCCTTCATGGTCTAAGGGACTTAGAGGATCGTTCACATACGGAGGTTGTGATACCGATCGCTCTCGAGTGAGCCCAACGGGTATCTGTAGTTGATCCTGTGGTCCGGGCCATGTGGGGGTCCGTGATAGCTGGGTATTGTGCACAAGAGGTTCCGGAAGGGTCTGCGTTGAGAGTGTTCGGACTGGGGATCTTGATTGTAGGCTCTGGCTCCAATGTGCTACCGGACTCACAAGCCCTGGAGAAGCAACATCTTGGGTCCGTGGTCGTATCTCCCCCGTAGAAGGGGCAGAACTGACAGCTAGTGAGGGGTGTAGGTGTGGGTCGAGAATGATAGTTGTCGTAATGTGTGGCGTTGAAGGTAGAGTGTGGTAGCGTAAGGACGGTGTCTCAAAGGGCTGAGACTGAGCATGGGAAAAAGCTCTGTCGTTTGAAGGGCTGGACGTATGGCTGAGCTGGCGACTAGTCAATTAGTGACTGAGCATGCGGCCAAATTAAGCAACGACAGAGGGTGAGAAACAAAAGTGACAAGAAAATTAGATCGTAAGGAAAGGACAGTTGCTTCGTCCATCATGACATCGGCATATAAGCGGCGCTACTACATTCAAAGCATACAAAAAGAAGGCAATGGCACGAGACCAGCTACAAGTGTACCGCACTCTTATATCGTAGGCAGCAGCAGGGATTACAATGGCACCGAGGTGAAATGAGAATAGTCGGAAGAAGCTTATGGAACAGAACGGAGAAAGTCATACCCAATAATTATTGTCACCTGGCAGGCTTCCAGGCCAGATTTGCTCCTGCACTAGAGCATCCCAGTCTTCGAAGATATTACCAGTTGTCTGGAAACCAGATCTTGGACCAAAATTTGCAGGAGAAGTGGCTGGAGGATGAGGGGCAATATGCGCCGGATATCCTCCAGCTGACGCTTGCATAGCGTGATCTCCAAGATGAGTACCAACTGGAATTTGGAGTCGCAGCTCCTTTTTTATGCGGGCTTTTGTGACTATTTTCTCAAGTAGTGTTTCTCGCATTCCAGGCTCCATAGGTCGCTGAGCGGCATCCGCGGGGAAGAGCTGATCTAAAACAGACCAGGCCGCGCTTGTATCCTCTACGCTGAGTTGCTGGTCGGAAGAGAGAGCCACCGCCAGAAACGAACAGGAATAAACATCGCGGACACGTCGAGTGTACCAATTATAAGGCGAGTTCGAGTATTGATGCATCAGACCGGCGCAGCGTGACGCCAGATGCAGAGCGTCGTGGAAGGTGCTATTTCAGTTAGTCGGACTGTGTCTGACATGTAGACATGGAAAATGGCAATCGCAGTGTTTGTGAAGAGGTTGCGAAAGCCCAGGCACAACTTACCTCATAATCTCCGAATGCCCGTAAGGGCTTGTGGCAGACAATTCCTTTCGCTGGGTCATGCTGCCCATAAGCTTGATCTTCAATAGACTTATTTGGCATATCTCGGCCACCAAATATTGTAGCGGATCCGAGTTGTCGTAATGATCCCAATTATATCGTGCCGAAAACCTGGCTTGCAGTTCGTCGGCCCATTGCGTTCTGTCTGTTCGGCCTGAGAATGGAATGGCTCGCTTTGCGATTGGCGAAGTAGAGCTTGTTCGAAGTGGGCGATCTCGGGGATTATATCGGAGACACAGGAGCTGCTGCTGTTGGCGTGCTGTTTCTGCCTCTACAATAAGTAGTGCCATTGGCGAGAATGGAACCGCATGCTCCTGAGAATCCTCCATTTCTTGAAACCTTGTGAGATCCACATCGGAGCCTTGGTGCGTCGACCTGCTATGTAAATCAAGTTCGGTTAAGCTTCGGTCGGCTAGACTTAGTGGAAGAGAGATGTCGAAGGTGTCCGGATTAATGGCGGGCTCGCGGCAGAGCTGTTCGGCAAGTCGTCCGTCCAAGACACAGATTTGTGCCCATAATCTGCGGCGCGTCTCGATCTCTATAGGGCCGAGACCGAATGTAGAAGGATCCCGATGGACCCCCAAAGATTGAGCCATATGTATCGTTGTACCAAGCTGCAACCATTGTCGTTGAGGATTGACGGTGCCAAGTTCGACAGACTGAAAGCGTTCCTTAGCAGGATGGAAGCGAAGAGGTTTGCTGGATCACTCACCAGATACAGCACCATGGCTTGTAGCAATTCCATTGAAGCCGCCTGTACAAAGCTCTCGTCCATGATGTTCAGCCTCGAGGTCATCTCCCTTCTCAGTGCAGACCATAAGCCAACAGCATTGATGCTCTGGGCAAGGTCGGAAGGATTTGGTCCGTGCACTATGGAAATAATGGAAGCATAGTACACAGCGCAGAGCAGAGTGGCGAAGGCCCGATCGAAACTCGTACTTGACTGCTTGTCGCCGCCCAGAGATGGACTTTGGATGGTGGGGATAGCTGAGCCTGTGAAAGGCGAAGTTTGCGGTGCAGGGTAATGTGTCTCCTGTACGTATGCGCCTGCGTACGGAGAGCCTGCTTGCATCTGCATTTGTGATCGTCTTCTTTGCCTGAAAATATTGCATTTCTCCTGGAACGATGGCCAGTGCAGTACTCGAACGATTGGGTCTACTCGGTGACCGAATGCTTCCAGTAAAGTCTCGTGTAACCGGTCGTCAATCATTCGTAGAGTCTCTTCCGTTGCCGAGCCAAGTGACTCCTCCCCAAAGGCTTCCGTAACCCCTTGGTTCACTGTAGGTTCGAAGGGCAACATCTGAAGGACATTAGCGGAGCGGCTCTTTGGTAAGCAGAAGCGGCATTACCTCTCCTGCAGCGACCGCCCATGAGTAAGGACTCAGATATCCGGGAGCTTTTCCGTCCACCAGCTTTCCTGGATTTGCGGATAAGCGGTTATTTCCGGACTCGATTGGAGGAGGTGAGTACGATGGTTCCCGCGAAGGTGATTTGCTGTCGACTTCTCTTGAAAGGCGAGCTACTTCCTCTTCCAACTTTGTGAGACGGCTCCGTTCTACCGGTTCTCTACTCCCCGGTCGTGATGGTGCAGATCCACCTGGTGGGCCTGTTTGCTGAACTGGCTGGCAAAGCGCACCGACTTTGATGCAATTTGAGCATGCTGGTTGTGCGCGATCACATTTTACTCGCCTAGCTCTGCATCTCGCGCATGCCAGTACGTGTCTCCGACGAGTTATAGTGGGATTATCACCCCGGCCGTCGTACCTCGATGCCATTTGGTGGTCGTAATCGTAATAGTTGATGTGTGGATGACTGTATAGGTGTGTGTGTCTTGGAGAAAGCTATCTAGCGCGAGCGAAATCGAGTGAACGCCTTATTCGTACGAATCACCAAAGGGATTTGTAGGTTCATGTACGGAGAGTAGGCATGCAATGGATGACCCGTGAACTGTTTTCGTGCGAATAGGAAGCAAGGTCCTCTTTTCACGTGACAAGCGAAGCGCCAGGCTAAGAGGCTAAGTTACGCCCGGCAGCACCCTATTTTAGGTCAGTGGTCGAATCAAGCATACAGCCTTGCGGCATACAACAAAGCTCAGGTAATCTGGAATGGTATGCGAAATAGGCCGAGCACATACCACGTAGTGTAAGATAGGGACGCCCCGGTTCAGTCCCACCTTATCCCGGACCTCCGATCATAGACTAAATTCAAAGGCGTTGCAATAGTCGACGATGTCGTATGATCCTAGAACCCATTCTGTGGGCTGGACTTATACAACTGCGTCACAGTTGACCACTTTAATGAGTGTACACGGCACACGGAATAGGCTCCGGAGAAGACATCTCAGCTGCAAAACCGATGAAGGCTCAGACGGTCGGAGCCGGGTTGTTCTCACAGTCTGCGCTGGGACGAGCGACCGTCGCCCATGACGGTGTCCCGGCATTGCTAGTACCGCCCCGCTGTTCACTTTGCAGGGTCTCGGACCCCACGGCGGTGTAGAGGCCACCAGAGCGGTCGCAAAAGACGCCGAATCATCTTGGGTCTCGTCAAGCGATGATGCAAGCATTCAACGATAAAATGGATGGTGCCTCGCTTCATGAGCACCGTTTCGATTGACAAATTGTGCTCCTAGTCGGGCAATGGAGCGCTAGTGCATAGCTGGTCGGACTGGGTATAGCGGGCCAGTGCAGGTTTGATTACGGCGCACATCGTCGAGAAGCTGGGAAAGCTTGGCCCGTTACCAGCGAGCGCGGGAGTCGCATGGTGCCCTGGAATGTTCCGTAGAAGCATCGTTGAAACGGGTGTGGAAGGGGCCAGGCGCGTCAGGCTGAATTCGGGAGAAGCATAGAAGAAGCATGGCGGCGGCTGCACGGTCGGGCGAGTAGCGGCGATGACGGAGAGCGGGGCGTAAAGCGCAGTCTCCCGTCGGTAGCAATTGAGATGTCCGGCCCTGGTCCGCACGACGTCGCGGGTTCGATGCGGCGCAGGCGGGCGTGATGAGGTGTGATTAAGGTTAAGGTTAGGTGGTGAGGAGGATGTATCCCACGATGGAGGGCCGAAGGGGCCGGCTTAGAGCACCATCTGGCTAGTGTGCTTGCCAGTGCTCCATGGCAGCTTCCTGTCCGGTCCGTCAAGGTATCCATTGTACACAACGAGCACCGCCGTGTCGTCGCTCTCGCCGCGCCCGAATACCATAGTATGCCGATGCGATGCATCTGCACGCAACGCGGTGCCCACTAGCCTCTAGGTAGACCTACGACGGGGCCAGCCTGTCTTTGTGCTGGCGCCATGCGCCTATGCAATGGCATTTCCCGGTGTCGCCTCAGTGGCCGGGAAGAGAAGGTGCCCTCCGACGCGTGCCTTCCTCAACCCACCAGACGCGTTGCATCCACTTCCACCACCCGCAACGGCCACGCTGCTCTGCTCACCCCACACGACTTCTTTTGCGAGAGGCTCTGCTTTTGGCCCCCCCGACACTTGAGCGTGTGCGGACGCCGGACCCCCTAGGTACGCTGCAGACCTAGGCGACACAACAATTTAGCCTTGGGCCCCACAGGCTTAAGCTCCGCCCATCACCATGAAGACCACGGGCAGCGGCCTGTTTTCACCGCGCAACGCTGGCTCGCCTCTGCCGGCTAGCTGCTGCCGCGTAACGGGCGGCAACGGCAACTTCTCGAGCGCGGCATCTTGGGCGACGGGGCCGCTACGAGCCGCACACCACCAACGGCTGCGGGAGCCCATCACTATCACAGAGCCTCGCGCGCACGGCCGGACTTAGGACGGAGCGACTGTGCCCCAAACGGCCAAGCTACAGCCAACCTACATGGTGCCCCTGCGGCCCTCGAATCAGCCTGCCCTCAGCAATGGCTGCCTGGCCCACTGTGGCCGCCCATCTTACTTACGACGAGCATGCGAGCTTTCAGAATGCAGTGCACCTGTGGGGCAAGGTGTAGGATTGCCTTCGAAAACTCCGTCCACGCTCCAGTGTCGGCAGGGCCGCAGGGGCCAGCGATCCACGGCCAGATCGGGACAACGCTGGGGACGCCGCCGCCTCGTCCACTACATGCCATTCGTCTGGATCCTCCTGCTGCCCCTGCATTTGCACGTTGCACCACCCAAGAGCTTGGAATACTATGCAACCTGCTCTTCGCCCGGGATCGACGCCACAACGTCTGTCTGTCTGAGTCTACGTTCCTGCCGTTTCGTCACCGTGACCGTTCCCCCGGATCACCTCTCTGGCGAGCACACTAAGCGGACTACGAGCCGCTTGCCGAATCAGTGCAGCCCCAACTCTGTTTGGAAGGATATAGCTGCCTGGCAGTCAGTCCATCAGTCCAAAGCACACGACGAGCCAGTGAAGCCTGAATAATCTACCGGGATTCGCCGACATGATCCGAGATTCAGGCTCAAGTATGAGCTGAACATCGAAATATCCCACACCTGATTCTTGCGTTCGCGCATGTTTGGTGGTTTGGGCTTCGCAAACAATACGCGCAATGTCAGCCTTGGGTTTAATAAAGCTAGGCCTTTCTGAGACGCCAGCGCGATATATACACTACTGCAAAACATCTCTTTGTCACCGTTCCGCTTACATGAACGCTCTGCTAACGCTGTACATTACATGTTGCAGGAAGTGGGAGCATGGATTTGGAATTGGCAAGTGCCGAGAGACCATCTCTACCAAGCAGCAATCTAGTACGTACTGACAGCGCGCACTCCGCTCTCCAGAGCTACACTCCTAGGCTTCATTCAGAAACAACTGCGAGCTAGAGTAGAAGCTGGTCGATTCGTGGCCATAATTCCTATGCCTGAAGAGCGGTGACGAAGGCCCTGCCTTCGTTCCCTTGCGACACTTTCGCAAAAGATACTCCGGCCGCGTCTTCCTGTTGCGCGACATATCGCTGCACAACTTTCAGCCACATTGCTTTCTCTGCCCTGCTCGCGTCCCTCCCTTCCCAAACCCAAACGGTCCTTCCCGCGTCCAACAGGTACACATCGTTTCCGTCCAGATCCTCTATCCCAATTCCATTTCCCTCCTTGGCAAGGCTGAATGAGAGTTGACCTTCAGAGTCGCTTAGCCGGAACAACTTCTTCGCTTCGCGCTCCGTTGCGCTAGACACTGGTCTGGGAGCTTTGAACGTCGTTTCCAGCGGATTGATGTCCCCGCCGCCCAGGTAATCTACCACTACTTTGGATCGCGACTCTGCTTGACTCAGGACCTCCACCTCCACATGCTTCGCAATAGTCATGTCGTTGACTACTTGTGCCGCCTTCAATTTTTCCATCGGTGCACAATTCTTGCCCTGCCACACAAAGATTTTGTCGCCCTTGTCGAGAACGAAAACATCGCCCTCGTCCAGGCTCTGCCATGTTGGCTCAACCTCGTGAACTAAGACATATTCGCGACCAGCGCCAGCACTTGGGTGCTTGAAGATACGCAGCAGCGTGTCGGTGTGTCTCGGCTCTTCATTGGTCTCGACATGTGTAAAACCGGAACGTACCCCACCTCGCAAGATCTTCAGGCGCGGGAACAATGCCGAAAAGGAATCTGAAGGTGACGATTGCAGCTCTCGATGTTGGATCGCTGTTCCGTGGAGAAATTCATCCAGCTCAACTGTCTTGTACGCTGCTGTTCCAGCCTCGTCTTGACTGGTATGGTTTCCCAACCAAAAGTAGATGTCATGCACCAGCTTGTCCTGGTCCTCATCACCTCCTTGTTCGTCTGCAGCTTTCTTTACCCGCTCACTCTGCAGGATGATGTAGGAATCGCCTTCGTGAAACGAGCCATACTGCTCTTTGGGCCAAGGCACGACCTCGAAAGCTTCAATGCGCCAGATAAATAGGCCCGGCTCGCGCCCGATGACGCCGTTGTTCCAGGCTGGCTCCGTAGAAGCGGACTGATGTTTGACTTTGTGATCAATATCAGAGTTAATCAGCGCAACGTTGGAATCGCGCCAGTCGTACTCTTCCAGATGGACGAGACCTTCGTGGGGTGGCATAGTGGGCTTCGATCAGGGGAGCGTACAGGATCTACCGCAAAACCGTTTATTCGCACGAGAAGTAAATCGCGAAACAAACCTTGTAGGGAGTAGTGTCAATGGGATGGAGTTGAGGTTTTTGCGAGACGGCGCTGACGCAGGGTTCCAGGCTTCGGCGGGGAATTCTGGTAACTGAAACGCGGGGCGTTTTCAAGGCTGATTCAACGTCATCGCTCACCAAACGTAGCTGGATACTACGAGGCAGTCTACACATGATGTTGCACCGACTTCATATTCCCCGTCAAGTTCAAAGCTTGCAATGGACTCCGTTTGCAGGGCCGCAAGGACTGTTTTCGCACGGAGCTCGAGCCTGGCTGTTCATAAACTGCACTAGGCTAGTACTACCGATGGAAGCCACGGCAACAGCTCTACGCTGCAATGATTCGGGTAGAGACTACCGCTCAGTTCCGCAACATCATGATACAATGTGGCGACGCTATCGTCGCTGCATTCTGTCGCCTATGGAGATGATTCCGTGCCTCGAGCGGCGGTGCAGCAACATCTTAGGCCACCTGCAGTGCGGGCCGACCCATCAAGTATCTATGTTGTCTTACTTATACGATCACATGCAGGCTTGGATTCAATATCAGTTATCATGCGTATTCTGGGATTTGAGCCTGCTCCTTGTCCAGCATTTAATCTGTATTGATCGGATTATGACCCTGGACGACCTCTTGTATTTCGCGGAAGTGAGTGATCTAGTACGCAGCAATGACAAAGTCATGCGTATTTTCTCAAACTCGGCTCTTCGCAAAGATCTCTGTCGACCTTGATTCTTGACCAACCATCCATTTACCGTCGGAGCAATGATAGGATCGCCAGTGAGTAACGACGATCTCATCACTGACCCCTATGGACTCTGTTTTTGCCTTCTGAGGTAAGGTATCATGCAAGCTCGAGTAATAGGCAGCTACATCGTGCTTTGTTCTTGATTTTGCGGCTGACGTGTCAAAGCACACAAGCAATATTCGCATATGTACATCTTCTCAATGCGTCTACAAAATCCGCCTACATCAGGTTAAGTGTACGCCTCTCCAGTGATTACCGAGTCAGAAAACCCTGAAAGATATGGTAGACGATAGTTGCACAGTATACCGGTGTATTTTTGTCCCGCGTGCGCAATCCTTCCCGACTACACGCCCCCCTTCACTCGCACGAGTATCCCGAACACGCCATTCAAGCGCAAATTCTCCGCGGCAATCTTCCGCCCTGTCGATTCTGCCTACACGACCCATCTCCTTAACCATTCCGAGAACACCGCGGGATTAAGCGACGTCGCCGTCCACAGGGTGACTGTACACCCCCCTTCACCCATCACAACGGGTACGTACCCCGTGCCACGGCTGACCCATGCAGCCCCCCCTCCTGCCTGTTGCACCCAGTCACTGCTTCCACGCGACGTTATTCGCACTCGCTTGCCGCTGTACAAGCTATCGCATCCTGTGGAACCGCAGCCGTTGAGGTCTATTCGCGATCCGATCGAAAGCATGGCATTGCATGGGAAAGACATGTTGGCTTGCATGCACCCGTGAGCATGCTTCCGCAGGCGTTCCAGAACGGGCAAATGAAATGACGGCTCTCATGGAGGACGTTTGGGCGATCGAACGGCAAACGCCTCCTGACTGTTCATGCAATGGCCGTTGAGCCTCCGAGTGTGCCTTGTGAAGCGATGATTCAAATGCTTGCTCGGTGTCTGAGCTTCATGAGTCTGAGCTTTTGGGGGTTCGACAGCCCTATGACATTAGGCCGGCTGTTGCCGGTATGGTGGGTGCGGCGGACCTTAGAGTGCTTGGTATGCGAAATGCAGGGGCAGTTTGGGGATGGAAGACAGCCGGCAATGTAGGCTCGGCGACTTTGGGATGGATGTGAATGGTCGGCATAGAAGGCCATACTAGGTGTGCATTTTTGCGGACTTAACTAGCACACGATTACTAGATGGGGTAGTTGGTGTAGAGAGTGCGACTGTTATGCTTCGAGGGAAGGTTTTGCGAAAGTAGTTTAGACGAGGGAGGGTCGGTGCTGGATGGTGAGGGTGTTTTGCATAAAGTTCGATGGTTTCAAAGCATGCTGATGATCATTTTACGGATGTGTAAGCTTGCGGCATTCTTTCCGAGTTGTTTCCGGGCCTTTTGACTCTCCCCGCGATATCGACAAACTCGAAGTCAGTTCCAGCTGATCACGATTCAACATCAATTCAACAGGCGACGCGACGCCTTCCTAGTATTGGAACACCTGATAATATGATCGTTGGAGGCACGGTAAGAGTCGTTACAAGGCTTTATCACATCATGAATCCTCAGATTCGAGATCCTATGTCCTTGGCTAATCAGCAAGCAGAGATTTTCGTGAAGTTTCCCCCCGAAGTAGCCATGCGAGTACCTAAGACGTGCGAAGAACGTAGCAACAAGACTATTCGGACAGTAAAGTCGTCAGAATGAGGACCTTCACTGGTGGAGCTCCTTCGTCGCCGCCGTCGCCGTTGCGCCTCATTCATAGTCCATCTTATAGATCCTATATGATGGTATCAGACTCTCATGACGATCGCCCCCCCCCACGTACAATAGCTAGCGTCAGGCGGATGTTTGGCTTAAGATTTCATTAATGGCGGTAGGATGAGCACACAAACTTGACCACAAAGATTTCAGACAATATGCACAGGTCGCAACATGGATATGTACCAGGCTTTCGCAGATACCAATCCGAATCACCGGCACTACCTTAAGGGCGAGGTTTACCATATTCCCTTGTGATACCATGGTAAGTACCGTTGGCGTTAAAAGCCAATCCGAGGAACAGCACGACTTGCTCGCCTCACAAACGAATTACCTCGACTGATGCACGAAGATTAACCCGAACCACAGATTCTCCTTAGCCTTCTCAGTCGCCGTGTTAACCGACCCCTATGATCACTCCTCAAAGTCCTTGGCGCGAGGCACAAGCAGCGGAGCATTTGGCATGTCACTGCTCGTCACCGTATGGTCCACGCCTAATGATCTACAATTGCGGCCCGTACCTAGCGTCCGCTGTGGTCTTCGAACAGCGTGCACTATCTCCTGAATGGTGAGTGCTGTAGTTGGGATGTTGTAGTCGTAAGCATGTTCGTCCTAGCACGGTGGTAGACTCTATCTGTAGTAGTAGTGGTCACTGACCATGCACAATGTCTAATGAAGACAAGTAAGAGCTATTTGAGCTCCTGAAGCACCGTCAAATAGATTCATAGATCAATACTAACTTTTTGTTCAAGCAGTGCTTATACATATGCTCGTAGCATGAGAATAGAAATCATCTTTCACACGAAGATGTTTAATCTGATCCCCGATCTCAATCTCGCGGGCATTTTCATAATCAAGCAGTCTCTGAAGTCCTCCTCATTCAAGGTAGTTTGCACAGAGCAAAAACGCGACTCTGTCACTAAAGTCAGAGGACGAGCGTTAGCATCGTAGCTGCGCTCGAAGACTGATCCTGCTGAGGTTTCCATGTACATGCGCAGAAGGGCAGAGGATCGTGAGAACCTTTCAAGTGAAAGCTCAAGCACATGGCTGACCTGTCTTACTTTCATTTGATGTAGCGAATCGCATTGAATGCCCCGTTCAGAATATCCAGGTCGACATGAGTTCCGCCGAAGCAATACTCTCCACATCTTGTCCACCAAGTCTTGGTTTTGGCGCATCGTCGATTTGGTTTGAAAAAGACCCTCACATGGTCATGGTTCATCTGTCATCTGTTCTTGCTATCAGTTGTTTGTGCTGATATCCATGTTTAGCTCTCTGGGTGGGTCGTGCTTAGAGAGCGTTTGCGGGAACTGTTCTTTTACCCAAATGGTAAGGAACGTGCCTTCACTTGAGAAACTAAGATCACTTTACGTGCAACCATAATTCCTTCTTCGGTACGGTTGACCAACGCTCCTTCCCCGTAAGCTCTCATCGCTCCTGTTGCCCAATGAAAGCCCTCCGACTCGTAACCTACACTTTTTTAATATACCACCCTGCGAACAACACCACCTCTCAACTCACATTGATTACTAGTGAGAGATTCCGCAAATCAGTCGCGATGCCGGCAAACGTGTACCTTCTGGCCATTCTGGTCGCACTCGTCCACTTTGCTTCGGCGAATTTCGACCTATACCGTATCCACGGCCAGCAGGATACCACAGGTTCTCCATGGGGCACGCAACCCAACGGGTACATGGTTTTCAACAATGACCCAACCTGCGACGATATCCCCGACCCTGACCAATTTTGGTGGGAACGTGACGACGTGAGCGGAGACAAGATCGGCGTTCGTTGCAAGGGCAAGAAAGGCTGCTGGGTCGACGACGTAAGTGATCGATCTAATTAAGATCAATCAGCATAGCTATTGAGTTGCAGCAATGCTGAAGTTGATCCCAGTGGCCTTGGCCTGATATCGAAGAAGTCGAGATGCACTTCTGCACTGCCCCTGATCACCATTACAGTGAGTCTACGCACATATACCGCATACACTCTCAATTGGATTGGCTGACAACGCATCACAGCCATCTACAAGGACAAAGGACGCCAGGAAGGCGATACCTGGATGTATCCCATGCTCCGCGTTGATAACTCGAAGGCCGGGGAATGCTTTGCGTATGGAGGCTATGGTTGGGACTGCCGGTGGAAGCGCAATCGTGGTAAGCGGCACCAATGGGGCCAGCGCAAGTTTCGTTGCATTACCGGCTACGAATCGAAGGACTTCAATGACTGCCATCACGTAGGCAGGATTGCGGCTACCAACAACGCTACCGCAATCAACTCGACGGCGGTTGCTTAGGCAGCGTAGACTCGGCACGCTCAATATTCGGGGAATCATGGAATAAAACTGCACGCACGCAAGGTAGATGTCTAGTCGACTGTCAGTTGACATCACCTCCATTGCTGGACTTCTAGCGGTCGATGATTAGTTGCGAAGTGGTATAAGCTTGGATGCATGGAGCATTTTAGAACAATGCTAAATTTGAACATGGTAGCAAGATGATATCCTGATACTCAGCTGTATTGGGTACATTCTCAGACTCCTGTAACATGTTTGAGGATTCCACTACGCGCTCCAATGTCTACGTCAGCCTCGGTATCTCCTTCATGCCACGAATCCTGTTGTTACAGCTTACCATCAGTGTAAACCTCTAAGTAGACCAAAGCGTCACGGAGTCGTCTTCTAGTTGTGCCTCTTCAGGGACTTGAACGTGTGTTATATATGCCTTAGTAGAACAGCGTGTTGGTAGCATGCACGTCTTGAAGCTGACTACTCGTCCATGCGGATTGGAAATAGTATCTCTTCTCGAAAAGGCTCATGGTGATTTCTACCAATCAACTTCTAGCATCTACCCTCGCAAAGGCAATATATGCTGAGCCAAACAGCTCTGCCTACACAGTGGACACTCCGGCTTCTCCCTCGCCCAATCACTTATACACACCCAACAAAATACATGCCCACATGTCGTAACGCTGGGATCTTTCATGCCCTCCAAGCACAACGTACACTTCCTATTGCTATCCCCTATCCAGGCCATCGTCTCATCATCATTCAACTCATACCTCGGCTTATCTGCAACCGGGGTATTCGTCCACTTCTGCAGCTGCGGCGGTGACGTCGCCATGCCCGTCGAGGCCTCGAAAAGTAGCGCATTGTTGGCGCTATATGCGTTGGGATCGAGTGACACCTCGGCGCCGCCTCCGACCATGGCTGACGTGCCGATACCGATACCGGCGCCGAGGCCTGGTTGTGTTATGTCGCGGGACATGGTGTTCTGGAGGTGGAGGTAGGCTTGGACGGCCATTTGGAGGATCAGGAGTACACCGAGGACTTCGTAGCCCATGCGCTGATCGCTTTCTTGGACGTGGCGCGTGAATATGTAACGGAGGTTCCATATTCGCTTCGAGAGGTGGTAGTAGCTCCCTGCGAAGTAGAAGGTCGCTAATGATAGCGCATAGACAGGCGATAGGGATGTGATAGTGTCTAGGTTTTGGAGGATGTAGTTCTGGATGCGGGCGCCAATGGGCGTGGATACCGGCTTCGTGCTTCCATTTTCTTTCGTATGATGCTGTGCCTTGGCGTGTTGTCGGCCGTATCGTTTGAGATTTGCTTCCAATTTCGCACGTATCCTCTTCCGAAAGGCTGGTAATATCCGACCCAATACATAGGGCCCCAGAACACAGCTTACTATGTAGGCTGCTCTTCTCGCCAAAGCCGGCAGCCTTCCGCTCTCCCCCTCCACCTGTATGATATCGCAATATTCCTCGCCCAACGTCCGATTTCCGATCAATGTGGTGAGGCCGAGGTATAGGAGCTCGCCGAAAACACGTGTTTCCGATGTGTATGTATGTGCATATCGCGCGCCTTTGACTTTACGAAGCAGAGATGTAAGTTGTTCGAGGAGAACGCCGCTGAAGTAGGCGTCTTTCTGGTGCGAGCGGATGACATCGGGCGAGGTGGCAAAGGGGTACACGAATCGCGGTGCGGACGACATCGTGCGAAGAGAGGATATCGAGGTAGGCGGCGGATGCGCGCAATGGGTGTCACCGTTGTCGCGTTGCGGCGACTGATGCTCAGATGCCGAGAGGTGTGGACCTCGGCTCGTGATCTAGGGGAGCTTGGGCCACACTTGGGGAACCTCCTCCTTACACATTCTCGCACTTTCGTACTTTCGTATTCAGATTCGATAATCAGATGGGATTCTTAATTCATGCCGTTCAGCCTGGAGACAGACCTCCCTGAATGGGTTACTCCAGCCTCGTAGCGGACTCTCCGCCCGTATAACACAAAGCACCGCCAGGTGAAAGTGCCTAGTTTGTACATTGCAAAACCGCCCAAGTACAATGCAACCTGGGATTATCAGATGGCCAATTGGCCTCCGAGGCTGATACTATAGGCATGCAATACTTACAAGACTCCGTTCGAACCCTTCTAATCGCGATATGGAACCAGTTATCCTTAGGAAGGAAGAATCTACAGTTCCAAGTTGATTCCAACTGATCCAACGATCCGCATCTAGAATAAGGGTCACTAAACAGGCGCCATGCAGTTGAGGATATTCCCGGCCGACCCAGCCAGAGACTCGAGCCAAAGCGACAGCCATCATCGAATCATGTGCAACCTGTTGAATATCATATTCAGCAGCAATGATGCGAACAGCGTACTTTCTCAAAGAATGCTCGCTCCAATATGGAAACACCACTTGCCCAGTTCGGAGCCACGATTCTCACAGTCAGCTTCATGATCTTGTAATTTGCCCTCGAGCGCAATGTAGCACCTCTAAAGCCGATCCAAGTGCCGGTCGCGATTACGACAGCTCAATCTACGAGGGGGAGCCCTGGGACGAGGGAAAAGCTACCACTAAAGTCAGCCTGATTTCTGGCCTTTGCAGAATACCCAGCGAACTGAGGGACATCACCTATGACTACTTGTGGTCGGAGGTTCGTTATGTTCGTCCAACACGTCTACCGCTACCGAAATCCCGAGTAAATCAGATTGACTGGTAATTTAAAGCTACCTCTATTGCCTCGGTCGAGGCTGGGAATAGCAAAGCCAGAGTCGAAAATATATCAGACGATGAAGAGGCAGATGAGGGAAGGGCGAAGATAAGAGGTCGACGAAGGTGAGATCCTGGTCCAACGTCGTTAAATCCCAATACCGTCATATACACTGTTTTCACAGTCATCGATGCTGCGTACCAGTACTATCGTTGCTGCTGTATGAAAGAGCCTGCAATCCTCTCACCATGTTCCGGGAAAGCTCCTTTATAGAATTACCCTCGCCTATCTTGTTGATAGACCAACGCGAACATCAGTTGACGAAGAACACACCAATCCTACCAGACCCTCATTTCCATGGCACAATGACGACGTATATTGGGGTACCAGTACTGTGAAACATGAAATCGGCGGGGCTGAAGAAAGGGAACACTTCCTGTCGGGTCGAGCATATCGCTTCGTTGAAGCCACACTGTTGTTTAGATTCGGCGGGTATCCGGACTGGTTGTGGACATCGCCAGTAGCAGGGGAAATCTCTCGAATGTGGCTTGAGAAGATGAAACCTGTGGGAAATACGGCCAAACATCAGTGGAAAAGAACAGGGGATGATTCCGCTGATGAGACTGAGCAAGAAAGATTGATACAAGAGCATCGAACATATGTAAACTGCGCGAAATCCCTGTCTACAGAAAGATGAGCCTAATGCCCAAACATACTTTGCCTTGCCAGAACGCTTGTTTTGAGAGGTGTCTAACGTATGGCTTCATGCGCAGACGGTGGTTACGGAAGTTTCAACTTAACGACAGCGCGATGATATTTTCGTGTCTTATGTTGTACAGCTCTGAAAACAACGAGATAAGCGTTTTGCGGCCTGAAGAATAGATATATGTTATGTTTAAGTCTCAATATCGCACTTATAAATTTATGCTGCAACCGAGTTTCGTCAGTCACCATTGCTAATGTCATCAACAGCGCGTTCCTTGTGTACTATCCTACTCTTGTGCGGTGGCTTAGGACAGCACGCAAATAGTATTCGTACCAAACCGATGTTTTCGAGATTCTGCGACGCAAAGGTCGAGATGTTACACCAAAATTTTCTGTACGCGCCTGCCGAGTCATTGGTTGGTTGACATGGGGAAAATCCCACTGCATGACTGCAATTCCCACTGCATTCACGGTTCCTCCCACTGCATCTACAGCGCCCATGATCTCGATGTATCTGCAGAAGATCCCAGTACACCCTCCCAAAGTGGTCGGCAGTGCAGATGTACGACCTCACACTCAATTATGTCGACGAAGAAAATATTTGGTGATGTATAGCAGTCGCGCGCATCGTCTCATTCATCCTCTTCTCCCTAAACACTTTTTGATAAACATACCCCAAGGATGGCTCTTTGCGAGCGAAAACACAGATTGATCGACCTCGATGACCAGGTGGTGGAACCAGCTCGTAAAAAGCGCTGCGAACAGGAAGTTGCATTCGCCCGGATGAAGCAAGAGGACGGGCAAGAAGAGTTGGATCTTTGCCGATTCTTCAGGTGTCCACGCGAGATCCGCGATATGGTCTATCACAGCCTCTGGAAACAGACGCCTTTTATGCTAGTCGCCTGGGATGCTGAAGACAACGACAAAGTGTTCGGACGGATCGGGGCCAAGATCTGCGCTCTCTACGACTCGTGGCCTGATATCCCTGAAGGTAGGTCGAACAGTCGTCGCAGTTCCTAGGCTTGATCATCTGCCATTTACTGATACATGTATCTATGTAGGACCCAAGCAACCCCTTCCTCAATGGCTCCTCGCAAGCAAGCAGATGCTCGCAGAAGGCATCAAGCAGTTCCAAGACCACGCCGTGTGGTGCGTCTTTACGCCCCATTCACTTTCTGGAGTATACCGCTTGCAGCCTCTCTTACATCCAGCAAACGCAAAAGACGTCATCGTCTACCTAGATTCCCTGTGCACCGTGTATCACTTGGAAGCATACCCGGCCGATATCAAGCAGAAGTGGATTACGGGAAAGAAAAGCTCCTTGGAAACCCTCTACAGCCTGCTCTTACCGAACGAAGATGACGAACCGCGGTTGAGGGTGTTGGAGTTCCGCGCTCCGGTAAGATATCTCAAGCTGGATTATCATCCGCACCTGTATTCATTCTTCAAAGCCCTCGAGGATTCGAGCGAAGACGAGGACGAGGAACATGGAGTGGAAGATCAAGACAAGAACGAGGAGGATGATGAGACCGGGAAAAGCAGCGATGCTGTTCACGACGACGATGACCCAGACGAATCCGCCGACGGAGACATCTTCGATCTTTCCTGCCTTGAGCCACCGGCATGGATTTCCGACAGTCTGTCAGAGTTCCACATGCGGCTGAGATACAAGGACATATTCAAAGACAACGCAGAGCTACCGTCTGCTGCCGAGTCGATGATGTACGATGGAATTTTGAAGCTGGGAAGCGCAATGATAGGGCAGAACTACGCTTTTGGGGTGTTTGTGGGCTTGGAGAAGAAACATGGCGCTGACGAGCCTTGCCTCGGCCAGCGACTTGAGTTCAAGCGTTAGTGTGTCCGTACGTGGAGTGAGTACGGTCGGACTGATGGACGGTTGGGCTGGGTGGATTGATGAAGCGAGGTCGTTGGACAGTATTCTGTTCAGCTGTGTTGGTTCGTTTGTTTCGCAGTATACATCAAGTCACGGACGTCATCCTCATTAGCTTCCACGCTTACAGCATGTTAGGATACATGTACAACGACAAAAGAATTGACATAACCATACCATCATCTTACGGCGAAGTCCATTCATTCAACTCTTCATTAGAATAATGAACATGAATGTTGCCGTATGGCTGAAGCTTTTGAGGCCAAAGAAGAAGGCGGAGGGCCCCACTATGGCCTAGATTCTTGTCTAAGTGAGGACGTCTTGCTGCCGATAAATATCGGACTACGCTCACGATGCTTACCTAGTCCTATTCCTACATCGTCTGTAATTCCTACATCGTCCGTAGCACCGGAATATCATCACCAAGGCTACTGACTCGTCCCGCAGACACGGACCACAGCATTTCGCGCGGTAGCGATGCAAATTTGTAGCATCTCCTTCACAATGGTGCAGATGCAGTGAGATATTCGCGGCGACCGGATGACCATTCCTTCCGTCTCAGCGGGACCCACCGGCCCACCTGCGATTGACTCGTTGAGCCATCCTTCACCTTCGCACTTCATCAATATCCGCGAGCTTGCCCGGGCTCGGGAGGAAGACCAAATTGCGATCGCAATGTGTGTTACATCAGCGCCGTTGACAGCCTCGCATCCAGGGGAGCTCGTATATGCGGCGTGCATCACCCGTTCAGCCCTCCCATTCCTCTCTGGAACGGCAAAATGGCAATATCTCCACCAAGCGAAGCAAACTACAGTTCGCGAACGAGAGTGAATACGAACCCGCGGAACTGCGCGTCCTAAATACCCGCACGAGTCGACTCCAAACTCTATGAATCCTCAGTGCCGCGCACCCTGAGCCGTCCAGATCTCGCCCCGCAGTTCGAAATCTCGCCCATGATTCAAGCTAGGTCCACCCGCCCGTGGACGGCACCAGCCGCTCGCCAGTCGCGCGCGGCGCCAAAAGCGGTCCATTTCAGCACAAATTCCCATTTCAAGGAACAGGGTCCCGCCAGTTTTAGAGTTTGAGATGCCGTCGCTGCGCAAACACGGGCACTTCGTTTGCAACCCGAATCCGAAGCCGCACCCCTGCTCCCACAAACCCCGTCGAAGGACGAGCACGATGTTGAGTTTCGACGGCGCGGTGCCGCGAGGAAGAGCGTGTCTTCAATCTCCGCAATCTGCAGAGCATGCCACGCATTTGCATTGGCGCCGGACCGTTGCACGTCAGAGGCCTTGCTGTGCCGGCTTTTACGCTTTTCGTGCGACGGCGATGCGCCCTCCTCCGTCCTAATTGAGAGGGCAGCGTGGGGCGTGGCGCAAAGGCGACGAATGGCGACGGACGGCGACCAAAGGCGACGTGCATCCGCTCAGAAGACACCCTGCCCGACACCCTGGCCAGCAAAAGTGATTCTGCGCTGCATTGATGGCTGGCCTGCTAGCCGGGTCGTGAGGTTGCGACTTTGTTTGGTGTTCGATTGGTGCAGCCGCCACTACGGGGAGCGCAGACATGGGCTTCTTGCCTGGAACGGGCGGTGCCCCGGTGCAGCAAGCCGGCGCGATATTGGAAAGTCGAAGGTTTGGTGTTCCGCAGGCGATCCGCAGCGCTAAGTGTTGGTCCCTGATTGCGTCGAAATGCAGCTGTGACGGCGCGGACGAGGTGCGCTCGTGAACAGCACGGCGACCTTTGCATCGGAATTATTTGCAGCGGACCGAGGGGAATGGGCAAGACGTTGCAGGACCCCGCAGCCTGTCTCCACGAATGATGGCGACATCGCCAAGCTGGGGAAGCGGGATCGAGCAACGCTCCGGGCTCCCGAACCATGCACGGTTGAAGACGGCGTTTGTTGCCGCTGCTATGAATACCGTGCTGCGGCACACATATTGGTCTGATTTTCGCAACTGCCATGCATGGTCGCCAGCGATCAATGATCAACACACCATCCCAACGGATGCACAGCCGTGCCATACATCGGCGCGAAGCTGTCGCCCCAAGTGCGACGCGTGATCTTGTGCCGCTGCAGTCCATTCCCACGCTATGCAGGGCACATGCCCGTTGGCCTGTCTCGGTATCGTGACACACCAACGCCATCTGGAACTGTTTGTCGTGCGTAATCGACCATCTCGACAGAGTCTATTGCGCATAGACGTGCAGCCGCTCAAGAACCTTCGACCGGATACGGGCGTCCTCTTGTCTAGGCACCGTTGTAATATCGTACCGTGCACACCTTCACTCGGAGACGGGCTGCTTGCATGATACGGGCCAAACTCCGCCAGCTGACACCGCAAAGTTTCCCAGGTAATACAGGAAACCTCACAATTACGGCTTGTTTTCCTTGAATCCAATCAGCGTTTGGCCTGGCTGGAATTCCCGCTCGCACCAAAAGCGCAACAGGGTTGTTGTCCAGACACAGTAACGCACCGAGGCGCACAATGTTTGCTGCTCTTCGCTTTCCCTCCTTCCAAGTCGCTTCGTCGACGATCTCCAGCCAGCCTCTTGCCAATGGTTGAGTGAGCTTCAGCTGTGTTATCAGGCAGTTACCTGTTGTGCGCGCTTCTCGAAACGCACGCCGTTCAGCAGAGGCAAACATTGGTTCCGTGGCCAGTCAAGGGCTTCTTCTGCTGACATGCAGCTGCCCACGCACTCGTAGCACGGGCTTGCACATGAGACTTCTTCTTTGAGCTCTCCTCGCCTCGCCTCGCCTCGCGTCAGATACCGGACTTGTCGCTTGGCTTTACCGAGCCTCGATGATAGGTGCACGTACGAGCTGACAGACGCCAGCCCACGCCGAAGGGCAATGATTCTCCATATAATGCATATAGATGAATCTGTTGATATGCAGCTGAATTCTAATGTGGTGGCGCCTATCGGACTACATGTGGGGCGGAAGAGGTGCAGGATCTGTGTTAGAACGGTGGGACCCGGGCCTACCTAGTGAATCGTGCACGTTGTAAATGGTCATGGTGCAGAATGCTTTGGACAGAGAGTGGATAAAACGGCTTTTTGATGCGATGCAGATATGCTATGGATGCTTGAAGTAATGAAGGTCGTACGGGGGTATATGTGGAAGTAGAGTACAGGTATGCGAGCCATGCGTGAGATGTAGATGCATGTATATGAAACGCGACGTTCGAACGTTTGATAGGACGGGTTATGCTGCCGAGCTCTGGCGGAAATCGCACAACGAGTCGTGCTGAACTTCAGGATCCGACCAGGTCCGCTAGAAGTGGAGCAAGGCCAGTTCATGGATAACGAGCAGCGATGATGAGCCGGGGGGGAGGCGCTTTTTGACAACTCGCTGGCCACGAAGATGCAACTGGTTTTCCCTGAGCTGATCCTACTACCTAGTGTGCAGTTTCTTCTGTTTTAACTGTCTTTCTCTCTCCGTGTGCGTCATAGAACATGTTGTTGGAGTCATCCGCAGGTGGTATGTACCGTCCTATGACCCGAGCAACGTTAGGATCGAGTGGTATCCGCGGGCCTAAACTGGCTTCGAAATATTGAGGCCCGGATGCAGCTTCATCGCTCGCCGGATCCGGGGGTGGTGTCAAATGTGATACTCGTGGTGGAGTCGCGCTTGCGCGTTTTCGATACTTAGTAGGAGGGGATGTGTCCTCCACAGATCCTTCAAGCTTCCTCTTGCTGCCTGACTGATGCTCCGTACAGTTACAATGCCCACCCGAATGAAGTTGCTTCCACCTTTGGTAATCCGCCTCTTTCTTTATTCGATAGTTACTGGTGAAGGTACTTAGAGCGTCCATATTTTGTTGCATGTCCTGGAGAGTAAGCGATGGTCTCCCCTGGACTAACACACTTGTGTCTGGTGGTGGATAAGTCCATGTTTCGTGGCAAAAAGTACACTTGTCCGCCGAACTTTCTTCATCAGCGTTGGATGCATCCGATGAAAACCTTGAGATTTGCTGTGAGGAATCAGTACTCGACGGAGGTGAGGTGGCATCCGTGGCAGTTGGTTCGCGAGGTAGATTAGGTGCAACAATTGGGACGGGAGGAGGGGGCATGCTATTCCTTCCGTCGTAAATAAGTGCGGCCTGTGGTAAAGGTAGTGCGGTGGGTCTCGAATCGTCTGAATGAGAACGCTCTCGGCGGTGTTCAGCGGCCATTTCGGCAGACTCTTGTGCAGTTCCTATAGAAGGTAGGTTTCGAGGCCTATGGTAGATGGCTGGATGTGTTGAGACGCTGCTGGAATGCGATTGAAGGGAAGAGGGATCGGAGGGTGGTGTGAGAGGATGACTCGCGGCATCACGAAAAGCAGTGCGATGATGCAACTCCGGACTGGTCCCCGCTAGAGAAGTAGGATTTCCTGAAGGGACAGTTGTTGGTGTTTGGGAAGTTGCAGATGGAAAGACGGCAGAGTCTTGGCGCGCTGTGATTGGCTTCCCCGCAATCTGGTGCTCGCCTGAAGAGAAACGCAGAGGATGGCCGGTCAAGGAAACTCGACCGTAATTGCCATCAGTGGAAGAGGAATTGGCAGCTGTCGAGTCCTGTTGCAGAGTGCCTCTTTCCGTTTGGTCCTGGTGATGCGAGGGCGGCGACGATTGGCCATTCAGCTGTTGGTTTGCGTGATGCGCCGATGGAGACACAGGACCCTCTGCTCGGTGATTGATGGCGGTCCACGAGGCATTCTGCGAGGGTGGGGTTCCACGGGCCTGGGACATGTCGACCATGTCTCTGAGAGGAGGGAGAGAAGGGAGGCGGCGATTCATGACGGAAGCGCCAGCGGGGAACTGGAGTGAAGGTGCTAACTGGGAGGCGTGGCGGCGACGAGGACAATTGACGGTCAGCGGGAGCGGGCCGCGGCAGAGATATGAAGCGGTTCGTATGGGCGGGAGGAGCCTGCGGCGGTGCTGGAAATGAAGTTGCACAAGGGGGTGAGGGTGAGGTCTCAG